TGACTTTTTGAGATGTAACTATTAAAGTAACCCACTAAAATAGGGCAAAAGCTCTTGAGACTGAAAGAAGCATTGACAGCTTGTGTTTCGCGTCTTCTCCCCTTTGTCTTCATTGCTCCATTATTTATTTCTTTCTACTTTTGTTCTCTAAAAGTCATATATATATACTCCTTCGGAAAAACATAAACCTTCTATAGAGGTATAATAACGAAATATGCTACCAATGACATATTTCGTAAATGGAATTCATATCCCCTATTTGAGTTTCTCACACAGCATAATTGGTCTATGTGTCTTTCTCTATCAATTGGTTTCATCATATCCATTTGGATGAAGTGAGCTAATTAATACTTCACCAGTAAAAAGAGTTTTAACGTTTTGGCTAAATTAAAATAATTAAAAAGGAATTATAATCTTTTCCTTTTTCTTTCCAATGCATCCTTATATGCTTTTGTACGCACATACACATTTTTCTAGTATATAATCACCCACGATTAACTAATTACTTCAACAATGAGAAAGGATTCAATGTTTTAGCTGAAGTAAGAATCTAAAGCTTTTTGAAACTTTTAGCTTTTCTCCAATGCATCATTATATGCGTTTGTACGCAGACACGTTTTTATAGCAAAGAACCCCCGACAATTAGATACACTAAAGTGATAGTGATTATCACTATCATACGTTTTTTTCTTTCTATGTAAATGTGAGTATTGTTAGGTTGAGTTTAACCGTTAAAGTAAGTTGTACTAACTGATGGCTACAAAATCATGGATTAGTGCTAGGAAGAATACTCTTTTAGTCACCAGTGTTTTAAGGGGGTCAACGTTATTCACATTTGGAGACACTTCAAAATATGTATAAGCTATTTATGCTTTGGGTTAAACTATTCCATTAGTTTTGGACTTTATTTTCTATAATTTTGTTTACTTTTCGAGTTTTTAAATGTTTTCTTTTCTCGCATGAGAAAGCCGTCGAGTCAATCCAATATTGAATCCTTTAAAAGTCTAATCGACTTATCGTGTCTTCACAGTTGCATATCACTTTACGGGTTTCTCAAACCTTCCTAAAATTGAGAGTTGGACACACGTATTTAAATCAGACTTGTACAAAGTCTAATACTAAGAACATATATAATCCATACTGATATAATAGTATTTGCTAGGTGAAAGTAAATAGACTTACGAAAAGATGAAAAGAAAGAACTTTTTGTTTTCACCCTCGATGGAAGATTTTCATAAGCTAAACCCTCTATAAAAACACGACTAGACTCTAGACACGTTAGATCTCTGTGCAAGTGGCTAAAGTATAACCAAACAGATCTCACAAATTAAACCAATGACTGTTGACAACTGGAGCGATATCTAAGCATCAATCGACATCTATGGTTTTGTAAGAATATATGGGAACGTGCTTGGTTTCTAACTTTGTAGTAATTTTGTCTTACAATTTTGTTATATAGTACAATTTAGCTTAGTTGATTGAACACTGTTTATAATAATGTATGTTATCAGCTTGAGATGTTTATTTGTTGATGGCATCATTTGGTAAGACGAGACACACAAACCCGAGACTTAAAAAGGTCTATTAAAATAATAAAAACAAGACCATATGATTTTGAGTAAGAACACTTTAAGACAACAAAGTTTATAACACGACCAACAGAATTAATGGGTATGGACATAAATCACATGCTACTAACCGATAAAATGAGTGTGTCGGTTTTCACCTTTTGCAATATTTCACTAAGTCAAAAACTAATGTGATATTTTTATCAGCCATGATTTTTTAACTTTACTTCCCATTAAGTCGTTATAAGCTTCATGGCCTTGGGCTAGGATAAACATTCATGTGTCTAAATAAAGTTTGACAAGATGGGTCAGAAAGAGGGAAACACAGTTAAACTCTCTAAAAGATTATTTTATGAATATAACATCTAAAGACTAGTTTTATTGTAGCGATCTTTATTATATAGCTCATATCTACTTTTTCATTTTATCTTCGCAGCTTCTTTCACATCAACGTCGCACTTAAAAATATTCTGGAAAATCAATTTAAAGTACGACTTGAAATTTTACTTGCCTTTAATATTTGTCAATTGTCATCAATTTTATTGTCCTTTTACACTGTACATTTCAAATCATTAAAGGAAGTACCTTTTGTGACCATTATTAACGGTTTTGATAGAAGAAAAATACTCCCTCCGTTTCAAATTAGTTGTCGTTTTGGCAAAATGTATCTACAAATATTTGGACGTATCTGCAATGTAAAACACGTCCAGATACGTTCAAATATTTACAGATACATTTTGTCAAAACGACAACTAATTTGAAACGGAGAGAGTATATATATCAAGGTTATAAACTCTATAATAGTATCTAAATAAACAGTGTATAAACAAATTTAACATATTAGCACGTCCAAAACAAAGATCCTCATCTTGTTTGTACGCATACCATCTTTATATTGTTGATGGTACGCATACCATCTTTCTCAAAGGAATGAAAAAAATAACCATTTTGACCGAAGTTTATAGTCTAATGTTTTGCCTTAGTATCGCCGCTGTATTATTAATTGTTATTTAAAGTTGGTAATGTCATGTGTTAGCCTGCTAGGTGCATAAAAAAAAAAAGTCATGACATACTAGTATTTTGTTTACATGTACAGTTAAAAATAAATTTTAGATACACACAGAGTCGCCCATTAAGCAAATTATAAAGCTAACTATAATTAAGCCAAATACTTTCTTTCTCTTGCGACGATGCTCACGCAAATATATTTTAATCAAGAACAAGCCACAGATTGGACTTGAGATTAGTATTTTTTTTTGTAGAAAAGCTGAAAAGAGCTAGGTGCCTCAAATTCAAAATGTACGTTAATATCCAACAAGTTGATAAGGTAAAATGGGTCTTAGGTCATCAGAACTTTTAAGCCCATTATTGATTCGTGTCCCCAATAGTCACAACCGATGGGTCCATGCACGTAGCATACGCCCGCTTCACCAATCACCCACAACCAGTAAAGTAGTAACCCTTTTTCTTTCTTAGAAAAGATATAGGATAATACGGATCTTTTAATTCATTTCCTTTCGTTCAATTTCGGTACCTTGCATGACCCAATTTCATGTTATTTAGGGTTTTGTTGGATTCCATCTCTTATCCATTGGGATTCGACCTAGTCTCCTCTTACATACACCGGAAAGCAAATTAAGTCTTTTAAGACAATGAAGCAAATTAAGTTGCGGATCACATCACGAAACAATTTTATCTATGAGTTATATTGATAGGGATCTGATCAGCCCCAAAAAGTTTACTAAAGTAAGATTATATATGAAACTATGTTATATAAGCATTTTCATGTAGTTGATAGGGAGGTGTCGAATAAATCCATCCTATTGAGAGGTGTGACGATACTTTCATACCCAATATTAATGACATTTCTAGTTTTGGCGTAATGATAAGCTTTCTAAATATGTTGGGAAGAGTATAGAAGGGGAAATACTTTTAGGATGGATTGCTATGATGATTCCATGATCAAATAATGCCTTGTTTTCTTGCTAGGGCTGGTGCCCTTCTTGTTATTATTATTATGGTTGAAAATAATAAAGTTTAGTTATTTGGAATATGTTGCCAATTTTTATTTTGAATATATTAATAATAGTAGTACTAACAATAAGAAGGGAGAAGAAGAAGAAGAAAGGTAGAGGAACTTTTGTTCAAAACCAAAGAAGGTGGGGAACAAAATTAAGACTACAAGTGGAAAACATAGAGTTGTATAGATAGATGTACATTAATTAATTGTAAAAGCTAAGGTATGGGCACATAGGGTAAAATAGTATGTTCTCCAAAAGCTAGTTTACTAAATAAAGGCCCGTTGGGAATATTCCAGTTTTCTCCATCGTTCAATGCCAAAAACATTTTGATCCTGTCCCTAATATATTGATAGAATGAACTATGCAGTCGATAATGTAACTATGGATATCTTTGGTAGTCTTGTAGTTGTAGGTATACACACGTTTATACTAATGTAACAGTAGACTACATAAATTTCGGAGAAGGGAGAAGAAGATGAAGATATGGTGAATGGTGATTATAATAAGAAAGAAGTTTTTCGTTTCTTTCACGAAGAATGTTTTCTAAATTGGGCATTGAAGATAAGATTCCCTTTATTGCTGAAACGTGGTGTGTGTTGCAGTCATAGATTCTTTAGCAGTAATGAATATACTATAGGTTTGGTGGTTATTGTGGATTTGTGTGCGTCGTATGAGTGGGTATGAAAGATAAGTGGTACTTTTAGGGTGTCCCCATATAGAGGCTTGTGTTGTGTCTATGTAAGACCCAACTTTTCCTCCTTTTGATTCACCAGACACACCACCACCCACCACCTCATCATCACATTGTCTACAAGAAATAAAATAAAATTAACTAAGATCTTTTTAACTACGAATTTCATTAGTGCTAATGATGTGTCAAAATACAATTCGTGGTCAGATTATTTTAGATTGTTACAATAGTGTGGGTCTATGGCCGGCCCAGTACGGCCCAGCCCAATCCAACCTTCTTACATTGTCTTCGAAGCTTTCATATGTGATGTGGAAGAACTAAGAAAAAAAAAACATAGCCGTTGTTTCGCTATTGCAGACTTGTAAATTTACATACTTTTATCTCCTTTTTTTTATACATTCATTGTCCCTGTTTCCGGAATGCACTATGATTGTGTAATAACGCCAACGTAGCAATAATCTAATCTTACCAAACATGATAATATGCCAAAAAGAAGAGAAAAAAAAAATGTGCCTGTCTAACTTGTCTAGTAGTTTTCCAAACGTCAGGTTTTGAAAACACAACTTTTGTCAACAATAATAAAAAAAATAACCAGGAAAAACAAACACAAGAAATATTAAAATGGCACAGACAAAAGGCGGTGGCCATTAGGTACAAGCCAAAATTAATAATTTACACTGTAAACCCACTTTGGCATTTGGAGAAGAAAAGAGAGAGACGATGGAACTGAACGGAGAGAAAAGCAAAACGACGACGTATTGCGTGACCGGTGCAAGTGGATACATCGGTTCTTGGTTGGTTAAGTCTCTTCTCGAAAGAGGCTACACTGTGCATGCCACACTCAGAAATCTTGGTACTTCTCCTTCTTCCTTTAAAAGGAAAAACCAATTAGCAAAAAAAAATCTATTCGGGTAATATGATTGTGAATGATGAGATCTTGCAAGAAACTGAAACTTTTTGTTGATTCTAGTGCAAGTAAACAGAATTTAAACCATATGAATTAATTGATTATCTAAATTAAGACTGTTTTTGCAAATTATCTTGAGGTCTTCTTCCTCTGGCAGAAAAATCTCAATATTTCCAATCCAAATGGGGAGGTAGTGAACGGCTTAGATTATTCCGAGCGGATCTTCAAGATGACGGCAGCTACGATGACGCCGTCGAGGGCTGTGACGGCGTCTTTCATGTTGCGGCTTCCATGGAGTTTGATATCTCACCAAATCACATCAATCTCGGTACCACATTTCTGTTGCACCGATTGTTTTCTTTCAAAATTCCCTTACCGGATCAAACCATTAGTATTGCAATTTCTGTCTTCGGTTTAGTACTGACCTTAATTAGAATGTTTATGATAAATCCATTAAAGCCTTGACTATATATGAATTGTTGAAACGCCAATGTGAAATGTAAATAATGGAAAATGTTTCAAGTCAAGATCGGGTACAAGTATTTGCTAATCTAGTTCATCGGATTGGTCTTGGATTTAACCGAAGCAAACCGGGTTTTGTTGGATTGAATCGCAGAGAATTATGTCCAGAGCAAAGTCATAGACCCGGCAATAAAAGGCGTACGGAACGTACTTGGTTCTTGTCTAAAGTCAAAATCAGTCAAAAGAGTTGTCTTCACATCATCCATCAGTACTCTCACAGCCAAAGATGAGAATGAACGGTGGAGATCTGTTGTGGATGAGACTTGCAAGACTCCCAGTGATCACGTCCTTAAGACAAAAGCTAGTGGATGGGTAATTAATATTAAGGATACAATATTGTATAGTTCATTAGATGCCTTACCATTCATTGTTGGCATCATAAACAGATGTAGAGTTTGTGTGTGTGACAGATTTATGTACTATCCAAGCTCATATCAGAGGAAGAAGCATTTAGATATGCGAAAGAGAGAGGAATGGATCTTGTTTCAGTCATTACAACTACTGTCTCGGGTCCATTCCTTACTCCTTCTCTACCATCAAGCATTCAAGTTCTCTTGTCTCCAATTACTGGTATGTATATTATCATATGTACGTTAATATGTTGAGCTTACTTAACTAGTTCGATTTTTACACTGGTTGATTATGACAAAACAGGTGACTCCAAGTTGTTTGCGATATTATCAGCTGTGAATAAAAGAATGGGTTCGATTGGTTTGGTTCACATTGAAGATATTTGCAGAGCTCATCTGTTTCTGATGGAACAACCAGAAGCTGAAGGTCAATACATATGTTGTGTTGACAACATTGATATGCATGAGTTGATGCTTCATCATTTCTCTAAGGAGTATCTTTCTAAAGTTCAAAAGTAAGCTCTTCAAATTTTAATAACAATCTCCAATGTTTTTTTTGGTCAACTCTTCTTTGTTCTAGCTAAAGTTTTACAAAATTATTATTCTTGATTTAATTATAGGGTGGGTGATGAAGTTGAAGAGAGAAAAACTTTGGTGAAACCTGTGATTTCTTCAAAGAAGTTAAGAGAATTGGGGTTTGAGTACAAATATGGTATTGAAGAAATTGTTCATCAGACAATTGATGCTTCCATCCATTTTAGGTTTCCTACCTTGAACCACAAGCTCAAACAGTGAGGTCAACAACAATGTGTTTTTGTGTTTTTCTTTTCTTTTGCTTCTGGTCGGGCCATTATGATTCTTAGAATCTATTAATAAGTTTTTTCAGTTGCAACAATGCAATAAGTTGTCTATTTAAAAGGTCACTATATACATTCAAAGCAAAACCATTAGCCAATGAACCAATGCAATGAACTTGGCATTTCTTATTCACCAATAGATTGGTGAACTTAGCCAATGAGTTACTGCCTGAAATTTGGCATTTACCAAGATTTTAGACCCGTGAAACAACGCCTTTTTCTGACGCTCTTCTATCCTCCATTCCTTTTATCTTATGCAACAACCCCCATTCCCTGGTAGCCAATATAGTAGCAATTAAAACATAGCACACTAAGAACAAAAAAAAATGTTCTGTTTCTTTTTTCCACCTAGAGATCAGTCTAAAAACAACCCGACAAAAACTTCACATTTTGAATTTGAGTGATCAGTCTCAAAACAACCTGATAAAAGCGTTACATTTTGAATTTGAGCTTACATGTACCATATGGGTGGTTAAAAATCTAGAGACTTTCACATCCTTTGGTTTGAAGTGAAAATGACCGACTTGGCTCGGTTTACCAAAACAGCCTAAAAGTCATTCGACTCATTCATGTTTATCTTAGGTATACTATACAAAAACAAAATTATACCTAAATAGCAAGAAAACCTGAAAATGATGCAAGCCAAAGATACATTTATTTTTAGAAAAACTTCAATCTCATTCAACTATAAGAGTGTTGACTGAGAGAATAAGAAAAGGCTTTTGTATACACAAGTTATAATGTTTGTTAGAGGTTTGATTTTTGAAAGCTAAAAACTTTCATACAGAGATTCATCAATATCCCAAATTTGGGTTTATGTAACTGGACTGATCCACACACAATCAACCAAAATTATTTTTATCACAAAAAAAAAAGTTCATTTAGGATTTGCAGATTACCACAAAACAAGGAAGCAAAGCTCTAGAATTGAGCAAATAAAGTTCTTCAACATTTGTGTAGAGCCCAACTTTACCCGCCAAAGAGTCAAACCCATTCAAACCACCCATCTCCTCTAAACTCTCCACCGGCCGATGAACCCTCCCGGCGATCACCCGACACACGATCAACGCCTTCCTCTCCGTCGTCGTCCCATCACAACCATCAATCTCGATCGACTCGAACGCCCTCCCGCTCGTCGACGCCGTGAAAACCCCGATCCCGTTGTTCATCTCCCGTTTCGCCGAGAACCCGTTCCGTATTATCCGGCAAACGCAGCACTTGTCCGACGAACACAGACTCGTCGACCCGTTTATTCCGAGAACGCACGACACGGTGGTGCCGTGGAACCTGAGCAACTCGTTTCCGTCGGCGATACATCTCGGGTGTTTCTTCTGTAGCTTGCTCGCTCTCATCTTCACCGCATCTCTGTATTCCTCGAACCTCGCTAGGGTTTTGTGCATGTTGTGCACTTTCAGTATCCGGTCGATTCTCCCGCATTGGTTCTCTGGCTTTAAGCAGCTTGTTCTGCAGATTATCTCCACGATTTTCCGAGACGAATCGCCTTCCATGAGCTCAGTCACTGAAATTTTGGGTAAAATCTTTGATCAAGACACTCTGTTTCCTAATTGCGAAACTGAAAGATGAAACTTTTGGGAAATTTGACCGAAAGCAACAAACTTTGTGACCTAATTTGAGTAAATTCATAGATAAAGACACTCTGTAGTGTAGCTGTAGCCTAATTTCGAAATTCAGTGAAGAAAATTTGGAGAATTTTGAAGGAAAGTATGAAACTTTGTAACCTAGTAGTGAATTTCTACGACAAAGTTACGAAATTTGGGAAAATTTGATGTGATTATTACCGGCGTGTTTGGTGAGATGATGTGCTTCTGCAGCTTCGAGTTTGGTAAACTTCTCGCCGCATTTATGGCAAGAAACAGAGTAATCGCCGCCATTGATGTCTTCGGAAGTTCTCCGGCTTGAGTTAAACCCTAAACCTTCCCTGTTTCTCTCTGAGGCAGCCAAGGAAGCTTTTTTCGACGCTTGGCTCCGGTGGTATGAAGAGGAGTAATTCACCGGCGTGCCAGGTCTCGGAGTACCGACGAATTTCGTCGGTGGTCCGGTGGGGGAGGCGATGTCTCCGGCGCCGGTGATCTTGAGCTCGCAGGTGGAGTTGCTAAGGATGACGTCGTGAGTAATGGGATTGAGAAACTCGCTGCTTCCGATAGAACGAGGGCTAGAGCAAGTCGGCTTCTCCAAATGCTGTTTGCTTCCGTGGATTACGTCTTTGAGATTGGCTATGGATCTTGAGCAACCGGACCGGTAAGTGGTTGTGGTTGTTGTTGTTGTTCTCTTGGTGGATATTGGAGGGAGCTCTTTTCTGGATCTTCTCGGGTCGTGGACTTCTGAGGGATCAGATTTGCAGTAGAGAGATTTCTTCAGCGAAAACCAGACATTGGGCAGTTTCTTCTTCTTTTGAGTATCTGTGTTTTCTCTTTCAAGCTTTTTCTGCATCTTCTTCTCGGTTCTTGTGCTTAAAGTTTCCATTTTTTTGGGTTTATCCTCTAAAAGAATGTGAGAACGAAAGAAGCAAAACGAAAAAGAATTAAGAGAAACGAATGTTTAGAGAGTTTCTACTTTCAGGATTGGAGAAGCTTTACTTCTGGATTTTTAGTTTTCCATTTTCTGAAAGTAAAAGGGAGGGAAACCAAATCATGGGAAACTGATTTTGTCGTGTTTAAGAAAAGATACACAAACTAAAATGTAAAAATTGTAACAGGAAATTACTACCAAAGATGTTTTGGACCTTTTGGGGTTAGTGGATTTATTTTTAGTTTGGTAACGGGAAATCTTATGTAGTATCTGAATAATAGCATCAATACTTCTTTTTATACTATAGTATAAGCAAGAAGAATGAGTTATTTGATACATAAATCATCAATGAGTTTATTTTTTGGTCACAATCATCGATGAGTTCTGAAGACAAGAGTTATCGTACTTAGGTGACATAGCTATCAATGGTACTATTTGACTCACGAGGCCACAGTGGACATGATTTTGTTGTGTTCCTGGCTAAAATTACGGGTATCACATTTCCCAAATCTAATGCTTCCAATATTTTTGCTTAGTTTTGCGGTTTGAATTGCGTTTAAAAATAGTGAAATCTTCGCATACTGTCGGACCAAAGGACACTTCCACACTATGTGTTGTCCTTCGAACACCCTTTCGAATGAAGACAAGAAATTTCGAAAAATGATGATTTGTCAATTATCAACCAAGTACAAAAATCTAATTTAACTGGTCTAGATATGAAGGACTTTATGTTATTTTTCAATCCGGACAGAAGATTCTGTATATAAATAACGCTTACCAATGTCTTTTTTTTTTTTTTTTGGTTTCAGAATTGCATTTAATGGTTACAGACATTGCATTTGTTAAATTTGATAGAAAATTGGCACAAATACATACATTCAGCAACATATGCTTACTGCACAATCGCACACTTTATATCATCCTATGTGATGTAATTAGCACTATTGAGTGCCAAAACAAATTATATTTTCAAAATAAGGGAACCAAAGAGGCGTGCCATCATTAATTTAGCTCATCAATTATGAAATTTATTCACTAGAAAGTTACTGTGCAAACAAGAATATTTCCCGAGTTAAGTACTTTGAAGATTTTGTAAATGAAAGAAAAATCCGTTTGGGTTCTGTAGGTTGGTATTATGTTTTTTTTATTCAGTAGTGATGAAAAATATTTATCTTCAGTACCGAAAAAGAAAAATACAATACTTACAGAAAATGGTCTGTTGTCACTAATCTCTTGATAATTTTTGTATTTTCTGTTTTGGTGAAAAATAATAATGGCTGTGTTGTGATTTTCATGCATTATAGACATATCTACATCATACATTAATGAAGAATTTAATTAGTGTGATCCACCTATTTTTGTTTTAAAGGTTGGTATCATCACAGCCATCCCACCACCATGTTCATACATCCCACCACCATTCTGTCTCATTTGTTTGTTATCTATCCATTATTTGAGAGATTGAACGAAAATGTCTAGCTTGATTTTTGTTGTTTGGTGGTACAATGAATCACTATAACTGTAGAACAGCAGAGCTACAGAAATAACATTTTGGTTACTCAGCAATAAATAAAAGATATTACGAACGTATTTTCTTGAATAAACATTTAAAATTGCACAAAAAAAAAAATCAGATATTGCTCAATAGTAATGGACTTTGACCCAAGGAAATTTGGGCCTACTAAATAATACCCACTAGCCCATATATAATCCATTGAAATGATACCCAAAATAATCGCTTCCCTTAAAACTTAAAAGTAAGACAATCTAACGGTGAGAATTGTCGATCCAAGTACTGACATATCATTGGCCGCCGATACTTTCTTCTCCACTACTCATGGCGGGTTTCGCCTACTCGGCTACAACTCACGATTGTTATTTTCTCGATTCCGCTTTGTCCATACTCTTTTTTTTCTAGAGATTTTCCGAAATGGTGGGTCGAGGAAAAACGCTTGGATCTGGTTTGGCGAAGAAGGCTACTTCTCGTAGTAGCAAGGCCGGGCTTCGGAAAGTACGCCGAGCGTGTCGGAGCAGGAGCTCCGGTCTATTTAGCCGCCGTTCTCGAATACCTCGCCGCCGAGGTAATCATTTGCCTGTTTATTTCACTTGCATGTAGGATTCTGGATTCTCGATTTTACAATCCTTGTTGTAAAATTTGTGCGCAAAATTTTCCAGTTTTGTTGCCACTTAGGTTTCAGTCTTTGCTTCATGAGGAGTTGCTGATCGAAATAAAGACTGAAGCCAAGGGTAACAAAACTGGAAAATTTTCCCATTTGATTGCTTTACCAATTATTAATTTGGCTCTTTGATTCTGTGAGCTGACTGTGAATTCGAATCAAGTGTGTTGTTTGTGAATTCGAATGAAATGTGTTGTTTCATTTGCAGTAGGGTTTTCTAGATTCCTCTAATGAATCGCATAAAAGTCTAGCTGAGTTTTGCTTAACAGATCTTGTGATTCACTTAATTTGTGTAATTGGTGATTGGTATGGTGCGATTACTCTGTATAGGTACTTGAGCTAGCTGGGAACGCAGCAAGAGACAATAAGAAGACACGTATTGTTCCTCGACATATTCAGCTTGCTGTGAGAAACGACGAGGAGCTTAGCAAACTACTTGGAGATGTGACCATTGCCAATGGAGGAGTGATGCCAAACATCCACAATCTCCTTCTTCCCAAGAAGGCTGGTTCCTCTAAGCCTACTGATGAAGATTAGGAGGTTTGTTACAAGGCACTTAAATGGTTGGTGTCAGATCAAACAAGCGATGATGATAGTAGTAGATGATGCATAGGACTGTTGTTTCTATTCTTCTTATTTGGATTTTTCTTCGCAGCAATGGACGCTGTGTGGTTTGTACTAGTTGTAAGGATACCTTGTTTCACTTTGTGTGAATATATGAAAGAAATTTTTTCTCTCTCACTCTCGACTCTATTTCTTAAGCATTGTTCTCGTTAGTCCATGGAATAGAATGGTCAATCTCCATGACAAATAAATCAGGTTTACCATAATGTATTATGTTATCTGGACAACTGGTTCATCTCTCCTCAAGCCGAGATGTTCCTTTTCAGAATATATTTTACATTTCTTTGACAAAGAAAGATGAGAAAGTGTAAGAAAAGATGTTGAGAAGAGAAAATTTTCAAACTTCTCTTCTGTGGAGACGAAGAAATTTTGAGGATCACTGGCATTGCTTCAACTTGAAACTTCTTGCAAGTCCATGGTTACATTTTCCCTCCAGAAACTCCTCAGCCATGAGATCTGCTACATGAAACTGGAGAAGGCTCTGCTCTGGTGACAAGAGACTGCAACTATAAGCCATGAGATTCTGATCAATTAGAAACTGGAGAAGTTTCTAATTTCTCTCATAATCAAGAGAGCCACTTGGTATATTTCCGTCAGCTGGTACGAAACGAGGTTGAAGGGTTTCTCTTGTAGTGTTATCATCCCAAGTTAAGTTGTTCCACCAGCGTGTTTCTCCTCTTACTTCTTTAACTCTATGAGCGTTATCTGAGCCAACGGGTAGATTCTTGAGAAGATTGCATCTTATCACTTCCACATGTTCTAAACAACCCCATGACTCTTCTTGGCTGCATAATCTCTTCAACCGCGGGAGATTCCTCAGCTTTATGACGCGCAGAGCAGGTACCACAGGTTCAGCGGAGGCTGGAACTTCTCCTGGAGAATAGTCGAACAGCTCCTGAAGCCTATCACAAAAGCTGACATGTATCTCTTGTAGGTTCGGCAGGAAACAGATGAAGTTCCCTAGAGAGAGAAGGCATTTGAGACGGCTGCATCTGCTGACTTCTAGATGTCTCAGTGTCTGAAATCTCAACCCCAGATGACCCACAAGCTCTCTAATAGTTTCAAGATTTACACGGCGCAGATGAAGTTCTTCGAGGTTAGGTAGAAGATCTAGCTGCGCCACACATCCACCGGCGGGCCTTATGCTTCCACCAAAACTCTCTACCGTTAGAGACTTCAACATGTTGAAGCTACTCGTGCTATCGATTACTAAGTTCTCTAGCATCTCATTGAGACCCCAGCAATGGTTCATTACCAAGGAGGTTGTATTCGCTAGGAACCACCCAATGAATGCCTCTGATACATTGAGACTACTTATTGTCACTCCCCGCTTGTCATGTCTGGTGGGTAAGGAGTTTGCTGTTGGGCCAATAAACAGCTGAAATTTCTTCAACCTTTCTATCCAAGAACTGTGCTCAGGGGAAAGATGTGGAACGCAGACAACTCTGATTGAGAGAACCGATAAACGACGGAGACACGCAATCTCTTCCAGTGTTGCTTGCCCCTCTTGAGTTTGTTCTTGGACGCCCCAGTGAAAATGACTTAGTGTCATGTCTAGAACCTCTAAACTTGTTAACTGTGGGATGATTCCAGCTGGAATGCTTTCGAGGTGATGTGTTCGGGAGAGGTCAAGTAGTCTCAAGCTGTTCAAAGCTTCCAACCCTCTTGGCGATTCCTTTATACTAGTGGCACAGAGATCCAGAACTTGAAGTTTTGTAAGGCTTTCAAGAGAAGGAACTTCTTTAAGGCAGTAGCATTCTCTTAAGATGAGAGACCTGAGCTCATGAAGCTCGCTGAGGGATTGAGGCAATGACTCTATGCGTGTCCCACTTAGATTCAGAATCCGAAGTGCTGGAAACGATAACAAGAACCCCTCAGGTAATTCCTCAAGGTGAAAGTTTCCTTGTAGAAGCAAAGCAGAGAGTCCAACACACTTCACCACTTGATCTGGGAGCCTATTAAGCTTGTTCTTCATCAAAGAAACTCTTCTGATAGAAGGAACGAACTTCTCCTCTGGAAACTCCTCGCACAAGCCTATACCAGACATGACAAGAGAGTGACTATCATCCTGCGTTGTAGACATAACCCATATGGCAAAATCACGAACCACATCATGCATCTTAACTGTGTCATCACGAGCTCCCTCTTCTAGGAAGCAAGAGTCTTTCAGATTCTCCACCAAGGAAATTCCTTGATTCATTAAGTCTCCATGGTTTTGTGTTTCCTCTATGAACCCTTCGGCAATCCAATACCTCACAAGCTCAGCTACTTCAATTGAGTAATCCTCCGGAAACAAGGCACAGAAGAGGAGGCAAGATTTCATCTTTCTATCTAGCAAGTCGTAGCTCAGTTTCAGAGGCTGGTAGATCTTTTCTTCAATACTTTTCACATAAGGCACCGAGCTCTTGAGTTCCTTAAGGGCATGTTTCCACAGCTCGACCTTCTTCTTCCCCCGCATAGCCATTCCAACTGTGATGATAGCCAAAGGCAATCCATCACATTCCCGACAAACCTTTTTTGCGATGGTTCTAACACGATCTGATCTCGTTACTTCTCCAGCATTCTGACAAAACAATTCCCAAGCTTCTTCTTCACATAAGCAGTCCACTCTGAAGTCAATGTCCGTTTTTATGCTATGGCAAACCTCTAGAAATCTAGAAGTCAAGACAATCTTTGAACCATGTGTTTGTGGAATCCCCAACTGGTGTAAATCAATGGCTTTCCAGACATCATCAAGAATGAGAAGAAAGCTACTTACTTTCTCAAGTCTTCCATATATCCGTCTCGCCAGTGTGTCCTCGTTTTCGCCTAGTTTGATCTCCATATCCAGTCTTTCGGCGATTTGCTTCTGGACCCTTCCCAGTTCAAACTCTTTGGACACTGTAGCCCATATCACCATACCAAAAGGCTGCGTAGAAGCTTCTTTCCACAGCTTATTGTTCAGTTCTCTAACAAGTGTTGTTTTTCCAACTCCACCCATACCCCAAACACCGATCTTTTGAACCTTATCCCTCTTCAAACACCTTAGAACTTTGACTAACATCTCTGATGCTATTGTTTGATCAAGAACCGAGGGTCCAAGGATTTTTTCAACTAGTATAGATTTACCTTCCACGGAGAATATGTCAAGAAGCTCTACACCTTGCTTTTCAAGCCTCTTGACTTTCTGAAGAATCACCACAACTCTTTTGCTCAACCTGAACTTCAAGGACAGAGCACATGAACCACCTCCTTCCTGCATCGAACTTGCTTCGGAGACGACCTCTTCCGCGTCTCTTAGCCATCTCCTCAGTTGCACCAGCAAGGACTTCCCTTTGATTTCCAAGGTTTTGAGATCTTTATTCACTCTGTTCTGAACTTCCACAAGGCCACTGAGCGCTTTCTTCAAAGCCTTGATGTTTGATTTGAACCTGATGGTATAAGTAGCACGAGAATAAGTTGACTTGCACATACCACCTCCTATCTCAGCCAAGAGAGAACCCAAGGTTGAGCCCACACAATCCATGAAAGAGGGCTTCACGGAGAGATTAAAAAATCAAGAAGGAAGATATGCAAGAGTACGACAATCAAATATCATCTATCCTCAAGATAAACCACTACAAGGAAACATTGACTTTTTTATGAGTCTCCTTAGAATAAAAAGGCACAAAACTTTGATGTTGACGTTTTACCACAAATAAATAACAAGACATTGATGTTGATGGCTTACGGTTCATTTGGTCAATTATGAGTTGGATTTTGAAGTTTCAAAGAACTTCCCTTGAAGACTCCTTCTCCATTTTCAGCTAATAGTAAGTTTTCCAAGTATATTCATCGAAACTTCCTACTCTGGTTGTTACTTTAATTTTTAAGACATGTTTCAATCGTCTGATTTCATGTCATCTTTGTAACCAATCCAACGTAATATGAAAACTAGACTGAAAGTAAATTTGATGGAGTTAGAAAAACAAGAGATATATATGAAGTACTTAATTTGATGAGCGTGCGGGCACTTTTGTTGTCATTCCCAATTAACAAAAGGGTTAGTTCTGTGATTTTCACACAGGGAAAGAGGGAGTTTATTTCAGTAATGCACTGTAAGTACTTCTTATTATTATTATATTTTTTTTAAAATGTCAATATTCGAGTTTTTCATAAAATCTGAATTTAGAGTAACAGAGTGCAATTCACGGGACCTTTACAGAATCTGCAACAATTTTCCTTTCATTTCACATATAACGGTGACACATTGCGAGCATCTGAGACAGGATCGAAGAAAAGAGAATTTTGGACAGTTTTGGCCCATACATTTGGTCCATGAGCGTGTAGTTTTTGGACCAAACGAGATGCCAAGTTGCCGACGTATAGTATTTTACCGACACATGCTTTTAGCTTTTCCGGGAATCGTTATTTATTAACTTCACCGTTCACACTTAAGATTTAATCTTTGAAATTGTCGGTATAAGTGTGTGTAACAGTATATAACCAACCTGTTATAAATATGTTATCTTTTTTTATATATACACTGTATGCTACGAAGTAATAACAAGGCGTAATTTCTTGTTGGACGTACGTAATAAAATCTAACTTTTGACAAGGGAGATATAACTTTCCAACTACTGCGTAATAAAATCTATGGTTGTTTGTGTTTCCATACTGAAATCGTTTTACTCTTCATCCATATTAAGCGATATGTTGGTTTAGTTGTCGTCTACACAAGTTGTACATGAGTAATTAAGTGCAGTAAATATTCAAATCTGAAATTTCAAGAGTTGTTGTTAGTCGCAGCTGAATTTCAAGATAAACGTAACTGTTACTCTGTTACTAAACTCATCAACTGAGACCTTTATTTTAGAAGTAGCAAATTTTCATGGGGGAACACAAATTCTTAAATAATCCTTTGGTCAAAAAAAAAAAAACACAAATTCTTAAATGCTATTACTTGGGGAATTAGAACAATATGAATACAATTTAGGGATGGTTTGACATTTTCCGAGTTATTCGAAGAGATTACCACAAATAAAGTCGAAAGGGATTCAATAATTTATCTTCTCTTCTGATTTAAGATTTTCAATTTTATTAGGTGAAAAGGTAAAATAAATAAACCAACGGACGCGATCGCATTAGCTCGGTGAATTGAGATCCAATCAACGGCCCCACATTCATCTCTCTCACTGAACAAACCAAAACAACAGAAATTAGAAAGTAGCCAACAGAGCAAACAAGCGACGGGAGAACAGAACGGAGAGACTTGCCTCCATTTCTAAGCTAAACCCAGATATATCAGCTAAGGTCTTCTTCATTTCACATCTGTTTCTTATTCTTCTCTAATGCCACTCTCGCGAAATTCTGCAAATCTGAATTTTGTTTCCTCTCTCCATTCACCCAAAGTTTCACTCTTTATGTTTTGTTCACTGATAGTGTTTTGTTGTTTAGCTCAAAAAATCACTGCTTAATTTTCCTTTACAACAACTTTACTGTTTAGCCTATTCACGGGTTTCCATGCTTTTTGATTTAAATCAATTTTTAAATTTTGTAGAGAGACAAATCCGGAGTAATTAGGTAGGAGAAGAATCTGAGCTAATTTTTGGTTTCTCTGGCAAAATAAATAAATAAAGGTAATCAAAATAATGGTGGGGGAAATGACGAGCGGTGGAAGAATCCGGCAAGCTTTTCCGGGTACGAAAGATCTGACGAGCACTGAAGGATCTGAATATGGTCCCGTTGAGTTTACAAGAGAAGACGTTGACACTCTTCTCCATGAGCGAATCAAGTACAAGAGCAAGTACAACTACAAGGTCTCTCTCTTTTTTATCTCCTTTTCTTACAGTGTAATTGATGATGCAAATGGAGATTATTAAGTGTTTGAAATCGAGATCTCAGTTCATGCAATTACAAAAGGAAAATGCTTTTTTTTTCCCCCTTATTTATAGCTAAGTCTCGACATTGTAGTTGCTAAATCTAAATTTGGTGAGTAAGAATTTTGAAGTTAAAAGCAGTAAAATCTTGAATGTCAATTATGGAATCTTGGTTTGAATGGTAAGCCTGAGTTCTTAGTTCCTGATGCTGGATTTTTTGTTTCTTTTTTTTTTTTTTTTTGCAGGAGAGATGTGAGAATACGATGGACTATGTAAAAAGGCTAAGGCTTTGCATTAGATGGTTCCAAGAACTCGAGTTGGATTACGCCTTTGAGCAGGAGAAGCTGAAGAATGCCATGGAGTTGAATGAGAAGCATTGCTCTGACTTAGGTGTGTTTCAAATTGTGATCCATATGGGGATTTGTATAGTTGGTTCTTCTTCTGATAACAGTACTTTTGTTTTGTATGTATTTGGTTGCAGAGGTTAGTTTGAAAGAGAAGGAAGTGGAGTTGAATATGGTTATCGATGAGCTGAGGAAGAACTTCACCTCTGTTCAGCTGCAACTTGCCAAAGAACAATCAGAGAAATCGGTAAGAAACTGCCAAGTCTTGATTAACATAACTCATTATCTGCGGTTTTTCTAAAGTCGGTATTGTTTTGCTTAAGGCTGCAAATGATTCTCTTGGAAAAGAGAAAGAAACAAGACTTGCTGTTGAAAAGTTGCAAGCTGCTCTGACAGAAGAGCTAGGAAAGACGCAAGGAGAGCTTCAAACAGCTAACCAAAGGGTGAGAAAGACAGAAAGATCCAAAAGAGAAATGATCAGTTTTGGGTCTATTGACTGACACTGAATGTTTTTTTTTGTTTGGTTTCAGATTCATGCTGTGAATGACATGTACAAACTCTTGCAAGAGTATAACTCGAGCTTGCAGCTGTACAATAGCAAGCTCCAAGGTGATCTTGATGAAGCTCATGAAACTATAAAGCGAGGAGAGAAAGAACGGACTGGCATTGTAGAAAATATTGGAAACTTAAAGGGTCAGTTTAAAGCACTGCAGGATCAGCTTGCTGCCTCTAAGGTGATTTTGATTCTGCGTCTTTCGATTAATGATTGTAAACTTTTGGTTAGATCAGACATCAGAGCACAACTCGTGTGTTGTTTCGTTAGGTATCTCAAGATGATGTCATGAAGCAAAAAGATGAGCTGGTGAATGAAATAGTAGGTCTCAAGGTGGAGATTCAACAAGTCAAAGATGATCGTGACCGCCATATTATGGAAGTCAAAAATCTGCAAGCCGAAGCAACCAAGCAAAATGACTTCAAAGACATCATAAGTGAGCTTGAGGTATATTTTCATTCGTGAATGAACTCACTGTATTTTATCTGTAAATTCTATCAGGAGATTATTGTTTTTAATAATCTTTTTGTCCAGAGTAAGCGTTCTTCTCAAAATAAGGAGATGGAAGAGTTACAGGATCAATTGGTAGCTTCTGAGAGGAAACTACAGGTCTCATCTTATTCTTGAGTTTTACGTATAGTCATGAATATGTATATGGAAAAATCTAGATTCTTGTTTCTTATTTGTTCATTATGGGTTAGGTGGCTGATTTGTCTACCTTTGAGAAAATCAACGAGTTTGAAGAGCAAAAGGAAAGCATTGTCGAGCTGAAAAGTCGCTTAGAAGAAGCGGAACTTAAACTCATCGAAGGAGAAAAACTACGGAAGAAGTTGCACAACACCATACAGGTTAATACTTGCCATTTTTTTCCTTCACATTTCCCTTGTGGAAATGTTGTGTAGGCTTGGCTGATTCTTTAACATTGAAACGTTGCAGGAATTGAAGGGAAACATCCGCGTTTTCTGTAGGGTTAGACCTCTGTTAACGGGCGAGAATTCAAGTGAGGAGGCCAGAACTATTTCCTACCCCACATCACTAGAAGCACTTGGTCGGGGCATTGACTTGATGCAAAATGGTATGAACAAATCTTCTGAAAAAACTTGGTTCTCGCAAAAAAAAAAAAAAAAAAAAAAAAGTGAAAGACTCTCATTTGATGTTTGCTATGGAACAGGGCAAAAGCATTGTTTCACATTTGATAAGGTCTTTGTACCAAGTGCATCACAAGAAGATATTTTTGTAGAGATCTCTCAGCTTGTTCAAAGTGCTCTTGATGGTTACAAGGTACTTATCTTCTTTGGCCTTATTTCATTTACACCAAACACTTTGGTAGATACTGTCTAACCGGTCAATAAAACAAGTGAATGATGAATAATGCTATGATTCAGGTATGCATTTTTGCATATGGACAAACGGGATCTGGAAAAACTTATACAATGATGGGTAGGCCAGGAAACCCGGAGGAGAAAGGACTGATTCCTCGATGTTTGGAGCAAATATTTCGAACGAGGCAGTCTCTTCGATCTCAGGGTTGGAAGTATGAGTTGCAGGTAACAAACCTCCTAGAGACTAGAAATGGATAGTATAACATTCGTAGTAATAATGATTGGTGTATTATAGGTGTCAATGTTGGAAATATACAACGAAACAATTAGGGATCTCTTGTCAACAAGCAAAGAAGCTGTGAGAGCAGACAATGGCGTTTCTCCACAGAAATATGCAATCAAACATGATGCTAGTGGGAACACACACGTTGTGGAGCTTACTGTTGTAGACGTTCGAAGCAGCCGAGAGGTTTCTTTCCTCTTAGACCATGCAGCTCGAAACAGGCAAGTATCTATTGGCAATGATTCCTCTTTAGAGAAACCAAAAGCTGTTTATGACTCAAATGTTTTCTTCTGAAATTTTGTCCAGGTCGGTGGGGAAGACTGCAATGAACGAGCAATCATCGAGAAGCCATTTCCTTTTCACATTAAAAATCACTGGGTTTAACGAGGTACTAATCATGATTCTTACTGCAACAACAACATTTAATAGTCTAAACCTAATCTGTTTGTTTGTTTGTTACAGAGCACAGAGCAGCAAGTACAAGGTGTGTTGAACTTGATAGATCTTGCCGGAAGTGAGCGTTTATCAAAGAGTGGATCAACCGGTGATAGACTGAAAGAAACTCAAGTAATGTCTTGTCTGCGAAGATAAATATAACACTTTCTTTAGATTCATGACTTTATGATTCATTCCTTTCTTACTGAAATCCTGTAATCTAATGCAGGCAATCAACAAAAGCTTGTCGTCTCTAGGCGATGTCATATTCGCTTTAGCGAAGAAAGAAGATCACGTACCCTTCAGAAACTCGAAGCTCACTTATCTTCTTCAGGTAAAGAACAAAATTCATCATTTTAATTTGAACATCTTTATCATTATATGTTTGAAACAGAAATGAAACTTTGTCGAATTCTCTGTTATTAGCCCTGCTTAGGTGGCGACTCGAAGACGCTAATGTTTGTGAACATCACACCGGAACCTTCTTCCACCGGTGAGTCTCTGTGCTCTCTCAGATTCGCAGCAAGAGTAAATGCTTGTGAGATTGGAACTGCACACCGTCATGTTAACGTCAAGCCGATAGATTATCGCTTGAGCCTTGGATGATATTTTCTCCTCAAGAAGCCATAAAAATAAAGTTATTTAAACCTCAATATGGTCACTTACTTGATGTTGGTGTTAAATCTGTATATAGCTTGTATTAGCCTTAAGGGTTTGTTTCCTTCTTGCGTCTCGTGGACCAGGAGGATTTGCGTGTTGAAAAAAATCATATTAATATTCTGAAATCTTTGAATAGACACATTAGATAGAAAAATGAATGTTCTCAGTTTGTTCTTTACGAAACTATTAGATCTCCTTAATGCAGGTGTGAACCAATTAGTGTTTTTACGTTTCTGTTCTACTGCTTAAAACTGGAACAATCTGCTAAAAACATGTGGATTAGATATTTCAATATATGTTTGACAATTATTGTGACGGAAGACCAACAGTAATAGTGATAACCATATCACTTTCATTAATTCTTGTCACTCCTATTTGAGCATTGCCGCCACTGCCACCAGCACAACAACATGCATCAAACCAATTTGAGCCATTGTTTGATCATACATACTTTGGAAGTTGATAATTTGATAACTGAGCCGTATCTACAATCTTTCCTGTTTTTGTTTGATATATATATATATATATATATATATATATATATATTTAACTTGTGAATAGATTCAGTTTTCCTTTATCTAATCGGCAATCACTTTATAGAAGGCGTCATGAGTAGTAACAAGAAAACACATAAACAAACTTCTCTTTTTATTATGGAGTAGTGCTAATACATTAGCCTTAACATTACATTTATTTAAACACGCGATGAGGCGTGGTGTTAACGTTTATGAACAGCCACACACTCATACACGCGAGGGCTCGATTTGGAATCTAGTAGTAGGGAGGGAAGAGAGGAGGGGCCTGGTCGAATGGGCAAACGCTAACTCTCTGGACGCCGCAAACCTTAGGCAAGTGCTTAGCTGTCTGGAAGACTTGTTGCGGTGCCTGGAGTTTTCCCTGGGATCTAACAGCTTTGGCTGCTTTTCGCAAGGTTGGGCACACGCAAATCGCCTCTTCTTGGTGAAGCTCGTTGCAGCATTGCTGGAGAAGGGGAGGTCTCTGCTGTGGGCCCATTGGGTTCGCGATGGCGTCTTCGAAATCGAAGTCAACGTCGAGGGGTTGGCCACCACCACCACCTTGTTGCATGGCTTGCTTGCGGATCCATGCCTGGCAAGCTCTTAGGTGTTTTTCTTGTTGGAACTCCTTCCGGCATTCCTGGATTGGGCCTTGTGGGCCCATTGGGTTGGCATCTTCGTCAAACTCGACGATGGTGCGGTAGATGGAGGCATTGGTGAGGAGGAAGAAGAGGGCGAGAGTTGCGGAGACGAGGAAGAGCTTGTTCGCCATTGGATATTGTATTTGTTTACTTGTTTTTGGTTTGAGTGAAGAGTAAAGTGAAGGGTTGGTTGGTATTTATAGGTGAGAAAGATCTTTTGCATGTAGATCACGTGTAACATTGCATGCATATGTGTTTGTTCGTTCGTGAGAGATATAGAAAGTTGTTGTCGTGATTAGGTGTTGGAAACTCAAATGTTGAGGATTGACAAATCGCCGCGTCTACATGCAATGCAACCATGCAGATATTATGTGTAGCTCGAGTTCTGACATGCCAACTATTTTAGAATGAAAGTTAAAACCGTATTTCCGATCATGAAATCAATTATTAATTTGATTTCAATGGGATAAGAGTCGATCGATATTAATATATTTGGTAGTGTAGTTAGAATTGGGACATATAATTTTGGATATTAAATCTGAAATACATAAGTTTTTAAGCATCTTGAACAATTCCTAGTTAATTTCTCATACACACATGACACAGCTCACGGTCCTTTGGATGACGTGAAAGTTGAAACACATATTTCCAAAAGAGAAATTTGGCAAAATACTCCACATTTACGTAATAGTTGTCCATCTACTCTTTTTTTAGTTAAACTTGTCCACTTACTCTTTTTTAAAATTTAACCCCCAAATCACGTTTTCATAGAATGGAGATTAAATATTAATAAATTAATTAATTAAAAAAAATTATGGAAAATAATAAAAAGAAAATAGTAGTTTTAGTCGTCCTCTTCGACTCTTCTCTCCCTCAAACTTGTTCTCCACTTTCGTTCTCATTTGTTTCCTCTCCCTCGGACTCTTCTTCCTCGCCGTCGTCCTTCGTTCTCGACGTTTTGTGTTTAGGTAAGTTTGATGCTCACTAGTTTTTCATTAATCCCTCTATCAATTGGGTTTTTGTACTACAATCTGCAATTGGCATGTTAATTAAGTGTAAATTTGATTGAATTGGTAAATTGAGTTCATATTTAGTAAAACTGAAATTGTTCTACATGTATTGTGAGTTCGGGATTTAGGGTTTTGAGTAGAACCCTTAAGAGATTGATAAAATTGGTTGGTTTTGTAGAAATGACTGCTTAATTGATTCTCAGTTCATTAGGTAGATAGCTTTTTTCTTAAGGTTTGTGCTGAGTTTCTCTTTCAGGTAGGAAGAGCACAAGCACCAGAATTGGATGCATTCATTTTTTATTACTCTGTTTTCTGATATTCATGTTCTTGTTCTGTTGTTTTATTATTTGTAGAAATGGATGCTGAGTTGCCTAAACGATTGTATGAGGAAGGAACCGAACCACAAGTTGAGAAGATCAACAATAGTTGCAAGACGTCGATATTGGAACTCCTGAGAAAAAAATGCCAGATGAGTACAATGATGTGAAGAGAGACCCAGTTTTTGCTTCTATTCTTGCCATCCATGAAAACCATCTAGGATTCTCGGCGACTCTGGTACATAGTATGATGTGCAGGCAGCTTCTCACTGCAAAAAAACATGAATTGTGGTTTGTGTTTGCGAGGAGACCACTGCGATTTTCAATGCAAGAGTACCATGCGGTTACCGGGTTGAAGTGTGAAGACGATGGCAACAATGACCTTCAGAATTTTGTTGATGATGACGGTTTCTGGAGTAGGTTGCTGAAGAGAGGGAATACGATTGACATCCTGTCGATTAGGAACACGCACTTGAAGAATGTGAACAAGTGGACCCGTATAGACAGGTTAAGATTGGTGTATTTGTGTGTTATTGCTTCTGTGCTAATGGCAAAGAATGAAAAGGTTGCCATCTCAGAGGACTACATCAAGCTGGTTCTGGATTTTAATAAGCTGCGGGCTTATCCATGGGGTTGTCACAGCTTTGATCATCTAGTGCAGTCGATCATCGACACAAGAGTGAATTTAAGCCGTCCGAGAAGCTATGTTTTGGGAGGATTCTCATTTGCTTTCCAGGTTTGGATTATGGAAGCTATACCTGATATTGGTACTATGCTGGGAAGGAAGTTGAATGAGGTTGCGGTAGTTTTTCCGAGATGCTCAAACTGGCGTGTAACTCGAAGTCCATCGTATCACCAAATCATCGAACTCGAGAGTATTTTGGATCAAAGGTGAGTTGTGTGGTATAATAGCTTTGTTAATTTTCACGAGTACAAATGCTCCTGAACTGTTAGTTTTTCTATGTGTTGTTCCTTGTCCAATTTAGATACTCGCTTATGTGTTTATACATTTAAAGAACATTTAGCTTGTCTACTCGTTTTTTCAATCATTTGAAGCATATAAAACATCTAACTGCTTTTCTTTGATTTCTTCTCTTTTGTAGGAAGTTCTATATCCATATATCTCTTCAACCGGGAACATGGATGTGCTCGTCTCTGGAAACTACCTGAGGGACGACGAAATGAGAGATGAAAGGGTTGATCACCTAAACAAACTCATAGTGGCTGATACAGATTGGAGTACTCTCATATGGGAATTCGACGACCAGGTTAGACGAGAACCTCCTAGTCCTGAGCAACAAGAACAAGATGCAGAGAGTGAAACTATGGATGACGTCGACGACTTCAGAACGCCATGCGCATAAAATGAAGCAGATTCTAGTTCCAGGAAACGTAAGAGAAAGGTCGTAGACAAGGGTGCCGAGATACGGAAGCAGCAATTATTGACTCAACGTGCGTCGACCAAGCATGCAGATTTTGAGCAAGACATGAAGAAATTTTTGCGAGGTATGTTTCAGGAGTTGCAGGCACAGAATGCCATCGATAATGAGGCCAGATGTGGCAAATTAGAAAGCGAAGTCTCATCACTTAAGACCGAGATTTTGCAACTCAAGGATTTGCTCGCTGTAGCTATAACCGAACGAAACATCGGAGAGCCATCAGCATCTTCGAAGCCTTCTAGTGTTGTCCTTCCTCCAACTGTCGTCCCCACTAAGCCACAACGAAAGGTAAAGAATAAAAAAAACTCCTAGACTAGAATAAAAAGAACCAAATTTTCTTTTCTTAATCTAAATTGATGATGTGTAATTTGCTTCTGTTTTATTTTGTAATATGGGAGGTTGTGTAGGCAAGAAAAGATACAAAGAAGTGGATGCATTCGCAGTCATGATACCTCGTATTGTGAAAGAAGTCCAGCTACCTCAGAAGAAGAAAATCTTAAACGTTGCCCCATATTCAGTCATGTATGTGCCTGTTGCGAACGACCTCAACAAAAATGGTTGTGACTGCGGTGTGTATGCTCTGAAATTCATTGAGTGTCATGTGCTTGGACTTCACATTTCCTTGGTGAACGATGACAATATTGAAAAAGCTAGGATTAAGATTGCAACTGATCTGTTGCAGGCAGCAACTGATGAGGTGTTGGTCTACCGAATGTCTCAGTACCAAGCTCCCACGTTTGAAACTCCAAGTGAGGTTGTAGACGTTGAGTTGGTTATTTGAAAACTCATTTGTATTTCTTCTAAATTTATTGGTTGGTTACTCTACCATGGTTTTTGCTTTTATTTTGGTGTCCTGTTTTTTTTAGTTTCTAGATTGTTTCTTAACAGAGTACATGTGTTTCTTCCCTGGTTTTTGTGTTCCAAAACAGAGCACATGTATTTTACAAAATAGACATGCAATGTACAGTACAAATTGATATATTAACTCATATGCAACATCAAGTAATAAGAACAAAACCTTTCTTCTGTTTTGTGGTTGTTGCTTGCACCGCAAGAAACGTTCTACCACACAAGATAAAGTTGTATTATATACATGGATTGTCACATGGCCACAGTCAATGTGAAGCTCAATGGCATTTGATATCTGTCATTTATAAAACTTGATAAGCTAAACTCTTGAGTTGTGACTGCAGTCAACACTTCATCTACGCTAAATTCTTTTATTTAAAAACTGGATAAGCTAAACTCGATAAGCTAAAGTCTTGACCTGTGGCTGCGGTTTTGAACCCAAGGTTAATAGCGTGTCAAAATAAACACAAACACTTTAGTCAAAACAAGTCCCTAAACTAAAACTTCAGGAACATCCAATGGTTGTATCGTATTAAAAAACAACAGAAAAAATGATTGTCAAAGTGAAGAATAACACAGATCAAAGTAGAAAAACTGAAACAATCCCAAGTATTTAAACTGAGACAAATCGAAGTATAAAACATTGAAACAAATCGATGGATAACAAGAAACACAAACTATATGGTCATATCACAAGTGGCTTTGTTGTGACCTCCGATTAAACATCTACTGCACTTGTGTTTCTTCTTAATTTTTGATGATTGTAACTTGTCTTCAACGGTTTGGTATCTTCGTTTCCTTCTCATACCAGCAGCTCTCCGGGATTCAGGACAGGTAACTATGTCCTGTGCAACATCTAATGGAACTCGCCATTCATCCTCAGGACGTGATATCGGATTAATTGTTTCCTCGTACCACGTTCTCCAGAATTCAGTCTTGGCTGTATCATCAGCGAATAAATGTGGCTCCTTGCCTATATGAAAACATGCTTTAATGGCGTGTCTGCAAGGGATTTTCTGCAGGTCGTACTTGGCACACGTACATGAGCGTCTGACCAGATCAACAAGACATTCAAATATGTCCCCACGAACAATAAACTTGTTCTCGTCAACTGGATAAACCTTAAATGTTTTACCCTTTTCAATCCTTCTAGCAATCTTCTTCTCCACGGCCTCCGTCAAAGGATGCTTATGCTTCATAGCTAATGTTCGACGCTTATAAAACCATCGGGTTAACATCTCTCTGATGCTGTCCAGAAGTGGAATTACCGGAAACTCTCTTGGCGATCTTAGTGCCGAATTTAGCGACTCAGCGGGGTTGTTGGTCAAAATGTCGTACCTGAAACCAACAAACAGGCAACGAGCCCATTTTCTCGCATAAACATCCAACAAATACTTTCCAACAGCTGGACTGTTTTGGCAAATACTCATCATCAATCTCTGGAATTCAACGAGTCTGTACGCTTTAGAAGCCTTTGCGACTAAGCCAACAACACATTTACCATGAAAAGTCCTCATGACGTTGTTCATCAAATGGTGAATGCAAACTTCATGGCTAGCTCGTTGGTAAACTTTTGCAAGCCCTTTTTCAATGGAGAAATGTTTATCTGACACAAAAGCCAAATCGTTATCATCTGAAATAACAACCTGCAGTTGCCTCAAAAACCACTCCCATGAAAGATCATTTTCAGAATCAACAACCCCAAACGCAAGTGGATACAAATTCGAGTTACCATCTAAAGCCGTAGCAACTAGTAGTGTTCCTTTGTACTTATTCTTCAAAAATGTGCCATCAAGAACAATGACCTTACGCATGGCTTTGTAGAAACCTCTAACAGACTGACCAAAAGAGATAAACAGATATCTGAAACTTCCATCTAGATCCGTTTTGTAAGAAGTATGCGTACCAGGATTAGCTTCTTTTAGCATGTGCAAGTATTTGGGTATTTTACCATAACTCTTCTCAGGTATACCTCTGACTATGTTGATAGCATACTCACGTGCTTCCCACGCTAGAGAGTAGGATATATCGCAACCATGATCCGTGCGCATAAGCAGTATGATATCATTGGGTTTAGGCCCTTCTTTTACACCCTCATATTTCTGCAAAATCAGATTGCCGATCGTTTTTGCAGAAGCAGACCTAGCGATTTTCTTTTTACTTGAAGGAGCACAAGTATGTTCACCTACATACTTGTTGATAATGAAGTATGTCTACCCCTTCAGATTCACTGCACGAGCACCCCAATTGCATTCCTTTTCTGGGCAGCGTATGGTCCAAAAATTTGTATCAGATTTGAGCACCCTGTAGTCGAAGTTGTGCTTCATTGCAAGGATTTCAAAATGTGCCTTCATTTGGTTTTTGCATCTGAATTCTTGCTTCTTCTTAACAGCTTTAGCCAAAGAGAAATGAATTTTGTACTCATTCTCCTCTCTTTTTTTACACCGTACATCGTCTTCATCATCATCAAGCTCAGAGAGATAGCTATCTTTTACTTTGGATTCATCATCGTCTTCGCCATCAAATGAATCCGCAGATGGGTTGTCATCAAAATCCATGTTGATTCCACTGTTTTGATTTTGAACTGGATCCGAAAAGGTCACAAACAAATGTTTTGACGATTGTTTCCTTATGTATCCAACAAAGTTTTTCAGTTGACGATCATTGTCGATTACTACTCGGGGAGATCCTGTTTTGTTGATCAAATCGCTTGGCAAATAACTGAACTCAACGAATAAGCCGCTTTCCATTGAGTAGTCGTCCAATACCGTCGTCTTTAGCTCTTCAAAAGTAGTTGTTGATTCCAAAGCAACTACTCTTGCCCCTTTTGCCTCATCAGCAACAAAATCCCAACCCTTGATTGCACTCAATTTCCAAGTGCCACATGTTACATAGATTTGCAACATAGCAACTTAGAAGAAAAAACTGAAACAGATAATGGAAGAAAAAACTAGATAAAAGATAAGAAAAAATGGAGAGGAGGAAGAAGAACAATATGGAAGAAATGTATTTTTTTTCATTTTTCTGAGAAAAAAAATTAAAGGAAATGTTGTTTTTTCAAAAGATTTTAAAATATTCAGTTACCATTTTTACTATATTTTCTCAGATTTCCGTAGAAGATGCATTCTACCATTTCGTAGAAAACTGTGTTTAAGGTAGATTACAATTTCTACAAACGGTAGAAGTCAATGTTTTTCAGAGAACACACAATCTACAAATAGTAGAAGATAGTATTTTTAGTTGAACACGAATTCTTCATATAGTGGAAGAGAATGTTTATGGTAGAATATAAATTCTACCGGTGGTAGACAACCATGTATATCGTAGAACAAATGTTTTACAGTTCTACCAAGTCGTAGAACATTGAATATTTAGTAGAAATCAAATTCTACGATGGTAGAAACTATAACAGTCGGTAGATTTTACGCTCTACGGTGGATAGATGTGAGAGCATACAGTAGAAGACATATTCTACTTTGAATATTGAATTTGGTAGAAGGAAACTTTATTTATTTTTCTGAGGTTCAAATTTCAACAAAAAGCTTTAAAAATATTTTCTAAAATCTTAGAATCACTTTACTGAATTTATTTAATTTTTTGAAATTTTAAAAATATTTATTTCATATTGTTAGCATATACAAGGATATTATAGTCAAAAATTGGTAAATTTCAAAAAAGGTGTAAAGAGACAAGAGTTCTTTTTTTTAGGGTATATTCACAAATCTCCCTTTCCAAAAAATAAGAGAATGTAAAAAAAGCTAGAGAATATCACATTTCAGATTTAAAGTTAGTAATGTTATTGCAGTCAAAAAAAATTAGTAATGATATTCACGATTCAATCGCAACTCCATGATTGATATGGAATATGTTTTACATTTTTTAAAATTATAATCTCTCCAATTTTTGGTACAAGTGTGCAGATGTGTAACTACGAATTGAATAGTATTCGTGGTAATAGTATAAGTATTAAGTAGTCTTTTTACCACCGGTAATTGCAAGTGATTTACAAGGCTTAAGTAGTTAAACACATCCATATATTTAAGGCATTCCAAATTCGTGACCGACAATATGGTGGTCTCTTGGATCTCATGGTCCGTTGACCCGAGTCCGCTCGGAGCTCATGGTATCCGTACGTTTCTGACTAACCGGATCAGTCGATATTGTGTATCGGAAAAACGTCGTTATTCTTGTAGCAAACAAAAACTTGAAGCCATCCTCATATTTGGTATCACCTAAAGCACGGATGGAGTTGAAACGGTTCTTCTTAGGAACTTCGGAAGTTGATAGTGAAAAGGCTAGTGTTAATGTTATTTTCAAACTATAGTGAAAAGATCAACTGTTTTTTTTATCTAACCGGTCATTACTTTTAGAGGGCGGGAAGAGTAATAAGAAAGTAAAACATAAACAAACTTCTCATTTATTACGGAAGTAGTGCTAATTACATTAGCCTCAACATCCTAAGCTTACATTCTTATAAAAGACGCGATGATGATATATGTGGTGTTAACGTGTATCAACAAGCACACTCATCCACTCGAGGGTTCGATTTGGAATCTAGTAGTAGGGAGGGAAGAGAGGAGGGGCCTGGTCGAATGGGCAAACGCTAACTCTCTGGACTTCGCAAACCCTAGGCAAGTTCTTAGCGGTCTGGAAGAGGCTGCTCACTTGTTGCTGTCCTTGCAGTTTTGCCTGGGATCTAACCGCTTGTGCTGCGCTTTTCAAGGTTGGGCACACGCAAATCGCCTCTTCTTGGTGAAGCTCGTTGCAGCATTGCTGGAGAAGGGGAGGTCTCTGCTGTGGGCCCATTGGGTTTTCGAAATCAAAGTCACCGTAGAGGGATTGGCCACCACCACCACCTTGTTGCATGGCTTGCTTGCGGATCCATGACTGGCAAGCTCTTAGGTGCTGTTCTTGTTGGAACTCCTTCCGGCATTCCTCTATTGGGCCTTGTGGGCCCGTTGGGTTGGCATCTTCGTCAAACTCGACGATGGTGCGGTAGATGGAAGCGTTGGTGAGGAGGAAGAAGAGGGCGAGAGTTGCGGAGACGAGGAAGAGCTTGTTCGCCATCTGGTATTGTGTTTGTGTATGTTTTACTTGTTTTTTGGTTTGAGTGAAGTGTGAAGCGAATGTTGGTTGGTATTTATAGGTGAGAAACAAGTTTTGCATGTAGATCACGTGTAGCATTGCATGCATATGTTGGTGGTTGTGTGTGAGTGTGTAAGAAAGATGAGCTATAAGGTAGTTTTCGGGATTAGGTGTTGGATGCTCAAATGTGGTGAATGACAAGTGATGAAAATCTGCTGCAGTCTTATAGCTGCACAAAATTGTTATGTTTGTCTTGGATTTTGATACATGAAATTAATGCGGATGTATAATTAACCGTAGAAATCATGATTACCATTAATCAATCAATAAAATAGTAAAATAATCATAAAATCATAATACCGCAGCGCTTTTCGTGATGATCATATCATTGAGTCCTGAGTGTATGAGACTAGTGATTATTCCTGTTTTGTGTTTGGCATAAAACCACCTTCGCGTTTTGTTCTATCCTTTCTGATACCATATGCCGTGATCTTAATTCTCCTTTTTAAGATATGATTATATGAATAAGCCACCAGTGTATATATAAAAAAAAATGGTGGGTGATTTCATTTTATCGAAATTATAATTAAGATACCATCTAGTGAATGACATTAATATAGTCAGGCTATATGTTATAATTTTAAATATAGTCAAGCTATATGTTATCATAATGACTAAAAAATAAGCATAAAAGATTATGAAAAAATACATTAACAAGAAATTAGAAGACTCTTTGATATATGCCCTTGTGAAAGCATAGGTGTTCAATAAATGCCCTTATGGAAGCTTGAAAACTCTACCTAAACCTTTAAATCCAATACAACACCCTTCATGACCCGTAAGTAAATTAAAAACATCAGAAGAATTTACCATCCTAGATTAAATAAGTACGAATCAGAATATTTGAAGAAAAGACGAAATATGCATATGTGTGTGTGTGTGTGTGTGGTTAAGTTGAAACGTGTTTTAAAACATCGAGAGACAACTTGTTTACATTTATATAGATGGTTACAAACGAACTATTAAACTGATAGCGACTGTGCTCACAAACACTGATCTAACTACATCACGTGTTATTTATTAAGACCAACGAATGGCTAAGTAACAAATTGACCAGTTCATGCAAAATGCTCATTAGAGTTTGCTATTCTTGTAGCAAACAAAAACTTGAGGCTCCTAATATTTGGTATCACTAGAGGCACGGATGGAATTGAGACGGTTCTTCATGCGAACTTCGGAAGTTGATAATTTTATAATTTGATATTGAGCCGGAGTTACGTTCTTTCCCGTTCATTGGACTAATTTTTTTCTTTTCTTTTTACTTGTGAATAGATTAACTGGCTTTGTTTTAATCTAACCGGTCATCACTTTTTAGAGGGCAGCAAGATTAGTAACAAGAAAACCCATAAACAAACTTATCATTTATTATCACGGAAGTAGTGCTAATTACATTAGCCTCAACATCCTAAGCTTACATTCTTATAAAAGACACGATGAGGATGTGGTGTTAACATGTATCAACAAGCACACTCATACACTCGAGGGTTCGATTTGGAATCTAGTAGTAGGGAGGGAAGAGAGGAGGGGCCTGGTCGAATGGGCAAACGCTAACTCTCTGGACGCCGCAAACTCTAGGCAAGTGCTTAGCGGTCTGGAAGACGCTGCTCACTTGTTGCGGTGCCTGGAGTTTTCCCTTGGATCTAACCGCTTGGGCTGCTCTTCTCAAGGTTGGGCACACGCAAATCTCCTCTTCTTGGTGAAGCTCGTTGCAGCATTGCTGGAGTAGGGGAGGTCTCTGCTGTGGGCCCATTGGGTTTTCAAAATCGAAGTCACCGTCTAGGGGTTGGCCACCACCACCACCTTGTTGCATGGCTTGCTTGCGGAGCCATGCCTGGCAAGCTATTAGGTGCTTTTCTTGTTGGAACTCCTTCCGGCATTCCTGGATTGGGCCTTGTGGGCCCATTGGGTTGGTGGCGGCATCGTCGTCAAACTCCACGATGGTGCGGTAGATGGAGGCATTGCTGAGGAGGAAGAAGAGGGCGAGAGTTGCGGAGACGAGGAAGAGCTTGTTTGCCATTGGGGTATTGTGATTGTGTATGTTTTTGATTTGGTTGAGTGAAGAATGAAGTGAAGGGTTGGTTGGTATTTAAAGGAGTAAGTGAGTTTTGCATGTAGATCACGTGTAACATTGCATGCATATGTTGGTGGGTGTGTGTGTGTGTGAGAGAGAGAGAGATGAGCTATAGGATTGTTGTCGGGATTAGGTGTTGGAAGCTCAAATTTGGAGGATTGACAAGTGATGAATGTAATAGGTGTTGGCAATCAACTATATATTGTACAGTTAATTACTTTTTATATATGTTATATAATTAATCACTTAAAACAAATAAAAGTTTGATCAGACAAAATGAAAACCCTTTATTCATTTGGTTGAGAGTCGATCTTGAAAACTGAAAACCCTTCAGTAATGCTGTTAACTGGAAATATATTTTGGGACCTCAATCTGAAAAACAAATTGAAGTTAAAAATGAATATGCGACTAGATGTTACCATTCACATTCTATATATCTAACACAATGGTATTGTAATATGTTACGTGACTATTCAATCCATAGTGTTTCAAATTTAACGTGAGCGACTAATCAATTTATGGTGAATTATCATTAGTCTGTTTCGAGTTTCGACAGTTCCATATCCACTGCAATTCTAATAATAATTGGCAACTGTAAATATTTAAAACGAAAAAATATGTACATGCTATCGAAATTTAATCTGAATTTCAGCCGAGAATCACCATTTATAAAAAAATTCTGGTGGGTGACTACTGACTAACTTCATTTTATCGAAGTAAAGCTATATGATATAAGATTATCAATAAATAAATTTAACTAAAAAAATATATAAAAAGTTATAAAAAGTTAGCATTTTCAACTAAGTTGAAATGTGTTTTAACTTTGAGAGGCAAGCTCTTTTCATTTGTATATATATATATATATATATGGTTACAAATGACGTATTAAATTGATAGCCACTGTGGTTAATTACAAACACGGATCTGACAACATCACCTCTTATTTATTGTGGCCAACAAATAGCTAAGTAAAACAATGATCAGTTCATGCAAGATGCTCCTTTAATGATATCTTTGGATAAATTTTCTGCAGCTAGAATTAGTAGCCGAGTTTAGTGGATACATGAGATGGGTACGTAGCCCTCGCAAAGAGATTCCAAATGAACAATGCTGAGTTCCAAGCATATATATATCCTCAAACCAAATTGAGTCATTCTTTGATAATACATACTTTGGAAGTTCATAATTCTATAATTTGATAATCAAGCCGTAACGAACTACGATCTCTCCCGTTCATTATATTAATGTTACTTTCTTTTTGTGTGCTTGTGAATACATTAACTGTTTTTTGCTTTTTTTTTTTACTTTGAGAGGGCAGCAAGAATAAGAAGGAAAAACATGAACAAACTTCTCTTTTATTATACGGAGTAGTGCTGATTACATTAGCCTCAAACATCGTAAGCTTACATATTTTAGAAAACGCGATGAGGGTGTGGTGTTAACATGTATCAACAAGCACACTCATACACTCGAGGGTTCGATTTGGAATCCTAGTAGTAGGGAGGGAAGAGAGGAGGGGCCTTGTCGAACGGGCAAACGCTAACTCTCTGGACTTCGCAAACCCTAGGCAAGTGCTTAGCGGTCTGGAAGATGCTGCTCACTTGTTGCGGTGCGTGTTGTCCCTGGGATCTAACCGCTTTGGCTGCTCTTTTCAAGGTTGGGCAAACGCAAGCCTCCTCTTCCTGGTGAAGCTCGTTGCAGCACTGCTGGAGTAGGGGAGGTCTCTGCTGTGGGCCCATTGGGTTTTCGATGGCGTAGAAATCGAAGTCACCGTCGAGGGGTTGACCACCACCACCTTGTTGCATTGCTTGCTTTCGGATCCATTCCTGGCAAGCTACAAGGTGCTTTGATTGTTGAAACTCCTTTCGGCATTCCTTTATTTTTTGTTGTGGGTCTTTTGGACCCTTTGGGTTGGTGGCGGCATCTTCGAACTCGACGATGGTGCGGTAGATGGAGGCGTTGGTGAGGAGGAAGAAGAGGGCAAGGGTTGCGGAGACGAGGAAGAGCTTGTTCGCCATTGGATATTGTATTTGTTTACTTGTTTTTGGTTTGAGTGAAGAGTGAAGTGAAGGGTTGATTGGTATTTATACGTGAGAAAGATGTTTTGCATGTAGATCACGTGTAACATCGCATGCATGTGTTCGTTTGATCGTGAGAGAGAGATACAGAAGTTATTGTCGTGATTAGGTGTTGGAAACTCAAATGTTGAGGATTGACAAATCGCCGCGTCTACATGCAATGCAACAATGCATGTATTATGTGTAGCTCGTGTTCTGACATGTCAACTATTTTTAAATGAAGGTAAAACCGTATTAATTCCGATGGTAATATAAAATAAACTCTTCATGAATCTGGTTCTAATGGGTAGATCCGATCGACACTGATAATGTAGATAGATAGAATTTAGATATATCATTGTTTTTGGAGATTAAATATGAAATATATATATACGGTTTTAGCATCTTGAACAATTCCTAGTTAATTTCTTATACACACAGTCACAGTCCTTTGGATGACGTAAGAAAGATTGTTGGAGATTTAAGTGAATCGTTGCAATCTTTTTAATGTAAATTTTGGAAACATTGTAACCTTTGGTGATTAACCCATTGCAACATTTGGTCTCCAGTAAAAGATTTTTGTGGAACCAAAAATAACAACAAAAATTGGAGAAAAAGATAGAGAAATTTTTGGTTGTATTTATATTACAACTTATTTCGTGTAACTCTTATAAACTTGACAATGGTCGAAATAATTTTCAAGGAAAATACTGTCATACACGATTCAATCATTACCTTTTATTTTGAGAACATAATTCAATAATTACCTAAGTTTACTATTTAACATGATTAGGTTCCTAAATCAACACCATATATGGGGGAAAAACAAGCTTAATTAACTATTATTCTTCTAAAAAAGAGAGTAAAAAATTAGAGATTTTTTGGTTTGTTAAAAATAAAAAAGCTGGAGAACTTTGAATCACACATATCATATTTAAAGTTAGTCATGTTTTTTTGCGATTCAATCGCAAACCCGTGATGATGAAATAAGTTTTACAAAGCGATAACATTTACTACATCACCAATTTTTTGTACAAGTGCACATATGTGAGGGTGACTATGGGTAATATTCGTAATTAAGTTGAAACATTGAGAGACAACCTGCTTTCATTTATATACAAATGACCTATTGAATTGATATCCACTGTGGTTACAAACACGAATCTAATTACATCATATCACGTAACAAATTAATTAATCAGTTCATGCAAAATGCTCATTTAACTATATCTTTGGATAAATGTTTATGACAACTATATTATTCACATGAATTTAGTGGATACACAAGCGATCGATATATGGGTAGTTGCCATCCATAAAAAAAAAAGATTCCAAATGAAAAATGTTGAGTTCCAACATCTTCTCAAACCAAATTGAGTAATTCTTTGATCAAACATACTCTGAAAAGTGAAAACTGATAATCTTATAATTTGATACCTGGGCCGCATATACGGGAACAGACTACTGCTTATTTTAATTTTTTACTAGTGAAAACAGTAGTGTTTACTTTTTGTCATACTAGTGAAAAGATCAACTTATTTTTTTAACTAACCGGTCATCACTTTTAGAGGGCAGGAAGAGTAATAAAAAAGTAAAACATAACAAACTTCTCTTTTATTACGGAGTAGTGCTAATTACATTAGCCTCAACATCCTAAGCTTACGTTCTTATAAAACACGCGATGTGATGTGATGTTGCATCAACAAGCACACTCATACACTGGAGGTTCGATTTAGAATCTAGTAGTATGGAGGGAAGAGGGGAGGGGCCTTGTCGAATGGGCAAATGCTAACTCTCTGGACTTCGCAAACACTAGGCAAGTGCTTAGCGGTCTGGAAGATGCTGCTCATTTGTTGTGGTGGGAGTTGTCCCTGGGATCTAACCGCTTTGGCTGCTCTTTTCAAGGTTGGGCAAACGCAAGCCTCCTCTTCCTGGTGAAGCTCGTTGCAGCATTGCTGGAGTAGGGGAGGCCTCTGCTGTGGGCCCATTGGGTTTTCGATGGCGTCTTCGAAATCGAAGTCAACGTTGAGGGGTTGACCACCACCACCTTGTTGCATTGCTTGCTTTCGGATCCATTCCTGGCAAGCTATTAGGTGCTTTTCTTGTTGAAACTCCTTGCGGCATTCCTTTATTTTTCTTTGTGGGTCTTTTGGACCCTTATCATCGAACTCGACGATGGTGCGGTAGATGGAGGCGTTGGTGAGGAGGAAGAGGAGGGCAAGAGTTGCGGAGACGAGGAAGAGCTTGTTCGCCATTGGATATTGTGTATATATGTTTACTTGTTTTTTTGGTTTGAGTAGTGAAGAGTGAAGTGAAGGGTTGGTTAGTATTTATAGGTGAGATATATGTTTTGCATGTAGATCACGTGTAACATCGCATGCATGTGTTTGTTCGTTCGTGTGTGAGAGAGAGAGATGGATTAATTATATAAGGTTGTTGTCGTGATTAGGTGTTGGAAACTCAAATGTTGAGGATTGACAAGTCGCCGCGTCTACATGCAATGCAACAAATGCATGTATTATGTGTAGCTCGTGTTCTGACATATCAAGTAATTTAAAATGAAAGTTAAAACCACATTTCCGATTATAAGATTACACCCTCTATTAATTTGGTGTCAAAAGGATAAGAGTCGATCGATATTGAAAGATTTGGTAATGTAGTTAGAATCTTTGGACATATAATTTTGGAGTTTAAATCTGAAATACATAAGGTATTACCGTTTTAAAATCTTGAACAATTCCTAGTTATTTTCTCATACACACACAGGCACACAGCTTAGATGATGTGAAGACAATATATGGGGGAATCACAAATTTTTTAAAAAAGAAGAAAAGAGAGAGTGTGCAAAAAAAGAACTAGAGAATATCACATTTCAGATTCAATTGCAACTCCATGAACCATGATGGATATTAAATAAGTGAAGCCCACTAAGAGTTTGGCTTATGAAGCCCAAGCCCACCGAGAGATTTGGAAAATATAATTTCAGACCAAAATATCTCCCCTCTCTCTTCCTCTCATTATTACTTTCTCTCCACCAAGACAGAAGTTGCAGACTTTATCCGAATTTAGGGTTTCTATTCGTTCTCTCTTCTTCTTCGTCAATCAGATCCACGAAACCTTAATCTTCGAATCAGGTAAAATTCTCCTTCTTGTATCCACGTTTGAACATGTTTCCGAATTGCCTCTTATTCTCTCTTTGATTTCGGTAATTTCGAGGCGAACTATTTTTTGTTTGTGTTGCCCGATCTATAATTTTGGCTTCAGTGATTCATTGTTTCCGATCATCACCTTGTTCGTGCGGTTTGATACGACTCGTACGGTAGCTTTTGTTTAGGAATCATCGAATTAGCTGCTGACTTTGAAAACCGGATCTTCCTTTGATCTCCTGCGAAATTAAACGTTATAGATATGTACTCGGTGGATCAAAGTTTTTCTATTCATCGTTTCCTGTTATTGAGCTGGATCTGCTTAGCTAGGTTCCTGTGAAATCATACAGAAGGCGCAATTTATTGATGTAGATTGCATCTTGCTCATCTTAAATTTTCTGTAGCTAATGATAAATCTTGAGATTTTCTTAGCTGGGGTTGTAGTTTCTCGTCTGTTTTATATATCATTAATCACCAAATGAACGTGGCTCGTATTTGAATTTTGTGTGTTTATTGTTTGTTATCGTGGTATCTGTGTTTCTCTTTGCGTTTCGTGTGCTTCCTTCAGTTGTGTAATGTAGTTAATATAATCTTTGTGCTTAGATCAATTATTGTTCAATATTTTGTGCCCAATTCTGAAGTGACGTTGGCCTTCTTCTTCCTCAGGTCTCAGCTTCTCTGTCATTCGCCCAACAGATCAACAAAGTTTCATGTCTGAACTTGATTCCCAGGTCCCTACTGCCTTTGGTAAGTTCAAAGTACCTCTGCATATCTGCCTCCTAAGTCCATTTATACTTATTTCACATGTTTGGTAACAGTTTTGATATTTGGAGCATGGGGCTGTGTAAATGTTCCTCATGTGGGTGTTGACATGAGCTAATCCGTTTCTGTTTTGTTGCTGGCGTGCAGATCCGTTTGCTGATGCGAATGCTGAGGACGCAGGTGCGGGAACAAAGGAGTACGTCCACATCCGTGTTCAGCAGCGGAATGGTAGGAAAAGCTTGACAACGGTACAGGGTCTCAAGAAGGAGTACAGCTACAGCAAGATACTTAAGGACCTCAAGAAGGAATTCTGCTGCAACGGAACTGTCGTCCAAGACTCTGAACTCGGACAGGTACTTGTTTCTTAACTCCATGGTGCATCCATCTCAAAGCTTAGTCGCTGGATATGTGATGTCTGAAACGCTGTTGTGAAAATGTGTAGGTTATTCAGCTTCAAGGTGACCAGAGGAAGAACGTGTCCACGTTCCTAGTCCAGGCTGGTCTCGTGAAGAAAGATAACATCAAGATCCATGGTTTCTGAGCTGCTTCTGTTTCACTCTCCCTCGTGAAGAAATATATCATTGATCACTCTTGTCCTCCAGTTCCTAAACATTTCTTCTTCACCTTCTCTTGTTGCTTTTTTTTTTCTTTCTTAATTTGGATTTAGTGTTGGTATGATACTAAGAGACCATCATCGTTTGTTCTTTCCGTTACTCTTTGTAAGATGAGATGATTGTTATGAATTCTCCATTAAAAAATATGGTCTCCTTACTCTGAAGTATCTCCCATTCAAATATTGATATCACGCCTTTCTAAGCACAATTTGGTACTTTATGCAAAACATTTAACTGAAAGAGTTTATGCAATATCACGAAGGTAATTAGTAAATTGATGTTTAGCATCAAGTCATCAACTACGTTGACCAGAGGGATCTGTAAATCGCGTTTTTTACAAATTACGAAATTAACCCGTCGGTTGTCTTCTCTATCGAGTCGAAGTGGAGCTCTGCAATCTCCTCGAGCAAGACGATTTAGGTTTTAACTGATAAGAATAGAGAATACAACGAGGAAGAAATTATATTCGGGGAAAAAGCAATTGGGTTGAATAATCTGAACCGATTCTCTTTCAATTTCATTATCTTAGTCTCGGTTTTCTCAGCAGTTTCCTCAAATCCCATTTTCGGTTATTTTCGATCGCAGGTAAGAGATGGAGGAGATTTTCGCTCTGATAGTCTCAATGATTCTCATAGCTGCGGTGATTCCTTTGCTCTTGTGGAAACGTCGGATAGATAGTAGATCGCGCGAGGAAGTTGCAGAACCGCCGCAGGTAAATTCTCTCATCGTTGCGGAAATGGATTGACTTATGGTGATTTCACGTTTTTCTGGGGTTTGATTGGTTTATTCGCGTGCGTGGAATTCAAGGCTCAACCGCGTGAAAACGTGGTACGTGGTGGTGGTAATGCACGTAGAATGCGTCGGAGACCTGCTACAGCTTCTGGTGCTAGCTCCTCATCTGCTGCATCCAATGTTCAAGGTTGGTATTCACAGCTTCTGCGTCTCCTTTCCGTATTTGATTTTGAAAATCATGTATAGTGGCTGCATCAACTGGATCATATCAATTACTTAGTTTTCAGATGAATGTTAAGTTTCTGCTGCTTTATAGTTGAATGGGGTTGGGAAATGAAATTACTTGGGTGAATGTGAAAATACAGAAAACATCAGTGGGAGTGAAGATGAGGATGAAGATGAAGCTGGTGGAAATCAAGCAAGAGCTTCAAAGAAGAAAGAGAAGAAGCGACAAGAACGAGAAGCACAAAGACAGGTAGGCAACAATCTCTATCGCCGTTAGTTCTTCAAGTATTTTATCAGAAATTAAGATTGAAGATGGGAAATTCTTTGAGTATCAGTTGAGAAGTTGCACTCCGCAACTATGTGGTAGTCTTAGATTGTAACTTAACGATTGAGCATTGGTTTTGAGCTCCGAATAGTACTTTCCTGATAAAGTTCTGTTCTTGTTGTTGGGGAAAGGCTGAAGAAGCTACACGTGAGTCAAGGAACACAAAACAAGATTGGTATGCAGACATGAGGAGGAAGAAGGATGAGGAGCGTGAGGCAGAGGAGCAGAAACTGGTGAGTCAATTGATCTATCTCAGATTTTCGTTCTGTTTTAGGCTTCCTGATATTGGAATGCTGGGATTGGCTGATTGTGAGGTTGATGTGTAGGAAGAAGAAGAAAAAGCACGACAAGCTAAAGAAGAAGAGGCAGCTGCGTTAGAGTTTGACAAATGGAAAGGGGAATTCTCAGTTGATGCTGAAGGTACTACAGAGGAAGTACAAGGTGGAAGTCAAGATCTGCTTTCAGATTTTGTTGAATACATAAAGGTATAACTTGAGTAACAATGAAGTATAGATACAAATGGAGTCTCATCCCATAACAATGTGCAGAAAATGTTGAGCCTTCCTTTTGTTGTGTTGATGTGATTGCAGAAACAGAAATGTGTTCCACTTGAAGATCTCGCTGCAGAATTTCATCTACGAACTCAGGTATCATCATCTACATATTCTATGTGGAATATCAATGAAGATCTTTCTGTCATTGTAATCAAGTCTGATTCAACTGTTTTGGTTTTGTAGGAATGCATCAACAGGATCGCCTCTTTGGAGAGCATTGGTAATTGTCTCTCTATCCAATCATAAAAATAGCATTCTGTGATTTACATTAACCGTAATGGGACTCTCAATTCTCCTTTTGATTTCAGGGCGGCTCTCGGGGGTGATGGACGATAGAGGAAAATACATATACATATCAATGGAAGAGATGAATGCGGTTGCGGATTACATCAAACGTCAAGGAAGAGTTAGTATCTCACATCTAGCAAGCAAGTCGAACCAGTTCATCGACTTGGAGCCCAAAGTAGAACATCAGCTTACTGAAGAAATCAGTGGCATGGGAGAGATCTCGGTTTCTTAGTTTCTTATTTGCAGTTTCTCTCGTGTAAAAACAGTTTGTCCAAAAAAGAAAAACAAGTGTTTCAAAGCCTTACTGCAACTTGCTGGTGTTTTGGTCACTACATCGACCTTCCTGTTCTGATTTTGAGACCTTTTTAGACTTGCATCTTTATGCAGTACATGGAAATATATAATACTATCTTTTATATATCCATTGGTGACCCAAAGAAAAGAAAATTTCGTCCAGCCGCATCCAAAGAAAATATACATACTCGTGGTATATAATCAGTTTGGTGGCGAAACAAGGAGTGTTAGCTTTGCTGAATAAAATCTATACTATTATTTGTACAATTGTATGTACGGATACTTCACTTGCTTTAGCTTAATTCGAAAACCTTAATCTTCTAATTGTCTATCTAACCGTAGATATTTGAGTTTCTATATATTGTTGTTTCTTTGTTATAATCTTGTGACTTTAGAATGTTAAGGGATATCGAACGGCTAATGTTAAATTGAGAAGAAAAAAAAAAGCATTCATGTATAGCAATAATGATAGTTCTCATGATTCAGATCTTTTTTGTTTTACCGATATGTTTTTGTTGATTTTATATATTTATAGTTTTATGAGAAGTGAGAGCAGTTATAGTTAATGTAATAGTGGTTGTTTGATATGTTATATACAAACATATTAGGATTATAAAACATGATTTTTTTTTCACCTTTAAATTGATAAGTTTCATTAACCTTTTCTTTAAAGAAAATTTGATTCGCGATATATGAAAAAATCACTTAGTTCTATTATAATTCTTAATGATGAAGAGTTAAAAATATGTAAAAAAACATGATATTTTGTATATTATTACAACTTAATAGTAATTTTTTGGAAGTCTAAAAACATACAATTAGTAATAATTTTAAAATGTTCTCGCTTTTGGTTCTGATTCTTACTGGCGCCAGTCAGCACCACATGTTCATCACCTCATGCATCATTTACTCTTATATACAATTACCACTTCAAGATGAACATCCACGTTTTCTCTTTGGAGAATCTGCAAACAGATCCACCTACACATATAAACACTAAGGTTAGAACATGGCTACACAAATTGCATAAGCTTCACAATTTTACAAACACACCAATCTATGAACACACCAAACTACAAAATCTTTCCTAAGCTCATATTGCTGAAAAGTGTTTCCTAAGTATATGCATATGTACAACATGTGTACAACAGAAATCTTCGATGTTTGTAATTGTATAGAAAACTATTAGGTGAATAGCGAAATGTTTTGCAAAAATCTTCTTATGCAAGTTTTGTAATGAATATTTTAATATTTTGAGGAAAAATGGACTCAAATTGGATTACGAGTTCATTTTATTTATGTCCGGTTCAACCAAATTTTACATTATTAATGTGATACTAGGAGGTTACCCACGCCTAATGCGTGGGATTGATTAAACTTTTAAAAAAATTCATATAAAATAAATTATTATTAAATGAATATTACATTTTCTATATTATTTTTAGATTAATATCTATTTTGTTTCTTTATCAATCCATATAAATATTTTAAATATAATAATATGTATATTGTCTCGATTACAAATATTATAATTTTTTATGTTCTGGAATAATGGATAGATATCTTAGACAAATGCTAATGATAGTTTCATACAATTAATATTTTGATTTTTGTTGTGAACATATGTTTCGAAGAATATGCGAATTATAAATACTTGTATATCTTAACAACAATGATTCATTATTACTGACCAAATCTGTTTATGAATAAATCGGAATATTTATTACAGTAATATTTAGTAACCATATCAAATAACAGATCTTTCGAAAAAGGAAAGAGGTGTTCTTGCATGGGAATATTATTAAATTTTGTTATCTTCCGAAATAAACGTTACCTTAAATAAAATGGACGGTGTGATTAACAAAATCATATAAACAATCTGATAAATCTTCTCATCCTTTATGGTAAATTATATGGCGCTCGAATTGAAGTAAATGTTTTGTAGCCCAATAAGCAAACTCATCAATTAATTCGGCCTAATGAAAATAAAAAAAGATCCGACCCGGTTTAGGATCCGCGTCCCAACCCGAAAAGTGAAAAAGAATTGCTTTAAAAAAAATAAAAAAGCCCAAAAAACTGAGAGCTTGCCACATCAGCAAAAATGCATGGTCTTTAATATATTGTAGGATTAAATTACATTTTATTTTGGTTTCCTTCAATTTTTTTTTTTCTTTTTGTTTTCCTTCAATTTTCTTTCGTATTATCTCTGTTTCTCCTGAGAAACAGGGGAAAACTAGAGGAAGAGAAACTGTTATGCTCTGCCTCCCTAATTCGCTTAAGCTTTTTGATCATCTCTCTTTCTCCTTCTCTCTTTTCTCTTTCCTGCATCCTTAGAAACTTATGAAACACGGTAGAGATGAAGAAACGTTACGTTCATTTAAACCTAGCTCTCCTTCTATTACCTCTAATTAATCTTCTGTTACCGCCATTATCTCTGGCTCAAGACTACGGCGACGATGCCTCGAAGAAGTTCACTCCCACGCCAGGTATGCTCCGTTGCAACGGAGTTTACATGTCTTACACTTCCGGCGACCGGGAAAAGCTATATCCTCGCACCAACAACGTGACGGCTCAAGCCTGGACGTTCAAATCAACGGCCATGATCGTGAACACCGGTATCGAAGAAGTCAAAGGTTGGCAAATGTTCGTAGGGTATACCCACAGAGATATCATCGTTTCCGCAACCGGAGCAGTCTCATCGGACGGTGAATTTCCTTACGACGCAAGCAACGGCACAACGTTTATTGGGTCTCCGAATACAGATCTGAAGACCTCGATCGAAACAGCTGGTGATGAAGCTCAGATCTCGACCAATATCGAGATAACCGGAACGCAATTCGGCGGTAGAGGTACGGTTACGCCATTGCCTAAAACCATCGAACTCACAAACGATGGATGGGAATGCCCTAAACCTACTTCAAAAGGTATTTTTTTATAAAAATCCCATAGTTTCTTGTTACGGAAGCAACCACTGGTTATGACCGGTTTTTGATTATTTCGGTCTGGTTTTTGAGTTTAGGCGGTACAATGGAAGTTTGCTGTAGGAGAAACCCAAAGTTTAAAGCCAAAGCAAAAACAAAAACAAAGTTCTCGCGTAGACAACGTGGAGACCTGAACATAATCTATGATGTTCTTCAAGCATACACTAGCAACTACATGGCTCAAGTAAGTCACTTCTATCGAAATATTCATTCATACATGCACATAAAAAGGATATAGTGAAACTGATATATGTTTTGAACAGGTAACTATAGACAACAATAGTCCGTTGGGAAGGTTAGACCATTGGAACTTGACATTTGAGTGGATGCGAGGCGAGTTTATCCACTCGATGCGTGGAGCTTACGCTGCGGAGAAGAACCCGTCGGTATGCTTGCACAGCAAGGCAGGTCAGTTCTACGGTGATATGGATTTCTCTCAGGTCGCTACTTGCGAGAAGAAACCGATTATCAAAGATATGCCAGCTGAGCGTAAAGAAGATAATCTCACCGGGAAATTGCCTTTCTGCTGCAAGAATGGCACTCTCTTGCCCGCTCTCATGGATCCTTCTAAATCCAGAGCCGTTTTCCAGTTACAGGTTTGCCCCAAAACTAAACAAACCATTTTTACAGTGTTTTAGTGACTAAATAACCATTTATAGTATTTAATTGACAATGCATGCAGAATTTTCAGTTTTAGCTAGTTTTGACAATGTGTTTAGCTAGTTTTGTCTAGATTGAACACTCTTTAGCTTTTTACTTATTTATTACAAGACATATTTTTGTTTTGGTGACATAACAAAATCTTGAGTCAAACCTGATTTATGATTTAATTTGTTTAGGTATACAAGGTGCCACCAGATCAAAACAGGACAGCATTTTTTCCTCCATTAAATTGGAAAATCGACGGTATAGTCAATCCGCAGTACAAATGCGGACCACCTATACGTGTAGACCCGACCGGTTTCCCAGACGCGACCGGTCTCCAAGCCACAACCTACGCAGTCGCAAGCTGGCAAGTCGAGTGCAACATAACAAAACCTAAACCAAAAGCTGCACGTTGCTGCGTCTCTTACTCAGCCTTCTACAACGACTCAGCCATTCCATGCAACGCTTGTGCTTGTGGTTGCAAGGACATCGACACCGACACATGCAACGCCAACGCAAGACAGCTTCTACTCCCTCCCGACACGCTCTTGGTGCCGTTTGATAACAGAACGCTCAAGGCAAAAGTATGGGCCAAGCAGAAGAAAATGCCTGTTCCGAAGAAACTTCCTTGTCCTGACACCTGCGGGATCAGCTTAAACTGGCATTTAAACTCAGATTACAATGATGGTTGGTCGGCAAGAGTAACGGTGTTTAATTGGGGAGATAATGCGGTGGAGGATTGGTTTGCGGCTGTGGATTTGGGAAAAGCTGGTTTAGGGTATGAGAATGTTTACTCTTTTAATGGGTCAAGAGTTCCACCAAAGAACCAGACCATTTTCTTTCAAGGGCTTCGTGGTATGAACTACTTGATCGGTCTCACAAACGGGTCGCATCCTACGAGAGACCCCAAGGTTCCGGGGAAAATGCAGTCGGTTATATCGTTTAAAAAAAAGAGGAATTTGGGGAATTTGAATATCCCTGGAGGAGATGGTTTTCCTAAGAGAGTTTTCTTTAATGGAGAAGAATGTGAGCTTCCTAAGTTTTTCCCTAAAAAGAGCTCCGGGAAGAGATTGTCCGGTTTCCGGTTCTTGCCCTCGATTCTTCTCGTGGTCACAACATTTCTTGCGATCACGGATCGGTTTATAATATAAGTTAATATTAAGTGGTGTTTTGTAGGTGGTGCCTTAGTTAATTTATGTAAGTTGCTTTCTGTATAGCCATGATCAAAGAACTTGAAGAGTTTATTCAAAGTTTTTTTTTTGATCCTTCAGACTTGTAATTCATAATCAAAAAGAACTCATGCAGATTGATTCTCACTTGACACACTCTTGGTCTTTACTACAAGTTGTGCATTGGTCTAGAAGATCATGATTCTGCAAATTCAATTAGGCACAAATATTTTTTTTTTCACAGAAATATTCACTCTGTTTTTTGGTTTCTGATCATTAGATTATCTGAAATCTTACTCCAAATTTGAAATATTTAATCTTTGAAGAACAGAAAATGAACATTGTGAACTTAAGAATCAGTCTCTTTCCTTCTTTATTTTCCCCTTAGGGTAATTAGTACCAAAAACACATCATGTTTGTTCATATATAAATACAACATCAACTTTTATGAACAGCTTGCAGATTATGTTTTTTTTTGGTGTGTTTGTGTGTATGTTAGAGAGTTATTCAAGGTTCCAAGTTTCTTCCAGCTTACTTTCCACCCAAACAACCTTGTAGAAGAAAATAAAGCTTCTCATGATTCTGGGGGTTAAGGCCGAGAGGTCATGAACGTTCGCCAATGCTATTTCTTAGCCTGCAATAACAGAGAAGACAGCAGAACAGAGAGACATTCAGGAAAAGCTTTCCAACTATTTTGTCTGAGAGGGACACAAACCTAGCCAGACAGATGAAAGAAACTTAGAAATAACCTTTCTTAGATATTTCCTGTGAATTTTTATGGCTCCAGAACATGTTTTCTTGGCATCCAAGTTTCCAGTCATGTCGTTAAGTATCTAGAGACATCATAAGGAAAGAACATGAGAACCATTCACCAGAATGAAAATGATAAAAAGAAGATGTTATGTTTTAACCTTAACAACGTCATCGAGTCCACGAGCTTCAGTCAATAGCTTAGAACTCTTGTCCTTCAAGACACTAGCCACTAGGAAGACCGATATAGGCAAAGGACCTCCCGTGCTTTGTCCTCCATTCCTCATGTTTTGCCTCTCATACTTTCCGCATTGGCGAATTGACTTTGGTTTACCTTTGAAACCTTCGGTTTTCTCACTCCCACATTGATGCGCTTCGTATACATAAAAGAGCTCAGGGTCGTACTCTAGGGCCCACATCATCTATAAGGGATAGGTTTGGCATTGAGATCAATCCAAGTAATCAAGAAGATATATAAAGAGAGAGAGAGAGAGACACATGAGAATCATTACCTCCCAAAGGTATAAAGAGTCACAGAATGAGAATTCTCTTCGAAACTGAACCATAAGCATTCGAATGGCAAAGAGATAATCACCTCCGCCTACACTATCTGCATTTCAAGAACCAGAGCTCATTAACCGGTGAATACATACATATAGGTAAAGAAGTTTGTAGTAGTACCTAGATGTTGGTGAAGTTTTGGGTCAATTATCTGAGTGATTGAAGACAAATGAGTAAGTTGAGCTTCAACTCCAACAGATCTCCCTGTGCTCCGGAAATTTCCTCGCTTTTCAATAATTCGAAAAAAAAGGAAAACACATTTAGAACAATCTGATTGCAGAGAAACAGATGTAAACAAGTCCATACCAAAACACACAATTACATTGGAGACACATGGAAAGAAAAAAGTACCAGTCGACGCATAAGCCGCTCAAAACACCAAAAGGAATCAGCTTCGTCTTCAAGAAGAATAATCATTGGTGAACAAAGCTCACTCATTCCTGATCAATCCAACAGTAACATAGATCAGTTTTTGTCAAGTAAAACTGGTTTTTCGAACAAAGGATACAATTATATCATTTGGTTTTACCTTGGCAATAACCGACATCTTTGTCTATCCAGGCGTAGACAGACAGAATATCCCAAAGCTTCGACAAGTTCTCCTTTTTCTCGTAAAATACCAAAGTCCTGTCTGTACGGTTCACATCAAGACCTGTACAATATAAAACTAAGCAACTGAGTGAAACCAGCGACTATTCATTTTATTATAGCCGGAAGCCATGATCAGTCACTAACCTATCTGGTGAAGTGAGAGCAGCCATTCAACAACTTTCTTATCAAGAGGTCCACGACTTGTTAGCTCTTTAAAGAAATCTGTACCATTTGAGTTTGTACCTGAGAGAGACCACATGAATATTTTCAAATGCCTATTACAGATTTTTGTAGTGTTGTTCAATATTAGAATGGAAAAACAAAAACTTTACCTAAATTTATTTCCTGAAGAACAAGAGGATCATAGTTGGGTTGACCATTATCAGTGATTACAGGAGCGGTCATGAATCTTCCACTTCCAATCACAGGAAACATTTTTTTACACTCTTCCTTCCATGAAGCATACTGCAATCTGAAAGGAAGAGATATAACCATGTAACTATACCAAATGTAAAAATCAATATACAGAGGAAGTAAGAACAAAATATACCTTCTGCGTTGTCGAATTTGCTCTCTTTCTTCAAATGTACTCATGGGATCATAACAGCCTAGTAGGAATTCCCAGACTTCGCCTCTTATTGATGGATGGATTCCCTAAAGGTCAAATGTGAAAGAAATTAAAGTTATACGAATGTCACAGATTCAGAACAAATGATGCCATGAATTAGTCTTTCCAAAGAAACTAACATACCCCTCTACGGATTCGTCTTAGAGTCTTGCCAATGTCGAGAGACCCTTCTTGGACAAACGCAGCCTGCCATTTTCTTACACTTAGAGTTTTACCAGGCTGCACCAAACATCACAAAATGTCAGCAAAAGTAGCAAAAAATTATTCTGGCCTCAACCTGATGCAAATTACCAATATAGTATGACCATAAGAAATGGAATGATACAGGCAAATTTTGCCATTTGATGTTAAAGGTTTTTTATTCAATCTGAGCATAAGAAATGAGAGACACATGTCTTATATATCTTCCTCAAGACATGAAAGTGGTAGTGTTGAGAAGTTAACTCCTCTGAAGCTTTTAAATATCTTTCAGGAAAAAAAGAGACAATCATGTGATGCAACTGATGAACTATCAAAAGAATAGATCTGAGAACCTAAACAGCTCCTAAGATGAACAAACACTCATTAGGAAACAGAGAGCCTGACAATGGAATCCAAGGAGAAATCAATAGCTAGCTAATCAGCCAGTGAAGTGATGAAATCGATCATTCAAGGGAGGATCTAACAAGAAGAAGAGAATAATTAACCATCACAATTGACAATGTATTCCCGAATAACATAAATTGGAAAAGAATCTGGATGCAATTACACATATCCACCAAATTGGTGGCACCAATAGAGACGAGCGAATCAAAATAAGCAAAATCACAGAAAAATTTCAGATGAATGTATAGAAAGACGTAACCTTTATTTTGAATCTGGTCTTGGGCACATCGGTGCACTCAGGACGAGCTTGGTAGTAAGAATCTGCTGGCTCTGATGCGACTCCCCACATCTACGGAATTTCAACAAAGATATACACCAAATTTTCTCGGGAAAAAAAAGAAAAAGAAATCAAGGAAAAGTCCTTAAGACAATAAGACAAAGGTAAAACAGAAACCAACGACCAATGCACAGGATCGGGATCCCCTTAAAACTCAACAGATCGATCGACGATCAATGTAGAAAATTTATAGAATTTGTTGATATATAGGTGAATTTTTTTTTTGAGAATTTAAGGGGGGACCCAGCTTGGAGTGGAGGAAAGTGGATTGGAGTCGAAAAGACAGAAACTTTTGTTTTTTGGTTTCTGTAACTCATCTCTCTGTTCTGTTTTCGACGTCGACTATAAGTTTCATTTCCTGGCGACAACGGAGCTGGTCTGGTCTCATTACATTAGTTGGTGTCCGCAAATAACGGAACTTCGTGCATCATTTATCTTTCTCTCACGTTTTTACGGAACGTGGCGTTGCGGGAGTTTCTTTCCTCCCAAAATTCCCACTTCGCTTCTTTAATCTCTTTTGAATTTTCGATCTTACCCACCCTTTGTATTAATATTTTCATTTTTCGTGTAAGCAAATTAACGAAAAACCAGTTGACTTATGTAATTCTGTCGCAGAGAATGGAAGAAAAGACGAAATGCAACAACAACGGTGGTCAAGCGGCGAGTCTCGACGAAGACTGTGGACTTTAACGACTTTTTAGTTTTATTATTGGGCTTTTAGTTTTAAATGAACCATTCTTATATGGACCTTATTGGGTATTTATTTAAATTAGGCAAGGCCCATCACAGAAAACCCTAAAGTGCCAAGTATATATATTCTCTTGAGCGAAAGGTAGTCTCTTCAGCTGTTTGTTGCTCGTCCACTTTTACACTCGGAGCTCAGACCTTCCAATCTACCGGCGGCGAAAATGGTGAGTTTTGCTTTATCTCTTGAACTAAGATCTCCGTTTGTTCGTATCTGAATTACACAATTAGTCCCCTATATTCTCATGTTTATAGTGCAAAACATTTCTGATTTCTCTTTTCTGGATATTTTTGAGAGGATTAGTGGTTAGATTTATCCAATGTGTTTATGTCGTTAAGATGGACCAAGGTGTTGAGATTTACTGTTTGATTGTGATTGTACAGGTTTTCAAGAGGTACGTTGAGATCGGGAGAGTAGCACTTATCAACTTCGGGAAAGATAATGGAAAGCTCGTCGTCATCGTCGACGTTGTTGACCAGAACAGAGTACGTTTATATTATTTATATATTCCACAGACTTGATTTTGGTTTTTGATGAATTTAGTTTGCTCAATGTCAGACTCCGTATTCTATCTATTGCTTTAGATTGGGTTAAGCTGTAGATTTTGATTACATTGCCTATCAAAGTATACAAATTGCATGTTTTGGTCACTTTGTAGTAGGAGCTATATGATAAAGCTATTATCTAGTAAACATTTGTAGGTTTTAAATTGAATTGTGAATTTGTTGTTGTGATTTAGGCTTTGGTGGACGCACCTGGCATGGAGAGGATCCAGATGAACTTCAAGAGGTTGTCTCTTACCGATATCGTGATCGAAATCAACCGAGTTCCCAAGAAGAAGGCTTTGATCGAGGCAATGGAGAAGGCTGGTGAGTGTTGCTGTTCAATTAATGTTGGAATTTGCAAGTGTTTCCAATCTGATTCGGAGAGTTGTTTTGTTGCAGATGTGAAGAACAGGTGGGAGAAGAGCTCATGGGGTAGGAAGTTCATCGTGCAGAAAACTAGAGCTGGCCTCAATGATTTCGATAGGTTCAAGGTCATGTTGGCCAAGATCAAGGTCGGTGTGTTTAATTGCTTGCAGTTTTTTTTTAATTCTATGGTCGTCTGTTAAAACGGAAATGTTGAATGGTTTGTTTTATTGTTTGCAGAAAGCTGGTGTTGTTAGGCAGGAGCTTGCAAAACTCAAGAAGGAGATCACTGCTTGATTAAATTGAATTATCATCTGCAAATCTTTGTTTTAATTTTGGATTCAGTAATTAGTGTTTTTGCGAGTCGCGACATTATTGTGTTTTCAGTTTTCCGAATGCTAGATTCAAGTTTGAAAACTTCAGTTCTTGTTCTAAGATCTTTGCTTCTCCATACTCAAAAGTTGCTTTTTATCTTCTTTAATTATGTCATCTTTTATGGTTGATATATATTTTATGTTACTGACTGCAAATTGATTCACTGTTAACAAAATAGCTGTAACAGCATCTCCATTCTAAAGAGACAAAGAAATCCTAGAACTCTAACGACTAACCTCGGTTGTTAAATATCAAAAACTTTAGTTTTCATGGTTAATGACTTAATGTCTGTAGTCTCTCTTTGTTGAAACTGGGTACTTGTTTGGGCCAAGAAAATAATAGAGCTCATAGCCATGGTCACATTCATAGCTGTGCTAAAAAGTCTTGTGACCAGAAAAAAGTTCATGACTTTTAAAGCTAATGTATCTTTTTGGAAGTATATTCCTCTGATTTTTAGTGATTTGTTTCCCTGATTACAGTTACAGTTTTCTTGTTAACGAATTAGTCGTCTGAGTACAATTAGATAAGATGAGAGAGTTATTCCTACCTATCAGATTACAGTTTCAAAGTCACTCATGGATTTTTTCCGCAACAAATGTAAACAACGCTCCAAGACTTCAGAGATGTATGATAACATTAAGCTGGCTGCAGTATAACACTTTCCGAATATATAACTAGATTATTTGGCTCATCTTCTTGTGTATAAATATAACAAAAGTTTTCGGATTCGTTACATATAAAACGAAATAAAACCCTTACGAAAGATTCAAAAGTTTTTACCAAGCTCAATCTTTTTCATCAATGTCATCGTCTGGTGGAGAATAGAATCCAAGATCCCGGCCACCTGAAAAGAAGGTAAAGCACCAAGTCATACGGGATGCATTATAATAAAAAGATGAAGAAGAAGAAGGGGCTTTAAAGTTCTTAATCTACTAACCGTGAAGACACCACCGATAATGGCGCATACGTTGGTGATGAAGTGTGAGAAGGACTTGGAGTTTTCCGTTATGAGAACCTGCAAAACAAAAAAATTGAAGAAGATGAGCACAGTGTAACAAGGGTTGTCGTCACAGTCAAAAGTTTTAAACCCCAATCAGTGTAACAGATAATGAGTATGCAGCAAAAGGAATGTTAAACCCTACCTGCATCGGTGAGAGGTCGAAGTGAAACTTGGCTACTGGTAAATAGTAACTATGAGCAATGCTGCTGTGCGCAGTGTACTCGTACTCCTCAATCAATGCATGTCCATTGCTTTTCACCACCTCTGTCTTCACTATCTGAAGATAATGCTCGATCTGTCCATGGAAAAAAACCCCCGTGAAGCAAGCTAAAAAGCATAATAAGATGGTTTTAAACAGTATACAAACTTACGGTAACATTAGGGCCGATATCACGGTTGTTTATGAAGGAGCGGCCATCTAAACGGTTGTGGCTTTGGCCAAGATACGGTGACAAGCGCTTTAAGTCTGCAAACGTCTGAGGCAGAATCATCCTCCCAAATGAAAGATGGTTAACAACATGGGACATATTCATCAGAGAAGAGTCAAATGAATGAGATCCCGAGCGAGCTGAAACCATAAGGTTGCCTGGAACCTACGAAGACCAAAGGAAAGTAACTATATGAGTTTTAAGGCGATTTAAAAAGGCAAAACGGACAAACCAAGAGTAAAATCTCCCAGTCAAATGCTTACCTTCTTTAAACGCATGTATCCTTCAATTCGACATCCTCCTGTAGAAGGTGCCTTTTTTACAGTTTTCGATGCGTTGTCTGATTTGTCCTCCAATGCTAATCGGTGAGGATCTAGATGGATTGGTTCAACCAAACCTACCACCATCTATAGGAGTACGCAAAATATTCAGAAATAAGCTACAAAATGAGGTGTAAACACCGACTCTTGTCTAACTTTTCGAAAAGGCACGGAAAAGATGTTGAATATAAACCCACCTTCACTAAGCTTTCTGTATCACGATCTCCATAGTATGATTCATGATCGTGGTGTGCATTCTCATCCCTATTGGGAAAGAGAATCAGACAGAAGTAAGAAAGGTAAAGAAGATAGAGTTTAGGAGAATCGAGCAAACGATGGTCATGCATTACATAAACAAGTACTAGAATTTATGTCATCTTACTTAAGATCACTGCCTTTGCGGAAAATGCGAATGGATGGATACCCTTGTATGTGATTCCTGGAGAGTATTTGCAGAGGAAATTCATGAGCATAAATCAAACCTTAATGCTGGTATAAGATTAAATGCATTCCTAAACCGATGCTTGTAATATTTTACATAAACAAAATTCACATAACTGACCCTCCGTCTAGTTACGAATAGAAATGCAACTTAGATCTTAGTTACAGAGACATGAGTTAAGGACATCTCAGATATCCCGCATGAAATACATTACTGGCTAATACAAGCCCATGCACCTGACGACCCTTCAGTTTCAATTCCATTTTTCCATAAATCTAAATGACATATTTGGTGAAATGAGTCTAATAGCTTCTCTTGCAAATATTATGCACATAGAAGAAGCAATGAATATTACTTTTTGCACTGTAGGGGCGAGTAATTAAGTTTTGTAGCTTGAGAAGTTAAACTGGAAAACGAGATCGAATAAATATGATAGGCTATACCTCCGACAGAGATCAGCTTCTTGGGTACAGTCAACCTTTGCCAAAATGACACGTCCGTCCATCTCTGGATCATATCTGCCAAAACCAAGAAAGTTATAAGGAAACATAGTATCACAGATTCTCTATTTAAAGAGAGTATAATGGCATACCTCTCTTTTATTTGTTTTGCTGCTTTCTCCCATGATGGTTTCTGACAATAGAGAGTAAGATCAGCAACATTACCATTTATCACTTCACTGTGCATAAAGTGCCACCAAAAACTACCCTACTTTAGATAAGTCTAGTCTTTCTATGAGGAAAGTATTACGGCTAAAGCCAAAGAGCATTCTGCGGAAAGATTGACCAGGTTACAGTAAATTGCACTCTAAGCGCATCTTAGGCACCAAACACGTAAGATCTTCTTTAGTAAAAACGCTAATATGAACCTTGCCAGCAAGCAGCAAAATGTGGTTCTGGATGGAAAATATGCTGTGACATCTAGAATATATAAGAGACAAAGACACAAGATACGAGATTTACCAGGAGATTACACCAATAGCACCACGGAGCATAGAAATTCACAACCGAGATAGGGAATCTGCAAAATATGTACTCCATATGTTGTCACCAGAAGCACACAAAAAGTACTGTATTCTTGAATCTATGAACGAAATGTGCAAATACAGACTTAAAGTCTTAAAATCCTTACTCATGTAGCAATGTATCGAAGTTGCGGCCAGTGAGTGCTACAGAATCTTCAACTACTTCTTCACCAGCCTCATCTCCATGATTAATAAGCGATAAAACTTCCCCGGAGTGAAACTCAGAACCAGTTGGTCTCAAATTCGAATCAATAGAAAACTTCCGAATCGTCTTTGTTACATTTAACCTGTTCTGAAAACAAAAGTGAGCAAAATCAGGAGAGAGAACTACCGAAGATTTTGAGTGACCAAATGGACATATGTTCAAAAAGAATAACACTATTTTCAAAGCCCAGATACACATAGACAAACTTATGATGAAACCAAACTTACAGTTCCTAATACGTCGTTGACATCCACAGATGCAAATTCACATGAAAGTGAAGGGAAGCTGCGAAAAACAGAATATGTATCTAGTTAGCCCTCATATAGAAGCTATTAGACATTTGAGTTGGAAAAACAAAATGGATTATAATGTACCTTATGTTAAAATCTATGCGCAAGAAGTCTCCATCAGCGCTCCTGTCAACAATGATGGATGTGGAAGTGCTTACAGCCAAATAATTATTCAACTCCTGTAACATGAAACAAAACTCGCAAAGTCAAAACGGCATTCAACTTTTCTTAATAGTATTCGAACGGAGCAATAATTGAAATCACCAACACATCACTTGAACGCACAATCAGCAAGTCCAGTGAGCTTGAAAACTTACCATTCCGAATAAAAATAACATAGAGAGTGCTGCTACAATGGACAATCCAGCTCCAGATAGAGTTGCCTCTGTCAAATCCCTCGGGATTTTCCTGCAGCCACATAAATTCCAAAGAAGAGAGATGAATACTCTGCTCTGGAATCACAAATCTCAGCTGCAATCTGACTTTGACACAATTCGTAGATCATACAAACTAGCTACAAAACCGATACCGAAGTGACGAATAGATCATCATAAACCCCAGAGAAACACATTAACGCTCCAATTTCACAAAGATCAACTGACAATTTAACAATGCTCACGGAGAGGCAAAAACCTACAAATTGAGAATCGCCTCTTCAGGACTAAACCCTACCACTAATCAGAAACGGAAAAATCCACCGAATGTAGATACACCACAAGAAAAATTCACACTACACTATCAATTGATCTCTCTGTCACTGAGTAGATCCAGGAAATTCGAGTAAACAACAGAAGAAGCAAGCTGGAGAAGTCTGGAAACGGCAATAGACAAACTGAGAAACAGAATCAAAACCTATAGAAGTCAACGGATTTGATCTTGCTCGTGGAGACCATCTTCGCCGGATTAAGGAGGAGTCAACTGGGAAACAACAGCTGCTCGAGCTATAGTTCTAAAAGCTTCGGGACGAAGCACGAAACACACCTCCTGCGATTTATCTTCAGCAGTCACGTTCAGATTTGAAACTCTCACCGATCGGGTTCAAATTTACAACAATAGTCCCCTCTGCTTTGGGCTCTTTCTCATTTGACCCAAATAGTTTTGTCAAAATAGATTTTGTACCTTAGCGTCTTAAATGTTACAGTCAAAAGTCATTTATCATGATCGGTGTAGGAGAGATATGCAATTGAATGTTCCTGACAAATACTACACAAGTATGAAATATAAAGATCACCATTATTGACTAGCCTAACGAAGAAAAAACGTAATCTGAACCACCTAATTATTGTTGCTCTATGTTTCTGTTTTGGCTGCAAACTCTGCGAGAATCGTGAAAGATCCTTTTATCAATTATCATCATTGGTTCTTCTTGTTCTAGATTCTGGCTCAGCGGTCTGATTGTTCCTCTCTGGGTCTACTGTTTTCGTATTAAGGAATTTCTTTTTGTTTTGGCCAATCAAACCAGCTAAGTCAAGAACAAAACAGTTCGAATTTCTTCAAAGAACATCAAACGTTCCATGGAATGGAACATTCTTATTTATAGGATACATTCTTCACTTTATATTTGTTCTTTTCTTAATCCTATTTTTGTCTTCCGTCTGGAGTAGTAGTAGTATAAGTTAAATGATAGAATCACTCCATTCATGTAATATCCGAATGAGCTTTCAAATGGAGAGAGCAGCTCGATATCTTAACGAATTAACTTTACTGTGTTGTATATTTTTGACTATTGAATGGGGATCTTTTTTCTTCTTCACTGCTGCTATCGCAAGAACTAACAAACTACACGAAAGAAAACATCACTGTCTGAAAATGAAAGCAATCTTCTTTTTAAACATGTAATATCCGAATGGACTTTTACTGCTAGAAGCAAGCACAAAGGTTGATGTCCGAAGCAACTGTACGCATAATTTGATACGAGGTGAAAACGTGACGGAAAAATATACAATGCTAAGTAAGTAGCTAGGTCTAACAAAAATAAAACAATGGGATTTTTTTTTATGGTATATTGTGGAGTTTAATTTGTGGCCACTCTAAAATTACATTTTCTTTGGTCTCCCGATTTTCTTTTGGTTTGTAAAATCCAATTCAATATTGGTATGGTATACGGCGATAACAGTGGAATGTTTACCTCTTTTCGTTTGTAAAAGAAAACATTATATATATGAGATCTCTAAGATCAACCTCCACGTGAATATAAAAATGATCCATCAGATGTGAGCCAGGAAGGAGAAGAAAAATAATTTATAATCCAAGAATAAGACATATGTTAAAACTAGACAAAACATTTATCCAATTCATGAATTTTGATAACCATGATGTATTTATGAAATCAAAATTTCTACTAGTCCATAAGACAGCTTGAGAGTGTGCTAAGGGAAACGAACTCTACTTATCAACTCTAGTACCTACGTACTAATAGTCTATCGCGGTCAAGCGCCTGCACGTTTAAGATAAACGGGCGCATGGATCTGGATCGATGCCTTTTAGAACTCTGAGTATTACGCTTTCTATTGCCAAGACGGATAGAAAAACATTGGAGTGCTGCAAAAAAGATACAAAAGAGAGCGTAATATGTCATGGCCCTTGTTGAGGATATCGACGATTCATAGATTGGTGGCCCCATGTCATAGCACACATCCTCCTCGTCACTTGCGAAAACTTTGACAACAATCTACGTACGTAGTAATAGATTATATAGGGGTGCAAAAAAAGGGAGATTTGATTAATTTGTATCATCACACGAACGTACCTCATCAAAACTCCAAGTCGACACAGCCCTCACAGTGGCTATTCCAGGACTCTTTCCCTGGATAACCCCATCAGACGACACATCCACAATGCTCGTATTTGAGCTAAACCATCTTGTTGCGTTTCCAAAACCTATATATATATATATATATATAAATATTGAACATAGAGTATTAATGAAATAATTAAGAGATCTCTATACTTAAATTAATAACAAGGACCTAGACAAAAGGATCATATATACCTCCTCTCACTGTTAGCTTAATCTCCTGAGAAACATGAGGAGCCCACTGGAGAAAAATCATAGGTTTCTGGTTCAATGTGATCCGGACTATATCACTAGGATTCTTATTATCCTCATTAGAGGCTCCTACATAAAGCATGGCCATAACCAAAAGGCAAACAGCCAAACGCCCACAAATAAGTCTCCTCATTATTCCAACCTAGAAACATGTAAACGGACACGAGTGGTCAGATAGATATTTGCGACTCGCTAGGAGCACCAGAAAGTAAGCTAGGATTTTTTGTGGACAATCTCTTGGTATTTGTATAGGTCCCTAGCTAATGCCAAAAGCAAGTATCAGATCAAGAGAACCACATGGGGACGGGAATCTTAAGAATCCACACACCAATCTGTGTAACGCAATTCGTTTCCGTATTAATCGGATCAAACGAACAGATCCCCAACTCACCGAACAGTATACAACACAATAATTCTAACGACATGAACACAGAACATGTTGTCGAAGAATGGGAATGTTGATAAATCAGAAACGGGAGAGAGAGACATTTGTACCTCTTTCCAAAGATCTGAGGAGGAAGATGAAGGAAAAGATAGCGAGACAGAGGAGAGTCGGCAGAGATCTATGCGTGTACACTATACTATATATAGCTTAGTACCATAATGTTTTTCTTTGATTTTTGGTTGCTAAAATACCCCTGAAATGTTTCCCAATTACCAAAAACTACATTACAATGACTGTAATTACTTCTAGCTGAACTTCTTAAAAAACTCAAAGACAGACTATTAGAAATTTACGAATTTAGTGAAATAAACAGAGTGTTCTTCTTTAAGTTATGGTGGTCGAGTGAGGGCTGAACCTAATTAGCACAATTCTCATCCAAATTGTGAGATTTAATGAAACAGAGGCTATTTTATACATGTAATGTCAAGAGAATCAAAGATATTTTTTACAACAAAAGAAACCAAAATTTTAATGTCATACGACGAGACTTTGACAGGATGGTCCACTTTCATTCATACAACTCTGTTTTTGGAAGTGCATTCCAATCCACAGCGGGTGTTACTTTGCCTCCGATTAGAAAGTTCTTCAAGCATACTAATATCGCAGTCACCAAACACAAAGGGACCTTGTTCTCCCATCCAATTGCGATCTTGAAGAAGAGTCCAAAGCCGGCAGATACAAAACCACCAACCAAATCCATATCTTCCTTGATCCTCAGGAAGACCATCACCAAAAGGAGATGCATGTATGCGCCTACACAAAACCCAATGACCAGACCTATGGGTGGCTTCTCTAGATATCCATCGAGAAAAGTAAAGAGAGATAGACACAAAACTTGTCCTACACTCTTTAGGAGAATATTCAGGTTGTGCAAAGTTTCTTCTTCACCTTCGTCTTCGTCTGCAACATACTCTTGTCGCTTGGAAGAGTCCCAAGAGAAGTAGACCATCCACCCAATCCCAGTAATCGCTAGGATACAGAAATTTTCATCTGCCTTGCCCTCGACTAGGATTGCAAAGAGGAAACCGAAAGATATCAGCAACGTAACTTGTGCGCCAAATAGAACCAAGACTCCATTACTGTAGAAGATTGTTCTGCTGTTGGCTAACATCCTCTCATAACGGTCTGTTGAGGGCACCACCATTGTCTCCATTCCGAAGGGATTACGCATATCAGATCCCCAACGTTTCTTTTTAGGCTTTGTTCTAAGCGGCTCTACACTCCTCCCTCCAATGTATATGTTCTTCAACGCACACAGAATCGATGTGACAACTATCAAAGCAGCTGTTGACCAATCTTTTGATGAATGGAACGATAGCTCAAAGCTGGCTGCGAGAAATCCTGCTGAAACGTCAAAATCTTCCCTGATTTCAAATAGCACCATCACCAACAGAAGATGGAGATACACTCCAAAGCTCAGAGTGAATGCCACCACTTCATTCTTGCCCTTCATTTTCTCCTCCAAGAAGCTGAAGAAGATTAACGCCATAGCTTGACCCAAGCCCTTCTTCAACATAAAAATGTTGGGATACTTTGGTGGTGACCAATTACTCAGATTAGATGGTGTCATTCTTGAAGCAGAGTACCAAATCCATATAGACCATAGTAAGCAGACAACTGTAGGACACACGTAACACCCCCATGGAGTTTCTTCGTCATTGATAAGAGCGAGAAACGATATCAAGGCCACCGCCAAGGTGATGACTGATGCACGAAGAGCCAAAGCCTTTTGCGTATAAAGGTTCATCCTCCAAGTCCTGGTCTTCTTTTCAAGCTTTCCAGTGAAACCCATTTTGTCTGGAAAGTAAAAAGCTAGGTATGAGCAGCTAGAAAACCAATAAATAAGACCATATAATCTGGGATTGAGATTTCGAGTCAAGCAAGATAACGCAAATCATCAATTGGTGCTAAATCATGATTAAATTGGTGCTAAAAGACGGAGATTAAGACTGAAATCAAAGAGGAATTGGTAGTGGAATTGAGGCGGTGCGATATGCAGAAGACTGAGAGAAGAAAGACATGTAATGTGACGCGCGAGGAAGACGAAGTGTTACACTTTATAGAGCAAGAGATGTAAAAGAAAGTGTAAAAATTAGAATGTTGGAGCAGCTAGAAAACGAATCAATAAGACCATAAATCTGGGATTTCCAGCCAAGAAAGATAACGCAAAGTATCAATTGGCGATAAATCATAAGTAAATTGGTGCTAAAAGTCGAGATTAAGACTGGATTAAAAGAGGAACCGTACAATTGGAATTGAGGCGGTGCGATATGCAGAAGAAAGATAGAATCTTGGGAAAGACGACGTAATGTGACGCAGAGTTCTCGCGAGGAAGACGACGAAGTGTTACACTTTCTAGAGCAAGAGATGTAAAAGGAAGTGAAAGTTAGAATGTTGGTGCATCAGATCCTGGAAGAGGACGAGAAGAAATTAGAGAAACGTACCGACTTGTTGCGACGACGGCGATTTGCCGAAGCTCTCGCGAGGAAGACGAAGAAGTGTTTAGGCGCTTTCGAGAGCAGAGTGAAAGATTAAATTGCGAAATTGAAAAAATCGAGACTATAAAGAGACTATTAGTAATTTACCATTTTGGGCCTGGTCCAATTTGACTTTCAGAGACTTCGTGAAAGAGGAGAAATCAAAAGGGAAAAATCGAGAGGGACGAAGACTCCGATCCACGCCGTGTGGTCACGTGGTAATGAGGCAACCTCCGAAGGTGAAGGCATTCACATCTTCTTCTTCTTTACTTATCACATCCGATTTTAGGGGTTTTCAAGTCCCCAACTTCTGATCGTGTATATTCGTCTCTTGTACCAAAATTACTTGCTATCGCGTTAAAAGTTTCGTGCTTTGATCAGAACTCTATCGGCTTACCACTGTTATCTGCTCCCGAAAGTAGCTTTTAGTCTTATTTTGTAGGTGGTCTCTACTTTTTAATCTGAATGGTTGTCAAAGCAATTTAGGATTTTAAGATTGTTTTCGGAATCATTGTGCAAAAATGTGGTTTATCTGTGTTCAATATTAATGATTTTGCAGGATTGTCACTGAAATATCAGGACCTCACGGCGATATTTCTGGCTGTTAGGCTGTATTGCAGCTTTGTAATGGAATATGACATGCACACCATTCTGGATTTGGCTACTTTGGGAACAACTCTGTGGGTCCCTTATATATATGATCCGATTTAAGTTCAGGGCTAGTTACATGGAGGACAAAGACAACTTTGCTCTCTACAATGTGGTAGGTCATCCGCTTTTGATCCTCATGTTTGGCAACTACAAGTCTTTTCATTTTTCTAGTTGAGCTTACGCTCTAAGGTAGGCAGTAACAACAATCTTCTGATTTTGATTTTTGTAGCTTGTGCCGTGTGTTGTGTTAGCTGTGTTGGTCCATCCATCGACCTCACACAACATATTACACAGGATTTTCTGGGCATTGTGTGTATGAAGCTGTTTCGGTGCTGCCTCAGTTACGAGTGATGCAGAACCCAAAGGTAAAAACGACTTCATTTCATAATGGCAAACAAAACGAGACACGTTTTTTCTTTAACTATCTTATTATCCACATGTATTCGATTTGGTTGTTTCAGATTGTTGAACCGTTCACGGCTCATGATGTTTTTGCACTTGGAGTAGCAAGGTTCCTTAGCTGTGCCCACTGGGTTCTACAGGTTAGCTTTTGATCGAAACATTATCCTATCAATACATTGAAAGTCGAATGTAATCATACACAATGCTTTGTGTGTGTTCGAAAACAGGTTGTGGACACGCGTGGACGGTTGCTTGTTGCATTGGGTTATGGACTGTGGCCATCAATGGTTCTTATCTCAAGAGATTGTTCAAACTTTCATCTTGGCTGATTTCTGTTACTACTACGTTAAAAGGTACCGTTGAGTCTTTTGATTGCCACTCGTTAGCTAGCTATCCACTACGTCCTTTAGTTAGACAACTCAAAAAGTTTGTTTCAATCTTTATCCTCTGCAGCGTTTTCGGAGGGCAGCTTGTTCTTCGTCTTCCGTCTGGAGTAATAGTAGTATAAGTTAAATGATATCCGAATGAGCTTTCAAATGGAGAGAGCAGCTCAATATCTTAACGAATTAACTTTACTGTGTTGTATATTTTTGACTATTGAATGGACCTTTTTTCTTCTTCACTGCTGCTATCGCAAGAACTAACAAACTACACGAAAGAAAACATCAATGTCTGAAAATGAAAGCAATCTTCTTTTTAAACTTCAAGATACTTGATGGCCGTCTGAACATCTTTATCACCCCTCCCACTGAAGTTTAAGACCACTCTGGTTCCATCTGGTAACGTCGGACAAAGTTTCTCCAAATGTGCCAATGCGTGCGATGTCTCCAATGCCGGGATAATTCCTTCCAACCGAGACACTCTCTTGAACGCTACACAAAGATACCAACAAAACACAATGCAAAAATCCTCATGAGAATGTGAAAGAACATATAAAAAGAGAAATAAAATTATCCACCGAATAAAGTACCTTCTAAGGCTTCTTCATCAGTGACGCTGTAGTACTCAGCTCGTCCCACGTCTTTAAGGAAACTATGCTCTGGTCCAACTCCAGGGTAGTCCAAGCTGTTAACATAAAGTGTTACTCTTTAGAACTGTTGTAAAAGTAACTGTGACGAGGTAAATAAATGTGTTTAATCTCTTACCCGGCACTGATGGAGTGTGGCTCAACGATTTGGCCATCATCATCTTGCAGCAAGTAACTCATAGCTCCGTGGAGCACACCAACATCTCCTTTTGTCAACGTGGCGGCGTGCTTGCCGCTCTCCAATCCAAACCCAGCGGCTTCCACACCGATCATTCGTACCTCTTTGTCATGGACAAATTCATGAAACAGTCCCATGACGTTCGAGCCACCAACAACACAAGCAACCAGAACATCAGGCTTCCCTCCCCATTTCTCCATCGCTTGCTTCCTCGTCTCTTTACCAATCACGGCGTGAAAGTCTCTGACCATCATAGGATAAGGATGAGGACCAGCAACAGATCCCAGTATGTAATGTGTAGTCTCCACATTTGTCACCCAATCCCTTATAGCTTCGGATGTTGCGTCCTTCAAAGTCGCTGTTCCGGAATGGACTCCTCTTACCTCAGCACCGAGAAGACGCATCCTGAACACGTTAAGAGCTTGTCTCTCCATGTCTTGAGCACCCATGTAGATGATACACTGCAAACCGAAACGAGCAAACACGGTGGCTGTGGCACACACGGTTGTGGCTTTGGCCAAGATACGGTGACAAGCGCTTTAAATCTGCAAATGTCTAAGGCAAAATCATCCTCCCAAATGACAGTAACTGTATAAGTTTTAAAGGACAGTAACTGTATAAGTTTTAAAGTGGTTTGAAAAGGCAAATGGACAAACCAAGAGAAAAATCTCCCAATCAAATATTTACCTTCTTTAAACGCATGTATCCTTCAATTCGACATCCTCCTGTAGAAGGTGCCTTTTTTTAAGTTTTCGATGCGTTTTCTGATTTGTCTTCCAATGCTAGTCGGTGAGGATCTAGATGGATTGGTTCAACCAAACCTACCACCATCTATAGAAGAACGCAAAATATTCAGAAATAAGCTACAAATGAGGCATAAACACCGACTCTTGTCTAATTTTTGTAAAAGGCACGGAAAAGATGTTGAGTATAAACCAAGAACAACAACTACCTTCACTAAGCTTTCAGTATCACGGTCTCCATAGTACGATTCATGATCGTGGTGTGCATTCTCATCCCTATGGGGCAAGAGAATCAGACAAACGAAAGAAAAGCAAATAAGATAAGAGTTTAGGAGAATCGAGCAAATGATGGTCATGCATTACATGAACAAGTACTTACTTAAGATCACTGCCTTTGCGGAAAATACGAATGGATAGATACCCTTGTATGTGATTCCTGGAGAGTATTTGCAGAGGAATATCATGAGCATAAATCAAACCTTAAAGCTGGTATAAGATTAAATGCATTATACTATAGCAAATGAAATTTAAAGGAAATCCTTAACCTATGCATGTACTATTATACATAACAAAATTCATATATAAGATGCCAATACAAACTTGTATAGTAACTGACCCTCCGTCTAGTTACGAATAGAAATGCAACTTAGATCTTAGTTACAGAGACATGAGTTAAGGACATCTCAGATATCTCGCATGAAATACATTACTGGCTAATACAAGCCCATGCACCTGACGACCCTTCAGTTTCAATTCCATTTTTCCATAAATTTACATGACATATTTGGTGAAAGGAGTCTAATAGCTTCTCTAGCTAATATTGTGCACACAGAAGAAGCGATGAATATTACTTTTTGCACTGTAGGGGAGAGTAATTAAGTTTTGTAGCTTGAAAGGAAAACGAGATCGAAAAAATATGATAGGCTATACCTCCGACAGAGATCAGCTTCTTGGGTACAGTCAACCTTTGCCAAAATGACACGTCCGTCCATCTCTGGATCATATCGGCCAAAACAAAGAAAGTTATAAGGAAACATAGTATCACAGATTCTCTACTTAAAGAGAGTATAGTGGCATACCTCTCTTTTATTTGTTTTGCTGCTTTCTCCCATGATGGTTTCTGACAATGGAGAGTAAGATCAGCAACATTACCATTTATCACTTCACTGTGCATAAAGGGCCACCAAAAACTACCCTACTTTAGATACGTCTAGTCTTTCTATGAGGAAATTGTTACGACTACAGCCAGAGAGCATTCTGCGGAAACATTGACCAGTTTACAGTAAATTGCACTCTAAGCGCACCTTAGGCACCAAACCCGTAAGATCTTCTTTAGTAAAAATGCTAATATGAGTATATGACCCTTGCCAGCAAGCAGCAAAATGTGGTTCTGGATGGAAAATATGCTGTGACATTTAGAATCAATATATAAGAGACAAAGACACAAGATACGAGATTTACCAGGAGATTACACCAATAGCACTACGGAGCATAGAAATTAACAACCGAGATAGGAAATCTGCAAAAAATAAATACTCTATATGTCGTCATCAGAAGCAAAAAAAAAAAAGTACATCCTAGAAGTATTTTCTAGTATTCTTGAATCTATGAACGAAATGTGCAAATACAGACTTAAGGTCTTAGAATCCTTACTCATGTAACAATGTATCAAAGTTGCGGCCAGTGAGTGCTACAGAATCTTCAACTACTTCTTCACCAGCTTCATCTCCATGATTAATGAGCGATAAAACTTCCCCGGAGTGAAACTCAGAACCAGTTGGTCTCAAATTCGAATCAATAGAAAACTTCCGAATTGTCTTCGTTACATTTAGCCTGTTCTGAAAACAAAAGTGAGCAAAATCAGGAGAGAGAACTACCGAAGATTTAGAGTGACCAAATGGACATATGTTTAAAAAGAATAAGACTATTTTCGAACCCCACATATACGTAGACAATCTTTCACAATTATGTTGACATTTCGGAATTCACTTCACGGAAATATTGTGCAGTCCAAACTTTTGGACGCAGATAGCAGATATTTATGTGAATTGTCATGAGGGAAAAAAAAAAAGAGAAACAAAAAGAGACTTGAAATGAATCAAACTTACAGTTCCTAATACGTCGTTGACATCCACACATGCAAATTCACATGAAAGTGAAGGGAAGCTGCGAAAAACAGAATATGTATCTAGTTAGCCCTCATATTGAAGCTATAAGACATTTGAGTTGAAAAAACAATAATGGATTAAATTGTACCTTATGTTAAAATCTATGCGCAAGAAGTCTCCATCAGCGCTCCTGTCAACAATGATGGATGTGGAAGTGCTTACAGCCAAATAATTATTCAACTCCTGTGAAATAAGCAAAACTCGCAAAGTCAAAACGGCATTCAACTTTTCTTAATAGTATTCGAACGGAGCAATAATTGAAATCACCAACACATCACTTGAACGTCACAATCAGCAAGTCCAGTGAGCTTGATAACTTACCATTCCGAATAAAAATAACATAGAGAGTGCTGCTACAATGGACAATCCAGCTCCAGATAGAGTTGCCTCTGTCAAATCCCTCGGGATTTTCCTGCAGCCACATAAATTCCAAAGAAGAGAGATGAATACTCTGCTCTGGAATCACAAATCTCAGCTACAAATTCGCACATCATATAAACTAGCAACAAAACCGATATCAGAGTGACGAATACATCATCATAAACCCCAGATAAACACATTAACGCTAAGATCGACTGACAATTTAAAAATGCTTAACACGGAGAGGCAAAACGGATCGCCTCTTCAGCACTAAACCCTATCACCAATCAGAAACGGAAAATCCACGGAATGTAGATACACCACAAGAAATATTCACACTAGACTATCAATTGATATCTCTGTCACTGACTAGATCCAGGAAATTCGAGTAAACAACAGAAGAAGCAAGCTGGAGAAAATCTGGGAAACGGCAATAGATAAACTGAGAAACAGAATCAAAAACCTATAGAAGTCAACGGATTTGATCTTGCTCGTGGAGACCATCTTCGCCGGATTAAGGAGGAGTCAACTGGGAAACAACAGCTGCTCGAGCTACAGTTCTAAAAGCTTCGGGACGAAGCACGAAACACACCTCTTGCGATTTATCTTCAGCAGTCACGTTCAGATTTGAAACTCTCACCGATCGGGTACAAATTTACAACAATAGTCCCCTCTGCTTTGGGCCCTTTCTCATTTGACCCAAATAGTTTTATCAAAATAGATTTTGTACCTTAGCGTCTTAAATGTTACAGTCAAAAGTCATTTATCATGATCGGTGTAGGAGAGATATGCAATTGAATGTTCCTGACAAATACACCAGTCTGAAATATAAAGATCACCATTAATAACTAGCCTAATACCGAAGAAAAAACGTAATCTAAACCACCTAATTATTGTTGCTCTATGTTTCTGTTCTGGTTACCAACTCTGCAAGGATCGTGAAAGATCCTTTATCAATTATCATCATTGGTTCTTCTTGTTCAAGATTCTACTAGTTACGCATTGAGGATTTTGTTTTTGTTTTGGCCAATCAAATTAAGATATGAACGTAAAAAACCAGCTAAGTCAAAGAACAATACAGCTCGAATTTCTTCCAAGAACATCAAACGTTCCATTCCATGGAACATTCTTATTTATAGGATATATTCTTTACTTTATATTTGTTCTCTTCTTAATCCTATCTTTGTGTTTCCCGACCACAAGCAAGAACTAACAAACTACATGAAAGAAAACATCACTGTCTGAAAATTTAAAGCATTCTCTTTTAAACTTCAAGATACTTGATGGCCGTCTGAACATCCTTATCACCCCTCCCACTGAAGTTTAAGACCACTCTGGTTCCATCGGGTAACGTCGGACAAAGCTTTTCCAAATGCGCCAATGCGTGCGATGTCTCCAACGCCGGGATAATTCCTTCCAACCGAGACACTCTCTTGAACGCTACACGCATAAATCAACAAACAAACCACAATGCAACAATCCTCATTAGGATATGAAAGAAAACATATAAAAATGATCCACCGAATAATTACCTTCCAAGGCTTCTTCATCAGTGACGCTGTAGTACTCAGCCCGTCCCACGTCTTTAAGGAAACTATGCTCAGGTCCAACTCCAGGGTAGTCCAAGCTGTTAACATGAAGTTTTACTCTTTAGAACTGTTGTAAAAGTAACTGTGACGAGGTAAATAAATGTGTTTAATCTCTTACCCAGCACTGATGGAGTGTGGTTCAATGATTTGGCCATCATCATCTTGCAGCAAGTAACTCATAGCTCCATGGAGCACACCAACATCTCCTTTCGTCAACGTGGCGGCGTGTTTGCCGCTCTCCAGTCCAAACCCAGCGGCTTCAACACCGATCATCCGCACCTCTGTGTCATCGACAAACTCATGAAACAGTCCCATAGCGTTCGAGCCACCACCGACGCAAGCAACAAGAACATCAGGCTTCCCTCCCCATTTCTCCATCGCCTGCTTCCTCGTTTCTTTACCAATCACGGCGTGGAAGTCTCTGACCATCATAGGATAAGGATGAGGACCAGCAACAGATCCCAATATGTAATGTGTAGTCTCCACATTCGTCACCCAGTCCCTTATAGCTTCGGATGTTGCGTCCTTCAAAGTCGCTGTTCCGGAGTGGACTCCCCTTACCTCAGCACCGAGGAGACGCATCCTGAACACGTTTAGAGCTTGTCTCTCCATGTCTTGAGCACCCATGTAGATGATACACTCCAAACCGAAACGCGCACAGACTGTAGCTGTGGCTACACCGTGTTGACCAGCTCCTGTCTCGGCGATAATCCTCTTCTTTCCTAAACGCTTGGCGAGAAGAGCCTGAGCCACGGCGTTGTTGATCTTGTGAGCACCGGTGTGGTTAAGGTCTTCTCTTTTGAGGTAAATGAGAGGTCCTTCGCCGTTTTCTCGGCGGTAATGCTCAGTGAGCCTCTCTGCGAAGTAAAGAGGACTTTCCCGACCCACATAGTCTTTCAAGATCTCTGCCAATTCTCTCTACAGTTTCATCAAAACATTAATTAGACCATTGCCTACACATCATTTTGCATCCGACTAAAGTTTAAAACTTTATTGCCAATCATATGAGTATATGACTATGCTAATGATGACGCTTAAATCACAGAGCACACGAAGCAAAAGTTCATTTTCTGACTGATTCGAAATGGAGAGTTTCTGAATTAGACATTATAACGAAATATCTTTTTTTGCTAATGATGAGCTTAAAGATTTTCATGTAGCATTAAAAGAAATCCATTACCAATGACAACGCTTGAATCAGAGAAACAAAAAGAGCAAAACTTTATTTTCTAATCGATTGAAGATAGACGAATAAGATCAAAACATAATCGAGTTACCTGGAAATCTTCGTCGGTGGCGAGCGAATAGAAAGCCGTTTCGAGTTCGGAGAGGGCGTGCATCAAGGTTTCGGGGACGTACTTCCCGCCAAACTTCCCGAACCGGCCGAATGAATCGGGTCGTTGCCACAGGGTCGAATCAGATCCAGCAGTCGCCGAATCCGCCATGAGAACAGCCGGGTCCTTGGCGATGGTGCAGGAGACGGAGAACGACGAAGACGACCGTGAGCGAGACGATGGCAGAGACGTAAATTTGGGGAGTTTGGAGGGCGATCTCAGATGAGTCAATTGGGAATGAGCTGAAACGGACGGTTTGAAAGTAGCAGCGGTGCCTGAGGTGGCCATTACTGAATCTTTTTTATCTTTCTCTCTCAAAGACAAGATTTTTTGCTGACAAAACCTTGGAAATGAGGGCTTTTTATAGATTTGTTTCTTTTTTAAAAAAAAGTTTACGTGGTCAGTTCTGTGACCATAAATTAAATAAAATACAGAAAGGAATCAGTATCACATTAATTTATTTGTGAATACCAAAAAAAATCAAGAGGAGGTTGGTGAGAAGAAGGCGGTGTACTTTGGGGGTTGGATGTGTGTATCACATGCCTTATTTGGTGCTGATAACCTTTGGGGATAAAATTGCTAACTCAATCCTTTTTTTGGCAAAGTGACATAAGATTTTTTAGAATTGCTAATAATGATATCAGTTTTTGTGTGTGGAGGATGATGACTAATTGTCCCTTGTATTTATTTACTTGTTTTTAGCTTCGGAACATTTATGGAATCTCATGCCAACTCTTAGATTAGTGCACATCCGTTGTCAGATTTCTGTAAAGACAAATGGGACAATACATTTGGTAGGACTAACATTTGGCATAAATCGTTTTTTACAAGAGAGTGACCACTTAGCTATATCGTTTTTTTGGATAATTCATTCGTAACTCAATTAACACACACAATCGTCTAATTTAAAGGATGGAATGATACACGATGGTGGATTGTTAAAGAGAACAAAGTTGGATTGTTGCTTGTTGGCTCACGACCATTCTTGCCGGTTGCCAGTTTATTCAGCACCTTGTGTCTTTGTTACGAGATTGCTTTAAATTTGTTGTCGATCCAACAATTAATAGTGTACTGAGCCAGTGAGCCTGAGGTGTCAAGATCTGGAGAGAGGGATTGCTACTTTTCATATATACGATTCTTATGACCAAAACGTCCCAAACCATACCGAAACCACCGAGTTTCCGCGACAAAACAAAAATCCGGTACTGAAAATATATTGAATTATTTACTTTATCTTAAAATTTGAGAAACAAAATCGAAAATGCATATTGGTAAAAATGAGCGACTCATCACTCAGTTCTAAATCACAGTCTTAAACCGTTGCACTTTCCAGTGTCAGATCTCGTCTTTCTTCTGCAATCCGCCTCTCTTCTTCTACGATTCGTCCCTTCTCTCATCGGATATTTCGGAATGAGCACACCTACCACGTCCGGTTCGGCGTCGAGGCCGACGAGACCATCAAGGTCGTCGAGCATGGCAGCTAGGTCATCTTCCAATTCCGGTTCCCTAACTTCTTTCCAAGCGATGGTGGAGCTGAAGCAGAAGATCCTCACCTCCATCTCTAAGCTCGCCGATCGGGATACATACCAGATCGCAGTTGAAGATCTCGAGAAAACTATCCAGTCTCTCTCTCCCGAAACCCTACCTATGTTTCTCAATTGCCTCTACGATTCGTGCTCCGATCCGAAACCCGCCGTGAAAAAGGAGTGCCTCCACCTCCTCTCGACCGTCTGTAGCCTACATTCCGATTCGACGGCTGCTCATCTCACTAGAATCATCGCTCAGATAGTTAAGCGGTTGAAGGATTCCGATTCCGGAGTCAGGGATGCTTGTCGCGATACGATTGGTGCTTTATCTGGGATTTATTTGAAGGGAAGAGAAGAGGGGAACAATACCGGTGCAGCCTCGTCGGCGGTGGGTTTGTTCGTTAAGCCATTGTTCGAGGCAATGGGGGAGCAGAACAAAGTGGTACAATCTGGTGCGGCAATGTGTATGGCTAGGATGGTGGAATCAGCGGCCACTCCTCCGATTACTTCTTTTCAGAAGCTTTGCCCTAGAATCTGCAAGCTATTAAGCAATTCCAGTTTTTTGGCTAAGGCTTCCCTTTTGCCTGTTGTTTCAAGTCTGTCTCAGGTTTGCGCAGAACACTTTATCTCTTTATAATGTGTAGACAATGCGCTCTATGTTTATTGTGGTGAATGGACGAATATGTTGAGTTTTGCACTTAGTGCCTGCCATTATTGAGGAAAAAAAGCTTTAGTCAACATGTTGGAAGCTTTAGTCAATATCAGTATCTTCATCTTGTTACTGGGGGCTCACTTATATGTTGAAGTTGGTTGTTTAGATTTGGGCTTGATTCAGTGAAATTTAGAAAAGTTAAATGCCAGTAGGTTCAATGGTTAAACTTGTCTTTGAATAAGAGAAGTAAAAAGAGCAATTATTCTGGTTTCAGGTGGGAGCCATTGCGCCTCAGAGCTTGGAGTCATTGCTAGAAAGTATTCATGACTGCCTTGGAAGTACTGATTGGGTAACACGAAAGGCTGCGGCTGAGACCTTGACTGCATTGGCATCTCATTCAAGCAGTTTGGTTAAGGACAGAACAGACTCCACTCTTTCCGTGCTTGAGAGCTGTCGGTTTGACAAGGTAGCTACGTTCTCTTTCTCAAAGTTATCTAAGATTTAATTAAAAACAAAGCCAATTCCACATTTCTACTATTACCGTGATTGAGACATGTCATTTTTGCAAGGTAGCTACATTTTTTCTGTGTCATATGAAGTGGCCCTGTTGTGAAGTGAACTTGAAACATCATATGCTCATCTTTTATTGTGAAATAATGTCTGATGTCAACAGCAGCTTAGACATATCAATTGGTAGTTGATGGTGATTTTGGGCCTCCCTCATCATTGGTAGATGAAAGCATAAACAAGTAGCTTGAAGTTCTCACGGAGACCTTTCTTTTAATTATTTACTATGATCTGTATATCTTAACTTTTCAGTCATATATCACTTTTTCTTCACTAGTGAGCGTTATAATGGATGAATGTTTTGTGAAATGTCTAACACATTCATCGAAAATCTATTTGTTAGTTACGTAGTGATCTTCTGACGACAGTTTAATGATAACATTTTATTGGACAGATTAAACCTGTCAGGGAAAGTGTGACAGAGGCGCTGCAGTTATGGAAAAAGATTTCTGGGAAATTTGTAGATGGTGCTTCAGACGAGTCAAAGAGTTCATCTGGTGAGCAGATCGGAGATAAAAGGTCTAATCTAGCTGATCTAATGAAAAAGGAGGCATCCGATGGTTCCATACTCTCACCAGACTCTGCTTCTAAAGGCAAAGGAGGTCTTCCTGAAAAGGCAGTGGTAATGTTGAAGAAGAAAGCACCTGCCTTAAGTGACAAAGACTTCAATCCTGAATTTTTCCAGAGACTCGAAAGAAGGCAGTCAGTGGAAGTGGTAGTCCCTCGTAGAGGTAAAAATAGCGATGAGGAAGGATCAGGACTCGATGATCACAATGCCGTGGGATCTTCAAATCGCTTGAAGAACATCCAAGCAGATGATCACAGATTTCCAGATTCCAAGATTCACAACTTAGATTCGGCGAGTGAAAGACAAGTAGGTGATGATAAGGCTGGTGTTGGAAACGGTAAGGAGATACCCAGAAATCACGCTGCTATCTCCAATACTGATAACCAATCTGAAGTCACAAGTAATAGAGGAAATTGGTCAGCCATCCAGAGGCAGTTATTGCAGCTAGAGAGACAACAGAGTAATCTCATGAACATGCTCCAGGAGTTTATTGGTGGCTCACATGACAGCATGGTGACCTTAGAGGGCAGGGTAAGGGGCTTAGAGAGGATTGTTGAAGACATGGCAAGAGATCTTTCGATATCATCAGGCCGTAGGGGTAATCTCACAGCTGGATTCGGCAAATATAACAGCTTTGCAAACTACTCTACTGGAAAGTATAATGGCCGAGCTCCAGGAGACAGAGGCTCACAACCTGATGGAGCTATGAGGGGCAGGATGTGGAGTCCTGACATGGCGGATGAGTGGTACATGCCTCCACATGGTGTTTCCAGAAACGGACAAGCCGGGCCAAGAAGATCACCTCGGGCAGAACATCATGAGAATGAGCACATGGGAAATGGCAGGAGAGGTTGGGATAATAAAGCAGCTGGAAGTATTAGATTCGGTGAAGGTCCTTCAGCGAGAAGTGTGTGGCAAGCATCAAAGGATGAAGCTACACTTGAGGCTATTAGAGTTGCTGGCGAGGATGGTGCAGTCACTCGTCCAACCCGAGTGGCTGCTGCCCCTGAAGCTGAAGCCATGGGAGATGAAGAAAACGAAGGACAGGAACGTGACCCGATATGGACTTCATGGAGTAATGCAATGCACTCGCTCCGTGTTGGTGATATTGATTCTGCTTACGCAGAAGTCCTTTGCGCCGGTGACCAGCATTTGATCATCAAGTTGATGGACAGGACGGGACCTTCTATTGACCAGATGTCAAATGACATTGCAAATGAAGCTCTGAATTTCATCGCTCAGTTTCTGCTGGATCAGAATCTCTACGATATCTGCTTATCTTGGATTCAACAGGTAAATTTTTTACTGGACAATGGGTTCCAACTTCCAAGAATCAGATTGATGTTTGATCTTCTTAACCTGTGTATCTCTCTTATTTGCCATTTGCAGCTGCTGGAAGTGGTTTTACAAGACGGTCCAGACACGTTTGGAGTTCCAATGGAATTGAAGACCGAGATCTTGTTCAACTTACAAGACGCATGTTCGACGATGGACCCGCCTGAAGATTGGGAAGGTCCCGCCCCGGAACAGCTCGTGATGCAATTGGCTTCAGTTTGGGAAATCGATCTCCAACAGTTTGATAAGTAAACATGAGCTTGCGAGTGATCTTTTTCTTTTTGGTTCTTCCGTTAAGAGTTTTCTTAAGCATGTCGCGTGTCTGTGTGATACGATATTGTTGGAACAGAGCTTTACTTTAGGTCCATTGTTCATAGTTTTCGTACAGTCGTGATCTCCACTTCTAAAGCTGTTTTGATTTTCTGTTAACCAAAAAACAAAGTTGAAAAAGCCTTAATAGGTGACTTGAATCGATCAAATATTGCTGTGGATGTTACTAGAAAAGAGTGCCATTACTAAAACTCAACTTTCCATATAAACGTCATCTCAGAGAATCACATTTTTGATTTGACCATCTATTAACCTGAGGAGTCGTGGAGTATCAGCATAAGCAGAGACGACAATTTGAAACAACAGACTGGAGACTATAAGAACTGTCGGAAACACATTTATTTGTCTTTTTGTGAAGAGAACGAAATACAAAAAAAGAGAAAAAAAGGGATTATCAGAGCCAGGTTTCGATCCTGGGACCTGTGGGTTATGGGCCCACCACGCTTCCGCTGCGCCACTCTGATTTTGCTGAAAGTATACGAAACTAGAATCTGAATAATACAAAACAGCTCGTCTTCTCCAATTCTTCTTCTTCTTCGAACCTATATTCTCAACCGGAAAAAGAATTCCAAAGATCCAAAAACATTGAAAGATGAGACGAAGACCAGGAATCGGAGGATTACAAAAGGCCGCGGCTGCCAGGGTTTGACTTCTAATTCCGATTTGATATTTCTCATGGCGAATCTGTTTGTTCCCAAGGTCTGTGCCTTCTGTCACATATTGATTGATTTTTCACTTTAAACTCTGTCCATCAAAATCAGGATCAGTACCGGTTACTCGGAGAAAATGTAGCCAAGTTACGGACTGATATGATGAAAGAACAGCTTGCCACGTTCCGGTCACAGCTTGAAGAGTTCGCTCGTAAACACAAGGTCCAATTTTATTGAAATTTATATATACTTGCTCTGTTACATCATCGTCTTGATTTCCTATTAAATAATATGATTTCCCTGAACATAAGCATTTGCCTTTGGTTTCAGAATGACATCCGTAAAAATCCTGCCTTTAGAGCTCAATTTCACGAAATGTGTGCTAAGATTGGTGTGGATCCTCTAGCGTCGAACAAGGGTTTCTGGGCTGAGCTCCTGGGAATTGGTGACTTCTACTATGAACTTGGTATGTATGAACAATTTTCTGACTTGTTCTTGCCTCGTGTCAGTGAAGACTTATGCTATTATCTATGATTCTCAAGTGGATATGGCATATTTTGTAGTACTTGGAATTGGACACGTTCTGAAATGTAGTAACTTGTTGAAACAGGTGTTCAGATTATTGAAGTTTGTATGCTTACAAGGTCTCACAATGGAGGTTTGATCAGCTTGCAAGAGCTCTGCAGCCATCTTCGTCAGAGAAGGAAAAAAGACCGTGAAGCTGTGACTGAAGACGATTGTCTTAGAGCTATTAGCAAGCTTAAGGTATTTTTGACTTGCGTTTTTCTTTTGAGATTTTCATCAAAAGGGAAATTTGTTAACTGTTGTTGCTGGTATTTTTGGCTTTTTCTGTTAGGTATTGGGTAGCGGATTTGAGGTTATCACAATTGGCAAGAAGAAGCTTGTCCGTTCAGTCCCCACTGAGCTGAACAAAGACCATAACCAAATCTTGGAGTTGGCTCAGGTTATAATCACATACATACATTCTTTCACACACACACACACAAAACAACTTTCACATATCTTAGAAGTTTTAACTCGAGGATTAATGTTGCTTTCCTCTCACAGGGTCAAGGCTTTGTGACTGTTGAAGAGGTACAAAGACGGCTCTCGTGGACATCTGGTCGGGTTTTAGATACTCTTGAAACTTTGTTAGAAGTAAGCATTTTCTGTTCACTCCCCCCAAATTGGATTTATTCAATTCAGTACCTATGGTAAATGCAATGCAAAACAATGCAAGTCCTGAAAGTTTAAAACTTATTTTTCAGGAGGGACTCGCAATGATTGACAATGGGAATAAAGACGGAAAATGTCAGTACTGGTTCCCCTGTGTTTCTTCTGTTTACTCATTCGTTGGATCTGATACTTAAACTGGTACATGCTCTCTTCTGTTCTTTGTTTTATACTCAACACACTCACTCTTGATTGCATAAATATTGTAAGACAAAAAAACTTATCAGTATATTTCTTGAATTTTCTTGTTACATGTATATAAATAATTGTTTTCCAAACACCGCATAGATCCCATCTTGTTAAGTTTGATTATGCATTGTTGTTGGAGATCTCTGTTTCTTCTGTCCATTCCGAGTTTGGCTCGCTCCATGACCTTGGTCTCACGCCGAGCTGGAGATACAACACCATCTCCAATGCCTCAAAGAACTTACTTTCATCCAAAACCTTGTTCCAAACCCCACTCACTATGCAGTAGTTGTTGTTATACGGTGCTCGGTGATGTTCCGCGTGCTGTCTCCGTGAAACAAGCAGCCCCATGTCCTGCAACGCCACCACGAGAGGTGGAAGCTTGCTCTTGGTTCCATGAGCCCATGCATGAAACTGCTGGCTAAACATTATGCAGAACGCACATGTGCTCACAAAGCCGTGAACCACAGGGTCATTAAACGCAAGGTCTAGTGGAAGAACAGTGAATGTTATGACCCGAGCCAGAGCGTGAAGATTGTTGGCAAATTGGCGTCTGGTGATTGTCCAAGGCCACTTGTGGTGACCCTGAAATGCTTCGATTTGGGATCCTACAATAGGCGTTGACTCGTCACCGTAGTTATCTATGGCCCAGTGGTAGACACCAGAGCCTAGATCAGCTAGGATGTAGCCTGCATAACCGGCTAAAGCTGGTTCAAGCCAGGTATGAGAACCAATCCCTCCGATGATGGATTTAGCTAAAGAGGCAAACAAGGTGGTGCAGCCTGCTGCAACCCATAACCGGTGGTTCCATGTCGACTGCAGAGTTGGGTCGTTGGAGAGAGGAGGAGTTACAAAACGTTTCTCAACCACAAGCTTCTCACGGTTAGGCTGAGGTTTGGTGGTGGTGGTAGTAGCAGAGCAGGTGACACGAACATGGAGAAGCGACGGACGGTGGCTTCTTGGGATGTTGTTGGTGATGGGTCTTAGAGGGTACTTGGTTTGAAGTGATACAGCCATTGGAAGAGAGAACAAGGTGAAAGAAAATGGAGTTTCTTGTTTTTTTCTCGAAGCTAAAATCAATGGAGTGAGGAAGAGGTTACGCTAACGTTATTTTGTGGTGTGCGTCACAGATGCGTGGGGCTTTTGTGATCGCAAGCGAAGAAGACTAGTTGTGGAACTTATAGAAAAAAGTTTGAAAATTTGGATTGTTAATTTCTAAAGTTCCCGATTAGAACCTCACATTCTAAACGATACTATTAGCCCCCCCCAAAACCAAAATTGCTCTTCGGTTTCTTTATAAAAAAAAAAATTATGAAACTAAACAAAAAACTAATTAAAAGGTAAATAATATGGTTGTATGTTTATATTTGCTTTCTGATCCAATGAAACAATCAATTATTGTTTAAGAACTTTTCGTACCCGTCTCTTACTAATCTAAGTAAACGCTACATCTCTTTCTCAAAGAAATATGTTAATAATTGATGAGACGCAATCAATAATCTGCGGAAACAATATCTGTATAATGGAGAAAGATCTAAAAGATAATGTTTTCAATGGACACAAGATTCAAACTCTGCAAATAATAATATTCAGAATGAATGCGTCAACTAGTAGACCCACTAGGGTTCTTGCTTAATTTATTAGGATTTGCTTTCTTGTACAATGTATCAAGAATTATTAGTATCTAAAACCCACGTTGCAGAGATTGATTTATGCGTGATTGTAGGAGATGTCGGTTTCTTCTGTCCAGTCAGAATTTGGGTCGCTCCATGACCTCGGTCTCATCCCAAGCTTGAGATATAACGCATTTTCTAATGCCTCAAAGAACTTACTTTCATCCAAAACCTTGTTCCACGCCCCACTCACAATGCAGTAACTCTTTAACGATCCTCGGTGATGATTCACGTGCTGTCGCTGTGAAAGGAGCAGCCCCATGTCCTGCAACGCCACCACGAGACGTGGAAGCTTGCTCTTGGTTCCATGAGCCCATGCATGACACTGCTGGCAAAACAATATGCAAAACGCAAACGTGCTCACGAAGCCATGAACCACTGGGTCATTAAATGCAAGAACTATTGGGAGAACTGTGAAGGTTATGCCTCGAGCCAGAGCGTGTGAGTTGTTGGCAAACTGACGTCTGGTGATAGTCCAAGGCCACTTGTGGTGACCTTGAGCAGCTTCTATTTGTGTTCCTACTAGAGGTGTTGACTCATCACCGTAGTTATCGATGGCCCAGTGGTAGATACCTGAGCCTAGATCAGCTAAGACGTACCCTGCGTAACCAGCTAAAGCTGGTTTGAGCCAGGCATGAGAACCAATCCCTCCAATAATAGATTTGGTGAAAGAAGCAAACACGGTGGTGCAGCCTGCTGCAACCCATAAGCGGTGGGTGCATGTGGATTGCAAAGTTGGGTCGTTGGAGAGAGGAGGATTCACAAGGCGTTTCTCAACCACAATCTTCTCCCGGTTGGGGTGAAAGTTGTTGGTGTTAGTAACCGAGCACGCGACACGTATAGGGAGAAGCGACGTCGGACGTTGATTTCTTGGGATGTTGTCTGTGATGGGACTTATCGGGTACTTTGTTTGAAGATGTAAAGCCATTGAAGGAGAGCACATGTGGTGATGTGAAAAGATATAAAGTTTCTATATTGTTTTCAAAACTAGAAAAGAACCATATATATAAGAACACAAGAAAAAAAAAAAGATAGAGAGGAAGAGATATAATATAAGAGCTCGTCTAAGGGAAAATGTTTCTTCGTCAATGAATGAATGTTAACATACGCAATATATACAGATATGTAGATGTACGTTAGAGCTCATTTAAGGTTTTGGGTGGTGTGCGATAATGATTGAATGTTCACCAAATTGATTATAGAGTAGGCTAAAGTTTTTTGGTGGTGCACGTTAGAGATTCGTTGCAAATGGCCAGCATGGTCGCTACACGTACGCTAGCGCAGTACATGACAATTCTGGAAAATAACAAAATTTAATAAATATATTAAAACACGATTGATTTAATTAATGCGAATTCTGCTAAATTTTTCCAAATTTTAACGTGTCGATAATAATTAGCAGTTTTTAGTAGACGAACCAAATTTGTGAGTCATGACTGCATGTGTCGTCAGAGTACTGCCTTACTGGTCCAACCGCGGATGTGAATGACGTCTGAAAACACTGGTTTGCTACTTTGCTTTCAGTGTCGTACTTGTAATCAATAACAATATATACAACAATAAAATGAACAAATATTAACATTAAAGATATTGTAATGTGGGGTCTTCTGGGTGTAATATGGGGTCCTGACCAAAGTGTAAAATCAGCAGATAAAGAACTGTAAATAGTATTGACACCGTTCTTGCTTTATTCATTTAAGAAGTTGTAAATTTGCTTTCAAGTACATCAAGATGTGTCAAGAAATTATATTTTCTCAAGCCAAAGCCAAAACTTGCAATTTGCAAAGATTGATTATGCTTGATCAATGTTGTTGGAGATGCTGGTTTCTTCTGTCACTTCGGAGTTACGGTCGGTCCATGACCTCGGTCTCACCCCAAACTGAAAATATAAAATCTTTTCCAATGCGTCAAAGAATTTACTTTCGTTCAAAATCTTGTTCCAAACACCACTCATTATGCAGTAATTGTTGTTATGCGGTGCTCGGTGATGTTCCACGTGCTCTCTCCGTGAAAGGATCAGCCCCATGTCCTGCAACGTCACCACGAGAGGTGGAAGCTTGCTCTTGGTCTCATGAGCCCAAGCATGGAATATCTGGCTAAACATCATGCAAAATGAAAACGTGCTCACGAAGCCATGAAACACAAGGTCGGTAAACGCAAGAACTACTGGGAGAACTATCAAGTCTGTGCCTCGGGCCAGAGCTTGTAGCTTGTTGGCAAACTGCTGTCTGATGATTCTCCAAGGCCACTTGTGGTGACCAAGTAACGCTTCTTTTCCAAACAACGATAGAGGACTGAACGTAAACATGAGAAAACATTAAGTGAAAATGTTCTTCATTAATGACTGAACGTAAACATACACGATATATACAAATATGTACAAGTGTATTATAACTCGACGTCAAGCAAACAAAAATATTTAGATAAGTTCGTTAACTCTTGTATATTAATCATACCAAAAAAAAAGTCGTGTATATTAATTACGTTAGAGATGCGTGCCCAGCATGGGGAGATCGTGATTGCCAGAGCATGTAACGAGACTCGGTTATACGCAAGCCAAACCAATAATGTAAAGAGAGATGTGTCAACAATTAATGAGATTACGTTATCGGCGGAAATAGAAATGTACAATGGAGAAAGATAATCCCATAGTATTAAACTTGAATACCACTTTCTTACCACTTTTTGCCAGCTGAACATTTTAGAATTTCTTACATGTATTGATTAAAAAAACTCATAAACTATTTATAGGAGAAAACTTTTAAAATCTTTAAAATGCAAAAAAGAAAACTCTCTTTTCTTTGACCAGTTTGCAAAGATTGATTTATGCTTGATTGTTGTTGGAGATGACGGTTTCTTCACTCCATTCGGACTTTGGCCCGGTCCATGATATCGGTCTAACCCCGAGCTGTAGAGACAACACCATCTCTAATGCCTCAAAGAACTTGTTTTCATCCAGAACCTTGTTCCAAACGCCACTCACTACGCAGTAATTGTTGTTATACGGTGCTCGATGATGATTCACGTGCTGTGTCCGTGAAACAAGCAGACCCATGTCCTGCAACGCCACCACATAACGTGGAAGCTTGCTCTTATAGTTCCATGAGCCCAAGCATGAAACTGCTGGGAAAACAATACGCAAAATGCAAATTGTGCTCACAAAACCATGAACCACATGATCATTAAATGCATGATCTAGTGGGAACGGGCGAACGGCTATGACTCGAGCCAGAGAATGTAGATTATTGGCAAATTTCCTTTTGGTGATTGTCGAAGGCCACTTGTGGCGACCACAACCTTCTCACATTCTTCATTACTAGGCTTTGTTTCATATACTGTGTATTTGTATAATGTTTTAAATAAAAGCGCAGAGTTTGTTTTTTGTTTTGTTTTAGATATAACATTAGTATTTATTAATTAGTACAAAACACAATTCAACCAATCGTACAAAATACTTAAGAATGTTTCTCTTGTTTAAAAAACACTAAAGAATTTAAAGAGTTAAATTATCAAATAGCACTAGAAGAACTTTTTTTTCTTAACACACGTTGCAAAGATTGATCTATGCATGATTGTTGTTGGAGATAACGGTTTCTTCTGTCCATTCGGAGTTTGGGTCGGTCCATGATCTTGGTTTCACCCCGAACTGAATATATATAAAATTTTCCAAAGCCACAAAGAAATGACTTTCATCCAAAACCTTGTTCCAAACACCACTCATTATGCAGTAACTGCTGTTATGTGCTCGGTGATGTTCCGCGTGCTGTCTCCGTGAAAGGATCAGCCCCATGTCCTGCAACGCCACCACGAGACGTGGAAGCTTGCTCTTGGTTTCATGAGCCCACGCATGGAATTGCTGGCTAAACAATATGCAAAACGCAAATGAGCTCACAAATCCATGGACCACAGGATCATTAAACACAAGAACTAGTGGGAGAACTGTAAAGGTTAAGGTTCGGGCCAGAACGTTTAGTCTGACGGCAAACTGCTGTCTTACGATTATCCAAGGCCACTTGTGATGACCCTGAAATGCTTCGATTTGGGTTCCAAATAGAGGCGTTGACTCATCACCATAGTTATCGATGGCCCAGTGGTACACACCAGCGCCTAGATCAGCTAAGATGTACCCTGCGTAACTGGCTAGAGCTGGTTCGAGCCAGAGATGAGACTTAAATCCTCCAATGATAGATTTGGCAAAGGAGGCTAGCACGGTGATGCAGCCCGCTGCAACCCAAAATCGGTGGCTCCATGTTGAATGTAGAGCTGGGTCTTTGGGAGGATCCACAAAACGTCTCTCAACCACAGGCTTCTCACTGTTAGGGTACTTTGTTTGGAGAGTCTCCATTTGATGATGTGAAAGATATCAAATTTTCTAGTCTTTGTCATACAAAGATTGAGGAAGAGATTATAAGATAAGAAATGATTAAGGGAGAATGTTTCCTCGTTAATGAACGAACGTAATTAACATACACTATATATACAAGTGTATTATAAATCGACGTCAAGCAAACGAAATATGTTTAGTTAAGTTAACTCTTGTATATTAATTACGCTGAAGTTATGATATGGTACGTACGTTAGAGATTACAGCCCAGCAGGGGGCTATCGTGAGCTTGTGCCAGCGAATTTGACGAGACTCGGTTATATACATCCATAAGCCAAACCAATAATCTTTTAAATTTTGAATACCACTTTCCACTATTTGCCACTTGAATTTGTTTACATGCATTGATTAAAAAAACAAAAAAAATCATAAAAATATTAAACTTTTCAAAACTTAAAACGTTTTTGGTTTTAACATTTCATAACACACAAAAAAAAGAGAAACATTTGGCTTTAGAAAAAAACAAAATCACGATGGAAAGATTGATTTATGTTTGATTAATTGTTGTTGTTGGAGATGACGGTTTCTTCTGACCATTCGGAGTTTGGCCCGGCCCATGATCTCGGTCTAACCCCGAGCTGTAAATACAAGACCATCTCCAATGCCTCAAAGAAGTTACTCTCATCCAAAACCTTGTTCCAAACGCCACTCACCACGCAGTAATTGTTGTTATACGATGCTCGATGATGATTCACGTGATGCGTCCGCGAAACAAGAAGACCCATATCCTGAAACGCCACCACGAGACGTGGAAGCTTGCTCTTGGTCCCATGAGCCCAAGCATGAAACTGCGGGCAAAACAATACGCAAAACGCAAACGTGCTCACGAAGCCATGAACCACAGGATCATTAAACGCAAGATCTAGTGGGAGAACTGTGAAAGTTACGCCTCGAGCAAGAAAATGTAGATTGTTGGCGAATTGCCGTCTGGTGATTGTCCAAGGCCACTTGTGGTGACCTTTAGAATCTTCGATATGGATTCCTACAACAGGCGTTGACTCATTACCGTAGTTATCCGTGGCCCAGTGATACACACCAGAGCCTAGATCTGCTAAGATATACCCACCAAAACCGGCTAAAGCTGGTTCGAGCCAGAGATGAGAAGCAAACCCTCCAGTGATAGATTTGAGTAGAGAAGCAAACACAGTGGTGCATCCCGCTGCAACCCAAAACCGGTGGGACCACGTCGATTGCAGCGTTTGGTCATTGGACAGAGGAGGATTCACCACCACAAGCTTCTCAGTCTCACGGTTAGAGTGAGTCTTGGTGGTGGTAGTAACCGAGCACGTGACACGTAGACGGAGTAGCGACGGACGGTGGTGACTTGTTGGAATGTTCTTGGTGATTGGACTTAGAGTGAGCTTGGTTTGAAGATGTACAACCATTGAAAGAGAAGTAGTACATGGATGATGTTGATTTGAAAGATAAGGTTTTAGCTTTTCAACAATAGATGGCAAACTATAGAGATGCTTTTGGGCCTAAAAGATTAAAGCATTTGAGCCCAAAAGAATTTTGGCTCGGTTCCGAATCGGATTTAGACTGGTATATTCGGATTGTTTGTCTTATTCAATAATTTAATGCGCGAAACGGATGTATGTTAAAAATGATATTAAAATCATTACAGAAGAATGAATACAGGGACCGAATTAATACGTTGAAGAAAACAAAATTACTTATGGAGAACGATCGAGAAAATTCAGACTTGCTAATTTCAATTTGACACGGAAAGGAGAGAGAGAGAGACACCGACCACCGAAGGCGTTTAACAATGGCGGCCTCGTCGTCTCCGCTCATCGTTTTCGCCGTGACCGTACTGCTGCTTCTCACTGTTTCATCCGTGAAACTACCATTTCACCCTCGGGACATCCTCCCGCTTTTGCCCAGGCAAGTGTCGTGGCCGCTTCTCAACTCGCTCAACTCCGCCGTCGATCTCCTCCCTACTTATATAGGCTCCGCCTCTGTTAAAAACGAAGTCGTCGAGTGGAAAGGTGCTTGCTTTTACGAGAACAAGGCTTGGTTGGAGCTCAATAACAAGTCCGGTACCGAATTCGGCGGCGGCACACTTCACATTAAGGTGACCAGATGATGAATTGTTTCTCTTAGTGTGAATCGTTGTCCTGATTCTTTGAAGGTTTGATTTTTAGCGAAAAAGTTGAGATTTTGTTTATGGGTTTTGACTTTTGAGATTAAACTTGTTGATAGCATTTCAATAGCATTTTGTTTATAATTACTCTTTTAGTTTATTCCACTGTTAAGGGTGGTTTCTTTGTAAGCTTCATCCTGCATCAGTACTCACTTTGTTGCCTTGTTTTGTTTCTACCTTTCTATATGATTCTGAGAAAGCTGTTTCTCAATTGATGAAATCTTGAAACTGATTCAGCTATTGCGTGTTTTGTGCAGGTAGATAAGGCACATAGCTGGACTTGCATGGATATATATGTCTTTGTGACTCCATATCGTGTGACATGGGATTGGTACTTCAAATCGAGGGAGCACACCATGGAATTCGAGGAGTGGGAAGGAAAAGCCGAGTATGAATATGTAAGGAGCTTCTGGTGTTTCCTTGTTTATCTTTTTGATTTCACCCATTAGCTCATCTAATGGCTTTTCTTGTGGTTTTGCTTTCTTGCTCACACTTTGATCAGGTTAAGCGGAAAGGAGTTTCGATATTCCTCATGGAAGCAGGGATGGTGGGAACTCTCAGAGGACTGTGGGATGTCTTCCCTCTCTTTACCAACACCGGTTGGGGTGAGAACTCGAATATAGCGTTTCTTGAGAAGCACATGGGTGCTAATTTCTATGCTCGTCCCAAACCTTGGGTTACAAACGTTACTACCGATGAAATCCACTCTGGAGACTTGCTAGCGATCTCTAAAATCCGTGGACGGTGGGGTGGTTTTGAGACCCTTGAGAAGTGGGTAAGCGGGGCTTATGCTGGTCACACTGCTGTCTGTTTGAGGGATTCTGATGGGAAACTTTGGGTTGGTGAATCCGGGAATGAGAATGAAAAGGTAAGAATGAGTTTTAACTTTGAATGTGGGTTCTATTGTAGAATGATTCTTGAAATGGAACTGCATTTTCTTCTACTTTGAACCGTTGTTGGGTCATAGGGAGAAGATGTAATAGCGGTATTGCCATGGGAAGAGTGGTGGGAGTTTGAACAAACCAAGGATGACTCCAATCCCCAAATAGCGTTGCTACCGTTGCATCCTGATTATCGAGACAGGTTTAATGTTACAGCTGCATGGGAATATGCTCGCAGCATGGATGGTTTGCCATATGGCTATCACAACTTGATCTTTAGCTGGATCGATACCATCAAAGGAAATTACCCACCTCCTCTGGATGCTCATCTTGTAGGTTTTTCATTTCTCTGAATCTTGTTATTGATGTATTCATCAGCGGCTTTAAACGGCTTTTGTTGACTCCTTGCTCTGTATTTTCTTCTTCTTTTTGTATTGTATGTTTTCCAGGTTGCTTCTGTCATGACAGTTTGGAGCAAAATCCAGCCTGATTATGCAGCGAACATGTGGAATGAAGCCCTTAATAAGCGACTCGGAACAGAGGTATAAGGCGGTTCTGCATTCTTCTCTGTTATCATGTTGATTCTTCTCTTTGGTTCTTTCTCTGAGATGTTCTACAATGGCAGGGTCTTGATCTTCCTGATGTACTGGTGGAGGTCGAAAAGCGTGGATCCTCTTTTGACGAGTTGCTGGCGATTCCTGAACAAGATGATTGGGTATATAGCGATGGGAAATCAACTTCTTGTATTGCTTTCATCCTCGAAATGTACAAAGAAGCTGGCTTGTTCGATCCGATCTCTAGTTCCATTCAAGTCACCGAATTCACGGTGAGAACCAACCTTTACTAAAAAGACTCTAGATGACACACACATACACTCTCTGAGCAGTGGGATCCATTTTTTTTTTGCAGATCAAAGATGCTTACATGCTCAAGTTTTTCGAGAACAATGCAAGCCGTTTGCCCAAATGGTGCAATGACAATGACGATGTAAAGCTTCCGTACTGTCAAATCCTCGGGAAATACAGAATGGAACTTCCCGGTTACAACACCATGGAGCCATACCCTCATATGAACGAGCACTGCCCGTCTCTGCCTCCAAAGTACCAAAGACCAAAGAACTGCTAGAACCAACAACTCGTTTGTGTTGTCTGTCTGTATGTTCCACGAATTAGTTGGAAAAAGTTAAGACTTTAATACATTTGAAAACCTGAAGAACGATTGTTAGCTTCTGTACATTTCGTATATAAAATAGTTATAGTTCACAGGCGTATACATCTTCCATGGACCCATATTCGACGCAGATTACTGAAAGTGGCCAAACTGGGAACTTTTGGTTGCTATATTATAATCTGACTCAAAAACATGTATCATTGATACAACAACGACTCTGAACATTGTTTACAGACGTTTAGATTAACAATTAATGTCATTGATAAGACAAAACTGATTGATCTGGACTGATACAATCGATACAATGACTAGATCTCAACAAAACTTCTTTCCCATTCAAATACACTCGACATGTCAAAACTTTTATGAAGCAACACCTGTTTAGATTCCCGTGGCTTTTCTCCAAGCATATCAGCTAATATCAGCAAAAGGTGTTGGCATGCATGGAGTTCATCGATCTTTTCAAGATCTGTGGCTGGTTCTGATGAAAGATCCTTCCATGCCTGGTAATATGACCTGTAGAGAATAATTCAGGTCAAGCTTTGGAATGATGAATAAAGCTTTAGAAAGTGACTGAGCAATAGATGAATCGTTTACCATCTCCAGGCAGGAGTTGCCTCAGGAGGACTACTGATCTTAGAACACAGTGATTCGATGAGCTTGTAATCGCCAATGAACTCTAAACCTGTGCAGAATAATAGAAAATTCTCAACTTACAGATAATAGATGTTGATTGGCAGAAAAACATGACCACTAGCACATAAACAGATGTAGCTCAACACCTCGGAACAAATCTATCTAAATACTATAGTTGCAGCAGATATTATCTAACCAATATTCATGCAGCAAGCTTGATACTAATATCAAAACACAAACTTATATTATCCTAGAGTTCAGAGCCAAATAATCCGTAGAACGAGTTATGTAAGTCTGTGAAAAGCAGCATACCTGCAACTCCGGGGTCATTGCGAAGAAGCATGAGAGAAAGTGCACATACAACAGAGGGAAGAACCCCGTAGTTTGTACACAGAAGCTGTTGGAGATGTACAATTACTTCCCCTATAATGTGCTCTGACCTTGTCTCGCTGTCTTGGAGATTCCTTGTCTTGAAGTATTCTAACAACGTCCTCAGAGTTTCAGGCTTTGTTTTACTCAAGACTGACGGGTATGAATCATTATCTTTAGAATAAAGCTTCCCAAGAATCACTGAAGCCAACAGCCATCGTAGAAACTTAGCTACCATAGTCTCCTCTAGTGGTTCTTCGGCAAGTGTTTTAGCATCTTGATGAGACTCACTTGGCCTAGGTTTCTTTTTAAGGTCACACTTCAAGGCCGTGGTGGTTCCCCACAAAAGAAACCTTCGCAGCTTCTCCACATCCTGTAAGATATCGTATGAAACAAAATGTAAAACTGTTCAAACAAAATTGGTTTGATGCTCAATAAGCTTGAGAGAGAGAGAGAGAGACGGCGAGAGCTACCATGCTTATAATGTCAACTGGCGGGGTGCTCATTAATATAGTATTAAGCCCGCGCTCTGCACTAGCTTCGACTTGAGGGGAATCGCAACTAGCAACAGCCTCGAAGAGTTGGAATATCCCCTCGACTGTGATGGTGAAATGTGGCTGGTACACTTTTCGTTTCTGTGATATCTTTAGAGTAGCATACAGTATCTGCAGAATTAAATCAACCGAAGTAGCATTTTCTTGTACTGAAACCAGTCCACCACCTAAAAGTCTGTATAAACGCGATGAGATTGCCATTAGCCCTTCAAGAGCAGATCTTTGCAACCACTCTGTGACGTTTCTGGAGGCAAGTGCATCAGTTATGACCTGATACAACAATATGACATAAAATTAAATTAACGAATACAATATTCTACACAAGGACTCTTGATGCAAATCAGACAACTACTGTATCATGGTTTATTATTGAGAAATTCGATTCAATATTGCATTCATCATCCTATCCAGTAGCAACATGTATCCGTTGTTTTCTTCTCTAAATCCATAATATTTTTAAACAGTGTGCACGCTTGACCATGAGTAAATACTAATAGCATTTATGTACATACCTCCAAGACAACCACCAAGCGCAAATCTTCGTCTCCAAAGGGCTTTGTAATAAACGTTGATATAAATGATGAACACCATGAAAACAGATCACAATTTTCAACTAGATGTCGTGCCATCTTATGGAATTTGACTGACTCTCTCACAACCTGAAGAGCGAAAGAAAGACGGATTTTGTCATGTTGGATTATGAGCTTAAAGGTGACGTAAACATACCCCATAGAACAGAGACTTGAGTATGTGCTATATAAAAAGACCAAATAAATATCTTATCAGGATTAACCTTATACTATTGATACTGAAGAGGCAACTGCAACAAAATAAACACGTAGTGAGATCAAGGAACGAAATTATCACCTGAAGAATGAGTCCTTTAGTTTCATCATCAGCAAGAGGAGTTGAGGAAAAACTCATCAGTTCCTTAACGATGTCGTTTCTAATGTAAATTTGACAATCTTCATCTGACTTCAAACTCCGACACACTAGGCGAAGTTTCCAAAACCTCTGTGATCTAAAGTTAACAGCACTGCTCCAGAAAAAATCATGAAACAAAGGTATTCCCTAACAAAGAGAAAAATCAAACGCAGTTTAAAAGCTGGCAAGTGTAAGAGAAAAAGACAAGAGTTTACAGTAATTAGGAGAATAAGTACCTTCAGCTTCAGTGTAGATGAGCTCTCCAACTGTTTATATATGGGAACATAATGTTCGTGAGAAGAATCCAACAATATAAGAGATGCCTCAGCGGCAAAAACAGCAGAAACTGTTGGAATTCTTTGCCAATCTTCCTCAACTCCATTTTGCACATACGTAAGCAGAAGCCTAAGCCCCTTTACATGCTTATTCTCCCTAGAACTCTACATCAAAACGTTTTAGTTAAACAAAGAAATTCTCACTCGTGTCCTCAGAAGCAATTAAACTTTGGAAATAATCGAGAACAAATCTGACCAATGAGCCTTTGCAAAACTAATTAATTAAAGAAAGACACGAAAAAGATTGGTAGGCTTAGGTGACTGGTAACACAGTAATAAAGAAAATTACCTTACGACGAATACTTCCATCAACATTATCAACATCACCATCATTAGACATCTTCATTAAAATCTTCAAAAATATAAAAAGTTAATGGATCAAGATTCAAGAAAGCTTTTTGTAATTAGAAACAAATAAAGAAAACCAGACCATACCCTCTTAAGTGCATATTTGCCAATGAACAACATTAACAAAAGGCATCCGTATACATACATATAATTTGTGTAAGTAATTGTTTTTGAAGTATCAAATAAAATCAACAATTAGGATTATAAGAACAACTTTGTTTAGATAATCTAGACGGATCAACCTCTACATTATAACTCAAATTCCAAAGATGAAGATGAATTCAGGATTGGTAATGTTTGAGTAATCTATGAATTAGAATTCATTTCCCATTTTGTGTAGCATTTAAATTACCATTTTCTAAAGGAATGCTACTGCCTAGAGAATCAGAGAACTTCAGTCGATAGTCCAAACAGGCCATGCATGCAGACAAGTGTAACATAAAACAACTATTACCTTAAGAAATTCCGCAAGAGTCTCATAGCCCAATTTTCTCATCCCAAGATCAGCTGAAGACATGCTCACAAACGCAACTGCAAGCAAGCCTAAACTGGCGAATTCAGCAGGTTCGATATATCTCATGAACAATGAGTGTACTGAGAATCTCAGGATGAAAGCCGGATCATATCGTTCAATGTCGTCAATAACAGGTGAGCATTTCTACACAAATTTTAATCGCAAGGATTAGTTTTAACGATGATTGAAAATGCAAGTACATTTACATTTACTTTAACTGAACGTTAAAATTAAAGACGTGTACCTCGCTTATTGGATCATCATATAGGTAAGAGTTATCCGATACCTCTGCAGTTCGTTGGTAAGGAAAACACGAAACAGTTAGAGCACATTTATTGGGATCAACACAAAGATTCTCTTTGAAAAGACTCTGCCGGAGATCTTGCACTATATCATCAGCTTCACCACCGTCACATGCATCCTGAGAGACACGCAGTCCCTCTCTTATTTTCAAGGCAGGTTTACCCCACAAATAACCTGTTTCAGAAACATAGAGCCCGTGTTCGTCATCAATCAGCTCGATATCATGCATCAACTTGTAGAGCTCTAAGTCGATTTCGCTCAGCGTTGCACCATAAGAACACAAAAGAAGAAAATGCAGTTCTTTCAGATTGATTCCGCAATCTTTTCCACATTTGGAGAGCAGCACTCTGAGAGTCTTGACAATTTCTAACTGCTTCACATAATCAGGTTTTTCGAGACAGCACTTTCCAACCCTGACAGCATATGGTGCATACGAGTACTTTCCTCTAGACAATAGGGAGAAAATTCCCCTGAGTATCTTCATTGTCTTCGAGTCCTCAAATCTATACAGAAAAACTGATTCTACCAGTCTCTCCAGGAAAGGAAGGGAATCCAAGTGCTCAAGCTCCTCACACATGTCTTCCAAAAACTTTAGAATACTTCTCAAAATGAAGTCTTCAAGGCTTTTGCACAGGAACCAACACTTGTCTCGCTTCCCTTCGGAATTCTCTTTAAAAGAACCATCAGATCTCTTGACAATACACTGCCAAATGTTAACTAAAGCATCTAGTAACAGCGTTAACAAACCCTCTCTGTTGGATCCTATATCTGGAGAACTTTTCCTCCCCTCAGGAAACAAATAGGTCCTTGAAAGTTCTACTTTTGCAACTACACGGATAGCAACATTAAACATTTGGTCTACCGACTGAACGTCCTCTTCTTTTATCTCGTAATCCAACACCTCTTTGTCAGCACCAGTATGAGGAAACATGGATTGGAAAACCTTTCTGAGATCCTCTGTTTTAGTTGGACTTTCAGTTAAGGCAAAGTGCTCCTGAAACATACGTACTGCCTTCCCTAGAAGACTTGCATTAAACATAGAGTCGATATCCTCAGTCGTCAACAAAAGAATCTCTTCATACTTCTCTTCAAAGATGCACCCAGACAAAAACTTCGACCCCTGAAGAAAACCATTTATTTGAACTTTGTCCGAATAAACTGAAGTTATATCCAAATATCTCCTGCACGGCTTCTCGGGTTTTGCAATTGATTTCAGATACGATAGCACAGCAGGCAGAAGCATGATAAGCTGATCATCTGTAAGCGCAGAGCCATCCTGCTGCTTACTTAGCATACTGAAAGAGTGTCCAAAAACTGACAGATGCAAGGGACTGCACTCCACAAGATAGAACAATATCTTGGCTCTGGTCATGCTTGCCTTGCTAATGCAGTGGATAATCAAGTCTTTAGGAGTTCTCCCAACAATCTGTGCAATTATCACGGTCAACGGGTGAACACTACAAAGCTGATTATGTTTCCCCCTGAAAATGCCACCCCCAACTTTAAGCAAACAAGTATCTGCCGAAACCAAACCAAAAGAGGTAGAAAACCTGCACGCCAGGCTATAGACTTCCTCAATGAGGTTACTGTCATAATCCTTTTCTTCTAAATCCCACAGCAAATCATATACCCCCCTCTTTGCAGCCGGCTGCTGTGAATACAATATAAGCATTTCAAAAGCTCCGCCAGCAATATCCAATCCCAAACTGACAATCATACTCAAATTTGGGCTTGCCAGTTTTTCCACGTTAATAAGCATGGAACGAGCAAGATTTAAAAGTTCAAAAGGTGATATAAACCTCAACAAAGCATGAATCAGTTGTGATGATTGGACAAGTGGAGCGTAATTTTGAGAACCAACACAAAGCTCAAACTTGCCTCTGAATAACAAGAGCAACCTTTTGACCAATTTCTGAAAAGCCATAATTGACTCGTTGGCCCTGAGGTCCCTTTTCCGCACAACGTGTCTCTCATCCAACAAAAAGTGCTCACAAGTAGTAGCCAAAAGATCAAGGATGTGTTGATCTATTTCACTAATAACTAGCCTGCTCGTTTCCGAAAAAATCTCAACATTCTGCACTTGAGGTAGTGTGCCACAATCCAAGGGACTCTCCAACAGTGCCATCCCAACTGGGTGGCAAAGAACTGTCTGGGCCACTTGATGCTTCCAGTTTGCAAAAGGAGCAACAAGCTTATCTGAAGAGGGTCCAGAGACAAGGTCCTGTTCTGATATTTGAGAGAGCAATTGCTTCATGAGACGTAAGCAGATCTCAGAGAGTTGACAGAGTACCTGAGCTGGTTGAACCTTGTAAGTTGATCGTATTTGGGAAAGCCAGAATAGTATTGATTGGATATCTGATTCAATACTATCACTTTTAGACTGCGCAACTTTTAGCAGCAGTAGCTCTGATATTCTTGGAAATTCTGATAAGCAAGATATATCCATTCTCATAATTGCGTTAAGTAACACAGGAAAAGGAGTCTGCTCTAAAAACGTAAAGAAGACAGATGATTCAATATCAGGAGTGCCCATTTTACTTTTGATTTCTTCAGTTATGGCTAAGTTGTCAGCAAAATCAATCTCACTATCTACTGTTCCTCCACAGAGATTCGTTGACCCAGTAAGTTCTGAACCTCGCACAAATAAGCCAGGAGATACCTTTAAAAGGTTTCCGAGGAAGTTTTCCTCTAGAAAGACGATGGACTGTAAAAATGAGAATGATGTTCCGTAGAAAGCCCAAGAAACAGCCATAACAGAAGCAAAATTCTTCAAAAGCGATTCAGGTGTTGCACATATCAATGCAGAAGAAAACGCTTTAACGACTCCAAGAATTTCATCAGGAGAAATACTTTTCACCAGTCCTTTGATCTCATCAAGAGTATTTGCAAAAGAAGTGTCAGCAAGTCTGCCTGCTGTCCTTCTGGATTGCAAGATGAAAGGTGTTCTGTCTGACAAAGATTGTGAGAAAAGCAGCAACATTCTCAATGGCCTAAATTCACACGAAGAATCCTTAGATTCATCAACCACCTCAGACAAAACTGACTGGATCAAACATGAGAGTGGTTTGGAATCTACCTACAATATTCAGTGTATAGAAAAGGTATTGGTATCTTAAGTTGTGTAAACATGGTAAACGTTAAATATATTATGCAGATGTATATGTACCTGAGTTTGCAAAAGAGATTTCGATGTGCTGCAGACATACAGAGATATTGCAGTCTTCTCTTCTAAAGAATATGTTTTGGATTCAGAATTTAGTAGACTCACACACTTCTGCAGAATACAACGAGTAAGGGGGCTAAAACCAATTGATTCACCTGCGAAAAACACACAGAAGATACAGTCAATAAATTTCTATAGGCCTATCACAGATCCAAATGATAAGTAACCATGAATAAACTTGCATGAGATTAATTGAAAAAGAATTTGCCATAATTTTATAAGATCAATTGCCACTCATAACCTAAAACAGTTACGGAAGAAAATACCTTCTAAATGGGACAAATTACTTCTGACAATATCCCATTGCTTGAATAAACTATTTCCAACAGTCGAAACTGCATCACATAAAAAGGAGATGACAACTGATGACGAGCTCTGTACACCCTCCTGCACCTTAAGAGGTGCTTTAAGATTTCGATAACCTGGTAAAAAGAGGAACCATCCACCAATTTCAGTTGGATTTTTGTCAAATGCACCGGTGCTTCTCATAGCTACCAGTGCTAAATTTTTCGCTAGATCCTTCACCTCGTTGTCTGATGAAAAAAGTAACAAATTAATGAATACATGCAAATGCTTGAACATAAGTGGTGGAATTCTTGTGGGAACTCTCTCAATTTGGGGCTTTGGCGTCCAACTGATGTACTCATTGAGGACAGACAAGAGAGCTCTCTGCAATTCAGCTGGTAAACCTGAAGAACTGCTCAGTAATTTCATGAAGACATCAAACGATCCTTCAAGTCCATTAAGCCCAGAATGCTGCAAAGATGAAAAACATGTAGCTTAAAAACCAGAACTCTTTTAGTACAGATAAGGAACGTCTAAGCTACTACTAATGCATAGAAATATTAAAATACTAAAATAAACCAAACCAAGCTGACAAAAGAAACAAGAAATTTGACCAAAACTGGGTATGCGAAGCAAGATCGTTTCCGGTACTCTAGCTGTCTACTGGACAAACCACTACCAACTCAAAAATTAAACTTCACTCGGTATACTACACTTGCAAGAATTTCAAAACTAAAATTTGACAGTTAGGGTATAAAGTACAGTGCAAAACAATAAGACACCATGTTATCATTAAATATCATTCAGTAAGTACAAAAACTGTAAACGGGTTCTGCGTTTCCATTTTTCAACAACACAACAAAGTTAATAATGTGAAAAATCAGCGTACCATATATATTCTGAAGCCATCCAGGAGGTTTATGAGAACTGCTTCTTTTCCAGTATCTGCCTCATCTGTCATCTGAGCATCCACCTGATCTGTCATCTGAGCATCCGCCAAAAGGCTATCTATATCAGAACCTCCCACATTAATGACGATATCATCATCCTTCCTAGGTCTCTTAACGGGTTTTTCTCTATCCAACACTGCTTTTCTCTTCAAAGGCAGCTTTTGAGTTCCGCTAGAACCCCACAGAGACTTCAGTGCAGTCAATAACACCTGGGAGTCTGGAAAAAAGCTTCTCGCCTCACCCATGACATCCCGCTCAAGAGAAGCTGGAATTTTTTCAGCAGAGCAGCTATGAGACGAGCAAACTTTCCACGCAGTAGCAAAAGAATCCCACAGCCTCAGCGTCTCTGAGAGAAATCTCAAGGTCCCGCTCTTCACAAAAGAAACAGAATGAAGCATCCCTTTAGTGATTAATGACCGGCTAAATGGTCGGGGGCATATGCATTTCATGATAGTCTGAAAATCTGAACCAGCAGTACCACGTTGATCTGGATTGAGAAAGTCAAAGGAACATGAAATTCTTACTGACGATACCAAATCTGCTGCCAAGGAAATAGAAGAAGACCTGCAATGACTTCAATTACTATGCAGAAAAAAACGAATATAACAGCAAACGTTTGACGGTACATGCAGCACTAAGGAAAAAAAGGATAAATAAACTCTGGTGCTCTGAAGAAGACTAACCAGGATGGTGAAGCAAAATCTTCCACATTGTATGGAAATTCATCCAAGAAAGTTGAAGCTAAAGATGGTCTAGCCCTAGCAATGGCTAGAAGCAAATCCTTGTGATAACCAACTTCTGTTGCTCTCAAACTCTTCATGAGCACTAGTAGTCTGTTCAGATTGCCTCTCAACCCTCTCAACCCTCTCTTTATATCTGGCATTAATCCATTGCTGGGGTCCGTACAAACCTTAACAAGAACATCATGGGCCAACTCATTCACAATCTCACCATCCTCTCTTGCTGAGATGTTGACTAGCTGCTCTAGTGTAGCCCTACCAAATAGAACACTCCTTAGACCAGGAGAAATCAATGATTGTTTCACAAGGATCTTATCCTTCAACGTAGACAACACAGAAGCCACAGTGTCTTCATCATCTTTCCCAAGGCCACGTAGGACACTAGAATACATTTCCTTCTGCTGTAAAACAGACCTTAGCAATCCAGGATTCCCAACTTCAAGAAATGACACTGCAAACGCAACAAAATCCCTCCTCGTTGAGTGTTTCGCAACCTTGTGCGCCCCACGCGTTTTATACTCAGCCAGTTTCGCGAAATCCTTAAAATTAAACTTGTTAGCTACTTCTGATGCCATCCCCGGACCACGTCTAACTATCGAAGTCAACAGTGAAAGTGCAGCATTCTGTTGTTTCCCCTCATTGCTGTTCAGTGCTTTGTAAATGTCATCAAGTTTTTCTCTAAAAAGCTTCCTACCAAACTGGTCAATATCTCTTCCAATATCAGTCGATCTATCTTTGCCCTCAGGGTGACTCAAAATCGTCTGGATAAGCTTGAATATAGGGGACAATCCTCGTTTTCCATTTCGAAGCTTCCACGCCTCTAGAAGCTCAGCAAACTCCGGTGAGTTCCGGTAATACAGACGCAACAAATCGCCGCCAGTTTCTCCCTTTAGTAACTTAGCGAATTCCTTTGCAGCATCAGAGCATAGCTTAATCTCATGTAAGCAAATCTTATGCAACAATTCTCTAAGTTTAGCTTCGTGGGATGGTCCAAAAGCCATCACTGGGATTTTTTGCACCTTAAGATCTCTATTCCCTCCGTCTACCACCATTGCTGAAAAAACAAATTCTTCAATCAGAAAGTAAACTACTTTTCCACTAATCCACAATGTTCGTTGAGAATTAAAGCTAACCCAAAAGTTCAAAACTTTACAATTTCAGTTTTCAGCTACGAAATACAACAACTGACCCAGAAATTCTAGCAATTAATAGTTTTTATGACTCTTCCGCAATTTGCAATCAGAAAGAACAAAGGATGGGATAAAAAAGGTTTTTTTTTTTGGGGTAGAAGAATATCAAACAGAAATTTCTAAATTCAACCTCTTATCGTACCTTGATCTTCCAAGTCAGATGTTGATTCCGCCATTAGAAGAACAGTCAGAGCTCTTCCCTCTCCTCTCGTGGGGTTTAGGGTTTAAGCGGGTAGTTCCAGTGCTCTCATAATGGGCCAAAACCGAAACCTTTTTGATTGGGCCATGTGAGATCCAAATCAGAACACTTTTGATTTTTTTACTTTAAAACGCAACCGAGACGGCCTTTTTGTCAGTCTCTCTGTTTTGCCCTCTCGTCTCCGAGATAACCTTTCTCTTGCATCTACGACACCGTCCCTTCTTTAGGTCTCCGTCGTCATGATGCAGCAGCCACCTCCAGCGTCCAACGGTGCTGCAGCAGGGTCAGGGCAGATTCCTTCAGAGCATCAAGCTTATCACCAGCAGCAGTCGTGGATATTGATGCAGCAGCAGCAACAACAGGGACAGCACCCAGCTGGATGGAATCCGCAGTCGGCGCCGTCTCCGGGTCAGTATGGTGGTGGATCTCAGAATCCAGGATCGGGCGGCGAGATCCGGTCGTTGTGGATCGGAGACTTGCTGCCTTATATGGACGAGAGCTATCTCATGAGCGTCTTCGGTCCTACCGGCGAGGTAATATGCAATCCTGTGTAGTGCTCGGAAGAAAACTATTTCATTTCTCCGATTTCTGATTTCAAATATTGATTTTTTCCTCAATTGAAAAACGAAAGTTTTGTCCTTTATAAAATTTCAGTACTAGTTTGGGTTTTTCTCTGCTTGATTCGATGAATTCGCATTACGTTTATTCTGTTTGTAAATTTGTTTATTGCTGCTAGTGAAGTCTAAGCTCTTAACTGTTTTATTGTTTGCGGCTGCAGGCTCAAACAGCTAAAGTCATTCGCAATAAGCAGACGGGATTTTCTGAGGGTTATGGATTTATTGAGTTTGTGAGCCATGCTGCAGCGGAGAGGGTTTTGCAGAGTTACAATGGTTCACCAATGCCGGGGAGTGAACAGCCCTTCAGACTGAACTGGGCTCAGCTTGGAGCTGGAGAGAGACGCCAGAGTGAAGGTCCTGAGCACACTGTTTTCGTAGGAGACTTGGCGCCTGACGTTACCGACTACATGCTTACTGAAACATTTAAGGTTATATATGCCTCTGTCAAGGGCGCAAAAGTTGTGACTGATAGGACCACTGGCCGGTCCAAGGGTTACGGATTTGTTAGATTTGCGGATGAAAGTGAGCAGATTCAAGCCATGACTGAAATGAATGGTCAGTACTGCTCATCCAGGCCGATGCGTACTGGTCCAGCTGCCAACAAGAAGCCTCTTACAATGCAACCAGGTATGTTTTGATAGTAAATAAGCCAGATTTCTGATGAATTGTGAGTTTTGTTGATTGGTGTTATGTTAGTTGATTGTCTTTTCCTTGTGGTACTCCTTTACCTCCTTCTTTCTGATTGGTGATACTTGTTCTGTTTCTGGCCTTTTCCTTCCGCTTCTTGCCTTTCAGCAGTTCAAAGAATTTTAATATCGCAAAACATCTTAAAACTTATAAGAGAAAACTCATGTTGTCTTAAAGCAGGAGAACAAGAGGCCTGGAACTGATTTCAGCTGAAAATGATTCCACCTTATTGCGTGGCCTCATTTAGGTCAGTTGGTTATGTTTTCGGAAGTACCGTTTATTAGCCTTCACTCGCAAATTATTTTTCCAGTTCCTTACTTATCAAGCATAAGTCTTTTTTTTTTTTTTTTTTTTTTTACTTTTAAAGTTTGTTGAAGCCCTACCTTTGAGTTAATTCGTTTCATTACATTTCGCTTCTTTTCCAGTCTAGAAACCTTAAAGAGTGTATTGCTTCGTACCTCTCAATTTACCTTCTTTCAGCAATTAGTGTTGCAATTTTCTTTCTTTCAGTTACTTGTTTTCCTCTAATTTTATGCCATCAACTCTTCTTTATTGTTGCTTTTCTTCTTTCGGTAAGTTGGTTACTATGGTAGAGTGTCAGACAATGAAAGGAATTTAGGCTATACTTGAGATATCCTGGAGAATTTTGATCCCGTTCTCAAATTTCTCAAAGTTGGATCCAACTTTCCGTAGAACATCCTTAAAAATTTATGTATCATTTATCTACTAACTTCAGAATCTCTTTAACTTACTTAATCTCCAAGATGTATCATATATGTCGTCTGATATATTTGGATAACTTCTGCAACTGCTGTTATTTATGCGTGTTTGCTTTAGTGTCCGTTTCCTTGCAATGTCAACTAAGCTTAGTTTATAAAAGTTTTAAGTTTTCTCCCCTAACTTCTATAGTCTGTTATTTGCAGGTGCATATCAGAACGCTGGAGGAAATTCTGGAGAAAGTGATCCTTCTAACACAACAGTACGTACTTTGCTTTGGCTTCCTTAAGCCTGTTCCTCGTAGGGTATATTGTGTGAATTTAAGCTTTATAATTTACAATGCCAGATTTTTGTTGGAGCTTTGGATCAAAGTGTAACAGAAGATATGTTGAAGTCAGTTTTTGGTCAATTTGGTGAACTAGTTCATGTGAAAATTCCCGCAGGAAAACGTTGCGGATTTGTTCAATATGCCAATAGGTAGTGTTACCGTGTAGACTCGCTTCATTTTTATTTTGAGATTTTGTGTTTCACAATTTTTTTGTTTCCTCTGTCTGTGTGCTTCAGGGCATCCGCTGAGCAAGGACTCGCCCAGTTGAATGGAACACAACTTGGCGGACAAAGCATTCGCCTTTCATGGGGTCGCAGTCCTTCCAACAAGCAGGTTTGTATCCTTTACAAATGCTACAAGTTTACTATGTTATCTGCTCTATGTCATCTGACAAGTCGATCCATGTCGTGTGACAGACTCAACCTGATCAAGGCCAGTATGGTGGTGGTGGTGGATACTATGGATATCCTCCTCATGGATATGAAGGTTACGGATACGCACCTCCTCCTCCTCAGGACCCTAACGCTTACGGATATGGCGGCTACCCCGGTGCCGGCTATGGAAACTACCAGCAGCCTGGTGGCTACCAGCAGCAACAGCAGGTAATACTTTAGTTCTTACCTAAGCATGTTGAAAAAAGTACCAATAAATCTCCTTTCTTACTGATTCTTTTTCCCTCTGTTTTTTTTTTACGAATTGCAGTGAAGCATGATATGTGTATGTCGTGATGGAGCTGAAGTTCCAGGAAGCTGTATGTGATGAAGCACCGTTTGAAAATGGTGGATGAATTATTGAAGTGGGTGGTGCGTATTAGCTCTTCGTGTCTCAGATTCTCTCTACAATTCTTGTTTTCTTTTGGATTGTTTTTTCTTTCTTTTGCGTGTGACAATTGTTGAGTGTCCTCTTTGAAGTCGTAACAGAAAGGCTTTAACTTGAGTGTTTTTTTTTATCAATTTGACCATTGCGTTTCTTCCTGTCAACCTGTACTATCTACTTGCCACATGCGACATAATTGGCTTGTCCTTACAACTTTCAAGTTTGATAAAACAAAGACGGTCTTTAATGTGTCAACAACAACCGAGTTTTACCCAAACATGAGTGAACAGTCGCTTAATTTCAGTCTACTATTTATGCATTTAAGAATGATGATAACATGACTACTAAACAGACTCGTGATAGTTGGTTAATTACCGGTGAACATCAAAGAAAATGGTTAGAAACACAAATTGATTTATCACTTTTGTTTAGCTAAAAATGGTCACAGGATGATGATGTTTCATTTTTCGTTATGATAAAGTCAAAGAACAGCTAAGTGTATCATAACTCATAAGTCATAATTATGTGAAAGAAGAAAAGTAGCATAAGTGGGCCGGGCCTGTTTTAACAGATAAGGGCCAATAGATCTTTTAGAGGGTAAAAAAATTGAGGGAAACAAAACAGAGAGTGAGAGACTTTTACCGATTCCCTCGTAGATCTCTTTTCTTTCTTCTTCTTCTTCCTCTTCGCCTTCTTTTCTAGTACGTTGGTTGATATATAGTATAATTTAGCTCCGCATCGACCGTGCGTGATACATAGAAACTTCTAGAGATTTGAAAATTCTCGGAGAAAAATCAAACTTGAAAGGTCAACAAGATGGGATACGCAAGGAAAGCGGAAGACGACAACTCTCCATCGTCACTGAACGAAGCGCCGTTAATAGCAACTATGTGCATTATCGGATTGCAGGTTCATGTTCACGTCAAGGATGGTTCCGTTTTTTCTGGGATCTTCTACACCGCTTCCGTCGACAACGAATTCGGTACCTTTCCTTTTTCGGTTGGTTAATCGATTTTCCGTCGATCAATATGTTTTTGATTGGATTTTGAATCCATTTCGAGCTTCTCTCTCGTAATCGTTTCAATGTAGAGAGATCTGAATCTTCTAGTATCGAATCCAGGATTCTGTTAATTCGTTAATGCAGATTTCAATGCAATTATCAAGTAGAGGCATAAAGGCGACAAATTGAGATTTATCTTTTCAATTGATTTCAAATGTTCAGGCATTGTTTTGAAGAAGGCAAAAATTACGAAGAAGGGGACAAGCAAATCGAATGTAGCAAGCGGGAGTGTGGTGGAGACACTTGTGATTCTGTCTTCCAATATTGTTCAAATAGTTGCAGAGGTGTGTCCCTTTTCTTCCTTTGTTTACTTACCTTTGCTTAGAGCTTTCACTTGTGATAGTCTATATGACATGCTTATGGATCTGTTCATAGGGAGTCTCGCTTCCATCGAATGTTACAGGCAATAATGAAGGTGTAAATGTGGGATCAGCCACGGAAACGTTACCTTCCGAGCCTCGTGTATGTGCTGCTAATAAATCCATTGGAGGAAACTGCAATAATCATAGGAGGTAAACTGTCTGTCTACTTGCTTTAGATTCATGTTGAAAACAGAAACTTGTGGTGAAGGCGTTATGGATTAGTCCTCTCTCTGCACTTTTACTAGATAATCTCTTACACTGTCGAAACTTGTATGCTTTTGTTGGCAGACAGGCAGGAGCCCAGATTCTGAAGCGTAGTGAACAAACTCCTGATGTTCATCAGGAGGATAATGTTAGTCTTACAAGTTCATTTGTTTAATTCGTTTACTACTTAACCGCTGCTTATATGTTAGTTTCCTATTGCAGGTTGATATCCAAAGCTCAAGTTCTAGCTGTAAGTTCACTTTCCCGCAGTTTTTTTCTTTGTTATAGCTTATGGTAGATTTGTTTCTTTTTTCTGTTTTGGCAGTCAAATGTTTTCTGACATGCTTATTCGCTACTTTCCTTCTTGTGACCGTCCAGTGGATAGCATGTCCGAACGAGTTAAACCAATAGAAGAAGATAAGTTGATGCGGGAACCTTTTAGTAACGATGCTGCTGAACGGCCCTCTTCAACTGACAATTCATCAGCACAAAGTACAATTGCTGATGAAACCTCAGAATTGTATCAGGGTTTAGTGGCATCTTCAAATGCATCAGTACATATCCAGGCCGTCAGAAAGTCTACGGTAATTCCTGAGTACAATTATGTTAGATTGATTTGGTTCTAAAGATCTGTTCCTTCTCTCTGGGAACACATTCAGACTAGCGTGTGTTGTCAAATAAGTCTGAGATTCATTTTACTTCATCTGTTACTCAATTGCCAAGTTTCTGCTTCTCAAATTTTTCCAACATACAGGAGTTCAAACTGAATCCGGAGGCAAAGCTTTTTTCTCCATCTTATACAAAACGTCTTCCACCGACTCCTGTTGCTATGCCTGATGTTGGAAATATATCTTATATACCAAGCAACACTCCCATGCTACCAGTTCCTGAAGTTGTTTACCCGGAAATTGGAAACAACCCTTATATTCCCCAAGCACCTCCACCTTCCAAGTTTGTGCCATATGGTAACTTGACTGCTGGAAATGCTGCTGGTGGATTTAGCTTTCCTCAACACGTAAGTACTATCTTTCCAATATTGTCTCTGACTCTCTTACTCTCTTCGAGAATGTTATGTCAAAGGGGTCTTATCAGCTAGTAGTTGAGAAATGATTACCAAATGGCAGTATAGAAGACCAGATTAAAGATCACTTTGAAATGATACGAGTCATATGACTTAGTTTTGTAATCAGTGATTCATATTTCCACTTGCATCCCACTTTTCTGCAGATGATCGGGCCTACTGTTAACAGGGCACAGCCGCAGAGATTCACCTCTCCGTACCAATCTGTCCAAGCGCCACCAATGTTTGTAAATCCAAATCCTCAGGTTGTCTTTCATGGAGAACCCCCAAACTCACCTTTTCGTTAAAATCGTGTTTATTGTGATGAGTAGTGAGCTTTACTTGGTGTATATGTTTCTAAAAAGACTCTTTCTAAAATACTCCAGATGATGGTCACGAGATCGGGGCAGCTTGTATATGTCCAACCAGTTTCTCAGGTTAGAAGTCGGTGCAAAAAGCTTCTTCATTAATTGTTTGTGTTTTGAAATATAACCAATTTGGTGAAGTGTTAAGGAATGATGTTTAGATTAATAAATCCGATGACTTGCAGCTATATCCTATCTCTATATATACAGTCATTGGTTTGGTCGAAAAAACGCTTCTTATTCATATTCCTTATAGTCATATCTAGCAATTGTTTTTCTTCTTTTGCCAGGATTTGGTTCAGGGAACACCGCCTCTTCCACCTATGCTCTCTCGTCCTCTACCAACTCTACAACATGTCCAATACCTGAAGCATCAAGGTCAAATACCTTCGAGTATCTCTAGCTTAATAAATAACCTAAAGAAGCTACTATGCATTACCAAACCAAGAAGGTGTGTGTAACTAAAATGAAGTATTTTTGTGATGTAGGTGTAGTTGCGGCTGGCCAGCCGATGCAGCTATGCGTTTCCCAACCGTTCACGGCGGGTGGACTGCAACCTTTCGGTGTTCCTGCCCAATTTCCGGTAATGCAGCCTCCTTTTCCCACGAATCAGCCAATGGCAGTTGCAGTCCCTAATGGTTTCTTTGGCACAAAGTTTCCATAAAAGATGCTCCTTTGTTTTTTGTTCGGTTTTCATACCTATATTCTTTTGCCTCTCTATTCAAAATTCATAGTTGTTTTTCCTTTTTTGGGGTTTTGGGTTTTTGTTCGATTTTGGCTATTATATTGGTTTTGATCGTTTTTTCATTGGATCGATTGGGTCAAATTATTTTGTACAATGTAAAAAGACATGATTATTTTTGGTTGGAAAAGAGTATTATAGATCCATTTTGTTGATTTCAGTAATGAGCACTTCATAAGGGTTTTACGTTGAAACGCTAACGTGTATTTGCGGAAAAAACAAACGGACATATTACAAAACTATGTCTTGTTGTATATACTGCTAAAACGCAATAATGCGTTGCGTTGCAGACAAAATTTAGCCAATCCTAATGATAATGGGTCGGTCAATTACAAAACTACAATGATAATGGCCCGTAATAGAAGATATTTACAAAACGACGTCACATATGTCGGGTTTTATTAATTTGTCCTTTCGGTTGACTTGACCGGAGTATCATATAATCCGCCGACCGCAAATGTTCAGCGATTCGAATTTCCGGCGATCAGAAATCTCGCGGTGAAAGTTGATGGATATACGACACACGGAACGAAAACTACCAATTTCTCTCAAGGATCTCGACTTGTATACGAATCGTGAACAAAAGAAAAAGATTCATGTTTCAGCTTATCTATCTTCCTCATGTAAGCCTCGCTTCCTAAATCACAAAATCATCTCCTTTGTCGAGCTTGGTGAGGTTTAGGAGTTGGATTCTGAGATTATTTCTGCTGTTTTGCTTCAGTCACAGGGGTTTCAACGTCGAAATCAGGACCTCCATCTCTTGTGAGCTTATGTCTTGGGGTTGTTGGGAAGCATTTGGAGGAAATTATTCCTTGTTTACCTGATATCTCTCTCATACTTCCTGCTGGCATTAAGGTTTTTGATTAGTCTCGATTGTTCTCTTCCTTCAACCTGACTTGGCAAATGGCAATGCTCTTGAAAGTTGTACAATTCCCTTTGCTGATCCAATGCGTATTCATGTGCAATAGATGTCGATTGCAGCCATTGCCAAAAGAAGAAAGCTACTGGATGATGATGTGATTATCTCTTTGGCTGACAGCTCCTGGGAAATTCTAGACATTAGCGGTTCAGATGTTTCGAATTCTGGCTTAGCTAAAGTGGCGGAAATGTGCAAATCTCTCCGAGCTGTGGACATTAGGTATTGTAGTTTCTTACTAATGATTAATTTTTACCTACGAGTCTTGTTGTTGCTTAGCTAAAGTGAAGTTGTTTTGTAGTTCTGGTCTTGTTTGGTTCTGTTAAACAAGTGGTGTTTGTTCGCCTTCCAGTATTAATATAGTTGAATTGTTTTATAATGCAGCCGATGCAAGAAAATCACATCCATGGGCGTCTCAGAGCTTCTACAACACTGCCGATCATTGGATACTCTAAGATGCGGGTAAAATTTATTTTGCTCCAGCTAAGTTTAATAAACTGACCACTTATGCCTTGTTGTTGGGGTGGCTTGACTGTTTTTTTTTTTATGTATTAGAGTGTGTTTTTGGGTAAAGTGAGATAGAATTTAACCCATATAATTGTGTGGGTTCTGACTAGGGGCTAACGAACTTTATAAAACAGGCAATGAGACAAAAATTAATATTGCAGAGGATGCCCGAGCAGCGAGTCCACCGCACGCAGGTCTTTGAGTTTGTTTAAGCCAAACTTGAGTGATGCTGAAGGAGAAACATGGGAAGAGCTAGACACTGAAGAGATTGGTCATGGTGGTCAATCAGTGCGTTGGCTTGTTTGGGTACGTATTGTCCCTCTGAGCAATGAAGCTACCAATCTAATTTCTAGTTTGATCAGTGCGTTGGCTTGATCTGTCTTTGGTACACCAGTTTCACAGTTTGTAGATTTAATTTGCCCTTTTTCTGCAGCCACGAATTGGTAAGGATTCATTGGAGATGTTAACCATGGAGTGCCCAAGAATTGTGGTGAATCCCAAGCCCTCACTTCTCACGTACAGTATACAAGGGTTTCCTAGAGAAGCACTACCAGATATTTCACTGGACGAACCATTTGTGAAAGATATTGATCCTAAAACGTGGGCTGTTACTGGAGTTGTGCAGAAGAAGCCCACATCATCCTCGTCGTTATCCTTCAACGAGCTCCCAATAGCAGAGAAGTTCAGACTCGCGTTTGTAGAGAGAGATGCACGATTGGCCCCTAAACGTGCAAAGAATGCAAGGCAACATCAACGTCGTGCTGAGAGGAATTGGATGATGTCAAGTGACGAAGCGAAAGCAATGGCTTGGGCATCAAAAGCCAACAGGTCTTTGCACAAGAGTTAGTTTACTGTGGATTCTCTTTGTAATCATACGTCAAAAGAATATATAGCAGGAACAAGCAGTGAATACTATTGTCTTGTTGAATCACTTCACAGCAGATTTTGGGAGGAAAAGTGTTGGCAACTCTGTTTAATTATTGTTTCCACGTCTTTTAATTATGCTATAATCAAAGCAGAGTACCAAACTAGTGGTTTATAGAGAACGAACTGTGTCATTTTGCGTTTTCTTATCACAAATCTCGCCAAAAAAATAAAGGTTCAGTGTCACCTGAAAGAATTAGAGGCCACACAAAACTTGCTTTTTATTGGGAACTATGAAAAATCTTAAACCGAAGAAGAAAACAAACGGCGAGACACACTTTGATCACTTGGTGCTCAAACTCCGGATGACGTATGGTAGAATACCACCGTGATCATAGTACGCCAGTTCCACCTGTGACGCGTTCACACAAAACCATGTCTCAGACCAATTTGAAAATTTGATTTTAAAAGATCGAGCTTTTTATTGATTTGGTATATAGTTTTACCTCTGTGTCAAACCGCAGGGTGCAAACAAAGGATTTGCCAGTGTCAGTGGTTACAGTGACGTCTTGACCGGGTCTAATGTCACCGACTGTGGTTGGAAGGTGCACTGTGTAGCGCTCCTCACCAGTCAGTCCAAGGGTATCTGCGTCCTCACCGGCCTTGAAGCAGAGCGGAATGATCCCCATACCAGCCAAGTTGCTGCGGTGAATTCTCTCAAAGCTCTTGGCGATCACAGCTTTCACTCCCTAAATTTGTGCTCATTAACTCGTAAATGGTTTCACAGGAGATAAACCAAAATCTGACGACTGATGTGAATAGTGTAGAAACTTACCAAAAGCAAAGGACCCTTTGCAGCCCAATCCCGAGAGCTACCACTTCCGTATTCAGCACCAGCCAGAATGACTGTATCCTGCCCAGCGGTCTTGTATCGCTGAGAGAAAATGTGATTTGAGTGAAAAATTAAAGACTTAATGAAGGATATATATATATATATATATAGTTGGAGAGTCGGATTCTGCTTCTACTTACACTTGCTGCGTCAAAAACGCTAAGTTTCTCTCCAGTAGGAATGTGAACAGTGTTTGGGCCAACTTCTCCTTTCATGAGCTTGTTAACAATACGGATGTTGGCAAATGTACCACGAGCCATCACCTCATCGTTTCCCCTTCGACTTCCATAAGAGTTGAAATCGGTTTGACTCACACCACGTTCCATTAAAAACTTCGCAGCAGGACTACTTTTCTGAATGTTTCCTGCTGGAGAGATGTGATCTGTTGTCACACTGTCTCCGAAGTTCAGTAAGCAGTACGCATCCTTCACTTCACGAGGACCAGGTGGATTTGCGGTCATGTTCTTGAAATATGGAGGTTCGTGAATGTAAGTGGAGTTTGGATCCCAAGAATACAACGTTGAACCCGGTGCAGAAAGTTCATTCCACAAGGGATTTCCCTCTGTTATTGTCTCGTACGAGCTCTTGAACATGCTTGGTAGCACGCTGTATTGAACAACCTATGCAAGAGTACCACAAAAGTTGGTCAAGATACGTTTAAAGGTGTCAGAGAGAAAAAAATGTCCTCTAAAAGGATGCAAGTATGTGACCAATGTACCTTAGCAACTTCCTCATTGGTTGGCCATATGTCCCTCAGGAACACACTCTTGCCATCTTTTCCGGTTCCTATAGGCTCTTTCTCGAAATCGATATCAACCTGTACCACAGAAAATTAATAATTTAAAAAACAAGCTCGAGATAATCTAAGAAAGCAGAAAACTTTAGATTAGCGAAACTATACAACTCAATCTTGTTAACGAGGTAAAACAATGCCACACAATTAAGGAATTCCAAAGGAGACAAACACAAACATCTGCCTTTCGAACTGTCGTTCCCAAAGCTCATGACTGAAAGATGAAAAGTACTAACCGTTCCGGCAAGGGCATAAGCAACAACTAATGGTGGTGACGCAAGATAGTTAGCTCTTGTTTGTGGATGAACACGGCCTTCAAAGTTTCGGTTCCCAGAGAGCACAGCCGCCGGAATGATATCTGTGACACGAAGGAAGCAGAAAGGACCAACCAAAAAGTGAGTTTGATTTTGACGAGAGAAAATATAAGGGTACTAACTGATCAGTGGGGAAACACAATTCGACGAGGATTCGAGGTGAACTTTAAATGAAAATGGCTCAAGGAGATTCCAAGAAACAAAAAAGTAATAATAAATGTTTTTGCAATTTGCTAGTACGTTCATATACATGAAGATGTTATTACCAGTTCCTTCAATAGCAGCTGCAACTGAACTCTCAAGGTCGCCAGAATTCCCAATGCAAGTTGTGCAGCCATAGCCGACAATTTGGAATCCTTGCTTGTTCAAGTACTCTCGGAGCCCACTGCAGAGAAGGTAAAGGTTCAGTATGGATGTTCCATGATCTAATAAGTTATCCAGATGGAATATCATTGACTCCAACACACCTTCGATCCAAATATTGCTCAACAACTCTAGACCCTGGAGCAAGACTTGTCTTAACCCATGGTTTTACCTGAATCGTAACGCCAACAACATCAAAGCATGATTCATAAAGCACGCGATCTCAGGGACAAAGTCGAGGAGCAGAAGTAGTAACTCACCTCTAGGCCAAGATCAAAAGCTTTTTTGGCAACAAGTGCAGCCCCGATCATTACACTAGGGTTTGATGTGTTTGTACAACTCGTGATTGCCGCAATAACAACACTACCGTGCTTGATCGAAGCAGGTTGTCCTTGGTATGAGAACTTCACAACTTCGTCTTGTTTTTCTTTTGGCACTGCAAAGCCCTTGAATCCAACAGGATTGTCAAGGCATGCATGCCAGTCAGCCTTCATATCTTTCAGAGACACTCGGTCATGAGGCCTGTTGAACAGAACTTATATTAATGAAAATGAAAAATGGATATTCAAAATGGACCCAAGTTTGAGACTTACTGACCGCTAACATTGCGAATCACAAACCTAAGGAAAGTAAGGGCGATGCTAATCATCAAAATGAAGTGAAAGTATATACCTTTTAGGCCCAGAAATACATGGCTCAACATGTCCCAATTCTAATTGCAAATAAGATGTGTATGATCTTTCTTGCTGGGGCTGCAATAATGTCCATATAAATGAGGTTGTAAATCTTGTCGAAAAAAAAATATACAGTAAGCTGATTAAAGAATGTCCATACCTCATTGTAGTCAACGAACATATTGTTTGCGCGCAAGTATGATTCTATCATTGACACCTAAATAAACACCAAATTGTCGATCAAGTGAGTCACAGAACCAGAGAAACATGATAGATAGCTTGTTAAAACGATTAGGCATAAGATACTGAAAACCAGGCCACGTGATATAGCATACTGAAGAATAAAACCAACTGCGTCTAAGGATAGCTTGTTCAAATGTTTAGAAAATGAGTATTGCAGTAATCTGTTAGCCCCAGCACACGTAAACCACAAGAAACCAGAACTTGAAACTAATAAAGCACATTTTATGCATGATGATTTGATTTTGCCAAAAAAGAAAGAATGAAAGACTAGAGAAAGTGAGAGAGATCTCACAGTTTCATCGCTTCTTCCTGTCAACTTCAGGTACTCCAAGGTAACATGGTCCACTGGGAAGAAACCCATAGTTGCTCCATACTCGGGAGACATATTTGCAATTGTGGCTCTATCAGCCAGTGAAAGTTCACTCATGCCCTCACCTTCATATCAAAGTAAAAAACGATAAAATATGTATACTGACCGACTATTTGCCAAACTGAAAGTCAATGGCACGCAGCCATGGTTCTCACCATAAAACTCAACAAACTTTCCGACAACACCATGCTTCCTTAATATTTGGGTCACAGTGAGAACTAAATCAGTAGCAGTAACCCCTTCTTTCAACTTTCCATCCAACTTAAATCCAACCACGCCAGGTAACACCATGCTCATGGGCTGACAAGTTTTTGAAGTACCATATCAGTGGCAACGCAAACATGACCATACATATGTACGCTAGACAACAAACCAAAAATAAATACTGGATTGTACAGAAAAAATAAGCTCACCTGACCAAGCATTGCTGCCTCTGCCTCAATTCCTCCAACACCCCACCCAGCGACTCCTAATCCATCAATCATGGTGGTGTGGGAATCGGTACCAACAACGCTATCAGGGTAGAGAAATCCACCCGAGTTGAAAACAACACGTCCAAGGTATTCCAAGTTGACCTGATATCAAATAAGGACAATCTATCATAACAGAATCATTTGATAGCATAATGAGATTCAAGCTCCTCTTGAAAATCCAGTAGTCCACCAAACAGATTAAACAGACTAATACTCTAATCACACACTTATGGTCACCAGGCGAACAGAACTTACTGCCACCACATATATACATTTCTAAAGTAATATGACAGTATTATCTTGTACCTGATGGACGATCCCAGACCCAGGAGGAACGACCAGCATGTTTTGGAAGGCTGTTGAACCCCATTTAAGGAACGCAAATCTTTCTTTGTTCCTCTTGAACTCAAGCTCCATATTTTTCTGTGCGGCATCCTCTGACCTTGCAAAGTCAACTTGGACTGAGTGATCAACGACAAGATCAACAGGAACCTAGATATGAACAGAAAAATTATGAGAACTGCTAGATTAAACATATTACAAACCCAAAGCAATAAGAAAATTCACTAACCAAGGGGTTAATCTTGTTAGGATCACTGCCAAGATTCTTCACTGCGTCCCTCATAGAAGCAAGATCAACTAGAGCTGGTACTCCAGTAAAGTCCTAGACAAAACAAAAAAAGACTGTTAAGTACGTAAGCAAGAAAGTAGAAGTTAGCATAGTGCGGACTTTATATATACTAGTCTTAGTGGATCAGAAGAGTGAGCTGGAACAGAAGAAAAGAAAAATCATGCTACACACCTGCAAAATAACACGGGCTGGCTTGAAGGCGATTTCCACTTGCTTAGTAGATGTATTCTCCCAGTCAAGGATTTTCTCAACGTCATCCTTTGTGACTTGATAGTTGTCACAGTTACGGATTGCCGATTCCAATAGTATCCTGACTGAGTATGGCAGTTTATCTGCAATATTACGGAAACGTGTTACCTTCACCAGATATTCATTACTAGAGAACAGATAGAGGGCGTTACGGCAAGCAATTTCCGAGTAACCATACCAATTCTTGGATCGTTTAAAGCTGGTAACGAGTAGTATTTTCCATACTCTCCACCACTGGGCTTAGGAAGACTTGTTAAAATATCCTTGTAGGCATGCTCAGAAGCTGCATTTTCCATATCAGAACTGTTAGAAATTCATAAACATAATCCAAACGACTCATAACACATGAGTTTGCTTATCCATGAGAAACAAAAAGCTAGAGCAAATCAAATGTTCATCTAGCTGGTTTTTTAGCATCAGATCATATCAAAACGTTCAGAATTCAGGAAATCCTCTCTGAAGACATTTGATGGATTGATTATTGAGCTCAACAGCATAAAACGAAATCGATCATAGTAGTAGATGCCCAGTTATACAAGTTAAGAGCAAGTGAGCAACCAATCAAAAAAACAAATAAAGCAAACAGGCATACCCATGCTAGCGTATTTCCGCTCGAATCTCTCCATCACCGGAGCGGAATTCCTAGTTTGAGCACGAAGGCTAGCAGGCGATCCCCAGTTCCCACCATGGCTCCACCGCGTGGAGGCAGAGCATACTCGAAACGAGCGGAGAGCCGACGAGAAGCTCCTAGATCGGTTCTGATTGAGAATCGGCGCGGATGGAGCCGAAGCTGCGGGAGTCGATGCGATCTTCGAGAGAGAAGAAGAAGAAAGCCTCGTCAGCGACGTTGAGGCAGAACGAACGCCGGCAGTGGCGCGTCGATACATGGCGGAAAATCAAAACAGTTTTAAGAGATTGCGGAGAAAAAAACTCTCCGGAGGAAGAAGAGATCAATGAATTCCTGGGAAATGGAACGTTTATAGGAAGAAGATCGTGGAAGGAACAAAGGAGAGAGAGAGAGAGAGAGAGAGAGAAAGAGATTTCGTCAAGCTTCTGAGAGAGATCCGAATAAGAATTAACAGAGCCTCTCAGAGACGGACACACTCACTAATTATACAATGCCAAAGGCTACGTCAAGGGTGTCTCGTTTAACCGTTGGATGGACTGGAGACTGGGGAACGGACGGCTACGATTCCTTTTTGACCATTGACTAACAAAAAAAATACGATCGCAATTTGTTTTCCCTTTGTTTTTGTCAACGATTGCGTTATTATTTTTCAGATTTGCAAAAAATATTTGTTCCTGCAAATTATAGAAAGAGTTATTATTTCAAAAGCTTACAGCTACAGAGCAACGTGAGAACATTCGAATAATTGGCTTTTCGTCCAAAGATGGGAACATTTCTTTTTCCAGAATATTTTTCACAAATTATAAAAATATACAAAGTTTGCTTTCAACCTTGGATTATGGTGGTATTGCCACGTTTTAATTGGCTCGTTTGGCACAAGCCAAGTAGGATTTCTCATCTCTTTTGACATGTAAATAGAGTATATAATATGATTTTTATTTGCCCAGAAAATAAATCATGTAAATCCCAATAAATAAAAGTCAACGAGAAAAAAAGCGTAGGGTAAGTGGGCTCTTCCTAAGCTATGAAGGACAAAGGCAATTTAAGTCTCAAGCACAATACCAAGAGACGAAAGCCCCCAAAGAAAAGAAAATCATAAGAAGATGGTTTCTCAATTTTGACTCTTCTAAGTCCTCAATAACAACTTGAAAGGACACAAATTTAGGGTCCTGAAAAGCTCCCTCGTCTCTGATTCATCTCTCTGTAAGACTCAAACCAATCGGTTTCTGTAGACTACAACAAACAAATCAATTGGACGAAAATTTATGTTTGGTTGTTATCTCCGTGAAGAGAGGTGTGTTTAGGATGGTGGCTGCCATGTCCCGGGCCTAAATGATGATCCAGACCCTGATGGCTCTGTTGTCCTGCATTATCATCATCATCATTACCATCAGTTTGGATTTGATCATATCACACACAATACATTACTGCATGTTTATAGAGAACATATTCCGCATAGTAATGGTTTGTAACAATCAGAAAGACTGTTTCATAGTTTTAAGATTAGAAAAGGTAAAACCAGCTAGACTTACTTTGGTTCAGGTGGCTCTGCAGTTACTATCTCAGGTTCATGCTCCTTGGCCCTGTAAAAGCAATGTGGAGAAAATTTGGTTATGTTGGTCTTCTGAAAGATGCTTAGTTTTGCATCTGGCAAAAATATATGAAACGTAAGAAGATCTAACACAAGATATGATTAGTGCAGAGAGATATTATAAAACATGATGATTCACCTTGATTGATCTGCTTCTTCACTAGCTTCCTCTGGTTTATCACCTTAAAGCATTAACAAACAAACAAAACTTAATATGTCTGTCTTACTTTTTATGGTAGAATAATAAGCTTTCTGTGGTTATAGGAAAACTAGCAAGTTGCAACTGTAGTAACCTCAGCCCAAGAATCAACAAATAACATAAGGTGAACAACTGTTATTACCCTTCTAATATCACAGTCATAATGGACGTACAGGGAACACATTTCCTATCAGAACATCATAATCACTGACTTTACAAAGCAGTCAACAAGATGCTTCTGATTTAAGTTCACACACTACTATAATATTTAGTGCAATAGTTACACGGAAAATCTGAAGAAGAATCAACAAATTCCCTCATAAGCATTTCTTATCACACAAATGGACAGCATTCCGAAGACACTTTATCAAGACAGATTTAGTTCTGATGCAACAAAGTGTAAATGCCTATCCCTAACAATCTTCATCACATTGGAGAATACGAAACCTAAGAAGTTAGTCTTCAGCACTCTATGGTGACTCCCTTAATCAATTGATACAGAGAAACGGTTATACCTTTTGAATCCGGTGGAAATTGGCGAACAAAGCTTGACAAATCTGGACCATCAACTTTACCTTTATTCAAATAGAGCCAATGTTAAGCTTAAATGAAAGAAAAAAATAATTGAACAAATTTTGTGGGGCACTAATGTTAATTACCGATGCTCGTGATTTTACGTCCAGTGCCTTCTCTGGCTTTCTTCTCCTCCTCTCCTTTCTTGAGAACTTGACAAGAAATTAGAGGCAAAAGAAAAACAATCAACATTTCCGTACAACTTGAAATGACATTCAATGGCAAAAAAAGGCACAAGAATTTCTTGACTTGCTAAGAAAAAAAGACGCAAAAATATGATTCCTCCTCAAAATCATAAACTGTTTGCAGCAAAGATCAACGGAGGCCAAGAGAAAATGAATGTTGAGACATTTAAAAGAATAGATAAGTTATGCAAAACGTATTAACAATCTGGAACACGTACGAGCAACATTAAGCTTCACACGCTCACGCCTTGCTTCAAGTTCAGCCATTTCCTGGACCAGTAATAAACACCAACAATCAAAGGCCAGATACTAAATCTACATTACCAATCTATATGCAACGAAAATTCTGCAAGGGAATGCTGACTACAAATCATTCAGGTTCAAAAAAAGGAGTTTATCTTACCTCTGTAGTCGGCGCTCTTTTTCGCTGCCCATTTAGCCAACATATCCATTCAACTACAACATTGATCAAACAAAGAAATGTAAGCAGACCAGTGGATGTATGCCACATATCCAAGAGAAATGAATTTATGGTGATACAAATGAAACCATGAAACAAGCAAAAATTATGAGTTTTTTGAAGAAGAGTTACCAGGAATAGAGGTTGGGTCCTCTTCTCGTCTAAAGGTAACCCATCTTTTCTCCTTGACTGAAAAGTAGAAAGAAAGCACATGAGAACACGTTACTGCACAAATGGATTTCATATTTATCGTGTTTTGGTGCATATAAAGTAGTTCTGTCAGTTCCATTTGTGTATCAAACACAAGTAGATGATTCGTTTCATGAATGAAAAGAGAAACACAATCCTTCGAATTCGATGGTTAGATTCACACTACGAGAACCATAAAGCAAAGCCTCTGAAACCAAAATAAATTAACATCACACGAACCAAAAACATTTCTAATTTCATACAGGCAAAGACAATCGAAACGAACCAAATAACAAAGAAATTCAGCGTTTTCATGTCTTTAATCTCGCACAAATGACAGAAATTCCAACGAAACCAAAAATGAAATTAAGGTAAGAGGTAGGAAGAACAATACTCGCCGAGTCCGTCAATCTCCTCCATTCTGGAGAAGTACTTGTTACCAGTCTTGTCTACTCCGATGAAACTCTTGCTACTGAACAATCCCACAACTCTCGCCCATATCCTCGACATAGCTTCTCCCGCCGGCTTTCTCCCGCCGGCTTCCTTCCTTCTTCGTATGATCCAAAATTCCAAAAAAATCTCAAACACACCAGAATTATTTCCCGATCGAGTCTGCTCCGTCTCGATCAAAACCCCCGGGTTAATATCCGGATCCGTATCCACCCACTGTTTCGTTATATCAAAATCTTAATTTAAAGATATTTTGGGGTAAACGTTGAAAATAAAAATGTTGTATACTTCGAGGGTCGTTTTGTAATTTTCAACTTTTTTTAAATATCTCTAACCGTCGTCTCTCCCTCTCACTTTCTCTGTTTCTTCTCTTCTCACATTCTCTCTTGACTCACATTCTCTCTTGAATCACGAATTTTCCGACTTCTCTGCTTCTGATTCTGAGTATTTCGACGTCACGTCTATGGCAGGCTCTTCTAGTAGATCCATGCGACTGTTTGGTAAGATTTGCGATCATAACAAGTTTCTCCGAAATTGAGAATTTCGATCAGAAAAAAATTAGTCGATATATGCAGGTGTAACTGTGACGACGGGACCAGATCCTGAACCAGCACCGCCGTCACCAGTCCCTCGTAAGTTTTCTGATCAAATTCTTGTTTGTTTAGGTCGATTTAGGTTTTGTTTGCTCCGTCGGTTCTATTTGTTTATGTGTTCTCTTTTGTGTAATTTGAATCGGAGTCCGATAAAGCGGTATAAATCGGTTTAGAACGGTCAAGATGCATCGGAGATGTACGTATTTAGGTTTTCTTGTGTAATTCTGGATTTCTTGTGTAATTCTGGATTTCTGGTGTTGTGGAATCTCTAAGATCACAAAGAAGAAAGAGAGATTACAGGAGAATTTTGAAACTCTTTTGGAAATGAAGATCTCGGTTTTCTTAGTTTTTGTGTTATCTTTTGTGTAATTGGAATCGGAGTCCGGTACAAAGCTGTATAAACCGGTTTAGAACGGTTAATATTCATCGGATTTAGGGATTAGGTTTTCTTGTGTAATTTCTCGATTTATCGTGTTGTGGAATATCTAAGATCACAAAGAACAAAGAGAGAGATTACATGAGGATTTTGAAACATGTTTTTGGAATTGAAGATCTTTGTTCTGTTTTTTATACAGATCCTTATTCTCTTTGTTATCCTCTGAGGCTCCCTCATCGGCATGGATGTTCTCTGCTGGGATGCTTCATTCCGGTGGAGAACAACAACGCTTACTGCTGTGAAGCCCATATCCTCGACATCGCTTCTCCCGCCGGCTTCCTTCCTTCTTCGTATGATGATCCAAATTCCAAAACTCTCAAACACTCTATAATATTTGCTTCGATCCGTTATTCGCTTCGATCCAATTCGAAAAATCCGGATAACCGTCATTTTACAAAGCAATCAAATACTAAAATGCAATATCCGTACAAAACGAAGCAAATCACAAGTATTAAATTTTTAAAAGACGGATATCCGCTCCGATCTGTTATATGTATATATGTGTATATATATAAAAATTTACATGTAAAAATTGTATAATTATTCTATTTATATTTAAATTTTCATAAATTTATATTCATAAAATTATTTATTTATGTAGTACATACTATAAATTAAGAATAAAATTTTGTATATAGAATTTTTGTAATTTTTTTGTGTTAAAATCTAATATTTTCGATTTTTTTTTCGGATCGAATGGGATATTTGGTAAATATTTAAGTTTTAACGGATATCCAGATAGAGATATACGATTAGTGCGAAACATAGCGAATCACGAATACTCTCAAAATCCTGGATATCTGTTTCGTGCTCCGGGCTATTAGTTATTGTACTTTGGTGATGATTTAAAACCTTTCTAAAACTTAACACATCTTCTTACTCATCAATCATCATCAGTGCCGACTCTTAAGGTCGTATCACATGTAAGCTTTTTGATATTTATTTTAGACCACAAAAAATGTATTGGTGCTGATTAAGGCCTAGAATATACAAACAGTCGCTCTCACAAATCATGGCTAAAATTGATTATGTCAGCTTAGATAATACCAAAATCTTGGAGTGAGTGAAATTGTTTTTTTGTTAAAAGAGAGCAACAAAGTTCGATGAATGACGGCTTCTCAAAAGGGCCCAAGTACTCGTCATCTATTGAAGAATCTTCCTTTCAAGCTAAACGTTTTGTTTGTTCTTAGAAAGCAAATCACATCACTCTAGTTTTATTTTATTTTGTAACTTTCTCAAAACTCTGTTCACGCCTAGATCACATGCAAATACAGTTTATAATATGCAAATCAACTAGCCGCCTTAGATAATATTTCCTCTAATTCTTTCTAAGAAAATTTATGTAGTTTTTCAATATATATTTTCGAAAATGCTTTTTACTTACAAATTTGTGAATTCTACTGTAATCAAACTTACCATTTCTTTTCGTTATTATTGTCATGTAGATGTAGATCTATAAATGTGTGGTCTGAAGATAAAAAACGCTGATGATATTGTAACTTTGTCTTAGAACGCTGGTCTCTTGCTATACAGTTTTTACCAAGTCAGCCGTCTGAATTGAACCTTTGTCAAAAGTCAAAATTCTCAAAACATTTCATCTTAAAGGGGATGAATCTGTTAACATATTCCATGTGGTACCCAATTTATAATATTTAACTTCTGGAATGAATTCAAATCATGAGTAAATTTACTTCCCGTGGTGAAGAAACCAAAAGTAAAATTGGCCACATATGCCTAGTGTAGTACTATATACAGTGTACTTTGTTTGACCATTAAATTAACTACTCTTCATCGTCACAGAATGCACCAATATTGATTTTGATAAGTTATTGTCCGGACGTATAATCAATAGGTTCCCATGTTTTTTGGATCATATCTATAAAGACAAAACAAGAACCAATCTATGTGTTAATCTTCTTCTTCAATCCCACACCTCTCGTGTCACTTTCTTACTTTTTCTTCTCAAATTCTCAAGCTTTCTTGCTTCTCTTGACACAGATCCCACTCTATAAATCTCATTACAGCTTCTAAGCTTAAAGTAATAAAAAAATTAAGGTACAAAGATTCTTAAATTCTTTTCTCTTTGCTATTTTTTTTACTAGCCAAGAGGAGTTCGCTAATTAAAGATCCTTATTTGTTGGTCTGTTATGTTTGTAGAGAAAGGTGAGTATCAATGGAAAAGAACAACATGAGATATGAGGTATGGAGATCTTTGAGAGATGGAGATTTTCAAGAAGATGATGTGTGGGATGTTCTTGATCATGATGGATATCATCAATCATCGTTCATGATCAGCAACCATACGGCTAAGCCCTCTTTCTCAACCAAAAGTTTACTTCCAAGCGAGCCTAGAATGATCCCAGAGAGGCAGAGCAGACAAGGAATGGCACCTATGAGACAACAATCGGCTCCTATCAATGTCCCTAACTGGTCAATGGTTCACAGAAAGAAGACAACAAAAAATGATGATAATGATGATGATCATCATCATGATGACGATGATGATAATGGTAGTGGTGATGATAATGATGATGATGAGTATGTGTCACCGCAGGAGTATTTTATGCGACGCAGTCAGATTTCATCGTCCTCGGTTATGGAAGGAGTTGGAAGGAAATTGAAAGGAAGAGACTTGAACAACGTTAGGAATGCAGTATTGAAGAAAACTGGATTTCTTGAATAGACCAAGATTGTATAATATATGTCTAGATATGTATGAACTATGAACCGAATGTAAAACCAAAAAAAACTATGAACCGAATGTCTAGATATATTTCTACTGTCATTAGAATTTTTGGGTTTTTTTCCTTATAGGAAGTACTAGAAAATTACTCTAGTTTGCTAAGATGTATATATATGTGGTTGCATTTGCCATAATAATACAAACGTCTATTATTATTTTTTTCTATGAGATGTAAAGAAATTTGACTTCAAGTTAGGTACAAACAGAAAGACTTCCGAGTAAAGATTGTACTGTCCGAGCTTAAGATTCATTGAATTACACGTTTCGAACCGTCGATGACAACGAGAGACTGATTCCACCTGCTTCTGAGTTTGGCACTTGCAAAAAAAATATTTTTAAAAACGCTTTTACATTTTTCTCTATTAATTAAACAATTTAGTTCAAAAAAAAAAATAATTGAAAAAAATAGAGGTGAGTTGTTTGGGGAAACCACTGATTGAGGACCATGTGCTGCACACGTGGTCAAGGTTGATTCGATTTGTCGCCATTCTTCAACAGGCTTATTAGGAACATACTGTATTCGTTAACGTTCATGTTGAGATTTCTTAACTGTAAATTTGATTTGTTTATTGTTTAGAGTTTTGACTATGTTAGTTGTTCAATTTATTCGTAGAGTGGCCATGTCGGTAGCTACAATTTAATACTAAATCCAATCTCGTTGATATAATTACTGTAAAGTGAAAACTTAACTAATAAAGCAAATAATAATAATAATTAAATTATCCCAACACAAAATAAGATTCCATTCATCTTCCTCCAGCTTCGAATTCCACGCACAAAGCAAGAACAGAGGCACGGCTTCTCTTACTTACCACCACTCCTCTCCCTACATTTGTCTCCGAAAGACATATCTTTTCATAGGATCGATCAACACCATAATCCAAACTTTTTCTGTTGATGTTTCCGTTTCCGAGGTGAAAAAGTCTCTGATCTACTGGATCTGAAAACTGGAGGTCTGTGGGTTGACTCGGTGCGAGTCGCGTCGTGAGATGGACGTCTCTTGTTCAGTAGTTCTTTGAGAGATTTTCTGGCTTTTAGGATTCTATAGATTGATTCATCTGGTTTTGCTTAGACACATCCAAAAATGTCTTCGAAGCATCATCACAGAGGATTGGAGCTGTCGGCTTCCAAGAGTTTTGTCTCAAAGAAATGGACTTTCTTTCTCTGTATCGGATTCTTCTGCGCGGGAATTCTCTTCTCCGACAGGTAAACGAGATAATGCTCTGTTAAATTAAATTCACAAATCCTTGTATAATCCTTCTCTTTACGGACTGTCGGTGAGTGAAATTCACTGTCGATTTACATTTTCGTTGCTTTTCAAGTTTTGGATTATTAAGGGAAGACAAAGATAATGGAATGTTCTCTTTTCGGGAAAATATGGTCGAGTTTTCCTTTTTAGATGACGAAATTACAATGTTTCTAATTTCATCCTTTGTCTTCTCTATTTGGCAAAGTTGTGTATATCTTCTTCAGACGCATTTCAAGACTTTAAAGTATATTCTCATAGACAAAATGCATAGTTCATGGAAGAACCAAAATCAATTATTGTGCTACATTTACTTCTGGAATTTGCAAGCAGATAATCACTAATTCTGCCACTAATGAGACTGTGTGTGTGTGAATAGAATGTGGCCAGAGCCTGAAGGCAATGTTTTATCAAGGGAAGCTTCGGATGATCGGCTGCGATTAGAGTCAGAGGACTGTGATTCATCAAAAGTAAGTTTTCTAATTTAGGTGAATTTAATATTGTCATGAGAGCCCTAGAGTAAATTCTTTGTTCCTAGTTGCTGATAGCATTCTTCATGTTTTGTCAGAAGGGTTTGAAGCGTGAATCAAAAGACATACTTGGAGATGTTTACAAGAGTCCAGATGCAATCCAGTAAGTGCAATAAAGATCTGATATGTCGTTGTTTCCTTAATTTAGCCGTGGTTTCAAACTAAGCCTAATGGTTTTTGCTTGAATGGTGTTATTGCAGAACGCTAGACAAAACGATATCGACTCTGGAAATGGAATTAGTGGCTGCAAGAGCCGCGCAAGAATCCATCATGAATGGTTCACCTGTTTCTGATGATTTCAAGATCCCTGAAACTGTCACCAGAAGGAAGTATCTGATGGTTGTTGGGATAAACACTGCGTTTAGCAGCAGAAAGCGCAGGGACTCAGTCCGTGCTACTTGGATGCCTCCCGGTATGTTGATCTTAAAAACAGCTGTTTCAGCCCTGAGTAACTATTTTGTTTGGGGACTGAACATGTGTCTTTCTTTAGGTGAGGATAGAAAGAAGCTCGAGGAAGAGAAAGGGATTGTCATGCGGTTTGTAATAGGCCATAGGTAAGAAACTTACTCTTAGTTTGGCACAAGTATCTGATTGCTGTTTGCCAGGTTGATTACTGATTGAGTGTTTTCTGTGAGCAGTGCCACTCCTGGTGGAATTCTTGATAGAGCGATTCAGGCAGAAGAAAGCAAACATGGAGACTTCTTGAGACTGGTAAGATTTTAACGATATTTTACCGAGATATCCCGACCGTTCTGTTTTTAAATTCTTAAAGTTTGTTTGAGCAGGAACACGTTGAAGGTTATCTCGAGCTGTCTGCAAAGACTAAAGCTTACTTTACAACGGCTTTTGCAATGTGGGATGCAGACTTCTACGTGAAAGTCGATGATGATGTGCATGTAAATATAGGTGAGAATAAACCATCTTACTTGGTCTCAGTTGTTATGTTTCTTGTCATCTCTCAAGTTTGTGCCTTTGCTCATTTCTGTTATGGTAATTTCTGCAGCCACGCTTGGAGCGGAATTAGCAAGATACCGGATGAAGCCCCGAGTCTACATTGGTTGCATGAAATCTGGACCCGTTCTTGCTCAGAAGTAAGCTTTTCACACCTTCAAGAGACTTACTTCTCGTTTTCGATTGTTTGTCTCACTTTTGATATCTCCCTGAAAATTCCTTTGTTAGAGGAGTGAGATACCATGAACCAGAGTACTGGAAATTTGGAGAAGAAGGTAACAAGTACTTCCGCCATGCCACGGGTCAGCTCTACGCCATTTCCAGGGAACTGGCGTCTTACATATCGATAAACCAGTGAGTTAATCCAAAAACTAATCTGCTTTATGCTTATACGCTCACACCTTGATTGTGTGTTAACTAAGGACGAATTGTGTATACAGAAATGTACTTCACAAGTACGTGAATGAGGATGTCTCTTTAGGATCATGGTTTCTTGGACTAGATGTGGAGCACGTAGATGACCGTAGGCTTTGTTGTGGTACAACAGGTAATTCCCTTATCTATCCCCAAGTATGGATGTTTGGTCATTCCAGTGTTGATCAATGAGGAACGAACTGCAGATTGTGAGTGGAAGGCGCAGGCAGGCAACATGTGTGTTGCCTCGTTTGATTGGAGCTGCAGTGGGATTTGTAGATCAGCGGATCGGATGAAAGATGTTCATCGGAGGTGTGGAGAAGGCCCAAATGCTCTCTTGGCTGCATCTTTCTGAACACAATAACAGAAGAAACACATTGAGGAAGAAGAAGAGTACACAGACAAATCCGCTCAACAGTCAACACTTTGTAGTATAGACACACACTCAAAAGCTGCTCAAGACTCTCTCTATATATGTATGTATGTATCTTGTGAAGTGAGATGAGAAGGGTGCTTTTTGCCCTCCTTTCTTGTTTCTTTATGGTTTTTTTTTTCAGTTCTCTGAAGGTCTGGAGTTCTTTGCACACAGAAATGCAGATTTTAGCTGCAGAAGGCAGTCTCCATGAGCGCTCACTTTCAGAGCCATTGCGTTGAGGCGTTTTCTCAGCCTTTGTGTTGGAAAGAAACATCCAAGTTTTGAGTTTTGTTTCTTTAATGTCTTTATGGATTTTGCTTCATTTTGTATTTTGCCATGATTGTAGTTAAGCAATGGCTTTACTTGTGTGTGTGTGTGTACTGTGTACTTAGAACACAAATCTATCGAATAAAGATTTAACCATTTGAGAATAAATTCAACATAGAAGAAAACGTTCCTTGGTTAGGAGGACTGTACACAATGATTTCTGACAGGTTATCCAGTAGCATGTAAGTGATGAACAAGGCAAGATTGTCCTTGTCCTTTCACAAACACGAGGATCAAATAGCTTTAGGAACAACATATTTGACAGGTAATATAATTGTAGAATCAGGAACATTTTCACTGATGTTAAGCGTTTCGCTAGCATATCTCTGGCAAGTTGTCCCATGAGCAGGAGGAAATGGTAATGTTCTTGTTGTTACTGTTGTCGTCTTCGTCATCAACTTGAAACAGCAAAGCGAACTGGTGATCGTCAAGGACGAGGTTGTCCTCTGTTGTTAAGACAGAGAATTGCCCGTTTGAGATCTCTCCGCTTTCTGCTCCCCAGTCAAGAAGTTTTGCTATGTCCTCATCTTGCATCGTGTTCATCTGGAGAGACTCGTCTTCCTTTGGATTTAAACCTGTACTAACAGAAACAAAACATTTTCAGAATACACATGTTTTCGCAGATCATGAATCAGTTTGAGCTGGCTGATTATTACCTTGCAGGGAACATATATTGTTGGAAAAACCACAATGTCCGAAACTACCCGAAAAGACGAAGTTGTTGTCCATGAGTTGTCTCCGCTTAGGAGCCCAGCAGCCATCGGTTAAAGCCTCGACCTCCTCCATCACATTCTCTAACAGCTGACATGTACTTATATCCAAACCGGTGTTAAGGCTTTGGTTATAATTGCCATTGTCTGAGAAGTTGCTTACTTCATAGACACCTAAAGAGGCAGAGTATGGATTTTGGTTTGTAGGGAGCTCATGTTTCATGGAGTAAACCGGATTGGTAGATTGATAGGAGGGAGGAGTGTGAAGAAAGGACGGGGAAGAGACAAGGAAAGTGGTTGGAGAAGAAGTATAAGAGGGCTTAGTAGAGAAGCCATTGAAGGCAGTGTCGTAAGAACGTTTGGGACGCAGAGAAGGCGGTGGTGGTTTAGGGAAGGTGAAGAGAGGGAGGGTTGGAGTGTGGAAGGAGAAGGAAGAAGCTGTTGTTTGAGACGGAAGAGGAGATGAAGGAGTGTTTGGCTGTTGATGATACGTCTGCTGTTGCTGTTCGTGTTGTTGATGATTGTTTGGGGAAATATCTGGAGGGTAGAGAGGAAGGCCTTGGCGTTGGAAGCGTTTCAACCTCGTGTTCCAGTAGTTCTTTATCTCGTTATCTGTCCTTCCTGGTAACTGTTGAAAACAAACAGTATAAGAAGAAGAATTAAGAAGCCTAGAAAACAGAGAAGGAAACAGAGTAGCTCTGCTTTCCACATGCATGATCAAGAATCATAACAGACAAAACGTACGTAAGGTTTGTTGTTTATATAATTAATATTTTGGTGACGAATGATGCTTATAATGATTTTGAGTCGCTATAATAATGATCACCTGAGCAGCCATGCGAGACCATTTGTTGCCGAGCTGAGAATGGAGCTGGATGATGAGACGTTCCTCTTCTGCGGTGAAGGAGCCTTTCCTGAGATTAGGTCGGAGGTGGTTAGCCCAGCGGAGGCGGCAGCTCTTGCCGCACCGAGCCAGCCACGTCTTCTTCTGAACCGCGTTCCAGTTTCCTTCTCCGTATTCCCTAACGTAAGCCGCAAGTGTCTCGTCCTCAGCCGCCGTCCACGGACCTTTCTTCAAAACCATACCTCCATCTCCTCCGTCTGATCCAACGTCCTCCTTGGGTGCTCCTCCGCCGTACAGGATCATCGCCCCTTCACTGCGTCCCCTTGATCCGACAATTCAGGGGACAAAAATGACGATTTTTTAGTTTGTTTATTAGTTTGAGATTGGTTCCTGAGATGTGGGGCCTGATGGTTCTAGACGGTGATTGGTTGAACGTCGGGGGGTTTTTTTAAAAGGTAGGATTTACAAAATGATATTCACCCCCCGAGTTCTTCCCATAGTAAATTTTGCTGGTTTTCTTTTAACCTCTTAGCTCTTTCACAAAAGACAAAGAGGAAAGATGGCCAAAAAGGAGAAACGAAAAAGGGCATCTCTGGTAATTTTTCGAGGTAACTAAAATTACAAGTGGTAAATAGAATGAGAGGACATGATATAAATAAGGAAGAGAGAGAGATCCAATAGTTTGTTTCATAAACAATAGCAAAATAAACCATTAGCAATAGGAAAAAAAATACAATAACACTCATATGTAACGAGCTTTGTTACATGAAAATAATGAAATACATAACATTTATTTAGAATAAGCGCATGGATTTGCTATGGAACCAAGTCAAGCTACTACCAGCCGATTTGGATAGATAAATTGATAAGCCAATGCTTTTTTTCCATGTAAACAAAGTGAACAATAACTATCGTAATATTATTAATTTCTTACACCAATCTCAATGCATGGTTTGCACATCGTGTTTGGTAGATTAAAAAAGAGCCGGACATCAATCTTTGTATCAAAAAAGATTTTCCACGATCAATTTCTTGGGAATTAGGTGAGGACAGCTTTGCTTTTATGTAGATTAAGAAAAGGATCCCTGAGATATCCTCTCCAATCGCCTTTGTATCATGGTTGTGCAATTTTTGGGTGTTTTGAACACTAAATATGTGTATTGTAACATATCTGATTACTATTGCCTTTCAAAACTGACACAAATTTCAAAATATCTGACCATTAAGCGTTGAGGAAGAGGTGAAACTATTAGAGAACTTCATAGATCCATGCGACTGTTTGGTGAGAATTACAATCAAAACAAGTTTCTCCCAAAATTTCGATCAGAAAAGTTTCTCAATATATGCGACTGTTTTGTTTGATTCTGAATCATTCCGATTTGCAGGTGTAACTGTGACGACGGGACCGGAACCGGATCCTGAACCAGCACCGCCGTCACCGGTCCCCATTAATCGTAAGTTTTCTGAAAACTCAAATTCTTGTTGATTGCTCGGTCGATTTAGGTTTTGTTTCTGCTTGTGATAATCGCGGTTCTCAATTCTCTTTGTTTGTTGATTGAATTTATGCGCAGGCAACATGTGTGTTGACACAATTGTCCAAGAGAATTCTTCCACTGAATTGTCCACTGGCGGATTGAGAACACCAACTAGGAGAACTAAGAGAGGAAAAATTGTGAGAGAGAATTCAGAATTTGGCATGGTAGTACTCCAAGTTTAGAAAGTGTAATGGGATGAGTTGATAAGAGAGGAAAAACTGTGAGAGAGAGAGAATTCAGAATTTGGCATTGTAAGTGCTCTCAGTTCTTCTTTTTAATTCTTTTTTCCTTTACGATTTTTAATTATTTACATAAAACGTTTGGATATTCAAAAATAGTAACTAACGTGATAAGTCTATCAAGTAGATTTACATGTATAAAAAAATAATTATCAATTAGATTTTGACATAACATAAAAAGATAAAAATTATAGTATGAGTTTCTGCTTGGAGAAGAAAATAAACAATAAAAATTCATCTTCCTTCATCAGATGGTCTCAACAAAAAGATTTCAATTATAAGAGGTCCGATGGTTCAACTTAACAAAAACTTATTGAAGATAAATGAATCGATTCTGTTGTTGAAAGTGAGACAAATTATGGTAACACTTGAACCCAAGAAATTCTCAGATCCTGACTTCAATGCCCTTCTCTAGCAAGTGCTCTTTCACAGATGGGATTGGTACCTTCACACAAAACACAAAACGGTATTAGAATAGTTTACCAAACGAGACAATACATTTTGCCAAAGGTTTTTGAAGAGAAAAACAAAAGTTGTACCTCTTTCCGGTGGAAAATGCCGGCAGCAAGCGCGGCAGATGCGTTTGTCTTCTCAAACACCTCGGTGAAGTGTTCGGGGACGCCTGCTCCACTACTTGCAATCACCGGTATGCCTACTGAATCAGAGATGAGCTTTACCAAGTCTATGTCAAATCCTTTCCCTTGACCTGAAAATCAACAGAGAGGAGGAGTAAAACATTTACACATACAATGAGCTTTAACATATGAAACAATGCCGCTTTAAAGACTTGAAAAAAGGACTGTTCGAGTGTACATACCATCACAGTCTATGCAGTTCAATAGTATTTCACCAGCACCTAATTCTTCAACCGCTTTCGCAAGCTCATATGCTCCAATAGGCCGACCTTCTCGTCCTCCACTGACCTTTTAGTTGACAAAAGCAATAGTTAAGGAACGAGACCAATTGATACTAAGCTGCAAAGGGTGGATGAAATTTTACCGTGCACTGATACCACGCATATTCTTCCCCATTTGGACCTAACAACAGCAGATTACGTCATTTGTAAGCAAATTTATGAAGAAAGTCTATTCACTGCGACTACAGTCTTTGTATATACGAGAAAAAGATTGATGCAAGATGAGCAATGACATCCCCTTTAGGAAACTAGAGGTTGGATTATCAAGCAATAAGAACATTTTCCTTGGATACTTTAATGCATGAGAACGCCAAACTTTTGCCATTCAAATGTATGATAATTAGCCACCCTCGGTAACGTTCGTTTAGACCATGACAAAGCATATACAGAAGAGGTGTGAACACCGGCATACCTGGGTTAGTTACTCTGATGACCTTGTATGGCACATCATCAGGATGGTTCACATAAACTCTACGAGGATCAATACTTACAACAACTGCCTGTGAAAAGAAAAACTCTCATCAATTATATGAAAAACTACTTCTGATTTCACACATAAATTAGGACAAAGAAACAACCATATGAACACATGTCAAATTATATATTCACTGTTTATTCCATCTGTAACTAAACTATAGATATCCTTGCGTCAAGCGACTAGCTTCCTATATAGTACGCATGCTGAGGTTTGAGTAAAAAGTTTATTGTTCTGGACTGGCTTTACCTGATTTCCATAAACTCTGGATATCTGTTCTAAACTACTTTTTCCGGTCTTCACCTACAAGAAATGCAAGATAAGGGGATTAGATGATTCGTCCATTATTCGATACTAGCACGAAGAACAGCTCGGGTAAATTAGATGGGTAAGAAACAAGCTTACCCCTGACTTCACAAACTCTTCTGCAGCATAAACAGCGTCACTTCCTATGGAGATCTTATCAGCACCGGATCTGAAATACTCAGCAGCCACTTCCAAGCTAGAATAGTACCTGAGCCAAAGTAACTTTATATTAAAGTGTTGCGGAGGATAAAAATTGCATTGCCTTTGCCGAGAGAAATCTCTTTGCATGTACCTGCCGCTAGCATCAGTAAAATCTCTAATACCACCTCCAACAGTTAGTGGTACAAAGACATTCTCTGATGTGTACCTCAACACCTATAAAGCATGCAAAGTTATCTAAATCCGATATGACAGGCACCTACAGAAGTAATACTTCAAACTGTAATGAGAAAAATTAACAAATCTTGGTACCTGTATCATCGGCAAATCTCCTAGAGGAAAATCACGGAATCCAGTTATGTTTAAAAAGCTAATCTGAAAATCCACAGGCAGCATGTTCAAGTGCCAAACCAAATCTAAATAAAGATGTCTTTAAGCCACTAGCATGATATTGCATACCTCATCAGCACCATCTTTGTAATACTGCCTAGCCAAATCCACAGGTTTGCCAAGATTTCGAACCTACACAAGAAAAAAGTTCAGAGCGATGATAATTAGTAAACCCTAACACCTCTCAGGTAAGATATAGACGTATCACATAAACATCCTAACACCAAAAACTTTTCAATTCTTCACAAAGAAAACTGCCAAGGATATGACATTAAAACAAAAATTTGAAACATACCTCGTTTTCATCAGATTGCTCTCTCACATCATACTGGTCCCCTTTAGTTACTACAAGATCACCTTTATCATTACTCCTAACATCGAGACAAGCGATAACCTAAAGATAGAAAAAAACACAAATCATTAGAGAAACTGCCTACCAGAATAGTAAAGAGCAAAGAAAACAATGCTGTGGAGAAATCAGCCTTCTAATAGTAACAGGACAGACATATTACCCTCTTTGCAAGTTTTGAAGCCGTCCCTTCCATTGGCTTCTGTCTTCAAGTAAATTGTGGTTTCCATTAGACACACCAAAAAATCAGGAAGCTTACATTTTACATGTAAGGCTAGAGTGAAAGCTACCTGTGTCGAGGGTAAATTTGGATCCAAGAACCTTCTCAAGACAGAAAGCCCCACCTCTGAATATTTCCAATTATGAATTAGTACAATATCAGAATATATGAAAATATACTCTGAATAAGAGATGAAGATGGTTTCAAGCTAGACCAAAATAACATACCCCCGCTCTTCTCAGGATGGAATTGGACTGCATGCACATTTCCCCTTCTTATGGAAGATATAAAGGATTCACCATAGTTGCAGGTAGACGAAATCCATTCCTTGTTTTCATTTGACTACAACAATTACAGAAACTAAAAGTTATATAAAGAAGAAGCAGAAGAGAAATACAAAAAAAAACGACAGTAAAAGAAGAGATCGTAGAGAGCCATACCGGAATGGCCCGGTAAGAATGAACAAAATACACATGACGATTTCCAACATCATCCAAAATTTCAGAATCCTTGCCAACTTGCAAAGCGTTCCACCCAATGTGCGGTACTCGAATACCAGCTGAAGAATCAAACCGTCCAACTACCCCCGGTATCACACCAAGACCTTTGACTGACACAAATAACACACTTGTATAACCATAAGTACAAGAACATAATGTAGATCATGTTGAAGGAAAGATTGCAGAATGAATAGGGGCGAATCGAGCTAAACCTGGTCCATTCTCCTCACTGGAATCGAAAAGAAGTTGTAGCCCAAGACATATGCCTAGAAAGGGACGGTCGTTCTCAATATACTTGCACAAAGCTTCTGCCATCCTGCAAATATCAAAATAACCCGAAAATGGTAGACATGTACAAATGATTCAACATGAGATTTGCTTACATTTGAGGGTCATACTTACCCGGTTTTGTTAAGTACATCCATGGCGGGTGCAAAAGCTCCGACGCCGGGAAAGATAAGACGATCAGCACTCAGGATGTCTCCCGGCGTTTGAACCTAAACATTTCAAGTTCCCAGAGGAGATCAAATTTCAATTCAGTCTTTGGCTAATCAAAAATGTCAAAACCAAAATGGAGATAGACTTAGATTCAGAAAGCCTACGTCTTTGATGCTGAAGCCGAGATGACGGAGAGCGTTGCGGATGCTCCTGACGTTGCCAGCTCCGTAGTCAAGCAGAGTCACAACTATTCATGACAGAGCAGTATTAAAAACGAAAACAAAATATATGAATTAAGCATAACAGAAAGAAACCCAATTGAATATAGTACCAGAATCGGAGGTAGAAGATGCGCGAACGGAGAGGTTTCTCGTGGATTTGAATTTGAGATTAGCATTGCGGAGATTCTTCCGGGAGAGGAACAGGGAGCTCGGGGAAGCAACGCGAATCGAAGAAGAAGAAGAGAGGTTCTGCCTGGAAGGGACAATGGACGAAAATTGCGCCGCCGTGGCCTCCATTGATAGCAATTCACTGATTCGACTGCTAGCTAATTCAAAAGGTCGTCGTCACTTGTTAAGAAGTCAGGGAGTCAAAACTCAAGACTCAAGACTAACCACTCTACTAACGACGTCGTTTAGAATGTATTACCTACTCCGACTATCCAATGAAAGGCATGAAATATGAAAAAAATAAGGGCCAAATCATTATAGTTTATACTACAGATTAACATGAACAGCCGAATGTACAGAGGAGAATATTCTTTTCTTTTTTGTTCTCAAGTCAACCCTTTCTGATTTCTCATAAATGTGTCTGAATAAATTAGATACAACGATTAATTGTAACCTAAGACATGCTATAGTTTTACAAAATAGCTAAGTTGGGCATTCAACTCTTTCTACTGTTACATGTTACAGACCAATACTAAATCCAAAAGAAAGAAGCATGACATGACAAGTATTTGGAAATGTTCTGTGTTTGATGAAGTCATCACGACATGAGTCTTAAGTCGTTAATCATCTATTTATCATCCACCGACGACTCTTCACCGTGTCTCCTTCGTATTTTATTTTCTATGTAGTTTTTGAAAACTATAATAACATCCTACAACTATGTAAGAACACGGTTTTAAGAACACCATCTAAGCCGATTTCTTCTTAATTCAGTCTTAGATAACTTTCATTCATTGAGCAATGAAATTGATTGTTAGGACTTAGTTAAGGACTATGGAAAAAGGGAAATAAAGACTTTGCTATTTGACAGACAATTTTTTTTCTTTATTGACAATAGCAATAAACATTTTCTTTGAGGGTACAATTTTACATTCAACACTATAATAGCGAAATGCAGTTAAATTTCCATTAATAGTAACATTGGAGTAGAAACTAGTAATGAAGTCGTCAGAGGAATATTCCGAGAACAAGCTGTCTGGATCCGAATCTTCAACTACAAAAATCGCTCGCAACGACGACGTTGCTTCAACGCAAATCACGTCTTCGTCACCGTTGCCGACGAGTTTCTCGGTTTCTCCAAGATCTTCGCCTCTCACTTGAATCCATTCAACGTCCTCTACCGTACCCCAATTGGGAACGCTTGAATATTCATCTTCGGCGAGTTGCTCGATCCGATCAGCCGGTGAATCACAAGAATCCGAGTAATCAGCAAAAGGTTCTGAGTGACTTTCGGAGGCTTCGCATAAATCCCAGAATCGTTGATCCAGTACATTGCTCGGAGAAGAAGTCTTGTCCAGACAATCGCTAGATTGAGAGTCTTCGTCGTGGTCGAGGAAAGGATGTTTGAGCAATTCCTCCACCGACCATCTCTGTTTCGGATCTTTCTTCAAACAACTCATTACAAAGTCCTTAGCTTTCTCCGATATCCACCCGGGAATCTCCGGCGACTCACCTGAGAACCCAATCTTATACATTGCAGCGACGACGTCGTTTAGCTCCGGCCAAGGGTTTGATCCAGTCATCATCTCAATCACCGTACACCCTAAAGCCCACACATCAGCTGGAAACCTCTGTTCTTCACCACGAGCAACCTCTGGCGCCATAAACGCCGGTGTACCGGAAAATTCAAATTTAGCAACCGGTTTAGCACAACCCAAATCGGCGATCTTCGAAATGACACCGTTTTCTTCAACCAGCACATTTTGGCTCTTTAAGTCGCAGTGAACAATCCCTCTCTCGTGAAGAAACATCAGACCTTTGAGAATCTGACGCGTGTATAATCTGATCGCCGGCTCCGGCAATTTTCCGCCGGATTTTTTGATTAAATCGTGAAGACTCCCGCCGGAAACGTACTCCATCAGAATATTGTAAACCAATCCGTCGTTTTCCCGCGTTAAACCAGAGCCTATGTACTTGACTATGTGAGGAGAGCTCAATGTAGACAAGATCGATTGCTCTTTCTGCAAGAACGCTGAGGAAGATAAATCTGCCGATTTGACTGCGAAGATCTCACCGGAGTTTGATATTGCTATTGAGACGGTGGCCGTGGAGCCTCGGCCGATGATTGGTCCTCTTGTCCAACTAGTCTCCATTTGGAACAGTAAAAAGAACAGAGGAAATATGAATTGAGAGAGAGAGAGAGATGATATGAGAGGATTTTAATTGTTTAAGCAAATGGCTTATAAGTAAGAAGCTTATATATAAAAAGCTTTGTATGTTTATGTGTGTATGTGTGTGTTTTGGGTATGTAGAAGTGTGTGTATGTGACTTTGGCATGGGGTTTTTGGTTCAAAGTCGGAGACGACATTCTTTATTCTTCTTTTTTCTTGGTATCTTCTTCTCCAATTATTAAGCGCCAATACTTTTAGCTTATCTTGCACTTTATCTGTGTGTTTAGACTACTATTTTTATGTTTACAGCAGTTTAAACTTACATTCAAAAATCAAAACTGTTGAATACTATGAAGGACAGACGTCACTACTCCGTCTTAGTTTTTAGAATATTTAGCATGATTCATACCAAGGACAACCATACTTATTAAAAAATGTACAACTGGAAACTTAAGTACTTTATATGGTTTGTGTCTCTTTTATTTCTTTGTTGAATTGATACTTATATTGCAAACTTCTCAATGGCGCTCAAAACCTTTCAATGTTGCCAACAGCTGCATGTTAATCATCTGTATTATTTAATTTATAGTGCAACGAATACTTAAATGCACAGACTATGTTTTTAAGTAATTGCATGGAACACACTTAACCATACAGATACACTACATATTTGGCAACTGGCAACGCACAGATTCTGGTAGCAATTTTTGTGAGGCAATATAAAAAAAGTGAATGCGTGAAAAAGCCAGGTGGCAGAAGGGGAATGGGTAAAGACAGCTTTGACGGCATGAAGCCAGAGTGGACAGCGCCGTTACTTCAATCCTCAAATTAAAGAGAGAGTAAAATTAACGACTCACGTGACGGAAGCGCGTGGATCAAATCAAGTACAGACTACAGCAGAGTACAGACCATTAAACGTGGGAACGGGATTAATTCACCTCTACTTAAAAAAGGATTTAACTCATCAAAGTTGAATTTTAATTATTTTTTTATTTGTTTATGGGGCTGTAAAGAAAAAAATGTGTGGACGAATCCAAATGTGAATGCGGATGATAATGTCTTTAATTCGAATGCAAGCTGGGAATATTTATTCCCCTCTTTGCTTTTGCTCCGAAAATACAGTTGGAGATCAGAGTTTATTTTTGTCTAGGATTGTTCAATTTGGTAAAATCGAATCGAATTGAATTGATCCAAATCGAACCAAAATAGATCATATGGTTTAGATTTGGATACACCGTATAAACCGTATGGACATAATATTATATAAACTTTAGATATTGGTATGGTTTGGATATTAATCGAATTGGCCGCAAAAACAAAAAAAAAAATTGAATAATTCTATACTTAATATAATTATATATATATGATATATAATAATATATCAAAAATTACAATTACGAGGAAGAGAAATAATTGACTAGCTCGCTTTCTTTATATTGTTATAATTTTGCGCATGTGATGAATATATATAAGAGTTTCATTTCAGCTGATTCCTTGCCATACAAGAAATATTGAGATGATTTGTACAAGACTCGAGCACCTTCAGCAACCTATCACTCTGCCCCAGCACAAAGCAATTTTAGTTCCAGTCTGAAAACAAACATATAGGCAGTAGCGGAGCTAGGAAAATATTTCACAAGGGTCAGATCAATATTTATCATATATTACAGGGGTCATTAAGCACATTTTATCACATTTTCTATCTAAAATAAAGGTAATTTTTTTTCTTTATAAATTTCACATGGGTCAATGTATATAGGCGACAAAATATGTTACCTTCTCTTTCTGAAGCTCTAAGAGTTTGCTCTCTAATCTGTTCACGGACAAGCCAAAATTGTCGACATGAGGTCCCATAGCAGGTTCTTTTGCAGAAAGTTATTTTTTGTTTGCGCCACTTACAATGTCAATTTCTAAATTCTCTTTCACTATTTTTCCTCTCTTAGTTTTTCTAGGTACTTGACTCCTGTTTAGTGCTTACACTCGATTGTGTTGCATTGTAGGTGAGACTGAATACATGTACTCCCACGTACAAATATTTAAGAAGGTCCCAATCACCCCAATCATAGCACATAGACTTTTCTGCATCAGTTGCAGTTTTGTCAGCCTCCAATGAATTGCGGGTGAGGTTTATTGTATCTGCTCCAAACTTAACATTTTAGGAAGTTTTTCTTTTTCCAATTAATTATAGTGGTTTCCATGAGATGGTACACCACTTGAGGGTCGTCTGAAGGAGGATCCGAACAGAAGTGAACCTAGCTTCTTGTTCTTTCCCAGAGAAGTAAGACGAAATTCTCCTTCAACATGCCAAGGAAGTTTAGCAAATAATCCGGAAACCGAGACTATTCGAACCGAAAATATCCAAATTGAGAAAAATCGATAACCGAGACTATCCAAACAAACCAAATCGAAGCAAATATGGTTCTAATATGGTAGCTGTTTTTTATTAACCAATTTACAAAAATCAAAAATAAACAAACCGAAACCGAACCGATATCCCGATTGAACACCCTTGTCTTTCAGTTATAAAACGAGTTTAAAATATAATTTAATAATTTTATGAGCTAGATATAATAATCTGTGAGTTTTTGGGCTGGATGGAAAACGCGGATTCATGCATGTGATTTGGACAGGACAATAGGTGTGTGTAACTGTCTAAGAGTGTACTGTTTCTGTCATGTTTTAAACCGTAAGATTAAATATGTAGAAGAACATGTAAAATGAAAGATCTTATATGAGCAAGACTTCATGATTTATACTTTGTACGCCACGGATAAAAAGTAGCATATGAAGATGACTCCTATCAATTGAGCCACTGAGCTTATTGCATCGAATACACAAAAGGTAATTTGAATTGTCTATTAGATCATAATGTAAATTCAGCAAGTGATGGCAATGCGATTTCCAACAAAACAGTATAAATGGTGAACTGCTAAGATAAACAAAGATCCTGCACAAAAGCCTCAAATGTTGTGAAGACAATTCACCACTTCCAGATTCTCTCGCAACCTTTTTTAACACAAGTTCAAATAGGAACATCAAATTGTTGGAAACTGTTGATTATGGCCATAGAAGAAACCGAGATGGTCAGACATTTTTTTGGCGGTTTCAAACCGTCTAAATTCTTACAGCAAAATTATCTGTATAAGCATAAAGTACTTATCAAAATAATTATTCGAAATGTGTGGACCCAATTTTATTCCACCACAAATAAATTACACTACGTGAGAAAAAAATAAATCGTGACGTGTCAAATTGTATTCCCCGAAACCCAGTTTGCGTGACGTGTGTACAGTCGTCTCTTGCGATTGGCCATGGCAGCTCATGCGGTGGAGGCAACCGCCGCAACTGCCCTCCGCTCCGTCATTCTCAGGGCTCGTAAGGCGGCGGAGCTTGTAGGAAGAGATCCAGAGCGGGTCCGGGTCGTTGCTGTGTCCAAGACTAAACCCGTCTCGCTCATCCGCCAAATCTACGATGCTGGCCACCGCTGCTTCGGCGAGAATTACGTTCAAGAGTTCATCGACAAAGCTCCACAGGTTCCTCTCTCCAATCTTCATTCACGAAACTATCCTACGATTCTCAGTGTTGTTGCAGTCTGCTGTTTTTCAATAGGGAAATCGATTGAAGCTCGCGATTCAAATTTATAGTTAATCAGTTGAAATCAGATTGAATTCTCCTTCGTTACTTCTATAGGTGTCTCTTTAATTTTTGGGAATCCCAACAGTTTCTTGGGAGGAAAATCTTCTGCTCAGTTTTTGTTTTGTGGTTTGATGGTAACGAGCTTTTTCTGGTTTACTTTGATATACAGCTTCCCGAAGATATAGAGTGGCATTTCGTGGGGCATTTACAGAGCAACAAAGCCAAAACGCTATTGGGTGTGACTTAATTCCACATATTGAAATAATGAATCTCCACGTTTTCTGGAATGAATTGATTCTAATGATTTAGTGGTTAAGTGAAAGTGAAAGTCTTTTAATCCAAATCTTTGCAGCTGGAGTCCCAAACTTGGCAATGGTTCATGGTGTAGATGGCGAAAAGGTAATAATATGACTTTCACTGATTACAAAGTTGATTGATATGATTCTCCAAGGAAACTCGGATATACATATGTAGATGTTCTGTGAGTTGGTCTTGCAATCTGTTCTGCATAGATTTCAGGTTATAAGGATAGTTCTAGATGAGAAGAATGATAAATCAGTGGCAGGTCACAGGTTTTAGGTGTTTAACTTGCTCAATTCAGTAATGCAATGACGTTTTGGTGCAATCACTTGGGATTGATTTGACTCGATTCACAGGTAGCAAATCATCTAGATCGAGCTGTTTCAAGTCTTGGGAGGCATCCACTAAAGGTTTTGGTACAAGTCAACACAAGCGGAGAAGCTTGTGAGTATAAATTACCACCAAGCAATTGACTTTTTTTCCAGCTTCGTCCATTGCTTATTCGTGAAATTGATGCAGCTAAATCTGGAATCGAACCTTCCAGTGTTGTAGAGCTAGCAAGACATGTGAAAACGCACTGTCCAAACCTGGTGTTCTCCGGATTAATGACTATTGGGATGCCTGATTATACATCTACTCCAGAGAACTTCAGGGTATGCTACTTAAATCTACTTGATTTAATAATTTGTATTTTTCAAAAAGGGCTCTTGTTCCACTACCGGAGGGAGCATACAAACTTCTCTGTTTTTCTTGACAACTTTTGCTTACAAAGGTTTTATTCTTTTGCCTTCATAAACCGGCCGGCCAGACACTTACAAACTGTAGAGCTGATGTGTGCAAGGCACTTGGAATGGATGAAGACCAGTTCGAGCTGTCTATGGGCATGTCCGGTGACTTCGAGCAAGCGGTAATATCTTCTCGTCTCTCTTACAATACCGAATATGCAACCAATTCGATATAGAATCATTTGAATGTGTTCTTACTTTCTTCCGAGGAACTATGAAATGGGGAAGTTGATCTTTGACTGTGTTTCTTTTTGAAATTTATGGAACTGCAGATTGAGATGGGAAGTACCAATGTGAGGGTTGGTTCCACGATCTTCGGACCAAGAGATTACCCCCAAAAAGCAACTTAGCTTGTAAGCTACTACTTCTCGAACACTTCTTCCTCTTCTTCGTGTAAGATTATGTATAATAATGTTATCTTGTCGATTATTAGATGATGTATCATGTATACTTTATTCCTTCGTGATAAGATAATGTGCATTCACAACACATAATTTGATTCGTTTATACATTTTACGGAAACCTTAGATGTGTCAACATTTTATGAAAACAATAGACGTGTCTTGTAGTTTATTCCCAACATTTTATGTGAACAATAATAAATTCGTGGTCGTTTAACTCACACAAAGTTTGACTTTGACCGTGTTTGTTTCTGACTTGCACTTACCAATGCCGTAACTATTCAACATATTAAATACAACGAAAATATATATAAAACAAATGGTATGAAATATTGAGGTCTTTATAAACGAAGGACAAATTTTTGAACCGAAAAAAAAAAATCATAGATATATGAAACAAATGGTAATGGAAGGCGGCCGTACAAATGGTAGAGATTGCCAAACAAACAATGGACCACTATTATGTGGTTAATAGTATATCCTTGCCTTAGATTCCGAATCTTCACTTTGGTTTTTTAATTTTCATTCGTTCTTTGTAATTTTGCATGCGACATAAAAAAACAAAACCCTCCAAAAAGCTATGGTCTAAAACTGTTCCACTTAGTTTTGGATAACAGCTTCGAAAAATATCGACCGAACGATGGTCCTCAGCCCATATCGAGCCTCGCAGCAGTTGCTACGACCACACATCGTCCAATGGAAAATATAGGACCATGCAAAACTCTTAAAGCGAACTACTATGAAGACAACATAAAGTAACAGTGTCTTCTTCACTCGTACGTTTAGACTTTAAACAAATTTATACATACAATATGAGATGACAAGTGAAAAACATGCCGCATGTACTCATCTGTGTTGTTGTGTATTTGCTTGCTGCGTCTTGTTTACATGCAGCAAACAACTGTTAAAAAAAAAGTGGTACAACTTTTGGCTTTTTTATAATATTTGAATGATTTAGTTCAGTTGATCAAAAGAAGTAACGGTTAAAATAAAGGTTAAACAATTATTTTCTTATAACAAAATTTTATTCTTGACATTGATATTGATATGAACCGTTACAATTATATATCAATCAATTATAAATTCATCGCTATAGAGTTATCGTGTTTTCGAATACTGTATAAGGTTTAGTTCGCTATTCAAAATTGATTTTGTAGTATAAGATTAGGATTTTCGATGATGATTTAAGAGTAACCTAAATTTTATTTTTAAACTAACACATTGGTAACTAATTAGAGTCATTAGACAAAATAGTTTCAAGCAAAAAAAGTTTTTGAGTAAAAAAAGAAAATCTCACGTCCGAATCACAGCCACAAAAATATAGTCCTAGAAAAAAAATCTCACATAAATACACATATGTGTCGTTTCTCGTCTCTGGTTCACTCGTCTCCTATCTATTTAAAGCCATTCGTATCCCAAAACACACTATCATCAGCAAATTAGCCAGAAAAAGAAAAAAAGGAAAAAAAATACACAATTTACGAAATCTCTCTTTCTTATTGAAAGATCTCTCTCCTTCTCGAGCTTGTATTCCGTTTCTCCGTTGATTCAGCTGTTTTGAGTGTCGTGTTCGTTTTTTCGTTCATCTTCTCCGGCGTTTTGGTTTCACAACAAAAATCCGGGAAAGAGGTGGGTCGGCATCACGGCTATACACGGGATATCACGGGGTGTTAGCTCTCATGTCCATATTGTTCGACGCAAGGGTTGTTTAATCGAGACTAATCCTTCGCCGCACGGAGGACGTGGAGCTCTGCCGTCTGAAGGCGGCAGCCCTTCCGATCTCCTCTTTCTAGCCGGAGGCGGTTCCACCACCAACGCTTTCCTTTTCGATTAGGTTTTAGGATTTAGGTTTCTAGAAGCACAATTTTTTCCTTTTCTTCCTTTTTGCTGTTTGATATCGCGTTTGGAGCGGGGGATTTTGTTTCGTTTGCAATTCGAATTTTTCTGAGAATGTTGAAAATCAAGAGGGTCCCGACCGTCGTGTCGAATTACCAGAAGGACGAGGCTGCTGATGAATCCGTCGGCTGTGGACGGAATTGCCTCGGTGCTTGTTGCATTAACGGTACGCCGTCGATCTTAAATTTGTACCTGTTTGATTGCATCTTCTGAAGATTTATCATTTGTGTTGCTGCGTTTGTTCAGGAGCAAGACTTCCATTGTATGCATGCAAGAAACTGGAGAAATCAGGCGCCGGCGAGAAGCTGGTGATCAGCCATGAAACTAGAGAGCCTCCTGTGGCTTTTCTCGAGTCTCTCGTTCTCGGAGAGGTACACAATAGAACACTGATTTGTTTATTCTTAGTTGATTGTGTTGCTTAAAGTCTAATCATTTTATAATATTTGTTGATTGCGTTGCTTAAAGTCTAATCATTTTATAATGTTTTAGTGGGAGGATAGGTTCCAAAGAGGACTTTTCCGCTACGATGTCACCGCCTGCGAAACCAAAGTAATTTATCTCTCTTGACTCTCTTAACTTGTTTCATCTCTGAAGAACTCTAGTGAATGTTTAGTCTTTTGGTGTTGAATTTCACATTGTTCTTAAGATTGTTTCTCTTGATGGGTTGTTGTTATAGGTCATCCCGGGGAAGTATGGTTTCGTTGCTCAGCTAAACGAGGGACGTCACCTGAAGAAGAGGCCGACCGAGTTCCGTATTGACAAGGTTTTGCAGTCTTTTGATGGCAACAAATTCAACTTCACTAAGGTTGGCCAAGAAGAGTTGCTCTTCCAGTTTGAAGCTGGCGAAGACGGCGAAGTTCAGTTCTTCCCATGCATGCCTGTTGACGCTGAGAATTCTCCCAGTGTTGTTGCCATCAATGTAAAGAATCTATGCAGAGAGAATAATTCTTAGTATCTTTTTTCACTAGCAAAAGACTAATTCTTTATTGTATTTAACAGGTTAGTCCGATCGAGTATGGACATGTGCTGCTGATTCCTCGTGTTCTTGACTGCTTGCCTCAGAGGATCGACCACAAAAGCCTTTTGCTTGCACTTCACATGGCTGCTGAGGCCGCTAATCCTTACTTCAGACTCGGTTACAACAGCTTGGGTGCTTTTGCTACTATCAACCATCTTCACTTTCAGGTATACTTGATATTTGAACCGAGCATAACTCCTTTTTCCTTGGCTCATCTTAAGATGACTTGTTCTGATCGTTTTGGTGGTGGGTTATTTGGAAACAGGCATATTACTTGGCCATGCCTTTCCCATTAGAGAAAGCTCCTTCTAAGAAGATGGTTACAACTGTTAATTGTGTGAAAATCTCAGAGGTTCTGAATTACCCTGTGAGAAGTCTTCTCTTTGAAGGTGGAAAGTCTATGCAAGACCTATCTGACACTGTGTCAGACGCCTGCGTTTTCCTTCAGAACAACAACATTCCTTTCAACATTCTCATCTCTGATTCTGGCAGGCAGATCTTCGTGATGCCACAGGTATAACATCAGCTGACAAACAATTGAATCACTACAGGTTTTGGATCCATTGAGTTAAAAAGTAAATAACAGTTTGAGTGTGTAAATTGCAGTGTTACGCAGAGAAGCAGGCTCTAGGTGAAGTAAGCCCAGAGGTGTTGGAAACGCAAGTGAACCCAGCGGTGTGGGAGATAAGTGGACACATGGTGCTGAAGAGGAAAGAGGATTACGAAGGAGCTTCGGAGGAGAACGCATGGAGGCTCCTTGCGGAAGCTTCTCTGTCAGAGGAAAGGTTCAAGGAGGTTAATGATCTCATCTTTGAAGCCATAGGTTGCAATAAACAAGAGAAGGAGCTTGAAGAACCCACAGTTCACCAGCAAAACCATAGTGGCAGTGTTAACCAGAAAAGCAACCGAACACATGGAGGTCCGATCACAAACGGAACTGCCTCCGAGTGCCTTGTCCGTCAGTGAACAAGCTTGGCCTGGTGGTTTCTATGTATAATTAGCGTCTCTTAATGCCTAAATAAGCAAACTCTCTTTGTAGTTGCATTTGAAGCTTTGTTGGTGTTTCTTATGATGCTTGTGGTTATTTTGCGCCTAGACTCGCTGGCTTTCTCTGTGGTGTTATAAGTTTGCGTATGTGATGAATATATATATATATGTTCTTCAGGTGATTATTCTTAATTTATGTGTATAAACCAGTAAGAGTTTCATTTCAGCTGATTACTTGTGACACAAGAAATAATGAGATCATTTGTATAAGACGCAGATAGTTGGTTACAGAAGGAAGAAAATTTGGAAATGTTTATAGGAAGATACAATTATTTGTGTGACAGACATCTGGTCAGTATTTGTTTGACAGACATCAGACGCCTGCGTTTCATCAGGTTAAATCGTTTTACAAGGTTGTATCACAAAACTCGAAGCTTGTTCATGGTTTGAACTGTGAAGCTTATCACATTTAATTGACGAAGTTGTAATATTCACTGATTAGTATTGGTGTATAGAGCATAATATCGCATAGAAGCTTTTTCTTTCATCAGTTGTTAAATTTTGAGATAAAAAGATAAGATAGATCAAATTTTAGACAATCGGGCTCATAACACCTTTAAAGCACAGATAGTAGTGTATGCATAGGATCATCCAACATAAAACGAACAAGACTAAAAATCAACAAAACGTTTCCTTCACCTTCATGACCATACTTTTTATAGTTTCTAAAGACAATGGTGATGATAAAAAAACAAAAAAAGACAGTCTGAAAATCCTAATGCCGATTACTCCTTAACCATTGATATCACACAATCTTATCATGAGCCCTAAACCCGGAAAAAGTGTCAGGCCATTGCATCACGACCGCCACCGCCACCAGTCTGATGGAGCATCGCATCAATCTCATCACCGTCCTCCATTTCCAGCTGTAATATCAAAATTTCTAATAGCATCAGAAAGTGAATATTTCAAGGGAAAAAAGCCTCTAGATCAAATGTCTACCTCATCAGGAGTCTGCTCAGCACGGAGACGACGCCCATCAAACAAGAACGCAATGGAGTTCATGTCCACGGATTGCCTGTCACAGTAAGCATTCATCAGCTTCTTCAGCTGTGTGCTTCTCTTGATCCTAAAGAAGACCTCGTTTCCGTCCTACACATATAACACAGAACATTTATTTTGTTAGAGACTATATAGGAAGGAATAATAACTGAATCGACAGTTATTTTAATGCGAATAACAAACATAAAAGACCAAGGAAAACTATTTGAACACTTACTCTAGGAGAGATTAGCAATTTATCAGCAGATATATAGCCAGAGAATGGACTTGGTTGCTACTTCTATTAGCTAAAAAAATTGATATACACTCCAAAGTTTTTAGCTTGTTTCCAAATTATTTGATATAGCATCTCAATTTTACCCTCCACAAATTGTAAATAACCTCAAACAACAAGAACGAACACAAGCTCTATAAACAACTAATATCTGAAACTAGAGTTACAATTTCAGAAATTTGATAAACAATTTAGCAAAGGCAAGCAATAGTACGAAACCCTAGAATTGGGAAACCAGAAAAGCAGCCAAATTTGGGGATAAAAAAAACCAATCGAAATAACACGAAACCTAGAGAGCAGAAACTCAAATCTACACACAATACAGATGCTGGAAAACACAGAGAGAGAAAGATTACCTGTCCCTTGACCTTGAGATTGATGTGAGCTCCTTGGTCTCCTGGCTTCTTGTCTTCGTCCTGTGTTGCAGACATCCTTCTTCTCTAAGATTCTCCGTCCGAGGAATAAACTACGATTTGTGAGAGAGAACGAAACTAGAGATTCACGCGATCAAATAAGGAATGCTGAGAGATGATATAAATAAATAAGAAAAAAAGACTGATGAAATTCTGAAAATTACTTCGCCGCGCATTTGTACTTGGACGCATCGGATTCCTCTCTATCATAAAAGTGGAGATCGTAGGGCATCTATCCAACGGTGGATATTCTCTACGTTGCCTTTTAATCCAACGGCTGTGAGTGTGTTCAACGATATCATTTTCCCTTCGTTGTAATGGGCTTTATATTCTGTATTGGGCCAACTTTCGATTTCAAACATTTTGCTTCAACTTTTTTGGTAACAGAATTGAGAATTGTTTCCCCTCCCCACTCTCCTGATCTCACGTGACTCCTCCTCTATCCACTCTCCATGAGTCCAATTTCTATCTGCTGAAGACTTTCAAAGAAATTTATAAATCGTTAAATATAGGGAAAAAATAAAGATTAGTTGAAGAAGATAGAGTTAGTCACGCGCTTTTTACAAAAGAAAGCATGATGAATTAACGAGATAAGTGCAAGACACACATACAAAGAAACAAGTTTTTGTTAAAGAAACAAACAAAGGAATGTCACAATTTTTTTGGTTCTTTAGAAATCATAATTTACTAGGTAAGTAATTTCAGCTTCTTTTGTATCGATTATTAAATTTAGAAAGTTTCTTTACCTGAATATTATCTTAAGATTTTATCTATATATAGAGCTTCAAATTAAAAAGACTTTCAGTTCATCATTTTCTGCTATTTCTCCGTGTTGTCTGTTATCCCACGTCCCCACTTCTTTTTTCACCTGACTCCTCCTATAGAAACAGCACCGGGAAAAAGACTGTCTTCATACTATCAAACGACACTAGCTGCTGCGTTTCATGCTCTGTTTTTGAAGAAAATAGTACCATGGCCGTTGTTTTCAAACTACCTTATTTTCTCATTCTTTCCCTCTTTTCAACCATTTCCTTCACACAAGCAGGTTTTGTCACACGACTCTATAGATTTGTATTTATGTTTCTCTGTTCTCAAATGTTATTACGTTGTCCTTATTTTGCGTTTTTTTTTTCCTTTCCACAGATACTGGAATGATCGGAGTCAATTACGGACGCATAGCTAACAACCTCCCGTCGCCGGAGAATGTAGTGAATCTCCTGAAATCCCAAGGAATCAACCGTGTCAAAATCTACGATACCGACAAGAACGTGCTAAATGCTCTCGCCAATTCCGGAATCAAAGTAGTCGTCGCTATTCCCAACGAGCTGCTCTCCTCCACCGCCTCCGACCAATCATTCGCCGACAACTGGGTTCAGACCAACATTACGAAATACTTCCCGGCGACGGAGATCGAGGCTATCGCCGTAGGTAACGAAGTGTTCGTCGATCCGAGGAACACACCGTATCTCGTCCCTGCGATGAAGAACATCCACACCTCTCTGGTTAAGTATAATCTCGACAAATCGATCAAGATCTCGTCTCCGATTGCTCTGAGCGCGCTGGCTAGCTCGTACCCGCCGTCGTCCGGTTCTTTTAAACCGGATTTAATCGAACCGGTTATCAAACCGATGCTCGATCTGCTACGCCAAACGTCGTCGTATCTCATGGTAAATGCTTACCCGTTCTTCGCTTACTCAGCAAACGCGGACAAAATCTCCTTAGACTACGCTCTGTTCAGAGAAAACGCGGGAAATATCGATTCCGGTAATGGACTGAAGTACAACAGTCTCTTTGACGCCCAAATAGACGCCGTTTTCGCCGCAATGTCCGCCGTCGGATTTGACGGTGTGAAGGTGATGGTGACGGAAACAGGGTGGCCTTCCGCCGGCGACGAGAACGAGATTGGTGCTAGCGATTCCAACGCGGCCGCGTATAACGGTGGACTCGTGAAGAGGGTGTTAACGGGTAACGGAACGCCGTTAAGACCGAGGGACCCACTCAACGTCTTTTTATTCGCTTTGTTTAACGAGAACCAGAAACCGGGGCCCACCTCCGAGAGAAACTACGGACTCTTTTACCCGAACGAAGGAAAAGTGTACGACGTTCCTTTCTCCGCGGCCGGAGAAGCGAGGTCAACGCCGGCCAACGGTAACAGAGCTCAGGTCCCGGTGGTCCACGAACGACAAACGTGGTGCGTGTCCAACGGAGAGGCTGCGAAGGAGAAACTACAGGCGGCTCTTGATTACGCTTGCGGAGAAGGAGGAGCTGACTGCCGTCCGATTCAGCCGGGTGCCACGTGTTATCATCCTGAGTCGTTAGAATCCCACGCTTCGTACGCCTTCAACAGTTACTACCAGAAAAACGGACGTCGTGTTGGCACGTGCTACTTTGGCGGGACCGCACACGTGGTCACGCAACCTCCTCGTACGTAATCTTTGTCCCTTATTTTTCGATGATAGTGGCAAATTGTTTATAGTTACTAGTTAGGATAGTTTTACTTTCAGCTAATATCGTATCTTAAGATGTTTACGTATCTGTATATAACTGTAAGATATTGTGACGTTTAAACATTTTTTATACACCGAATTTGATTATCTTTCTGTTGATTGCAGGATACGGGAAATGCGAGTTTCCCACAGGCACAGAACATTGATCACGGATCCTGTTTTTAGTTAGCGTCATTTTGACAGATTTTTTATAGTACTTTGTTTGCTAATCATATGATTGGGCTTATATTTTATTGATTGGATATAACATATATTGTCTTTACTTTAGTTTTTTTTAAACATTTTAGTTGGCATCTTCTTTTGTTCTAAAGTTTATATCACTAGAGGATCTGTGTTGGACTTCAACTCTTCATAAAAGCGAAATCTTAATTTCCATCCTGAAAGTATAAACGGAAATAAACAAAAACTGTGTAGCAACTAGCAACAAATAAGAATTCGTTGTTATATACTTATCTTATATCCATCTTAGTACGTTGTTTTTAAAAAAAAAATTATTACTCTTTGTAAAAACTAAAATCCTTAGTATAATTTTAGAATTGATAATAGTAACGATATTATCGCGTAAATGAACTGAACTTAGTGAGTTTAACTAAAAAATCATCATTTGAGATAAATTTACGGCATGAATATAGTAATATCCTATATTAATTTTTTTTAATCATATTATCATTTTTAGGGGATATATTATATACTAAGGAAAGAAATCTCTTTAGCATTATCTGGAAGATAATATTCTATCTAGAATTAAAGATTTATCCATTTTTAAGTTTAATTATTTGATATAACAACCAAGTAACTGTGTGAAAACACCATTAACACCACTCAACATGGATGAACACAGCATCGTTGAAAAGGTGAAACAACCGCTTCTAATAACAGTCACCAATACCGAAAAAGTTCCAGATCTGAGACCGATATCATCTGAACCAGCTACCTCACGGTGGTCATTACTCTTCAAACCCTTTCTCGTCATCACCACCATCGGTGTTTTCATAGCTGGTCTCTCATTAATCATATGGATTACACCAACCCCACCCACCGTTCAAGTACACTCCATGTCCATATCATTCAGCAAACTCCATCTCCCGATCTGGTCAGCAGCGTTCTCTATCAAAAACTCTAACGAGAAACTCCATGTAACGTACGAGAATCCGTCGGTGTGGGTGTTTCACAGGAAAAGACTCGTGTGGACGGTAAGAGTCGGGTCCTTTGGGCAGAAAGGCGGGGAGGAGAACGAGGTGGTCGTGAAGGGAGATGAAACCGGAGTCATCGATGAGGAGGCGACTCGGGAAATGAGAAGGAAGTGGCGGTTTGGGGAAGTGTGGTGAGTCTTGATATGGTGTTTATAGGGAGAGTAGGGTTTTATCCAGGAACTTCTGCTTTGTGGGGAAAACAGAACATGACGGCTGTTTGTGAGAATGTGAAGGCCAAGTTGTCTAACTATGATGACAAGGTCTATGGGACAAAGAGATCGGTCTTGTCGTTTGATGGTCGACGAGATTGTCGTGTACGTCTCCCTATGTTTCATTAGGTTTTAGAAATACAATAATATTGGTAGGTCGGAATTGTGTTTTATCTTGCATCTGTTATGGTTATATAAAGATGGGTGATTTATGACTAATTAACTGATGTTTGATGATGACGATGATTGACAACCTAAATATAACTTGGGCTGTATAAGTTTTCTTATACGGATCGATTATAGCATATGGGTCCGGTTGGTGATCTTATGAAGCTGATGACAATTAGCAGTAATTTGATTTTATCTTTCTCCCCTCTATTTCTTAATTTATTTTCGCTGTTTGATTATTATGAAGTTTTACAAATTACAAATCAAAGCCGTTTTTAGTTGTGATTCATATCCACATGATTAAAAAATTTGAAGTTGTTGTGTGAATCTGCAATGGCAAAACAAACATCCAATGGAATTTTATATTACGAATTAATCTATGCATGATATAGATTACAGATTGGCACTAAAATTGGTTTTAAAAAGAGTTCTTTTTTTTTTTTTTTTTTTTTTTTTTTTTTTTTTTTAACACTGAAAATACTTTATTCACAAATATCAATTCATGATACCGTTTAAAAAAAGCCAAAGTGCAATGAATGAACAACCAAAAGATTGTTAAAATAAAATTATATTGGTTTATGTATTTCAATATATAAACCGATATGTGAAATACATAGTAACAATGTTACTAACATTAAAAAAACATCCATTTCTATTTTTTGAGTTTTTGGATACAATTCATATCGATTTGCCCATTTTCTGTACACAAACCCTTGTAAAAGTTTTGGCAAGTTTTTAGTATCAAGATCAACAAGCTCATGAAATTTTTGATTTTGTAACAATAAAAAATAGAAGTCATTTCATGCAAATCTACCGCTCCAACAATTATGCTCAAGACGGCATGACAAATTTTGTAGATAGCTTTTTTAAAACCATAAAAAATGATAGAAGGTCCAATAGATGCGTTCATTTACTCAGCCATTAACTAGTGGGTCTCACAGCAGTAGGCGTTAAACCGGGTCTCTCAATATATTAAATCGGGTCTGAACACATTGTATTGCGATTTCCCAAAAACATATTGTACTGCGACTTCCCCAAAATAATTAAACACATTGTATCGAAATTCTCCAAAGGAAATAAATATAGCAAAATTATAAATGCAAGACATTTTCTATCCCTTAAAATTTGATAAATCACTGATAAATTACATAGATTCCAGAAGGTAAATTCTTGATGTCTTTAGGCCATGGACACATTCTATTCACATAGACCGTCTGATTAGAAGACAATTAGAATTCATCTGCTTGTGATTCCATAAGCAAATGTCGCACAATGACTGATTTTGGTTGTATGTAAAAAAATGCATCTGAAGAAATATAACTTTGACAACAAATGAAATTCGAATCATCGTAATCCCGAGGATACACCTTTCGGCCCAATAATCACAATTCACAAGCAACCCAACACACACATGTCCGATAAAACCCTCTTCCTCAGTCAGAAGGTATAAATCTTTACTTTTAGGACCTTTTTCTTCTCTGGTCTCTAAAACTTTTTCAATCACAGCTCCAGGCGTTTTAAACGCGTGAATATCAATCAAACTTCTCCAAGGTCTAACCGCTAACGCAACCACTGTAACAATTTAAAGAGCTTCACTTGCTTCGACACTGACTTGTCGTTTTCATTTTGCATTACCATCTTCCAGGCAAGTTCTAGTCAAGGTTCGTTTTCTTTCATTTGCACGCCACACGCTCGATGAAATTCCTCAAAGGGATTCAGTGGTAAATAATCTTAATTTGAATGTTGACGTAAACGTTGGATTTTTCCTCTGTTCAGAACCAAGATGCTGCCGCAGAGGTTGAAGAAGGCGATAACTGATAATCCTAAGAAGCTTGGGAATTTGATCGACCTCGTGAATCTTCCATCTACTCTTCGTGAATTCCTTGGTCAGTCTCAGATTTCCCGTCTGGGTTGTTTCATGCGTGTCTGGTCTTATATCAAGACCAACAATCTTCAGGTAATAAACAAGCCAAGGGATCATTTTAGTTATTTGCTAAAGACATTTTTTTTTCTGTATCACTATTGACTGATTTGGTTTTCGTTTGCTTTCAAGGATCCTAAGAACATGAATGTGGTGAACTGTGATGACAAACTGAAGAGAATTTTGCTTGGGAAACAGCGAGTGGACCTTGTCGAGCTCCCTTCTCTCATCAAGTTGCATTTCCCCAAAGAACCAAAGTAGGAATTGTCTGGCAAAGGAAGTCTGTAACAGTCTTCAACATTGGCTTCTTTGGGGCCGTTTCTTTGTTTTCATCTCTGTTTTTGAGTGCATGGAGAGATATGTTACTTGTCCATTTCTGCTTTTATCTGTAAACATTTTCTCCCTGTTGGGCGGTGATATCTTCAAAATAACATTTTTACTTAGTTACATAAACATTTAGTGAACATGATTCTTTTACAACCCTCTGGAAGCTTGATTACAAAATAACAAAAAGCAACCTGACTGATCATTGGTACAAAGAATTGTAATACAACACAGAAAACAGAGTTAGTAGAAGAAAGAATGTAGCATGTAAAGTAATCTGTTTGTAGTATGGCTTGATATGAGAAGTTCCCAAAAATACATGTATGCTTGCATCTGAGCATGTGAAAGGGTCCATTCAATAGCCAAGCAGCTCATCTCCTACCTTCCCGTTGCACTTTTGAAACCTGCAAGATCATCAAGAACACAATCAGAAAAATTCTTGATACACTCATTAAAGCTTAGCCGAGTGGTACAAGACTTATATAACTAACCCGAATGCTTCAAAGACCATGTTGTATGGATTCTGCTCATCAGCTCATTGTTCAACTTGGTTTTTGAATTTCTCTGGCCACATTGTAGTATTCTTTGATACACTTGCTTCCGTAATAGATCCGTCTTGCTCTTTCCAGGAGCAGGCATCCCAATGGAAGGAGCATGGAGAGAGAGAGAGAGAGAGATATCTTACGAGCTCCAAGTTTGTAAATGAGACATCCCCTAAGACACCTCAGCTGATACACTTCAGAGATATCTTACGAGCTCCATGTTCCTGGAAATCTCTCGTCACCGCATTCGCTTTAGCCAGCATACCGTTCTTTCTCAACGCTGAGACCATTGCCGTGTATGCTTTATCATCAGGCTTCAATCCTATCAGGCCGAGGCTACAGTACAAATCGAATGCTTCTTCCACCATACAAGCCTTGCACATCCCATGAATCACGATCGTATACGTAATGACATCAAGATCATTCCTAGCCTTTTGCATATCCTCGAACTTACGCAGTGCTTTGCTCACCTCCTTATTCGAAAACAGACCAGCCAACACAATGTTGTAGCTCCTGAGATTGGGAGGTGGACCACTAGAAGTCATCTCTCCAAAACGGGCTAGGGCTAGACCGACTCTGCCTGCTTGAAAACACCCCTGGATAAGAGTGTTGTAAGCGACTGTGTTTGGAGCCACTCCTCTTCTACACATGTCGTTCAAAACCTTAATCCCTTCCTCCACCCTGTTGGACTTGAAGAATCCATTTGCAAGAGCACAGTAAGTCACTACATTTGGGTCACACCCTTCGCTCCTCATCTTTCCAAGAAGTTTTTTAGCCTTGTTCACACGATTCTCCATGCAATACCCATTGATCAGTGAACTGTAAGTGAAAACATTAGGATCCACAGATATTTTGATCATCTCCTTATGCACATCTAGAGCCTTTTGAAACATCCCAGCTTTCACATACCCATCGATAAGTGCAGTGAAAGTGACTACATTTGGCTTGATCTTCCTGGAGACCATATCTCGCAGTAACACAAAGACTTCACTCAGTTTACCGCAATTGCAAAGGCCGGTTATGAGAACGCTGAAGGTGAAAACATTCGGTGCGATTCCTTTGTTCTTCATACTTTCGAAAACCTCACGCGCTTCACCCACAAGTCCTCTTTTGCAAAGATCATCAATGAGTATAGTGTAGACTACAACATCGAGTTTAACCCCCATTATCTCCATCTGGTCAGCCACATAAAGAGCATCCTCAACTCTATTCACGCGGCAGAATCCATTGACGAGCGAGCTATTAGTGACTGCGTCAGGCTCGATTCCAAGTTTCATCATTTTCCCAAGATAAGACAGAGCGAAAGATGGTTTAGAGCAGCGGCAGAAACAATTCACTAGAATGTTGCAGGTGTAGAGATCAGGTGAAATTTCCAAGCTTTCCGATTTCTCAACATAGTTCCAGAGATTGATCACAACATCGTACCTCTTCGTCTTGGCGATTGAAGTCAACACTTTGTTGAATTCGACAATGGAAGGGAGGGGACGATACTCAGCCATGTATTTAAAGAGTTTAGCTGCATCTTTGCAGTCGATATCGTCAAGCTCGCTTCGCAGTATCTCTCTGTAGTCGTCACTTGCACCGGAGAAAGCTCGAACCCGGAAACGGAGGAAGCCGGAAACTCTGAGCGAAGGAGCGGTACCTTTCTTCGGGAAATGCCGGTGAAGAAACAGCTTAGCCGTCGAAGAAATCGCAGTCGCAATCGACCACCGCATCCAATCGACTTTCCTTCAGCTTGATTTGGGTTCGTTCCCAAACTGAACACCATAAACCCTAAACCCTACGAGGAGATACAGTGGTTTAGTGTTTGAGAGCTGAGAATTGAGCAGACGGAGAAGGGGGAATTTAGGTTTTTGGTTTAGAATCGAACCGAATAGGTTAATATAACCAAAACGGTTTTACCAACCCGAACCGGATTGCTCAAAATGACATCTTTTTGACTCTTGGCCATTCCTCAGGTGATTTTGGTGAGGAAATGGGTTGATTCAAGGTACATAAATTTGGTAAAACAATACAAAATTAGAAGTTGGTAGAAGAAGCAATGTAGTATGTAAGATATTCTGGTTATATGTTCTTTTTATTTATTTACCACTTAAAATGAGACATTCTTGTGTATGTTTTTATCTCTACCTGCTTCACCTTGTTATGCACTTTTTACTAAAAATGTTGGAGATTACATTTCCTCTTTCTTTTGGAATTAGATGGTAATACCAAGAGAGATATGTTACTCCTGGTAGTGTAACACATTGAACCAGAAATATCATACAAACTGCATTGTTTCTTCACACCAATTTCTACATTGAACCAGTGGTTTTGGTTCCTGGCTTTAGGATTCAATTCCATTTCTGCATTATTATATTTTACATGACTTTGATATGATCCATCATAGTAACTTAAGATACCAAGAAACTCTACTAAACATTGGTCACATAAATATTTCTAAACAAAAGGTAGAAGAAAGAATGAATGTAGTATCTAAAATATTGAGCTTGTGTGGTATATATGGCACTCTCTCATTTATTATATTCACTTAAACCGAGATAAGTCATTCTGCAGAACATAGTTTGCTACAATGGAGCTTGTCTTCTCCGTCGGGTGAAACGAGTCCCAAAACACATACTTGCTTGCATCAGAACATGTGAAAGGGTTCATTTTATCACACAAGTAGCTCATCTCATAGTATCCTGTTCCGCAGCATGCACTCCTCACATTCTCAAAACCTGCCATGCAATTACAAACATCATCACAAGAAAATTCTTTATTTAAGAGATCATTAAAACTTAGCCATATGTACTAACCGAATGCTTCAGGATGGTTTATGATATCTGAAACGAGGTCGTACGGATTTGAAAACACCAACTGGAGTCCGTTAAGCTCTTTGTTCAACTTAAAGACTTTCTCTTCCATCTTGGTGTTGAAATCCTTAGCGACAATGTTGTATTCTTCTATACATTTGCTTCCATACAAGATCTGAGTAGTTCTTTCGAGTGGCAAGCATCCAAAAGGAGTGAGTCCAGAGAAAGTCATCTTACGACCTCCGAGTCTGTAGATATCTGTCAAGAACTCTCCAGCGATCCCAATCAGTAAATCTTGGTACTCGTCCACAGTGTACTTCCGATACTTACGAGGAACAAGATAGTAATTCTCCAAGAAATCATTGGTTCCGATACTAATCAAGTAAAGTGCTTCCTTGATAACCTCATTAGCTTTCTCTTCACCCATAAAGCTTCTTAGCCTTGTCTGATACTCTTTGTAGTACTCAACTTCTTTCCAAAGCGGCACCACAGACTTTTCAAAGAAATTAACCATCAACCATGTCAGTCTTAGCTTTTCTAAGAAGTTACTATTAGAATTTAGAGATAAGAAGCTAATGATTTGACTTACTAGCACATCAGAGGTTGCATTGTCTAAGCCGGTTCCAGCGGAAGCGAAACAGACACCAGTGGCGAAGTCAGCGATGTTGTAAGCTGGATCCAGGTAAGCAGGGACTGCGTTCTTGAGTCCCAAGCCTTCAGAGATGAAATCTGGTGCGATCCTACCATTTGAGAATCTTCCAGTCGCTTTGCCGTCGAAGTAGTCTCGGCCATACGGCTCGAAGTTACTCTTTAGAACCGTGGAAATCTGGTTGTTGTTTCCTGAATCCACAGTTGAGTCCCCAAATACGATAAGCGCAGGAACTTTTGCGTCCGTTTCATGTATCTGCATCAAGAACTGAGCTGCGAGCAACAAGATTGCAAGAAAAACTCTGTTTTGCAGCATGCTTTTAATACAAGTATTTTCTTTTTGCTTCTGCGGACAAACAAGAACTTGGCAAATAAAGTGGGTGGGAGAAGAAGAAGCGGAGAAAGCAATTAAAGTGGGAGAAAGAGAGGTATTAACAATCGAACCTGGTACAAACAGAGTATACTTAATAGCTTGGCCCCTTGGTTAGATGATGCCCTTATTAAATATCCTTATTCTGTTTAATTTTTGGCCACAGAGATTGCTCTGGAGTTAGTTGAGGTGAGTAATGAGCCGAAAAATGATGAGAGACTCATTAATACTTGTTTTCAGGGAGGAAGATAATTTATTTATAGCTACTGCACAAGAGAGAGATGTAAGAATTACGTAAAGTAGAAGGATTTGTGATCCTTCAAGCTTCAGAAAAGTAACGCTTCTTCCTTTTGCTGTTTTCACGCACAAACTCTCTATCTCTGATCTTTTGCTGGACTTTTTTTATTGTGTGGTCTTGACAAGAAAGCTTAGGTGTCCAATGGAGTTTGTTTTTTCATTTAACGTTCAGATGTTTTTGTAATCTCTATGTTGTTGCACGTTTTGGGGGATTTTTTTAGCTCAACCATAGTGTTTTGGTTGTTGCAACGACAATAACAAGTAACGGCAAGAAAGTTTCTCTCATGCGTCAAGTGTGACATTGACGATAAAGTTACTTTGTTCTTTAGTTCGTGTTTTCCTGATTTTGTTTAACTTTTCCCATGAAGAAAGATGTGGTTAGATTCCGATTTGTAACCGGCGGTTGTTGTTGTGTCAATAATTTTCTTACACGCACGTTTGAGTTTTGAATGAAAAAAGAATTAGAGTGTATAGCAATTAAGTGGTCATTTAGTTGTTGAATTATAGATAAGTAGCTGACCATTAATTTTCACATTCTCCCATGCAAAAGAGTCAGATCTACGCAACCACTATAATTAATTCATCAGTTTTAAATTTTTAATCAATAAAAATTGACGCTATTGCAAATTGCAACCAAGAGTGAGTGATTGTACGTCTTACTTAATGACTTGATGTTAATAGGCAAATCATCATCAGCAAAAACTTAAAAGCATTTTTCAGAAAATAAAACATAATGACTAAAAATTTCTGTAGTGGACGAGATCAATTTGCATGGTAGAAAGAACACCATAAGTAGAAAGCTAGCAGACAAGACAGCAGTGGTAAATTAGCTTGTCCGTCTATAGGTTTACTCGGATATCTAGAAAAGGCTTACCCAATCACCAGATGCTGACTCATACACGAAACAGTTTGACAAATTTCCTCAAAATCATCAATCTTATGCTAAAAATGTATACACAAGAGAGAGGAAAGTCTAATCATTATACCAAAAGAACATTCGTACTTGCTTGGCTTGCTGCTAGTTAGCCAACGGTAGAAGTGTAATCATTATTATTACTAACCATTTAAATTTGTGCAAGTAATTAAACCGTACTTGCTTCATGATGTTTAATTTAGTACTTAGTAGAGCTGAACCAATCAGGTCCCAGGAGGTGGACTGTGTCTGTCCTAAAAAACTCAAAGGACGAGTGCATTTGATTCCAGAGGGTTCTCAAACCTCCGTGTTGCTATATTGACGTTAATACCCCTCCCACAGTCGCCGGATCCACCATTTGTAGTTTTTTACAGCCCACCGTTCGTGCATCGGTAAGGGTATTTACGTAAAAATACACAAAGACTGAGAACTCTCTTCTCCTCTGTGCGCCTCTAGAACACAAGCAATTCCCTAAAACAATAAGCTTTCGAGTTTCGATTCTCTTTTCTTCTCTATTTCATATTTATCTTTCCGTGATGTTGGTATCGAGAATTTTGTCGCGAGTTTCTCGCAGTGCGGGCTTACGCTCCTCTCTTTCCGCCGTCGCTCTCCCGGCGAGGACCCAGGCTCCTATTTTCTCGAGCCGGTTTCACTCTCACGTTCACGAATTCTCACACAAGGTCTGATTTTTGAATCAATTTCATCACTATCCGTGCCGAATTTCGATTCAGGGTTTTGTTAGGGTTTAAGGGTTTCCCCCAATTCGACCTCAATTCTCGTTTTTCTATAGAAATGGTAGCTGTGTTCTGATACCATTTCCTTGATCTCATCGAATAAACGGTCTCTCACTTTTGCTTTAGATTCTCTATATGATTTATGCTCTGTTTCATTTCACTGACATTATTGATGAACTGAAATTCACCCATTTTGCATCCGTTTTAGGGACAGCTTGTTGCAGCTCAGGTGTCTCTGGATTCATCTGCATTTCAAAGGTTCTCTTTTTCTTCCTCTACTTCGCCTGACTCAAATGAGAAGGAGAGCAACACTGCAGCCTCCAAGACAAGCGAGGACAAAGCTGCAGCCGAGGCAAACGAATCAGGTCTTGACTCTGAATCAAAAGATTCCAAGACCGATTCTTCGCAAAGAAGGCGGAAAAGTGCTAAACCAGCCGCAGTTTCCTCATCAGATTCCGAGAGTGATGAGGATGATGATGAGTTGTCAGTGGATGATTTGGTGAAGCTCGTAGCTGAAAAGGAAGAGCTACTGACTGAAAAGGAGGAAGAGATTAAGAAAATGAAAGATAAAGTTCTCCGCACTTACGCAGAGATGGAGAATGTCATGGACAGAACAAGACGTGATGCTGAAAACACCAAAAAGTATGCCATACAGGTTAGTCTACAAGAGAACTTGGCTTTGCAGCTTTTTGCTTCATATGATAATGCGTTGAGACAATGTATATATATGTGCATGTATTATCTGCAGAATTTTGCAAAGAGCCTTTTGGATGTGGCGGATAATCTTGGAAGAGCTTCTTCGGTTGTCAAAGAAAGCTTCTCAAAGCTTGACACTTCGGAAGATTCATCTGGAGCTGCTCCACTTTTGAAGACTCTCTTAGAAGGTGTGGAGATGACTGAGAAACAGCTAGCTGAGGTAAAAATTTCACCATCTATCTGTCGAGAAATGTAGTTATAAGACATGAGACTGATAAAGTCTGTGTGCTGCTGCAGGTATTTAAGAAATTTGGTATGGTGAAGTATGATCCTGTAAACGAGCCGTTTGATCCAAACAGACATAACGCAGTGTTCCAAGTCCCGGATGCTACTAAGCCAGAAGGCACAGTTGCTCATGTCTTGAAGGTATATACGAAAGCTTGTTGCTCTCTCTTGATTCCATGTACTATAGTCTAAACACCAATTTGTAACGATTGGTGCTGAAATGTGCAGTCTGGATACACGTTGTTTGATCGAGTTATAAGACCAGCTGAGGTTGGTGTTACTCAAGGAGGGCCGAGTGAAGATGACAAGAAAGAGCCTGATGCTTAAAAAGAAGTTGGCTGGTTTTCATAAATTTTTGCTAGTGTTCTTTGTTTCGAGTCATAGTTTTCTCTTGTATGAACAAGATCTCCCATAAGTTGCTAGACATGGCACTTGCAGAGGGTTTTCTCTGTCTTCATGAAAGCTTTAATTGAAGCTTCTTCTCCAAACTTGACTTGCACGAGGGAATGATACATTTCTTGTAAACGCTCTTTTTGATAAGTTAATCAGACAATTAAGGTCTCATACAATCAGAAATTAACTAAAGTGGAAAGAATTTGAAAAGTGAAAACAGAGTCGCGAAGTCTACGCTCACTATCTTCTTCTTAAGACCCGCCCTGCAATTTGTGTCGAAGAATGTCTCCGAGCTTTAGATAAAGCATTTTCTGCTCCTCATGTCCTAGACTCCTTGATATCTGCAGGTATAATCCAATCAGAGACACAGACACGTACAATGTCTTTGTTCGATCTTGAGTGAGTGATGATGATTCTTACCTGGTCTAGGATCATCTCGACACTGTAATCCTGATGAACAATGAACGATTGGATGTAGATGTATGCGAAAACCGCCATAACCATCTGAGTTTAGGCAACAAGATTCGGTTAGAACAATGAAGTGATCATGTTGCAAGTGTCCTGTATTAGTTAGCAGCTCTTACTTGGCAATCCATTCTGTCAGTAAATCCTCCATGTCCAGGTATGCTGTCTCCAAAATCCTGTCAAAGCGACAAAAGCCAAGTAAAGATTCGTTCTTGGATCAGTGGACACAAGACCTTTGAATGTTTGAGAATGTCTTAACCTTGATCTTGAAAGCTCTTTTGAAACCGCTTGCGAAGAAACCACCAAAAGGTGCTATAACGGATGCGAATAGGCCAAGAGGGAAAGCGTGCCACTGAACAGGCATAATTGATATCTCTTTCCATGGAGACTGTTAAAGCAGAGTTCATAACAGAGCTCAGTTTGAAAGCCAAGACTTATACAAAGAGAATACCATTGAAGAGTTTGCTTACAAATGGAGCAACCCAAGAGGGCAATGAGTAATACTCTGGCCTGAAGAGAGGGCCTGGATCACAATGAAGCCAAGCTGTCGATAAATCCTGCAACAGTACAAGCATATCGATGAAGTAAATGACGCTACAAGACATCGAGATGAAGATTTCATTCTGACTACCTTCCTTGGACATGTAAGCCACTGGAATTGGCCCAAGATGTTTGCAAACTGTTGTAAGAAGCACGAAATTATCAAAACCATTCTTGAGACCAACAAGAAAGAAGTATGAATTGGATCAAATGAATGAAGATGGTCATTACAAAAAACGCAGAGATTACGGTTGCCACCGATGCTCCAATGAAACCTTCCCAAGTTTTCTTTGGAGACAACTTGATGAGTGGAGTTCTCCCGAAGTAGAAACCGAAGAAATAAGCAGCTACATCGTTCATAGCAATAAGCGCTGCTGGCAGAAGAAACCTGCATGTGTATCCATTTTTCAAAAGATATGTTTTTCAGTGTATATATATATACAAGAACTCATTTTACCAGAAGATCCCTTCGAAAATATTGGCGACGGTGAAAGAAGACTGAGTAAACACAACGATAAGGATCATATGCGTCCAAGCGTACTGCCCAAACTGATACTTATACATCTTCTTCTTCAACGTAAGTATAAACCACATGAAACCTGCAATGTACAAGAAGTAGCAGATAACCATCTGGTACTTGATGAGACCACTGACAAGCTTGTATATGAATCTGTCCGAAGAAACAGTGTTGACTAGCTGCTGTTGAAGTATACGTCCGTAGACGAACAACATAGCCGTGAAGAAGAAGTGCCAGTTCAAGAGCCTGAAGCCAGGTAAGCGACGCTCTTCGTGAGCTCTTCTGAGAAGAAAGAAGAGCTCCTTGGCCATGAATATCTGTATACCCACAACCATAGCCCATATGTAGAGATGACCCATGTAGATTATAAACACAACTCCACCGAGCATCCAGAGAGACGAGCATGTCCTTATCCACATTGATTTGTACTTGTTCTTATCACCGAGTAACAGATTGCTTACTTTGCTTACATTGCTTTTGTTCACCTCAGCTGGAATCTGAATGAAAAAGAAAGTAAATCAAGATCAAGAATATTAACACATTCAACCGAAAAAGAGCGTATGGTTATGATATATAATATATATATACCTCGTTTGATCGCCTGCGGTGGCGAATGCGAGCTGTTGGAGAGCTAGGAGTGTAGTTGTAATCCCTTGGTGAATTTGGGACGTTGTGATAATGGTTATCTCTCTGGTTATGATTGCTCATTCGAGACATTGGTATATTAGGATAACTGTTCTCCCTTGGCTTTCTGATTCGTGGAGAATTCGGATTGAGATCTTTCTCCATTGCCATTGGGCTAGATCCCTAAGGAAATGATTTTCTTCTAACGCTCAGTTCTTGGATTTGATTCTTCAAACTCTGTGAATCATGATGATCTAGGTTTCTTACCGTTCTGAGGAGAGAAAAAAAATTTAAGAAACAGATTATTAATTTGTTTGTTCTGTAATTGCAAAATTTCAACCATAACTCGAGCATTTACACAGGTTACTTGGATGACACGCATCAGCAGAGTATATAGATTGAATGTGTGAACCCTAAATCAAACTATAGCGAGATAATCGTAATTCAAACCTACAAAAATTTCAGAGGCTGGAAAATCGGATCACGAGAATCAGATAAAATGAGAAATGAACTTACAGAATATCAGGCTTCTGGATCAAATGGAACGTGGCGGGGATGATGAGATTTGAGCAAGGAAACCCTAATTGGTGAGAAATGTGAAAGAATCTCAGAGGTAAAGGGAGGAGGAGACGGAGGAGGAAGGTGGTGGATGAGCACTTAGCGGTGAGGTTTCATCAGATTGCCGAATGAGGAGACCAGAAGACATAACCGAATAAACTAATCGTGCCGCTACTCTGGGTGGAGAGTCACGTTTGCACCCGGGATGAACGACACGTGTTCAGTTCTGGATACAGTTTGGGCTTGGTCGGATCTTTAAGCCCATAATAAGGCCTTCCTTGGCACTATTTGATCTCTTTGCGAAAGACGCAGAGACAGACATGACTGCTCACGTGATCAGTGGTCGCATGAGTAAATAACGCGAAAATAGAGGGTCACTTTGTGTTGTTTTTTTGCTGATTAATTATTGACTTACGTACTCCATGATATAAAGTGGGTCCCACCTTTTTTCATTTCCCAACCTCCATAACTATAGTTTAGAGATTTCTCTGTTTCCTATGCTCTTTCTTTCTCTCTCACTCCCACAGTGACTGTTCATTTGAGAGCTTCAGATCTAGAAGAGAGGAAGATAAACCCTAGCATCCAATATCAATCTTGGTAAAGAAAACAATCTTCTACTGTTTCATTCGATTAGTTTCAGTGTCCTGACTGTTGGGTTCCTGCTTTAGTTTTTCTTTTATCACCAATGCTGTCCGATCTCCTTCTCTTTTTTCGAGCTCTGCTTGCGCTTAATCCTATTTCACCTTCACCGTGTTTGCTTCTTTGGTCTTGCTTTTTGATTTTTTTGCTTTGGAATATCAAGATTCTTTTTGGGTGTTTATTTTTCTGGGAGTAGCTTTGAAAATCTCATGTCTTTAGAGAGTGTTTGGGATGTTTAGTTTCTGGAAAAAGATTGTTACTTTAGTCTTTTTTACTGTAGTCTTAGTTCACTACTTCACCAAAATGTTAACTCTTTCTGCAGGAACTCTTTTGAATTCATAAGAATGGCGGTGACTGAATCAGAAAATCCTCTTCTTGGAGAAATCACTTGTGGCACTTTACTGCAGAAGTTGGAGGTAATTTAGCATTTCGCAACACACACTTGTCTTTTAAAGTATGGTTTCACGAACTTATTGGAAAAAATTTCCACAGGAAATTTGGGATGAAGTTGGTGAGAGTGACGAGGAACGTGACAAACTGCTTCTTCAGATAGAGGAAGAATGTCTTAATGTCTACAAGAAGAAGGTTGAGCTGGCTGCAAAATCTCGCGCGGAGCTTCTTCAGACTTTGTCGGATGCCAATATTGAACTTTCCAATCTCACAACTGCTCTTGGTGACAAAAGCTATATCGGCATTGTAAGTGCTCTCACGTTTAAGTAGTGGATTGAGATGAGATTTATTATAAGAGTGATTCGATATGATCTTCGTTTCCATTGCAGCCAGATAAACTTTCAGGAACAATCAAAGAACAACTTTCTGCAATAGCGCCTGCGCTTGAACAACTTTGGCAACAGAAAGAGGAAAGAGTCAGAGAGTTTTCTGAAGTGCAATCACAGATTCAGAAGATATGTGAAGAGATTGCTGGTGGTTTGAGCAATGGACCTCATGTGGTCGACGAGTCTGACTTGTCCCTCAAGAGATTAGATGACTACCACATCAAACTCCAAGAACTCCAGAAAGAGAAGGTAAAATATTAGTTAAGATATGGTGATTTTTTTCCCTATATGTTTGTTTTTGAAACAAGAACTAAAATTGCTTTGTGTTTGGGGGCAGAGTGATAGGTTGCAGAAGGTGCTCGAATTTGTGAGCACGGTGCATGATCTATGTGCCGTCCTTGGCTTAGATTTCTTAAGCACTGTCACTGAAGTTCACCCGAGCTTAGATGAGGCAAATGGTGTTCAAGCCAAGAGCATTAGCAATGAGACACTATCATCGTTGGCTAAGACTGTTTTGACTCTTAAAGAGGATAAGATGCAAAGACTTAAAAAGGTATGTCAAAATTCATGACTTTGAGATCCCTAACACGAGCTTGCTTAGCTTAGGCCTTTTTGATTAGTTGCAATATTAGACGTCTGATAATTTTTGCTAGAAGTTCTGAAATTGTGGTACTGAATCTTGATTTTTTGCTAGCTTCAAGAGCTAGCTACTCAGCTAACTGATCTGTGGAATCTGATGGATACTCCTGATGAGGAAAGGGAGCTTTTCGACCATGTGACCTGTTACATTTCAGCTTCAGTTCATGAAGTGACCGACTCTGGTGCACTCGCACTTGACCTGATCGAACAGGTATTGTAAATTTAACAAGTATGGATAAAAGCATATGATAATTAGTAACAGATTTTTAAAAACTCATGTGAAATTTTTGAAGGCTGAGGTGGAAGTGGATAGGCTTGACAAACTGAAGTTTAGCAGAATGAAGGAAATTGCATTCAAGAAGCAATCAGAGCTTGAGGAGATATATGCTCGTGCTCACATAGAGATAAAACCTGAGGTTGTTCGTGATAGGATCATGTCGTTGATTGACGCTGGAAACACTGAACCTACTGAGCTACTGGCCGACATGGATAGTCAGATCGCTAAGGCTAAGGAAGAAGCCTTTAGTAGAAAAGAAATATTGGACAGAGTCGAGAAATGGATGTCAGCTTGTGAGGAAGAGAGCTGGCTCGAAGACTACAATCTGGTAAATGCATGAGTCATGTTTTAATGTGATGTTAAACACATAACTTTTAAGACATATGTCTGAATGTGATGAATCTTTTGGACTTTGTTCTTGAAAAAAACAGGATCAGAACAGGTACAGCGCAAGCCGAGGAGCTCATTTGAATCTCAAGAGAGCTGAGAAAGCTCGGATTCTGGTCAGCAAGATTACTGGTAACTTCCACGATTATCTCTTATCTGTTCACATAGTTTTGAATCTTAGACTGAAGGCTTTTATGATGTTTTGTTTGTGGAAGCAATGGTTGACACATTGGTTGCTAAAACTCGGGCATGGGAAGAGGATAACAGTATGTCCTTTGAGTATGATGGAGTTCCTCTGCTGGCAATGCTAGATGAATACACTATGCTCAGGCAAGAAAGAGAAGATGAGAAGCGGAGGCTGAAAGTAAGTTTTTGCTCTTACTGTGATATTCTGATTGTGGAACATTACAGGAACTTCTTTTAAACTAATCTTGCCTTTTTATTAACAGGAACAAAAGAAGCAGCAAGAACAGCCACACACAGATCAAGACTCTGCCTTTGGGTCTAAACCGAGCCCTGCAAGACCTGTTAGTGCTAAGAAACCGGTTGGAACACGAGCTAACGGAGGAGGGCTCAACGAAACTCCTGTTAGGCGTTTGTCTATGAACTCAGGCAAGTCCAAAAGAGACAGTCTCAGCAAGCTTAATTCGCCTTCCAACCTTGTAGCCGTGTCAAAAGAGGATGCTGCATCTCCAGTCCCTTGTGCTGAGCCAGTTCTTGCTTCACCGTGACAATGTCAAAAGAGAGAGATAGAGAGAGTACTTAGACTTGTGTTAGTTGCTGTGAGGGAATGAGTAATGCCTACCAATCAAACATTTTAGAAGCAAGACACTGATAGTAGAATGTTACTTAGATTTTGCGTCTCTGTATCACCTGACTCATATTGAGACTGGAAATGACCCGTTTTAATGAAGACAAGTTAAGGTTCTATATGGAGTAATGAATTTATATCTGGGCGAAATCGTAATAAGCTTAAAGATATTTTTGTGTAAATGTTGTAAAAGTAAAAAGGTTGGGGTGAGGTGCAAATATTAACGAACTTCGAGGGGTTTTCCAAGCAAGTTTGGGATTGTGACAGTGTCTGCTCTACGACATCGTTTTGCACTTCACATTCAGAAACTCATCAAAATTAGGAAAATTTCATTACTTGTCTTTAAAATCGGAGATTGACTCGAAAAACTTACGACGCTCCCAAAAGAAGAGAATCAATGTCGAACGCAAACGAACCAGCGAAGACTCTTCTGCCTTACCTGCAACGAGCCGACGAGTTGCAGAAGCATGAACCACTTGTTGCTTATTACTGTACGTTTTTGAGCTGTCTCCTCTCTATCTCTCGCTGAAGAAACAACCTTTTCGATTGATTGTTTTATTGAGCTGATATGATCGCATCCTGCGATTGAGTATACATAAACATGTAGTTATGATCTATCTGGACTTGGTGGGTTTTTGTTTCTTCCAAATTAATCTGTTTATTGTTGTGCTGATGATGATTGATTAGGTCGGCTATACGCCATGGAAAAAGGATTGAAGATTCCGCAGAGCGAGAGAACTAAGACCACCAATTCGATTCTCATGTCCCTCATTAATCAGCTCGAAAAGGTATTACCTTGAAGTGTTTAATTGGGAGTTTGTCTAATTTATGTCATCTGGCTTTAATTTGAGCTACTTTAGGATTAAATGGTCTGGTTCTTATTTATTTTCATGGCCTGTTTGACTTTGATTAATTAATATATGTCATCACAAGGCTGGAGAGTGTATTGGTGTTTTCGTTTGGTAAGGAGGCTTGAATCTAAACTTAGCTTAGGTTGCTGCTTCATGTGTGTGGGAAAATATATGTGAAGCTATACATTGCAATGGTTCTGCTCGTGTGGCCTTTTCTCTATGCTTTAGTATAAGTTGATGGCGAACTAGTTCAATCTTGAATTTATTGTATGCCATGGTTGTCATGTTGCGTTCTTATCCATATGTAACATCTATGATCATATTGTGACAAACGTGATCTAACAGCGATATTTTTGTGTAACTCCAGGATAAGAAATCATTGAGTCTGTCCCCAGATGACAATATGCATGTGGAGGGTTTTGCACTAAGTGTCTTTGCAAAGGCAGACAAGCAGGATCGTGCTGGAAGAGCAGACTTGTAAGATTACTTTTTCTTTTCGTCTTATGTCTGATTATAATATTGTATGACAGTTGACACTAGTAAGTTTCTAGTACTGTTAGGGCCACCATCTGCACTAGCTGAGTCAAATAATGCAGATTCGTTCTCTGTCTAGTGTTGAGATTCCTAATACTGAAAAGAGCTTTTAAGTACATACAGTTAGAATAAGCAAATGTTTTTAGGGGATAACTTTCTCATCATCAGAATTAATTTTGTTGAGTTTGTGACAGGAGCACTGCCAAAACGTTTTATGCCGCCAGAATTTTCTTTGAAATTCTGAGCCAGTTTGGTCCGGTTCCTCCTGATGTAAGTTTTTTTGCCTTTTCAAACTGAGCACCTTAGAAAGAGATTTCAGCGCTGATGAATGTGTTAGATGATCAATTATATTTATATGTGATGGGAATTCTATGGACAGATAGAGCAGAAACAAAAGTATGCTGCTTGGAAAGCTGCTGACATAAGGAAAGCCATTAAAGAAGGAAGGAAGCCCACTCCAGGCGATCCTAGTGGTGATGATGAAACTGATTTATCCATCCCATCAAGCGGTCCTAGTGGCTCCTATGTAAGTTTCTCTACTTGGCATTTTTGGTTTGGGAATATCTAGATAATGGCCTAGCATGTATACTGTCCTCAGAAAACGTTCTAAGATATGAACATCTGCATCAACTTAATCGGTTTACGCATTTCAATTAACTACAGGATCTTGGTCCAAGTGATTCCAACATAGGAAGCCATCATGGAACAGAGCCTGATCCATCCCATCACTCGAATGATGACTCCAGCCACCACCATTTCCCTGAAGTTCCACAGCACCCTCTACCACCAAGGTTTAATGACAATCCTCACAATGATTATCCCACAGATGTCTCGCCTCCACCACCGTCTTCTTACCCTTCCAACGATCATCTCCCTCCTCCCACAGGACCATCAGACTCCCCTTACCAACAACCTCCTTACAACCACCACCCATACCACCAAGACCAACCGCCACAACACATGCCGCCACCACAAAACTTCCCACCTCATGAACCTTCTCCAAACTCTCTCCCTAATTTCCAATCTTACCCTAGCTTTAGTGAGAGCACCCTCCCAGCCACTCCTTCCCATTACCCTACTCACTTCCAAAACCCTGAACCTTACTACTCTTCTCCACATTCCGCACCTGCTCCTTCTTCCACAAGCTTCGCCTCTGCTCCTCCTCCTCCTTATTCATCACCAAACGGGCGTACCAATATCGCTCCCGCGCTAGATCCTTCACTGAGTTCAGCTCAGAAGTACCATTATGACAGCAGCTACCACCCAGCGCCTGATAAGATCGCAGAGGCACAGAAGTCTGCTAGATTCGCTGTGGGAGCTTTGGCATTCGATGAAATCTCAACTGCTGTGGAACATCTGAAGAAGTCTCTCGAGTTGCTAACAACTCCATCAGCCAGTCACTGAATGTCATGTTTGATATATGAAACCTTGGAAGGTTTATGTGTGAATGTGTGTGGTCACAATCACACCATGGGTTTTTGGTGATTTAACTTTTCATGCTCAGACTTCGTGTACAAAATTAAACATACTTGTGTGAAGTCTTCTGAATATTTTAAACTGATGTTTCCCTCAATGATTAGTGACTGTCCAGTCCACAAACGGTAGAAATATATATATATATATATATATAATACAAAATAAATCACAATAATAAAAAATCCATGATCACATTCCAATGGTCAGGACCCGAATGTGTTCTGCTATTTCCCTTCACAGAGAACGGTTGCGGAATACGCGCTCAAGGAGCGTGTGGGTGTTAGTACTCGAAAGTGGGCCTAAATAAGATGAAACACATGAAGGCCCGATAGAGTGATGAAGCAAGGAAAGGAAGCAAACGTGTCGGAAGAGTCATGTCAAGTGTAAGAACGAGAAAGAAAGAAGAGGCAAGAGCGTTGTCAAATACAAGGAAAGAGATGTCACTCGGTGTATTCGTTGGCGCGTGCATGTCCGCCACGCACATCAATCATCATCATTCTTATTAGCTCATTCCTACTTTAGTACTCTAAAACAGACTCCCACACATTCCATTCACTCGTTTGATGGAGAGAGAGAGAAAGATGGGTACGGCGACGGAGATTATGGAGAGAGACGCAATGGCTACGGTAGCTCCCTACGCTCCGGTCACTTATCATCGCCGTGCTCGCGTTGATTTGGATGATAGACTCCCAAAACCTTGTAACGCCTTTCTCATACAATTCCGAAATATTTGTCAACATTACATACGTATATATGCATATTTTGTATAGGTTGACATTTGATATATAACATAGAGTTGGATTAAAGAAACCCGTATGGATTGGATATAAAGGAAATATAATCCCTCAAACTTTGAAGAGAGACGATTATTTCACGTTTAATGCATATAGACATTCATACTATCTACATTCAATTATGCATGTGGGAAAATTATGGTGTTCATAGTTATAGAAATGGTAACTAGATAAAATAATACAGATATCTGTAAGCTGTAAATGATCCATATATATTTATGCACGTATATGATAGTAACACACATTTGTGGCAATATATATGATTTTGATCTTTATAGATATAACAGATAAAATACATGTCCAAACATCATATATATGTGAATATTAATGCATCATGTATATATATGATGTTTGATGGATATCATGTGATGTATGTGTATATTTGATGGATAAAAATGATGATCATGCATAGATATGCCAAGAGCACTGCAAGCACCAGACAGAGAGCATCCATACGGAACACCAGGCCATAAGAATTACGGACTCAGTGTTATGCAGCAACATGTAGCCTTCTTCGATATCGATGATAATGGTATCATCTACCCTTGGGAGACCTACTCTGGTATATATCTATTCATATACACACACATATATAGATCTTTCAGTTTCGTGTTTTTTCGTTAGTACATGCATATATGAAAATCTGATTCCAAAATATATGTGTGATTAGGACTACGAATGCTTGGATTTAATATCATTGGGTCGCTTATCATAGCTGCTGTTATCAACCTAGCCCTTAGCTATGCTACTCTTCCGGTAACATCTCTCATTCTCCTTTAGACTTGTAAATTAGTGAGATGAACATTCTCCTAGATGGATGTTCATAATATTAGGGTGCGTCTTCTTGATAATGCAGGGGTGGATACCTTCACCGTTCTTCCCTATATACATACACAACATTCACAAGTCAAAGCATGGAAGCGACACAAGAACATATGATAATGAAGGGAGGTGGGTGACTCTACAATGAAAACTCGGCCAGGAATGAATTACGATGCATTGGTCTATACTGTAACCAGCTTATGTCTCGCAGGTTTATGCCGGTGAATCTTGAGTTGATATTTAGCAAATATGCGAAAACCTTACCGGACAAATTGAGTCTTGGAGAATTATGGGACATGACAGAAGGAAACCGTGACGCATGGGACATCTTCGGATGGTACAATTGCGACATATATAAACCTTTCTTTTAAACCCTTCAATAAGTTAAAGTGTTTTGAATGAATGAGTTGAATCCAAGTATTAATGTGCGTCTACATATGTTTGATATGGGTTAATCAGGATCGCAAGCAAACTGGAGTGGGGATTGTTGTACTTGCTAGCGAGAGATGAAGAAGGGTTTTTGTCAAAAGAAGCAATTAGGCGGTGTTTCGATGGCAGCTTGTTCGAGTACTGCGCCAAGATCTACGCCGGTGTCAGTGAAGACAAGACAGCCTACTACTAAGGGGTATTTATACATCTTTAATGTGAAGTAATATTATAAAGATCGAGCCGTTTTAGGCTAATAATCGATCATGTGATGCTTGTGTCTGTCTATATGGTGAAAATGAAGGCACGAGTAGTAGAATGGACTTTAGTCCAAGAGAACTATGTTTTTTTTTCTTGTTTTGTCCAAATAATATGTTCAGATAATCTTTTAATAAGAGCTATAAAACAAACTGACATCTGCTTTGTACATTTTTCTTTTCAATAATACAAGATGACCAAAGACAATGATATATGCTTTGCTTAACTTCAAAAATACATTTGATCTCTTAACAGACTGACGCAATGAATCTTACTTGGAGAGTTTATTGAGAACCTCAGTCTAAGACACAGATGCAAGCAATCCCACTAACCTCTTCAAAAGTTGTCGAATGTTCTTTACCTCTTTCAAAAGCGATCAAGGTTCAGAGACGATATTCACCTCTAGAAAGCTTTTGTTGATAGTCTTCCAATTCGAAACAAACATTGCAGCTCTCATCAACGTTGCTCTAGCACTCATTATGGTCTTTGAATAAATGTCACCACATAATCTTTTCACACTCCTGCACAAAGACATATATCATTCATTTTTTTTTTACTAATATAGAAGCAAATTCCAAGAGACAAAGCATCTAAGTTACAGAAATTGAATCACGTAGAAGAGAAGCCAAACATAGTTGAGAATTTTCAGCCCCACAACAAGAACTCACGTCTCAGAATCCAGAAAGTATCGAAGAATCATTCAAAAGAGGAGGAGGCAAGATAAACACCTCATGCCGGAGATTCTTGAACTTTCAATAGTAAACTAGTCATTTTGGATCCTTCTAGAGTTACATTGGCCATATCAACGAGCTTCGAATTAAGGAAAAGTCTAGCAATGTCCTTAACATCGTCTCCGCCGCATTCATCAACCGCAACCAAGCAAAGCCCGCCCCGGCGCACCGTCCTCTCCATCTCCGCCACGAATCTCCACGGAAACAGAGCTTCAGCGAGATGTGCGGTGAAGGCGAAATCGAAAACACCGTCGAAAAAAGGAAGGTTGTGAGGATCGGCTCTTCTGACAAGAGGAAGCGACTCCACCAATTCGACGGCGGTGACGTCAGATAAACCGATCTGAGAAAGAGCCATCGGGGCGTGGCCAGCGCCGGCGGAGAGACACAGAGCTTTGGTGTGATTTTGGAGAAACCCGAGATCGCGGAATCGGACGAAGTAGGAGGAGAAAGAGGAGAGACGCAATTTCCAGGCTTTAGAGGACCACATGCGAGCGTTCTTCTTCGGGAGAGGAAGGTGCTGGCGAGGCGACGAATCGCAGGTGGATCTCGGGAAATGCGTGTGGGATTTCGATGGAGCTTCCGGAGAAATGCATGTTTTCGGCGTCTGGAGAATCATAATCACCATGATCACTGTTCCGATGCTTATGAACGCCACCGAAACTCTGTTCAGCATCTTCTCGACGTTTCTCTCCATCGTCGCCGATCAATCTAGTCCGATCGGATTTTGGACTTATCTCCGTTGCCGATCACTGACGTGGCGCGAGTGGAGAGTTATGAAAGCTGTTTTACGTGGGCTGGGCCTTATAAAAGAGAAATTGACAGTCACGGTCGGTTATCTTCTGGCCCATGTATCTGAGCTTTAAAATCGATTTCAGAACATTAAGGACGATTATCAAATATCTGAAAAGAAGCGGGGCGGTTTTGGGTATAAGCTAAAATATAGGGAGGGAGAGAGAAGAAATCTGCGGGAAAAAAATCCCGGCGGAGAGGAGTGAAGCCTCTCCTGGAGAAGAAGAGGAACTTAATTTCATTCGAGTAGCGAATTTTGCAGACTTTTTTTTCCTTTTGTTGCGACGGATTGGTTGATTTCGCCAGATTAGGGATCGTATCAGGAATTTTGGGGGAAAAGAAAGAGGAAGAAGAGAAGGGAGCTAAAAAATGTCAGACCTAGACCGGCAGATAGAGCAGCTGAAGCGCTGCGAACCATTGAGCGAATCGGAGGTGAAGGCTCTTTGCCTCAAAGCGATGGAAATTCTCGTCGAAGAAAGTAATGTTCAGAGAGTTGATGCTCCTGTTACTGTAAGTTATTGCTTACCCTACTTCTCGATCTCGGATTCGATATTCATCTCCAGTTATCTATACAGAATCGGTTCAATTTTGTCCTGGAAGTAGAATTAGGAGCTCATTAATATAGGAATGTTGAGAAATTGGGCGCGAGGGCATCGTAATATTGATAATTCAGCTGAGATCTTTGCCTTTGATTTATTGTTCGAGTTTTAGTTCGTAATGTATTATCATTGGTAGGATCCAGTGAACGACTTTTGTTGTTGTTTCCCATTTTTACAAGTGAAAAGATTTCAAGGGTAGTGAAGTTGCTGCGTGCTAAGTGAGAGTAGATACCATTTCTGCTCTTATGGATTGCGAGAATTGCTAATCCGTAGAATTTTTTCTTTCTTTAGTTATGTGGTGACATCCATGGGCAGTTCTATGACATGATGGAGCTTTTCAAAGTTGGGGGTGATTGCCCTAAGACCAACTATTTGTTTCTTGGAGATTTTGTTGATCGTGGATATTATTCAGTCGAGACATTTCTACTTCTACTCGCTCTCAAGGTAACACTCGAAACAGTGCTTTACTTTGTTCTGCTTCATGTTTCCTTTCATTATCTCGTCTGCTAAGTGGGGTTTTACAGTCACTTAAGTGGGTTGCTTTGATATTCTCAGGTTAGATATCCAGACCGTATAACTCTCATCAGAGGCAACCACGAAAGCAGGCAAATCACACAGGTGAATGCCCTCTCATTGAAAATCTTGAATTTGTGTATATATATGTGTTCAGACTATTTACAGAGTTTGCGGATTAGTAGGTTTATGGATTTTATGACGAATGTCTGCGTAAATATGGCTCTGTAAATGTCTGGAGATACTGCACCGACATTTTTGACTACATGAGGTACTCACAGCACGCAATTTACTTTCCTTCTGTTCACTTTTTGGGTTATCTTTACTTTGGAATGATGTGACTTTTTTAAACTGTACTTTTTGTTCTTTATGTGCAATAAATAGTCTTTCAGCTGTTGTTGAGAACAAGATATTCTGTGTTCATGGCGGTCTCTCTCCAGCTATAATGACTCTTGATCAGGTTGATAAGAAGAGCTCTCTCTCTCTACTGTTATAGTTTAGAAGTTTCAAGTAGCATGAATTAACTGACGGACCCATACATTGATGGCAGATCAGGACGATTGACAGGAAGCAAGAAGTACCACATGATGGTGCCATGTGTGACCTCCTATGGTCTGATCCTGAAGACATTGTTGATGGCTGGGGTTTGAGCCCTCGTGGTGCCGGATTCCTTTTTGGCGGCAGTGTTGTCACGTCTTTTAACCACACGAACAACATAGACTACATAGGCAGAGCCCATCAACTAGTTATGGAGGGTTACAAATGGATGTTCGATAGCCAGATTGTGACAGTGTGGTCAGCCCCGAATTACTGTTACAGGTAAATAAGTTACTCATTACCGTCTATCTATATTCAGTCTATGTATCTTCTTTCCTTTGCATTTACTCATATCTCGGTTATGCTTTAGATGCGGTAATGTGGCTTCGATTCTAGAGCTCGACGAGAATCTAAATAAAGAATTCCGTGTGTTCGATGCAGCACAGCAGGTATGACCACCCTTTTAGTTATATGTTACGTTTTGTTCAGATTCCCGATGAACGGTTCAATAGACTGACTTACTCTAAATGCAGGACTCGAGAGGACCTCCCGCCAAAAAACCTGCCCCTGATTACTTCCTATAACGAAGAAGAACTAGCATCAATTGTACCCCATTGAAGAGGAAGCGAATCACAATTTGTTTGGTGTTTAGGTCACAGTGCAGAAGAACTCTACAGAATACAATTGTTTCAGGCGAGATCTACTGGGGTTGTCTAAAAGAAGAGTGTGTTGTGTAATGGTAGTTAAAAGAGTGTTTTCTTTGTCATAATTTCAAGTTTGTACTTTCTTAGGAGACAAGACCTCAAAACAAATTTTGAAGCTCACAGTTATTTCAATAGAAATCAAGTGTTAGATGGAATCGGTTCTTGCTTTGATTATTGCCGTTTCATAGGAACTCGCCAAAAACATAAAATCCCTCTGCAGAGGATGAAAAGATGTGAAATGGCGAGTATTCTTCCAAAGATTTATTTCATACACAAGAATACACTCTCTCTGGTATGGTTTTCCAGTATAATGAAAGGACTGGATCGGGATTGAATGAGAGACAAACGATTCAACAGTAAAGAGAGGAAAAGGCTTGTTGTTCCACACAGCAATAAGAATTACAAAGGGGAAAAACCAATATGTTTGAACAAGAAACAGAAAGAGCAGAGCTGGGTTCTTTACTCAGATTTGTGCATTGGTTTCCTAATTTGAGGAGGACATGGGGTGTCTTGTTTTGAGTAGATGGTTTGTCTACTCTACCTCGCTTAGGATAGGGACAATGAGAGGCTTCATCTGCGCAATGTATACAATCGCCCACCTACCAAATGAATAACCAAAAAACGATTCAGTGATATAAGATAATGAAGAGCCATATGAAAAAAGCTGGACAGTGGTCTCTAGAGCAATAATGTTCATGTTGTGGAACTTTCTCTAACATAAATCCTAAATCATCGACTTCAGATAGTTTAACAGAGAAATGACTGATCTCCACATAGAGTTCATTGGAAAGTAGTAAAGCCTAGAAGAATCTGCCTCTTGATGGTTAACATTTGATCGAGGTGAGGAATCAATCAAATTAATTGGGCGGAAGCAAGACAAAGGATGAGGCTTTAGAATGCAAAAATTAACGGAAAAATAGAGCAGCAAACACAAACTTACATCATCCAGCAGCAGACAGTCGCTGTAATGACCAAGGTCAGATGTAACCTGTATACAATAGCAAAAAAAAGCATAAAGACTTGATATTTACTCCAACGAAGAATGGTTATCAAATGTGTGTCCAAGGAAAGAAGTGGGCGGGAACAAGATAAGAGTTAGAATTGTGACAGTTTTTACATTGATGAATCTATCACAGAAAGGAACAAATTCAGTAAAAAGTATGGAGTTTCCCCCAAAAGTCAAATCAATAGATAAAATTTTCGACTATCAGTTTTCGATCCTAAGCACAAAAGGATTAGTTATTATTGGAGCTACTGCACAGTGCACTCATCACCCATGATGAAGCAATCGATCAAACATTTACGACGGCCAATTGATTAGTACTTGATATTGCGAAATCAAACGAGAAGAAGCAGAAAAGAGAAATCAAACATACAGATTGGTGGAGGGGCCTTTGTTGAAGCAGATTCTAGTGCATATTGAAGCAATGATGCCGACGACAGCGAATATTAAGGATGTCGCAAGAAAAGCCATTGTCTGGTTCCTGATCCCTGCAACGAGAATTTAGACGTGATTTTAGATTACGAGAATGACGCAATCCGGAGGATTCAGATTGAAAAGAGAGAGAAAGGCTATCGCAAGAGATCTCACAGATTGGAATGAAGCTCCTGGTCCTGGACGTCTACAAACGCGAGAGAGGGGATGATGATGATAGATGATCGCAATCGTCGTCATTACCCAGTAGTGATCTGTGTCGGATCCGCGCCAGGCCCAGATATTTTAGGGGTAAATTTGTCTTTTCTCAGTTATATATGAGCCAACAATTGGCCCAATTCCAACCTCTTTCAAAGTCTGTTTAAAAACTTCAAAGTTAAATAAAACCTTGATTCAACAGCCGCCAATTTTACATTTGCGTGTTTACATTATTACATTGAAATCTTCAATGTCGTGTTTCATTGTAGAGTGTACATTTGACTTTTATTTTTGTTGTGTTGTATGGAGGAAAATGGAAACGTATAATTTGTGTGAAGAAGAATAGGGATAGTTTTGAAAGTTTGATTAGTAAAAAGGAACTGTATTGCATTGAAGGTTTGATAAAAAAAATCCAAAGAATTTACATAAGAATTAACACCTTCAAAAATTCGACATTCGAAAAAAAACAAAAAGATCCTAAATGTTCAAGCTGCATTATTCCCTTCATGCTCCATTTTCTCTTTGCTCTTTTCTGATAGTGTAAGCCTCTTGCTCTGTCTCAAGAACTCTCAGAAGCTTTAGAAACCGAAATCGGGTTCTACGTCCATTGCCCACGTAAATTTCTCCAGAAGAGACTTGCCGAATATCTATATGAATAGCCATTCAACTTTGTAAGACACTAAGACTACGTACTCCCCCTAGGTTTTCCCAATTTTTTCAAGTTTATGTAAGAAGCTTGCTAACCTTTTGAATGGGCACTTCATGACGTTTGCACCACGCGACAGTGATCCTAGGATCCATGTAATTGATCTTAGACGTACCAAGCGCCACGGTTTTCAAGTCCTCCTTACTCTCCATGTCTCTTTCCATCTTCTCCGTCTTCATCATATTCTGAGCTATCTTCTTCTCCCACCTTCATTTTAACAAACATGCATCACAGTTTTAAGAGAGAGATCTACTTTTTTAAGTCTGTGTGTGTACGTGAGAAAAGATATTTTGAATTTATAATTACGCTTCTGGAGTGATGTTTCTCGTTTTCTTCCCATCTGAACCTTCCAATGGAAGTTTTCCCTTTTTAGCCCTCTCCAGGTTGGTTTTAAGTTGTTTTAGACCTTCCTGTGTCACCAAAAATCAAACACAAGTCATCAAGACAGCTTCCTAAGTTTCATATGTTGTAACTTATCATATATTTTGTTTACCCTGAGTTCATCTAATTTTCCAGCCAATCTCTGGACTTGTGCACCGTGAGACTTTGAAACAGTACGCTGGTGATTACAAATTATGGCCACCTGCGACAAATCAAAGAGGCAGTGTCATGAATCAAAATAGATGCACTCAAGTGTTTTGCTATCAGGGAACAACCATATTTATACCTCCTTGTTTGCTTGGTTATAAACTGCTAATTTCTGGCTAACATCACCATCTTTGGTCTCTTGCCTCAACTGTCACAGCATCCAAACAGAACAGAGCGGTTAAAAATCAAATTAATACGTTTTGGGAAGTAGACAAACAACAATAAACAGTGAGGCTCAAGGTTTTCGATTTTTACCATTACATCCAATGTGATGGATGCATTGTATGTACGGAACACTTTAGCAGTGAGACCAGGCATAAGCTCCTTGAGATGAGCATTTAGTTTGCTTGTGTCCAACTTATCAAAAAGATCGTCTGATTTTGATTTACCTGGATGATGATGATAATAAAATTAAAGTAACAAATTACTTGTCAAAATCATGAGAATAAACGATTAACTATTTAACACAAAGTCAAGTCCATAACTCACCAGCCTGGAACTGTCCAATGGCTTTGTAAACAGGAGGATCAACTTCGACCGTATTCACATATTGGATTGAATCTTTACCAAGGAAGTCAAACTATAAATACATATTGGAAAAACGGAAAAGCTTGTCAAGACTCAAGATCAAACCAATCCACCAAGAGGAGATGAGCAAACTAATTGTTACCTTTAACTTGTTTGGAGGAACACATTCCACATGTCCTAATTTCAATGTACAGCATCCAACAGTGTCTGCCTCATCATCATCCTATCCAGATTAAAAGAAAGATGCGAATTTCTCAGGAATAAAAAAAAAACTGCATACTTGTTAATCATTTACTTGCAATCATTCATCACTTTGTTTGAAGAAGAAATATTAAGGATATTACCTTCTCATTACCAGCTCTAAGTGCAAGTTTATCAATGAGATAGATAGCTACAGCTATCTGTCGCTTCGAAACATCCTTAGCTGTAAAATTCTTGGTGTAGGTTGCTCTTATACTGTCTATGTGGTCCTGAACATTATTCAAAACAAAAAGAAAAATCATGTAGCTAAGAAAGGTATACATAATTAAGTGTGATAGACTTACTTAACTTCCTTAAAGAAAAAAAGAAAAGAAAGCTGATGATCACTACCTTAAGCTTTCTGGCTTTCTCGTACTTCTGCTTGTCGCTATGGCCTTTGAGAGAACTGCTAGCTGCCAGATTAACGTACTTGAAGAGTTTTGGATAAATAGGATTATTCCAGTATGCTATACACATGAGTGTGTTATCATGCTTTATTTCTTTCCATCTGAAAAAAATTAAGTTATCATCTATCACTGTTAGCACGAAACTATAATATTTTTCTGATAAACCAAGGAATAATATAAGATCAAACCTTTCACCAGGGATGGGGCATTCAGGGATAGGAGCATCTTTCCCCAGAATTAGAGTCACATCATGAGGATAGATACGCTTTTTCAGCTTTCCAATCTGAACAATCAGGCCATATGGAAACCCAAAATGCAAGTTATTGTGAATGAATAATGAAATATGAATTCATGCAAGAAGATAAAGTTGTAACAACCTTTGGATGGTCTCCTCGACCTCTGAATAACGCAGGAGGTTCAACTTGAAAATTCGCTATCTGAAAGAGAAGGAAACAGCCAATGCCATGCCACTAAGTAAAAGAATATCCCAAAACTACATGATGTCATGTGGGGAAATAATAAAACTTACCTTCTCTTTGACACCGTCAATAATAGCCCACATGTATTTCTCTTTCTCATTCTGCTTAGGTTTCTTCTCTTTCGACTCTTTCTTCCTCTGCACGTTATCAAAGCAAAACTTATATTTTTTGGAAGAAAACTCTTGAGCGCGCTGTAACATATCAATGCAAGTTGACTTATTTACCTTCTTCTCTTCTAAATTCCAGTCGTATATGGGGGTAAAGTCACAATCATCCAGCTTCTGTATCACATGGTTCTTGCCAAGTAGTTTCCTCCAATCATTCCAGAAATTCTCCCTAAATCTAGGTTTACTATAATACTCTGTCTCCCTCATCACAGCAAACAACGTTGCAACCTTACCAGTAAAAAATAGAAGCAAATCATGAGCGTAATCAGTGAAGCTGACAGAAGAAAAATGTCGACTAAGAAAACATTGAGGGCATGGATGGAGGAGTTTACTCTTCTTGTTCAGGAGATAAGTCAACTGGCTTCCCTTTATATAAAATTTTAACCCCATGAGGCTTATATGGTGGTGGAAAAGTGACACCATTGTGCTCCAAGGTCGTCCATTTCTTTTTCCCATCGCCATTAGGTAAGCTTTTAGAGTCCTTGTTCGTCACTTTCTTGGACTCTTTGCTCCTCGTCTTGGCCGGAGGAGAAACTACTCTGATCGCTTTTGTCTTCATAGCTGATGAAGTAGAACTCTGTTTTACTACTTCACCTTTCGTAGATGGTGTTTTACTATTGGAGGAATCTGACTTGATTCTCTTGGCTATTGGAACATCATCATCATCATCATTATCATCAACAGCAGTTTCATCTTGTTTAGGTGATACCACAACCTTCTTCCTCTTATCACCTTGTTTTTCCTTTTCCACATAATCTTGTTTTGTTGCAACTGACGTATATGAAGATGATGATGTCTTTGGCTTCTTCATGGAAGATTGATCAACATAGCTTCCTTTATCCAGAAGTCTCTTCCAAGATACCTTAGCCCCATCTTCAAGAGTGGAACCATTCTGCAACTTCCTAACCAAAGGTTTCTTTTCATCATCCCTTTTGTTATCAAACGGTTTTCTATGTGATTGATCCTTATCGTTGACACTTCTCTTGAACACTAGAGAGTTACCATCACCGTCGTCTTCCATCATTGGTTTTGAGGAATCCTCAGTGGCCATATACCTGAATGCTAGGACCAAACTTTCTGATAAAAGAGGCAAAAAAAGGAAAGTGTCAGAGGTTCCAAATAAAGCAACATAATGCATGATTCGATCACGCAACCAAACGCAACAAGGGAGAACAAAAATAGCATCTTAATTCTACAAGAGTGCCACCTACGTCTTGTTCAATTTTGATGCAAGTGTTATATCTCAATTCGAATTTAGGGCTATTACTAACGAGACTCAATAGAAATTTGAGCATATGAAATTGAACTGGGTTAGAAAAACTCAACCTTATTCAAGGACGATGAAGCCTATCTCCTTGTCTCTCTCTCTCTCCTTCAAGTTTTTGTTGCTTTTTTTTCTAAGTTATGATTATATATGCTTCTCTTCCGGTGCGGAAATCGCTGAGAGCCTAAGGCATGGAGAGACTCTTTCCGGAAAAGAGAGTTTGCAGTTTTAACTCCCACGACGTCGTATAGAGCCTAACGGGTTTTTTACCGCCCTAATCGTAACCGCCTAATTGGGGATATCATATCACACAATACAGTTTTATTTGTTTATTTGAAAAACTATTAGACAGAAGAAAATTAAGATTTTGTGGTTTAACAAACATAAAACTAAACTAACTCACAGATCAGATAGTAGGTGTGGTACGTATAACAAAAGCTACTTTGCTCTCGCAAGACATGTTCGTTTCTCTCTCTCTCTCTCTCTCTCTCTCTCTCTCTCTCTCTATACGTTGAGTGTCTCCTCTGAGACAGTGGTGATGTCAGAAACCGCATCAGCATCGTTGTCCTCAACGGCCAAGCGCGAGACTTCGCTACTCAATGAGGAAACTTCGTCCTCTCCGGTGACAGACGGAGCAGAGGACGCGTCTGAGCTGGTGCACGTCGTGGTTGTGCTCTGAGTTGACGACGAATCCGAACTACTCTCCGATGAGTGTTTCTGAAGACTCCAGTACATTATACTCGCCGTTAAGATTAGCATCATCTTCTGATTCACCTGTCACTCACAACATCCCAAACACCATCTCAACATTCACTCCTAGTAAACTAAGCAAGTGCTGTTTCAGGTAACCAGAGAATCCATTGTATACCTCCATGATATCTTCAGGCAACAAGAAAACAGAACATCCGAGCTTTCTTGCGACGCTGACTATGTACGTAGCATTCAACCTCTTCTCCTCATCTGTACGTTTCAACAACCATAGGAGGTAAGAGTTAAGACTGAGAAAGTAGCTTGAGTCTAGTTAAGAGAGTAGTGAACCTGTTTCACCCTTGGTGACAAGATTCCAGTTAACAACTCTTGGCTCCACCGCCCATAGAAGGTCAAGGAAGAACAACCCGCTCGATAGACTCTTGTCCTGAAGGATATTAATTGGATGATGTTTTACAAATACCATTGAGATAAGTGTTTGAAGTTGATATATAATAAAGAAAGGAACCTTGAAGCTCTCAATCTGCGATTTCCTCCCCATAGCTCTTACTTTCCGGTTGGCCCAGCTGAGGATATCTGCATCAGTCATTTCTTTGCCTCGTGTCCGCGATCTGAGACTCTTGAGAAGTTGGAGCATGTGGAATCTCATCAACTGCCATAAGAGACCTGAGAGAGAGATTAAACATATCTCCACTTTCATCTTCTTGCATCAATATGTGAAGAAACTGAAACATGGGTGACGATTACCAAGAATGAGCTTCTTGTTCCCTTGAACTATGTCATTTCCAGCTACATTAACGAGTGAGAACTTCAGCTCTTTCCCAATCTTGACGACTTGATTGCAGTTCTCTACTTTTCTAAACGGCATCTTAATCGGCGGCTTTGATGCATGCTTCCAGTTCACTGACCCGGGAGAGATCTTGTCAAGAACCTCCAGAAGAATCCACCTGCACCAAATTAGTAAGTAGCACCAAACTCATTTTCAGTTGTTTTCTTTAAGTTTGCAACATTTTCAACCACAGGTACAACTTCTACAGACATAAAAGCTTAAAGCTTACCCATTTCTAACATCTTCAAAAACATTATTGACATAACTGCTAATCCCGAGGCTGTTGATCCATAGCCGGTAGCATCGTTCATCTCTACAAGTCTCTACATCTTCTGTCATCATCTCTGCAAATGAATACTTACCATCCGTACTTAGACCATTCCTGCAACAGGTACAAACAACCAAAGGGATTTCAGGTAAGAAGCTTCTGAATCATAAATATTTGCATAGTTTGGAAGCTGTTTTCCTGTTCTTTATCAAGTTTGTTTGTCCAGAATAACTTGCAACAAGAGACGTTTTTTAGTAAACCATCACCAGCCTAACTCAATTTAGAAGTATGAACGTTTTGAGAGATGAAAGTGTATCCACCATACAAACCTTTCTTGGAATATTTGTGCGACAAATGCGAGATTCAAAGTTGGAGATCCTTCAACTATCTCTTCTGCAGTCAAGTATCGCTTGCAGTTCATTCTCTCTGCATGGTTGAGAACCAATTCAGCCTTTTCAAGAGGATCTTTTGCATCTAGTGTATCCGGATCACAATGTTCAGGTGCAAGAACATTCAGAAGGTAAGAATAGGCTTGTGCATCCTGCATGCTTACCAGAAAACACGCTTTATTATATAATAAAATTGATAAGGTTCAACAAGTTGCATCCATGAAATTACCAAAAATGTTGAGTAAGAAGCCGCCTAAGTAAAGAGGTTGGATCAGCCACATACCTTCAAGTCTGAAGAAAAGTTTGAAACGGTTTTCTTGTAACCACCTTTCTTAAGATGGAAGTTCATCCATTTCAGTAAGACTTTCTCAGGGGGTAATCTAAGCAACTCCTCAACATCCTGAAACAGAGAGTAACTTGATATCACTTTATCATTTACAAGACGCATATAATTGGATGACAATGTGACCAGTAGCTTAATTACATCGCTGTCCTCAACCAACTCAACAAGCTGAGGCGTCTTCTTTAAATTGAGATCAGCGAGAAGTTGAATCTGCGGTTGTTATCAACATTTTTCAGTTACTAAATGAGCACAAAGAGAAACGTCATATACACAGAGCGGATAAAGTGGATGAGTGCAAACCTTTATGAGTTGTGAAATCAATCCAAGCACCAGATGAGGCTACAAAAAAAACATCATAAAACCGTAAGTTACAGTGAATGATGTACACTGAAACACTGAGCAGACAAAACATACCCTTCCTTCAGCCAGGTCTTGTGTCCCAATATTAACAACAGTGCATCCAACAGCTTTGGCAGAGTTGAGACAAAGCGTGTGATTCTCAGTTCTCTCCCACGGATTAAGAACCCTCTTCGTGTTGATCGCTCGTTCATCTATTGTCCCTGGAACTGCTACATTTATGAGCTTACTGCGCCAGAATAGAAACGAGGAGAAACAAGTCAAAAGCAGAAATAAGATAAGTTTTTTTTGTGTGGAAACAAGATGAGAATGTGCACCTTACCATAGAAGCACACCGTCTTTCACAAGTTCATACAAGTCATTAGAATTTGGATCAAGAGGAAGGAACTGCTTCAGAAAAGGGTCATCCCCAAGATATCTGTTGATGTGTTGAACAAAAGAGCTCTTCTCCGACTGGCTTATAGTGTGAAGAAGCGTCGTTGTGCTAGCCTTAAGAAACGATGATGACGAGTTCTTGTGACCACCAGGTTTCTCAGCTGCTTTACCTTGTAAGTTTAGATATATCTGCACATTATAGGATCGATCCAAAACCATATATCAACATTCACACTCAAATCCAAAACTAGATTCAGCAAGAAACAAAGAAGTACCTTGAGAAACTCTTCGAAACTCACGTCACTGCTTCTATCAGAACTCAATTCTCTCAGCATCTCTTTGATCTCATCGTCCTTAAATGATGCACTAAGTGCCTTCAGCTTTGACATGAACGGAGGGAGATCTTCTGTGGTGATCTTTCCAATCTGATTCTTCAACGATACAAACTACACCACAAAATCAGGATTGTACACAGATCAAACGAGTTTCATTTCATCCATGGTGTAGTATATAGAGGAGGAACAATGAAAGAAAGATATGAAAACCTTGGAATTGAGAGTTCGAAGTTCGACTTGAGTGAACTGGCTCTGTAGCCATGGATCCGAAACCACAACACCTACGAACCCAGACATGTCCCCGTTTGACCATCCACAACCACAATTATCATATACCCACAAGACTCTCTGTTTCAATTCTCCTTGAAAACGGATGACTGTAAGCTACGAAATTATTCTGTGGCTGAGAAGAAACAAAAACACAAAAATATCACCGAATCGAAAATTTGTCCTTAATATAGCAAAGAGAAGGTGAGCAGTACAAGAAGACAAAACTGAGGTAACCGACCATTTCAGGAAAGATAAATAAAGAACAAATACGACTCTATCACGCAAACTATTAATCTGATACTAATCTCGAAATATCGAAGATAGGACTCATTGTACAGAAATTCGACTCTAACCTCGGGTGATGGAAATTGGGCGTTGAAGTCAACTACAACGTCGATTATCGAAGTCGAAATGACCAAGACGGAGTAACTAAACCGCAATGTGTCACGTGAAGCAATCTCAATGAGACGAAGAAGATGATGCAGGAGAGAGAGAGAGAGAGAGAGAGAGAGAGAGAGAGGAGACGATAATTTCTGCTTCGTGTGAGCAATTAACGAAGCCGTGAATAGAGAGAGGGAGGGAAAAACAAAACGAGTTTATGTTTCGTGTGAGGCGAAAAGGCTCACTGAGTCACACTGGCAATGAATGCTTTGACTGTGAGCATCAAGGTCACGTGCGCGAGTATATCATATCTTTCCACACTCGCTCTGTATATGATACACGTGGAGGGGATGCACGTCCACCTCGACAAGGATGCTGACTTCACGTCGTAACGGCTTGTCTACGTGTCACTTATCATGACATCTCATATTAATTTGTCGCCGTCGGTTAAGTGCTATAAGTCTGCTAACAAATTTTTTTTTTTTTTGTAGTGACGGTTCTATGTTCGAAACTTCTTTGCGGTGTTCATGTTAGAAAGGTTACGGTAGATGTAAAAAAAAATAGTTGTAACAGTATTGAAATGTAAATAGGAATTAGGAACTATCAAATGATCTCTACATAACAACATGGCTCAACTCTGAGTCTCTGACCCTAAGACCAATTTCATAACTTGTTTGATCTGAATGTCAACTTCATAAGAGGTTTTGCAATTGAACACATTTGCTTAAACAAGTCTAAATATAATACTATGCAAAAGTAAAGTAAAGTTAAAGATAAAGAGATCAGGAGAAAGTTAAGATGTAGCTAGCCATATATACTTGCGTTAGGTCGCCAAATTCTTTCTTTGTCCGTCTTGCTAAAATAGTGTCATTGATGTATTGGTCCATCTTCTCGAAAATCACATCTGGAGAGCATGAAATACCCTTGTGAAAAGCCTTCAATTTTGTAAACTTAAAGAGACATTTGTATGGACCTCAACTTTTTGTGGCCATACTAAAATATGATATATAGAACTAAATATAGTGTAATACTGTAATATATAAGCTTATGGCAAGAGTTCATATCACTTCCTTCCCATAACAGGCCAAATCCATAACATACTTTGAATTGGATGCTCCACATCTTTTGCCTTTACACATTAGAATGATGTATGCTGAGGTGTGCAATGGTCACAAATTTCAAGGACTTGGAAAAAAAAACATGTAAAGTTTTGAAACCTAATTTTATGAAGCTTAAATAAATATGGAAGAAGAAAATGTTGCAAATCTGCCTCTTTAATTAACATCTATATATAAGTATATGATGACAAGAAAAACTGTAAAGAATTATCAGTATCGATCCTTCACATGTACCACTATCTCTACATGCACATGCCCAACTTGTGTTGTGTGTGAAGTTTTGTTTCTTTTTTGTTCTTAGTAGTTAATTCCCAACTTGTGTTTGTTTGGAAGCAATCTTCAATAAAAACAGTTCGTATTGTTCTTTCTTTAACTAGTGTCGTTTAGCCAAAAGTTAAGTGGTGTGTATATGTGCTTCTTTCATTTGTATGCAGTGTACAAAGTTAGTGGGATTATATTATATGTGCCAGTTATATATATAGGATAGGAGAGTTAGCTTCTGAAATGAAAAAGTCGATATCTAATTTTCTGTTTGTTACAACATGCATTATTATTACAAAAAACAGTGAATAATAAACCAGTAGTAAGTAATTTCTTTTGATTAAAGATGAATAGGAGAAGAAGGAGAGTTTCTGAAATAGCAACTCTTTTGTCCAATCATTTTTAGGAGAACCCTTCATATTTTTCCTAATCTTGAAGATAGCCAGGTATGTTGGTCGTCGTCTCGTCGAATGAACCGTCATAGACAAATTGTAGTTCTCAGAAAACGTATAGTCACAAGATTGAGGTCAATGTCATTGTCATGGGATAGACTATAATAATTAAAGTATTAGGAGTTGACCGAGTAAAATAAATAATTTAAAAAGTCAATTAAAACACATATTCCAATTGTATAGACAACAACATCACATCAACATCCCGGTGAGAAACTTTCCTTCTTCTAAAATTGATGATTTGCGACAAAAGAATTGTTAAAAGATTTTTCGAAAGTGGAGGTTTATTTTGGGTGATTACAGCAAACAACGGTCCCACGTATAAGGTGACAGGTTTGCGCGTCTTTGCTGATCTTTTGAGTAACCACAAATGAGTATTCGCCACGTGTACTTTTACAGATAAGTCATGACGGCCATGTTGTGGGACCCTCCATAGCTGTTCATTATTCATTCACCACTTTTTTCAGTTTGGCTCGCGCCGAGCCGCCGACCAAAGGCTTCTTCTCATTTTTTTTTTTGGTTTGTGCGAATAAATTCAGCAATTATTATAGACTTTAATAGTTGAGTCTCTTATAGTATTGGGTGTGTTCTGTAGTAATTATTTATCGCTATGGTAAAAGCTGAACCACTAGCAGTCTAGCACCAATACAATTGTGCATCAAAGTCTCAAACTACTTTCCTCCAACTAACTGTATTTTGGTTGTATTATCCATCGGGCTAAGACTCTTAATTGCCTTAATGTAAGCCAAACATCTAGATTTCTAGTTTAGTGGTTTCTTACTATTCTGGTAAAATTACCGGTAAGTTTCAAAAACATTTCTTATTTCAGCTCATCTTTCTTTGTTAAGCTTAACGTGTACAAAAACAAACATGAATACCAATGCATGCAAAGAGACAACTACATCAATTCGGCGAAGGGACCCAGTTCGTGGCCATATTAATAATCTTTACGAGTACTTGCAAGTTGTATATATGTAAACAACAACACAAAAGTCTATAAATATATAAAACAACATAAAGCCACTTATGCTTATATGCTAGTTTTTTTGTTTTATCAAACACTTTCGAACCTAGGATCATAAGCTTCTTGAATCGCGATTTAAAACATCTTATCTAAATCCTTATCCATTTTTAGTATTTGAATTTGGGATTTTTACAACTTTTTTTTTTGCATGGTCAAGTAATACATATGTTGAACCATTGAAACCGGATACTAGTATATTCATAGGTTTCAAGAGACTAAAACCGTAATGTTTGAACTTTGAAGCATAAATTATATCTTATATATAAATTTCAAACACATGTTTAAGAATAATTATAGATCAAATTATGTTATAGCATGTAGTATTTTATAAATTGATGTTCTTCCTAGTTTCTTGCAAACATATAAACCCAACTAAGTGGACCAACAAATACTCAAAACATATAATCACAAAAATTTGTTCTTTTCTCCTGTCTATAAATTTTAGTAAACAATCTTTTTTTTTATGTCGCTCAAATCAAACAATTTCCGTTGAAAGAGTCCAAGGAACAAAGAGCTCAACAACAGCAGCTGAAGCCGGTCCGACCAAAATCTCGGCTCCTCCACTGTCCGAAAACAAAAATACGTGATTACGCGTAATTGTGGTAGGCTGCGATTAATTTATGTGAAAATCACCTAAACAACGAATAAACTTGTAAGAAGAAATTAATCATCAGTCGTTTTTGATTATATTATCTTTAATTTAATCAACTATCATATAAATCAGAATCCCACAAAACCAAATAGCCACAACTAGCAGACTCTCTCTCTCTCTCAAATCTCGCTCCGTCTCCGCGAAGCAAGAAGCCGGTAAAGTCGCCGGCGGGAGTAGAACGGCAGTTTACCATTACTACTAATTTATCGGCGAGGTAATCCGACAATGCAAGGGTTACGAGCTTCGTCGCTTTTCCTCTGTGGTGTTGTTCTGATCCAGCTGCTTGCTGCTCCAATCGATGCTCAAAGATCCAAAAGTCCATGGCAGACGCTCGCTGGTTAGTGCTCTCTCACTTTCTCTCTTTCTTTGCGCATGGTTTCCCGAGAAAACTGGAGAAAACGAGGGAAATGAATCATCCGTAGTAGTACAAGTTGAAATTACCATTTGGGAAATTTTTAATTTTCAAATTTTGGTTTGAAGGAACTTAGCCATTTGTGGACAGTTTCCAGATATAGAAGTGCCTTGAATTAATTTGATCCCTTTTTTTTTATTAAAAATCACTATTTTGTGCAGGTGATGCTCCTCGTGTGATAGCTCGTGGTGGATTCTCAGGATTATTTCCAGATTCGAGTCTCGATGCATACAAGTTCGCAATGTTGACAAGTGTAGCCGATGTTGTTCTATGGTGTGATCTTCAGCTAACCAAAGACGGAGCTGGGATTTGTTTCCCTGATTTAACACTGAGCAATGCTTCAACCGTCGAAACCACTTACCCAAACCGCCAAAAATCATCTTACCCGGTTAACGGAGTCACCACTCAGGGCTGGTTCACCATCGATTTCACCTTGAGAGATCTCAGCAAGATTTCCTGTAAGTGTTTTCATGATTTCACAAACAAGAATTTGAGTTTTTTTCTTGCAAACTTCTCTTACAAAATGCCTTTTTTTTTTTTTGCAGTGATTCGAGGTATATTTTCTCGGTCAGACAGATTCGATGGAAACTCATACCCGATTTTGACGGTTGATAGCTTAAACAAGCAGTTGCAACCACAGGGTCTTTGGTTAAACGTTGAGCACGAAGCCTTCTACGCTCAGCAGAACCTGAGCATCAGCACTTTTCTCATCACAACTTCAAAAACTGTCATCATAGACTTCATCTCATCCCCTGAAGTCAACTTCTTCAAGAAAATCGCTGGACGTTTCGGTCGTAATGGACCGAGCTTCGTGTTCCGGTTCCTCGAGAAGGAAGAAGTCGAGCCAACAACTAACCAGACATACGGTTCCATCTTGAGTAACTTGACCTTTGTCAAGAGTTTTGCTTCAGGGATCATTGTTCCCAAGTCTTACGTATTGCCAGTGGATGACAAACAGTACTTGCGTCCTGCTACAAGTTTAGTTCAAGATGCGCACAAGGCGGGACTGGGAGTGTTTGTGTCTGGTTTTGCTAATGATGCTGATATCGCACACGACTACAGTTTCGATCCAGTGTCTGAGTATCTGTCTTTTGTCGACAATGGCAATTTCTCTGTCGATGGTGTGCTCACTGATTTCCCCATAACTGCATCTGCATCCGTAGGTAAGCAACATCTCTTCTACAGACAAGATCTCTTCACTTTTGTCCTTCAAATATTGATGAAAACACTCAAAATCAAAACATTCTTTTTTTCATATTTTCCTCAGACTGCTTCTCCCACGTTGGCAAAAACGCTACAAAAGAAGGTATGGGAGTAATAATAACTTATGATACCTCAGTGAAGAAACCTGTAATTGACTTATCATCAACTAAATGGTTTCTCTTGTCTCAGCTGATTTTCTTGTTATATCCAAAAACGGTGCAAGTGGAGACTATCCAGGATGTACAAACTTGGCGTATCAGAAGGCAATCCAAGACGGTGCTGATGTGATCGATTGCTCAGTGCAAATGTCCAGCGACGGTAAACCCTTTTGCTTAAGCTCGATCAGCCTCGGGAACAGCACAGATGTCGCTCAATCTCCTTTCAGGAACCGTTCGACACCTGTTCCTGAGATTAGCTCAGTTGGTGCGATATACACTTTTAGCCTCACATGGCCTGAGATCCAGACCTTGAAACGTAAGCTTCGCTTCAAATCCTCTACTTACTTTTCGGATTAGTAACTTCTATTGTTTACTCCTACTTAACTTAAAAGATGATACAAATAACAGGCTACATTAGAGATTACATAACTATTCCACGTTTTTTTTTGTGTGCAGCTGCTATTTCAAACCCCTACAGTGTATACAGTTTGTTTAGGAATCCAAAAGAGGGAACTTCTGGGAAGCTTCTTTCGCTATCTGAGTTCCTAAACTTGGCGAAGAACTCCACCTCTCTCTCCGGTGTTCTGATCAGTGTAGAGGTGAGTTCTCGTGTACTTCTTAGTTGATTTCATCAATCAGACGGTGTGACGTCTTCTCATGGCCATGTATTCTTTGTGTTCCTCAGAATGCAGCATACCTAAGAGAGAAGCAAGGCCTCGACGTGGTTCAAGCGGTTCTTGACACACTCACAGAGACTGGCTACAACAGCAGTAAAACCGCAAAGGTGATGATTCAGTCAACAAACAGCTCGGTTCTCGTTGACTTCAAGAAGCAGAGCCAGTACGAGACTGTGTACAAGGTCGAAGAAACCATCCGTGATATCCTCGACTCTGCTGTAGAAGACATAAAGAAATTCGCCGACGCTGTAGTCGTCGTGAAATCATCAGTCTTCCCTGACGCCGATGGGTTCATCACTGAGCAAACCGATGTTGTGACGAAGCTGCAGAAGTCTAAGCTCCCGGTGTACGTGGAACTGTTTCAGAATGAGTTTGTATCTCAACCGTATGACTTCTTCTCTGACGCAACTGTTGAGATCAACTCGTATATCACTGGAGCAGGTGTAGGTGGAACCATCACCGAGTTCCCTTTCACTGCCGCAAGATACAAAAGTAAGTGGGCCCCAAAATTAACACCAAAGGGTTTCACAACACGAAGTTACTAAGCTTGACTTTGTTTTGTTTCTCTCTTCTGTAGGGAATCTTTGTTTGGCCAGAAAAGAAATTCCATTTTACATGGCACCTGTCTCACCCGGTGGCCTCTTGGGAATTGTGAGTTCCTTACCTCCAGCGGAAGCTCCAAACCCGGTTTTCACAGATGCTGATGTCACTGAGCCACCACTACCTCCGGTTACAGCGAAAGCCCCAACCTCAACCCCAGGAACCCCATCAACCAATGCTCAAGCACCCAGCGGACAAACCAGACTCACTCTATCTCTTCTCCTTTCTGTTTTTGCAATGCTTCTTGCCTCTCTTCTCCTTCTGTGATCTCCTTCTGTTGATAATGTCTCCCGCAATCTTAACAGCAGGAACCATAAATTTTCCCCTCTGGCGAGTCTTCGTGACAACTTTGTGTCTTGTCTGTTTATATTCTAGTTTCTGTCCAGAAAAAAAACAGGAAATTCTTGAAATGTAACTTTCCCACGAATTCATTTGTTGTTTGTAACATATACTCTTTGTAATATTTATGAGATTGTATCCTTTCTAAACACATTCAATTTTTTCTTTCACTGAACAAAAATATTTTCTGATTAAACAAACATCTTCTTCCCAGTTTTTGATTCCATCTCCTGTAACAACTCTTTCACAAGTTGGTCTCTCCCTTGATGCTTCAGTCCATCGCAGATCAGATCAACAGTTCTCGAATCAAGAGGAATCGATCTTCTGACCATCTCCCTCAACACTTGACCTGCTCCATCAAAATCCTCATTCTTACAGAAAGCAGAAACCAACACGTTAAACGTTTGCTCATTCGGATAACATCCACTCCTGATCATGCTCTTGTAAAGCTCAAAGCCACGGTCTGCATTTCTCCTCACGCACTGTCCCATTATAAGCGCACAGAAAGTCGACGAGTTCGGCACCAAACTCTCCTTATCAAGCTCCTTAACAAACTGCGCAGCTCTCTTCGTCTTCCCTCGTTTGCACAGCCCCAGTATCAACGCGTTGTAAGTCAAAACGTCGCGCTTAACCCCGTTGAAGACCATATCTTCATAAAACCTATACGCCATCTCATGATCACCCTGTTGGCTATACCCATTGATCAAAGTGTTGTAAGTGACAGTGTTGGGAGCTACGTTAACCGCTTTCATCTCACCGAAAGCCTTACTCGCTTCTTGCAACTTCCCATCTCTACAAAACCCATGAATGAGAGTGTTGAAAGTAACCACGTTAGGCTGCAACCCATTCTTCTTCCCCATCATGTTCTTAAGCTTCAAAGCCAAGCTCAAAAGACCCTTCTCGCAGTGTCCCGCTATCAAAGTGTTATACGTCACATCCGTGGCTTGAAACCCCAATCTTTCCATGTCTTGAAGCAGCTCAATGCCTTTATCAAGCTTCCCACATCTACAGTAACCTGAGATCACCATGTTGAGAGTGTACGTGTTTGGGGATATCTTACACCGACGCATCTCTCTGTAAAACCTCAGAGCGATATCGACCCTCCCTTGACTAAGCAGCGAGCTCATGTACGCATTGCAAGATTCGACATTTGGAAGAAACCCGTATTCCTTCATCTGCGTGAACGTGTCTGTGGCGTTTCGGAATTTCTTCAGATGCGCAAATGTTTTGAAAAGCGAATCGAAGACACGTGGCGTTGAGTCACATTCTCGGTAGGAATACAACAGTGCGTGAAAGAGCTTTGCAGGCAAATCAACACCGCCGGTTACGAGGAGATCTCTCTGGATAGACTCTGCGGATTTGAATTTCCGGTTTTTGGTGAGAGTGTGAAGGACTACGGCGTGGGTTTCCAGAGAGTGTGAACCTGGGTTTCGGGTTTTCGTCCAGTTGAAGAACTCGAGGGAGAGAACGTAATCTTTCTGGATTTTCATGAGGATGTTCTTCACCCTAAACGAATCCAATCGGGCGGAGAGGTTTTCGAGCTTTTCCCAATCAGATTGAATCAGGTGGCTGTGAGCGACATTGACGAAATCAAGGTCTTGCCCTTTAGGTTCCGGATTCCTTCTGTGAGGAATTGGGATCGCAATTCTGTTTCCGGAGACGGGATTTTTAGGATCTAGCTCAACATAGCCGGCAAAACTTGAGTATCGAGAACACAGACGGCGATGAACACCGGTGCTTACTCGGATCATCATACTTTTGAGCTTATGGAGAGTAACCGCAAAAGAAGATTTCACCAGAGAGCAGAAAATGAATCCGAAAGGAGAAGATTTCTAAACTAAACTGCGAGAGCTACTTCGGAAACGGAGTCACGAAGATTGCCGCCGGCGAAGGAGGTGTCGACGGAAGTGTGGTGGACTAAACACAATTATCAGTAAACACAATTATCAGTAGAAGTAGAGTACAACATTTGTAATCTGCTAAATAATTCCTTTTAGTGGGCTTTATTGTCAAGCCCAGTGGTCCCTGAGAAATTAAAAATGAAATGTCAACTAAATTTACTAAAAAATGGAGATGCGGGGTATCGATCCCCGTACCTCTCGCATGCTAAGCGAGCGCTCTACCATCTGAGCTACATCCCCATTGTTATGTAATTTCATCTGTTTGTATATTTATTAAAGGTACTATTAGCCAAATTTAACCATCGCTGTCTTGTCTGAAGATCATGCGATCCTCGTACTGTGCGTGTCTTTTTGCCGCTAAATCTCACGGCTTGCCCCTCTTACGGTAAAAATAGAAACAGGTACCAAAGTTACTAAATATATACATCCTTTTGGTGATCTTAGTTTGCTCATTACTTACTACCCAAGTCGTTTTAAAGAACCTTCCGTTTTAGTATTGGAACTAAAAAAATGGTAGTGTACACAAACTGTTCGATGAAATGTCTCTGAGGAAGTTTCACTTGTTTCACAGTTGTCTATTTTTTCTCCCTAGTTGTTTCAATGATAATTTCATTATTGTTTAACGTTAGTTTATATTATATGATGTCCTTGATTGAGCACATAAACCTTGAATATTGTAGGAAACGAAGAGTTGATTAATTCGGTCTGTATAAGCATTGAGAATGTCGTTTTGCTATCCATCGTCACCAAGAAAACTGGCGATGACGGTGGCTATGTTTGCTTCAGGGGCTGCTCTCTTCGCCATTGGAATCCATTTCTCGTATCTCAACGTTGCTCCTCAGCAAGCTCGCACTAAAGCCCGTAATGATTTTGTCAAAGAACGCCTCAAGCAGAGACAAGGCAAGTGATTTTCAGATTCAGACCATGTCCCAAAGCATAAGCAAATTCCTTTTTGAGTTTTTTTTTTCTGTTCTTACTTCACGTTCCGAATTATGACCTCTGTACACTCCAACACTCGCCTCTTTTTGATCGGAGATGTGATTAATATTATTTGAAGCAAGTAAAAGTCGAAAAAAACATCGTATTGATAGAGCAAATAGTAGACAACTCTTTTGTTTCTTCTTCAAATTGGCTCATGCAAAAACATTTCATAAAGCACAACAAACGCGGGAAATTTAAACACCTACAGAGAAAGCGAGAGAGAGAGAGAGAGCCTAAGGATACAAGAAAAAGAGAATCAGGCGAAATTAGATCTTCTTGGGTTTAGCTAATGACTTGCAGAAAGAAGAGAAGGCTCCTTTGATTTCTTCATGGATGGGAAGAGCAAGAGAGAGTGGTAAAGGACGATGATGGTCCTGAAAGTTTCCGGTTTGGTGCCTCAAGGAGACTGAGTGAGCCAAAGCTGCTTGTCTTTTGTTAAGTCCCTCAAGGATAAAAGAGAATGCCCCAAAAGTGAGACAACTCTGTAACATAGCCTGTGGAGCACCTGAAACATAGACCATATAAGGATCGGTTAGCTCTCTTTCTATGTCTTTACAAAACGCACCAAAGTAGAGAAGACAATGAGCATGATAATGGGTTTGGTTTACCGGGGAAACTAAGAGCAAGACCGGTGCAGCATCCAGCAACTCCAACATTGATGGCTGCAAAATAAACAACACAGAATTTGTAAGTAAGAGAGTCTCACTACAAGCTGATGTAAAACTAGTCATGTGTAGTGTAATCAGTTAGACTTAAAGAGGAAGAAATCTGAAGAGTCTCACCGTCATCTTTCCCACGCAATTGCTTCAGCAGGCAAACAACCAGACTGTGTACTCCAGATAAAACAGCGAAAGTCTTAAACAAGAAATTGCAAATGTCTCAGCTTTCCGGAACAATAAAGCATATATGCAAAATCCTGAATCATATACAGTTCCAAGGAGGTACCTTTGCAGATTGCCCTGCATCCGCAAATGATCCTTTAAAGCCTTTCTTCTTGAACAATCCTGAACCTGAACGTGAATGTATATAGTGAGATAATGCTTAACAGTTCACTTATCTCAAACAGAAGTTTTAGCAGCCAATCTTATCTCTTTAACGAAAACTAAGCTAACTTGAGGAATGTTCAATCCCCTGAACCTAGATAAATTACAGTAATTCTGAAAACAGCTCAAGCGTTAGTCACTTAGTCTTCAACAACATCTATGATTAGCTCAATTTAAAAATAGATAGGTGAAGTAAGAATACGAAAAACCCATTTGCCCCACTAATAAACCTCACTTCACTCTCGTAGAAAACAGCACAGAGAGAATTTTTCCACACCAAGTAATTAGTAAAGTAATAGCAAGTTAAACCAGGGATAGAAGAAAGGAAGAGAAAGAAGAAGAGCACCATATCCGAATATAGAGCCCATGAGGACGCCACCAGCTGCATCTCCGGCGAACCGGACAAGACAAACGGCGGGAGCAGGGATAACCAATGCCTTTGAGGAACCATTACTGGTAGCATCGTCACCGTCAGTGTGAAGGTTCGAATTGGAGTTGATATCTATAGCATTCGAAGAATCGTCGGCTGCCATAGTTAAAGAATTGAAGCCTGAAGGTACTACTCTTTCTCTTCTTCGGTCTCTACCTAATCTGGAAATACAGTATCCTTTTTCCCAGTTTGATTAAAAAGGATGATAAAAAGATATTTTCCCAAGAAGACGACGACGCTCGCCAATTTGCTTTGCTTGCACAGTACCGCCAGTACGACGCCGTTTTCGTTTCAGCTTTTGAAAATTGGGCCCATATATATACAAGTCTAGTAAGAGCCCTTTAATGGAGTGACAAAAGAGGAGCTATATTTTTACTGAATTCATGATTGTAACCCTGAACTACTTTTCTATTGATGATTTAGTCCAAATTGTTTTATACTGGACTACGTTAGTCCTTATTTGAAGAGTAATATGTGAAAAGAATGTTTCCAACCATTACAAATCTCTCTTGCTGTTCAAAATGGCAAATACAAGGGAACACAACATGACACAAAACAAAACAGGATCAATGCATAGTAAAATGACCCGAGAAGGGTCTTTTTGTCTGTAACAATCAGTAATGGTGGTCTTGATATGTGGCTCCAAACTCTGCTCTCCAAGCCTCATCATCATCGTAGTCATCCAAACTGACAGCTCTGCTTCGATGTTCCGATACTTGTTCTTCTCCATCTTCTGCCTCATCTTTCCACCATGACTGCTGCAACAATGCTGATCCTGGTAATTTACTCTCTGCTAAATATTGCTTCATTGTCCCTATTTCACTCTTGTGTTTGCTCTTTATCTGCTCCATTTGCTTCTTCAGACTCTCTTTCTCTTCTTCCACCACGCTGAATCGTTCCTGTAACAATGATGGTTTGAATTCGAGTTGAGCCAAACGAGAGCGCTAAAAAAAACTATAAAGAAAGGTTATTGGTTTAGTTACCTCAGAGACTTGTAAGGCTTGTTCAGATTCTCTAAGCCTGACAAGTAATTCACCAGCAGCTTGGACAGCTTCAGCTGTATCTCGCAGCTGAGTTCTCAGGCCCTTGTTCTCCTTCTTCAGAAGCTCTCTTTCCTTCTCCTTCTCAGCTCTGATGGCAGACAGCTCAGCTGAAAAGGCTTTGGCAAATTGCTTTCCATGGCGACCGTTCATAGCGGCCTTGGATGCTGCTTTCTTTACATCCGTTATTCCAGCCATCATCACACTGTGCTTCTCCCCTAGTTCATTGTACTTCTCCTGGAGCTCTGTGTACTGCTCAATGAATCTACTGTGGCCAAGCACAGCTCGAGTTAGCGCGTCATTCAACTCCTCTGTGGCTAACTTCTCTTGTTTGAGCTCAGTCTCTAGATTCTCTGCGTGCCTGCGGTGGTTATCGATATCCATCCTGAGATCATCTGTTAGAGATATCCACTCACTCTCCATTTCTGTCCACATTTCCCTTTCTTTCTCTAGGATATCGCTGTTGTCTGCGTTCTTGGTAACATCGATGCTTTTGCGCATTTGAATGGATCGTAGCATCAAAGAGGATCTCAGACTGTCTGAAGACTTAGTAGGCTGCAGCTTTCTCTTTAGCTCTCCAATCTCCTTGAGAAGAGCTTCCTTTTCACTAACATGCTCCTCAATTTTAGCTGCTTGCTCCATACACATGTTCTTGAGATGCTTTTCGTACGAACTAGCTTCCTCTGTGGCCTAATATAAAAAAGAACCTAAGATAAGTTGCCAAATCGAATTAGCAAAACTAAAGACTAAAGTAATAGTAAAAGAAGGCTATATAGACATACTTCAGCTTCTTGGTCAAGTTTGTTTCTGCATGTAAGACATAGGAGAATCGACGACATTCCACCTTCTGGAGAATTATCTTTTCTTGACGATTGAACCGAAGCATTAAGGTTATCAGCTTCTGCGCAAGGCTTCAATGCCAGATTGCCAAAAGAGAAGGAAACAGAAGAGCTCTTTGATAGTGAGCTCCGTTGATGATAGTCTATAATTTGCATTCCTCTCTGAAGGCTTGCAGCTAGAGAATCTGTATGGCCTGAAAGCTTCTTTGACATAGAAGGGCTCACTTGATCACCTTTCATGCTCCCAGACACATTCCTAGGACTTGCTACAAACTTTGTTGATGCGGACACGCTCTTCTGTAAATTCTTGATTTTTGGAGATTCAGAGAAAACTGGCTCTTCTACAAAGTCAACATCTTGATGGTTCCCATGCTTTGGTTTCTCCAAGTCTTCAGAGCAGATATCGTCTTCACTCATCGAGTCAGCTTCGTAGCATGAACCACTTGCAAACGAGGAGTGAACAGAATCATACGAGCCATGAAACTTCTCAATGTGCTTATTCAATTCCAGCACATCATCACCACGATCCACATTCATCTCTTCCCCTTCAGATTCATCTTTTTTCAGGCTCGACATGTGTAAAGATTTGTTGATACTGACTCTCAATTGACTCAAACTGTCACGCGCAAAGTGTCCACTCTTACTTCCATCAGATTTTGTTCTAATGAGCTCGTCCTGTAACCAGAATACGCCAATGTAAGTATATACAAACTCACATCAAATATACAATAGATGATAGTTGCAGTCAGATATGTGACAGTAATTACAAACAAGACCTTTAGCTCTCGAATCTGATCACCCAACGAGTCGTCTTCCTCTGTAATTTCACTAAGCACTGAATTGGTTCTTCTAGAGAGTACACTCCTGGATTCGACCTGTTGCAATGTAGACTGAAAATTCAGAGATTGAGACAGAAATTTCAAAGGACGATTCACTCTATGGAGACATATCAATCATTCTCAAGAAACTACGAAACGAATCACTAGAATCGAAAAGGCGTGAAACCAAAATTCGAACTAATTTAGAAAGTTTGATTAAGTTCCGGAGCTACCTCAGTTGGCTCTCCGAAATTTTCTAGAGTTTCACCGTCCTTTGCGTCAGATCGCGGAATCTGGGTCGCAGAGGGGAGCAATTTCGTCGGAGATTGCTTTGTGAGCTTAAGAGGACTGTGATTGTCAGTAGGCTGTATGTTTAGATCTACATGAATCGCGTTCTCGTCGTCAGATCTGGGAATCTTAGATTCTGGATTTTGGATTGGTTTCTGCTTCGCGGAGATGGATCTGGGAAGCAAATTTCTGAAGGAAGAGCTTGTAATGTTTCCTAAGAACCTGTTCTCGGTTATCTTCGCCGGAGACTTCATGGTTTTCGAGGAGCGAGAGAGATAGAGAGAGAGAGAGAGTAGAGCGTTTTGTGAGTGGTGAGAGATAAAGGTTAGAAATGAGCGCTTTTGAAATGTCGGAAAATCGATACCGACCGTTAGGGATTTGAAAATATGTTTATTTTAGAAAAAAAGGAAAATTACAAAACCAGAAAAAAACGCTATTGGAGCGAACTTTGACAGTTGGCCCCAAAGGCCCAATTAGATTTGAATAGATCAAGTAAAAAAAGAGCGCGTGATTTTAAAGAAGGCAGACCTTTCTTCTTATGAACTTCTCTCATGCTAATGAGTAATGATGTAATTTCCATAATGTTCAACTTACAGTATGTTGTACCTCTTACTCACGATGTCCAAGTTTTAAGATTGGTTTTAAATTAGTACTTGTGTAACGATGCTGTGTGATTGTCATTTTCTAGTCCCACTTTTTGGAAGCTAAGAGTCCAATGATTCAAACAAATCCAAAATCTTGATAACAAAAAAAAAAACCAATGTCTCCATCACAGGATTTGATAGGATTTTCCTGTTCTGTCCAAATCAAATTTGGAAGATAAATGTTTTTTACTAACTCTACACATTAAAAAGGAAATATATCAAATCAATGTCTCACACTAGTAGGAAAAAAAAATCAAAAGTTCTCATGAACAATTCGAATTCAAAGTTTAAACCAAACAAAAAATCTGTAAGAAAGAAAACTTAACAATTAGAATTACAAACAGAGCACACAACATCAAGGATCTTCAAGGAAGAAGAGAAAACCTAAAGAATAGAGATCGGGAATCAACGATCTCTGGTTATTGCTATGGAGACGAAACGCAGAAACCAAATCTTTTATCATCCATTCTTGTATCTTTGCAGCTAACCAAATCTGATCTTAGCTTATGTAAGAATTAAAAAAGAAGAAACCTTTTTTTGTGTGTTTGTGATGCTAACGAAGAAAAAAGAAAACATAAACTCACTGTGATGAAGAAAGTTGGCTTCTTTCAAATAACAACTCTTCAAACTCTGCAACGGAAATAGCTTGTTCTTGATCTACAAATCTCATTTTTTCTTCGTTCGTTTTTCTTCTCTATGCTTCAATACCTGAAACCATTGATGGATCCAATTATACTCAAATGTATCAGATGATAGATCAATAAAGCTAAAGTCTTTAATAAGCCAATGAGTCTACATACCTCTATTTGTTTGTCTATTCCCAACACTGTAGCTTCCAGGGTAACCTTCAGAGGCATTACCAGATGGGTCTGAGCCTACATTGTCAATACCAAAGCCATAAGAGCGAGACAAGCCGTCCAACTCATTAGAAGACTGATGATGAGGCATCGACTGCTGCCACGTCGAGTCGCTATAAACAGAGCTGCCTCTGTACAACTCCCCTATAGAGCCATCAAAACCATTTCCATTACTCGAGAACGACAACGCAGAGAGTCCATTACCATTCCCAAAGTTCCTCCCATAGCCATTACCATCGCTCGCCACAGAAGAAATCCCCCAGTTTCCTCTGTTGTTACCAGCAGACACTCCCAAGTTCCAACCTGGACCGGAAGAATCAGTTCTGTTTCCCCACAGGTCTCTATTGCTAGGGTTGTAAGCAGAGTCGCCTCTATTGTACCCAATAGGAGAGTTGTAACGGTTTGGCGACGCACCGTTGAAGTATTGGTTCCCCTGGACCCGGCTATAACCGAGACTGTTCCCATCAAAGCTTGAATTCAAACTCAGTTCTTGATTCAAACCAAGACCAAAGCTAGAGAAAGCATTTCTACCGCTACCAATAGGACTAAACCGGCCAGCAGCAGCAGCTGCAGAGCCTCCTCCTATATTGTTGTTATAACCAGGAGCAAAGCTATTGAAGTAGCTATTAGCAGATGGCCTATTAGAGACTACTACTCCATAGTTGTTATTACCATACCCAAGAAGCGGGCTTCGGTTAGCAGGCGCTGCTGCGGTTGGCTCTTTAGGCACTGCTCTTTTGACTTCAACCATTTTGCCGTTTAGCTCATGGAAGGTCTTGTGAAGCACCATATCAACAGACTCCTCGGAGTCGAAAGTGATGAAGCCAAAGCCTCTTGGCCTCTGTGTGTTGTGGTCATACATCACCACAACATCGGCGATTGTACCGAACTGGTCGAAGTAGTTCTTGAACTCTGCCTCGGTGATGCTGGACGGTAAACCTCCGACGAAGATCTTCTTTGTCCGACTGCTGCCACCGTGGCTAGGTGAGATTAGGTGCATTGGACTAGCGTGCCGTTTTAGCACTTGCTGATCATCCCTTGGGACCGCTTTCTTCGCCTCCACCTGCAATCAGAAAAAAAAGTAAGGACTCCTTGATCTAACATTGCCACTTTAACACAAAAGCAACAACATTTTCTCACATGAATACAGAAAGATCGAAACTTGACTCATCAAACAGAGCATGCTTATAGAAAGATTGAAACTTTAGAACAATCCATCGCTCAAGACTTAATCAATGAAGGATTTTTTACTAACCGTGCGGCCATCAATTATGTGTTTCTCCATGATCACTCTCTCTGCAACAGAAGGATCTGCAAAGACGATGAAACCAAAGCCACGGGCACGTCCGGTGGTACGGTCTCTCATGATCACAGCTTCAACCAAATCTCCGTAATTGCCGAAATACTCTCTCAGTCGTTCTTCATCTGTGTCCCATGAAATCCCGCCAATGAAGAGCTTGCCCAGATCCGATGCAGATTCCATCTTTTGCTCCTGCAGAAACCAAAAACGCAATCAGTGAATCCGATCTTAGAAACAGAGATCAGTTAAAGATTGCCCATTTCATCTAACAACGGAATCGAATCGATTTAATGACGCTTTATTGCTACGATCGTGTCTAAGATTCAATGAGCTAAAGCTCTGAGATTTATGAGATGAAAAGTTCAAATTTTTAAATCCAGCTTCATCTAATCGGAAATCGTAAACGCCGGCATCATAGAGAATCTAGAGAGATTGAGCATGTAGATGATGGAAACTGAAAATCAAACGTGGAAAAAATCTACTTTTGTCTGAAACAGAATCCAAATCCAAGTCCCGATCAAATCGGAATTGGGAATCTTCAAATCTGACTGTGGATCGGCGAAGTATCCAATCAAAAACTAAAACCCAGAAAGAACAATACAATCCTTAAACAGAGGAGAGAAACAGAAAATCAATGGGATGAAAAACGGTAAATGGGCAGAGACAGAACAACAACAAAAAACGCTAGATTTGAACCCCAAACAAAAAAAATGAAACTTGTGGAGAAGGAAATTCACCATTTTGGAGAGGACCCAGATGATTAAAATGTAGAGAAACCTTAAGATCTGGAAAAAGGGACAAAGACAAGAGAAACAGAGGATGTTTTGCTCATTCTATAAGACATCCACTCTCTCTGTCTCTCTCTCTCTCTCTCTCTCTCTCTCTCTCTCTCTATAGGGTTCTTCTCTTATCACGATGGCCTCCCTCTCTTTCTCTTTCTCTCTCAAAACTTAATTAAAAAATTTCCTTTTATTTTCTGTAATGCTTTGCTTTCTTAATTTATTTATTTAAATCCATTAGGAAGGATTCCTTTTTTCCTCAGACCAAAGATGGTAAAAGAGAGAAGAACAACAGTCACATATAATAATAGGGGGAAAGATTTGAGATTTGCATCTCTCTTTTTGGTGTAAGAATCTTATTTTAGGGTTGTTAAGACAGCTGATGAATTATTATTATAGCTCCTTTTTATTTTAAAATTTTATTCCCATAAATACATTGATCCCAACACTTTATTTCCTAACTAATAACTTATTTGTGAAAAAAAAAGAAATTCATAATTTTACATTTCTTATGTGATTTATTCAAGACTGTATGGCAAATACTCAAATGTACCAACGAAAAAGTTTTTATTAGTAGATGCGTTTGTTCTTCTAAACTAGTCAATAAAAACTAAAAAAAAAAACTAATTTCATTGTCTTCTAAAAATTTATATTGTAGCTGAATTCATTAGGTAAATCAGCATTTCTACCAAAACCTCTACACATTATTCCTTGCTTTAGAAACAAACTAAGCTTATACTTTATGCATATGTTTAATTTTATCCAATTCACTTTATAATTGAAAAACTGATCTCAGAGAGAAAGTTATAGTTTCATGGTTTGTATTAATGTTATGGTTGTGTCATAATACAATTTTCTACCAAGTAATGTGTATGTAGTTACTTTTTACAAGAAACAATAGAGGGATTTAAACAGCATATATATGTACATTCAGTCACTACCTACCAAAGTGTTGGCATCACATGATGTTAAATATCTTCAATTATCATATCGTAGATGAAAGAAAACTATACAAATGAAAGAAACATTTGAAAACCGAATTATCGGTAAGACTTATTATCATTCAGTGCCACATGCACTCTATTTTAAGTGAATCACTCAGTGCTGTATAATTTAGCTTAGTACACTAGAATAGTTTAGTTTAGCTTTTGATTTTTAAAGTCCGCTGTAGAGATATGTATGTTCATGATTAAAGCTTAGTACACAAAACACGAATAATAAATTTAACGTAGAGATATGTATGTTCATGATTAAAGCTTAGTACACAAAACACGAACAATAAATTTAACGGATTATACAACATTCTACTTGGGTTGATGGTATTAAATTCTGTAGTCACGATATCCAGTACATGGAGCATCCGTGGATGAGTGGTCAGGAGATCAGAAGACAACAAGCTTTGTTCCAATCGGTTGTCCCATCCTTGATCAAGACTCGTATCAACTAATTCATCCTTGTCCTTTAATTAGAAGTTTCTCGGGACATCCACATCCCTAACGGAGAAACGGGTGAAATCATTATTACTTCACGTAGTAGGAAAAAAAAAACAATCTAGTTAACTCGCAGTCATTGAAAGACAAAAAAGGAAAACGCAAGTAATGTACGTAGGGATTTTGGACAAAATTGTATTCACTCTCATGTGTTTTGAGATTCGTTTTCCAATAAACTGACACAAACAACAACCAAAATAGGTGGATGTACTGAAGTGCCTTTGCAGTTTGCACCGTCCAAATAATTTAAACTACCACTAAATTCGATTTACATATTTCCTTAAAAACCACCGTTTTCTCACCGAAAGAGAGTCTCTCTTCCCTTACCAAAAAAAAAAGAGTCTCTCTTCAATTTCAGTTTTTTTTCTCTCTCTAAAATTAAATAGTACCAAAAATATTTTTTTTATAAAATAATATCATCCCTTTTCATCCTTCACCAGATAAATAAAAAAATTTAACAGCATACTTCGCTGATTTTTTCCTTTAGAATAATATTACCTTGTTTTCAGTTTTTTTCAACTAAATCTGATGGTTAAAATACTAATTTGAACGTTGAAAAATCATCATTAAAATTACTACGTCAATGTATCAAGACCACCTCCAAGTTTTATTTCTTGTTTGCATATGAATCGTTCTCCAATGCACGATTCATAATTCTTTTTTAAGTAACAAAACAACATGACATTCTACCAATAAATAAGACAGTTATCAATCTATCTAATGAAATCCATTTTCAGAATATTCTAATATGTCAACGTTTTTTTTTCACATTTGACATGTCTACGTTGACATACTATATATACAAGACATGTGAATATAAAAATGTTAGGCACTTGATGGCATCTTATAATATTGCAAAGATGGAATCATATGCTCTACAATTACAAGAAATAAAAATATCAGTATCCATTTTACTATTATTGTTCTATTGACGCCATTTTATCTTTTAATTAATTCCAATAAGGGAAATATTATCTTCTATGGTTTTTTTCATCATCTCTTGTGGGGTTTTTTATCCTCTCTTATGTGGGTATATTGTATGCGATGCCTACACTAAAATATAAATTAGTTTTTCTATGAAATTACGAGACAGAGAAGATATGATCCATAGACAGCTTGTCTTGTGTGGAGGAAAAAGTCTACCCCAAATGTTCCTTTTGGGTATAATGATGTTTATGAGTATCCAAGGGTTGCATTATATATTGATATCCAATAATTAATTATATATAGACGGCCAAATTAAAACCATAATTAATACTATTTGGCATTCGATGATCTCAGTGATCACGTAGAAAAGTCATTAATTTGTTTTTGTGATCCCTCTCTAAGAATATAATACCAGTTTATACTGAGGAAGAAAAACATTTGAGTAAATGTACATAACAGTTTTTGTATGACTAGCTAGTCTAATCACATGTCAAAATTTAAAATCTCAAACATATAAAACCGTGTATTATCTTTTAAATGTTAATGCTGTCAAGTGTCAAATAGGAAAAATAAAAACTATAAATGGAGATTTTTAATCACTTATTTTTTGAAAGAATTCACTCCTTCAAACTTCAAAGGTCCCAGCACTTGAGCACAAGATCACTGTTCTTCAATATATGCCTATATTGTGAACTAAAATAATTCAAAATCTAAGCACACCAAACTTAAATAGTGAAACCAACCTCTCTTTTTTTTTGGTCAAATGTTTGATCAAAGTTATGATGATGGTGTTGGTGTGGTTATGCGAAGGACAGCAACTTTTCGAAACTTTAAAAGTTTCCATGCAAACTTTTTTGTTTCTAGTACTAATCTAATAATCAAAGTTACTAATATGTAAAATTGACAAGGTTACGATCAGTAATTATATGATTTCATAAATCTTTATTAATCATAGAATTTGCATGATTATGATATGACTCTGGTTAATTTGTCAACCCCAACATGATAAAATTGCTGACAACAAAAACAAAACAAGATTTTATATCTAATATTATATATTTTAAAAAAATTATATTACAAATTTGAGGTGGACCAACTTGGATCCAGAATGTCACCATTACATATCCCAACTGTTATCCACGCAAATAGAACACAACCACTAACCCCACAATATAAACTAATAGCTTAAATTTAACGTTAAATATTTCGATTTCATTCCCACATAAGTTTGTCTGGTAATACCCGAGTTTTCCCGAACGATGAAGAATATAAAATACAACAAATGCAAAGTTAAAAGATCTCATTAAGTTGACCATTGAACAAACGACATTAGTTAGAACTTAGAACATCGTGTGAGATATCGAAATTTGATTCAAGGGCCCAAAGGCCCCAAACCCATATAACTGAAAAAACAAATAGAGAACGGCCCCAAGCTTCACATATCGGATATATAGGACCCACACACTTACGCACGTGTTTAACATTGTATATTTTTTTTCCAGCGCTTGTGAGTGTTTGCCTGTTTGTAACGAAGAAATAGAGGAGGATATAATAGTCAATTAACGTAATCAGGATTAGTTTGCACTCGGCAAAATGCTTTCGAAAAGGAAAATTACATTTGAATTTCCAATTTTGGTTACTGTTAAAAAGTGAAATGAGTTTAGTGTGACCAAGCTATTCAGAAACTTGATGTTTGTTTATTTTTTTGTAATGTAAATAAATTTAAAATACACATTGTTACACTCTTAACTTTTAGAAGCTACTAATTAGAGATTATAATGTTTCTGGTTCCAAATAAATCTCCAAACAAACGAAAACATATACTCAGTCTTGTTTATAATTGAATCAGGTCCGAATTAGCCACTGTGTAGTAAAGCGTGAAGTGAGTTTAATGGCCAAGTTTACTGTCAAATAAACGTGATTTTGGTTTTAGATTTTTAACAAAGTTTTGTCAAACGCTTGCTTTTTTTTTGTATTGATACAATTAAATTTAGAAGGTTAATAAAAAAAAAGGAAAAAAGACAAAACAACTGAATTAAGAGCAGACAAAGACTGGTCGGAACCACCACTTAGACTGGCTCTCTCAATCCGCCATAGCTGAGCTCCCCTTTTCCTTTCTTCATTTCTTCTACCCTGGAACTTTCTTCTAGATTTACCTGAAAATGAACCATCAAGTTGATGACCGGAAGGAGTTTCAGGTCGATTGCTCGGCGACGGGAGATCCCAAGTCAAGGCACGATTCAGCCGGAGGAGGAGGAGGAGGCAGTGGTGGTGGTGGTGGAGGTGCGAGGTACAAGCTGATGTCACCGGCGAAGCTTCCAATCTCGAGGTCGACGACTGACATCACGATTCCTCCTGGGTTGAGTCCGACGTCGTTTTTGGAATCTCCTGTTTTCATCTCCAACATCAAGGTTAAGCATCAGCTGTAGCTAATTCTCTCTTCTTCTCTTGTGGAAATGTAAAGGCTTTACCTCATTTTGTAGTGTCGATTGAGAAATTAGGTTTTCTGATTGCATTTTTTAGACCTAAGGGGTTTTTTCTTCGTGTACTCACACTGAGTTAGAATTTGGAATTGGATTCAGTCAATTTTCTAAGTAGCCCAAACCAAAAAGCAAACAACTTTGTTCAGCATTTTGTCCTCACCACTTGTTCGGTTTCTGGTTGCTTCAATTCCGATTCGGATCACTGTTCATCTTGTAGTTATTAAAGTGGAGCTGAGTGGGGGAATTTCTAGGGTTTCTTAATTAGGTTCTATAATTAGGTGAAGATGCTTTCTGTTTGCCCACAAGGAAAAAAAAAACTCTGGTTTCCATTTTTGTTTCTTAATCATTTACAAGTGCTTAAAAAAACTAAGATTTGTTTGCTTACGTTAGGGACTTTGGCCAAGATTCTGATTCTTCATGTTACTATTCTCTGCATTGGTCTGCATTTGCGTCCGTTGAGATTGTTCTCTGGAATAAACCTTTTTTTTTTTTCTCATGTTCCATTGATGCTCAACAATTTTATATATCTTGCTCTTCATCTTTTTGTTTTTCTCTTCACATTGTTGATCTTCACTGTGTTTGGTGCTGCCTCTTTTCTTTTTCCATTCTTTGTTTATTGTTTTCTCTTTTAGCTGTATAAGGTATTGAAGGATTCTGTTGGTGAAAAAAGTATTTTTTAGCATGTTCATCTTTTAGAGCTATATATTAATCGTTTCGTGGGTATTAGCTTAAGTTATGCTCAAATATCAAAGTGACGAATAATAATAGGCTTAGTGATACTATTCTCAGTTACATCTTCTTATCACTTGATTGAACAACAATTTGTCTCAACATCATCTTTATTGATAATGGTACAGGTTCAGGTTTCACAAAATTCAGTTGTCATACCATCTAGGATGGATTTAGCTTCTGTCCTCTTTTGTGTATGTATATTTGTTTTACTACATGTCACTGACTCACTGATAAAGATTGCACTTGTGAACTTTCTAACTTTCAGGCAGAACCTTCCCCTACTACTGGCTCTTTGTTCAAGCCCCGACCAGTGCACATTAGCTCAAGTTCTTATACAGGAAGGCCATTCCAGCAGAACACCTTCACCGAGCAAAAGCCCTGTGAATTTGAGTTCAGACATCCTGCATCCAATATGGTATTGTCCAAACTCCAAAGTGCTGTTAGAATGTTGTGTAAGATCTTACGTTCCTTGTATACGGTTGTGGGGTGCGTTGTCTAAATATCTTTATTGATTTCAAGGTTTATGCAGAGCTTGACAAGCATAGAAGTGAGCCAACAGTACAATTCCAAACCCAGTGCCATGGATCCTTACACTCACCCTCTTCGATCAGTGAGGCTGCAGCTTCCTCAAGCGAGCTAAGGCGGGCAACTTCTCCTCCTCTTCAGACGGCACCAGCAAGCTCAGATATTCCGGCCGGATCTGACCAAGATGAATCAATCCAGACATCGCAAAACGACTCCAGAGGAAGTACGCCATCGATCTTGGCTGATGATGGTTACAACTGGAGAAAATATGGTCAGAAACATGTCAAAGGGAGTGAATTTCCCAGGAGCTATTATAAATGTACACATCCTAACTGTGAAGTGAAGAAGTTGTTTGAAAGGTCTCATGATGGGCAGATCATAGATATTATATACAAGGGCACACATGAGCATCCTAAACCTCAACCTGGTCGCCGAAACTCTGGTGGTCTTGGTGTGCCTGCACAAGAAGAAAGGCTAGACAAGTATTCTCCTTTGAATGGTAACCATATTCTAAAACTTGAGACAAGAGTACACTTACTCCCTTGGAAAATATCTATAGCTTCATTCTACTCTTTATTCCTGCGTACAGAGAAGGGATCTAGCGTCTACAACTTGTCTCACTCCTCTGAGCAAACTGGTAACCCTGAGGTACCTCCTGTCTCAGCAACTGATGATGGTGGGGAAGTAGCAGCGTCAAATGGGAATAAAGATGATCCAGACGAAGATGATCCATATACAAAACGAAGGTATTCTATTAGAATTAAGCAAAGAACTCAGGTGCTTGCTGTTATACTGTGATTTGATTTGACATGATTGAAATATTCTTGTAACTTAATGCAGGAGGTTGGATGGGACCATGGAGATAACTCCACTTGTGAAACCCATCCGGGAGCCTCGAGTTGTTGTTCAAACTCTAAGTGAGGTTGACATACTCGATGATGGTTATAGGTGGCGTAAATATGGGCAGAAAGTCGTCAGGGGAAACCCAAACCCGAGGTTCGTTCAACCACACACCTATAAACAAAGCGTAACTTGTAGTTTAAGATGGTAACTAGAAGAGTTTAAGTCTTTGTTCTTCAGGGGCTAGCTCTTTGCTTTGTGCATAAAGTGTTGGTTCTCTTTAAACATATGTGTGTAATGGAGAGATATGATGTTTCATGGCCTTTTGTAGGAGCTATTACAAATGCACAGCTGCTGGATGCCCAGTGAGAAAACACGTGGAGAGGGCATCACATGATCCAAAAGCTGTAATAACAACATACGAAGGCAAACACAATCATGACGTTCCTACTTCAAAGTCTAGTAACAGCAACCATGACACCCAGCCTCGGTTCAGACCAGATGAAACTGACACCATCAGCCTCAATCTTGGTGTTGGAATCTCACCTGATGAACACAATTCCAACGAGCATCAACATCAGCAACAGAATCAACAACAACTCATCAACCAAACTCACCCAAATGGAGTTGGTTTCAGGTTCGTTCATGCCAGTCCCATAACATCCTACTACGCTAGCCTAAACAATGGTATGAATCAGTATAGCCCGAGAGAAACTCAGAACGCGACTCAAAGTGGTGACATCTCGACCGTGAACCATTCGTCTCACCCATATTCGCATAACATAGGGAGAATACAGTCAGGTCCCTAGAAGATAAAAGGAAGCAACCAGTATTGGATTCTTGTTAGGTTAGGAATGGAATGAGAGCTTGTTCTATATGATTCCTATTTATCTACAGAGAGCTGATCTTTGATTATAACTGTATCCACCATATAGATTTGTTTTTGTCACCTGTATTGAGTTCTAAAATGTATTGTTTGTAAAAATACACAAGAAGATGTTAATGCTTTTTGTTAAACAAGAAACAGTGAGTAATACATTACTACTATCAAACTCTTTCTTCCTCTCCAGACCCCACAATCATAATTTCTCAGTTTTTTTAAGATTTGGCAAAAACATTTAATAAGAAGTTTAAAATACTAACACAGGTAATTAACCACTGGATAACATCAAATTGATTTTTGAAACAAATTGATATCTATGTAAAAAGAAACAATATCTTGCAAGGCTGGTTGTAGTTAAACAATTTGGAGGAAAACCAAAATGAAAATCTTTAAGCAATAAATTTTAGATTTGGTTTCCACATCATCAACATCTTGAAAAGCCACAAAATGAAATATTTTCTATCTTCTTTAAGATTTTTTACCTATAAGGCACATTTGTTTAAATCAAATTTTTATCTAAATATTTGTTTTCCTCTAAAACATTAAATGTTAAAGATACAGATAAAATATATTAGCAATATTGTTTTGGGCAGGTGTAGGGCTCGGCTTCGTCGTGTACGTGTTTCCGAATCCGGACGTCGAGCTGGTTCCATCGTCATCGATCCGCGAGATGCATCAAACATGAAATATGGACCGTTGATCAAGTCTCTTTAGTCACTGGAAATGGACCGCGATGCTTCCTCCTTACATCCGACGTGGCATTTAATTGTATTTAAAATCTGGTTTTGCGTCCGAATCCTTCAGTCTCTCTCTCCTAAATAACGCTATCAAAGAGAAAAAGCTATTTGTTCTGTTTCGAAAGGAAGAAAGAAGAGGAGCAAAATAAAACTCAGTGCCGAGTCTTCAGACAGTGAGGTGAGATTCCAAAGTCTTCTGCTTTAGAACCTTGTGAATCCCGCAGATATCTTCGTGAGCTTTGTGTTATGAGCTTGGTCTGAATTCGCATGTTGTTTTTTTGGGTTGGGTGGGTCTTGTCTGTTTGTTTCGAGAATTTAGGGTTTTTCATGCGCTTCATTGATGTCTGAATTTTGGAGATTTTGAGAATTTATTGTCTTTATCCTATCTGGTGTTGTTGAGTTACCGAGAAAATGCATGATTTTGACGTTGATTGACTTAATTTCGAGAGAGATTCAAGTGGGAGAAGGAGATGGGTTTGTGTTCTGTCTGAATTCGTGTGGTGTGAATGCTTAGAAGATTTGTCTGAATTGCAGCGTGGTTTTTTAGGTTTCAGTTGTGTATCTTAGATCTTTGTTTCTCCAGGAATGTTTATGAAGTAATGAACACTTGAGATTTGATTTCTTAATTGCTTCCTTGAATTTCAAACTCTCGTGTAATTTGGAATTCGCCTCTTAAAATTCCGTTTTGACTCTTGTTGTACAGATCTAAACTAGGAATATGAGATAATCATGGATCACGCATGAGATCTAGGATTGAATTTCTCTTAGGGTTTCTTGGTAGCCGAATTGTTGCCCAGCATATGGTTATGGTTAAAAGCTTTAAATTTTTTTTTCCTAAAGTTGAGTTATTTATGAGATTGGTTTCCTTTTCTTATTGATACTCTTTGGGTGTGGCTTAGATTCAGTAGATGTTGAATTTGTTTATAGTGAGCATTAATTTCTGAACTGTTTTTTGTCATGCAGCTCTTGATAACAACGTCAAGTGCTTCTGGTGGAAGAGGTCTACTTTAACAATGGGGGAAGAAGATACAAAGGCAACCGTTGAGCCAACAGCAAGCAAGACTAGCTCTCTTGAAAAGCCATCAGAGGCCGTTGCTGACAAAAAGGAGGAGGTGATTGCTGGAGGCAAGGAAACACAAGCTGAACCAGAGAAGATGGAGATAGATGCTGAGGTAAAGAAAGATGAAGAAAAAGGTGAGACGGAGGAAGTTAAAGGAAATGAAGACAATGGTGAGGCTGAGAAAATGGAGGAAGAGGTTAAGGTCACCAAAGAGGAGGGACAAGCAGATGCTACTATCCACATGGACGAAGATGCTGATGGAAAGAAAGAGAAGACTGATGATGTTGTTTCTGGATGTGTTGCAGCGGAAGATACTGTGAGGAAGGAAAACGTTGAATCTGAGGACAAGGACAGTGCCAAAGATGAAGGGAAGCAAGACACCAAAGAGGCAAATGTTTCTGAAGCTGACCACAAGAAAGCTGGGAAAGAATCAGAGGAGGACCTAAAAGATGAAGGTGACAAAGCCAATGGAAAGAAAGATGAAGCGAAACTGGTAGATGGAGACAAAGAGATAGAAAAGGTTGAAAAAGTAGAGGATGTGAGTGACATTAAAGGAGAGACTGTGAAGGAGCAGAATGAGGAGGATTTGGTTGAAGAAGGTAAGGAAAAGGAAGATAAGGAAGAAAACAAAAGAGAGGAGGTTGAGGCGGCAAAGGCTGAGGTGGAAGATGAAAAAGAAGGAAATGAGGATGAGAATGACATTGAAAAAGCGGAGAGCAAAGATGCAAAGGAAGATGAGAAAGCAGAGATCGGTGATGATAAGGAAAATGAAAAAGAAGAGAGCAAGGGTTCTACAAAGCGTGGTAAAGGAAAGAGCGCTGGCGAAAAGTCTCGCGAGAAGACAAAAAACACTGCAGAGAAAAAGGAGGCAGAACCTAGGACTCCTTTCTCTGATCGCCCTGTGCGTGAGCGGAAGTCTGTTGAGAGGCTTGTCGCGTTGATTGATACAGACTCTTCCAGAGAATTCCGTATTCAAAAGGTTTGCCAATACTTTCCTGAGTTGAGTATATTTTCATTGCTGCTTGCTATGTTTTCATAATTATCTTTTGGATGTTACAGGGGCAAGGTGTATGTCTCAGAGATATTCCTAATGGTATGTTCATGCTATGTGACTATTCATATGAAATGCTTATCTTTGCATTTAGCATTTTCCAGCTGGTTAAGAAGCAAGGTTTCCTGCAAACCAGAATTAAAAATACCTTTGATGGTTCCATTTTGTTCATCTAATTTGCTGTTGAAATGAAATTGATAACTTGAATGTTTCTCTGTAGTTGCTTACAAGTTACAGTTGAAGAAGTCTGAAGAAACTTTGAAGCTGCTGCACCCAATTCTATTTAGTGGGAGGAGAGGAAAGGTGCGTGTCTCTCTGGACTCTTTTCTCAGTCTGCTGTGCCACTAGTCATAATTCTAAAATTGACAATCATGGGTATACGCTTGTAGTTTGTTGACCAGTGGTTTGGACTTTTGCAAGTCTGCTTATCATGTTTGTATAATGTGACTTATTCTTCTTGGTTTAACAGGCTGCTCAGATCAAGACTAACATATTGGGCTTCTCTGGTTTTGTTTGGCATGGAAATGAGGTGTGCAACATCACACATGAAGATTGTTTTACATATGTCTTTAACTGTCCTACGTATATAATTGTCTTTTGTTATTTGCAGGAAAAAGCAAAAGAGAGAGTGAAAGAGAAGTTTGATAAATGCATCAAAGAAAAACTCTGGGAGATTTGTGATGTGTTTGACATACATATTACCAAGGCTACAACAAAGAAGGTCATTATAGCTATTAATTTATAAGTTCTTGTTCTTGAGATTCATTTTTTCTGTAGGGCATCATGTGAAGGTTTAAAGATATCTTTGTCTCTTAATCATATATGGCAACTGATTGTTGCATGTTTTTTTTCCAATACAGGAAGATATCATTACCAAACTGATCGAGTTTTTGGAGAAGCCTCATGCGACAAGCGACGCTCTAGTTAATGAGAAAGAGAAGGTATTTTGTTGTTGAGAAAGTTATTTGTTTTTGACATTGATTGTGCATCTTATGTTCTTCTAAAATATTCTGTTGAAACAGTCGAGCAAGGGAGCAAAACGCAAGAGAACTCCCAAGCAGAGTTCACCTGCAGCTGGGACTTCATCCTCCAGACGATCAGCAAAGGTATCAGTGCATAGCTTTGAGCTGGAGTCTTACTTGTTCATTACTCATGTTATTAACTTTGAAAAGAATGTGTGTCTCAATGTAGCTTATTTGCAACAATCACTGGTCCAAGTATCCAAATCTGAGTATATTATTTGCACTTCTTTTGCAGAGCCAGAAAAAGTCTGAAGAAGGAAAAAAGGGTATCAAAAAGAGGTTACCCCAATCTGATGATGAGTCGGAAGAGGAGAAAGAGGAGGAAGAAGAAGAAGAAAAACAAGAGGAGGAGAAGGTAGAAGAGGAAGAAGAGAATAAAGAGGAGGAGAATGAAAATGGCATTCCTGATAAATCTGAGGATGAGGCGCCTCAGCCTTCTGAAAGCGAGGAGAAAGATGAATCTGAAGAAGAAACTCCTAAGAAGAAACGTGGTTCTAGATTGTCAGCTGGGAAGAAAGAATCATCAGGGAGAGCTAGAAACAAGAAAGCGACAGTCGCTGCAAAATCCAGCCCACCAGAGAAAGTTACACAGAAGCGATCAGCAGGAAAAAGAAAGAAGACTGATGATGACAGCGATGCAAGTCCAAAGGCATCCTCCAAGAGGAAGAAGTCTGAACAAACTACCAAGGCCTCCCCTGCCCCTTCAAAGTCTGCATCTAAAGAGAAGCAAGGTTTGGCCATTTTCCTGTTTTATATCTTCCACTAAGATGATCACTTAGGTAGAATAAAGCACGTGCAAGTGAGTGTAGAGTTTGTCAGATGCGTTGGAGAGTCTTATTCCTTGACGACTTCGTTTGCAAAAACTAACCAAAATTGGAGCCATTTATGTTTGCTGACACCATGTTTATCTGTGTTTGTGCATATTGTAGAAGTGAAAAAGGATGGAAAAGGGAAAGACAAAACCAAAGAGCCTACGGACAAAGCGCTGAAGAATGCTATCACTGAGATCTTGAAAGGGGTGGACTTTAGTACGGTGAGTAAATTATCAACCTTTAATATTGGACACACTTATTGCTTACATAAAATAAAAGGTCCTGCATTTTCTAGAAAGCTCTTAATTAGAGTTTATAGTAATATATCTATCTATTAGCACTGTGAATCACCATCTATATGTAGATAAGCTAATGAGAGCATTGTTGTTCTTCTGCAGGCTACATTCACGGACATCCTCAAGAAACTTGGTATGAACAAATTGGTTACACTCAAATTTTCTTCAGTGGTTTCTGGTTGTACTCTGGTTATATAGATGTATAACACATTGTTTCACCCATATTTCAGGTAAGGAGTTCAAAGAAGATCTCACCCCAAGAAAGTCATCCATAAAGCTGATGATCCAAAGCGAGCTCAAAAAATTAGCAGAAGAGGCTGGAGAAGAGGAGGAAGAGAAGGAGGAGAAGAAAGAAGAGGATGAAGAGAAGGAGAAAGCAGGAGGGTCTGGTGGTGGTGGTGGTGGTGGTGAGGAGGTGAAAGCCTAAAGTCCTTTCTGATCACATCGCACATACTGGCTCTCCTCTCTATCTCCCAAGCCTGCTGTTTGATCTCAGGAGCTGTTGCCAAGTAGTCATTTGGCGAATGTATAAGTTGAATATGTGGATGTATCTTCTGTTGTTTTCTTTTAATATGCGTCTGAATTGCGCAAAGCAGCTTTACTTTTGATAGAGACAAGAGGAAGAAGCTGCATAGCCAAAAGATAGGTTGCTTGTATGTGTATACCATTTAACATAAAAGCCTCCTTGGATTGTCTTTTGATTTAGTGAGGCTCCCTTTTTAAGACATTGTAGAGCTTTCTCTAGTTTCTTTCTTCTGGTATGAAGATAGATGAGGTAATAAAATGAATAATACAGTATGATTCTCTTCATTCCCTTTTCTACTTTAAAGACTAATGTAACATGCAAAATATGAATATTATCTTCTTTGATAGCGTAAACCTTTCTGATAATGGTTCTTTGATTCGAAATGACACCCAAAGGCCAAAGCTTTGTGAAAACAACTGATGATTGTACCGGTTCGATTGCAAAAGTTAAAGATTTAACCGGAACTAGAGTAACGTTTTAGTAGGGAATATACTTTGTGTCCTCTTCTCAGTAGAGAAGCACTGAAACTTTCACTTCTTCTTCTTCTCTCTCTCCTCCAGAGTTACAGTTCCGATCTGTAAAAGTTTCAAACTTTCCGGTCGAATTTCAAATGGGTAGCGGAAGAGACAGAGACGACCCCCTATCGTTTACCAGCAATCCGTCGACGGCTTCGTCTCCGGTCACTGTATCTGATTATCTCGACAACTTTCTCGGCGAACCCACTTCTCGCTCCGGGAGCTTTCAGAGCGAGAGCTTGCTCGGTGGTGGAGAGAGCATCAGCGACGCTGATTTCGGATTCGCTCGTCCCGATTTCCGATCGGAGCAACTCGCCGGAACCGTACAGTTCTACGAGAGGCATGTTTTCCTGTGCTACAAAAAGCCCTCCGTTTGGCCCGCCAGAATCGAGGCGGCTGAGTTCGATCGATTGCCCAGGCTGCTCTCTGCCGCCGTCTCGGCCAGGAAGGGTAGCATGAAGAAAGAGGTGAGCTTTTCTAATCTATCGATTTCTGATTCCATCTTCATCGGATGGATCCAGCTTCTAACTTCAAAGTACACGAATACTGCTTAGTTCTCATGGATTTAGCTCTGATCGTTTCCAGTAGTTTTGATCCAAGGCTTTCTGATTCGAGCTCATTTTACTCGCTTGCTTGCCGTTGCTTGGACTCTTGGGATTTCTGTTTGGGTTTATATAAGGCAAAGTCTCCTTTTTTGGTAGGATTCTATGGATGGCAACGTAATAACTTGTCTAATATGCGTGAAGATGGGATCGTAGAACACGCAACTTAAATTTTGTGCTTTATCTGCATTGGTTTTACTCTTCTCTCGTGTGCTCACGTCAGTGGTGAATTTAAGTGGAAATGATTTCTCTGATGTTGTGCCTCATGTTATGTTTCGCCATTGCTCTGCAGACTCGACTCACAATATGTGAGGGCCATGATGGAACTGAGACATCCAATGGTGATGTACTTATCTTTCCTGATATGATCAGATACAGGTAAGGGTTAAAGTCCTTCTAGTAGGAGATTTCTTATGCTTGCTCTCGTTTTTCCAACAGTTGGAGCTTATTTTTGACAGTTTTAATTCAATAAAAATTGCAGAAGGTTGACTCATTTTGATGTGGACACATTTGTTGAAGAGGTGCTTGTGAAGGATGGTGAATGGCTGCCTGGAAATCCTGAATTGCTAAAAGTCGCATATGTCTTTGTATGTTCCCATGGTTCCCGTGACCGACGTTGTGGGGTTTGTGGGCCGTCGCTGGTTAGTAGGTTCAGAGAAGAGCTTGAGTTTCATGGTCTTCAAGGTAAAGTGTCGGTGAGCCCATGTTCTCACATTGGTGGTCACAAATACGCTGGGAATGTCATCATCTACCAGTCAAAGATCCACAGGAAAGTCACAGGACACTGGTGAGTAAGGTTTTGCTGATTCATCTTAGGTTAGATAAAGAGATGAGAAATGCATTTGATCACTGATATTTTTTGTGTCAAGGTATGGGTATGTGCAACCAGATGATGTACCTGTTCTCTTGGAGCAACACATCAACAAAGGCGAGATTGTTGACCGGCTATGGAGGTTAGTTCAACAATTCTTGGTCTCGCTGCTTTCACATTACTTGATAATTATGATTATTTCTGTGTTTTTAGAGGTGAAATGGGTCTATCGGAAGAAGAACAGAAGAAAACTCAAGAAAGACGACTTCAGCTAAACGGTGCAGTCCATACAGTAACGAGCAATGGGAAAGTGACTCAGGAATCATCAGATGTTTTATGTTGCCAGTCACGAGATGCAGAACCTAATGGTTGTTGCCAACAAAATGGGAACACCTCCTCGTGCTGTCAAGACGACCCAACTCTGATGTTGTCTCTGGAGACCTCAGAAGATAATCAACATGGAAGTGAAAACAACACTGAGAAGCTTACACCGGGAAGGAAAATTGCGGAAAAGACCTTCTTTAGGATAAATAGTGAAAAAGGATCTTCAACTCGCAAGGTTTGTGCAATACCAACATGGTTAGAGAGCTGGGAGCGTGAAGATACATATGCCGCTCTCGCTGTTGCTTGCGCTGCTGCTTCAGTGGTTGTGGCCTATACCTGCTACAAACAGTTGTAATGCAGAAATTTGTAGCCTTAAGATGGTTGTGTATTGTGTTCTTATTAGACACTGATTCTGTTTTAGCTTTCAAACTACATTTCCCCTTCGTTTCAAGAGGAGGGTTTCATGTTAGAATTGTTTGAGATTATGTATTCAAGTTATCTCTGTGCCTCTACTACGCCAGATTCTCTCTGAACTTCTGCAGTTTGTCTCAGAGTGAAAAGCTTTCAGAATTTTCCAAGAATGGAATTTGACAAAGAATCAAACAAGTTCTCACATTTTCATAAACTAAACGGAATTTTCGGATTGTACAGAACAATTTGATAATCTATTGGCAGTTTACTTGCTGGCAAAACTCAAAAGAAATCAAACTCCAGATAGTTACTCTGATCAGACTTCACACTGCTCGACGTGGCTGCTGCCGGAGAAGCAGGAGCACTCTCATAATCAACCGGCTTCGGTATCTCTGGTGGGCTTGCGCATCGAACCAATGCCCAATTCACTCCTTCGAAGAAAGGATGTTGCTTTATCTCAGTTGCACCACGCTTATACGCTAATCTATGCTGAGGCTCCTTCACAAGCAGACTCCTAATCAAATCCCTCGCAGCAAAACTGACAACTGGAGATTCAGGGAAACGCAGAGGCTGACCAACAACGTTGAAGAGTGTTGCTCGGTTTGCCGATCCTTTAAACGGGGTTTTACCAAACAATAGCTCATACAGGAAGATCCCAAAAGTCCACCAATCAACCGCACTCCCATGCCCTTCACCTTTGATGATCTCAGGAGCTAAGTACTCATGTGTTCCAACAAATGACATTGAGCGTGCACTTGTCGGCTCAGCAATGAGCTCAGGCAAAGGACTCACCTGGTTTCCAGTTTCGGTTTTCATTTTCTTGTCCTTCTTGGACTTACTTGAGAAGAACCGCGGAGAGAAGCATGTCGTAGAAGCGGAAATGCAAGATGGCTGTTGGATGCAAGCAGGTTGTGCACAGTAACCCGAATTCTTTTGCAAGTTTCCAGACACAAGAGCAGTTGATCTGACCACTGTGGGGCTAACAGAACACCTCAAGGAGAGGTCGAAATCAGTAAGCATCACATGTCCATCATCTCTCACAAGAACATTCTCTGGCTTCAGATCACGGTATATGATCCCAAGCATGTGAAGATATTCCATAGCAAGAAGTACCTCCGCTACATAAAACCTGTCAAAAAGTACAAAAGCCAATATGATCTAAGAGGCACAACATAAAACTTGATTATGATTCAAATAAAAATTCTTACTTTGCTGCTTGTTCCAAGAATCGCTTCCCGGGCTGTCTCTGTCGGAGGGTATGCAAGTCACCTCCAGGGCAGAACTCCATAACCAAGCAGGAGAACTTATCGGTCTCGAAATGACTATACAAAGTTGGGAGAAAAGGGTGGTCAAGGCACTGCAATATCTCTCTCTCGGTCTGAACTCTAAGAAGCTTTTTACGGCTAGCCAAATCTGCTTTGTCCATGACTTTCATTGCGAAATAGCACCTTGTTCCGTGCAACTCAGCAAGATGGACAGTTCCGATATCCCCACACCCTACCCTCTTCAAGAGCCTGAAATGGTTCACACCCAAAACACCATGTTTCGCCCGGACAGCTTGTATTGCTTCCCATCTGGCGTCATTCGCCTTGTGAGGCTTGTTGTTCCAGCTTAAGCTGCTACATGTGCTCTCGTCACTGATATCACTGCTCGTGCTTGGTCTATACGTGCTACTCTTTCCGCTCTCAGCGAGATCAGACTGTCCATTAAGTTTAACTTCTCCGCTGGTTTTACTGTCACTGCTTGGAGCAAACGACAAAGTTAAAGATACTTGATCGGCCAGAGTGTTGGCTGAGATGCTTTGACTGGAATTGGAAACCGATGCATCCGCGGTTTGCTTATCGCGCTTTTCCTTCGAGGCCATGAACGGATAACTTATCTACTCAGCACCAAGATTCAAGGAACAATTACTTTAGTCACTGGTTCAGTCAGATAGCGACCTGAGCTCTGCATTAAGCAAAACATAGCGTCTGTTACTTTGTCTACCATTGGGTCTAAGAAACATCATTTACTATACAGCTGAGCAGATAAACACATATCCTACAAAGTGGCCATTTTTATATAGAGGATAAACTCAGAGATGAGGCCATGGCTCAATCATTGCTAAGGGATAAAGCGTTATCAATCAAATCAAGAAATAAATTGAATGAAAGCAGCTCAAAAGAAAGAAACTTTAGCTCTATAATAGATCTCCAGCTCAAAATCATAGTGACAATTAACTAAACCCAAAGTGTTTCCTGATGTGTAAAAAAGTAAATTGAATGCTCAGAGAGAGTTTGAAGTGTTTCCATGTAGACTGCATCCTAGATTTACACAGATCTCAGGAAAGAAAGAACAATCAAGCAAAGCACTTTTCGATCTAGAAGGGAACGACTCTCTATATCCCATAGATAACGGAAATTAAGGAGAAATACCCATAAATCGTTACCTTAAGAATAGCTTTGGGAGAGAAAGGATCTCCACGCAAGTGTTGTTTTTTCCTCAGAAGTTAGGCAGAGGAATAAGAAAAAGGATATCAGAAATGAAAGAGATAGACTTTCAATCAAGTATAAGTAAAGAGAATGAGGAACTCATCATCTTCCTTCCATGGTAATGGAGAGAGAGATAGAGAGATGAATCACAGAGAGTGAGAAAAAAGAGAGTTTGGGTCTACCATGAAAAGAGGGGGAGAGAGAGGTGGTCAAAGCAAAAGTTTTCGACTTTTTTTTAGGGCTTTTCAATTCTTTTTTCCATTTATTTCTCGGAAATGGCCACAAAGTTTCACGAGTGCTTAATTATGCCCTGTAATTGTAATTGCCACCGAATTAATTTATTTCCATGTTTTATCTATCGGATTCTATGCAAAAATGGCTTTGTCCAAACCATTACATTACACACACTTACACTACACATAGTCGTGATGGTTTTGACTTTTGAAAAAAATCATTCCAAGTTTGATAGAATTTTATAAAATCATATATTATTGATATCCTCTGATATTGAATTTTCAGATCTATAAGACTTGTCAATTTAGATAATACGTAACTGCATTTTGCTTGAATCTTCAATCTGTGCTCGTTCATCCGAAGTGTTGCCGATCAGAGCTTAGTGGAAAATGGTTTGGTAAAATATTAAATATCTACTGGTTACGTTAATAATTGTACTTTCGAGATTTTATTATTAACTACTCTTTATTGTTGTTAATCAGTTGAAGACATCAGTAATAATATCATGGTCCACAAATTAGTTTACATGAAGCAAGAAGGTTCTCTGGAAACCAAAATTTACTTTGCTTTTAAAAAGCTGTGTCTTTGGGGTCCTGCTGCAAAGGAATCTCTTTTCTATGTCCTTTATCGGATTTTTGAATATCCGACCATATGTAATATGCAGTATATAAAGTGCATACATACAACAAGCATACAATGATACTTACTCAATGTTACATCTTTACATGTAGATGCATGTGAGTGAGTGTACAGCAGTATAATGTATGCTGAAACTCTAAAAATAGAAACAAGAAGATAAGTTAATGTTAAAGGTGCCCCAAAGACAATCTGACAAAGATGGATGAAGAATTAAATGAGGATTGTCATGTTTCTCAAACACTAAAGTCCCACTTTAGAAAACCTTCACATCTCTCCCTAACTACGAACAGCTCACTCCCAATCTCCATTAGTTTTCATCACATCAGTTGTATTATTATTCATTCTATCCTTTATGTTGTGGCATTGACCCCACCGACCAAGATTTATGTATTTTATATACAGAAGAGTTTGCTCTGATCAGAAAAATCATGCCCTGTGAGAAAAGTAGGGACTCATTGTGATTTCTTTTCAATTAATTTATAAAACTCTTTCACGTTGAAACCATAACACTTCCACACAAAATATTCTTATGAGATTGATACAAAATTTTGTTGTCCATGGCGATTACAAGAGTGGTGACACTTTCTTGCGCATGGTTTTTAGTTGTTAATGTTACTCAGTGAATTAACCAAACTACAAAATCATTGTATACTGCAATAGATAGGCAATAAAGCCTCCTCCCTTGTTTCCCTTCATACTTTGCCATGACAAGAGCATTTATAGATTTCTATCGCATTGAGTTTGATGCATCAAGAACCTTATCTTCTCATAGACTCCTTGGTGTTATCTCTCGTGGCTTTTCTTTTCTCTTCCCTGCAACATATTCAACCATACAAACTATAAAAGAGTTTTCGATTATTATTTTTTTCTGTCAGTCAAGGAAACACAAGAAATCTCTTTACCTAGCTTGGGCAATTTCAGTCTTCCATTCTGATCTCTTCTTCTTTTGCTTCCTGGGGTTTTCCATATTACCATTATCGGTTTTTCGATTCTTATTCTTTTTGCCTTTGTTGTTCTCCTTTGAGAACGAAATCTTGTTATCTTTAGTGTTACTCTCTCGCTTGGGTTGCCCACTCGCAGCAGAAGGCTTCTCCAGCTCCTTAATGGCCTCAGCATCATCATCATAATCACTAGACACCTGAGGTTGTTCTCTTGTTTCAATCGTCTCATCACCTTCGGAAGCCTGCTTTGCGTTGCTCATCTTCTTCAGCTGCAGGACGAACGAAAGAGAAAAATACGTTATATATTTTATCACAACTAATATTTCACTAAACATGTTTTCTTGCATCCAAATCATGGTTTATCTTCCGCAGGGAAAAGCTATTCATTCATAGGTTAACCCAAGTGCATACCTTTGCCACAAAGAATCCGTCCATGTTGTGTACGTGAGGATAGAAACGTCTAGTCTTCTCCAGAGAAGGGTGGAAACGGTGTTCTCTAAAACTAGAAAATCTGATGACATGAAGTAAAAACATTTGTGATTAGACAGAAGAATCATAAAATGTTCATATGCAGATGAGAATGTAATAATGTGCATTACCCTGCTCGGCCAAAATCAAGTCCACATGGAACGAGCTTGACATCCCTGTTTTTTAGGGCATAGTCGATTACAGCTTCGTTCTGCATAATTTTCTTGTATTAATCAAAACAGTAACAAAATCAAAAACAGTGGTTTACGAAAAAAGTTACGGTTGACCAACCTCAGGAATCATAACTGAGCATGTTGAGTAAACGATATATCCACCGGTTTTGGAACTTGCGTCCACCAAATCAATTGCAGCAAGTATAAGTTGCTACGCACAGAAAAAAAGACGGTATGGTTAGCATTACAAAGCCTCAGGCATCCTTTCAAGCGATTTTCATCTTTCAATATTTGTCTGGAAATTTAAAGAATGTTAAGCTCAGCGCCATACCTTTTGCAAATGGGCAAATTTCTTTATGTCATCAGCACTTTTGGAAGTTTTAACTGATTCATCTTTCGATATAACCTGCATTGTGTAGAAGAGGACATTACACTACGAACAGGGGGAAAAAACTTAAGAGAATATAAGAGGGTTGAATCCAAAGTTTCTTACTCCAGTTCCACTGCAAGGAGCATCCAACAAAACTCTATCTACCGAGTTCTGACCTAATACCTTGGGTAGCTGAAAGGAATAGCAAATGAGATAAGCAAGAAATGAGATGGAAATTATAGAGAAGCTGCCTGTAAAACTTGGTTCCTTTGATACAATCACAGTCTTGCCAGGTAACTTTTAATTTGGTATTATCAATGGAAGAATAAAGGTTTCAAGAAGCTAACCTCTTTTCCATCATAGTTACAAACTATGGTATTTGTCACCCCCATGCGATGCAAATTGGCAGAAAGTGACTTAAGCCTAGGTACTTTCATCTCGTTTGCATATATTACTCCTAGTCATTATAATCATCATAACATCAGGATAATCGAACACACAGAAAGGATATGAGACTAGGAGGAACAAGAAACCAATGAATGCATACCAGTATTTTTCATTAGAGAAGCAATATAAGTTGTTTTACCACCAGGAGCAGCACTGCAGAGAGTACAAAACCTTGTTACATATACATCACATTAAACTAGATGCATCTCTCAGTAAAACTGGCTTTTCCGTTATAATAGCACTTTGCATCATAAGTTCATAACACATTATACAAATCACAACATGCACTCGAAAATCAACATAAGGTACCACTTGTTCAACATATATTTGGTTGCCTTAGACACAATAGCAGTGCATTTATGAAGGATGATAACTTACGCCATGTCCACAACCCGCTCTTTCTCTCGAGGAGCAAGAGCCATCACTGGCAAGAAGGAACTAGCACTTTGCAACTGCAAATTCACCAAGAACAGACTTAAGAAAACAATTAAAAATAGAGTGTAAGCCGGATGATAGAAAAATCACGTACCATATAGAAACCAGCCAAATATTCAGGAGTTGCACCAATTGGAACTTGTGAATCATAGACAACAAGTCCAACCTACAATCATTATGAAATGATTAACCACAGATGCTCCACAAAATATGATTTGCCTGCCAATCTAAAGGAAGACAATCTGCAAACACTACTTACTTTTGACCACTGGCTTAATGGGTCTAGATTAACTCCTCTGTTTAGAAGTACATCAGCCAGATCCCGTCTCCGAGTCTAACCAAAACAAAACACCACCATAAAAAATTGCATACCTCAACAGTTGATAAACACTTATTTTCAGACATATAATATAACCAAGTTCACCTTAAGAGTGTTGGTACGTATAGATGTAGGCCTTTTCTTTTCATAAGCTTCGATTAGTTCCATGAGTTCAACAGGTGGAAACATCTGCCAAAAGATTCCAATTCACCATAATGTGAGTAACAATTTCCTACGCAGAGCTTTAGCTTAAAGAGACTAGCGAATTACCTCAACCAAAGTTCCAATAAGAAATGCATTGTAGCCGTAATAAGAAGCAAGATCAGCTTTAAGCTGTTCAACATAGTCTTTCCTCTTGGTACCTTCTGGCCTCAAATCCTTAAAATTCGACAGCAATCTAACAACTGAAGCATATATATATATATATTAGTACGTATATAGAGAAGGTGGTTCCAAAGGATATCCGAAACAATCCCCAGAACAGGATAACACTAAGCATAAAACTTTGAAATGGTACTCACTCTCTTTGATCCTCGTTTGCAAGCGAGGAAGATCTGGTGCCCCACGTGCCTCTTCTTCAAGCTCCTGAACAATGTCGAATAAGAATTGTAAGCGAGTAGATAACTAAAATTCAAAATGCTTTATTGACAATTTGATTTGTGTCATTTCCAAAATTCACATTTAACCGTAAGAAGAATATACCTTTTGGGTTGGTAGCTGAAACTCATCAGGCTCTTCCTTAATGTTCATCTGGAATTCGTCGTTTGCGTCTTGTTCCTCCTTTTTACGCTCTTCATCAATAGCTTTACTTTTCTTCACGATATCGGATTCATCAGAGTCAGAATCCGAATCAGAGCCCAGAGCCCCCTCTCCCTCTTCATCGTCGCTACCATCGAGAAAGTCGTCCCCCAATGTTTCTGTATCCTCATCATCATCACTGTCTCCTGAGAAAAAATCAGAATCTGCATCATCTCCTTCATCAGACTGCTCATTCTCTTCTTCTTCTTCCTCTTCCTTGGAGACTTGAAGCTTCTCCTCCGAAATACTCTTCCTCTGCTTCTTCAATGGAGGCTTCTGGGATTTCGCCGCTTTCTTCAGCGGAGGCGTAAACGTATGCTTGCTCAGAGGTGGAGTCTGTGACTTTGCCCCCTTCTTCTTGTTACGCGTAAGAGCCGACATAGTGACGCGGTTTACGACGGAGGGTTTATCGCGGCGAGGGTTTATCAGAGCTGCAGAAGAACTTTGGTAAAGACGAAGAGGAAGCAGTGTTGTTCAGTGGGCTGATTTAGTAGTAACTAACTAAACTAACTAATAACATCTAATGGGCCGGTACTTTAAGTTTTTTATTTGTCAGCCCACTAACATTAGTTAGAAAAACCTGTTTGGTTGGTTGAACAAAATTGTAAATTAAAAACTTGGATTAATAAGAATTAAGAAACTATCAATCTTTGTAGGCTATTCATTACAAACTAAATATTAGTGACGCGGACATGAAACAGATTGAATAAGACAGTGGTTTAGATACAGAAAATTGAGTAACGTGAAACATGCGTTTCATATTGAATAATTGATAGATTATGGAAACTATGATACATAAGGTAATCAAAAAAAAAAAAAAAAAAAAACAATGATGCAATCGTGACAGAAAATTAAGGCGATCGAAACACACCTAATTAGTATGAAGCGGTGCCAGAATTAACTATATACCAACCTAAGCTAACTTCCAAAATATATCTACATATAGAGAAAATGAACTTCGCAGCTCTCGCTAAACTTTTGTCCAGCTGCTCAAAGTGGTCACCGAATATATTGCAGCTCTTGCGGTCTTATTACTCTTACCTCATAAATTTGTCCAGTAACCACTTATTATATTTTCGGCATTATCCGTTACTTTACATTATTATTGAAATGCTCAATATTATTTTGTAGTTTACTCTATCCCATGACTTTTACTTTGAATGAAAGTATGAAATGAAATCCTATCTTTGAAAAGTTCATTCTTCTCTTCTAAAATTATACTTAGTCCATCTTTTCTATAAAAGTGCTTAATTATGGTCATAACTCAAAGCAGTGGCGGACCTAGAATTAAATATTACCTGGGTCAAAAATAAACTAAAGGTGTCACTGAGAGTGTTCGAACCTAGGTTTAGGGTGTCAATGTGAAGCTTTTTACCATTTAAGCTGTTGCATTTATGGTTTAATCTTTACAAATTTAAATTTTATCTTATTTTAGGGGTGTCAATTGAATCTCTGTCCTTGTATGTAGGTCCGCCACTAACTCAAAGCTATATATATATATACATAAATCTGCTATAAATTGCTATAATTAGTATCTGTTTATTTTGTTGGGTAAAAGTATCTGTCTGATCAAGATACTAAATGTAGAATTAAAATCTAACTTTATGCTCGAAGTAAAGATTTCACTTTCTACCCCGTGGTAGAAACTCTAGCTTTTTTCACTGAAACAAGACAATCAGGAGAATTTTCGATTTTAAAAGTTTGTACGCACAAACTCACCTATAAATAAAACTACGTGTCTCCACTCTTCATAATACATCCTGTAATTAATAATACGTATCATAAGAAGAAGAAAAAATCATTATTGTTTTCTTTTATGAATTTTTCCAGGAATTTTTTTTTAATGTCAAGTCATTAACAGGTTGGTCGCAAGCACACTGTATCTCGGTTTTTTTCATCCTACGTGAGATATCAAGGACTCCGTAATCCCAACCGGAGCCTAGGTCAGATTCCACGACAACTTTTTGTGGAAGAAGATAGAAAATGGTTAGCTCTCTCGAAACCACAGGACCTAAACCCAAGCCCCCGGAGCAGATGTTAGAGTCCAACATCGTCATAACCGGTAAATCAAATTCGGTTATGTTTGGTTTGATTATTTGCCTCGAGCTATGGTTACGTCAGAATATGAACTGATATTTGATTTGTATAATTTCTTGATATATTCATCATTTCTTAAACACAACTCAATTCCTAAAGATAAATGTAAAACAGAAGTATGATTTTTTAGTAAACTTCTGGTTGGTTCTGATTTAAACCGATATTGGTCCGGTTTACGTCTATTATTCCCGGCGGTGCATGCAGATGAAGAAGGCGAGGAGGAGGAAAACGACACTCCAATAGAAGAAGTCCGGTTAACCGTACCGATAACCGACGATCCGTCTCAGCCGGTCTTAACATTCCGTACATGGTTCTTAGGAATGGCCTCGTGCGTGGTACTTGCGTTCGTGAACCAGTTCTTCGGTTACCGGTCGAACCAGCTCATGGTTTCTTCAGTCGTGGCTCAGATCGTCACTCTTCCTATAGGAAAGCTCATGGCCACGACTCTACCGACGAGGAAGTTCCGGTTACTCGGTACGAATTGGTCTGGTACATTGAATCCAGGACCATTCAACATGAAGGAGCATGTGTTGATCACTATATTCGCTAATACCGGAGCCGGAGGAGTTTATGCGACCAACATTATTACAATTGTTAAAGCATTTTACCACCGGGATCTCAATCCCGCCGCCGCCATGTTGCTTACGCAAACCACTCAGGTATGCAATAAGCATAAAAAAAAACCGATTCACATGAGAAATGGTTAACAATAATAGTGTATACGTGTCCTTTTGTTTTGCTGTATCAGTTGTTGGGATACGGATGGGCGGGAATGTTCAGGAAATTCTTGGTGGATTCACCGTACATGTGGTGGCCGTCAAATCTTGTTCAAGTCTCTCTATTTAGGTTCGTCCGTTTTTTGTTCCATTTAAGGTTTTGCACAAACCAGTCTTATCTTGCATGAGCCAACAAAAATGTTGCGTATATATGTAGCTCGATATTATATTTTGGTCTAATTAAAAATGTTTTTGGCAATTTAACTATTTTTCTTCAGGATTATAGTTTGACGTTTGAACTTTGAACCTGATTCAAAGTAATAAGTCATAAGTATAGTTATGTGTTTAACTCATTTATCTGAATAATGGACGCATGGATTGTGGCAGATAATTTCCCAACATACAGAAACTGGACTAGTGAAGAGTTGCCACTGGAATAGTTGTATTACCATTTGTAATTATTCCCACCATTTGAAAATGCCTTTTTTTCTCACCTAAAGCTTTGACCAGATTTTGGAATGATTTTAAAATATCATAATATCACCATAATATGATTTTGTAATTATTCCCACCATTTCTCACTCAGTCCCATAATATCATATTTTTCTTGCAATCTAAACGTTGTTTATTTTTTTTCCTTGGTGAAATCGTATCGACTAGAGCCTTGCATGAGAAGGAGGAGAAGCGTGAAGGCAGACAAACAAGGCTTAGATTCTTCTTAATAGTCTTCTTCACGAGCTTCGTTTACTACATAATCCCTGGCTACCTTTTCCCTTCCATCTCATCCCTCTCTTTCGTTTGCTGGATATGGAAACGCTCAGTCACGGCTCAACAGATCGGTTCAGGGCTTCATGGTCTCGGCATTGGCTCCTTCGGTCTCGACTGGTCCACCGTCGCTGGTTTCTTAGGCAGTCCTTTAGCAGTACCGTTCTTCGCCATAGCCAATTTCTTTGGAGGATTCTTGGTCTTCTTCTACATCATCCTTCCTATCTTCTACTGGAGCAACGCTTATGAGGCAAACAAGTTTCCTTTCTATACCGCTAAGACGTTTGATCACACCGGTCAACGTTACAACATCACTCGTATCCTCAACCAGAAAACATTCGACATCGATCTTCCCGCTTACGAAGACTACAGCAAGCTTTACCTTAGTGTTATGTTTGCTCTCATCTATGGACTTAGCTTTGGTACTCTTACCGCAACCATTTCTCACGTCGCTCTCTTTGACGGAAAGTAAGAATATTGTTTTCCCTCTATACTATATGTATCTCAAAATATAGATCAACTCATCCGTTTTTGTTGTTGTTGTTGTCTTGAAGGTTTATATGGGGGATGTGGAAGAAAGTTACATCGGCGACAAAGGACAAGTTTGGAGATGTGCATACAAGAATGATGAAGAAGAACTATAAAGAAGTACCTCAATGGTGGTTTGTTGCGGTTCTTGTTGTTTCCTTTGTGCTAGCTCTTTACGCATGCGAAGGATTTAACAAACAGCTTCAGCTTCCATGGTGGGGACTTCTACTCGCTTGCGCCATAGCTTTTACCTTCACTCTCCCTATCGGAGTTATCTTAGCGACCACAAACCAACAAATGGGTCTTAACGTCATAACGGAGCTGATCATCGGTTACTTGTACCCTGGAAAGCCACTTGCCAATGTGACTTTCAAGACTTACGGTTACATGAGTATGTCCCAAGCCTTGTACTTTGTAGGAGACTTTAAACTTGGTCACTACATGAAGATTCCTCCTAGATCTATGTTCCTTGTTCAGCTAGTTGCCACTATGGTTGCTTCAACTGTCTGCTTTGGGACCACATGGTGGCTGCTTTCTTCGATTGAGAACATTTGTAACACTGATAAGCTCCCAAAGAGTAGCCCCTGGACTTGCCCCGGGGACGAAGTGTTCTACAACGCATCGATCATTTGGGGAGTCATAGGTCCTGGAAGGATGTTCACAAGTAAAGGTGTATACCCTGGGATGAATTGGTTCTTCCTGATTGGATTTCTTGCTCCTGTCCCGGTCTGGTTCTTGGCAAGGAAGTTCCCGGAGAAGAAGTGGATAAAGCAGATTCATATTCCTTTGATATTCTCAGCGACTAGCGCCATGCCAATGGCTAAGGCTGTGCATTACTGGTCTTGGGTCGTTGTAGGGGTCATCTTCAACTACTACATCTTCAGGAAGTATAAGGGATGGTGGGCAAGGCATAACTACATCCTCTCTGCTGGTCTTGACGCAGGCACTACGATCATGGGAGTGTTGGTCTACTTTGCGTTTCAGAACAACAACATAAGTTTTCCAAATTGGTGGGGGAGTGAGAACACAGATCATTGCCCTTTGGCGCAATGCCCGACAGAGAGAGGGATTGTCGTTAAGGGCTGCCCGGTGTTCTAAAGAGGTTTGATTTGTAGTTTGTAAGAGATGCATGTGTGTGGATGGTTTGGTGATGGTAACTTGTAAGAGCATGTTTATTGGTGTTACTTACATGTCTCTTAGTGTAAATAGCATTTAAAATAAATGAAAAATGCATAATTTAGTTAAAAACGTCTCTTATATAAGGGAAGTTGGAAAGTTTTAAGGGACGTTTGTTAGAGCCACGTGTCCAATTTATTGGACCGAGCTTTTAAACAAGATTTTTTTTTTTTTTTCTCTCTCATTCTTCTTCGTTCTCTGAGGCGATTCGTCGCGAATGCCTTCTTGTTCGAATTGAACCCTCGATTTGGTTTTTTTGGCAGGCGGGTTCAGGGAAGGGAGGAAGAGACGGCGGCGACGGTCGTTTTGGTGGAAGAGGAGGACGATTTGGTGGTGGCGGCGGTGGTGGACGATTTGGTGGTGGCTGTGGTCGATTTGTGTCTCTCCGCTACAAGCTTCTCGGTGGTCTTGCTGTTCGTAGGTATGTGTTTTGGCATCATTTGTTTTTATTTCAGACACCGTTGATTGATTTGTATGCTTGGAGATTGGAGATTGTTAGAGTATGTGTTAAGTAGTTTAGCTAATGAGAGGAAACATCCTTGGTTTTAGCTGCGTTCTAAAGAACCATTACAATGTGCATTTTGATTCCATATCTCTCTTGAATAATCATTGTCTTGATTGATTCATTAGTTAGTTTTTATGTGTGTGGATATTGTAGGAAGGAAGTAAAGACAACGGGGAAGAATGAGGAGCATCATTTTGGAAGAAGAATGAATCTGCTGGGTCAGGGCAGCAAGCAAACTCTGTTGGAGCACAACATGAGAGACTTGTTGATAGATTCGTAAGTTTCTGTTTACAGGTGCAGTATTTGCTAATGTCAAAAATGGTATAACTGAGTTTTGGTGCATTTTCGAGTTGTTTCAGAGAGATACCATTCAAGATGCCTCAGGGTTTGGTCAGAGGAACTACCTACCAGTGTGTTTGCAAGATCAGATGGTAGCTCATTTGTGCTTGAGGTACAGAACAGATTTAGAAGGTTTACAGCAGCAAGAAATATTCACAAAGAACATTTTGAAGAAGTGACTCAGAAATCAGAATAAATGTTTACAGAGTATGATGATGGAGAAGGTGAAGGTTCAGATCTTTTGTTGCTGTGGAGAGCTTGAACGTGAGTGTTTCTGCTGGTTTCTTTCTTCATCACTTGATAGGCAACAAAGCAAGTGTTTGATTATGATGTCTGAGTTGTTCTAGACAGTTTCGTTTTTGCACCAAACTTGGGATCTGTTATGTATTTGAATTACTTAATATTTTCATGATAAGGCTATCTTATGAAAAATTGGTTCTTATTGATTGTTCTTACGATCATTTCCTCCAGACTTTGACCTTGTCTTCAAATCCATCGACTAGCATCTTCATCATTACCACTCTTTTACCTTTTGATACCTGCAGATTTAGTTTTAAAATTTTGCATAAGCATCAGGCCTTTGCTTCAAGTTTTTGTATCTTGCTTTAAAACCATATACACAAAGATAAATCAATGATGATGATTATGAGGATGACATTTAAATTTTTCTTTCATGTTTAAGGTTTTAAAAGTTATGTTTAAATTGTTTTTATGTGAAACTATGTTTTTATTTCATCTTTTTATATATAAATAAACTTAATTAAAAAAAAAAGTTAAGAACCTTCCGAAGTTTTACCAATAATTGATGCAAAAACATACGTCTCTTAACAATGTCTCATAACATAAAATAAATGTATTGTTATTATAATTCTAAGAGACATTTTGGGTTTCACCAATAAACATGCTCTAAGTAATATTGTGTGAAAGACTTTTTGTGTCTTTAAAAGGTAAGGAGCCTAAAGTAGTAGACAAGATAAAATTGAAGCTCAACATCAAACCTTTCATTCGAATGAAATTAATTACCCAACCTTGAGCTACATAAATGCTCCTGTTTTTATTTTGTCAACAAAACAAGAAAAAAAAAGTTCACTGACCTGACGTCATCATCATCAGTGTATAATTTTCAGGTCAAGCAAAAACAAAGAAAATTCAGCAAATTTTTTTGACAGACCCGTAGCCGGCAAGCAAAGCAAGCAGGTTCAGCAAAATTTATTAGTTTATAAAAAAATCATTACTTCCGTTTTTTTTTTGGGTCAAGTTCAACCATTAATTCGAATTTATTAGCACGATTAAATCAGTGTTTAAAAATGTTTAATGATTATCTTAATCTAATCCAAAAATATGTCTTTGCGTAGAGAGAGGGAGGAGAGGGAGAGGAGAAAGTGTTTTGTATAGAACCAGAAACGGTTAAAAAGAGCGGTTGCTGTCGGAGTATTGCTTCAAAGGCAAAAACTCAGGTTGTTAGGTTTATAGGCCAACGGTTATCTTCTCCTTTCTCTGCGTCTCATTCTTCAATCCTAAGCAAAAATCCATTTCTAGTTGATTCTTCGTCGCCATCCCAACCCCCAACTTCACCTTCTCTGACACCATCACTACACCATCCTTTCTTCTTCTTCTTCTTCATCATCTTGTTCTATCCTTTTTCTAATCTTTCTTCACTATATCAAAACTTGCTCCATCTGGGTTTTCCAAAAACAAACCCTTTTTCTGAGATCTTAACGTTTGTTTCATATTTTTTGTGTGCGTGTATTTTCCTCTGTTTAGCTCTCTGTCTCTGCATATCTAAAACATCTCAGCCTGTTCCGTGTATTCAGAGTACAGAGTGACCAAAAGGTATTTGATGAAATGCCTCAATAAAGTTTTCATTGACATTTTAGCTCTCCAGCTTGAGCCAGCTCCGTGTCTAATCCTCTGTACTGTTCTTTTTTTTGGCTTCTCTTTCAGGTCCCAATAGAGAAAAACCAGACTCTCTGATTCTTGGACTGAAAACTCCGGATATGAGTACCCGTTACTCCACTCAACTGCAATCATCAGCCATAACATCCATCACTGTCTCATCATCTTCTTCCCTAGATTCAAGGCCACGCGATGATAACAGCCACACGGCTGCAGTTTCCAACGCTCACCAGAGCTCTCCATCTTCCTACCTGATAAGACTGGCCATGAGAGTATCCAGAGCAAGGTGGTTCATTTTCTTGAGAAGAGTGTTTCATTACCAGAACGGCTCAAGATCCGATCTTGGCACCAACCCTTTCGATTCATTCACTTGGATGATTACAGAGCTCATCGCTCTACTTGTACAGATCACTGTGATAACATTCACACTATCTCTGTCGAATAACGAGAGACCTATTTGGCCTGTGAGGTTATGGATCACCGGTTACAACGTCGGATGTCTTCTCAATCTCATGCTGTTATACGGCCGGTACCGTCAGCAAGACGTAAGCCAAGGCAATGGGTTTAGCTTCGGCGATATTGAGCAGCAAAGAGAAGAGACCAGGTGCTCGCATTTGATGAACAGATGCCGGACATCGCTGGAGCTTTTCTTCGCGATATGGTTTGTGATAGGTAATGTTTGGGTGTTTGATTCTCGGTTTGGCTCTTTCCACTATGCTCCGTACCTTCATGTCCTCTGCATCTCTCTGCTCGCTTGGAACGCTCTCTGCTACTCCTTCCCATTTCTTCTCTTCCTCCTTCTCTGTTGCGTTGTGCCTCTCGTTAGCAGCTTCCTCGGCTACAACATGAACGTTGGATCTTCGGAAAAAGGAGCTTCTGATGACCAAATCTCTAGCCTCCCCAGCTGGAAATACAAACTCATTGATGAAACCTCTGATTCTTCTCAAGCAACCGATGATCCGGTAAGCTTTTGTCTGAATTCTGAAATATGTCAAATAGTCTGAAGTTTTTTGAATGTTATGGAACTTTTTTGCAGGAATGTTGCATATGTTTGGCAAAGTACAAAGATAAAGAGGAAGTGAGAAAGCTTCCATGTTCGCATAGGTTTCACCTAAAATGCGTAGATCAATGGCTTCGTATTATCTCGTCTTGTCCTCTCTGCAAACAAGATCTATCCAGATAAAAGATCAAACCAACCAAGACACGAGCCACAAGATTGAATCTCTGACAAAGTGTTCCATACTTTTGTTTTTTGTTTTTTTTTCTGTTGTCGTCCACACACACGGTTACTTGTGTGAGTGTCATTTTCGTTTTCATTTTGTGTACAAAGGAGCTCACCAGTAACCGTAACTTGATCCCCTGAAAATTGACCTAAACATGTATAAAAATTTAAAATGTGTTGTTTAACAATATATTTTTTTTGTTCCTCTCATTGTTGGTGACTTTTAATAATCTTGTACTGGATTAACTGGATTTTGTTATAATATTTAGAAGACTTTGAACGATCTAAGCCAAATTGAGACCAAAACAGATTAAAACAAAGCAAACAGTCATACTCAGATAAGATGAGACGTCGTCGTATACAAGGATGAAACGGCGACGTCGCGTACAGCGCATAATGGTCTGAGGCTCCACTAAACGACGTGTGATAGTGAATGTAATTAGCTGTTTTTATCACTCCTTTTACAAATTACAACTGTATCAACATCGAGTAAATTTTTCTTTTATAAGGTATTTTGGTTTTTTGGTTGTTGTCGGAATAATTTGGATACTTTAACTTTGCATATTTAAATTTTAAGCAAAATTCTGCTTATAGGAGAAAAATCGTGTCCGTCTTTCTCTCTCACTTACCAATCGAGAGAGCTTTTTTGTTTTTTGGCGTTTCCACCGCAATCATCGCCAGCTTCAACCGCCGGAGCCGCCGCAAGGAAGGCTCTTCATCGGCCGTGGCGTAAGGCCTTTTCTCTCTCTCTTCTTTTATTCCCTTGTGTACGATTTCGTGGTCGGTCGATTCATCGTAATCTGTGTGTTTTCCGGGAAAATCGGATGGAAAAAAGTGAAAAGTTGAGATTGAGAATCAAGCAACTAATTATCATCTCGTATTCGCTGGATTTTCCTCTCAATCGGATCGATCCTTGTGCTGATTTCGAGCTATATAACAAGATTCATCGCGTCTCTCTGAGTTGTTGTATCTGAATCCAAAAATCTGGAATCTAACTAGCTTGGATCCCTTTTCTCATTAGCGTCGTTTCTTCGTAGTTTAATCACTTATATGTTTCATTTGGCCACTAGATTCAGGTTTCGGTCCTCAGGATTATATTTTTTGAAAATTGTATTCCTCTGGATGGTTTTATTCGTTCTTCATGATCCGTTTTTGACGTGAAATTGGGTGTTTTTGAGCTGTTTCTTAGATTTGGGAGTGGGTTCTTGGTCAAATTTTGCCTCTTTCATGACGATGATGGTTTAACAAGAGAATATTATATCGGTTAATCTGGAAATGAAACTGGACTTTAGATTAACGCATAAAATATGCCTTTCTTCTCTTCACATACTTCAGATCTGAAAATAATGAATCTTGTTTGCTCCTGTCAATCCCTTCAGCCATTTTATTGGTTTTGAGCTAACATTCAATTTCATTCCCGTCCCATGGCAGATACTTTTGAGCTCTGTAGAGCGTTGCCTTTCTAACGAACCAGGAAATGGTTAAAAGGTACATACATATCTTGTTCATATATATATGCATACATATGTATTTAGTTTATTTCCATGTGGTTCAAAAGTTCTGATATTTTTTTGTTTTGGTTATATAACAGGCATGGAGAGTTTTGATTCACCACTAGAGATACCATGTCGCAGTGCGTAGACGGTTTCAAGCATGTATGCTCCTCTTTCTTCCAATGTTTTGATATCGACATATACAAACCAGCTGGAGGCGTTGGAGACCCTGAACTCCTTGCAAGAGAGACAGTTTGTATGCTCTCAGCTTCTTTCCCATTTTTTCATTCACTCTTTATGATTCAAAGGCACACTGTTCCTCTAGTTAATAGTTCTTGTTAAGAGAAGTGCAAATCTCTGATAAATTGAACCGTTTTGGTTGCAGTTAGCGTGAGTGAAATAGAGGCTCTCTATGAGCTATTTAAGAAAATCAGCAGTGCTGTGATTGATGATGGACTGATAAACAAGGTATGCAGGAATTATACTCCTCCGCAATTTGCTACTTCTTTTGAGCAGTCTTTCTGATTTTTCCTTCTCGTGTCCTGTGGTGATTGTATCAGGAAGAGTTTCAACTAGCCTTATTCAAGACAAATAAAAAAGAGAGCTTGTTTGCAGATCGGGTATGTTTTCTCCAACCAAAAAGTCTTTGTGATCCGTTGTCCAAGATCCTGTTTTAAAGATATACTGACATCACCAATCACAGGTATTCGATTTGTTCGACACAAAGCACAATGGAATACTGGGATTTGAAGAGTTTGCCCGTGCTCTCTCTGTCTTTCATCCAAATGCTCCTATAGAAGATAAGATTGACTGTACGTCTCTGATCTCAAAAACTAAATTCAAGAAATCATCTTCGATAAATTATCCGGTGTTTACATGCTAATATGATCCTGGAATATTATTTTGCAGTTTCGTTTCAGCTATATGATCTTAAGCAGCAAGGTTTCATCGAGAGGCAAGAGGTAAAGCTCTATCAATCTCTTGAATAGCCTCACTCAAACCTTAAAAGATCCTGCCTGCCCTTTATTACATTCCCACTAACTTTGTTACGATTGATCAGGTGAAACAAATGGTGGTGGCTACTCTTGCTGAGTCCGGCATGAACCTTTCAGACGAAATCATAGAGAGCATAATCGACAAGGTGTGCTTTCCTTTTTCTGCTCAATAGTGTTTTCTGGTTCTACTGTACTGTTTTCCTACTCATGTAAGCAGTTGCGAATGAAGTAGAGAGTGATTATTGAGTTTCTGTGGCAGACGTTTGAGGAAGCTGACACAAAACATGACGGGAGGATCGATAAGGACGAGTGGAGGACTCTTGTTCTTAGGCACCCTTCGCTTCTAAAGAACATGACTCTCCAATACCTTAAGTGAGTCCCTAAACTAAGACCAGCTTTAGGTTTCCAAACTTTTCTGCATCACGTATTACTGACAACAGCCAATCTCTCAAATTTGCTTGCAGGGATATCACGACTACGTTTCCGAGCTTTGTGTTTCACTCGCAGGTGGAAGATACCTGAGAAAATGCATAGTAGAGCAGACAATTTGGCAATTGTGTTTGTTTTCCGGGTTATGTATCATGTTTATTTGTTTTCAATCTCGATTAAACTCCAATTTTCAAGATTTTGATGTTTCTTCTGTGAAAAAAAAAATACAGTTGTATTTTCTCCCGTTGCTGATATGGTTTATGTATGCAACTCCTCGAATCGGTAGATTTTGTGATGTTCTCTGATTTCATTGTCCACATCAAGATACTTTTCTAGAGTCAACAGAACTACAAGAACTCTAGATCCCACAATAAAAAAAGCTACCTTAGGCTTATAATCGTCGACTCCTCCGTATTGTTTATAGTTAATAATTTAATATCATACAATAATGCTTATTGTCACTTTTACGAGTCCAGTTGATTCCTTTGTTGAAATTTTGTTGTTTGCTTGATAAACTACAGTTTATCTCTGTGTACACTTGTTCAATCAAGGTCTGAGCTGGGCTGATGAGAATTGTAGCTCACTTCAATAGAGTATTGATGTTTGGTCGTTTGTTATTTCAACAGAGTATACACACACCATCAAAAGTTTGATTTCTTGTAGTTGGGTGGTGTTGATTGTATTTCTTAATGTATAGTGTAATACATTTAATCATATGTTAAATGTTGGACTGCATTTTGATATTTTATACTACATCTTCGTAGCATTATTTACAAAAATACTTTATAATAAAACTTACAGGAACCATTTCTCCTTTAAATAGTTGAAGGAGTGTAGGTCCCATGGCCCACAAGTTTAACGGTGGATTGCTCCGTAGATAATCTTTCACTCTCAGTCTATGGACTCAGACCGGAAGAAATCTGGCGCCTCTTCTTATCCAGAATCTAGAGAAGAAGAAGACGACAGTTGACGACGATGACGATGGCGATGGCTCAGCTTTTCGTCGGACCATCCTCTACCTCAAGGTTAGATTCGCGACTCGCCGACTCCTGTCAACTCAATTTTGAGAATCGACTGATTTTTTCTTCTCCTCCCCTCGATTTGAGAGTAATGTATGTCGTTTGAGATTGAACTTTCATTTGGCAGTGTTGGAATATCTAGGAACGGCGTTTCTGGGATTAGTCGTGCCGAAATTTCTTCGGTCACATCAGTACATTTACCGAGAAGGATGTTTATGCAGCTCGCTGGGATGGGTTCAGTGTTGACGCTTCTGGATTTTCCTGGTTTAGCTGCGCCACTTCCTCAGATGAAGGAACCTGAAGTGATCAGGTAAAACTGGTCCTTCTCTGAGCTACTTGAACTCTTTTTTATATTGAGTTTGATTGCACAAAAGGCCGGAAGATTGCTCATTGTGGAAAATCCGTATTTTTTGTGTTCTTAAGTGCACTTTCTTATGATTATGTCATATGTTCAGCTCAAAAGCAACTATTGATAACACGATAAATTTCAGTTAGACCATGAATTTCAAGATTAAATAGATTATTGTTCAATGTGCTTGACCATTGCTTTGAGAAGCCATGTGTAAGGAAGATAGGAAAGTTTATTTTTCCGATATGATTGTTCGAAATGTACCTTGGAGTTTGTTCCTCATTCTAGGTTTTTTCCTTTTGGTTGGTGATTCAAGTGTCCAGGACGTTGAAGCTCCCAAGTGGCGTGAGGATTCAAGGTACTATTCTTTTGCAAGAAGTCTGTCTGTTTTTCTTGCTGTTGATTACAATTGTGAATAACTTAGAAACATCCATAGACTTGTAATGGATACTCTAACGTTATGTAAGCTTTTTTTAGCATTTTTACTCATGGAAGTTTGTTTTTATTTTCCAGAGATTCTTGAAGGAGAAGGACGAGAAGCTCATGAAGGAGACCTGGTGGAAGTAAACTACGTATGCCGTCGTGCAAATGGATATTTCGTTCACAGGTGAGATATTTCATGCGAAACATCAGATGACTTCATAGTTTCTTTCACTCAAAGTTGATCCCTTCTTTTAATATCATCATTGTCTTGAATCAGCACTGTGGACCAATTCAGTGGTGAAAGCTCTCCTGTCAAACTTTTTCTTGATGACAACGACGTACTTTTGATCTTGCCCTCAACATTACATATTAACATGCGATCTAGTCATGAGCCGTACTAACAAACTGCTAGTCACAACAGGTCATTGAGGGCTTGAAGGAAGTCTTGTTGGGAATGAAAGCTGGAGGTAAAAACATGAAACAACAAGAACATTGTGGTCTTTCGATTAATCTCCTGTTTCTAACGACTCACACAGTAATGAACATTGAACATAATGATATTTTCTGGATCCAGGGAAGCGTAGAGCACTGATACCTCCATCAGCAGGGTACATAAACGAGACATTGAAGCCAATTCCCGATGAGGTACTCATATCTATCTCTTCATCCCTTCTTTCCTAACAACAATGAGCTTGATACAAATGTATGCCTCAAAAACGATCTTTCATATGTGTGTGTGGATGCAGTTTGGACCACGACGCAGCCTTCTATCACACGCAAACGAACCTCTGGTCTTTGAAGTCCAGCTCTTGAAAATATTATAATCTTCTTCTTGGGACAATGTCATGACGTACAGTATTTGGCTGTGTTTGTTTGTTTGTTTTCTCTAGTAAATCTGTAAAGCATACTGCGTAGACCTTAAAATGTATAATTTGGACACCTTTAAAGTTTAAATTGAGAGAAGAAGAAAAAACAAAAACAGGAACAATTTATCTCGCATTAAAAATCATCACCTAAATTAGCTACGAAACGACATCGTTCAAGCCAAACGATTCACACCGATAGACGTTACAGCAGCATTGGTTCTTCTTCGTCGTCGTCGTCTACGGTCTACCGAGATCTTAAGTAACGCCCACGACAATCTCTGATCGCCGGCGTTCTGGTCTTTCTCTGTTTCCTCCCGTTGAAATTTTTGAAAATTAGTTTGAAAAGAAAGGGAGAAAATGGCACAAGGATGGTTTTCGATGGGCGGGGGGAGTAGCGGTGGAGATCAGCAGCCGGAGCCGCTGCAAAAGAGCTCATCTTTGCTCGCGGATTGGAATTCTTACGCAGCTGCGAGAGATGTCGAGGAAGGTGGAGGAAGCTTCGGTTTTGATATCGAATCCGCCGTTAGATCTGCAAACGACACTGTTTCCGGCACCTTCAGTGTGTAAGCCATTTGATCTCTTTCCCAAAATCCATGGTTGTATAATGCAATTATTCAGCTCAGAGTATCTATTCCTTGTTTGAATCTGGGAAGATGAGGATTTTAGTGGTAGTGAGAAGTGTGGGTGCTAGTGAATTTGAGCATTTGAGATTTACTCTATGGGAGATGCGTTTATGAGCATTGCATACCCAATGGATTTGTAGCTAGTGAATGGGTCTGATGAGTCATTTCTATGTGAATGCATGGATCTAGTTGAGTACTTTTGTGTTCATCACTCTATTGCCTCAAAGCAATTTGGTTGTAGCTGTGAGTTTCCAACATGATCAGCTCTCTGAGGAATTTCTGAAAAAAAAAATGCTTTTTCTGTCAGTTGTGATTCTTAGATATCTTCATAGGTAGATGCAGTTTTGGAAATGTGTCTTGACCATATTACAGTGAACATTCTCATTATCTGTAAATCGGTAGTGCAGGTTTTACAGGTCTGGGCATATTGTGTGTTCGTTATCAAGAATCTTGGTTGTGAAATTGATGTTCTTTTGTTAATTTTTGTACCTGAATTTGATGACTTCAGGGTTTCCAAGGGAGTTAGAGATATTCCGGGGAACTTGCAGTCAGCAACCAGCAGCATGCCTTCAGGGAAAGCTCTGATGTATTTCGGTTTACTTTTGGCGAGTGGTGTGTTCTTCATCTTCATTGCCTTCACAATGTTTCTTCCAGTCATGGTGATTATGCCACAGAAATTTGCCATATGTTTCACCCTTGGATGTGGATTTATCATTGGATCTTTCTTCGCACTTCGTGGCCCTCAAAACCAGCTCACACACATGTCATCTAGGGAGGTATGTTACATTACTATATAGTGTGCCTGATGTCTTAAAGCCAAGAGTGAATTCCTTCCTCTACTTTCTGATTATTTGTTGTCTACTTCTACAGAGGCTTCCTTTAACCATAGGTTTCATGGCCACCATGGTTGGTACCATATACGTATCGATGGTCCTCCACAGCTACGTTCTCTCTGTGCTCTTTTCTGTGTTACAGGTACTACATTTCATCTTCCAACCCTTAAAGATATTCCCTTTTAGCCTGAGTTTAAGTTTTTTTCAAAAATGAGACTTTCCTTTGAGTAAGTTGTAAACAAGATATTGGACCTCATCAAGTATTGAGATCATATAGTAACTCCCCTCACTGTGGAACTGGTCACGAGTGGCGTTGCTTATCTGGTTCTTCACCTGTTTCATTGATTTGGACTGTTGGAGAACTGAAAAAGATACTTGTATGATCAGTTGAAGAACTTGTGCTTGCAAAATCCAATCCGCGCATTCTGCTGATTCTCATAATTTCTTGTTATCTGTTTTGTTTGTGCTAATGGACAGGTTCTTGCGTTGGTTTATTACTGTATATCATACTTCCCTGGTGGATCATCCGGGATGAAGTTCCTCAGTTCTGCTCTTACCTCATCTGTGCTAAGAGTTTTCGGGAGATGAGCTCTCTTGGATAAAGAACTAAAGTTTACTTCTCTGGTGTGTAAAGAAAGATGTCATAGCTTTTTTTTCCTTGTATTCTCTTTAACATAGATTTGATGCAAATCCTCAAAAGACAAATTGATCTTCGAGATCTTGAATGAAAGAATCCAAATGATGCTGTCACTATCTTCGTCTCTTTAAAAAAATGAAAAAACACTGCAGGTGATTTCTCAAAACAAAACCGAATTATCCATAAAACCAAGAATATTGCTAAGCAAATTTCCCAATTCCCAAGAACAATGGTGTTGATGATTTCTTAAAATTTTACGTGATGGTTAACGAAAAAAACACATACTTGCTTGGAAATTTCATATTTAAGTTTATTGTGAAAACTGGAACAAATCATGAAAAGAACCTATTAGAATTTTCAGAACAAAATGTTACTAATTAAACTTTCTTCCTCTCTTTCAACCGTATGATTGTTGATGGTTCCGACCTTTGTTCTTTCTTTCGATCATCATCACATTTTTAGCGTTTATATGTTAAACAGTACTAAGACAAATAAGTTTTGTCAACGCACAGTGCTAAAACATATACAACTTAATGTCAAAACTGAGCCATCTATGATAAATTCATGTCAATGCAAAAGTAAGATTGTCCTCTTGTTAGAAAATGCTAGTTAGTAAATGAATAATGAAGACATGGCTCTTTAGGCATCAATCACTTTCAATCTATCACCTATGGCGGTGAATCAATTGAGAGAAAACACCTCCAACTTCTTAACCGTATCGATAAGGCCATTCCTAATGGAATCTCTTCAATCCAGCATCGATCACCGTCCTCTATGCAATACTGGTTTGGTAGATGAACTTCGTGAAGCCATCGTCAAAAGTTTGATTATCTTACCTTTGCATATATAAAAAAAATATTCTAAGTAAACATTTTTTTTGAACAATAAATATAACATTTCAACAAAAAAGTAACGAAGACAACATGCTATGTGGAAATTAATAGTAATACCAAATTTCATCAAACAAAATCATAGTGGTGAGAAAACAAAAGTATAACTTTTGGTGCTGGGGTTAGTGAGCGGGAAACCCGATTCCTGAAAATACGGAAACAATGGGAGCAAGAACATTTGACCCGTAATCTACACCTTACAGTACATGTATTGTTTATAACATCAGTGACCCTTTAATTTCATTCGACTAAGCTTTTTGAGAAAGAAAGAAATATTTAGGTGAAAGCAAAAGCCCATCTTCTCCACTAAACATAAGCAATGCTACTTTAAAGGGTTGGTTCAAAAGACATTAGATTGTTGTCAGTATAAGTTTTGGTACTAATCTAAGATGTTTGTCGTAGAACATTTTAAAATGAAAAAAAAAAGGATTTCTAAAAGCCTGATGTAGTCCTCTCTTAATGGTTTTAATTTTCATGGTTAGGCAAAAATCTAAAAGCATGGAAAAATAAGAGAAATTTTAAGCGGAAAGTTGGGAAAAGCTGAAAAATTAACTAAAACACTTAAGCATCTGCATTTGATTACCATCATGTAAATTTTAATGTAAATATCAAATCCTATATACTAAATATCATTTTTTACAAAAAAAGAACCACGAAAAAAAGAAATGTGACAGGTCTAGTGGTTGTGTAGGAACTTGTGTTATGGGTTTAACCATTTTTGGGATAAAGAACATGATTTACACGTACGGTGTCATGATATTATCATCAGCTGAATCTGGTCCCGAACTTTGAACTTGTGAAGAAAAAAATTAAGGAAAAGCAAAGCTAATTATCAGTTATATTACTTGAAAAGTCATCGTAGAAAAAACAAAATGCATTGCTTCTATAAACACCAAAATATTTGACGTATCAATATGGGAGAAATTAAAATTGAAAAAAAAAAGTTTAAATCTAATTTGCAAGTCATTGCAAAAATATCATTAATATACATGTTCATTGGATCGTGAGATATATTTTCACGAAAATGCCCACTTCTTGTCACATTTCTGCAGTGCAGTACATGCCACTACATTCTTGGACTGATCCTGCCGCCAAATACCCCACAAAGGACCATTTTCTATTAGAAAAATAAGTTAAATTAAACTGAAAAGTATACGTGGAAATAATGAGATATACAGACAAAACCTTGTATAAAAGAAATAATTAACACATCATATTCAAGATTAGATTTAGATCCAACACCCACTATTACCACTCACCTAGATCTGATCAAACCACTTAACAAAGAAGCTTAACTATAATCTAAATGCACTTTTAAATCTTTTATGTGTATGCCTCTCTCTCACATGTGATGAGATCTCTGACCTAATTGAATCGTGGTTAGATCTAGATCTTGTTACATTGTCTTCATCTATTATCGGTACTGAAACTTTTCTTTAGTCATTATGATTCATTATTAGTCTCGTCATCACATTTTACATACATTTTTGGACTAATAAACTAGGACTTTAAAAACAAATGTCTTAGCGTCAAATTGTATACTGAACAAATGTTTGAAGTGCTTTACAAACCATGTGAGCAAACAATATTACATTTTTTTTATTACTAGTTTTCCGTGTCGAACAGAAGCTGTTGGAAGAGAGTTTAGATCTTTAGTAGCCATATCTGAATTAAAGCGATGCTCGGGTCTTTGGACCGAGTCGCCATACGAATGACCTTTGCTCACTTAATATGAATGCATTATGGAGAGGCATGCGCTGCATGTTAGTTCCATCGGGCTTGATGCATTCAGATGCATTGAATGCTTTTTAAAATATTTTGTTGTGCCTTTTAATCTGTGGGTAGATCTCTCATATAGATTAGTCGCTCTCTTGGACATTTTCGAGTCCTTAATTTGGAGAAGAGGTACGATTCTTCTAAATGTCTAGTTGGCCTTCGATATGATTAACCTGTTTGGAGTCGTATAAATATGATTGATGAGTTCGTTAGTTACAGTCTTAGTAATTTTAGATCAATGACAATAACTAATTACAACTTAATGTTTTTCTCGATTAACGGTTGAAACTGATACTATGATTCATGCCGGCCAGATTGGATATTGAAAAAGAAAAAGGATAAAACTCATGATATATATTTGGTGACATGGTAGGTACCTAGCACAAATAAATGTAATCACATCACTATATATGAGGCTGTATATAGTATATAGTTATTGTTTGATTTGTTGTATAGAATATAGGAATAATGTTTGGATGTAAGGGTCATGTCACCCAACGAATAGGGACCATCAATAACGATAATCATAAGATTTGTGAAAGAAATGTTTCACTGATTTGGCAGAAGTACAGTTGGAGTGGCTTGTCTTTTCTCTCGAACCCCCTTTTGTTCTCTTTACTTCCTTCTTGTTTCTTGTTTTTTGTTCTTTTATTATTTCCCCTATGGACCATTTCATTTCTTTCTGTATCAAAATATTTGCTGTTTATCTTTTTCAAATATCTGTTTAGTCTAAAATTTGTGTTCACACACTAACGACTTCTATAGATTTTATTTTACTGATCAGTCCAATCACACATTCACATAGCTATGGTTGTGCCATGACTCATATGAGTTAAAACGTAAAAACGATAGAAATCGAATTTTACAGCGGTATTGTATTTTTTTAATCATATATCATCAACATATGATTCTCCTCCCCCTTAATCAATATGCAGACGACTTTTATCACACACATGTAATTTTTGCATGCCCATGAACACTCTTTGGCATGTGACATAACTGCGGTTTTCAATCTCATATATAATTTATTGACTCGTTAACTTTAATTTTTGTTAAAATCCAATTTATAATTGTTTAATTAGATCAGTTGACAACACACATTAAACAATTAGATAAAACTATGAAAAGAAAAACAGTAAGGCGGATCTAATGGAACGGGTCGATCCACTTTAAAAATCTTTAAGAAACTGCAGACAAGATGTGCAATGGCTAAAACTTAAATATTTCTATAATCTTTCACAAAAATTCCTCGCTTGCATGTCCAGTTTCACTCTTCAAGATTCCATTAGTAGATGATCTTTTATCCTTTCTTTTTTTAACCTTATCATAATTTGATGTAACCACTATTTACGCACGTCTGGTTTCTCTCAACATAAAACAAACTCCGCATTAAAATAAAACACTCTATCACATTAGTTAACCAACAACGAGAAAGCATTTAAAGTTCATCGTGCCGCTTCTAAGAGCCAAGTCTTTTTGTTTCTTCGTGATGAACGGTGCAGCCGTACGTATGTCTTTACATCATTTCTTGAAAGTTCATTCACCTCGCCATAAACACAATACACAAATCATTAGACAACATTTCTTGATTTGTCTTCTTTACGTCGATCTATACGTTTCATATGTCGTTTAATAACTTAGCTTGGCAAATTAATAAAAGGGATGACACTTCTCGTTCACATGTTACAAACAAGATACGATGCTCTCTAATTAATGAATTTGATTGAAACGTCTACAAAATTGGTTACAGCACTTAATTAAACAGGGGTGGTTTGCACTTTTAGATTAACAAAACTATATATTCAAAATTTGACTTTAATCCTATCCACAAAAAGTCTCCACTTAAGTTCATTATCAGATGATGTTACCAATACCTCCGTTATCTCAATTTCTAACTATTCGAATGATGAATCTAAATACGAAAATTGCTGAAAATAACATGCCCATCCAGATAACAAATTAATGTTGACGTCTCGTATAACAGCACAGCTTCACAAGTATTTTCTTGGATGTTGGTGCATTTCGACATCAAGAACAAGCTTTTAAAACATTTTACATGTGACTACAGAGGCTCTATGATATGTAAAACACAATCGTTTAGATAAAAGTGATCAACACACAATTGGATTTTGTTTGTTGTTTTTATAGAAGTTTTTGCTTGCTTTGTCACAATAAACTTGAGTTTTTACCTTTTGACTAATATTTTGTAAGAATCATTTTGTTAAATAACATTGAGTTCGAGTTTTTTTTTTCTGGCTGTATGGATGTTCAATTTCATTTTATATTGAAAAAGAAAAAGAAAAAAAGATTTAAAATAATATTATTATGGGTAGAGGAAGAAGTACTTTTTTTTGGGATCCAAAATCTTTCTTTGCTACTTCTCTCTCTCTTTCTCTCACTTTGCTCTGTGTTATATTTATATTTCCCATAAACAAAGTAAAACCAAAAATTCATGGGGTTCTTCGCTTTACAATCCCAACGCACTTCTCTCCTTCTTACTCTTCTTCGTCTTCTCCGATGCCACCAAATTTCTATAGACTCTGCTTCTTCTTCTCGTTCCTACTCTGTTTCTGCTCTATCCCCTGTTTCTCTCTAAACGAACAAGGTCAAGCTCTCTTCTCATGGAAGTCCCAATTGAAAATCTCCGGCGTCGCTCTCGCCTCCTGGAACGTCGCCGCAGAGTCTCCCTGCAATTGGGTCGGCGTAAAATGTAACCAGAAAGGAGAAGTTTCAGAGATACAACTCAAAGGCATGGACTTGCAAGGTTTGCCGCCGGTGACGATTCTCCGGAACCTCAAGTCCCTTACTTCCCTCACTTTATCATCACTCAATCTCACCGGAGGCATCCCCAAGGAGATTGGAGACTTCCCGGAGCTCAAAGCACTCGATTTATCGGATAATTCTCTCTCCGGCGAAATCCCAGTAGAAATCTTCAGGCTCAAGAAACTCCAGACTCTGTCTCTGAACACGAACAATCTCGAAGGTGTGATTCCGTCGGAGATTAGCAATCTCACGGGACTCGTTGAGCTCATGCTCTTCGACAACAAGCTATCCGGAGAGATTCCGAGGAGTATCGGAGAGCTCAAGAATCTAGAAATCTTCCGTGCCGGTGGGAACAAGAATCTAAGAGGTGAGGTTCCTTGGGAGATAGGCAACTGCGAGAATCTACTAATGCTTGGTCTCGCCGAGACTAGTCTCTCCGGCAGACTCCCGGCGTCGATCGGAAACCTGAAACGCGTCCAGACGATAGCTATATATACGTCACTGTTGTCTGGTCCGATTCCGGATGAGATCGGATCCTGCACGGAGCTCCAAAATCTCTACTTGTACCAGAATTCGATCCCCGGATCAATCCCTACAACCATCGGAGGTCTAAAGAAGCTTCAGAGCTTACTCTTATGGGAGAACAATCTCGTCGGAAAAATCCCTACCGAGCTAGGGAACTGCCCGGAGCTCTGGCTTATCGATTTGTCTGAGAATCTCCTCACCGGAAACATCCCGAGGAGCTTCGGAAACCTTAAGAATCTTCAGGAGCTTCAGCTGAGCGTAAACCAGATCTCTGGAACGATCCCTGAAGAGCTAGCGAACTGTACGAAGCTCACGCATTTAGAGATCGACAATAACCTTATCACCGGCGAGATTCCGTCGTTGATGGGTAATCTGAAAAGCTTAACGATGTTCTTCGCGTGGCAGAACAAGTTAACCGGAAACATCCCCGGAACTCTCTCGCGGTGTGGAGAGCTTCAAGCCATCGATCTCTCTTATAACAGTCTCTCTGGTTCGATTCCAAAAGAGATCTTTGGGTTACGAAACTTAACGAAGCTTCTTCTTCTCTACAATGATTTGTCTGGCTTCATTCCGTCGGATATCGGAAACTGTACGAATCTCTACCGGTTGAGACTCAACGGAAACAGACTCGCTGGGAGTATTCCGGCGGAAATTGGGAACCTGAAAAACCTCAACTTTATTGATTTGAGTGAAAACCGTCTCGTCGGGGCTATCTCTCCGGCGATTTCTGGTTGTGAAAGCCTCGAGTTCCTTGATTTTCACTCGAATAGTCTCTCCGGTTCGTTGCTCGGTACGTTCCCGAAAAACTTGAAGTTCATCGATTTCTCTGATAATGCTCTCTCGGGTCGTCTGCCTCCGGGAATCGGGTTGTTGACCGAACTTACGAAGCTCAATCTCGCGAAGAATCGATTCTCCGGCGAAATCCCTAGAGAAATCTCCACCTGTCGGAGTCTACAGCTCCTCAATCTCGGCGACAATGCCTTCTCCGGAGAAATCCCAGAGGGATTGGGTCGAATCTCGTCTCTAGCAATTTCTCTTAACCTCAGCTGCAATGGGTTCGTCGGAGAAATCCCGTCGAGATTCTCCGATTTGAGAAACCTCGGGGTGCTCGACATCTCTCACAACCGGCTCGCAGGAAGCTTAATCGTCTTGTCAGATTTGCAGAACCTCGTCTCCCTCAACGTCTCCTTCAACGATTTCTCCGGCGAATTACCCAACACGCCTTTCTTCCGGAGACTCCCACTCTCCGATCTCGCCTCAAACAAAGGGCTTTACGTATCTAACGGAATCTCGACCCGACCCGACGGGTTAGGATCCTCCACCCGAAACACTTCCGCTGTTAAATTAGGCATTGCGATCCTCGTCGCCGTCACCGCGGTCCTTGTTCTCCTTGCCGTTTACACTCTGGTCCGGGCACGGGTCGCCGAGAAACAACTCATCGAGGAAGAAATTGATTCCTGGGAAGTGACGCTTTACCAAAAACTCGAATTCTCCATCGACGACATTGTTAAGAATCTGACATCGGCAAACGTGATCGGAACCGGAAGCTCCGGGGTGGTTTACCGTATAACGATTCCGTCCGGCGAGACTCTCGCGGTGAAGAAGATGTGGTCGAAGGAACAGAGCGGTGCGTTTAACTCCGAGATCAACACACTAGGATCGATTCGTCACAGGAACATCGTGCGTCTTCTGGGTTGGTGCTCGAATCGGAATCTGAAACTCCTGTTCTACGACTATCTCCCCAACGGAAGCCTGAGCTCTCGGCTTCACGGCGCCGGGAAAGGAGGAAGAGTTGATTGGGAGGCTCGATACGACGTCGTTCTCGGTGTGGCCCATGCACTTGCTTATCTCCACCACGATTGTCTCCCCGCAATTATACACGGTGACGTTAAAGCTATGAATGTCTTATTGGGCCCCCAATTCGAGCCCTACTTAGCTGATTTCGGTTTAGCTAGAACCGTCTCCGGCAATCCGAATACCGGAACTGATTTAAAGCGGCCTCCTTTAGCCGGTTCTTATGGTTACATGGCTCCGGGTAAGCTTGAAATTTTTTTTACTCTTATCTAATTTCGAAATTTGATTTATTATTATCCGTTTATAATTTTGTTTTGTTTGTTGTTTTATATTAGAACATGCTTCCATGCAACGTATAACAGAGAAGAGCGATGTTTATAGTTATGGAGTGGTGTTATTAGAGGTTTTAACCGGAAAGCATCCGTTGGATCCGGATCTACTCGGAGGTGCACATTTGGTAAAGTGGGTGAGGGATCATTTGGCCGAGAAAAAAGATCCGAGCAAGCTTCTTGACCCGAGACTCGATGGACGGACCGACTTGATTATGCATGAGATGCTTCAAACACTTGCGGTGGCGTTCCTATGTGTGAGCAACAAGGCAAGTGAAAGGCCTATGATGAAAGATGTTGTGGCCATGCTCACAGAGATAAGGCAGGCTGATGTTGGACGATCGGAGACTGATAAGGTTAAAAGTGGTGGTGGTTGTGGAAGCAAAGAGCCACAACTGATGTCGCATGAGAAAATCATTTCTCATGGTTCGTCTAACTGTTCATTTGCGTTTTCGGATGATTCCGTTTAAAAAAAAATAGAAATGTAATGGTGAAAGCTGTGTGAATATTTTTGTTGTGAGCTTTAAAGGTTTTTGTATGATCAATTTGAGGGTATAAACAACTAAAAGCTACTATAACTGGCACAAGAACCAAGTAATGTAACCAGCATCAAATCAAATGAACAAGAAGAGAATGTATACCATTTTATGGGGACGTAAATCTCATTAAACATGTCGAACGAAATGTCATATAAACAGAACAATACTTGGTAGAATCAAGAGTTCTATGTTCTTTTTTTTCCCCTCTTTTCTCTTAAGAAGTAAGAATTATCAATTATGATTTTCTTCCAAATTAGATAATTGCATCGTATCTTCTATTTCTCCATAACCATTTTGTGTTTTTGGATAAGCATTAAGCAATATGTATCTGTAAATATTTAAATTGGAAATCATCATCTATTATATGTGGATGATTATGTCTTTTCTACATAAATAAATATCATATTTATTATTAGGGAATGTTGAGTTTTGTTGGTCCACAAATTTTCTATATGTACTAATATTTGAACCAGTAGTTGATAAGTACATGTTGATGTGAGGTTTCCAAATATATACTTTAGTGTCAATTTTCCTAGATCAATAATAAAATAGTTTGATTGAAAGTAGTTTGAGATATAAATTGTGTATCTTTCAAATTAACGTGTCCTTAAAATTCGATTTTGAAATGAAACATGTGAATCCAGTATGTTCATATGTATGTGCACGCATAAACATTCTCTAAATCTCCCTTGATATTTGTTAGGAAGTTGGGCTCATTTAGTTTTAGTTTTATATGTAAACAATGTCAACGAAATGTACCCACTTTCTCTAATCAACCTCTAGTACATAAACGACATAAAGTATATTAATATATGATTTATATGAAGATACAACTCAATAGAACTTATGTTATAAGGTTTATCAAGTTATTATTAGATAGGGAAGAGGAAAAGAAAGTATGGTGAATTTTGGTATTACCAAAAAAGAAGAGGTGATTGGGATGGAGTATTTGGAGTTTACGCACGAAAAAAGATTCGTATTTCGTTTTGTCGTTCTTTGTTTGTTTGCTAATTTTAATGATTTGTGAAATTGTGAAGAAGAATTAAGAAGAAGAAGAGAGGCTTAAGACAGAAGCGAGTGGATCACGTGGACCCTTGCACCACCCTCATCACATGAGCATGTGCTGTTTCAATAACAATGACTTTCCAGCCAAAATAACACCATTTTTGTTTTGTTTTGAACGATTATCAACATTAATTTTTAGGGTTAATTTGGTGAATGACAACATTGGAGACTAAAATTAAGTGAATGACAATGCAATTTGTAAAATGTAGTAACTAACAAAGAGAAAATTTTGCTTTTCTCTTTTCTCCCTAAAATAAACGGCAATTTTCCCTCCAATATACTTTACCCTAATTCTCGTTATGCCTATGGTGAAAACATATTTCTCAATTAGTCCCTACCAACAAATAGTATAGTTTACAACTCATATAACATGACATGTTCTTTTCGTCATTTCCAACAAGATTAAATAAAACAAAAACAAATGTGTAATTGCAGGATGTACAAGATAAATATTGACTCAATTTCAAGAGATTTGTTCGATGGTACCAGTTTAAAATCAACAATTTTATACTCAAATGTATAAATGTATATGGATATGAGAATTTTCTTACTATACTATAGTTGAATTCATTTGTATTCTTTGCACTACAATCACACCCAGAAAGAAAAGGGCAACAACATTAATCGATTAATCTCATCAATTACCATAATCAATTAATAGAGGAAAAATTAAATAATCTTAAATAACTGATTCTTTGAGGAACATATGAATTATACAGAAGCTTCCATTACAGATTCTGGTTTCTGGTAAATTGCATCACTTTCTAATTACAAAAGTTTAGACTCATTCACTTCATGAAATTCAACTAAAAACATGACTATTTTCGTAAGAACTAAAACTATTCCTAATGCAGAGAACTATGACACGCAAATAAGTTGGACAAGGGAGCAGATCTGAAGCGCCGGCGCTGGAGACTCGTCCTCGAGGACTGTAACACGCACACCCCGTAGATCTAGTCGGAACTACACTAACACAGAAGACCTCTGCCAAAAGCCGCCGAAATCTGCTGTGACCTCCACCAAAAGCCGCCGAAATCTGCTGTGCAAACGAAAGCGTAGACGGAGAGACAACCGAAAACCTCACCGGCGTAGAACGCCAAGACGCCACACGCCTCCCCAAGTCAAGCCACCACGCAGGAACGACACCACCGGATTCAAACAGACTCAAAAGCCGAAGAAGCGCCGTCGGAAATAGAGTCACCGGAAGACGACACAAAGAGCAGAAAGAGGAAAAGATGAAGGAGAAGAAAGAGCTTCCTTTGGCAGCGACGAGAAATGCTGAGCAACCGACGAGGCGGCGGATCTGAAAAAAATAGGTTTCTCAAGAGAGAGAGAGTGAGAGAGAGAGGAGGAGGCGGATCTCAAAACAATTTGAAATTCTAGGTTAGAAGGACTAAATTGGGAATAAGTTAGAATATACACTCTGTATTCTAGACATGTATTTCATATTGTCATTCTCTTAATTACTCCCCATAATATTGTCATTCAGTGCAATTTCTCTAATTTTTATGATTGTTACTCAGATAACCTTCTCAGCAAAAATGTTTCTGTGGCATTCGCCTGAACCTTGGGTCTGTAAAATTATGCTTTAAAAATGTTAAATATATTTGGTTCTTTATAATTTTTAACCACGGAAAAATAATAGTTATGAATATCATGTAAATATCTCTCCTTTCGAAAGTGACTCTAAAAAGATTGACTCCCGTTGTCAAAAAAAAAAAAAAAAAGATTGACTCCCCTTGTGGGACCCATTGAGGGATAATTACCGAACTTTTGAACTAGAACAGTTATGTCTGGCGGGAAATGGCAAAATGCTAAAGAAAACCAATACAAAAACATTGAGAGAAAGAGAATAGACGCAGCTTAAAAACATCACGCAGTTTAGCCAAACGCTTAACCAAATCGAAAAACGTTTAAACAGTTAAACGCCCACGAAACATCCTTTTATATAATCTATACCCAAATCGCATCAAACGTTACACACGTTTCGAACGCTCCTAGTACTTGTATCCTTTCACAAACAAGCTCTCAGAGGCTGCAGAGTCACCGGAAACCCCGCCGGCATATTTACCTAGGGTAGCGTCCGAGTTTGCCTTGCACCTGGTCAAGAACGTGGCCTGAGCATTGGCTACGTTCTCTGTCTTACCGGCCCAAGCCTTGAGGGTGCTTTGCTGGAGGGCTCGGCCAAAGGAGAAAGTGAGCGTCCATGGCTTCAACACATCGAGCTTGTTCATTGCGTTCAGGTTTAGCGTCGCTTCCTCTTCGCTCTGGCCGCCTGAGAGGAACACAACTCCTGGAACCGCTGCTGGGACCGTGCGGCGGAGGGCAGTCACGGTGTGTTCCGCGATCACTTCCGGTGTAACCTGTTAGAATGTATTAAATTTTTGGTTTTTGTTAGCGATCAAAACCAAGCAGGATTATCGGTTTAATGAAATTAGCACATGAATGTTCAGTCTTGATTATAAATTCTTTAATCTTGGATTAACGTAAGTTACACGTTAATGTAACACATAGTTTCGTTACCTTTGGGCTGTCTGAGCCGGGAGTGACCATGTTAGGTTTGAGCAGAGTGCCTTCGAGGAGGACATGGTGGTCGTTCAAGGCCTTGTACACGGCAGCAAGAACCGTCTCGGTCACTGCCGCACATTTCTTGATGTCGTGGCTCCCGTCAGTCAGCACCTCTGGCTCGACGATCGGGACCAGTCCGTTCTCCTGGCAGATGATGGCATAGCGAGCTAGCCCCTTGGCGTTCTCCTGGATCGAGAGCTCACTTGGCTCGGTGGCCCCAATCTTGAGGACTGCACGCCATTTGGCAAAACGGGCTCCTGCCTTGTAATACTCCTGGCAACGTGAACCAAGCGAGTCTAGACCCTGAGTAGTGGTCTCGCCATTGGTCCCTGCTAGATCAACTACACCCTTGTCCACTTTAATTCCGGGAATAACTCCATTCTCCTGAGGAAGAAAAAGAATCAAAACTGTAAGTTCCATTTGAGTCATGTCAAGAGCTTCAAATCTGCAACTCTGCAAGAGTCTTGCACCTAATGATCAAGTCTAGAGCTGGATTTTGTGTTTTTTTTGGGAACGGACCTGAAGGAAGTCGACAAAGAGTTTGCCATCAGAGGTCTTCTGGTAGAGAGTTTCCTCGAAGAGGATAACGCCGGAGAGGCAAGGGAGAGCGCCAGGGGAAGTGAAGAGGAGCTCACGAAGAGCTTGGCGGTTGGACTCAATGTTCTCAACATTGATGCTGGAGAATCGTTTCCCTATGGTTCCGGTGCTCTCATCTGCCGCCAGAATGCCCTTTCCGGGAGTTGCAATGTACTTGGCCGTCTTGATCAGTTCATCTGAACACAGAAAGAACATAAGAGAGAAGCTGAAGAGACTAGAACATGAAGAGTAGTTTAACGAGAAGAGTGCATGAATGTTAAGTGTACGTACCTGCGTATTTGCCGACAAAAGCAGACATGGTTGCTTTTTGGAGTGCACGAGAGACGAGTTCTTGCTGAAGGGACGAGGAGGCCAAGACAAAGCCTTGAGTACCTGAAACTTTTGATTATAAATAGTTAATATTTACAAGGAATATACTGTTCGAATCTGTCATACGTGTCGAAAGCAGAGCCCAAGGAAGATTATCAACCTCGGATAAAGCAAATGGGTGATTGCTTCTGCTACCAAATGGCAGCCAGTGATCCCAGCTTTATCCCCAACGTCTTGGATATGTGGAGAAGAGAAAGAGATAGGTACAAAACAAAAGCAGACTCTTTTTGTTTAGTACCTCTCACACACTTCAACCACACGTGTATCCACACTTCCAAACACAAACAAGAGATATTTTTGAACATTGGAGCCAAATGATGTATCATCAAGAGTTCCAAGGATATTTATAGATATGGTACAAGAGTTGCAAATGGAGCATCAAAGTTACAAGGATAATTATACATGGTACACAGGTGTTGCAGAGTACTGATTCCCATAAACCCATAATTTGGGTATATATAAGTAAATCAAAATTGTTCCAATAACTTGAGAGGAAAACCAACAGAGTTATAGGTGATTCATTTGATAGTTTGTGTAGCCGTTGTAGCAGATAGGATGGTGGTGAATGCATCAATAGACTACACTGCAGGCCATGGAAGGGACACCTAATGACGCTGCAGGACCACAGAGTCCTCCCTAGTCGTCGTCTGTGCCAAAATATCGGTCCCCAAACTCTCCCATTCCAGGAATAACACGAAACTCTTCGTTTAATCCATTTTCGATTTCAGATGTCACTATCTTTATTCTTGGGAATTTTTTGCAGACCACATGAACACCTTGAGGTGCCTGGTTAAACAAAAGAGAAAATAATAATATCTCAATCCAGCTGCATTCTTGTGGATAGACATGGATAAGGAGTATAGATGAAAAATATCTTAATCCAGCTGCATTCTTGTGGATAAAGTTAGCTTACTGAGATAAGGTTTAGAAACACGATATTGCCCTCGGGTACGCCCTTGCTTATAAGGAGGTTAATAGCTTGAACTGCTGAGTTTCCTGAAAATATGTCCAATTTTAGAGTCATCAGGCACCCAAAATGTGTTGAATTGGGTTAACTCTGTGCGTTAGAGCAAATAAAAAGAGGAAAAAAGTGTTTCAGTGATGCATAAGTTGGTTCAATTCAATTACCTGTGCCGAGAATAGGATCCAACAATAGGACGTGTCTCTCCGATATATCGTTTGGCAGTTTCTCATAGATGAGCTGCAGAGTGATTTAGAAATCAAGCACCAGTGAAAGAGAACACCTGGGCTCAAATCTGATAGACTCGTTTACCTGTTGACCATTGTCGCCTTCTCTGTGAATTAGGATCTTCCCGATCTTGATACCTTTGCAACACGCTCGTAGCGCATTTTCCATGCTCTCACCACTATCATTGTTTCACAATATCGTCAGTGGGATACACAAGGATGCCAAAGTTTCTCTAAGATAGGAAATAAGAAAGTACCTCCTAATCACAGAGACACCGCATAACCGTTTACAGAAATCCACACCAGAATATACACATCCTGAGACAGGTGACAGGGATATCTATTAATCATCATGTTTACCCACTACATCTATCTTGACTAATCTCGTGTACTCACGAATAACATTGCAAGAAAAACAAAAATCATTAAGCTTACCGGTTGGAGTAATCACTTGCTTTTCAGTGAAAGGCAGATGTCCAAGACCATGTTCTACAACCTAATAAATGTAAGAAAATTTTCAAACGTGGAAACGAGACACGTGACAGGAAAATTTGCTCAACCATTTGAATGAGGTTTAGTGATCATACCAGCCGAATCAGGCGATCAGAATAGAAGACAAAATCATGTTTGGTTGTCTGAGAATCTCGTATAAGGGTGTGCATCCCTCTTATCTGCAAGAGAAAGCAACTTTTAGTGGCGAAAACTGTTTCTTGTTTCGTAGTTAAGAGAATGTTACTCATAGTTAGTTGCGAAAGATATACGAATTACCTGAAATGTCGACTGTATAACATAGAGATTAGGATATATTTTACAGAGGTCATGTTGACCCAGCTTGGTGCAAATATGTTGCACAATCAAGTCAATAGCTACATGATTATCCCCACCACGAGGGATTATAATATCTGCATATTTCTTCGTCGGAAGAATGAAGTCATCAAATGCAGGCTTCACAAACTTTGAGTACTGCATCAGAAGGTTGACATCAAAATGAGATATGGGCAGAAAAAATATGAAATGCAATAGGTAAACCATTTCTCACTGTTCTTGAAGATAATATATGGAATAACAATACCAACCTGGTCAAGTACTGTGCCGATATCTCTACCATTCTCGACAGTATCTCTTCTTATCCTTCTTGCCAAACGAACGTCAGCATCTACGCAGAGAAAAAGTTGCAATGTGACTGCTAATATAAGATTTTAAAACCTTTCATAACGCATATGAGGTGGTTCCCTTCATGTAAAATCTTACAGCAGAAAAAGCCAAGTGAAGCTTCAGAAAAGGAAATGGAATGTAGCAGAAACAAGAGTTTGCAGTAACTATCATGGTGAGAGGAAACAAATTACCTGTACAAACAAAAATCTTCATGTTCATCAATCTTCGGACACGTGGATCATGGAATAAAAGTATCCCTTCCAGAATTATTACATCCGCAGGATTTACCTGCAGAGCATCAGTAGATATGAAATGCTATTGTTATAGAAAGAGGCAGTAAGAAAATGAAAAAGGCACCTCAGGATTCAATCATTTTTAACAGTATGATTATGAGTGATACTGAGAAGGAAGATGGTACCCTTCTGAAAACACTGGTCTTGTAAGTTTTGAAATCGTATTTTGGAATGTCGACAGCTTGACCTTGCCTCAGTTTCTCCATACAAGACAATAAATTATCTGTGTCAAATGCGTCTGCAGAAACAATGGTAAATTATTAGAATCAAGATCAGCAAAAGTTAACTTAGGATGACAAAGAGTAATACAAAAGACTTTTGCTCATAACTCCCAGCAACTAGTAAGGATTAGTTAGGGATGCAATCAAGAGAGAAATAAAAGAGAATACATCAGTCACTAAAGATGTCACTGAAGAATATGAGTGTTGGTTATGCATTAATGATCCAAAATAAGATATTCTCCTCCTGATGCATTATTATGTATTGACTGGAGTAGATTACAGAAAGCAGCCATATTTCTCACCCGGATGATCAAAGTTGTATTCATGAACTCTAGCAAGTTCTTCTTCAGTCAAACTATGATAGAATGAGTCCTGCCAAATTAGTCACCATTGGATATTTAGTGGCACAATTTTTGGCTTATCATGATGGCAAAAGTATTTGAAAACAAGATGCATACACTAACACAAATATCTAAACAATGGTGATCAAGGTTGAACAATGTTTTAGATCCCTAATTTGTGTGGACTTAAACTGACTTCATCTACATTCAAAACACAGATCAGGATTATGAAACTTTACCTGGTTAACAAGTACAACACGCTGATCATGGAGTTGCTGGATTATCATATCACAAACAGTAGTCTTTCCCGATGCTGCGCCTCCAGCAACACCTAGCCATTACAAATTCAAACCACAATATATTTAATCAAGACCATCGGTCAGCAAAAAGATACAGACTTTGTGAAAGCAGAACTGACCTATTACAAAAGGCTGTCTCTGGATCTCTTCTGAAGCAGGAGAAGTGGTTTCCTTAGCTGATCTTGGTTCCAAGCCATTCATGTGCCCGTTCACGTGGAAACCAGAAAAGTGGACCCCTGAGGAGGCTTGTATCATGTCAACAACGGACTTAGAACCCATCCCGGAGAGAACTCTGTACACCAATGTAAGGCCAAGTCATATAAAATATCTTAAATTGCGTCACAATCAAACAAAAACCAGGGAATCTTTCACCACCACACCCTGATTTTTAGGAACCCTTCAACTACATTTCCACGGTGCTTATTGCTCTTAATTCATAATTGTAATGTATACCATACAAACCAAAGTGTCAAAACATGAAGAGAGTTTTACACGTAGAGAGTAAAGAGAATCTCCGAGCTAATGACATTTTCTTCTACAATCTTATCATAATGTGAATCGAATCCCAACTTTATCCACCAAAACAGAGAAGAGTGAAAATGTTAGCTGCAACCAAAATTTATGAAGAACCGTGAAATAGCACTGTAAATCCCAACTCATTTGGTTTCATAGATCAACAAATGCGAAATCTAAACCCTCTAGTTTTCACATTTAATCAAAAAAACCGAAGCTTGGACCATAATCACCATGATCGAACATCTCAAGAGTGAAATATGTAACAGAAACAGATCGTTCAAGAGAGAATCAAGAGCAAAAAGGCAAGTTAAAAAATTGCAATGAAGTTGCAAAAATGAGATTGAAAATTACCCAGATTCAGCTCAGCTCTGAAGGATCTCTCAATTGAGAAGAAGGAGATGCAGTATTCCTCTGGATGTTAAATAATAGAATCTCAGGGAAGACAGGGACAAATGTAATCTGATTAATTAATTATACAACTATAAAAGTTTGGATTGTTTAGACAGGGAAAAGCTGGATTCGGACATGATTGATTTGGTAATATTATAATTGCGGAGCGTTCGTGAGATGACGAACGAAGAAGATGGAAGACGAAGCTTGAACGGAAGAATCTAGATATCTTCCTTCTAATTATTTTCCTTTTATTTGAAAAGAGTCGTATACTTTACAATTGTTCAGAATCAACCCCACAATTGATTTTGGCAGCATCTCCGGTACATTTCCGGTTTTATTGCTAAAATCGGAATTTTCGTTGGTTTACTCAATCGCAGCGATTGTGGTTGATTTTGGAATATCCGTTCTTCACATTCGTCGTCTCTCTCGAAGCTTCAACTCCGACTATGGCAGCAGCGATGTCTTCTTCTTGTTGCGCTTCGTCGCTTCGTCTAATTCCATTCAAACGGACCCTGATTTCTTCCGTTCATTATCCGGCAAAAACCTTATTTTTCCGGCCAATTCCCTCATTTCGTCGGACGATCGTCACCTTCCAGAAAATATCAGCCGGAATCGTTCCTCCGCTATCTGCTTCATCCTCTCCGTCGAGCTCCGATGATCTTCAACCCATAGAAGAGCTTCCTCCGAAGCTACAAGAGATCGTCAAGCTATTCCAATCGGTACAAGAGCCCAAGGCCAAGTACGAGCAGCTGCTCTTCTACGGGAAGAATCTGAAGCCGCTCGATTCCCGATACATGACGAGGGAGAACAAAGTAGAAGGATGCGTTTCTCAGGTGTGGGTTAGGGCTTTCTTCGACGAGGAGCGCAACGTCGTGTACGAGGCCGATTCCGATTCGGTTCTCACCAAAGGGCTAGCTGCGCTTCTAGTCCAGGGCTTATCTGGAAGACCCGTGCCTGAGATTTTGAAGGTAAAACCTGATTTCGCTGTTCTTCTCGGTCTCCAGCAGAGCCTGAGTCCTTCGAGAAACAATGGGTTCCTTAATATGCTCAGGTTGATGCAAAAGAAGGCTCTTTTCTTGGAAGTCAAAGCTGAGGAGGGTACAAGTTCCGAAGAAGCAAGTGTTCTTGAGGCGGAATCAGACTCCAAACCTAGTTTAATTGAGGATTTGGGAACGGAAGAGATTGAGGATTCCGATAGTGAGTCAAATGTTGATGCTTTAGGGAGTAGAGGGATGAGGATTAGAGAGAAATTGGAGAAGGAGCTTAGTCCTGTTGAGTTAGAAGTTGAAGATGTTTCATACCAGCACGCAGGGCATGCCGCTGTTAGAGGTAGTGCTGGTGGTGATGGGGAAACGCATTTCAACTTGAGAATCGTTTCGGATGGTTTCCAAGGTAAAAGCTTGGTGAAGAGACATAGGATGATATATGACTTGTTGCAAGAGGAGTTGCAGAGCGGGTTACATGCTCTCTCTATTGTGGCTAAGACTCCGGCTGAGGTTTGAGGGGGTGTAGCAATGGAAGAAGACAGATTCTTTTTTCTTCCTTACTCCATTTGTTTTTGAATTTTGTTCTCTGGAACCTTATCATAATGTTGATACTTAAGAGCTTGATCAGTAATGAGAGATAGGTACTGTTTGTGCCGAAGTACAAATGGATCTTTGATGAAGATATAAATAATGATTTCACTACATGTTTCTCCATTTTGAAATTGAGTTCCTTTTCTCTTTGCAAGCATCATGGTCTTGTTTGTTTTGTTTTGGTTTCTGTGTATTAAGTTTTCACGTCTACGCTTTGAGAGTGCTCGAGAGATGAATTGGGTCAGAGAATGTTCAAGATAGTTCTCTATATGGCTAAGTTTGAATCGTGAAGATCACAGCATCTAAAGAAAGTAAAAGGTGAAGTTTCTTGTTCATTTCTCTTTCGTTTAGATAGACAAAGTTGGTAATGTTTGATCAACTGGTGCAAGTTGGTTTGAGGGATTACAGAGATAGAAAGAGATTTGGTTGCTTTATTTATTTCTTTTTGATTAAAGAATGTATAAAAAATGTGGAAGGAGTTTCAGTCTACCACTAGACATGTGATGTTCCTATAAGCCTCCATTAGCTGAGACTTGTGGTTGTTTACTGAAACCATTTGCGGTTTTAGCCAATCAGTTTCTGCTTAACTTTTCGCTATGTAAGACCATTGTACCTAATACATGAATCCTGTGTAAAGTATTAATCTTAATTGAGATTTTGAATTTTAACTTCCTCTATGTTGGCATATGCTAGAGGACGGGTGAGCTTCCTTTTCTTTGTTTGTATGTTTTTGATTACTTTAAGCCCTAAAAAGAACCAACATAAGCATCTAATGGTTGATACATCTTTTGCTTTTGGTCTTGAATATTTTGTGTGGTGGTTCAGGTATGTTTCAACAGTACAAAAATTCAACACTGTTCTTGTGAATCTGTTGCCTAGAAAGATAATATATATTTCCATTTTTTAAATACTGGAAATGGTACAAACTCTTCTATGTTCTTGAATAGAGTTCACTAGGTCTCTTTTTATACATTTTGTGGGTAAGCAAAAGGAAATCTATACTTGAATAACATGCCAAAGCTAGCTAGTGACTGAAGATTGACTCTGAAGACCGTTTTGTCTCCTTGATCATCTCTTTGTCGTGCAGATACGAGAAATTAGGATTCCAGTTGGTGGACCAGTCATCTGAAGTTGACACCTCCCGTGCAGCCAATACGAGTAATGAATCATCCTAAAATGAGCTCTGACTTTGAAGGTACCTCTAATCTCATAGTCTATCTTGTTGTTTTGCATCTGTTTTCTGAGCTCCTCTGCGTAGTTTAAAGGCAAGTAGACTAAGCTCGAGATCAAACGGATTGGTTCCAACCTCGTTTCACGTTTTCTTTGCGAAAATGGTAGGACCCCTTGCACCGCAATCAATTTATTGAAGAAGAAGAGCTCTATCTTAAGCTGCTCAAACCTCACTTCTAACTTCTTATTAGGGTTTGTGAAATTCACCAGCATGGACAAATCGCCGTTGAAATACCCTGGCGTGTCGAAGTAGACTGTGTGTAGATTGGCGTTTGGGATGTCAAAAACAGGGGTTCTTGGTCTAACCGCAAGAAACACGATCAAAGTGGCGATACCGAAGAAGATAAGCGAAAGGCTGAACACAAGACATAAACCGGCAACACACCATATCAACGGATTGGTCCTGCTGCTCTGTGGCAGCCAGAGAATCACTCTATCTTTCCTCGGCTCTGCATCAAGACCGTCGAACTTAGCCGCTGGTGGTTTTGTTAAAGGTGTGGATTGTGTGCTCTGTGGTGTTCTCCATGGGGTGATGCTCTGTGGTGTTCTCCATGGGGTGGTTCTTGGAGTATACCATAGAGAAGAAGACGGTGTTTCCCATGGCGGCGTTTCTGGCGGCGGAGGAGGTAGAGGAAGTAGATTTGACATGGGTTGTGTGATCAATGAAAGGAAATTTGGAAATGTGTAATGGTTTTGGGTTAAATAGTAAAGTGAAAGTTTTTGTGTTTGTTGTGTGTAGAAAAGCGAAAGCGAAGGTTTGGGCAAAAGAAGGAAGCTTTTGCATAATGGGATTTGGTTTTGTAAAATGAGTGGGAGTGTGGGACCATGCGTGTCGTTTTGAAGAACTTGTAAAGCAAATCTCGGTGGCTCCAAAGTTTGAAGACTACATGCATTTTCCTAGAAAATAAGAGTTTTTTTTTTTTTCCTTCTTAACAAGTCATTTCCTAATTAAATTCTAGATACTGTAATAGGGTTTTGATTGATTACAGGGGACATAGACTTATTAATTTGAAAAAGAAAAATAGGATGCAATCACCAAATTCTCTATCCATATGTTTTAGTCTAAATAGGATTTGAAAATTTGAACTAAAAAGAATAAATCAAATGTATGAAGAAGACTAAAACCATAGAATACTTAGTTTTAGTCTAAGGTTTGAAAAGTCATTTTTCGGCTTTATCTTTAGTTGTATGGAAATAACCAAAATGAATTTGTTCTTTCTGTAACTGTGCTTTTTCTTGGTTGTTGTATTGCGGATCCATAAAACACTCTTAACACTAAGGAAAAACCGAAAAAGCATAAGAAAAAAGCTTTTTCATTCCTATTAATTACATTTTGTCTTGACGATGATCATCATCATGCTTTTCATTATAAGTTGATAAATTTCAGTCTCTTGAATCATTTTTTATTTATCACGTGTTTTTGCTTTTTGGCTATCTATTTTCAATTACTGATCCAAAACTTGTTCAAGATCTAATATGGAAGTGGACTATTCATGTCATATAGAGTTGGACGACCTTTGCTATTAGGTATGTTTCTTAAGTGCTTTCTTTGCTTGAATGGCTTATCTAATATTTTATCTAGCAAAAAGCATGAAAAAGATGGCTCTTTTCAAATCTGTTTATGAACGTAAGGATATCTAGGTTTCGTTCACTGTCGCGGATAAAATCATACGATACTTAAGATATACTTTATTTAATCATTTTCAACCAGTGATAAATAATTGACCAAACGTCATGTTTTAATTTGTAGATTGTGAGAACTTGTTTTTTGTATTCCTTTTTGTCATCTTATGTATTCCTAATTAAATGTTTCGAATCATATTCTAGGATCGTAATTATAAGAAGAAATAAATGTGAAACGGTTTAATTAATACAAGAAATGGGTTTATGAAAAGGTTAGGTCACTTGGAAAATACAAACCCGCACAGAAGTCTAAGAGCCAAATTTAGAATATAAACAGTGAATCAACAAATAAATGACATTGAAGCAACCCTTGTATTGTGACTCTATGAGTGTATATATATATATATCGTGTGGTTTATGTAATTAGTCTTCAGATGACATGGACGTTTCAGAAAAAAAGATAAGACACTATAGTAGCAAACACCAAATCCTTCTAGTTGGAGAAGGAGACTTCTCTTTCTCACTATGTCTAGCTTCAGCATTTGGCTCGGCCACAAACATCACAGCGACCTCTCTCGATTCGTTAGGTACTTAGCTTATATAACCCGTTGGCCGTTTTATATTCATCTCAACAGTATTAGAAGATCAACTTGAATCAATAATTAAATCTTACATGCATGTAGATGAACTGGAGCAAAAATTTGTGCATGCGATGGATAACGTATACAAACTGAAGAGATTAGGGTGCGATCTTAAGCACGAGGTTGATGTGCATACGATGAGCTTCGACGATAGTCTGAGCCTACGACGCTTTGACCGCATTGTCTACAATTTCCCTCACGCAGGGTCTCGTTTCTTCGGACGTGAATTCTCCTCTTACGCCATCGAGTAAACATCTACATTAATATATAAACTTTTATTATTATTTCTTTTGATTTGGATCAACCTAATGATGAAACGCTGTGTTTTGTAATCAGGAGTCACCGAGTGCTAGTGCAAGGGTTCCTTGAGAACGCTAAGGAGATGTTGAAAGAGAACGGGGAGATTCATATCACACACAAGACAACGTATCCGTTTAGCGATTGGGAGATCAAGTCTCTGGCTAAAGCAGAAGGTTTGAAGCTGGTTAAGGAGTCCGAGTTCGAGCTGAGTCACTATCCGGGTTATCAAAACAAGAGAGGGAGTGGTGGACGTAGGAGTGATGATCACTTCCCTGTTGGAGAGTGTTCTACTCTCATGTTTATCCAACGAAAACGTTGATTCATGAGTTTCAGTAATCACTTCTCTGAATTTCAGTCTCTTTTTATCATCGTAATAATCAAGTAATTTTGGTTCCACATTATCACCTACTACTGTACCATGTCGCTTTGATTGAAGAATATCTATGCCCAAACCAATAATAAAAGATGCTGTAAAAACAAATAGTCACAAAATTGTTTTCTTGCATAAAAAGTTAAAGAAGTGAAAGTGGATTTCCAAACGTCATGGACACACGTTGAAACTTGAAAGAATGTACATTCGACGACTGGTTTGGTTATCCATAGTCCATACGACATGAATCCACGTTGAGACAATGTAATGTGAATTCATGAGGATTAAGGGCCACCATCAAGAGTCTTAAAACCAAACTCAAGTAACCTCATAGTCTCTAAACTCAAGAGCCTTAAACCTTCCGAAAATGGTGACGCCTTGTTCAAACAGATCTTGTCACGTGCTTGCCCACGAAGACAAACATCGACATCGAAAAGTTGTGCCCAAAAGTCCAAGGTATCAGAACCAATCTCGTCAAGCTACGTGCTAAAGCCTTAGGATATTCAGAGGAATACTACTCAACGGTCTTGGGATCTCTCGAAGACAACCCGCTTCACCATTTAGATCTCTACCCTTACTACACAAACTACCTCAAACTGAGCAAGGTCGAGTTTGATCTCCTCACGCAACACACAAGCCGTGTCCCAACCAAGATCGCCTTCGTGGGCTCCGGTTCGTTGCCCCTCACATCCATCGTCTTGGCTAAGTTTCATCTCCCGAACACGACGTTCCATAACTTCGATCTCGACCCTCAAGCCAATACCCTGGCCTCCCGTCTTGTCTCACGTGACCCCGACCTCTCCGGTCGCATGATCTTTCACACAACGGACATACTCAACGCCACAGAGATTCTACGTGACTTCGACGTGGTTTTCTTGGCATCTCTTGTTGGAGTGGAAAAAGAGGCCAAAGTCAAAGTCATTGAACACTTGGAGAAACACATGGCTCCTGGAGCTTTGCTCATGCTTAGGAGTGCTAAAGGCCTTAGAGCTTTCCTTTATATAGACGTTGATCCTTGTGATCTAAAAGGTTTCGAGGCCTTGGCGATTTATCACCCGTCGTTGTCAGATGGCTTTGTGAACTCGGTGATGGTCGCACGCAAACTCATCGATTGATTAAGCATGAGTGGTTCATTGGAACTCGATCCCTGCCTAAACTTTTTTGTTTTTTTGTATTAAAATTGATTGAAGAATTTTATGAAATGTACCATTGTTTATGAATTGCTTTTTTTTTATATAATACTATCAGTGTGAAATATTTCTAAAAATACGAATACGAATACTCAATGATAATATTCTTGGCGAAATTTAATTGTGGGTTTCTTTATTTTTAGGATCAATGAACAACTTTAACAGTTTGAAACTATACTAAATGATATTTTCGAAAATTAAGAGAGTGGTATTTTTCAAAATGTATAAATTTGTCATATTTCCTCATACCCACCATGAATTTGAGGATCATAATATATCATATTTATAAATCAAATTATTAAAGTACAAGCATAGCAACATCTTGTCGAAACCACCGGAAATCATATCACTTCGCTGGCTCGCTCCAACAACAAGATCCAAGTTGGTACATGATTATGAACATTCGGACGATTTCAAATCCGTCCTATACACATATTACACACACACATATATATATATATATATATATATATATATATATATATATATATATATATATATAGTTCAATAATAAGCCAATCAAAGCTATCCCGTTTCTTGTGACAGATTGTAAAGGAAACAATTATATGGTAGATTTCTACAAAAACAAAACAAGAAATTATTTAGCGGGTGGTCCACATTTAGGTCGGCTAGTAATGTGTTTCAGCTTCGTTGCGACGGTGATTCTGTTTCTGGCGGCTGCGATGGCCAGCTTCTTGGTAGCCGAAGCGATGTGGGTGGCCGGGACATCAGCGCTGAAGGAAGAATGGAGTAGCTGAGACGGTATCGTTGATTGGTGTGTTAGGATAAATAAGTTAGGTCAAAGAATGGAGGCATTACTTGTGGAACAAGGGAAATGATGATTTTCCTCAGGTTCACTCTTCCTAATTAAAAAATGAGAATTGTGTTCCCTCTTTCTCTCATTGTCTCTGTCTTTGTCAATGGTGTTGACTAAATGTATATTAGTTGTTGTTTTCTCTCGCTGCGCTAATTGTGATTATGTCTCTGTCTTCCAATTTTGCTTTGACTGTTTCCATAATCTATATGAATATTTTAAGAAGTTTTGTTAAACACACAATATCCATTTTTCTCCACAGAAAAAAAACCTATATAAAAACCTCAATGGCCAAAGCAATGAATGTACAAGAAATGGAACAATCGGAAAAATCCCAAGTAACATATTATATCCAGTAGTAAGTGCACTTAAACCATAAATGAAAATATGTTACCTTGTTGTACCTTTTAGTCCAAAATTTAGAGACTCGTTTGTGTGTAAAAACTTGATTAGCCGTGGATTTTCACAACAACCCTTTTTGCTGGCATAGAAACGCAGCGTTTTTGGACTAATTCCGGTAACCGAAAGAAATTCACAGGACCACCGAACCGAATCGAGAAACCTGAAAAGAGAAGAGCGAGCGGGCCCGGTCAAGTAGGTAGCCTCACAAATGAAAATGATTAAGAGGCATCCAGCTGGATCCAGAGACCCTCTGAGTCAGTAAGAAGCTTCTTTCGAGCGGTAAAAAATTAAAAAATCAAACCAGGTTACAAGGTTAAAGCAAATGAAAATGAAATCATTCCCACACAGCTATAAAGGCCCAAAACTAAACACAGCAACAAAAAAAAAAAAAAAAATCATCCACCGACGTGTAGATTTTGAGGGCTAAAACTTGTGTGTGCCAGATTCACTACTCCTCTTCTGATCCGCCGCCGCCGCTTACCTCCTCGATCTCCGCCCTTTAGCTCCGTTTATTACTAGGGACTCTTAGTCTTAGTTATAACTCGGTTACAGCAGCTGCTGAGGAAGAAGAAGAAGCCGTCGTCGTGATGATGATGATGACGTCACTCGGTGGTGGTGGTGGAGGAGGCGGAGGAGGTGGTGGTGGCCTTGGTGGTGGAGGGAGATTCGTGACTTATCCACCGCCTCTTTCGGTGCCTCCGTCGGCTCCTCAGTCACCTAACTTCTCTGGTGGTCTCCGATCACAGCCTTCTTTCCTCGTTGAGCAGGAGAAGTAATTTCAAATCTCTCTCCGTCTTCTAGTTGACTTGTTTGTTTGTTTGTTCTACTGATTGGATCCTGAGCTCGTAAATTCTCATCGCAAATCTGATTTTTTTTAAAAAGTTTCTGTTTTTTCATTGATTTTTTTTCATTTCTGATTCTTGTTACTTGTACCGAGATCTATATCTGTTGCTTCCGTTGATTCTCGATATGTTTGAGTTAAGTTTCTTCCTACCTACCACTGCAAATTAAGCTCTTTTAGCTCAGTCTACTTTTAACTCTGCACTGGATTTGGGTAAAGTAAGAAACTTTTAGTTTCTGAATATTAAACCCAGTTTGTCTTTTATCTATTGGGCAATGGATTTTCAGTGCCATAGAATTCATTAGTTGTATTCGGTTTGTGATTGTTGACCTGTCTTAGTGAATGCATGAATCTAGTTAAAAAAATGTGACATTTATATTCGCTTACTAAACGTGATGGTTGAGTGAAATTTGAAAACTTGCTTGGTATCTTGTGTGCTCAAGGTTCATACTGATTCAGATAATCTGCAATTTCCCTTTTGGCAGGTATCTTTCCGAGTTACTTGCAGAGCGTCACAAGCTTACTCCATTCTTGCCCGTGCTTCCACATGTCTGCCGGCTAATGAACCAAGGTAAGCCATATTGCTATGATAAGAACAAATGTTATGATTTCCTTACTTTCCTCATTACACGATTTTTGTTTCTTACTTCAGAACTATACTCTTTATTCATCCGGTAAGCATTTCAGTGGTGCTTCTAAGAGAAATCATTTAGCTACCTGTTAGGAAAAAAAAATATAGCAGAGTAATTGTACAGTCCTAGAAGTAAAACGTTTTACTATCCAAAGAGACAGTTCCTATTTCTTCCCTTACGATGCGTTAAAACATACAATGACATTGCTGGGTGAATTGTGGTCTACTAGAGTTTAAAAATGAATTTTTACTGATGTAGATTTGTTATTTTTTTTTCTGATCTTGTTGCTAAGAATCTGACTTGAAATCCAATTTCTTGGAATTCTTACCCTGAGTTGTATCATAGGAATCTCATGTGTGACCTTCGTATAGATCATATCAAAGTTGGATTGTTGTCCTTGTTTGCTGACTAGATTGTGAAAGTTAATATTCACTAACTTAGTTGAGACTAAGCTGTCCCTCCATTTCAAGATCATTAGTGAAAGATATTTTTGACTAATTCTAACTGGTGCGTCTTACTCTTGAAAATTGACATTTTTTGAAACAGAAATTTTGCGTGTAACCACGCTATTGGAGAATGCCTTAAGTCAGAGTAGGTTTGATCACCCTAGCCCTCTGGCTTCTGGAGGGATATTTCAGAACGCAAGAGCTGACATGAACGGATGGCCCTCACAATTTCCATCAGAAGTATGACTACTAACCATTAACATAACTCTTTTCATCTAATTCATACCATTGCAGTAGAAGCTTCTGTTGACTTAACCTGTACTGACATAACTTGCTTTGCCTTACTTTTAATTGTAGCTCATCATGACAGGTAGTCTTTGTCTTAGGTCAACGCACTAACTAGATACTCCATTGCCTTCAGGAGCCATATAGATGTTAGGTGCAGCTGTGAAGGATTGTATATAGACATGCTCTTATATGTACTATTATTATGTGATTATTATGAATTAGGATAAGTAATTACAGGTTGCTGCTAGCTTGCAACAACGCAATGTATTGCCCTTTTCCGTGGACGAAACATTTGATAAGAATTATTTAAAGTTCTTCTGGTTTTGATGCTGCTATCAAGTCTGTAGTATCTACTTATGCTTTGAGGTTGACATGGTTTCTAACAGGTTGTTGGTTTATCATTTCATTTTGCAGAGATCTGTATCATCATCTCCAGCACCAAACTGGCTAAACTCTCCTGGTAGCTCGTCTGGTCTCATTGTCAAGAGAACAATCAGAGTGGATATTCCAGTCGACAAATACCCAAACGTATGAATCTTCATTTCCTTGCTGAGATCTTAAACTATCTAGCCAATGTATAATAAACTTTCATGGTATAACATGCAGTACAATTTTGTGGGTCGCCTCTTGGGTCCTAGAGGAAACTCCCTCAAACGAGTTGAAGCTAGTACTGACTGCCGAGTTCTGATAAGGGGCAGAGGCAGCATTAAAGATCCAATTAAGGTAATTACCTTTTTCTTTCTGGTCAGATAATGATACGTTATAAATATGTATCTCAATTCCTTGGCATTATTGCAGGAGGATATGATGAGAGGGAAACCAGGGTATGAGCACCTCAATGAACAGCTTCACATCTTAGTCGAGGCAGAGTTACCCATTGAGATAGTGGATGCACGTCTCATGCAAGCTCGTGAAATACTCGACGATCTACTTACTCCAGTGGTTAGTTTACAGCTCTTAAGATCTTAAACCAGAATATTATGCATATTCTTTGTCTATATAATAACAACACTATTTTATTTGTTTTGGCTTGTTTTAGGAGGAAACGCATGATTTCTACAAGAAACAGCAGCTCAGGGAATTGGCTCTTCTCAACGGTAGTCTCCGAGAAGAAGGGTCACCAATGTCTGGTTCCGTCTCTCCTTACAATAGCCTCGGCATGAAGAGAGCCAAGACAAGGGGCTGAAAACACGTTCCAGTTTCAAAATTTATAATTGCCGCTGACACCTTTCCAAGAAGGTATATATGCACACCGTAACCGCTTTCCTTCGAACAAGAAGGCTTTGGAGATACTATCTCCTTCCCATCACTTTCCTCATCTTCCTCGGGCTACCGGTACTGTCTCTTATCCCTGGAATAAAAACAAAAAACAGCCGTCGTATATGAATCTGTGTCTTAGCTTTATTTATCGTGTCCCCCGGAGAGAGTTCAGACGACAGAACTTCAGGCAAAACAAAGGGATGATGAGTCTCTCTGTCTTCCGTCTTTCTCTGTCTCTGTCTCTGTCCCTGTCCGAGGTTAATTTTGGCTTGTTTGCTCTTTTTCTTTCATTTGGTTATGTGGAGACTACTAATAAGCTTTGTTGCTTATAGCCAGTTTTTGAGTAAACACGTAATGGTTTGTGTTTTGGTAATGAATTATTCTGTTTGCATTACATAAAGACATCAACTACATTCTGCAAACACAAACACATCTATATAAATAACTTTGAACCCCACAGTATCAAGCTTTCCCATTGTTGTCATCGTCGTCTTCTTCTTCATTCTCATCTATCCCAACCCACTGTGTAAACGCGAACAAAAACTCTTTAAAGTTCACCATTCCGTTCTTGTCCCAGTCCATTTCCTCTGCAATCATATGATAAAAGCAAAGTCAATATTTCTTGGTGGTTCAATGAAGGAGAATGATGAGAGATCTTTATATACCAAATCTCTTCATTGCAATCCGGCCGGAGGATCGTTCTCCAGATTCATCAATGGCTCGGACCATCTCCTCGCGGCTAACATATCCATCCTTGTTCTCGTCCAAGAACACAAATGTGTCGACCAGCGTCTCAAACGTCGGTTCCAGCTTTGGCATTCCCAGTCTCCATTGCTATTCATCGTCCCAAAAACTCTCAATAAACCAAAACTGCAACATTGGTAATAGAATGTTTTGTGTTTACCTTCTGGAGAGTGGATGAGTCGTCCTTAAGAAGATAGACAAGGCAGAGAAGAACAATGAACTCTGTAAATGTAATCCCCATATCCTCGTTGATATCACAAGCCTTGAACAAATCGCTTATCTCGTCTTCCTCGAACGAGATCTCTAGCTTCCTCAGACAATTCTTAAGCTCTGAATGATCAATCGACCCATTCGAATCGATATCTGCGCAAAGCCAAACAAGTAAACAACCACCATCAAATCATGAGGAAAAAAACAGCCATTTTATAATCTGCGTATGCATTGTACTCACCAAACTCTTGGAAAATGACTTTGCAGTTTCGAAGACCATCATCGATCTTGGGGAACTTGAGAACAATACTGTTGAAAGATTTCATTGTGGTGCCTCTCGATGCCCTGCGTTGCACGGCTTCTATGATTTTAGCCTCTAGCTTTGTCTCTGGAACCCATTCCTTTTGCAGAGCTTCAGATTTCGTCACCGCAGCTCCCATTTCTCTGTTGATTTGCTTTTGCTTTTAGATCAGATCGTAGATTCACCCGCCAGACAAATCTAGTTTCTTGCAAGACAAGGCAGCTTAATGTCTTGATTAGACAGAAGAAGAATGCTGTTTGATGATGATTCCAAAATTAACAAAAGAACAAAAAAACAGATCTACTTAGAGATTCAAGAAATGATGACGAGAACATAAAAACTAAATCGAGAAACATAACATATAAATTGACAAGTATCACATCAGACTATAAATGTCACAAGAATCAGGACGAAAGGAAAAAGACAGAAAGAAGAGAAGAAACCTGTATTGATTGTCTTGTTTGTCACGAGATCAAAACACAATGTCAGATTTGTTTATTGTTATTGTTTACCAGGAAAACCAAAAAATATTGGATGTTTGAGAAGAAGAATTGAAGGAGTTTTTGTAATGGCCGTGAAGAACGCTGAAGATTCCACGTAATTGCGTGTCTATAAAAACGCTTCTTAATTTGTCTCATCTATTGTTATTTTAACATTAACTCCTGCATCTTCTCAGACTTTTCCTCCATCTTATTATTTGTTTAGTTTAGAAAAACGAAAATGGTTATTTAATTATAATTAAAAAGTATTAGATCCGGTTTAACTGGTCAAACCCCGGCTAGACCGTAACCTAATTACTCATTTCAGTTGATCAACCGGTATGGTTTCTAAAACCAATATTCTAACTTTTACCACATACTGTATGTGTATATTACGTCCATATTACTGATCATAGTATCATACAGTTTCTTATTTTAGTATCTCAAATCCGGATATATAATTTCAGTCTCTTGTCATCTTTTTCTGACATTCGCTTACATGTTACATATGATTTATTTGGGGGCTAACAACATATTTTCTATAACACAAATTATTTTAGATAAAAACACAAAAATTAAATTCAACTAATCTAAAAAAACTGCAGAATGTATAACTGGCCACCCAGTATCCTATAAAGTAAAGTTGTATAAAAATGTGAAAACAATTTATATTTTGATGTTGGGTTGCCTGAAATGATCAGAGCTTAGTCAAGTGATAATGTGTTCTCCTCGACGGACGGGAGACTTCTCATACGGAATGAGAACCAAAAGAAAATATAAAACAGAGTAGCAATTTGTCATCATCATTCCTCTTGACTTGTTGAAAATATTACTGCAAACATATGTTTTTATGGTCAGAAATGAGAGGTTTATCCTCAAGGAAATCAGCAAAAGAGTATGATTCGTTTACTGATTTTTGGTCCAAAGTATTTCCGCTACTTAAATGTATCGTTGGAGTCAAACAACAAATTTGTATTTGCACTATTTTTTATTATGTTTTACTTTTAAATGCGCACAATAAACCATTTGTTTTGTATCCTACGCGGAGATGCAATTTTCATTGTTGCAATCTCGAACTAAGTTATTTTATCAATCAGTTGTTAAAAAAAAAAAAAGTTATTTTATCAATCTATAAATCATTAGTCCTCTTTAATGAAACAAGTGATTTGATTATGTGTTCTTACTTTAGTAGGAAAGATCTTTTCTTAGACTATCATCGTCTCAAATTGGTGGCGTTTTGAAAGAATTATATATTTGTTGTTGTTATGAAATAAACATTAAATGTTTTATCGGTTACTTTAGTTGTTTTCTTGTTTAACTGATTTAGGCGCGCGTTTTCAAAACAACTACCGTTTCAATTTTGGTAGACTTTAATTTCACATCTAATATAGTTTCACCATAACTCTTTTCTTTAAGTATTCCCCATTCTACAGTTTCGGTCTCTTGTAACAACAATGTCATGGAGATGAAATTATTATTATTTTTCATGGCATTATTGGTAACTCTCTCATCTTCAAGTTCCATATTGGGTACGTTTATTTTGTTTCTTCATTTTGTTCGCCACAAATTTGTTTCATTAACAAATATGGAGATGGTGATAATCTATTGGGTAGCTTTATGTAGATAGTGTCTTCGAATCTCATACCTCAGTTAGTGGTAGGAGCCTCCTTAATGCCAAGAAAAGTAAGTATCCTCATCCTTTTAATTTGTTGGTCAGATGTGGTCATTTACTTAGAATATCAAGTTTGTGTGGTGACACTCTTCCACTCTTGTTCTTTTTTTATTGTTTTTTGGAACAGAATGTGAAGTGAGCTTTGAATATATGGACTACAAGGTGATCACGAGTCGGTGCCAAGGTCCAGCGTTTCCGGCAGAAGAATGTTGCTCGGCGTTTAAAGAGTTTGCATGTCCTTACGTGAATCAGATCAACGACATGAACAGTGATTGTGCAAAGACAATGTTCAGCTACTTGAACATTTACGGAAACTATCCTCCTGGTCTTTTCGCCAACGAGTGCAAAGAAACGAAAGTTGGACTTCTTTGCCATTCTCCACCTCTCAGTTCCCCAAACGCTTCAAACGCTGATTCGACCACTCCTCGTCTCATCACATTGTTGATCTCTACTGTTCTAGCTTTTCTAGTGTTGGCTTTGATGTAACTAACGACGCCACAAGATTTATAGTGTTGGCTTTGATAAAGAATGTTTTAGGGATTGAACAGAGAAGATGAAAAACTGAACAGAGGACCTTGGGATGCACGTTTATCTTAAATTGTATAAAATCAAATCTTTTTGGACTTCCCACGGTAAAATTTATTTTCTTGATCTAATTTTTCAAAAGAAAAAGGTAACTTTGTCCTTTCGCTTTTTTTTTTAAAAAACCGAAGTATCTCCAAAAATTTAAGACTAATAAAAGTCGAGATGACTTTGACTTTGATTTTGAAAAACTGTTTCGAGACTGAAGTGTTCAGACACTTGTCTTGTAATGAATGGTTTCATTTATTTTTGCTCAAAGAAATTAGAGGAACAACAAAAGTATAGCAAAGGAAGATCCGAACCCTAGACGAAGGAGTTATCGAGAGAGGTATTTCATACTTTCTGATCACTTACTGCGTTTTAAATTACTGTTTCTAAGGATTTCTTGGTTGTTGATCATGATGATGCTCTACTTAATCTGCATCTAGTTTTTACTGATTTTTTTTTTTTTGTCAGTTCTGTAAACAAATTGATCATCTCTCATCTCCATGGTCTCACGGTGAAGACGCTGAAGCTGAGTATATGGATAATATGATGAATGAAGAAGAAGATGAGAATGATCTGTATTCTAATGATACGACTGCTGCTCAAGCTCTTGATGGAAAGGACATTCAGGGAATTCCATGGGATGTATTAAGCATCACCAGAGAAAACTACAGAAAAAATAGGCTACAATCTTATAAAAACTTTGAAAATATTCCAAACTCAGGCCAAGCATCTGGAAAGGTTTCAGTTGCATTTTCATGTTTATCCATTCATAAAACTTCTCTTGCATTGATTTTCTCAAATCTGATTTTTGGAAAACCAGGACTGTACCAATTCTGAGAAAGGAAGCTCTTTCTATATGTTCAAGAAGAATTTTAGATCCGTGAAATCGACTATACCCCATTTTCAGGTGTGTCTAATGCTCCTTCTGCATCTATTTTTCATCTCTAAATTGTACAAGTAAGATCTTGATTTTCTTTTCCTTTTGCAGCTGAGGGATTTGGTATGGGCTACATCTAACCATGATGTTTACTTGATGTCGCACTACTCTATCACACATTGGTCTTCTTTAACAAGAAGCGTGAATGAAGTTCTTAATCTTGCTGGCCATGTGGCTCCATCTGAGGTTCTCAGCTTATCTCTCAAACCGTATCTTAAAATCATTCTCAGTTTCAACTTATTTTGACTTTGTATCTTTTCACTTCTTTCTTGATTTAATTCTCAATTTCCAGGAACATCCTGGAAGTTTGTTGGAAGGATTTACAAAACCACAAGGTACCACTCTGGCAGTGAAATATGGGATGGTAGTTGCTGGTGGTCTTTCTGGAGAACTCATTTGCAAGGTTAGTTTAAAATGAAATGTTTGGCTGATGATTCATGTATAGAAGAAGCTGCTTTTGAAATCATGTTCTCTCCTTTTTTTTTGGCTGAATCCAGCATCTTGATAGACCTGGTGTGAGCTTCTGCTACCGTATAACTTGTGAAGGAAAAGCCATAACTAAGGCAGTTGATATACACAAAAGCTCCAGGTATGATCACTTCTCCTTGGTATTAGTTTGAATGTTTTTGTCCTTCCCAGTTTAGCAATGGAGTTCCTTTAAAAACAATCCTTTTACAGCGGAGCACTTCATTTCATGGCCTCAAGCAATGATTGTGGAGTCAGAAACTTTGATATGGAAAGATATCAGCTTGTCCATCACTTCCACTATCCATGGCCGGTGAATGTGAGTTTAATCTATCATCTTGACCTTCTTGTGCCACATTTGAGTCGTCTTATATATGTAAAGAAAATATTGGCAGCGTTCCTCTGTTAGCCCTGATGGGAAATTAGTAGCAATCGTCGGAGATGATCCAGATGGTTTGTTGGTGGACTCTAACAACGGAGAGGTATATTTTAACATATTTTCAGCTACTTACTTACTGTCTCAGGAATGCATCAATGGAGAAGTCTCATACTCTTTGTGTGTTTGAGCTTTCCAGACGGTGGGGAAGCTAAATGGTCACTTGGATTATTCTTTTGCATCGGCTTGGCATCCCAATGGAGTGACCTTTGCCACAGGGAACCAAGACAAGACCTGCCGTGTATGGGACGTAAGGAATCTCTCTGAATCTGTAGCTGTCTTAAAGGGCAACCTCGGAGCCATCCGCTCGATCAGGTTCTCTTCTGATGGCCAGTACATGGCCATGTCTGAGCCCGCAGACTTCGTGCACATATATGACACCAACACAGGATACAGTAAGAAGCAAGAGATCGATTTCTTTGGGGAGATATCCGGAATTTCTTTCAGTCCAGACACTGAGTCTCTGTTCATCGGCATATGGGACCGATCATACGGCAGTCTCATGGAGTACACTCGAGCCAGTGTAATAATAATCAATCTCTCATATCTTGTCTTGATTAGGTTTCAGTTTCTTATTATGGCTTATCTTTCTTCTTCAGGTTGCAGGAAGTGCACTCTGATCTCAGATCTTCTATAGAATCATCTATCTAAATAAGAATACTAAAAAACTGTTCTCTGCTTTGATGTATTTCATCTCCATTTTTTTGTTCTTTTAACTACTTGTCAATCCAAAAGAAGAAGCTAGACTTATCTTGATGAAATCTATAACCAGAGACAAAACTTATCTAGCCAAAAATGTTAACAGGAAATGTGAAAAGCCTTCAAAATAAAAAAACAAACTCGGTTTGCATCAAAAAACCAAATGTCATGTGGGTACAACAACATCCTCCGACTCCGGCAACAATTGAGACATGAACAACGAAACTGCTGTTAGCAACAATACTAACTGTATAAGGAAGCATGAAGTCATCTTACACGCTCTCTTCTTGATGGTGCCAGTGGCTTCTACGCACTCGTTTTGCATGTCTTGAGCTCTGTTCGTTAGATTTGCAGCCTTCGTTTCTACTTCTTCGAGCTTGTTCAGCGTCTCATGAGCTTGCTCTTCTGCTAACGACTCTTGCTCTTCAACCAGCTTCATCTGACTGTTCAAACTATCAATTGATCTTGAATATATCAGATATTCAATCTCGGCCTCTACTCTTTCCCGGAAGATATCTTCCACCACAGCCTCTGTTCCTCTTCCTCCCCATGAATGTTTGTCTTGGTTCGTGGTGGATTCAAGCTCACGGATGTGTGATTCTTTCACCTCAAGCATGGACATTGTTTCCTCTAGCTTGATCTCCAGTTGTTCAACATTGTTCACAAGAGCTACAATCTCCGAACGAGGCGAGATTACTTCTTTAGCTCCTTCATGAGGTTGTGGCACTGGTTCCTTCCCAATCTCCTGAAATCGCTGAACCTCTACAAATGAAATTGCATCAAGACTCACATTAAACTTGATAAGCATTATCATTGCAGACTCCTAACAAGAAACTGGAATTGAAACACATCAGTAAAACTAATCCAAGTCTAGTTACCTTTCTCAAGAACTTCTTGCAAGTTGAGGAAACCATTCATGGCCTCTGCTAATTCCTCTGAAGAAAGATCGTTCTTGTTTGTCGTCTCTTCATCTTTTCTATTCGAAGTTTCTCCAACTTCATCGCCGTTTTCTCCATTGTAGTCCATCAGTCTCCCACTCTGCTTTCTTGAGTCAGATTCCAAGCTGGAATGAGAGTCTTCTTTCTCAACACTTTCTCCTCTATGCTTCTTAATAATCTCTCCCGGACTTTTCCCTCTAATCACTGCCTTCTCATACCTAATAGCCTTAGTGGCTCTTGCAGCCGTCGAGGACTTGCTACTCCGATCATCATCATCCTCTCCTAAATCCACACCAGCTGAAAAACCAACCCCAGCCACAAACCTAGAATCGTAACCACTCCCAAATATCTCAAACCCATCACCGGAATTTCTCATCATGTTCACAGACCCAACAGATCCCTGACTCTCTTGTTCGACTTCCGGCGACTGAAACGCCATTTGTTTACCGAGTGAGTGAGCAGAACCAGACAACCCTCTCTTCAGAACTTTACTATTCTCCATGTTCGCAGGCGTGTCTTTAACAAGGTCTCTCCTTATCCGCCTCCATTTTCTTAAACCACGCCCCTTTGAAACCGGAGAGTAGGAATCAAAATTCATCGGTTTACCGATTTCAACATTTGTTTCGTTCTCAGTACTTCTTCTCGGTGAAGAAGTCGAAACAAGTTTCACACTTTCATCTGAGAACGAACCGTTATCCAAACTCCGACCATCATCATCATCGGCAACGTTGATGGCACCTTGTTGGCTCAAACCATTATCATCAACAGACTCAAGCGCAGAGCTTTCACTCTCCAAATCCATGGATCTCCCCCAAAATCCCAAATTTCCAAAATCACATTCGGAATCAAATATCAAAACCGAAAATCATCATTTCCAGAAGTAACGGGAGCTCGAAATCAATATCCCCAAACCTGGGAAAAAATCGGCGATCCTAAATTCAATGATACGAAAGCAAAAGTCAACCCACCAAGTTACAACAAATCATTCGTTCCTTCACTGTTAAACACAATGGAAGAAGCTCTAAAATTTCCTACCACGAACAATCTACTGGATCAAGAAGAACACGTGAGAGGAGGAATGATTCAAAAATATACAAAACCCAGCTCAATGGAAGAACAGAAAAAAATCGAAACTTTGGGCTTAGGGTACGCAAGAGAACGTAAAGCCGACTCCCGAAAAGAAAAAAATGAGATCAAAGGAGAATGAAAACCCTAATCCGATGATCGGATTCGCAGATCTGTACCCGTTCAATGTGGAAAGTTTCGTTGCAGGAAAAGGTTACTTTTTTTATTTCTTTTTTTCCCTCACGATCAAAGGAAAAAAAAACATAGACGACGTGTGGGTGGTTGACATAAAACACGTGGTACACTAAAATCGTTTGCCCTCCTCTCTCAGCTACAAGTTAGTCATTTATGACTGTCGGATTCGACATCCTCGTATAGATACCGTTAAATATATTTCTCTCTCTCATGGAAGATATAATTCTTCTTTTCCATCGTTATATGAATTTTATTTGTATGTATCAAATTTCAACTACCTAAAACATGAGTAGTAGTAGACAGAGGATTACAAGGGTACAATCATAGAACACATAAACGTCTTTAGATATTACATCTGCGACTGAGAGGATTAGCACAAACGAAATGGCTACTACACAGACAGATAAACATAATTAAGAAGAAAAAGAAAAAAAGCGAATCAGAAAGGCTTCTCGTAGCCTCGAGCCGGAGGCTGGTCCCAAGTTTGCAAGAATGCTGCAACAAACACAGATAATGAATGAATGAAGCAAGCTCTTAAAGAAGCTAAGTGAAATAAACAACTGATGATTTGTTGTGGACTTACTCAATGGTATTTCTCCGAGTGACATGAATATCGAATCATCATCTGTATTATTATTTTGTACTTGCTCATTCCCAAGAGCACCCTGAGATGGTTTTTAAAGGAAGTTAGCACCAAAACACATTCTATGTGACCTAATAACACTCAACAAGAAGAGTAAAGTACCTCTCTGTCTTGTAAGCCAACAGCGTTATCCTGTGGTACACTACTGATTCCCTGGTTTATTGGAGGAACGTTACCAAAGGAATCAAGAAACTCTACCATCATTAGCCCTTCATTGTAATCTGGAACATCATCGATGCCCATGTATGGACCAGCTTCTTGCCTGTTACACATTTTAGTCAAAAACCACATTAGCCACAATATAAAAGATGTGTGTATATAAAGTGTAGAGTAGAGTGAGACTTATTAGCCGTACTTTCTTCCAGGATCATTGCGGGACTTGACCACATCTGGCGAATCATCGTTGTCCAAATCAATCACTTCTACCTCTTTACCATTGCTCATCCGAGTATTAGTACCGAACTCAAGAGATTTACTACAGCTGTTGATTGAGAGATCAAAATCAACAGCTTGACCAGAGTTTTTTTTGCTATCATTCACATCCGATGCTCCTCCTAGATTTAGGTCACAGATCTTAAAGGAAGCAGGAAACAGCTGACGTTCTTCAGCATACCCTGGACCTGATTTGCCAGAGTGCATCCTATTGCGCATAGAGTTATTAGCCAGACTTTCATGGCTCACCATCCTTCCAGCAGCAGCGTCGGTCATTCTCCTGTTGAATGAGCTCATCTTTTCTTCTTCTTCCGGACCGCTTTGAGTTTCGCTTGTTTTAAACATGTTGAAGCGGTCGTTGTCTTCAGAAACTGGCAAAGGCACCCACTCTCTCTGTCTTTTTGCTCCCTCCTCCAAGTCACTGCCTTCAGCAGCTCTCTTCTCGCCTGCTTTCCCCACGGAAAGTGATCTGTGCAGATTAGGCAATTCTAATCCTGAATCTTTCTCACTATCGTCCCTGAGATTGCTACTAGGGAAAGAATTAGACCTGTGACATTTACTGTTCTCAACGAATTGAACAAGAGGCAAATGATCATCTTGGTCGTCATAATCTTCTTCACCAGTACTATCAGCCTTTCCAGATGACTGGCCTCGAGCCTCACATAGATTTTCGGTTTGATCTTCTTCTACAAGTCCAGAATTATGAGAGGTTTCCATGACTGTTTGACCCATATAAAGCTTTAGGCCTTTCGCAGTCAGAGAAGAGCGTGTCCTCGTAGGCACCTTCTCAAATTTACACAGCGTTGCCAAATCAATACCACTCTCACTGAATGGTTCATCAGCATCCATAGATGCATCTTCAGAACGTTGATGGACAGATGCATCTTCGATAGCAGTGTCGTTCTCATTACCACCTTTCATCTCTCCTGATCCAGCACTCATGCTAGAAGAACCTTCAGATACTTTTGAGATTTCACAACAATCCTGTACTATCTCTTTGCCACCACTCGAGGAACATGTCTTAGACTGTGCCTCATCCTGGAGATTGTACTTGTCAGTGACAGACTCCGAATCACCAGCTCCTTCACGCTTCCTCATAAACTCTCCAGAGCCAGACCGCTGAACCGAGCTAGCAATATCTTCCACAAGTGGCTGCTCTTCTCTATGCCCTGACACAGAGTCATCACCAGCCTCCACCTCAAAACCTCTACTTCTCTCTGACCAAGATCCACTCCTCCCGAACTCCGAGTCAAAACGATGAGACCTCCTGTTCCTGGAGCCAGATGAGCTATAACCATCAACATACCTCCTTCTATCCCCAGCCGAAACATCCACTCGAGCTGCTGCTTCTTCTGACCTACTAGAGCTCTGAAACTCACCAGCCTGCTTCCTGAAACTACCATTCTCCCTGGAGAGCACAGTTTGTGGTAGAGCACCCTGAGAAACCAAGTACTCTGTTGCTAGACGACCTGCCTCCATTAAAACGTCGTCAACACCACCACCACCACCGCTTCGACGATGAACCGTTGGAGGAGGCAGAGGCGGAGGCAGCTGATTCTGGTATGACTTTGAGCGTCCTCTTCCTCGTCCATATCCACGGTTAAACCCTCCACGGTAGTGATGGTGATCAGAACCATAGAACCCATGCCCTCTCATAGGACGGTCAGGGGACATTCTAGAACCAGACATCCCCATTCCAAACGAACCAGATCTGTACCCATTTCCAACATTCCGTTGCCTACCATGCATCTTCGTCCTCTTAACTATACAAACACCTAATAAATACTACTAATTCCAAGGAATCACAATGGCAGTGAAACCATTTGTCTCAAAATAACAACTTCAGAGGACTCAAATTTAGTCGCGTCTGGTAGAAACTAAGAACAGAGCAGCCTTTTAACTCTTCGAAACAATCCTTCTTCAGTCACAGCAAACAAAAAATGACAGAAATGAAGCGAAACGATGGATCTCGAGTTCCAGATTCGGCAAAGATCTAACCTCTATCTTACTGAATCCGACGAAATTGGGTCCTCTGGTACGATTCCGTAGGAGGAAAGGAAAACATGATCTGATTGGGAGAGTTAACGGTCATTTACACTTGAGTTCTTCTTCTATAAGAACCCTAGAAATTCCCCAGGAACCAGATGGATTTTCAGTCAAAACAAATCACGGCGAAATGAATTCAGGATATAAATATTCCGATCTAGTGTCTCCGATGATGAAGAACACGGCGCATTTGTTTCAGTTCTCCAGATTTCGGCGGCGAAAAATCCTGAACTGTGATTCCGATTTGGGATTTTCGCATATTTATTTGCGTCGCTAAAAGTTTTCTCATACGATATTTAGCAAAGACGGGAAAAGCATGATGTCGCCACGTCAGATTTTATAGTAAACTGGCACTAAGTTTATCTACGCATCACGCGCCCTACTTAGCGCGTGAATTACACTCTAGTGCACACTATCTCCTTTCTCTCACTCTCTCTCTCGAACACAGACCAATTGTGCGTCTGCTTTAGTTTGGAGTTGGACCAATCACATACGATTAACGATTTAAGATATTTTTTGTCTGTCTTCCAAACTTTTCTTATGGGAAAGATTAGGTGAATAGCCCAATTTGGAAACTAAAATGAAGAATACAGCTTGTATGTTTCTGTAATTATTCTCTTTTGTTAACTTAGTAATTTGGTATAACCTTGAATTGACTACTCAAATATTTTTAACGTGTTTGAATAGAAATTTGTTTAATTAGTCAAATCATTTTTTTTCTTTTTTACCATATCAGAAATGTTTATCTTATTTTTATCATCCAAGTAGGCTCGTGGAGCAAAAGCATTTTTATCTTTTAGATTCCAAACGATGAAACATCCACCGCCCGATATACATCCAAGTAGAATCCAGACAAGAAGTTGTGCACGGTGGCCATTGCTATATCTGAAGATCGGTAAACGTTCGTTCACATGAAACAAACCCTAGCAGGCAATCCCCCAACTCAACCTAGTTTTTTGGACCTTTTCTCACTTGTTTTCTTATATGGACCTCCGGGCCTTTAATCCTACTCTCTTTTTTCCTTTTTGCTTTTAAAAAAAATAATAATAATGAACTAAACTGTAAAAAAACAATTAAAATTGTCTCCATCTTTACTTCATTGAAATATAATTGCTGTAAACGAAACCTGTCAAAATATGCTCATAAGAATAACCACAAGAAACAAAATATAGAAGAGTTATATACCTCAAACTCTTACCAGTACTGATTCCATCAAAAGTCCTAGATCCCACATATATCTAAACCCAATACACACATGCATTTATTAACTGATATACCTTTTTGAAGGATATACTAATACAATGATGAATAATCACAGAAACTAATAGTTTGCAAGAATTGTAATTACTTATAGAAAAACAGATGAATAATTCTATATTTTCCCCTATGTGAAAAATTTAATATAAATTTTTGATTTTTAAGTTTTTAGTCCCATGCATTCTCCTCTCATTCTTCATCGATTAGTGGAATGATTTTCAACATAATATTTTTCCTTCCCATGATCGATTCGCAACGAGATATATATCATATGTGGTGTGGAATAAAGTTTTCAAATTTTTCATCCTAACTGGTAACAAACTACTTACATTTATGTGGAATATCCGCTTAATAAGGGATCCAGTTGCAGTATATCATCAACGTCCATTTTTTTGTAATTCATATTTACCTAAGCGCCAAGTAATCTTTTTCTCTTTCTCAATAATACACGGAGTGATAAAATATAGTTATATACTAATACGTCATAACTAACTTTTTATGTGTTTACTTGATTTGTAACCATCGTAAGTTTATCCATAACTTATGAGTCTATGACTATGAGTTAGGCTATTAGTCTATATTGGTTTAGGTTGATGTATATATCTTTTTTGAGCAAATATGATGTATATATCTAAGATAAAGAAATATCGCGTATATCTCTTATTTGAGTTATGTATGTCGTATATCGTAAATGACTCACTAATGTATATGATCACACAATGAATAGAACAACAAACCAACTTTCAATTCATTGTCGATTTTAAGTCCACGATCTTGTTGGCCAAAACAACAACAACAAAAGTACACGACTTGAAATGAAACGATAAAACGTAGTAATTATACAATTTATTCTCTCAGCAAAATCAGAACTATTTGAAACCAGTAATGAAAAACTCTTAACAAGTGAGCTAACAAACTGGCGAAAGGATAAAATAGAATTTATAGTGGTTGGAATATTTTTGACAATTTGACGTCCCTTAAATAGAATTGTTTAACTTAATCACTTCTACACTAAAAATAGTTCGTAGATTATATTTTTTTGTTCCATGTTTTTCTAACCACTATAGTAAAACCAACAAAAACGTGCATTGCATTTACATACCTTCAAGCTGAGTTTAAATATTTAGACTATGCTATTTGTGAGACAATGTAAAGGCTTTTTTATAGGTATTTGGCAGAACCTAAATTTGGCAATAATATCCCGTTTTTAGTGTGAAGAGTTGAAGGATAATTCGTTTTAGATCACATGTATACGTAAAGGGCTCATGGTATCATTGTTTGATTTATGCGTGGCGTTGCATAGACAATAAATAGGTATCAGTATGTGGAGAACAGTAATCGTCGTTACCAACTTACCATTAGAGTTAAACGATAAGATCTCAAACCAAACGTCCCGCAAGCACACTCCTTTGAGTTAAAATTGATATAATTTCGATACGACCCTATGAGAAAACACTAATTCTTAGATATTTCTTTTATAATTGTACACATATATTTTGAAATTTGTAGAAAGCACGAATGTAAAGTATAAAATTCATTTTATAGCTCAAACTCAAGACTGATTTTAATGTATGTATGTATAGCTGGTGGGATAAAACACAAGCACTGTGTGATTTTTTTCTAGATAAAAATATAAAGAGGTTATAATTCTAAAAAATAGCTAAGTTTTTTGTTAATTTTATTGGGATACATTGTAGAAATAAAAATTTGAACCTTTTTGTTTGGATTGTGAGAAAGTTAAGGAGAAAAATTATCTAACCAATCCACTATTCATTGTGTTTAGGGAAAACGATATTCAAGAGAGAGATAGATTTCTTCTTTTACGATTGGTTCATTTTCTGTGATCAGAAAGACAGAGATAGGAAGAGGAAAAGAGAGCTGTCCCTTGTTCCGATCTCTCTTACAGTACTAAACGGCACAAAACACATATGATCCGTGTCGTTTTATATTAATCAGGTAATTATATAATCACTCTCATCTCCATCATTGTGCATTTTTCTCAAGAGTTGTAATGTTGCTTTTTTTGGATCATTATAATATCACCTTTAACTTGCATCTTATTACCAGAAGCTACTGTTCTTAAAGTCTGTTATAAATATTTTATACTTAATCCACACACACAAAAAAAATAAAAAAAATTCAAGTTACTGTTCTGTCTCGATTTTGTGAGATTTCTTTTGAACTTTTGAGGCATATAATGTCTTTGTGTATGTCTTTTAGTCACTTCATTCTTTACATTAGCACATTTCAGGTTTGAAGCTGAATTTTGGATTTGGTAATGGCTGGTTATGATGATACAATTGCTGTGATGGGAGAATGGTTAGACTGTAGTCCTAACCACAAGAAGAGATCGAAAGCAGAACTTGACAGAGAGGTTTCTTTACACGACATCAAGAAAGAGGATTCTCGGCAAACCAGCTTTCAAGAGAAACCAAGTTATTCACGAGGTGGTCTTAGTGAAAGGATTGCTGCAAGAGCCGGGTTTAACATACCAAGGTTAAAAACTGAGAATATTCTTCAGTCTCCTCCATGTTTAACCATCTCTTCTCCTGGTCTTAGTCCGACAACTCTGCTTGAGTCTCCTGTTTTCCTCTCAAACCATTTGGTAAGTTTTATCCTTCTTCAACATTTCTCTTTGGTGGATCCGTGTCTCTGATCACTTTTGGTAACCACAGATATCTCCAACAACCGGAAAGCTCTCATCACTACCTTGTGATGAAACTAAAGACGAGATCTTTGACGACATTGCCACTTCCTTAACCTTCCAATCCATTTCAATAAAGAGCCTTGATGATTCTATGAACATCGGCGTAGAAACTGATGATTCAGTAAGGAGCCTTGATGATTCTATGAACATCGGCTTAGAAGCTGATGATTCTTCCCAAGAATATGAGCAAAGACAGCTAACCACCGGTTTAGGAGACTCTATGTCTAGTGGTGCACCAGCAGATGATGGATACAACTGGAGAAAATACGGACAGAAGCTAGTCAAAGGAAGCGAGTATCCGCGTAGCTACTACAAGTGCACGCACCCGACTTGTGAGGTCAAGAAGAAGGTGGAACGGTCCAGAGAAGGTCATATCACAGAGATCATATACGCAAGAGCACATAATCATCCCAAACCTCAACCTAACCGCCGCTCAGGGATTGGATCATCCGGTACAGGCCTTGACACGCAAGTAGATGGAACTGAACAAGAAGGGTTTGGTGGTAACAATGAGAACGTGGAATGGACATCACCTGTATCTGCAGAGCTCGAATATGGAAGCAACTCTGGATCAATGCAGGTTCAAAGCGGGGCTCAGTGTTGGTATGGTGATGCATCAGCAGCTGATGTCTTCTCTAGAGATGAAGATCATGAAGAAGATCGGACTTACCACATGAGTGTTACGCAGGGTTACAACGGAGAAGTAGATGAATCCGAGTCAAAGAGAAGGTTAGAAAAAGTGTTGTTGCTCTAGTTGTAACCATTAAAATACTAAGAAGACAAAACGTTCTGACTTCTCTGTTGCTATTATTAACGTGTTCAGGAAACTTGAAGCATATCCAACGGAAATGAGTGGATCAATCCGAGCCACACGTGAGCCTAAAGTAGTGGTGCAGACCAAAAGTGACATTGACATACTCGAAGATGGTTATCGCTGGCGCAAGTATGGGCAAAAAGTCGTCAAAGGAAACCCAAATCCAAGGTTCTTTTTGTACTCAAAATGCTCTCTGTTCTTGTTCTCTCCCTCTGTTGCAGCCTCACAATTTGTTTTTCTATGTAATGTTTCAGGAGTTACTATAAATGCACAGCTAGTGGATGCATCGTAACAAAGCATGTGGAGAGAGCTTCTGATGACCTCACGTCCGTGTTAACCACTTACATAGGCAAGCACACTCATGAAGTACCAGCAGCGCGCAACAGCAGCAATGTCAGTTCAGGCGGCTCAGGGATCCTCCAAGGAAGTTTAGCTGCTCAGACCAACAACCACCGTGTGCACTATCCAGCGCCGCCACACAGTAGATCTGAGGGACTGGTCACAGCCAACTCATCACTGTTCGACTTCCAGTCACACCTGAGGCCTCCTTCGGGTTACTCGGTTTACCAAACTGAGTTTTCGGATCTTTCGATGGATATGGGGCAAGAGGAGCTTCACGGCCTGCAAGTGCCTGCCGTTGGAGATCAAGCCGGACTGATATACCAGTTAGCAGGAGAGCCGAAGGTTGAGCCAGTGTCACAACAGGGACTAGGATTGTCGAGTAGCGCACTGATTTACAGAGATATAATGAGTAGATTACCACAGATATGAAACAATCCTCTTTGTTCACTGACTGGTTTCTTATTTTTGAATAAAATGGTTATGGCGTTTGAAGGAAGGTAGAAAATGATATGTTTTCAAACTACTGTCGCAAGATTTAGAAGATAAGAATATAAAAAAATAATCCAAACTTTTGTCTAAACAAGACTTCCTTAATCGAAACTTTAGAATTTTGTCAAAACAAGACTTCATCAAAGACAAAAACGCCTTTCGAGTTGTAAATATCTCTTAGGAACCGCAAAAGAAGGGAGTTAACGCTGAAACTAATCTTTACATGAATGCAGTCCTGCCGCCTCTTCGACTGGTTTTTTCGTATGCAGTGTTGAATTTGTCAACCATCTCGTTCATGTTGCTGCAGTTTGAAACAAAAAAAAAGTGAGAAATCAAATAGAGAAAGGAATCTACTAAAACTTTTCTTAAGGTTGTGATTGACACAGATTAGTCAAAGGTATACAGTGACATGTTTATATTCCCTTAGCCCCTATAAGCTAACTATCTTAACTACTATAACAAGCAAGGTCCTAGATTTAGTTCCTAAGTCCATCATTGTTCTTCAAGTGGAGTATTCATTGTAGAGCACATACCTGGCACAGTTCGTGAGCATCGCTAGGTAAGACATCAGCAATTTGTCGTTGTACTCCTGGAAAAGAAAAGAACATCATCATATAATAATTCTCAACAGCAAGGTACATTAAGAATTTCAGAGAACCGGATGTCACTTTTCTAACCAACATTGTAAGGAAAAAGTTAAGGCACTACTTACCATCAAGAAATCATCATGAAACTTTTCTGACTGTGCAGCAGGCAAACTTCTGAGCAGGCTAGATACTTGTCTCAGGAGTGAGTTCTCGAAAGGTATGTCACCTAGATGTAGAATCACACAAAGTCATTAGTACCTTAGAGACCCTTAGTACCTAATGTGCATAACTACATTACTTTTTGCTCAATATTATCTTGTAACCCCTTTTTATTCCTTCTTCACCGTAGTGAAACAAATCAATAAATATATTCCAGCTAGAGTCCAGGACTTGTCACAAAAACTCAATGAACAAACTGAAAGTGGAGACTTGAGAAAGTAAACAACATACCTTTATGCATTGCGAGAAGATATTGATAGAGCACTCTGATTCTGCTACTAAGCATCTTGATAGCACTATGTATGCCAGTAAGATGAGCCGCCACTGCACAAACATGGAGGAATCAACCAAAGTTCCATTCAAAATAAAAGGATTATGATATATATACGAAGGGTATAGTAAGGCTTACATTGAGTCGCTGCTGAGCCTCCATCAGATGGCTTAAGATGTGCAACATGATCAACCGATATTCTTTCAGCTTCGACTGTCTACACACATTGCAATCACTTATAACAGGTCCACTCTCATATCATATAGATAGATTACAGATTAAGCAGCCTTAGCGCATACCTCAATTGTGTAGCTTGTATGCACGAAAATTGGCTGAGGAATTCCATCGATAACATGAAATTCTTGAAAGTTTTGAAGACAAATCACATGATAGGATTAAAAAAATTAGAATCTTTACAACAATCAAGTCAAAACTGGAGGTCCAGTGAGATGAAAAGCACACTACTAAGCAGAAACTGGTTATGTTTATGTGAATGGATACACAGAACAATCTGCAGCCGTAGAAAGTAAATCAGGAGGAATATGGAAAAGCAGCTTACCACTTTCATAGATAGTCACTGGAAGATCCTTCTGAGCGTGATTGATAGCCGGATTGAGAAGGACGTAGATAGGAGATTCATTAATGTCCATCAGCTGTAGAAGAGATTAACAAAACTCACAAAATCAGTACACAGCGAGACCTAAATTTCAATCATACATATTAGCAATGAACCAACACTCACAGCTTTGTGGATATGCATATCAGATTCATCAGCGTCGCTTCCCGTAGAATACCATCCCAATATGTAGAAGTTAGGGAACACCTTCCTGTCTAATAAACAAACAAACAAAAAATTCGCCTAAGTAACAAATCGCAGCAACAATCGAGAACAAAGTGAGACGAAAAGAGTGTAGGGGTAAAGCTTACAGAGCTCTTGCTTCTTCTCGAGGAAGGTTCTGTCGAGCGTGTCAGTCAAAGGATCGAAGATAAGCTCGAAACTGTTGAAGATTTCAATCGTACGGCCACTCTGGGCACCGATCACACAGCCATAAACCCTAGGGTTCTGCACGATCATCGCGTCGCCGCTGCTGTGGCCGTTCCCGGCCGCGCAGGAAGAGGGTGGAGGATTAAGCTGAGTCTTAACCCTAGTGAAGTGGTCCGATATGTTGAGCATCACCAGAGGGTGTAGCTTGAAGGTGAGGCCGCTCGACGAAGAAGGCGCCATTGATTTTTTCTCGGAGTTTGTCTTTGATTTGTCCCTTTTGCTGTGAAAGATGAAAGCACTTCTCAATTCCTAAATCGGAGGATCCTTATTAATAACTGTTTTCAATTTGGGTCAAGATATGGTCTTGGGCTGTCTTTCTATTTTCTAGCCCATCGTATTAATTTAATGAGAATTTGTAAGAATTGAAATTTTCCATTTCTTAGATTTGTTTTTATTTTAAACAAATTTAAATGTATAAACTATGAATGGATCATTTCTCTTTCTACAGTTTTATAATATAGAAATAATATCAAGATCGTCAGATTTATTCTCATTAATAATACTAGGTGTGAACCTGCGCAATGCGCGGATAGATATATACTAACTTTATTGATTAGGAAAGGTTAATAGTAGCAAAGAAATGCTTTATTTATTTGAGTTTGTATAGCACAAACATTAAGCAAATACATGAAGTTCAAGAGGTCAAATGAACAAACTCAAACACAAACGTCACATTACAGATTAGGAAAGTAAAAAAGAAAAAGAAAATGTATTACCCAGCTTTCAACATCGTTTACTCAAGCCTGAGACACAAGTCCTATAGCCAAAACAGAGGCTCAACACTTTAATTTTCAAACTTATAGAACAAAAGTTATTTTCTTTATTAAAACTTCGTCTTTTCTTATAAGAATAAGACATGGTCCAATGTGTTTCTCAGCAAACGTTTATCATATTTCCCAAGCTACAAAACCACAATCTCGCAAATTCATCGTATGTTGTGCTTCACAAATTTACAACTCTGAGCTATATATCTATACATTGACACACGCACACACACACATACGATGCAACTTTGCGTGTTACAAAACAAGTAGTTTAGTGTTTCTACTTTACTGTCAGAAAAAAAACGACACAGACTTCTTATGCAGCTTCATCGTGGAACGAGATTTCTTCAGCGCATCTGCCAATTTATCCAGCTCTTTTTTATATGATTCCAAACAGTGTTCTTCTGCTATATGAACCTTCAACTCCTCTCCTCCTCCTCTTTGCCACGCAGCAACATTTGAAAGTCCATAGAGTGCGTTTGTCGAATCCTCCTTGGAGTCGAATGAACACCTGTGTTTGAGCTTATGCATAAGATTATGTCATACACTTAATCCGTTACCCTAAATCATATGTCAGAAACACATACATAATCTCAAACAGAAACTAAGAAACAAACGGGTCAATCGTTCGCGTAACGTCAATTAGACGAACAGCTTTTTTTTTTACAGCTTTTTAAACTGAAGCAGCAAAGTTGAAGTTTGAGTAACAAAAGAATCAAAAGAAAAGTTGAGATCAGAATCAACACGAGAGAAAGAGGTACAGACGAGGCAAAGCTTTTGTGAAAAAAAAAAAAACCAAATCTCAGAAGAGTACTTTTCTTTTTAAGAGAAGGCATAACCATGAGTTGTCTTGAGTCTTGAAATAAAGGTCCCAGAGATCAAATGTTCCTTTGACGAAGTTGTAGTACGCTCCTCTGATGGCAAGTGTGTTCTTCACTACCGCAGCACTCACAAATCTACTATATGGGTATGTAAGCAAGTTTCCAAGCGACACATTCACAGCCTCCTGCAGTAGACAGAGATTTGCTAAACATCTCTCTTTCTTCTCAAATCTCAATAATTTTTTCTTTTTAAAAACAGAGGATTTGTTTGTTTATTTTGTTATTACCTCCTCACACTTGTTGCATTGATGGTCGTCGCTTAGGTCTTGATGTTCTTCCTTGACCTTGTTCCTGGCTTGTGCACCTATCTTAACGCAATTGTCTATGAAGCCAATGCCATTTTTAAAGGATTTTCATAGCGTTAGAGAACAATCACGCAAAAAAATCACAGTGTACAAAACAACATTATCAAATCAGGTAATTAGAAGAGTAATTTATCTGTATAAATTACCTCTGAGTTGGTGCAACATCGTCTTCAATGGACATGAGCCCCTTCATCCACAACATCTATGCCTATCACCAGAATATTCTCCACCTACAAAACAACCAAATAGACTATTAAAAAACTGTTTCACTGTGAATTACTAAAGTAGTTATACAACTTAGATGCATTAAAGACCCATTTCTATGTTTCTACAATATCCAACTTGTTGTAAGGATTTGGAAAGATTGAAGAGTTTTCAAATCTAAACGGGATAATACACAAGGATTTAGAAGAGTGAGAAATGAATATTTACTCTTGACTCTTAAATTTTCTGTCATACATTGAAACATAAAAAATGTTTCTTCAAATTTCAAAATCAATTTAAAAGAAAGGGTGTTTGCAAATTTTGGGTATTGATTCAAATTATCCTTGTACTAGCATCAAAAGGTCCGCACATGAGACGAATGATTTCCAAATTCGTACAACCAAACCGTGTACAACTGCAGAGGAGAAAGAATGGCTTGGGCTAATCAGAACCGCTCAGGGGAAGAAAAATATTTCAGTCTGGTAGGCTTCAAACATCAAAACAACGTACCCCAGTTCAAAATCGCAATTCGCAGTGGCTAGAGAATGATCGAGTAAAGATTTATGCTTCTACAGATTCGTGCAGAGAATGATCGAGGGAAAGATTTAGGGGTTCTTACCTTATGATCAAGCAGAAGCATGACAATCCCATTTTCGGGTGAATCCCCGTGATCTCATAGACGTTGGAGGGGAGCTGTGATGGTCTCCGCAGTGGGTTACCGGAGACCATGGGGACTGCTGAGGAGGAGAGCCTTGGGCGTGGTTGAGAGGAGAGAGGGTTAACAGCTTCTAGGCGAGGAAATTGTTCGCGACGAAAGAGAAAGGGGAGGTGGGTCGGGTTTTTATACTGGATCTCGGCAGTTGTAGGTGAGGAGGCGTAACCGCATGGATTGAAGGCTGCCATTAATCTCTCTAACGGCGGAGTAGGGGAGATGGACCGTCTCGGCGGAAGTGAAACAATTTCGCGGGGAGAATAAAATGATATTAAACCTAAAAAAAAACGATGTCGTTTTGGCGTCACTCACAGAAAAAAAAAACGGAGAGGAAAAAATGAAGGGTGACGTGGCATTCTAAAACGACGTCGTTTTGGCGTCACTCACAGAAAAAAAGAAAAAAAAAACGGAGGAAAAAAAAGAAAGCTGACGTGGCACTTTCTTGGAGTGCTGATGTGTCCTCAACTGGAAAGTGTCACAAGGACTTTTAATTATATAGATTTTTGGATATTTTTTAAGAGATTGTGTTTAATATCCCAATATCTTCTCAAAAAACAAATAAATCTATTTAAGTGTATTTTCAAAATTGGATGTTAAATTAATAGATATCCGAAATCTGCTATGGAAATTCTTACTTTGAAAAGCGAAATCACAAGGGTGGTAGAACGTATGGACCTTGGTCCCTTGTGCAATACTCGTGGATGATGGTGAATTACCCAGAAACTATCCTCACCAGGCCCTGCCCGGAGCTAAAGCTGGTAAAGCAAGGGCTTTAGGCGCCAAATAATATGAACAAATTTAGAGGCGCCAAATTATGAGAAGTTCCTTTAGTGTAGTGGTTTGTGTGTTGTTATAATCTCCCATGTGTGCAGGATTCGAATCCACATGTCACTTTTTAATTATTTTAAGATTTTAAGATGGGACAAAGATTTTAGTGGGTTTAGGTTCCATCTGACCATCTGACCACGGGGCGGCCCTGCCTACCATTGTCAGGTAAGTTTTTTTTTTCTTTTCATGTATCGTATTCATGATGTGATACTAATCATATACTGATCTGAATAGTAACTCAGTGTCACCATAGCTTAGAAGAAAAAGCAAGTGAAGAACATGCCTTTGAAGAAAAAAATGATAGTTATACGTAAAACTGGTTTATCCCACTCGAACCCATCGCAGTTCTCATATGTACCATTTTTCCATTCTCATGCCATTTTTCCATTCAATTTAACAAAAGAAACTATTACTCCATTATGAGGCTAGTTTTCAGTTTTCAGATAGATTAAGTAAATAATTAATACTTCTCTTTAAATGCATCATTTTCTCACACTAACCACTTTCTATAAATATGAACCAATAGCAATTCAGAAACTAAATAATCAATAGCTGAGGGGAAACAAATTCTAAAACATCAACAGAGAAAGTATATTTTTAAGAAGAATCTACACATAGATTTAGAAGTTTTACAACATACGGTAATTAATACATTGAAATACATCAATTTATAGTTATACAACTTACACTTGCACTCCAAGAGATACCACAGCTTTTGGTGTTCTATGATTAACCTCCGAATAATGAGTAGGTAGTTCGATCCTTTTGATTCTTCTCTTCATAGTCAACTTATGGGGGGATGCGAAGCAATAGGTCGAATTACTATATAAAGATAAAGAAGAGTTGTAAACTATAGGACTGATTGTTCGAGTCTCCTTATCAATTTTGATTCATTTCAATATGAATAATAAAAATAATTCACCGACTAGTAAACTACATCTATAATTCGAAGGGATATTGATATATCGTCAGTTTGTCACTAGATACGTGACTGATTTGGTCTCTGTAATAATTATATATCCATGTTCTCGAATTCAAAGTTGCAACCAAGAAAAAAAAATGTAAGTAGTATTTCTTTTTCTCCACCGTCTTGTTTATTGTCGGGATGAAGAACATGAAACAACATTTTGTTGATTTTGGATAAATCATACGAATGAAGAATCTATGAAGTGACACTATACTAAACGCTTTCCCTACCAAAGACCTGGTTTCGGAAAGCTTGATGTTGCATTAGAATCGCAAATCCAAACATGAATCTTCTTTTAGAAAACATAAATATACGTTAAAACTTCGGAATATTGTATTATTTGGAAATGTATATCAGAATAAGAAAATAATCTGAATTCTTAAGAGGATAGACAACAACTTGTTTTATAAATAACCATCTACTCATCTTTATAGATACCAAGGTTAGTTAAAATGCAACTGCTAATCTCTTATCTTCTTTTCTTTTGTCAACCAACCACTAGTCTATTTAGACTCGACGTATCTTCATTATTTCATAATATAGATAGAATTTTTTTATCATTACTTTAATCTAAATTGCGTGGAAAACATTGAGAAGCGTCTACTAGCAGAAAGCTTTGTGAATTATAAACCTTTTTTCTCTAAAATTTGGGTTCCCTAATATGGTCTGCTTTTTTACTTAAAGTAAATTTTTCTTCTTCACGCTATAACCTATATGTAACCATATACCAAATAGACTAATATTCTTCCATGTAGACTGATTACTAATACAATTGACCCCACGACCACAATATGGAAATTATCAGCTCAACAGTATCATTCAATTAGTTTATCCTCCAACTTGATCCACACTTGTGCACGTTTCATTGGTTACTACTTAATTACTACTGAAGACTTTTTCACCATGTTCTCTTATTTGTGTAGTTTAAAGCATTAATTTGTTATGAAAACATAAAATACCACAAAGCAAGTGTGGATCAAGTTGGAGAATCCATTAAAAGTGTGGATCACGTAGGAGAATAAACTAACTGAATTTGATTGTTGAGCTGCGATTTTCCATATTGTGGGGTTCGTAAGTTTACTAAAATTCAGTCTCGACGGACCAATTTTTTCAATTGGTAAGACTTGTTAAATTATATAAAACGCTTGTTTTCGAAACTTTTATCAAGAAACCCCTTTGTAATTTTTCGATTTTCTTTTTTTACAAATATTTTTAAGAATTGTTCATGTAGTCCAATATTTCTAATTTATATGTATACATCATGTCTTATATTGAAGTCTAAATTAATGACGTCGTTGAAGCCTTTTTGAATGCATAGTTTGGCCAAGTATCTTATTTATAAAAGCTTGCTTCTTGTACGTCCTCGTTGAGCCTTCATAAGTTCAAACTTCTAAGACCAAAAATATTCTCCTTTATTTTTTTTTCTTAATTGACATCTTTCTTACACATCACTTTTACGTATGGATTCTTCCCGGAGCCTCGAGCACGTACTTTCCATGCAAGGCGGCGAGGATGACGTCAGCTACGCCAAAAACAGTTACGGTCCGGCCGCAGCTTTAGCCTCGAGCAAAGAAATACTGACGTCAGCCATCCACTCCATCAAGCTAACAAAAGGATGCTCCTACTCTCATCTAAAGATAGCCGACTTAGGCTGCGCAGTCGGAGACAACACGTTTTCAACGGTGGACACGGTTGTTGAGGTGTTGCGGAAAAAGCTGGCCGTGGATGACGGCGGAGCCGAGCTGGAGATTGAGGTTTTCTTCTCGGACTTGCCTTCAAACGACTTCAACATGTTGTTTAGATCGTTGGAAGGGAAAGTGAACGGCTCGAGCCAGAAGTACTTCGCGGCTGGCGTTCCCGGTTCGTTCTATAAGCGGCTGTTTCCCAAAGGAGAGCTCCATGTCGTTGTGACCTCGAGCGCATTGCAATGGCTCTCTCAGGTTTATGTATCATCCATTAATAAATCAACAGCTTTTCAATTAAGTTAACTTCATTTAGTTAAGATGATTTGAAGGTGATGAACATGCGGGTAATTAATAAATGTAGTTATCAACGGCTAGGAAAATGAAGATTAATATTGAATTACTATAAATGGAAATATACATGCGTTGACCAAAAAAAAAAGGAAATATAAATGCAAATTTAGTCGACAGTCGACACTGTATAAAAATAGAATTTCTAGAGAACCACTTTTTTGGTTGAAGATAATCACTTCTTCTAATGTTAATGAAAAATATCTCAAAAACAACAATATATAAATTTCGGTTATGTGATCCTCTTTTAAAATATGTCCGAACCAACTTAATATCAAAAACGTATTTTATTTTTTGTTGTCTTACGGATGAAAAAAAAGTTTCATTTTCTTGTATTGGATTTGATTTTTTTATTTACTGTATAAATGTATACGGTAGATACCGGAAAAAGTGATGGAGAAAGGATCAAAGACATGGAACAAGGGAAGGGTGTGGATTGAAGGAGCAGAGAAAGAAGTCGTGGAGGCATACGCGGAGCAATCAGAGAAGGACTTAATCGAGTTCTTGAAGTGTCGTAAAGAGGAGATTGTAGTCGGAGGAGTGTTGTTTATGTTGATGGGTGGTCGACCTTGTGGCTCAATGAGCCAGTTCGGTGATCCTGACACGAGCGTCAAGCACCCTTTCTCAAGTTCGATGAATCAAGCTTGGCAAGATCTAGTGGATGAGGTAATAATACCCCATGATGACTTCACGTTGTTACTTTATGAACCCTTTTTATGTTTTTATATGCTTTTGAAATTCACCAAACGTCTCCTTGAGTATGTAAAAGGGTTTAATAGAGGAGGAGAAAAGAGATGGTTTCAACATTCCGGTATACAATAGAAGCACGGATGAGATAGCGGCCGGGATTGAACGTGTTGGTGGTTTTAAGATAGAGAAGATGGAGAATCTGAGAATAGCTGACCACATGAATGATAGGCAGGAGGAGTTGATGAAAGATCTGGATTCGTACGGTCGAACCAGGGCTAATTTGGCTCAAGCTGGTCTAAAGCCGGTGGTTCAGGCCTATCTCGGTCCTGACCTAACCGGCAAGCTTTTCAAACAGTACGCGATTCAAGCTGCGAGAGACAAAGAAATCCTCATGAAGAATTGTTTCTATTCGATGATCGCTGTTTCAGCGATTCGTGTTTGATGTTATTCATGTTATCTATGTGTGTATATGCTTATTATAGCATGTTTCTATGTGTGAGAGTGTATATGCTTTAATATTGAATGTCGAAAGATAATATCTACGACGTCGTTTGATGCATGCTGGAATAAGTAATCAGTAGACTGAAACGCTTGTGTATTTTAGATTTATTATAGTGTTTTCCTCAACATTCGAAATCTTACAATCTTTCCCCTATTTCGTGGTTTTAGTGAATTGGAGAAATAACTCTTTGAAACCAAATATTTGAGATAAGAAAATCTACAAAGAATGGTTCACGAAACAAAACATTCATAATACGTGAAAGATGAGAAAAAGAGAGCCTCGTGACCACCAATGACACTTTCCTACGTGACACTCATTAAAACAATATTAACTTACGTTTTACGCCCAAAACTTAAAGAAACTATCTCCCACCACCCCGTATTAACTCCTCTCACGCCACACACCACCAATGGCTTCTTCTCCTTCACCATCAATTCCAAATTCTTAAGAAGATATCCAAAATCAAAACAATGAAAGATCTCTCTTTCTTCTTCCTCAAGAAATACTCACTCGCCTCGAGAATGCGAGGACGGGGTTCACGTGCCGGGTTTGGGAGCTCTTGTGGCGGCGATGGCTCGACTTCCACACTAAACCAACATCAAAAGATTGATATGGAACCTGAAAACATTCCTTTCGGCGGAGGGTCACCGAAAACGCTAGAGGAGATGATAGTTCAACTAGAGGTTGAAGAAGATATTGTTCGAAGAGCTAGACTACGTGAATCTTACTACGGTGCTTATAATAACTGCGATGATGATGATGTTGATGATGATACGTTATATCATCAGCCCGTTCGAATGTCATGCGTCAATAGCTCCGACATCTTGAGGTGCGTCATGCTTAGTTATTACTTATTACTCATGTGTCGTGCGAATTGTTAACTTTTTAGTTTCTGTGTTGTACATCGTAAAAATCAAGAATATTTTTGATGAATACATTACGGAATCCAACTCCAAGAGGGAAAAAGCTTCGTGTTGATTACGTGAGATACACTCTGATTTCTTTTATTTGTGGTGGTGAAGTTTGTAGGTTTCTCTCTGTTACAGTAGCGAAATTTTGTTGTGATAAGAAAGGGTTTAATTGTCGACCGTACGGATATAATCAATATTCAAACTATGTTGACTTTTATTGGTTATCTCATGTTAATTCATAGTTTACTTGTCTTAAAGGTCGGCGAGAAACGCTTTGAATCAGTACCCACGTTTCTCGCTGGACGGTAAGGATGCTATGTACCGGTCCTCGTTCCAATGCCAGCTTGGTGCCGGTGCTGACGTGGTGAGACATGGAGGACGGAGATCAAACTGCGGGGACGAACGGAGACCGAGGAGGTCGAGCCAGATGAGCTTGGAGACAAAACGCCTGCCTAAGACTGTGGCCGGAGAGAGTGTGGTGTGGTGCAAGACAGGGGTGGTTGCGAAGCTGATGGGCCTGGAGATAATACCGGTTACGGTCAAGGGCAAAATGGGAAAAGATAAGTTAGGTACTCTGCTCAAGAGAGAGCGTCTAAGGAGAAGAGATCGGACGCTGGACATTAACGCCCGGAATGGTCAGATAAACGAAGCTTCTTGCTCCTCTGGAGGGTTTAACGCTATGAGACCGATCAAAGCGGTTGGGTCACCTAGTCGCGTAGGCGGATGGCCCACACTCCGTTTCCCATAGAGTTACGTTGTATTATGTTTACTGATTAATTCAGTAACTTTTTATATGTTTCTCAATTTTCATAAAGCTCAAATAAGCTTAATGGTCTCAAATATATGTCTCAAGCTCAGGTTTTGTTTTCAGACAGAGTTAGATGTTTATTGACGATGCTTGAAATACCTTGGAAACAAAAAAACTCAAGACTTGGTGGGTTTTGTGATGTATATCAGACGGGAACTCCTAGCTCAGACATCCTCATGATTCTTTTGTTCAATGCAATCCTCTTCTGTCTCAAGAGCGAAGTCATGGAAGCCACCTGATGGTTCAAGCCAAGAGAATTTGAATGAACGAGCATCGCAATTAAGCTAAAACACGAGGAAGAAGATAAAAAATGTCAACTTACTTCGGCTCTAAGCTTGATAGCTTCCCTCCCAGGAAGTTGCCGCAGTCCATCCATTAAATCTGCAGAAAATACAAGTCTCTGTGTAAACTGAGACCTAATGTAGTGACACTATCAAAGATATGTATATCGTTCTTACCTGTAGCTTCGCATTCAACCTTGTGCACAGATTTAGCAAGACGATGTATATTGTTTCCAGAGTCCCTACAGATAAGACAGTAGTAGCGTTTAATAACGCAAATGCAGTCAATTTTAAAATAAATGGATCTGCCGATGTTCATACATGAGTTCAGCGAGACCGCGATTCATATCCTTCTCTGCTAAAGCGGCCCTCTCAAGCAATTTCCTGCTCTCCTTTTTCATCAAGTCTACAGACAGGTTCAACTCCTGGACATGCTTCTCAGCTTTCAAGAACTGTGCCTGAAGAGACATTGAAGTGGATGACATAACAAGAAAAGGGGGCACAAAGAAGGGTTAAATTTGAAGTCAGTGGCTTGGTAGATACCTCTTCACTCTGAAATCGGCCCAGTGTATTACGAAACAGGAATCTTCTTGGGCCTGTAATTAGCAGAAGCATACACAGCCAAATTTATATAAGACAAACTAAGAAATAGAGATGTGATACTTGTTGGATGCTCCTAAGCAAAGGAATATTGCAAGTTGTAAAGGTGAATGATAAGAGCAGAGGTATACCTCGCATAAGAACGAGAGCAGCAGCGAGACCAATCCCAGCAGCAGCAGCCGGATGCTCCTTTGCGTTTGTCAATTCTTCTGCACAGAAAGAAAACCAGCAGGGGATCTGTTATACTCAACAGTTTGATATGAATACTCGTAACCAAGCAAGCGTTAAAGTAGTCTACAAGAAAAACATGAAACATGGCGCTAAGTTACCTGTCACTTTACTGAAGAAAGCATTCTCATATGTCTTATACTGAGTCACAGCATGTGGAATGAAATCCTGCAATTTCAGAAACAAAAGTAACTACAACAAGGATTGCAGGAGCCAGGAGATATGGAGACATATATATACAGCTAATGGACTGTAATCTCAGACAGATAATGGCTACTCCATAGCATAGCTTTAAGCAACATGAATAGCTGATATCAAGACATTTTGATTTTTTAAGAGACGTACGAAAAGAAAACTCAATTTTGGGCGATAATCACGAATGCCTCAGAGATACATTTTCAGACTTGTGAGCAAAATACTCCATTTGAAAAGAGGATACATAATCTGAGCTAAGGAGAGACTGCGATCACTAACAAAAAGTTCTAACGCTATGATTCAATATAGATTTCACCACAATGAACAATAACTAGCACCATTCAATAAATAATAATGGCTAAACGGAGCATAATCTGTTTTGAATGGCCTCATTTCTGGGAAGCTCACGACAATCTAATCCAGAGTTTGAATCCTGAAATTGTTGCTAAATAATCTCGAAACAATTTTCGGTGAAGAAAGAGAGATTCTAACCTGTGCGGAGCGGAGCTGAGAGGTAGAGTTTTCACGGAGGGTACGAGCAGAGCGCATGGCGGAGTCCGTCGATTCCTTCACCGTCCGCTGCAAATCACCCACCCATTTCTCTGCTCCTTCTATGGCTTCCTCCACCGAATCGACCACACCGATCGCCGTATGCTGCATCGCATCAGCAGCAGCTTCAATCGCTGGAACCGATTCATCGGTAACGCCGGTTGCTTCGCTTTCGCTCATCGTCGGAGATTACCTTTCTGTCACCGTGACGAGCCTTTCTCCTCTTTCAATTTCAACTTTCACCGGTTCGCTATGACTCGGTTCGGTTCGGCTCAGTTTCATTCCAAATTAGAATTGGTTTAAGTCGGGTAAGCTTGACCCGGCCCTTTTGTTTGCGGTTAATGGGCTTTAGATTGGGTCTGCAACTACTTACTTTTTCTCCTTCGTCTTCCTTTTCCTTCTTCATTTCCTCTTTTCTTCTTCTCCCACCATTTCTGTAGAGCTCCCAGAAGATAATAAGATCAATAAAGAGCTCCCAGGGCTCTTTCTTGTCGGTGGAGATCTAAAGAAAAGAAGACATTTTTTCCTCTGGATCTTCAGAAAGTTTGTATATTTACAAGGTATGGTTTTGCATTTGTTTTTCTCCTCTTCTTTTGATTACTCTATGTGTGTATGAGAATTGGGAATTTTCTTTTCATGGATTTGCTCTGATTCCTATTTACAGACAATTTTGGATCATCAAGCTTTTTTCTTTATCTTGGGGAATCAATAATTGAGTTAATTTATTAATGGTTGCGTCTCCTAAGGATTTCCTGTCTGAATCTTAAGCCAATTGATATTGATGACGATGATCTCCTCGTTTCATTGAAACCTTTAAGAATGCCACTCTTTATTTAGATCTGATGAAAAAGTTCCTGGCTTTTCATCCTTATTCTTCTTCGTCTTCTGGCTGTTTCAGGAACAAGAGATTTAGGTGGGGAAGGAAGGAGAGAAGAAGGCAATGGCGGCAAGGTATTGGTGTCACATGTGTTCACAAATGGTGAACCCAATCATCGACGCCGAGATCAAATGCCCCTCTTGCCAAAGCGGGTTCGTCGAGGAAATGAGCGGCGACATGAACAGCGGCGGAAGCAGCAGCTTAAGGGAGAGTCAAGAGCCAGAGATCGATTTCGGGACAGACCGTGCATTGTCTCTCTGGGGTCCGATCTTGCTCGGAATGATGAACAACCCTCGTAGACGCAGGAGGTTTAGGAGGACAGAGCTTGGCGTAGTAGATGACGATGGGCTCAATGGTGTTCTTGGTGCTGCTGATGTCGATGGAAATGATAATCTTCGACATCATCACCATCATGGTCTTCGTCGTCATCACCACAGGCAACAGGACAGAGAGATTGATTTAGACAGAGAGTTTGAGTCTATCCTAAGGAGAAGACGGAGAAGCTCGGCTGCTATATTGCAGTTGCTTCAAGGGATTCGTGCAGGGATTGCTTCCGAGTACGAGAGCTCGGAACAAGACCCGTTTAATCAATCAGCTCTTGCTCAACGATCAACGGGTTTGAGTCGAAACCATAACAGTAATGCTTCTCTTTCTGCTATTGGAGATTACTTCGTTGGTCCAGGTTTAGACCACTTGCTTGAGCATCTAGCGGATAACGATTCGACGAGGCACGGGACTTTACCAGCGAGAAAGGAAGCTGTGGAGAATCTGCCGACGGTTAAGATAAGCGAGCCGTTGCAGTGTTCTGTTTGTTTGGATGATTTTGAGAAAGGGAGTGAAGCTAAAGAGATGCCGTGTAAGCACAAGTTTCACGTCCGGTGTATAGTGCCGTGGCTTGAGCTTCACAGTTCTTGTCCCGTGTGCCGGTATGAGCTCCCTCCTGATGAGGATGATGATGAGACGAAGGTTGATCGTGTGAGACCGAGAACAAGAACTATGGAGATCAACGTGAGTAGTAATGTGGGAGAAGATGATGCGAGAAATGGTAATGGGAGCGAGGGAGGAAGATTCTCTTTTCTGTGGCCGTTCAGTGGATTGTTCTCTTCCTCCTCCTCGTCGTCATCCGCATCGGCCTCAAGGTCGTCGCAGTCCAATGAGAACTCAAATTCAGGATAAAATAAAGTATCGAGTATCTAAGTACAATGTCTGTATTTCTCTTGGATCATTTATTGCTCAGCTTCAAGTACATAAAATCTTGCTTCACTCAGTTTGTTGAATATAAAATAAAAATCTGTTTGTTTGTTTTGTTCATATCATCTTTGCTTCTATTCATTTGCTGCAGAACAAAAAAAATATCACTCAAGCTATTTGCATTTTAAGATGGGTTTGTTTGTGATTGTGGACTGCACTGCTGTATCTCCAAATATGAATCCCGAAGTTGTTTAGTTACCAAATGATTCACGTTACACAATTTTCAAAAATAGTCTTTGGTTATTGCAATTGCAGACTCTCGGACAAAACAAATGTAGTTTGTAAGCAAAGACCCATAACCAAAAAAATCAAAAGAGCTTACGAGTTTCCATCTCAAGATTAGTCATTATTATCCCTAATAATTATTCCAAATGCAAAAAAGTTATTATTTTCTTTAATGGAATCACCGGACTGTCAAGATCTTGATAACAATAGCGTTACCTGCACGGAGGAGAGCCACGACAGAGTCTCCAGTCTTACACAGTTTCTTCTGTTTCCCATACTGAGTCGCAAACTCGATCGTTTCCTCCGTTGACTCATCAAAGGAGGCTCTAGCCGAACCAGCGTACAGCACAGGAACTAAACCACGGAAGATGAGACTATGTCTCGCAGGTGACTCGTCACTACACAACCAATCAAAAGAGTCGGTCGTGATTTCAGGAACCACAACAGACAAGATCGGTATCCCTGGTCTGTACTTAGCCACCAGCCTCGCAGTGCTGCCTCCTCTGGTCAACACCATTATGAGAGTGGCTCCAGCGGAAGTAGCTGTTCTAACTGCAGACGAAGCAAGCGACTCGATGGGACTCATAGGAACCTCAGCGTGAAGCATTATCCTCTTGAATATGTCTCCGTAGTCCAACGTGCTCTCTGCTTCCACACATATCTTGGCCATGGTGCGAACAGCAAGCTCTGGATATGCTCCTGCTGCTGTCTCACCGCTGAGCATGACACAGTCCGTGCCGTCAAGAACAGCGTTGGCTACATCAGTAGCTTCTGCTCTTGTTGGTCTTGGAGATTTGATCATAGACTCAAGCATCTGAGTCGCTGTCACCACTGGCTTTCCCAAGAAGTTGCACTTGTAGATCATCACTTTCTGAGCTAAGAAGATCTTCTCTATTGGAATCTCCATTCCGAGATCACCTCTAGCGATCATAAAAGCATCCGAGTTCACCAAAATGTCATCAAAGTTCGCCACACCTTCTTGGTTCTCAACCTGTCAAAATCAAAAGAATTTGAGTCTCTGTGGTTTCTTGAATGTGAGAAGATTTTGTAATGGTGTGTACCTTTGACATGAGAAGAATGGTTTTGGCATGTTTTCCAAGTAGCTCCCTAACTTGCACCAAGTCAGAACCTTTTCTGACGAAAGACAGAGCGATCATGTCGATGTGATTTGGGACTCCCCATTCAAGAATGTCTTGTTTGTCTTTTTCGGTTAGTGTTGGGAGATCAACGACAACACCGGGGAGATTAACGTTCTTTCTCTCACCGAGCATTGATGTGTTCTCGCAACGGCAACGAACAGTACCGTTTTGTTTGTCACAAGAGAGGACCTTTAAGGAGATGGTACCATCGGCACAGAGTATCACCATGCCTGGATTCACATCTTGTGCTAACTTTTTGTAGCTCATGCATATTGTCTTCTCATCACCTTGCAAGTCATAGTCGGTAGAAATGGTGATTTCTTGGCCTTGTTTCAGCTGAATTGGTTTCCCATCCTTTAAGAACCCGGTTCGGATCTCTGGTCCCTGTCAGGGCAAATACAAAATCCTTATAGCATTATTCAAAAACCAAAATGTACTCCCAAAACATATAATATAAGGTTCATAAGATTAATTATTAACGATATAGCCTCTGTAAAAAAAATTCTTAGCCCCTTGTGAAAGATGAACATTTTGGTTTTATCAAAGAAAATTAGTGTAAGACATACATGAAGCAGTGCTTCATATACAGTAGTGCTTCAGAAGCACGAGTGGCATAACTTGAAAAAGTCATGAAGTAATAAGCAGTGCAAACACCAATCTAGATTAAAAGTGTATCACGGTATCAGCTAACAAGCTACATTTCTACTTCAAATTCTTATCAACTTTCCTGGTCATAATAAAGCCACGTAACAGACGATAGATTTCGAAGCACATTCAAGATGACAAAAGTAAGAATCATAGTCATCCCTCAGTTTTGTATACTAATTAACATTCTGTGAGCAGCAAACTATTTTCGATAGAGATTTGGTCTAACTCACAAGAAACCAAATGTCATAAGCTTTCTTTACTAAGAAATTCAATGAAAGTCTATCATTAAAGATGATAAAGTGATAAGAGTCCACTGCTCATTTATAAACAAAGGAAATGAATAAACAAACAGAAAAAATGTATAGCATTGCCTAATCAACATAGGAATAAACCAATCAGAATAAGAAGACACCAAGCAATACACAAATATTATAAATTCAGATCTTGAACAGTAACATACATGAAGAGAGTCCAAAATCAAAAGAAAACGTCGCAAAATGACATCATTGTATACATGTACATGAACGCACATTTCTAGATAGGGCACAAGTAAATGAGAGATAAAAAAAACGATTTACCTTGGTGTCGAGCATGACAGCACATAGCATGCCAGTGTTAAGCATGGCTTGACGGAGATTGTCGAGTGTCTCCTGGTGGTATTCGTACGATCCATGAGAGAAGTTGAAGCGAGCAACGCTCATCCCCGCCATAAGAAGCTTCTCAACCATCGGGACAGATCTGGACGCCGGCCCCAGCGTGCACACGATCTTCGTCTTAGGCCTCTGTTCCATCGCCATGCAGTAAGCTAACAAACAGATCGTGAAACACGCACGAGAATAAGAAAGAGACGATCACAGATTGTGATGCTGTGTGTCAGATCAGAGAGATCTGGCTTAGCGGACAAGACACAGGGAAAGAGAGAGAGAGAGAGAGAGAGAGAATCCACGAGTATCCAATTATGAATGCAAAGCCCGTTGGTTGGTGGGATTGCACAGGTTAAACCTAAAATGAAGTACCTGAAAATATTACTTCATCGTCAGTCGTCGTCACCAACAAAAACAGTCACCAATTCTAGTAACTGTATTATTAATACTGGTAAAAACCATATTATAACGTGATGGCCTATTAGCTCAGTTGGTTAGAGCGTCGTGCTAATAACGCGAAGGTCACAGGTTCGATCCCTGTATAGGCCATTTTTTTTGGGTTTTTAACCAAACGTTTGGTGAGGGCGTCAAACGTCGTCGTACGTTACGGCTTATTTTCTTTTCTCTTTTTTTTTTCCAGAGATATTTTTTTCAATTTTACGGATATCGTTATCTTCTGCTTCTCACTATAGACGAAGCAGGAGAGCTCGAAACAAAAATGGAGGGAAGTATCTCGCCGCTTTGCCTACGTTCTTCATCTAGTCTCTCTTACTTCTCCAGTAAGGTTTCACCGGATTCTCACCGTTCTCTGGGATTTACATTGGTTGACTCGCTCCGGCCGACGAACTTGGTATCCCTGCGAACGGGAAACAGACGGTCGTCGTCACTACGGCTGATTCTCTCTCCGGCGAGAGGCGCTCTCCGTACGCCGACACTTTCCGCGGAGGAAGTGAAAGATGTCCCGATGCCGAAGATAGATAAGAGCGGCCGATTGAGCAGCCCTCGAGCCGCCCGCGAGCTCGCTCTGTATGCTTCTAATTTCTCTCTCTCTTTGGCTCCTTCCATGCTCGTTTCTGAAATCTTATCCGCTTCGTTGATTTTGATTGGAATTGAAAAATTTAGCTGGAAATGAAAATTCCCCTTTACTGAAATTGGAGTAAATTAGTCCTCTAAGGCTCAAATTACAACTCCATGAGTGTGGGTTCAAGGATTTACTCAAAACCAAACTTGAAATTAATTTTCATTAAGCATAGAATTATCAAGTGATTTGTTCTCTATTCTTATTTTCATTTTGCTGGATGATCTTGACAGGGTTATACTCTATGCTGCATGCTTAGAAGGCTCAGACCCACTTCGCCTCTTCGAGAAGAGAATAAATGCAAGAAGAGGTAAAATATCAAGTATCAACTAAACTTGTTGATGAATCTTGTTTTGTTTCTTGCTGCAACAAAGTCATGTATTTGGGAATCTCACTCATTGTAGTTTCTGTAAATCACTTGCTTCTTTCTTCTGAATTGAAATGCTTGTGATATAACTTCAGTTAATAATGATTGGTTTGTGCAGAGCCTGGTTACGAGTTTGACAAGACTTCTTTGCTGGAATATAACCACATGAGCTTTGGAGGACCTCCGGTTAAAACAGAAACAAGTGAAGAGGAAGATGAGCTTGTGCGCCATGATGAAAACGAATCAAAAATCGGTAGGTTTTAGTCTGCAAAGAGACTCTTGTTTGTAAATTTACGATTTTGTAACATGTAAACAACATATTCTTAGTTACATGTTGCTCCAATGAGTATTCTCCCTTTTTGTGCAGATGCAGAAGTGCTTTCAGCTCCCCCAAAGTTGGTGTACAGCAAACTTGTTTTACGGTAATCTCCAACTTTGATCATTCCCAGAGTTCTGTGAAATGTCATTTCTGCTTACTCTGAAATGAATTCTTATCGCTTTGCTTTTTTGGAAAGGTTTGCAAAGAAGCTCTTGGCTGCGGTTGTTGATAAATGGGATACTCATGTCGTTATCATTGAGAAAATTTCCCCACCAGATTGGAAGGTATAACCTGAACGCTACTTTCAACTCCTTAAGGAAAGACCAAACTCAAAGCTTGATTTTCATTACCCCTTTAGCTCTCATTGGCCTGAGCTCAGCATTTTACTTTTGAGTATGCTTGAGCATCTACAAGCAGCTTCTTATTTTGGCTGTGTGATTCTACATATATATTTTACTTCCAATAAATACCTTATTGATGTTCTGCACCTACTCACAGAGTGCACCAGCTGGAAGAATACTAGAGTTTTCAATTCTTCACTTAGCAATGTCTGAAATGGCAGTCCTTGAAACTCGTCACCCGATTGTCATAAACGAGGTACCTCTCTCTCTCTCTATACATATATTTCTCCCTCTTCAGTTAGCTTTGCAATGCGATAACTTTGTTATTTTTGTGAACTAACTATAACTCTGTTACAAAAACGATGCAAAACGAAGGCTGTTGATCTTGCGAAACGGTTCTGCGATGGATCAGCGCCACGCATAATCAACGGATGCCTAAGGACATTTGTCAAGGACAGAGCAGCAACATCGACACCTCAAGCTTTAGAATCGAAGCAACAAGTGTCGGTTTAAGTTAGAACAAAGCCCGCATCTTGGTTTGGAGGCAGGCAACCTCAGGTTTTGGTTGTCGGGTATAGCTCGCTTCGTAGGGAAAGTGTTGATCCGATGATCTTATAGTTAAGACCGAGTCACTCTCAGGAGAGATTCTGTCTTCACAGGCAGAGTTCTGGTCCGAAGCTTTTTGGTACCTGATACTGATACTATCCACTGCAGCTCAACATGATTATTGCTTAAGAACACAACATGCTCATGTCTGTATAATAATATATTTGCCCTAAGATACATGTCTATCAGTCTATGTAGTAGCTTTCATGTATTTCGTTGTGCCCTCTCCTTCAGTCTACTCCCATATTGAGAAAAAAGGTTTGTATAATCAGACTTATAAAACATTTTGGTTCAGAACTAAATTCCAAACTAATTTTTTTTTTTTTTGAAAAGTTTGAATTGAATAATCTTCCAAACGAAAGAAAAGTAGATTAAACTCATAGCCCACCAAGAAAAGAGTTAAGAAAATATCAAACCCATGAGCCCTTATGTAATACGGCAGCGTTTCATTAAGATATTAGGGCTTCTTCTCGCCGTCATTCTCGTAAGTCGACCTCTTCGTCGCTAGCTGTATATATATTAACTCTCTTCTCCTTTGTCTCAACATTGAACTACGCGGCGTATTCTTATCTCTCTTCTTTTCTGTACTTCGTCTCTTCCACGATTTTAATCTCTCAAAATTTCGATTTCGGTAAACTCGTTAGCAAAGATCCTTAGAAACTATATGTTTTCTCCTAGTTGTAGTAGATTCAAATGTTAGGCATCTCTTTTTTGTCTTTTGTGTTTTTATGGATTTGATAAAACTTGTCGAGCATGATGAGAGGGATGATAAAAAAAATCATTCGGATTCCCATAGATTTCCTGCGGGAAAAATGTGATCACAAACCAGCTACTTTTTACCTCTCATCATTATTCCTTTTGTTTTTTTTTCATTTTGTTTCTTCTCTCTCGTAGATTTTCGTTTTGAGTTATAGTCTGGTCTTTCTGAGTTTTTGAAAATCTTGATGTTGAGAGATGACGAAAGAAATCATTCGGATTCCCATTAATTTCCTCCGGGAAAGATGTGATCACAAACCAACTACTTCTGATTCATCATCATTTATGCAAATTGTCCCTTTTTTTTTTCACTTTTCAGTATCGATTGTTTTGGAAAACGTAGTTTGTATGGGTCAGTGATGCAAGAAAAATATTTGCTACTCTTGATGAAGAAATTTCTTCAACTGACGACAGGTTAACCACCAAGATCTCTGAGGCCTTCTTTTCGTTTTAAGTTCCCTTTGTTTTGCTGTAAAATTTTCAGTTTTTTTCGTTGTTCACACTCAGTTTTTTGGCCTTTCTCAATCCATTATGGTATTAAGAACAATAATCATACGCAAGAAGTTGAATTACGTTGCTTCCAGGATGTATAATCTAAACAGTACCTAAAGACTCACAATAAATCTTGGTGAACCAAATCAAATTCTAGTTCAATGTTTGATTTCAATAACTAACGAACAAACAATTCGAACCTTACATGTAAACCGAACTAAAAGTACTTCAATACCATTAAACCGAACCAAAATGTAAGGATAGTATGAAGAATACCCAAGAACACAAGAAATCACAGTCAATAAAACCAAGTCAGATGTAAACCGAACTAAAGTCTTATAAATAAACCGAACTAAAGTCGGGATAAACCACCACAGGTAAAACAAAATCAGAATTAAACCGTACATCTGTTCTTGCGTTTTGCGCAGAGCAAGAACACAAGAATGTACAAGATCTCTGAGCTTTAGACTAAAACGTTCAGTCGAACAGAAGCTGAGATGACGGTGAAGGCGTAGGTAGAGATGCTAACTCCTTGAGCATCCCATACTTCTCTTTGTAATCAGTTGATTCTGGAAGAAAAGTCGCGGTCTTCAAATGAATAGCATTCGTTAGGACAAATGTTGCCACTTCTCTATCTCCTTGTCTCCCTTTATACCAAGTCCACTTGAAAGTTTCAAAACCGTTCTGAAAACACTCGGGAACAGAACTCGGCCGCTTCCAGTCATCCGGGATCCCAATAGTAGATTGATATTTTACGCGATTATTCTATAAAAAGACCAATTAAGCACAACATAGTCATCATTATCATAGAATCATAGATAAGAACATAATTATGAGAAACAAAAAAAACACAGAAAAGACTACAACGTACCCTGACATTGACGAGCTTGAGAATCTGTAGTTTGGGGGAGTTTTGGAGCATATGAGTAAGAAGATCCCACCAAGCTTGAACACATGTGCTTAAATTAAGCTCAACAAGCTGATGAAATATCATTTCAGGAGGATCCGCAACCTGATTTTATTTACAAGTTGTATTGTCAAGAAAATCACAAGATTCAATACTACAAAACCAGCCTAATTAAGTAACATTTTCTACTATTACGTACCTCCGAAAGTGATAAGCATAGATCAAGGCGTCTCACACAAGTAAGAGCTTTTAGAAACTTGTGGTTAGTAACTCCATTCATAATCCCAACATCTGCTGTGACCAACTGAGGCATATGCTTCATTCGACGGTTGTCGTAAAGCAAATAATCGTTGATTCTAAGGTGCGTCAGTGAAGGAGCATTGATCACATATCCGTTGCTACTCTTTCCACAACTCCTTTATCAATCACAGATAATATTTTCAAGGAAGGCACATCAATAGTGAAATCCATACTCGGGTCTACGCCCGCGTAATCTTCTCGGGTTAAAGTCAACTCTTCAAGATTAGGGCAACCAGACAAAACCCTATGAAGAGATGCATTGACTGCCAAGTCAACAACCATAAGGCACATTTTTCTGAGGGAAGGGAGACAAACCTCAAATGGAACATCGACAAGAAAGGAGTGGTAATTGGTGAGTGTCAAGCTCTCAAGCGTTTCACATGAATAGAGGCTACGAGGGAAACAACTGATAGATCCTTGGCTATATAAAGGAATACCAAGTTCAAGCGCACTCACTTTGCGACTAACTGCTATGTCAATCCATATTCCAACATCAACGGCATTACATTCAGGACCAAGTCTGTGAATCTTGAGACGCAACCTCTCGAGTACTGGTGCCTTGTTTAGTAGCATAGTCCTGTAGACAAATTTTGTGAATTTTTGCTCCTGATTTTGAATACATTCATATTCAAGTTTTGGCACCAGGGTCCAAAGAGATCGCCATCTTTTGGACAAACGACTCGTCACAATGGCGTCTTTTGTCGGATTAAATGACAGTACTCGAACGAGCAAGTCGTCCGACAATCGACTGATGATGTCCTCCATGTCAACACTACAAAACAAAAAAGATGAAGAACGAAATGATAAATCACTCTACAATTATACGAGAAAATGTAATTTGATGACTTGCCCTTGAGAGGATTGATCTATAAACATTTGGTTACACAAAATCAGTAATTGTATGACACTTACCGTTGACTTGATTGTTCTTCTTGTATGACAAGATGAGTAATTGAACTATTATTCGGAAGAGTTTGATTAAGTCTCGTTGATTTTTTTCCTCCGATTTCTCGACAAACTCCGTTAGGCAGAAAACCCTAAATCCCAAATCCAAAATTGGTTAAGTTTTCTCAGCAGAGGATAACAGAGGAGCCCATCGATTCTAGATTATCACAGAATGACTCCACAAAACAAACACAAACTCAAACTCAGACGAAGATGAAAGGTTGCCTCAAGGAATTGAAGCAGCGAGCTTTGAAAGGTGTCAACTTTCAAGAGAGACCGACTGCGACTGAGAGTGACGAGTGAAATCTCCAAAGTATTCCGACAAGAGTAGCGGGGTTGAAAGATATGGGCTTGAATTGAACCGGGCCGAAATATGTGGGCTTTAACTGGCCTGCCCGCCAAGATACTAGTCTTTTGATTTCCTGCGGGAAAGTGTTAGATTTTGTGTTTAGAAACAGAGAGAGAGAAAAAAAGACAAAAAACAGAGAAAGAAATAAGATTTATCTCTTGTCTTCTGAAGAAGAACAATTACGAGGAACTGGATTTTATTAATCTGAAACTTGATTTGTTACATCACGTGTTACATGGTTTATATACTAAGACAAAACACAACTAAGAGTTGTGTCTCTTCCTCTTGTGTGTGAAACAATCAAACCAAGAGTTGCAACTTTACTAGACACCGTTTGATACACACATATGCTAACTTGGGACTAAAACTCAATTAATTCCAACAGAAAGATGTGATCACAAACAAACCAGATGATGATGATAATTGTGGTCTTTCTCAATCCGTAAAAGGTTTATACTAAACTCACAATATGGATAATTAAGAAGAATAATCATCATCAAGTGGTATTTACGCGAGAAGTTGAATTACGTGTGCTTCCAGGACCAGGATGTATAGTCTTAACCGAAATAAATATGCAAAAGAGAATTGCGATGAATCTCTGTGAACCAAATCAAATTCCAATTCAATGTCGATTTCACTAAATCACGCCAAATAATTCGGACCTTAAAAGTAAAGCGAACTAAAAGTACTTCAATAAAGCAAAGCCAGTGAACCTAACTGAAAATCTAAGTATAGGTTATAAAATACCAGTAAACCGAATCAATATGTAAGGATAAGAAAAACACCACATCTGTTCTTGCTCCTACGAAATCACGAATCTACGAAGTACGAACTAAAGTGTTGCATCAACCACAACGACAATAAAACCAAACCAGAAGTAAACCGAACTAAAAGTATTATAGAAAAATTCCACAGCAAAAAGTCTAAAAACAAATAAACCGAACCAAAATGTCATACAAGAAAAATACCACATGTAAAACTAAATCACAAGTAAACCGTACATCTGTTCTTGTGTTTTGGGAAGAGCAAGAACACAAGAATGTACGAGACCTCTGAGCTTCAGACTAAAACCTTCAGTCGAACAGAAGCTGAGATGACGGTGAAGGCGTAGGTAGAGATGCTAACTCCTTGACCATCTCATACTTCTCTTTAAAATCAGTTGACTCTAGAAGAAAAGTCGCGCTCTTCAAATGAATAGCATTCGTTAGGACAAATGTTGCCACTTCTTTATCTCCTTGTCTCCCTTTATATCCACACCACTTGAAAGTTTCAAAACAGTTCAGCAAACACTCGGGAACAGAACTCGGCCGCTTCCAGTCATCCGGGGTCCCAATACTAGACTGATCTTTTACGCGATGGTTCTATATAAGACCAATTAAGAACACCATATTCATTATCATAGATAATAACATAACTATGAGAGGGAAAAAAACACAGAAAATACTACAACATACCCTGACATTGACGAGTTTGAGAATTTGTAGTTTGGGTGAATTTTGGAGCATATGAGTAAGAAGATCCCACCAACCTTGAACACATGTGCTTAAATTAAGCTCAACAAGCTGATGGAATGTCATTTCAGGAGGATCCGCAACCTGTTTTATATAAAAATTAAAACATAATTAGTAATGTTTCCAAGAAAATCACAAGATTCAATCAGTATATACAAAAACTAGCCTAATTATTATTACCTCAGAAAGTGATAAACATAGATCAAGGCGTGTGACACAAGTAAGAGCTTTAAGAAACTTGTGGTTAGAAACTCCATTAGTAATCCCAACATCTGCTGTCACCAACTCAGGCATATGCTTCATTCGACGGTTGTCGTAAAGCAAATCATCGTTGACTCTAAGGTGCGTCAATGAAGGAGCATTGATCACATATCCGTTGCTACTCTCTCCAGAACTCCTTTTATCAATCACAGATAATATTTTCAAGGAAGGCACATCAATAGTGAAATCCATACTCTGGTCTACGCCTTTCACGCAATCTTCTCGGGTTAAAGTCAACTCTTCAAGATTAGGGCAACCGGATAAAACCCTATGGAGAGATGCATTGACTGCCAAGTCAACAACCATAAGCCACATTTTTCTGAGGGAAGGGAGATTAACCGCAGAAGGAACATCCACAAGAAAGGAATGGTGATTGGTGAGTTTCAAGCTCTCAAGCGTTTCACATGAATAGAGGCTACGAGGGAAACAACTGATAGACCCTTCGCGGTAAAGACAAATATCAATTTCAAGCGCACTCACTTTGCGACTAACTGCGATGTCAATCCATATTCCAACATCTACGGCGTTACATTCAGGACCAAGTTTGTGAATCTTGAGATCCAACCTCTCGAGTAGTGGTGCCTTATTTAGTAGCGTAGTCCTGTAAACAAATTTTGTGAATTTTTGCTCCTGATTTTGAATACATTCATATTCGAGTTTTGGCACCAAGGTCCAAAGAGATCGCCATCTTTTGGACAAAGGACTCGTGAGAATGACATCTTTTGTCGGATTAAATGACAGTATTCGAACGAGCAAGTCATCCGACAATCGACTGATGGTGTCCATGTCAACACTACAAAACAAAAGATGAACCAGGAAATGATAAATCAGTCAACAGTTGACGAGAAAACCTAATTAAGAAACAAAAGCAAAATAAAAACAGATAATCAGAGATAGATTACACCAGTCGTTTGAAAATGTGCGTAGTCTATCGTCTGTCAAACTTTCTTGTTGAACTCTATATCCAAAATGACAAAACCCTAAGTAAATAATCAGGGTAGTTTCTCTCGAGACTCTCGTCGCTTCTTACTATGTTTCAGAGAAAAGTAAACCCTAACCGGCCCAAATAAATTTTAGGCCCTCTCCTAAAAATAAATTATGTGTCTAATTTGCCCCTTAATTATAAAAGATGGACAAAACGAGAGCTTGAAACATCCGTAACTTCTCTTCCACTTCTCTCTTCCATATATAAAAACCTTTCGCTTCCATACAAAAAGGAGCAAAAGTTTTTAAATGAGTAATGGCAAGATTACTACTATAGGTGTCACACATAGAGCATAACCAATAAATCTCGTGTCAAAACTCAAATAGAATCAGACACAGAGAAAAAAAATTAAACAGAAACAAACAAAGAACATAACAGAACATGAAAATCCATCTGACTTTTAAGATACCAAAAACATTCGACTCCACACCTTTGAGTTTCGAGATAGAGAGAAACAAACTGGGTTTGACATGGTTCATGCGGTTTTTGTTTAAGCGGTCTTTTAACACTAAGAACCGAACCCGATCATAAGAAAAGATACCAGGTAAACTAAAAATGATCTTAATATTCAGTCGAATAGAAGCTGAGACGAAGTTGATGCTGTAGGTACAGATGCCAACTCCTTGAGCATCTGATACTTGTCTCCCACGTCAGTAGATTTTGGAGAGAAACTGGCAGTCTTCAAACAAACAGCATTCTGTAAAACATATGTAGCCATGTCTCTATCTCCTTGTCTCCCTTGGTACCCATTCCACACAAAAGCTTCAAGAGTACACAACAAACACTCGGGAACAGACCTCGGTGGCTTCCAACCATTTGGAGTTTCTTCGCCAGAAGAATGTTTCTAAGACCAAACAACACCATTGTCAGTCAATAATATGGGGAAACTAAACCGAAAAAAAAAGGAGATGATAGGGACCACATACATCGATGAGTTTGAGAGTCTGTAGTTTTGGGGAATCTTGAACCATATGAGTAAGAAGATCCCACCAACCTTCAGAAACTGTATACAAGTCCAGATGAACAAGCTGGTTGAAGACCATACCAGAAGGATGGATAACCTGATATATAAAGGTACAAGATAAGTAACATATCAAGAGGAATAAGATTCAATATTCTAAGATATGTAATCAACTTGTTATTACCTCTGAAAGTGATAATGATAGAGAAAGGCGTCGGGCAGAAGTGAGAGCTCTCAGAAACTTCTGAGTAACTCCATGAGTAATGTCAACATGCGCTTCGACCAACTCAGGCATATCCTCAATTTGACGGGAGTTATAAACTACGTTTTCTGTAATGTTAAGGTACTTCAAAGAAGGGACATCTATCACATACCGACAACCTGTTCCAGAAGTTGTAATTTTGTCGGACAAAGTTAATCTTCGTAAGGAAGGCAGCAGGACAGTGGCATCCATCGTTTTATCTAGGCCATGTCGTCCCACAACCAACTCCTCAAGATTTGGACAGCCGGATAATAGACGAGGTAGAGTCGGGTCGTCTAAGTAATCCACAAGCTCAAGTCTTAGACTTTTGAGAGACGGGAGATAAACATTAACAGGAACATTCAGAAGAACGAAATCGCAGAGTCTCAAGGTCTCTAGTGTATTAGAGGTATAAAGGCTACTCGGCAAACTAACGGACCTTGCATCCTTGGAAGAATAAATAGAAAATTTCAGGTCACGAACATGGCGAGTAACCGCAATTTCCATCCATAATCCAATATCAACACTGGCGCAGTCGCTGACAAGATTAAGATGGAAATGGAAACAATCTAGAACGGGTGCCTTATTTGATAGCAAAGACCTGTAAACAAACTGCGAGAATATCCTATTCTCACCAATGTGGTTGCTATTATCGTATACAAGTTTCGGCACTAACTTCCAAAGCGACCTCCATTTTTTGGACAAAAGACTTGTGGCCACAACATCTTTTGTCGGAACAAATGACAATATTCGCAAGAGCACATCATCCGAAAGTTGACTGATGATGTCCATGTCAAACACTATTCCCTGCAGATCAGACAACCTAAATGGGGTTCATTAACAGTGGTGGGGAAAAGTACAATAAAACAAAAAATAATATGTTTGGAGATTACCCTCGTAGTTCCTTAGTGCCTCCTCGATCTTTCTGGATGAAAAAGACGATTAATTTCACAATTTATCTGAAGTGTTTGATTAATCGTGGTTGGCCTAAGCGTCGTTGTTTTTGTTTTTATCCCATTTCTCCAGTCGCAAAAACTCCGTTTGACAGAAAATCCTAAACTCACAATTGGTTAAGTTCTCTCATCAAAGGATAACAGAAGAGCCCATAATTTCTTTATTATCTCAGAATGCCTCCTTAAAAACACAAAAACCCAGACGAAGATGAAAGGTTGCCTCAAGCAGCGAGCATTGAAAGGTCTCAACTTTCAAGAGAATTTGACTGAGAGTGACACAAAGATGAAAGGTTGCCTCAAGGAATTAACTGAGAGTGACGAGTGAAGTCTCCAAAGTATTCCAACGAGGGTAGCGGGGTTGAAATATATGGGCTTGAACTGAAATGGGCCGAAATATGTGGGCTTTGTAAAAATAATTATTATCTTTTTATTAATTTGGAAAAATGAATTAGTACATTTGTGTGTTTCAGTTCAGGCTCTAAAAGAAAATTCAACTAACCATCATCCATTAGCAAAATAAAAATAAAGAAGAAACAACCAAGAACATGAAAATCAATCATTTTAGATTTGAGATACCAAAAACAATCGACTCCACAGTACTTTTGAATTTCGAGATAGAGATAAAAGAAAACTGGGTCTGACATGGTCCATGCTGGAAAACTAAAAGTGCTTTTATTATTTAGTCGAATAGAAGTTGAAACGAAGAAGAAGCTGCAGCTATAGATGCCAACTCCTTGAGCATCTGATACTTCTTTCCCACGTCAGTAGATTTTGGAGAGAAAGTGGCTCTCTTCAAACAAGCAGCATTCTCTATAACATATGTCGCAATGCCTCTATCTCCTTGTCTCCCTTGGTACTCATTCCACTCATAACCCTCAAGACTACTCAACAAACACTCAGGAACAGAACTCGGCAGCTTCCAACCGTTTGGGTTATTTTTGCCAGAACCACCAGAAGTATGTTTCTAAGACCACCAACAAGCAACAATATCATTATCAGTAAAATATAATACTATTGGGAAACTTAACCGGATAAAATATGATTATAGAGACCACATACACTGATGAGTTTGAGAGTTTTTAGTTTGGGGGAATCTTGGAGCATATGATTAAGAAGATCCCACCAGCTTTGAGCACATGTATTCAATTCAAGATAAACAAGCTGATTGAAGATCATACCAGAAGGTTGCATAACCTGATTTATATACAGCAAGATAATTAAGTTACATTTATATAATAGTAATAACATGCAATATTCTAAGAAATTTGTTATTATTACCTCTGAAAGTGATAACGATAGAGAAAGGCGTCGGGCAGAAGTAAGAGCTCTCAGAAACTTGTGAGTAACTCCATCAGCAATGTCAACATGCGCCTCGACCAACTCAGGCATATTCTCAATTTGACGGGAGTTATAAACTACATTGTCTGTAATGTTAAGGTACTTCAAAGAAGGGACATCTATCACATACCGACCACATGTCGCATGATTTATGTCCAAAATAGTTAGTCTTTGTAAGGAAGGCACCACAACAGTGGAGTCCACTGTTTCATCTCCATCATATCTTTGCACAAACAATTCTTCAAGATTTGGACAACCGGATAAAAGACGTGGTAGAGTCTGGTCGTCTGCGTAATCAACATTCTCAAGGATAAGACTTGTGAGAGACGGGAGACAAACATTAACAGGAACATCCAAATAAACGAAATTGACGAGTGTCAAGGTCTCTAATGTATCAGAGGTATAAAGGCTACTCGGCAAACCAACAGAAGACCCTTCCTTGTCAGTAGGGATACAAATATTCAGGTCACGAACATGGCGAGTAACCGCAGTTTCAATCCATAGTCCAATATCAACAATGGGGCACTCGCCGCCAAGATTCAGATGAAAACCATCTAGCACGGGTGCCTTATTTGCTAGCAGAGACCTGTAAACATACTGCCAGAAGATCTTACAATCATCAATGTGGTTGCTAATGCTATCATCGTACACAAGTTTCGGCATTAGCTTCCAAAGCGAGCGCCATCTTTTGGACAAAAGACTTGTGGCAGCAACATCTTTTTTGTCGGAACAAATGACAATATCCGAATGAGCACATCATCCGAAAGTTGACTGATGATGTCCATGACAAAACACTATCCCCTGCAGATTAGGCAGCCTAAGGGTGTTCATAAACCGTGGTGGAGAAAAGTAGAATAAAACCGAAAAAAGGATAACAAACATTTACAGTTGACTGTTCCTCGATCTTTGTGAATGAAAAGATGAATAATTTCACAATTAATCTGAAGTGCTTGGTTAATCGTGGTTGGTCTAAGCGTCGTTGATTTTTGTTTTTACCCTCAGTCGCAAAATCTCCGTTTGACAGAAAACCCTAAACCCGAAATTGGTTAAGTTTTCTCAGCAGAGGATAACAGAGGAGCCCATAAATTCAAGAGTTTCACAGTATGCCTCCACAAAAGACAAAACCCAGACGAAGATGAAAGGTTGCCTCAAGGAATTTAAGCTGCGAGCTTTGAAAAGGTTTCAACTTTCAAAAGTGAAATCTCGGGGTTGAAATATATGGGCTTAAATTGAAACGGGCCGTAATATGCGGGCTTTCACTGGCCAGCCCGCCAAGATCTCAGTCTATTGCAAATTGCAGGTTTTGTAAAAATAATTATTATCTTTTTATTAATTTGGAAAAATAAATTAGCACATACACACTCACACTCATATAATCATTCTTCTTTTTTGTTGTTGTTTTTGTGTGTTGAGTAAGGGTTTACTCAAAATTACATTTTTATGTTTCATACTCGAGAAGAAATTCAACTCCCCCCATTGATTAGCCAAATAAAAATAAAGAAGCTTCCAAAGAAAAAAAATCTTCCAGATATGGACATGGCAGACAAAACGTAAAAGGAAACAAATTAAGAACATAATAGAACATGAAGGAGATCCATCATTTTAGTTTTTTGAGAGTTTCGTGGTAGAGATAGAAGAAAACTGGGTTTGACATGGTTCATGCGGTTTTAGATTAACCAGTCTTATAATAATAACCTAAACCCAATCCTTAAAAAAGACACCACCAGGAAAACGAAATGTGCTCTTATTATTCAGTCGAATAGTAGTTGGAACGAAGTAGAAGATGTAGCTACAGATGTTAACTCCTTGAGCATCTGATACTTCTTTCCCACGTCAGTAGATTTTGGAGAGAAAGTGGCTCTCTTCAAACAAGCAGCACTCTTTAGAACATATGTTGCAATCTCTCTATCTCCTTGTCTCCCTTGGTACTCATTCCACTCAAAAACCTCAAGACTACACAACAAACACTCAGGAACAGTACTCGGCGGCTTCCAAACATTTGGGTTTCTTTGCCCAAGACCACCAGAACTAAGTTTCTAAGACCAATAAGCAACAACATCATTATATATCAGTAAATAATATTGGGAAACTAAGCCGGATATTAAAGAGACCACATACATTGATGAGTTTGAGAGTTTGTAGTTTGGGGGAATCTTGGAGCATATGAGTAAGAAGATCCCACCAGACTTGAGCATATGTATTCAACTCAAGATGAACAAGCTGATTGAAGATCATACCAGAAGGTTGCATAACCTGAATTATAAAGGTACATGCAAGATAAGTAACATATTTAGAAGAATAATAATATACAAAGATTTGTTATCATTACCTCTGAAAGTGATAAAGATAGAGAAAGGCGCCGGACAGAAGTAAGCGCTCTCAGAAATTTATGAGCAACTCCACAAGTAATTTCAACATGCGCCTCGACCAACTCAGGCATATTTTCAATTTGACGGGAGTTATAATCAACGTTTTCTGTAATGTTAAGGTACTTCAAAGAAGGGACATCTATCTCAAACCGACCACATGTCGCATGGTTTGTGTCCAAAATAGTTAGTCTTTGTAAGGAAGGCACCACGACAGTGGAGTCCATAGTTGCATCTTCAGCATATCGTTGCACAAACAAAACGTGAAGATTTGGACAACCCGATAGAAGACGTGGTAGAGATGCGTTGCCTACGTAATCAACAAGCTTAAGGCTCAGACTTTTGAGAGACGGGAGACAAACGCGCACAGGAACATCCAAAAGAACGCAATTGTTGAGTGTTAAGCTCTCAAGCGTTTCGGAGGTATATACGCTACTCGGCAAACTATAAAACCGTACATGGCAAGAACGAATAACGATTTCCAACTCACGCACACGCCGACTAAGCGCAATATCGATCCATAGGCTGATATCTATAGCGGGACAGTCCCTGCCAAGTTTCAGATGCAAATATTCTAGAACGGGTGCCTTATTTGATATCAAAGACCTGTAAACATACGGCGAGAAGATCTTGTAATCACCAATGTGATTTCTATCATCGTATTCAAGTTGTGGCACTAACTTCCAAAGAGACCGCCATCTTTTGGACAAAAGACTTGTGGCCAAAACATCTTTCGTCGGAACACATGACAATATTTGCAAGAGCAAATCATCCCCAAGTTGACTAATGATGTCCATGTGAAACACTAGACAAAAGAAAATCGTAAAGACAAATATTTACGATTGGGGCTTGCAAATCAGACAGCCTGAAGGGGTTCATAAACCGTAGTGGAGAAAACTACATTAAAATAAAAATGATAACATACACTTACGGTTGATTGTTTGGAGATTAGCCTCGTAGCTCCGTAGTGCTTCCTATGGACAAAATGAGACCAAAAAAGAGTAAGATCAGATGATTCTGGTGCTGGCTCGGTGAACTATTGATCAGAAGAGTTTGATCAGGTCGTAGTTGGCCTAAGCGTGTTGATATTTAATTATCCTATTTCTGCAGTCGCCAAACTCCGTTTGACAGAAAACCCTAAACCATAACAGAGGAACCAAGAAACCCTAGGGTATCACAGTTGAAGTAACCTCATATTGTATGAACCTTTCCGATCGAGTCATTTCTATCCTATTTCAATTCCACTTGGCTAGTTGAAAATACTCCAAAATGTTCATACAATATTCTTCTACGGATTTTTGACTGATACATGTTTAACAAAAAATTATCTCTAAAATTTAATAATTACCATATTTATAGGAACCGTCAAATTCGGAATCTTCCAACAAACATGAAAATATTTGATAAGAAAATATAGTATATCTTTGAGATCATTTCGTTTTCATTCTCTTTTTATGACGATGAGAAATTCACCATTTATAACAACGTGAGCCCAACACTTTTTTGGTTAAAAAGTACGTTCTTATCTTTCTGAACTACTGGCTAAAAGAACTACCGTTGCTTAAGAACACAACCAACGGACTTCTAATTGATATGCTCTAAAGGAAGAGGACAAAAGGTAAAGCACTAAAGCCAATAATTCTCGTATCAAAGCTCAAATAAAAGCAGATATGGTCGAATGAATTATGGTCAGAGAAACAAACAAACAAAGAGTGTAGTAGAACATGAAAATCCATCCGACTTAGATTCGTTTGAGATACCAAAAACATTCGACTCCACACTTTTGAGTTTCGGGATACAGAGAAACAAACTGGGTTTGACATGGTTCATGCGGTTTTTGTTAAACCAGTCTTTTAACACTAAGAACCGAACCCGATCATAAGAAAAGATACCAGGTAAACTAAAAATGATCTTAATATTCAGTCGAATAGAAGCTGAGACGAAGTTGAAGCTGTAGGTACAGATGCCAACTCCTTGAGCATCTGATACTTCTTTCCCACGTCACTACATTTTGGAGAGAATGTGGCTGTCTTCAAACAAACAGCATTCTTAGGAACATATGTTGCAATCTCTCTATCTCCTTGTCTTCCTTGGTACCCATTCCACACAAAAGCCTCAAGACTACACAACAAACACTCGGGAACAGAACTCGGTAGCTTCCAACCAATTGGGGTTTCTATGCCAGCACAATAATCCTAACACAACAACACCATTATCAGTCAATAATATTGGGAAACTAAACCGGATAAAAGAAGATTACAGAGACCACATACATCGATGAGTTTGAGAGTTTGCAGTTTGGGGGAATCTTGGAGCATATGAGTGAGAAGATCCCACCAACCTTCAGCATATGTATACAAGTCCAGATGAACAAGCTGATTGAAGATCATACCAGAAGGATGCATAACCTGATTTATAAAGGTACAAGATAAGTAACATACTGAGAAGAATAATAGTATAAGATTTGTAAGTTATTTACCTCTGAGAGTGATAAAGATAGAGAAAGGCGTCGGACAGAAGTAAGCGCTCTCAGAAATTTATGAGTAACTCCATCAGTAATGTCAACATACGCCTCGACCAACTCAGGCATATTCTCAATTTGAAGCAACTTATAATAAACGTTTTCTCTAATGTTAAGGTACTTCAAAGAAGGGGACATCTATCACAAACCGACCACATGTCGCAGAACTTGTGTCCCAAATAGTTAATCTTTGTAAGGAAGGCACCACAACAGTGGAGCTCGTAGTTGCCTCTCCATCATATCGTTGCAGAAACAAAACTTCAAGATTTGGACAACCCGATAGAAGATGTGGTAGAGATGCGTTGTCTATGTAATCCACAAGCTCAAGGCTCAGACTTTTGAGAGACGGGAGACAAACATTAACAGGAACATCCAAAAGAACGCAATTGCTGAGTGTTAAGCTCTCAAGCGTTTCGGAGGTATATACGCTACTCGGCAAACCAACAGACCTTCCTTCCTTGGAAGTAGGGATAGAGATTTCCAGCTCACGGACATGGCGAGTAACCGCAATTTCAATCCATAGTCCAATATCAACAATGGGGCACTCGCCGCCGAGATACAGATGCAAATAATCTAGAACGGGTGCCTTATTTGATAGCAAAGACCTGTATAACAAACTGCGAGAAGATCTTATAATCAGCAATGTGTTTGCTATCATCGTATACAAGTTTCGGCACTAACTTCCAAAGCGACCTCCATCTTTTGGACAAAAGACTTGTGGCCACAACGTCTTTTGTCGGAACACATGACAACATTCGCAAGAGCAAATCATCCGAAAGTTGACTGATGATGTCCATTTCAAAACACTATCCCCTCTGTAGATCAGACAACCTAAATGGGGTTCATAAACTGTGGTGGAGAAAAGTAAAATAAAACAAAAAAAAAATTAATATGTTTGGAGATTACCCTCGTAGTTCCTTAGTGCCTCCTCGATCTTTCTGGATGAGAAGATGATTAATTTCACAAGTAATCTGAAGTGTTTGATTAATCGTGGTTGGCCTAAGCGTCGTTGATTTTTGTTTCTTCAGTCGCAAAAACTCCGTTTGACAGAAAACCCTAAACCCAAAATTGGTTAAGTTTTCTCAGGAGAGGATAACAGAAGAGCCCAAATTTCTTTATTATCACAGAATGCATCCTTAAATACACAAAAACCCAGAAGAAGATGAAAGGTTGCCTCAAGCAATTAAAGCAGCGAGCATTAAAAGATCTCAACTTTCAAGAGAGATTGACTGAGAGTGACATGAAGATGAAAGGTTGCCTCAAGAAATTGAAGCAGCGAGCATTGAAAGGTCTCAAGACTCTCAACTTTCAAGAGAGATTGACTGAGTGACGAGTGAAGTCTCTCCAAAGTATTCCGACGACGACGAGGATAGCGGGGTTGAAATATATGGGCTTGAACTGAAACGGGCCGAAATATGTGGGCTTTCGATGGCCAGCCCGTTAAGATATATCAGTCTATTGCAAGTTGCAGGTGGCGGGTTTTGTAAAAATAATTATTCTCTTGTTTTTATTAATTTGGAAAAATAAATTAGTACATTTGTCTGTTTCAGTCGTTCAGGCTCTAGAAGAAATTCAACTAACCATCATCGATTAGCCAAATAAAAATAAAGAAGAAACAAACAAAGAACATGAAAATCAATCATTTTAGATTTGAGATACCAAAAACATTCGACTCCACAGTACTTTTGAGTTTCGAGATAGAGATAAAAGAAAACTGGGTCTGACATGGTCCATGCTGGAAAACTAAACGTGCTCTTAATATTTAGTCGAATAGAAGTTGAAACGAAGTAGAAGCTGCAGCTATAGATGCCAACTCCTTGAGCATCTTATACTTCTTTCCCACGTCAGTAGATTTTGGAAAGAAAGTGGCTGTCTTCAAACAAGCAGCATTCTCTATAACATATGTCGCAATGCCTCTATCTCCTTGTCTCCCTTGGTACCCATTCCACACAAAATCCTCAAGACTACCCAACAAACACTCGGGAACAGAACTCGGCGGTTTCCAACCATTTGGGTTATTTTTGCCAGAACCACCAGAAATATGTTTCTAAGACCACACCAACAAGCAACAACATCACTATCAGTAAAATAATATTGGGAAACTTAACCGGATAAAATAAGATTATAGAGACCACATACACTGATGAGTTTGAGAGTTTTTAGTTTGGGGGAATCTTGGAGCATGTGAGTAAGAAGATCCCACCAGCCTTGAGCATATGTATTCAATTCAAGATGAACAAGCTGATTGAAGATCATACCAGAAGGGTTCATAACCTGATTTTCATACATCAAGATAATTAAGTTACATATATATAATAGTAATAACATGCAGTCACAAGATTCAGTATTCTAAGAAATTTGTTATCATTACCTCTGAAAGTGATACAGATAGAGAAAGGCGCCGGACAGAAGTAAGAGCTCTCAGAAACCTCTGAGTAACTCCATGAGTAATGTCAAGATCCGCCTCTTCCAACTCAGGCATGTTCTCAATTTGACGGAAGTTATAAACCACATTTTCTGTAATGCTAAGATACTTCAAAGAAGGGACATCTATCACATACCGACCACGTGTTCCAGAATGTGTTTCCAGCATAGTTAATCTTTGTAAGGAAGGCACGACGACAGTGGCGTCCATTGTTTCATCTGAATCATGTCGTTGCACAAACAATTCTTCAAGATTTGGACAACCGGATAAGAGACGTGGTAGAGTCTGGTCGTCTGCGTAATCAACATTCTCAAGGATAAGACTTGTGAGCGACGGGAGACTAACATTAACAGGAACATTCAGAAGAACGAAACTGACGAGTGTCAGGGTCTCAAGCGTTTCCGAGGTATATACGCTACTCGGCAAAGTAAAACACACTTCTTGACAAGAACGAATATCGATTTCCAGCTCACGCACACGCCGACTAACTGCAGTGTCGATCCATAGGCTGATATCTATAACGGGACAGTCCATGCCAAGATTCAGATGAAAATATTCTACAACGGGTGCCTTATTTGCTAGCAAAGACCTGTAAACATACTGCGAGAAGATCTTATAATCACCAATGTGATTGCTATCATCGTATTCAAGTTGTGGCACTAACTTCCAAAGATACCGCCATCTTTTGGACAAAAGACTTGTGGCCACAACATCTTTCGTCGGAACAAATGACAATATTCGCAAGAGCAAATCATCCGAAAGTTGACTGATGATGTCCATGTGAAACACTACAGGCCTATATAATGACAAATGTTTACGATTGGAGCCTGCAAATCACACAGCCTAAGGGGTTTAAAAACTCTAGTGGAGAAAAGTACTATAAAAAAATGATAACAAACACTTACAGATTGTTGGAAGTTACCCTCGTTGTTCCTTAGGGCTTCCTGGATCTTTGTAAATTGACAAAATGAGACCAGAAGAGTAAGATCAGATGAATCCGGAGCTGGCTCGGTGAATTATTTCCGCAGTCGCCAAACTCCCTTTGCTCAGCAGATGATAACAGAGGAGCCAAGAAACCCTAGTGCCTAGGGTTTCACAGTTGAGATAACCTCATATTGTATGAAACCTTTCCGGGTTGTTTTTATCTTGGCTAGTTGATATACTCCAAAACGTTCATACAATCTTTTACGGATCTTTTAATGATACACAATACCTCTAATGATTTAATGACCATAATTTTATTTATAGTAACCGTCAGCCGGATAGTTAAGTCGGAATCTTCCAACAAAAATGAAAATAGTTAATAAGAAAATATCTTTGAGATAATTTTATGACGATGAGAAATTCACCATCTATTCCGACGTGAGCCCAACACTTTTTTTGGTTAAAGTAATTTCTTATCTTTCTCAATACTTGATGTTAAAAAAACATACCGACCAGAGGATATATTGGTGGGCTTAAGAACACAACCAACGGACTTCTAACTCGATGAAACCCATCTGTCCAAATGATCTCCCCAAATACATACCGACCAGAGGATATATTGGTGTGCTTGAATGTAACATAATACGAGTGTTCTTGTTGACACTTCGAGAACACCAGAATCCGCGGCCATATCACAACTTCTACTCCCACTGGTCTAACGATGTCCACGAAATAAACCGTGTTTTTGTTTGTCCCAACGTTTCTTACAGTACGTTTTACGGTCTTACCGAAACTTATTAGGCTTGGTATCGTAATAGATGGATAGTTGAAATTTGCATTGGTTCGATATGAGTGCGACATAAGGCATGTTGTGAAAGACTCTGAATGGAGAAGCATGGATTTAATTTCCTGATCCGTATAGCCAATGTTGCATAAGAAGAGCACGTAGTCTTCGGTTCTTGTATCGTAAATCAGACCAGGGTCCATGGCTTTCAAAGGGTTTATATGCCCAGCACCGATGTCAAACGGGTCACTGGACTTCATAGAACCACCAGAGAGGATCAAGTCATTGCTCGTATCTCTTGTATCTGCTGGAAATGAAAAAAAAAAGATAGACCAATTTCATATTTTTGGTTTGTGATGAATACATAATGTGAGAGGTTGTTAAACTAAGAACCTGTGGTCATGATAGCGCTTCTGATTGCAGCTGGTGACCACTTAGGGTGAGCTGACCGGAGAAGCGCCATAACTCCAGCCACATGAGGACATGACATTGACGTTCCCGACTGGAGGTTCCACTCAACTGGTCGGTGGTCTCCTGGTAATAGTGTAGGTGGAGTTTTAGAAGGCCATGCCGCTAATATCCCAACGCCGGGCGCTGTAATATCTGGCTGCACACACCATAGAAATACACCAAATACAAATAATATTCACAAAGCTGAGAAATTTGGCACTATATCAAATACATCAACACAACCGTAGACTCAAAACATACAACTTAGTGCATCAAACATGATTGTACCTTGAGAATATGAGGTGATAGTGAGCTAGGTCCTCTTGAGGAGAAATATGCAACAGAAGGTGCTGTGATGTCTCCGATAACCGTTTCGCTCGGTCCAATCTTCACCATTGGAACCCTTGATCATATTTACCAAAAAGGATCATATTATGACTTATATGAGCTTAGTGCATGGAAACAATATATATAACTGAATGTGGCTTACGTAGGAGAGCGAGCAAGATAGTTCCTGATCCTAGTGCCACGAAGGAAATCGACTCGAACTGTCGGGATCGTGTCCTCTTCTTCAACGAGCTGTTTTGTTGGCGAGGCTGCAAATATTAGTGCTGATGCGTTCGCTCTTATGGCAGCAGCTTGTGCTTCTTCAATGAACTGAACCGGTCCCAAAGTAGAGAAGCATAGAATTATTTTCTCATTCGCCGATTTCTTTAACCACTTCTCCCATTTGCAAACCCTGCACATAAGCAATTAAACAATTAAAGAAAGTGGCGCGAATTGGAATTCAAATACAATTGAAAGAACTTTGTTTGAGCAAATACCCTCCATCGAAATATGATGTTGCAACAGCTAATGAACCCCTAATCTCCTTAGAAATCAAGCTCTGACCCTGAAAGATTCTACAATAATTCAAAGTCCTGTTCTTCAAATTTTGAGGCTATTAAAAATTGGTTTAATTTTGGTACACAAAGGAATGTTCCTTTATCTTGAGTTTGACCAGTACCGTGAGAGTGAAGTTACCGTCGATAACAATTCTGGTGGGAAAACTCCGGTCCACTGTGGAAGCTGCGACGGAAACTGCCCAAGGAGCGACGTTCTGAACAACACCAAGATCAGGCCCACCGTTTCCGCATGAGAAAACCACGCTAATTCCTCTCTCCGCCGCGTGAAAAGCTCCAATATCTGCGCTCGACTCGAAATACGGTGATAAAGGCGGCGATGAGCCGAAAGACGCCGAGATCACGTGGACGCCGTCGCGGATCGCGTCGTCGAAAGCTGCCAAGATATCGGCTTCGGTGCAAACACCTTCCAGATCCTTCCCCCAGCACGTCTTGTACACTGCTAGCCTCGCCGACCGAGCTCCGCCGCGAGCGGTGCCGCGGCCATGACCGGAGTAGCCGGATACGTTTCGGACAACAGATCCGACGGCGGTGGAAGCTGTGTGCGTGCCGTGACCGAGATAATCGCGCGGCGATCGGTATTCTGGATCTCGCTTACGGTTAATCGGCCCGTACGTCTCCTCGAATCCTTTGAGGTAAAATTGAGCGCCGATGAGTTTGCGGTTGCAATGTACGGATGGGTCGAATGCATCCCCTCCGACGCATTTTCCGTTCCACGAAGGAGGTACGGGTTTCGACTCCGGCGGTTCCCTAAAACTCTCCGATTCCGGCCAAATTCCTAATTGAATATAACAAAATTTTCAGTGATATGCTAACAATGAGAAATCTGAAAAAAAAAAAAAAAAAAAAAAGGGAAGAGTCCAAGATAAAGATGAGAACCGGTATCAAATATTCCGACGACGATGTCGGAGCCATAGGCGAGCTGCGGTGGAGGAGTATGACCGGCATTGTCGACGGTGAGACCTAAAAAATCCCAGCTCCTTGTTGTGTGCAACTTCAAGCTTTTGCTCTTGAAAACCGTTATGACCTGGTCCATTTCTGTGATAATTTTCCGGTTAATCAAAACCGGTCTCTGCTTTTTAAAATTAAAACAATTTCAAAACCGGTTTTCATGATAGCAATTTTAAAAAATTACTGGAACTGGTTCGATTGAATCACATGCTCCTGGTTTCCATACTTCCACTAAAACGATATCTGGTCAAGGGTATTTATAACCAAACCGAGTTCTTTGGTGATCAGAAATTTTTTGCCGCCATAATATAAAGGGGGAAGTATTACTTGCTAAAAAAGTAGCTTGTGTTGTGTTGAGTTTTGCAGAGAAGCCTGAGAAGCCATAGTTGTAACTGTACAGCATTGATCGTTCCGCATCATCTTTGCTACAACAGGATATCCAAAACTTTCGGTCGAGATCAATGTGAAAGAGTAAAAAAGGACTATAAAAGAAGTGAGTTTTGAAGAAAGTAGAAAAATGTTAAAAATAACCTTGTGAAGACTTTTGAAAGAAGATGAAGGTGGTGGCTTGAAGCTAAAGCAGCGTTTTGTAGCCGGTTAGCGCCTAAATAAACAACGTAAACCTAAAACAAAAAATAAATCGCCAGTGAAGAATAAGTCTGCCAATGAAAAGGTTTAGGATTTAGTGATTTACATGAGAAGTTGATGTTGTGGCTTGAACTAATGAGTGAAGCAGCAAAATAAGAGCAAGAGAGATGCGACCAAGAAATCTGGCCATTAATGTTACACAGCCTGAAACTTGAGAGCTCGATGATCTTATTGCTTCACAAATTGCTGCTGAAAGTGCAAATCACTCAGATTTTTATAACTGATTCAAACTCAAGGTTTCTTCTAATAATGTATAATCTATCATTGTGACAGACTCCATAAGGCATAGGCTCACGAGTCACATCATTCTCACTCTTAAGTCTAGACTTTGTTAATAGACTGTTTAATTACTCCAAGAGTAACGTCTCATTTTGTTCTATAGCTTCTCTTTTATCATTAAATCTACACCGAAATTGCTAGGGATCAACTAGCCCATAAGTAGTTTAAGAGTGTTCCTTTGTAGAGTTTTCATTAGAACAAAAAAGAGTCTAGGTCTGACAGTAGCTTGCGAGTTCCATCATTCACACTTCTACCAGAAGTTAACGTTCCTGCAAAATTGTGTTACAAACAAATGAGAGTTTATCACTTAACTACAGAACAAACGTTTACAAACCCCATAATAACGAAGATAATGGATTTCATCATCTTTGTGAAAAAACGATGTCGTTTTGAGGATAGAAATGTCTACGATCAATATGGTGCCATATTACTGGACAGCTTATGAAGTTGTCCAACCAATTTTAAACCGAAAGTCATAGACTAAGATAATTGATTAATGTCTAAATATTATATCGGAAAAAAACTAATCGGATTAGCCACTAACCCATGTCTAATGATGTTGACGATGAATCATTGAAGTCAACGTGGCATAGTTCTGGGAAAAAACCGGACCTTTGTGTATACACAAACACAGACATATCAGACGGAAATTACGGAATCATCATCCCTTGAAAAACACCAGTTTCGTTTTGCGGATAAGATTATACTGTCCGGGACTTACTTATGGTGTTCAACGGCGGGACTGTTATGTCGGTAGCCCATTTGTCGGCGGAGGTCTGGCAGCGATTACGGCGGATCCCGACGTCGGATCGCATAAGTAGCCACGAGATGCTTGACCTCGTCCTCTTCTTCCCGCTCCAGGAATTGAGTCGGTTCGCTTTGTTTCTCTTGACTTTTCTCTGTCTTCCTCCGCCAGGTTTGCTCTATCCCGAAGCTGACCAAGAAGACGATCGTGGTGATCACGGTTTTGCTTATGGCTCATCCTCTGCTTCCATCGCTACGTATCAGAATCACTTTCATCTGCATTTTGAGTGATCAAAATCAAACTCGATCATGTTCTCTTCTTTGTAAAGTTCCCGTTTTAGTACTCTGTTTTCTCTTCATTTTTTTTTTTTTTAAATGTCAGCAGTCTGTGCAATTTGGCGAAAATCGGATCTTGTTTCTTCATCTTACCTGTTTTTAGTGACAGAAACCAAGATCCTGGTTGCAGTTTGGTGAATATGTCTATATTTGAGGTCATTTCAGACTTGTCGTTGATGATAACTTGAAACACCGTATTATTGGTTTAGCATCGGAATGTTATGACTAATATTGGAGCTGTTTTGAGTTCGTTTATCTTCTGGAGTTCTGGGGAAAAAAATGAGAAGAGGCCAAGAGAGTTTAATCAATCAGAAACTTGTGGTGCATTAGCTATGGGAGATATATTCTGATGATTAATTTCCTTTTATCTTTCTTTTCTTGAATTTTTGTTGCATTAACATTCTTCTAGTCTCTTGCAAATCATTACCGTATAAGAAAAGGTGGATGAGCATACTCTAATCTCTGAGAATATGTTTAGTGTATCTCAATCTTTCTGGCTGTATATTTGTGAGTTTTTGGGTTTCTTGGCTTCCAAGAAAGAGGGTTGTCTATACTTTCCAAGTGTGAATGATAGAGAATTTCATGGTTCTTCGAATTCATTTCTTTGTTTTTGAACTAGAGAGACATGAATGGTATATAGTTAGACTAGGCAAATATGGCTAATCCGATACTTAAACGGTTAAACACTTTATCAAAGAAATGTATGCATGGAACAAGGAATGAGTAAGAAGTTCAACATTGTCAAATTACTGTGAGTTTGTTTCTTTGAATTTATGAGAAAATTATGGTGCAATGAAAGACATCGAATTTAAGAGATCGTTGTTTACAAATTAAAAAATCATATTCAACTTCAAATTTTATGGTAACAACAAACGTATTAAACCGAAAAAAAAATAATTTGGCTGAATTATTTTGATTAATCGTGTATTTCCAGTTTTTTTTTAAATAAATAATTGCAACAAAAGCATAAAATTTCATGTTACATGTATAGTACATTTTTTTTTTATTTTGTCAAATTGCAAAGGACAATAGTCTTCCCAAAGTAGTCTACTTTATTAATCTGGATGTTGTACAGTGAAATGAAAACTCACATTTATAATTTCTTGTTTCATTCAAATTTGAGCAATAATTGGGGGAGAAATGGATTGAGTCTATAAAATATAATCGAGAGGGCACATGGAGCCATCAATCAAATTCCACATTCTTTAAAGAAACAGCCAAACAGCTCATTGCGTCACAGAAAAATACAACAGTTTCAAGTTGATATATAAAATGTTATGAACTGTATAATCTTTGAACATACGTATTATATCCATTTCTCCAATAAGAAAAAGTACAATATTACAGCTAAAGTCGGTTGCACTGTTCTTTCCAGCTATTACTTTTTTCTTTCGTTTTCAAGTATCTTACTTAGATGATGAGCTCAGCTATACCAATCTAACGAATCATACACCCTTAATGTTTTTTTTTTGCTTTACCAATCAAACACCCATAAAATAATCAGCAACAGCTACATTTTCTAATTAATAAGGATGGTTGAATTATTCATTCTCCAATCAACAAAAATATAGCAGTATACATTCGTTTAAGACTGTAAGTTATAGATTTAATTAAGTAAGAAATTGAAGAGTTTATTATATGTAGGTATTAGAGATAATACAAGTAGAAAAAAATATTCAGAATCGAATGTTCAACACATTTATCAGTTTCCATAACATTCTCTACATGCTTGTAAAGATTATGTCTCCAACACAATTAAAGTACTTAACGAGTTTGACACAAAAAGAACTAAAACAACTCGAAAACTATTAATTGTGTTGGTGTTATTTAAGCTGTAAAGTGATACTTATACAGTTGGCCTAACACGACGCATCCATGTGTTATATAACGCTCAAGGCACAACACATAACAACACACCACAAACACATACAAACTCTTATCTTCGTAATCGTTTGCTTTCTGCGGAATCGCATAGAAAACCAATGGAGGCAATGAAGATGAAACTCTTTGTGGCAGTTTTGGTGGCCGTGATGGCTTTCTCTGCCGTGCAACAGGCTGCCGCCGTGGAGGCTCCGGCTCCGAGCCCTACCTCCGACGCTTCCTTATCTATCCCCGCTTTTGTTGCCACCGTCGCCACCCTGGCGTTTGGGCTCCTCTTCTAAGCAATTTTGATTTTGTTTTTCAAATTTTAAGAAATCAAATTTATTTTCTCTCTTATGTATTTGTTTTAAGATTTGCTACATCCGAATATCAATAATTTTTTTTTCACTTTTCTATTATCCAGTGTAGTTTTGACAAAATATATAACAAAAATTGATGCCTAACAAATCATAAGTTTGGTGACTAAACAAAAGGTTAAACTATGGCATATTGTAGTTGAAATCTTAAACTCAAAGCATTATAATTTAGGCTTAGGGAGAGTGGAGACCCACTTTTTTAGTGGGAGGGGACAACAAGCAAACAACTTGTAAGCTTTGTAAACTGTAATCATGCCATCTTCTAAGAAAATACATTGATTAATTTATCTTTTTTGTACCAAAAGGAGTTTTAACTTCAAGGTTTCTTCAATCTTTGATCATAGTTCATAACAGATTCGTCTTTACGTATTGGGACAACAAGTTTGACCCAAAACGAATTACTGACCGCGAACTGGTTAAGTGCACTGTGCACATTAGCCTAGTGCACATAACTGAATTTGAACCGAAGTCATTTCGGTTCGGTCCAGATTGATAATTTGGTCGGTTCAGGCTGATCAATATGTCGGTTACCCTTGGTAAAGATTAATAAGAATCTATATAAATAACAAAAAGAGTTAAATGAATCTCTGATCCCATTTACAGCACAGAAAGAAAAACCGTAACGACACAGCAGCTCTCGCCGGCGACACACTCTCCGTTCATCTGCAGCCGTGTTTCGCCGATCATCTGATAACATCCACCGTGGTAAAATTCTTCATTTCTTCTTATTTCTTCGTTTTTCTCATCTATACATTTCTCGTTAATTTTGAACTTCGCCAATAGTTCAACGAATCTTCCCGATCGCAGACGCCAAGTCACGTTTGCATTTGAAACAGTCATACCCAGTAACCTAATTTCTTAATGGGCCTATTATTATTTCGGCCCATGGCCTTTTTTAAAAAGTAAAATTAAAATTCCTTTAGAAAAAAAAATTAAAAAAGGAAAGGAAAAGAAGGAAAAAAAAAGCTTGTTGCTATGGCAATAAGCCTAACCCTTTTTCCGGTTACAGCTACACCGCCGTCTTCACTCTTCTTCCTCAATCGTTTTTCGCGCTCCCGTCACTTCTCTTATTTGTCTTCTTCTTCTCCGACTGGTAAAATCCTCTCTTCTTCGAGCTCGAATCCCTCGTTTCTAGCTTTCTATCTCCTTATCTCTCTACTTGTGGTTTCTGTTCTCGTCTACATTTCTCCAATTGCTTCTCGAGTTTTATGTCATTGGTAACTTTCCGATTGCGATATTCGTGAGATCATATTGCTGTTATTAGCCATGAATGCGGATTTTGCATCAACTTGTTGTGCTGCTAGTTTATTCTGATTTTGTTTTCCAGTGAGGTTTTCGTGGTTGGGTTTTAATTGGAATTTTGGGAATTGGTATTCTTTGGCAAGGTTTAGTGGGTTTCCTTGTGTTAGCTTTGTTTCAGAATTGAAAACATCTAAATCTTGAAGATATTAAGCCTACATTTTTGTTTAATATTTTCAAAAATGGTCTGTAGTAGTGCTTAGATGAAACTTTCATTTTGGTATTCTAATAGAAGAGGAGAAGTTTACAATCAAGGTTTCATTGTTTTTCTTGCTTTTAATGGGGTTTTGATATTGCTTGTACTGACTTTGCCATGTGGTTTTGTAACCTAGACAGGAATATTCAGAGCAACGGCTAGCAAATTTGCTTTCACAACAAAATCAAGGTCGATTGTAACCATGGCAGCTGTAAGTCACAGTCATACTATAATATTCTTCTTCGTCCGTTTCACGACTTGATGATTTTGGAGTGCTGTAACAGAATGAAGAATTCACTGGAAATCTAAAACACCATCTCTCGGAGCTCTTTGATAAGTCTTTGAAGTTAACTGTTCCTGATGTAGCTGGTGTTGAGCCCTTGGTTGCTGCCTCTGCTCCTGAAAAACCTGGAGATTACCAATGGTACTCCCACTTTCACTTAGCTCAATGAAACTAAAGTTTCAGTTTTGTTCGTTTCTGTTTTGCTAAACTAGAGTATATCATCATATTGTTGTCTGCAGTAACAACGCAATGAGCCTGTGGTCCATGATCAAAGGAAAGGGTACTCAGTTCAAGGGTCCTCCAGCTGTTGGACAGGTTTGTTGTTTGTTTGGTCCTTACATTTCCATGGCTTTTGTATTGCCCTATGTCGTAGTATTGGATCCTTATAAATTTTGTTCCCTTTTCTATATAGGCTCTTACTAAGAATCTCCCTACTTCTGAGATGGTGGAGTCATGCTCTGTAGCGGGACCTGGATTTATTAACGTTGTACTATCAGCTAATTGGATGGCCAAGGTACTCCTCTTGTATTGCTGACTTGCATTAGTCCTTTTCCAGTCCTCATAGATAACATATGCTTAGCACAACTATTTTCTCATATATCCGCAGAGAGTTGAAAATATGCTTATCAATGGAATTGACACATGGGCGCCTTCTCCTCCGGTTAAGAGAGCTGTAGTCGATTTCTCCTCTCCCAACATTGCAAAAGAAATGCATGTTGGTCATCTGAGATCAACTATCATCGGTGACACGCTAGCTCGCATGCTCGAGTTCTCAAAGGTTGAAGTACTGCGCAGAAACCATGTTGGTGACTGGGGAACACAGGTAGCTACTTTCTTGCTCTTCAAATGATTTCTTACCCTTGAAACCGAGTGCTTTATTTATCAAAGAAATAAAAATCTGTGTTTGTTCTGCAGTTTGGCATGCTAATTGAGTACCTCTTTGAGAAATTTCCTGATACAGACAGTGTGACCGAGTCAGCAATTGGAGATCTTCAGGTCAGCTGCCTTAAATCATATGGCTCCTCGGGCTTTACAGTTTTTCTTATGTACCAATATTGGCATTATAAACTTTATGTGAAGAACTGAAGCAATCTTGTTTCTAACGTTACATTTCACTTTGACAGACGTTCTACAAAGCATCAAAAGCTAAATTTGATGAAGATCCGGACTTTAAGGAAAAAGCACAACAGGCTGTGGTCCGTCTACAGGTCAGTAACCATTTTCGGAACCTGAATTACTGGTGCTTTCTTCTGTTTGGCAGTGTTAAAATAAGCAGCTGTCTTAGCTGCAAGATCTCAGTTACTTAATAGTTTATTTTTTCGTATCTTCGGTGCAGGGTGGAGATCCTATTTACCGCAATGCGTGGGCTAAGATTTGTGAAATAAGCCGAACTGAGTTTGCCAAGGTTTATCAACGCCTTAAAGTTGATCTTGAAGAAAAGGTAAAGGACTATATTTTTTTTTAAGACGGATTGTGAAAGGGGCATGTGGATGTGTAATGTAAAATACATTGATCCATGACAGGGAGAAAGCTTTTACAACCCCCATATCCCAAACGTGATTAAGGAATTAGATAGCAAGGGATTGGTTAAAGAAAGTGAAGGTGCTCGTGTGATTTTCCTCGAAGGCTTCACCATCCCACTCATGGTTGTAAAGAGTGACGGTGGTTATAACTATGCATCAACAGATCTGACTGCTCTTTGGTGGGTTATCTTCTGTTCACTCTCTTAAAAAGTCCGTATTTTAGTAGCAGTCTTTGGAAAATACATCTCATATACTATGACTTTTTTGTGTCTGTATTTGCTTTAAATGTGTTGCTTGATTTTAAGTTGCATATTGTTTAATTAGTTGTCTGCTGATGCTAAAATCTGCGTGGTGCAGGTATCGACTTAATGAAGAGAAAGCTGAGTGGATTATATATGTGACTGATGTTGGCCAGCAGCAGCACTTTAATATGTTCTTCAAAGTTGGTTTGATGAATATTTTATTGCTTTTGATGTCTCTTGCTTGAAGGTGTCACTTGTAACTGTGGTTATACTGTGACTATGAATCAGGCTGCCAGAAAAGCAGGTTGGCTTCCAGCCAGTGATAAAGCTTACCCTAAAGTTGATCATGTTGGTTTTGGTCTCGTCCTTGGGGAAGATGGCAAGCGATTTAGAACTCGGTCTTCAGAGGTAGTCCGTCTAGTTGATTTGCTAGATGAGGCCAAGTCTCGCAGTAAAACTGCCCTTATTGAGCGCGGTATCTTACTTTATCTCATCACTCTCTACGTTTTGAAGTGTTGAACCGTCCACTTGTTCAGTTATCTGTATGAGGTTCTTATTCGTCTCTTGTGTGTTGTTTCTCTGTTTAGGTAAGGACAAAGAATGGACTCCCGAGGAGCTGGACAAAACAGCTGAGGCAGTTGGATATGGTGCGGTGAAGTAAGTATTGTCTCTTTTCTCGTTTTGGTGGTTTTTGTAATCATGGCTGCACGAATATGATTTATTGAATTTTAACATTTTTCATAATATGCTTAATTCTCTTTCAAGGTATGCTGACCTGAAGAACAACAGAACGACTAATTACACTTTCAGCTTCGATCAAATGCTTAATGACAAGGTAATGGATTTGTGACCTAATTTACATATTTTCATAATGCATTTAACCTAAACATGCTTATTGGTCACATTGCATGAGCAGGGAAACACAGCTGTTTACCTTCTTTACGCTCATGCTCGGATCTCTTCAATCATCAGCAAGTCTGGCAAAGACATTGATGAGCTTAAAAAGGTATTTTAGCCGCATGAACACAAAGCACTTGTCAGACTGTTATAAGTTTATCATAAATATGCAGTATGATAAATAGTGATTCTTATGTTTCGACATCTGCTTTATTGCAGACTGGAAACATAGCATTGGATCTCGCGGAAGAGCGAGCATTGGCGCTTCACTTGCTTCAATTTGCAGAGGTAACACATGCTTATTATATACTACTTTCATATTTGACTGCTTTTTCTTGATCAATTGCATAACGCATGTGTGAACGATTTGCAGACTGTGGAGGAAGCTTGCAACAACTTGTTACCGAGCGTGCTGTGCGAGTACCTCTACACTTTATCTGACCGCTTCACCACATTCTACTCCAATTGTCAGGTGTGGATTCCCGACAATTCTACGTTTCTGGTTTCATGTTGTGATATCAGACTGCATAATCATAAACAACCACTGTTTTTGATCTTAACTTGAAACATGAACTTTATACAGGTCAATGGTTCGCCAGAGGAGACAAGCCGTCTCCTACTTTGTGAAGCAACAGCCATCGTCATGCGGAAATGCTTCCACCTTCTTGGACTTACCCCTGTTTACAAGATTTGATACATCCCTTTTCACCATTTAACGACCCAAAAGACAAGGGTTTTTATCTGTTTTGACATTCACAATTTGTGAAAAAATACTTTCGTTGGCTCTAAATTCTCTCTTCTCATTAGCTTGGGCAACGTTTGTATACAAATGAATACAATGTTAAACTGAATCCGGAAGGTTGTTTTGCTATGTTATTGAACTGATTTTGGTGAATCGTGAAAGGGTTCTAAGGTTAACTTTGAATTGGAATGACTCGAAGATGTTCTTGTGGCTTTCAGGGAGATTGTGGCATTGGGGCGATATACCCTTTTGCAGCTCTGACTCATAAGCCCTAAAGATCTCACTGGCTTCATTCTTGGACCTCTCTTCACAAGATCCTTGAGGCATGTGACATTTGCTAAAGATGTGAATGACTGAGATTTGCCTTTATAATACTTTGAAAGTCCTTTCTTGACGTGTCTGAAATAATACAATGCACAAATAACCAAGTGTTAGTGATGACAATGATCCTAAAATGTCACCAATCACAATTATAAATTGCTCAAAGGACTTGAAGATAGCAACGAGTTTTACTTTCGAGTAAATGAATATTGATCAATCCTAGCAGTATCATTCATATATTGTTACTTGCGGCCTAAACTAAAACCCGAAAACTTCAAAGTTCCAGAGATTATAGTGTCATTACATGATAGGGAGCTGAGAGATGAGGTCTGACAGATCGTCGAAGGCCCCATTTGAAGATGAAGAAGAAGCGTCCTCTGTTGAATACGATGAACACATAGAGAAAGAAGATGAAGATGAATCTTTTGCAGAGGATCCTGGAACTCCTCTAACCACACCATCGTGAATGCTCATATTTTTTTGTCTTTTTGTTATTTGTCAATTATTGTTTTGTTTCTCTGATTTTCTCGTTTAAATACCAAGGAAAACAAGAAAAGGTTTTTTTCTTGAACAATATTAAGAACAGGAAAGAGAGTTCTTGTCAAGACGTCTGTGTTCTGTAATAGTAAACAACATATATAAATTAAGATAAGTCTCTATATATAGATGCACATTCATCAAGATAAGCTAAGAGATACGTGGGTTTAGTAAGCGAATGGATAAAGAATAACGATTTTGTGTAGGTATTACTTACGTGCAAGCTGTGGATAACGTAGAACTCTTATCTCAAAATTATACAATGACTCTATTTTTCTCTCACCTCACATAAAAAACCATGTTTTTGTTATAAAAAAACGTTACTCAGACCATATTGCGAATTGCGATTAGCGGAAGAGTGCTAATTCCATCCTCGGTCCGGAATGTGTCGCTTTGCTTTATTTTTTTTAACTAATAATAATACAATTAAACAAAACTGCATCTCTAACTGTTTTATTTTCTTCCTTTTCACATTCCTTTTTTTGGCATTTACTGTTTGTGTTGTATTAGAGGCAAGAATACATTGATCTAGTCATCTAGAAATGAAAAATCTATACTATATAGTATATAGTGTGAATATACAAACAGTGTCGCACCAGATGTATAGTTCATGTTAAACAAAAATCGTTATGTTAATTTTTGCTGTTGCATGCGTGTTATAAAATAACAAAAAGATATAATTGTTTTTTCAGAAGAACGTAAAAGTTAATTCAATAATCTATGAAAACATTTAAACATGTATACAAAGTTAATGAACTTGTCCCACATCAATTCCACCAAAAGAAGAAGCTCCATAATAAACTTTCCTAGATAATTTGGACGTACTGTTGCTATAACTAAGCTAGCAACCAACATGTATGGTATGTGTTTACTAGGCCACACTGTTAACTCAAAAAAATAATTGTTTGCTATTTTCATATCACTTACTAAACCGTTGATACAACTGTATAACACAAACGTAAAGAGATGTTATACGATTACGAATGATCTTAGCTTTAATATTCTAACATATAGATCTTTCTAAGGTCTCAAACACCAGATATATCTAGTGACATCGTTTAATTTACCCTCAAATTATATCTTTTGATGATGAACTGTGTGATCAAGCCGTGGTTAAATAGTATAGCTAGTTACAAATTAAAAGAACTATTGATAGTAATATTACATTTCCCGCCAACTGTTTCGGTAGGGAACCAACCGAGCGAGTAAACTACAAAGTTGATTAATAAAGGAAGCATTAAAAGTTACGCTACTTTCAAAACAAACGTAAAAGTTGCAGAACATATAATCGATACTTTCGATAGGAGCAGAGAACTCTGCGATGATAAGAAGTTCTGCACCTATGATAATCATTTTCAAGAAGACACGTTCGTTCGGACAGAGACGATACAAATAATGAAAATAAATACCTAGAAAATATGAGAACCATTACAAATTTCGAAAAACCTAGAAGAAAGCTGCACCTGCTTATACAAGTTCTCGATTAAAGCTGCACCTGTGTACATATTCAATACTGAACCATCAAATAGATCACGACCCTAATCGGACATGCTGATCCAAAGTTACTAAATCTACGAATTGATGGTAGGGTGAAAGGAATCTTTTTAGATTGTACAAATCTGGTATTAGCTAATCTAACCACCTAATGACCTAAACCCATAATAACAAACATTAAACTACCCACTATTCAGAGATACCCTTATTTTAATACCTACCATTTATACGTACAAGCTCTATATTTTTTTCTCTTAAATAGGAAGAGTGGTCCTGATGGCATAGTTTTGAGGAGGCATAACAACGAATGGCGTTCTTTTTTCTTGTAGGTGTTTATAAGGTTATAAATTTAAGAGAGGAGAAAGTACATTCACCAATCACCTGACCACACTCTATTATTAGTTCTCTCTTACGTCATAATATTTATGTCAAAAATGAATTTAGTTAACACTTCTGAAATTTTAAATTATTGACATTTATGTTTGCAATTTAAAAACTTTTGAATTACTACTTACTTTTGTTGAAAACCATAATAATAGATTTTACATTAATTCCTCTTAGTTTAATCACTAGTTGTATTATCAAGTCGGGATTTTATAACAATGTTGGAGATTTGATGAACTGAATAATTTGTTATTTTATTTATTAATGTGGCTGTTTTAAGTGTACTGAGTAAATATTTTTGAAGTTATTTTAATGTAATTAAGCTTATTGCAAGAAAATAATTAAGAGAACAAATAAATATCTTAAATAATGAGTGATGTGTAAACAAACGATTGGGTCAAATCTATTAACATTTTATCTCATTATTACTTTTCTTTCAGTAGCATTCAAGATTTTGCATATAAATAGCGATGCTAGGGGATGGATCAAACACACACCAACAGAAGTCGATCAAGACTTTAAAAAAAAACCAAAGAAAAATGGAGAAGGAAGGGGTTTGGATAAACTTGAGAGACGAAGACTTAGCCGAGGAAACAAAGGCTCTAATCTCTTCACTTCCTTCTTCAGAGAAACTGTACCTTGGTCGTACACTCTCCAAGTACCAAGGTTCTTGGTATTACGGCAACTTTCTCCAAGGTGTTCTCAATTTCCAGAAAGGTTTCAAGCCTGAAGACACCGATGTCATCGTCGCGTCCTTCCCCAAATGCGGTACCTTATGGCTCAAGGCACTCACTGTCGCACTCTTTGAGAGATCAAAGAACCGTTCTTCTGATGATCCTATGAGCCATCATCCACTTTTATCCAATAATCCTCACAACCTCGTACCGGTCCTAGAGATGAATCTTTACCGCGACACCCAAACTCCGGACTTGACCAAGCTCTCTTCATCTTCTCCAAGGCTGTTCTCTACTCACACGCCTTTCCATACACTGCAAGAAGCTGTCAACGACTCTCCTTGCAAGATAGTGTACATTTGCAGGGATGCAAAGGATTCTCTGGTGTCACGTTGGCATATCGTTTGCCGTTGTCTGAACAAAGAAGAGGACAAAAGCATTCTTGAGTCTATGTTCGAGTCCTTTTGCACCGGGGTTTTCTTATTTGGTCCGTACTGGGATCATATCTTGAGTTACTGGAAAGCTAGTTTGGAGAACCCAAAGCAAGTGCTGTTTATGAAGTACGATGAAGTGAAAACGGATCCTCATGGTCAGCTCAAGAAACTTGCTGAGTTCTTGGGTTGTCCCTTCTCTGAGGAAGAAGAAAAGAATGGATCTTTGGATGAGATCTTGGAGATGTGTTCTCTGCGTAATCTTGGAAGCTTGGAGGTTAACAAGACTGGAAAATCAATCAATGGCATAGATTACAAGATCCATTTCCGCAAAGGGATAGTCGGTGATTGGAAGAATCATCTAACTCCGGAAATGGGGAACAAGATCGACATGATCATGGAGGAGAAACTCAAAGGTTCCGGTTTGAAATTTTTAAGTTCTTGTTTTATAATGTATTGCAATAATAAAAAACTTTGATCCTTTGATATAAGGTTTCATGGTTTGGAGTGATGTCATATGTTATTTCTGTTTCTTTTTATTGTTTTCGTTTGTGTGCAAGTGTGTTTCTTTTGAATAAAAGTACCTTCCTGTTGTGTTATGTTCCCTTTGATTTATGTTTAAGAAATAAGAACTACCGTATAATACTTAAGACGCTGGACATGAGAATACTGAAAAAAAATATTCTTGATAGAAAAAGTTTTACATTCTACAATTTTATTATATGATCCAATTAATCAAAATCAAAATAAACATGAATGTATACTTTTATTTCAAATAGTAATCTCAAACATCTTGCTTTCTCTCTCTGTTCTTATCAACAGCAATTACAAAAGGAAGGGTGTCACACATTTTCTTTTGATGTATATGAAACACACATATTTTATCATACCAAAGTACCAAACGTCATATCATGTAATCGACTAAGAGATCATCGATATAATGAAGTAGACGGGGGTTCCGAATATATAATGGACAAACGATTTTGAAGGCGACATACCGAAAAAATAGATAAAGAAATAGTTAAATACATCAAAGATCAGTACTCACTAAATACAGTAGAATACTACAATAGCAAAACTCCCTAACGTTGACAGAAAAGAGAAGCAAACTCTCCATAAGACCATAGCCATTTAACATCGATAAGTTGGCTATAGTTGGCCCAATTCATTAAGATGGATGGCCCATACATTAGGTTCTTGGCTTGTTGTTGTTGTTGTTTTATGCAACCATCTAGAAAGTGCTATTAGTTTAGGTGATTTTTTGAAAAAAAATGCTTCTACAAATGATTAATCTGATGCTTTCTAAACATATTTCAAAAAGATAAAGATAAATTTTATCGCATTTTGATGAACCGAAAAATATTAAGTATGAACGGAAAGGATTAATTGACCAGCATTTAGACCTCTAATTGGCTAGAAAACAAAAAAAAAAGACTTGTCAACCAAGTCCCAAAATTTGGAAAAAATCAATGTAAGGTAACTAAATAGAAAACAATAAATAAATAGTCATTTCTAGAACATATCGACCTCTCCTAAAGTACAATATACAATACATTAATACAACACTGTCTATACAGTATACACACACTCCTCGTACATGTTATTGCGGCAAAAGCCGTCTAAACCCGCCACATGTTTGATCAATAATGTCTCCTTTTTTGATCAAAACCACCGCGCCGTACAATTTCATCATAGCTTAGTGGTATTCATTTTCTCTATCTGGTTTTTGATTTGTACCAACTCCATCGTCTTTGTTCCTATAAAAATGGGCCGCCTTGTCTTTCATCTACGGATTTGATTCCACCTCTCTCTCTAATTCTCTTTCTTTTCCCTTTCTTCGTTTTCTTCCTGTTTTCTTATTCAATTTGTCGTTGACGAGTTTCAAGTCTCCCCATCGAGAGAAAAAAATTTCCTTTTTCTTTTTCATTTCTAAATAACTTAATTGTTTTCACCGAAGAGTGTCATTTCCATTGTCGTCATGAGTACTGTGGAAAGTAGCAAACCGAAGATCATCAATGGTTCTTCCGGTTATGTTCTAGAAGACGTTCCTCATCTCACCGATTACCTTCCTGGTCTTCCTGTATGTTCCTCTCCTCTCCATTTCTGATTCAGCTCTAATTTTCTGATTCAAAGTTTTTGTTTTGATCTATACAGTCACACAAAGAAAAAAAAACGAAACTTTGATCTAGATTGATAGACATATGTACATGTTTGTGTATCAATGTTACTTTTGCTTTTCAGCTGGTATTATTTAGTTACTTTGAGCTGGATGAACTGAATTTCCCAGATTCTGAACCATTTAAGATTGCCCAAGAAGAAAAAAAAAATGATCTTTTGCATTTGGGTCTCAATGATTTTTTGAACCTGACTCAGAATCTGTAAAATTGTTGTAGACATAATCAAATGGTGGCTTGAGTTAAATTGTTTTTTCTTGCTTTTATGTTTGTTATTGCAGACGTATCCTAATCCATTGCAAGACAATCCAGCATATTCAGTGGTTAAGTAAGTCTTTTATCGACTCTATGATGATATAATCATTAGCTTGCAGTTGTTAAATGAGTTTTCTGTTTTTGTGAAACACTTTCAGGCAATACTTTGTTGATGCTGATGACAGTGTTCCTCAGAAGGTATATATATTTGGTTTGGAGCTTTTTATTATATACTTATATGGAGCTCTTGTGTCTCTTATTGACTGTTCTCCTTGTTTTGTTTTAGATCGTTGTTCACAAGGACGGTCCAAGAGGGATTCATTTTAGACGAGCAGGGCCACGTCAAAAGGTTTTTACTTTTTCTAAAATTGCTTCAAAATCTTTACTTTTTATCATTTGAATATGATCTGTTGATGACTTAACACTCTCTGCAGGTCTACTTCGAATCTGATGAAGTTCATGCTTGCATAGTGACCTGTGGGGGTCTTTGTCCTGGACTTAACACCGTGATTAGAGAAATAGTCAGCAGCCTTTCTTACATGTATGGAGTGAAGAGAGTATTGGGAATAGATGTAAGTCTTCACTTCAACACATTCGAGCTCTTGTTGGTTTCGTTTTCTCAATTCTTGAATCTTTTGCAGGGTGGATATAGAGGCTTCTATGCTAAGAATACTGTGCCCTTGGACTCTAAAGTTGTGAATGATATCCATAAACGAGGAGGAACCATCCTCGGGACCTCACGCGGTGGCCACGATACCACAAAGATAGTTGACAGCATTCAAGATCGAGGCATCAATCAGGTTCCAATTTTTAAAAATCATTACTTTACATCCTAAAACTGTATCAAAACGTAGTTCTTGATGAAGTTGGTTTGTTTATCATTCAGGTTTACATTATAGGAGGAGATGGAACACAGCGAGGAGCATCTGTCATATTTGAGGTAAATTCCAAGTTCCACCATGCAAGTTAAGTTTGTATAATCTCAGAGTTTTACTGATCTTTTGATTCTTGTAACCATGTAGGAAATTGTACGACGTGGCTTGAAAGTAGCAGTGATTGGAGTTCCCAAAACAATCGATAACGACATTCCTGTATGTATCTCCTCTATAGAGTGAGCTGTGTTTTTGATGTGAAGAAACTGAGAATTCCACATTTTGTTTTTGTGTAGGTGATAGACAGATCTTTTGGGTTTGACACAGCTGTAGAAGAAGCTCAACGAGCTATTAACGCAGCACATGTAGAAGCCGAGAGTATAGAGAATGGTATAGGTGTTGTCAAGCTCATGGGTCGTTACAGCGGTTAGTAACATACTCTTCGTCTTATCAAAGCTCTCTTGTTAGATTATTTCACCAAGCTTGTGTGCAATTCTCTTAACAGGGTTCATAGCAATGTACGCTACTCTAGCAAGCAGAGATGTTGATTGCTGCTTGATTCCGGAGTCGCCGTTTTACCTGGAAGGAGAAGGCGGATTGTTTGAATACATTGAGAAACGGCTCAAGGAGAGTGGTCACATGGTGCTTGTGATTGCAGAAGGTGCAGGACAAGATCTAATGTCCAAGAGCATGGAGTCTATGACTCTCAAGGATGCTTCTGGTAACAAACTTCTTAAAGATGTTGGTCTTTGGCTTTCACAAAGCATCAAGGTAAATAAAAAAATTACAGAGAAAGTATAAAACTTTGTAGAATCAGAAGTGTTGAATTCTGTTTTGCTCGGTGATAGGATTATTTCAATCAGAAGAAGATGGTGATGAACCTCAAGTACATTGGTAATTTTCATTTCATTTCACTTGCACTCTCTCTTCCATTATGAGTTTCTTTAGATTCTTACCGCAATTTCTCTCGTCAATCTTGATTTCAGATCCAACCTACATGATTCGTGCTGTTCCAAGTAATGCGTCAGACAATGTTTATTGTACACTTCTGGCACAGAGCGCAGTGCACGGTGCAATGGCTGGATACACTGGCTACGTCAGTGGTCTAGTGAACGGAAGACAAACCTACATTCCCTTCTACGTAAGTTTTTTAAAAAATGATTAAATTTTTTTGATGATTCAGATGTTATCATCATCATCATCGTCGTGTGGATTGGTTGTGATGTTGCAGAGGATAACAGAGAAACAGAACCATGTGGTGATCACAGACAGGATGTGGGCGAGGCTGCTGTCTTCGACGAACCAGCCGAGTTTCTTGAGCCCAAAAGATGTCGCTGATGATAAAGAGAAGCCCATGTCGGCTCTCCTGGACGATGGTAACAGCAGCAACGGCCCGGTCGATGTTCCTCCAGTCACCAAAGAGGTCACCAAGTGACGACACTGAAACTGAAGAAGCACAACATCATTAATAGTATGCTTTGGCGTTTTCAAAATGATGTCTCATGTTTAGGTTAGTAGAGCCAAACAATAATATATAGTCTTCGACGGTGCCTCATGTTGTAATTTACCACTGTCTCTATGCGTTCTTGATCCCTAATAGATCATTTTATATTTATAACGAGAAGATTTCAAATCAAATTATCATACCAATCACCATAACTATACGATAGAAAGAATTGATTATTCTTGTCGTTTTTGAAACGTTTACAAAAGTGCAAGTAACTATGATTGATTGAAATCAACGTACAAGTAACAAACATGGTCAATCATTTGATGATCACCACAAAAATTGCAAAACAAAATGGTTGTAATAATAAAAAAGGTTGTTTCGTACACTACTCCTTATCATACCAAAGTCACTGTATATGAGCTAGCTTTACGAAGAAGGGATTGAGGAGCACATACTTTGAATGAATTTCATTTATTTATAAACGCATATATAGTGAGTCTCATCTTTGAGTTATGAGCTCACCAGTCGTATTTGTATACTTTCGATTATAAAATAAATTTTATTAAAGAAGAGCTCATATCAATCCCAGCTTACATACTCTTAATCAAGTATTCGCGAGGGATGATTGTGATTACAATATAATTATCATAAGATAGGTATAGATTCACATTAACTCGACAATGTGAATACATTTGTAAAGGAATAAAGTGAATAGTCCTCCATGTCCACCTTTTGTTTGCTTCTCTTCACATTTCACCACCTCAAGTTCTCCGGGAAATACTGTAACAATTCGAAAAGGATAATAAAGAATAGTAAGTAAATACATATGTGCATTCAAACAATTATTAATGTACTTTTTTTTTATGTAAAAGAACATGCAAGATATACTCACTTTCTGGATGAGAGACATGTAGTACGGCTTGACCTTCTCCACATCAACGTGAACCTTGCTCTTGCTATACAAGTCGTACTTGCTGTAATAACAATAATGTATAGCAATTTAGAGGTTATATTTATTAGGACTAAGAATTAATCACAGTTAATTATGTTTAAGAAGTTTGATTACTTGAAAACGTGTAGCCACTTCAGGTTCTCTTTGTCTTCCTCGTTCATAAGATGCTTGTATTCTCCAGCCGTGTGCAATGCTGTAGATTTGTAATTAATAAAATAAAATAAGCTCTACTTTTTTTGCACAACTATTACTTTTGTTTTGCTTAACTATTACTTTGAAAACAACCATTTTTAATAATTGAAGTGCTTACGGTAAAAAGAATGGTATCGAATAATGAACTGTCCTGCGGAAGGCAAGGTGCTTCCGTTCTCCTTAGCCACCTGAGAATATATTAGATTTAACCACTAGTCATTATATAGACACTTTACAATTTACATTAACCAAGACTGATCAAATTTTACTAGTCTAGCAACAAGAGTAAATACTGAATTAATTACCAGGTACATGTAGTCATCATGGCCCCATGACATCATGACATTGTTTAATCCACAGCCTTCAGTGTATATCCCATTTTTGGTGTTGTAGGCTGGGTTGTGAAAATCTGGGTTTTCCAGAAAATACTGCCGGAAATAAGGAAAAGGTAAATATAATGTTAGTCAGTAAATTACTGGTGCTTACATATAACAGTTCAAGAAAAATGTATATTTTACTTTGGGTGTAAGACTGATCTTTTTCTAAAACATAAATTTCTACCAACAATTTATGAGTTTGAATCAATTAATACCTTGTGGTGTACGATAGATTCATCAAATGCACATCCAACCGGAAATGTGTCACCTGCAGGTTTTTGTGAGGAAAAAAATAGAAACAATTAGTTTCATATAACTAGGATAATAATTAAAATATTATGATCACAAAATTTAGCTTAAATTACGTACCAACAGTGGCCCATTGAGGAAGTCCCCCGAATTGTGGAAGAGTAATAACCTTCCCAAGATCTGAAATCAAATAATGAAAACCGAATATTCAATCATCCATTCACTTTCTATATATATCATATATTTGAACATTTATTTTATTTCATGAATAAAATATTTAAACAAAACTATAACCAAAAATCAGATTAAATACTCTTATTTTATAACGTAATTACCATGGATAAGAGCAGTTAGATGAAGCCAATCTTCATTAGGATAATCTTTGCGGATAGCTTCCGCAGATTGAAGCAAATGCTGAATCTGAGGCTCGTCGAGATCAGGATCACTCTCGTCCACCACATCATTGAGCAGCTCGCAACATTCCCAAATGCTCATAACCTTTTTGTCTAATTTCCCGTACTCGGCTCTCATCTTTTTCACCTTCAAAATACATTGTTTTGAATTTCTAATATCAGTTACATAGACTTTAATAAATAAAAAAATTAGATGTCATAATAAATATATAAACTCTAATTAGGTTTGAGAATCTTACAAAGTCGACAGTTTGGTTAATGTGTTGTACTCTGTAAAACTCTTCAACGCTCTTCTGCCTCTCATTTTCAGCATCGTAATCCCTGTGACCGTAAAACCAGTTCATGCATATTCCATATATTGATCAAGTCAAGGACTAGATTCATGCATATTCCATATATTGATCAAGTCAAGGACTATATTCATCCGAATATTTATCCATATTCCATAGTCCATAATAGATGGTAGAAATTAAAAGAAACCTGAATTGACGGCCGAACGCATTCATCTCAGGTGCCAAGAACGCTTCATCACCGTCGGTGGCCATTTTTGGTGTCAAAAATCCTCCGTCCAATTCTAATTCTTCGGTTTTGTTCTTCTTGAATGTAGAAACCTCCTCTACTTGGAATAAGAATTTAAAAATATATATCAGTATTTGGACAAAATCTTTTTTAGATTATGAAATTTGTTTTCTTGTTAAAGTAAAAAACAAGAAATTGGGAGAATAGTTTCTTACCAAACATCGGCTTCTCAATAGAGATTGTCATATTTGAAGAATGGTTTTAAAGAAAGAGAGAAAGAAAGAACGAATTAAAACGAACGAGAAGGGCTACGACGGTGACGAGAGAAAGAGAGAGAAAATATATAGTTTTGCTTCGATTTTATACCTTTTGTGATGAGTTTACGAGTTTGATTAGGACTTTGTGGTATTTATAGTGGTGGATTAGGATTGGGACATTTCCTCTCCTTGATATTTGGAGAAAATCCAAGTCCTTGTTAACGAATTATGTATTTCTTAAAACGATTATTTTTTTTATATTTATCCAAACCAGAATAGTCAGTCTATCTTTCCTTTTTCTTTTGTTCTGTCTAAAATTATATCATCCAAACGTTACGGTAAGAATATCCGGAATAAGGAAACTAATGATCAGATAGTGATTTGATTTTCTGGCGTAACATTTGCTGTTTTTGACTGTTTTTTAAAATACTATTTTTACTTTGTTTTTAGTTATTTTTTGATAGAGAAGAAGGCCATAATTTATTTTCAGATATTTTGACCTACGATCTATATCTCTAAAGTCTGGCCTTAACCTTAAATATGCATGAGTTTTGTCCTCAAAAGTATGGAAAAAAAGTGTTAGCTTGATTGTGTAGTTTGTAAACAAGTCAAAACATCCTTAAAATAAAGCTGGTACTGACTCAGCATTACGTATCCTATATTTATATGTTATCTCAATTCATTTCCACCGATTAGATTTGCCACATATGCATGACGATATATCTACTCATCATCTTCAACATGACAACATGTAATTCAAATATGTAGGTTTGTTTCAATTTAATGTCATGTCAAATAAGAACATTCCTTTTTTGTTTAGCCTTCTATGACTATGAGTGAGAGACTCCCTTTCAATCCATTTCAAATTACCAAAATATGGTTATTAAAGCCGGTCTCGTTTATTAATTTGGTTTATTCCGGTTCAAATGGACCGGCTTAGAATAAATAAGATGGGCTTTAAATGGGCCATGACAAGAAAAGTCTTTTAGGCTCGAGCAACTTTCGTTGAAACAGTGATCTCTAAGACTCTAATGCCGTTGAAGAAATCCCAAAGCTTGTGGTGATTTTCGATCTTAATTCCTTCATTTTTCTGAGTTTTGCAATCTGATTTTCCTTTTCTTCCTGAAGAAAGAAAAAATCTATGAAGAAGTTAGCGAGAACATGGCGGAGAACTCGCCGCGGCGAGAAAGATGATAAGTTCGTACTTCCTACTTCCGACGACGTCGATTCTCGGCCGATCGATACGCAAGGTTTTTCGTTTTCTCTCGTCCTGTGAATTATTCGGATTCTGATCCGTTTAGCTAGTTCGTTTAGCATTATCCAGTTATCTTCTTCGTTGTACAGAGCAAGAGGAGTACGTTCGGTCGCTGGAAGAAGCTCACTCTCAGCAAAGTCGGCAATGGAGGGTATGATCGGAGAACAGTATATCCAATTTCTGAGAAATTTGAGATTTCTGATTTCTAAAACAAGTTGGTTTATCAATTTTTTTGTAGATCGTGTTCGTGGTTCTTCTGTTTTGCTATGCAGCTTTCCTCTTCTACTCCATCATTCAGCAGTTCATTTCACCATGGGAACTGGTATGATTAAATTTGCCCCTAAATGTGGCCTTTGTTCGTCAATGTAGCACTTCGATTTGATCGATTCGTATGCTTGCTTAAGATATGTATGAAGCCTCTTGTTCTTCCAGTTATCAGATCCTTTGTCTTCAGTTGCAGTGAAAATCTTTGATCTTAGCAGACGAAGTTGATTAAAAATTTAAACTTCAGTCTAATTTGATTGTTGTTTTAATGATAAATTTCGGTTTTGGAGCTTTGAACTTCTTGCCTGCCTATATTTTACAGGATTGATTAGTCTTGCAATCTTTGTGTGTTACACTAATTTTGCCTGTGCGTGGAGTTGTGTGCACTTATTTCGATTCATTTTTTTCTGTGTAGCGGTATCATGGCTACTTCATGGAAGATCTCAAGTCATGGATGGTCATTTCAGCTGGTTTGTCTTACATCTATGCGTTTTACTTTGAATTACATTTGTCTCCCCATTAGATGTGGTAGTATGGCCAATACTGACGTTGTGTCATTGTGTGGAATGTTGTATAAGCTTTTGTACCGATAGCGTAAACAACAAATATGCTAGACAGATTGTTTCAGTGTTGATTAATATCTGCCCACTTCCATAGAAAACTCTGGCTGTAGTTCTTGAGTATCACATTTCATAGGAGATGACTAAAAGCGCTTATCTAATGGTAGATTAATGTAGAGCGAGAAAGAGTGAGTTCAGTTTTAGTGTTTTGGACTTTAGGCACCTACAATTGCTTCTCTGATAGATAATTATTAGAACCAACCTTACTGTCATCAGAAAACTTTGCTGTTTGATACTTCTGTTTTTCGCATATTTTAATGGTAGATTAATGTAGAGCGAGAAAGAGTGAGTTCAGTTTTAGTGTTTTGGACTTTAGGCACCTACAATTGCTTCTCTGATAGATAATTATTAGAACCAACCTTACTGTCATCAGAAAACTTTGCTGTTTGATACTTCTGTTTTTCGCATATTTTTTATGCACATTTTTACTCACCCGGTTTTTTGGATCAGAGTGGATTGCTATCTTGGCTTGCGGCCTCTCAGTGATGGGGCTATTAGATAAGAAGAATGGTCACAGACGGTGGTTCTGGTACTCGTCTGTTGCTGGCTCTGCATTGACAATCTTTTGGCTCTATTACTTACTGAGGTAAAACTCTATTATTCCTCGACATATATACATTTCACTGTTACCATCTACCATCATACAGTTGATCTACCTTCAATATTATTATTTGTTGGATTTGTGTTCTAGGCTTCCGAAGTTCCGGTGGGATGCTATATGGCTTCCATTTGGGCCCCTTTGGTATGTGCATCGATCGCGTATATATGTATATGCATCCCTGTATCATTACTAACCTAGTGTGTGCGCTTTGAAATTGAAGCGGAGCTGGAATTTGTCTATACGTGGACCATCTACTGGAGGAATCATCTGAAGAGGTGAAGAAACTACGGAACTATATGTATGCATATAAAGCAAGGTAGAGAGAGAGATATATCTCTGTGATAGCAAGAGTGCGAGTTTTGACTCTATCATCGAGTAATTTGTAATAACGAGAATTCAAACTTTCAAGTTCCGCTTGAAACATCAATTGATGTCCATTTTGTATAAAATCTCATGATTGACTCAAAAAAAATAGTTACATATCTGCATCCATATTATTGCACACGGCTAGAGAATACACGCATCTTATGAACGATGAAGACAAAAGAGAACCTCAAGTGGCTCCACATATTCAAGTAATTAAATGACTGATGAGTCTTAATCCTAATAACTATGACCTTTAAACAAAACCATTGTTGTCATCACATCAAAGTATTTATACAGCAAGAGCAAGGTTCCCCTTGATGCGGAGAAGGGGCTTCATTCTTGTAAAAGAAAATCCAATATAACACTTTCTTGGTAAGAGACATGTAGTAGGGTTGAACTTTACTTTGACCTTATAGTTATAAGGTCTAATCAATCATTCTCCTTGTCTTCCTCGTTCGTAAGGTGGGGTGTATTCTCCAGCCGTGCGCAATGCGGCAGATATGTAATTTGCTTTAATATGCCGAAGCTATCCGAAAAGATTATCCTAATGAAGTCAATGCTGCAATAACTTCAGAATATTGAAGTAATTGCTGGAAGTAATGACTCTGTCAAAGAGCTAGACGAGCCTCAAATCCAGCATTTACTTCAATATGCGGAAGTTATTGCAGCATTTACTTCATTAGGATAATCTTTTCGGATAGCTTCCGCAGATTGAAGCAAATTACATATTGAAGTATATTGAAGTAATGACTTTGTTAAAGAGCTGGTCATTACTTCAGTATGCTGGAAATGGGCTTTTCATCTGATACTGACGGCCGAATGCATTCATCTCAGGTGCCAAGAACTCTGTTTGATCTAATGTTGAATCCTGCAAAATAGAAGCCGAACAAAGCTCCATGTTACTTATCTCGGAAACATTATTCATCAGGAAAAGAAAAGAAAAAACTTGGGAAAGTTTTTTATGGACGAAAACGAATAGAGAAAAACAAATCGGTATAAAGAAAACTTTAAGGAAGAAGCATGAATCGAATAAGAAAAACGCACTCACCATATATGATTTAACATTTAAGAGACGACTTGAACATAATTAAAATAAGGAACTCGACAATGTTTAATTTAACTGAATTAAACGACTAATTCTTCCACTTTTTTTCTTCACCACTTCAACTTCTGCGGAAAATACTGTAAAATCGAAAAGAATAGTTGGTTAGTTGAAAATTCGATCATTTTCTTTACAAATCGAAAATAATAGTTATTAGGAGTATCAATTTAGAGGTTATAGTTATTAGGATTAAGACTCAATTTGTTAATCATGTTTAAGAAATTTAATTACTTAAAGATATGGAGCCACTTAAGGTTCTCTTTATCTGCATCGTTCATCAGATGGACATATTCCCCGGCCGTGTGCAAAGCTGTAGATTTGCAGTTAACAATTTAAAAGATAAGCGTTACTCTTCTTCATTATTAATTTAAAACGTTGCGTAATCATTTTTTTACATATAATAAAATTGCTTACGGTAAAAGGAATGGTATCGAATGATAAACAGTCCTGCGGACGGCAATGTGCTTCCATTCTCCTTAGCCACCTGAGAATATATTAGATTTCAAACATTAGTCATTATAGATAAGATAGTCGATTTACAGTCAACATTAATCACACTGGTCAAGTTACTAAAGCATTATTAATCTAACTATGTAAGCAAACAATTTATTAATTACCATGTACATGTAATCGTCATGGCCCCATGACATCATTACATTGTTTAATCCACATCCTTCAGTGTAAATCCCGGTCTTGGTGTTGTAGGCTGGGTTGTGAAAATCTGTGTTTTCCAGGAAATACTGCACACACAAAAAAATAGAAAAGTAAACTAATCGTGCTTTAGTATAATTTTCAAGAAACTTCATATTATAATTTTCTAGAAAAACCTTAATATTTCTATAATCAATTGTTTACCTTGTGGTGCACGTTAGATTCATCAAACGCACACCCAACAGGAAATGTGTCACCTACAGGTTTTTGTGAGAGAGAAGAAAACAATTAGTTTCATACAGTATATAATTAGGATACTTAGATATTAATTACAAAAAAATAGCTCAAGTTAATTACCAACAGTAGCCCACTGAGGAAGTCCACCGAATTGTGGAAGAGTAATGACTTTTCCAAGATCTGATAATCCAATAAAATATTCATGTGATGATTAGTGCTAAATGCTAATTATCAATCAGACAAAACAATTGCAGAAAAACTAGATTATTAAAAAAAAAAGAACTGAAGGTTCAATCTCAATTCGTTTTCTACCTTTTCCTAGCATAAAACCAAAAGATTTAAACAAAATCTAACTAAAAAAAAATAAAAAAACAGATTAGATATTCTTATTAAAATCCCTATTGGTTACCATGGATCAGAGCGGTCAGACGAAGCCAGTCTTCATCTGGATAATCTTTTCGGATAGCCTCGGCGGATTGAAGTAGATGCTGAATTTGAGGCTCGTCGAGATCAGGATCACTCTCGTCCACCACATCATTTAGGAGCTCACAACACTCCCAAATGCTCCTTACTTTCTTGTTTAGTTTGCCATAGTCGGCTCTCATCTTCGTCACCTGAAAATTGAAATGTATTGTTTGGATTTTTTACTATCAACAGACCAAAACATATATATATTATACTACATGAATTAGTTTTAAGAATCTTACAAACTCAACCGTCTGGTTTGTGTGCTGTTCTTTGTCAAATTCTTCCACGATTTTCTGCCTCTCAATCTTACAAGAAAACTTAAGGATGATGATGAAGAAACTTAGAGTGCACTCTTCAACTTATATAGGCAGAGAGACCTCTAAACGTTTTTATCTCTGAACTTGTCTATCTTAATGATAACGTTTTTAATGTTTTGTATTCTACTGAGAAAGTGACAAGCTTGGTGAAACGCAGTTAGTAAAATAACTGTAAAATAAAAAGTATATGGTCGCAAAAATAACACTTCCATTTTTGAAGGAAATTAAGTTTATTATCAGTTGATATTACGCAAGAAATAGGAAGATAAGAATTAAACAAAACGTATGATAAATAATTAAATATAGCGAGATTGGTTAGGGACTTTTTGTTTAGATTTTTTTTTTTTTCATTTGAGGTCGGTTCACGGGGGTTTGAGTTTGTATCGTATATACATATGTTATTTCTTGCGTAGTATGTACAATTGATAATAAACTTAACTGATAAAAAGTATATGGTCGCAAAAGCGACGATGAGCGAGGAACGTAATGACTAATTAAGCTTCAGTTACATTTAGTGATATGATTGTATACACTAAAGAGCTGCACACTATTTGACATTTAAATTTTTAAAAGTTTGTAATACTTTCAATTATATGAATCGGGTACAAATAAGGCCTACAAATAATTGGTTGCTAGCGGTATGGCGAAAGCATTTAAGTTCAAGGACAAACTATGTCTCAATGAAGCATGTATAAAGAATAAATCCAAGCTACACGACCTTCTCTTATGCATTGGCTCGAACAGGAAAAATCATTTCAAATTTTCATTTTTTTATGGAAAACCGTTTTCAAGAAATGGACGGGCGTATAACAATCTATTTTCCTAGTTCTAAACAGCTGATAAGATCTTAGATTCTAACAACGTACGAGCCAAAACACACACTCAAACGAAAAAAAAGCAAGCTTTGTTTTTATACGGATGGCAAAGGTTCAACAGAATTAGATTTTAACTTGAGACATAGATTTTACTCCTCTACAATGCTTTCTAGACAAATATATTAGTCACTGGATCGCAATTTTTGCTTAATGATTAGTTAACTATCATGTACTTGAACAAACCCCATATAATACTCTGGACCACTAACATGTCATGTCATATTTATCATTCGTCCTAGCTATAATACTCTGGCTTCTTTCATGAAGCCTCTTGTTCTTTCGAAAATCTTCCTACTAGAACATAAGATCGATTTTGGGTAAATTCTTAATTTATTCAAACACTCCAAATTAAAATTGCTGGATAATCAAACTCATAGCTGCACATCATTACTCAGAATCGATACTAATTGATGCAACGTTGTTTGAGGTTCTGTCTCGCACGCATTTCATGAATCATAAATCAAAGAATCAAGAAGATAAAAATGTCATCTCCATAAACTGCAATCACATATTCGAAGTCACAGAAAAACAAAACTTGAAAAAAAAATCTGATGAAGAGGTTACAAAGATTGTTCAATCCTCTTCTTCGATAACTTTAGTGCCAAGGCCAGAGAGTCCTTCGGCAGGGATTTCAGCAACAGTGACGAGGGAGAAAAACTCTTCCTTTGCGTCTTCGTCATCGTTTCTCTTGCGAGCAACTCTGACTCTGATCCTTCTCGGTGGACCTCTGATACCTCTGCTCCAAATCTGCTTGTTCAACTTCACGTCCACTCTCACGTCCTTTGTCCCCATTGCCTTCTCTGCAAACTTCCTTATCTCCTTGATTGCCTTTGGTGCCTTCTTCTTAAACGTACTGTTGACACAAACATTTCTCAACTTAAATCCCAAAACTAAGCTTTTTATAAGGTCACACATTCATGTCTAAGAGCTTATTTAGTGAGATTACGACTAGATATCACGCGAATTCCAGCTGCTAATAAAATGATGAAACCATCTAAACAGATAAAAACTCTGAGATAAGAGAAGAAACTTACCAGCTATGGAGGCGTCTGTGAAGGTTGATGGTGTACTCTCTGGTCACCACCTCCTCTTTCCTTCCCTTCGTCTTCTCCGACATTTTTAATACCTCTCTTCTTTTCCTGCGAATTTCGAAACTTCAATCGGTTAAATCTCCGATCGATTCTCTTCACTGATCTATAAGCCTATCAATCAGCTCGCTCTTACTTCATTTGATTGCAAATAAGATGAAAGAAGACGAAGAATAATACATTGGTCGAATTTCAATCGAAGATCAAAGTTAGAGAAGAGAGTTACCTGCGATTATCCACAAACGCCGAAAGACAGAGACGGTGGTGGCGGCGGAGGAGTAGGTTTATTATATGCTACGCTCAATACGAAGAAGAACAACTAAACCCTAGTCGATTCAAATGGGCTTTTCTTATGTCTGTCTTTATGGCCCAATTAAAACTTTCTGAATTGAACTTTCTATTTTACGACGTCGTTCAACGTCACTAAAGTCAGGAAATGGTTTAAAACGTTAGACGTAGGTATCAACGAGGGCGTTTGGTCTAGTGGTATGATTCTCGCTTTGGGTGCGAGAGGTCCCGAGTTCGATTCTCGGAACGCCCCTCTTTACCTTCTTTTTTTTTCATTTCAAGGTTCACAATTCTATTCATCTCGTAAGAAAGAAACATACAATATGAGTGTATATGAGAGTCTAGTGGTTTGTTTGTTCCTCTTTATTGGATACACCAAGGTTTCTCTCACTCACAGAAATATAAACACAAACAACAACAATTTTGGCATCACATCACACACAGTGTAGCTCAATAAAGTCTCCTGCAGATAGTGATCCCATCGCCAAGCGCAGCTTGCGAGATCTGCACACGCTTATCAGCTGAGAGCCTCTGGTTCAGCTCGTGTGTTGCTTTCTTGCCTTCCATCCTCCACTCGGGCGTGGATGAGTCCGGTTCAGCAACTGATCCTCCCCAGAGCGTGTTGTCATACACTACAATCCCACCAACCTTGATCAGCCTCATAAGCCTCTCATGGTAGTTAAAATAATTCACCTTGTCCGCGTCCACAAACGCGAAGTCGAATCCACCCTCGTTCTCTTTCTACATAAGAAACATCAAAACACAAAGACCATCTCATGATCCTTCAGAGAAATCAAGAAATGATCAAGAAAGAAGTATATACATCTTTTAAAAGCTCGTCAAGGACTGGAAGAGCTTCAGATTCTCTGAAGTCAATTTTGTGCTCAACACCAGCTTTCTTGATAACTGGCAGTCCTATTTCATACGAGTCTCTGTTCACGTCGATGCCGATAACCTGCAGATGTTCTCGTTGTACTAAATCAGTACTAGAACCGATTTACAACCGGAAAAAAAGCTTATGTCTTTTTCATTACCTTGCCATCTTCTGGTAAGGTAAGAGCAGTGCGGAGAAGAGAGTATCCAGTGAAAACCCCAATCTCGATTGTGTTTCTTGCATTGACTAGATTCAGAAGCATCTCCATTAGCTGACCAGCGTCAGGTGCAGTAGCCATCATAGCTCTCGGGTGGTTATGAGTAATGTTCCTTAGCTCCTTGAGAGCCTCTGCCTCGCGTGGGTACACACTCGTCTCCAGTATATACTGCAATTAATGGTATCAGAGAAATGGATATTCAAATGGAGAAAATGTGAGATGAATGTGTGGAGACAAACTTTGTAGAGCTCTTCACTCTGCAGCAATCCCTTTGAAAAATCTGATTTCCTGGCCTCATCCTTCGCCATTGTAATCAAAAGTCCTCTTCTCCAATTCACTCACACACTCAACTATCTGCAAAAGGCTTCATTTGATTTTGGGTTAAGTGAAAGTTACAATCTTTCTTCTGAAAGTAACGATCTTTCTGGTTATCAAGAAAAAACCCTCTAAGGAGAATTAAAGGTAAGCACAAGAGTCTTGTTCAGACATAAGATTGCTACATAGCAAAACTGATCACATACTATGGCCAGATAAGAAGAAGAGTCAACGGAAGACTAATACGAAAGAACGATCGAGAGAAAGAGTACCTGAGGACTGAAGTCTCAGTTCCCGATCTTTTCAACCGACTGATGCTTCTAGGCGAAATTGCGAAAGACAGTGACAGAGAAGACGTTGAAAACCACCGAACAGTTGTCAAAATGGGATTTTGTTCGTTTATTGTGTGATATAAACAACGTTTCAAAACACCCAACAATCAAAGCGGGATTTGTTCCTTTTATGTGATATAAAAATGAATCTACGAAGAAAGGCGTGCATAGTGGCTTTATACTTTACTCGGTTAAGTTTGGCACGTTGTCACGTTTCACGAATGAGACATCTTACCATTAGCAAGTTGTCCAAAGTCACCAAAACCCATTTGACAAACCGATGATGATACACCAATAACATACTTTCAAAGTGCCATGCTTATTGGCTTGTATGATCTTGTTTCTGCTTTCTCTATTGTGAGCATCAAAATGGGTCACTCACACACTAAAATTAAACTAAATAACAAACAAACCAAAGGCAAGCAAGTTGAGGACTTATATTATTAGAGCTAAGCATGAGTGATTAAGCCTCAGCTTTCAAAACTTCGTGTATTAATTATCCAGACGAAAGAAACTAACTTTTACTTCTAATGTCACCATGAGATTGATAAATAATCAGCCAGTTTACGATATAAAAAGGCTTTTCGGGTGCTCAATGGTTTTTAAAGGCATGTTTGCTTTATGGGGTTGCTTTGTTTCCTTCAAGGGTAGTAGCCGGTGAAAGTGAAGCCTCTTCCAACGATCTCACCTGCGCAGTACCAAGCGAAGCATTCCAGTCCAAAAAGTGCTGCGATTCCAGCATCTTCAACCTTCAAATCTGCCCGATTCTTCCACAAGCCCTTCACGTGATCGACTTCCTTCCAGAACGACTCAGAACGTCCAGGAATGCTGCGAATCCATATAAACCAAAGTCAGCCACAGGAACAAAGAAGAAGTATATTTACTGAATAACATATCTAGATACACTATTAAGAAATCTATACCAAAGCCTCTCCATAAGTACGGAAATGTTGGCATCTAGTTTCAGATGCAGTAAAGCAGAGACTTTAATAGATAACGATCCAAAATTATCAGCATTTTTCAATATCCCTACGGTGGAAGAGAAACAGAAATCCAAGCCAAAGATTAATCCTCTACAGACCGAAGAAACAGAGAAGTTTAATCTTTAACTACAAGAATAAAGCGACCGTGCAAGAAATCTAACTACCACGCAATGAATCATCTAACAAACACATCAAAACCGAATCCAGGATCAGATACGAGATTGAAACGGAAAAACCAACCTAGCAAGACGAGTGTAGAGAAGCTGCTTAGACAACTCGTTGCATTTCTCTACAGTGGCTGGCTCCTGGATATACTTCTTGTTCTTCTCCAGCAACTCTTTGTAGTACGTTGTGCCGTGCTTAGACACAAACCTGGATGCTTCACAGGCCTTTGATTTCAGCTGCAGCAACTTGGATGCCATCTCTCAAAACTTTTTCCCTAAGCCATCAAACAATTTGGATTTACAAATTAATTAAAAGATTATCTATCTAAGGTATAACAATTCACCAAGGTACTATACGTTAAATCCAATTCCAGTATCAAATGGAATCAAAAGAATTAAGCTTCAAAACCAAAAGATCAAAATTGTTGGTGTGGCATACACTGATACACAAAGATCAAAATAGCTCGAAGAAAATCAATGTCGACCAAAACAAACTAATCATCGAAAGTTAAGATCATTTCCAATTAGCCAGACCTCATGAACATTACATTATGGATCGTACGCACACATTCAATCAAAGTAAGCGACCCGCAAGAGCAGATCTATCAGTCAAATTCCCAAAAGGGAAAAAGTGGAAAAGAAGAGATGAAACTTGGAATCACAAAGGGAAAAAGTATCGACAGTCTCATGACTTACTGATGTCGCCGGAGACGGAGATTGTACTGGTGTGTCACGGTTGCCGGAGAACGAGAGCGTAGTTGGATCAACGGAATCTCTCGACGTGAGTTTTGGGGGTTTTTGGTTACCACCACTCTTGCTGAGGTTTCTCCGATAATAACAGGATGCAGTGAAAAACAAATATTACGGGCCTCTTATGGGCCTTCTGTAACATCTTAATAGCCCAAAGTGAGATTAGGCCGATGATCAAATAAATATGAACTGATATATATTTTGGTACTGTTTTCGCATAAACTGTTTTATTTACGAGTTAGATTCAAGGTTAAGACTTAGGATAGATAGTTTAGTCCTTTACAATGCAGCTTTCTAGTAAAATATAATAGTCACTGGATCACATTTTTGCTTAATGATTAACTAACTATCATGTACTTACCCCCAAAAGGCCAAAAGCATAATCTGACTAGATTGTTGTAATCAAATAATACTGTGAACCATGTAAAAATATAATGGATGAAGTATGATATAACGAGCAGTTTTTATCTGTAAAAGATAAAAACTTCAACTTCCAATCAAATTTGGTAATTACTAAAACTGATAGAAACACTTTTAGCAACAACAAAAACCACACATTTATACATATGTTTGGCTAAATCACACATATATACACACATAAGTGCGTGTGTAATGTGTATTCCTTTTGACGTTAAAGAAGATTTATAGGTTTCGATCGGGTTGTTGTAAAGAACCAAAGATAAGTCCATGAGCATAATTGCGAAGCAGCTCGTAATACGACACGAAGACGAGACAAGAGTAGTAAAATTAATGACGACGTTGTTGATTAGTTTCACACGTGGGACTTGGGCACTTGGCCAATGATTTATAGGTGCCAGTCTGTCAGCGTGATCCGTGTGTGAGGTGGGGACTGAACAGACGGCCAAGATTCTCCCAGCTGTTTAGTTGACCTTTGACCCCCGATAAAGTAGTAATGAGTTGGAAAATCCTAACGACCGCAATCACACGTGTGGATATGAGTTTCTTATTCTTCACACTTTTGATTTTTGAAAAGTAACATCGGTTTGAAAATGTATATCATAGTACGTACATAAGAGATCAAACTCTTTGGTTTTATAGTTAACTAAGATATAAAGAGTTAGAGTTTTGAAGCATTAGTCAGTATTGGATAATAAGTTATCTATATTGTATACCTTAATATTTCGTTTTCTGAAGAATTATCTCACGAATATAGTCTTTGCTTATACAAAACTTTTCATACTTCTATCCTTGAACTTGTCCACTGTGCCAATTTGAAACATAAAAGTTGCCAACTCCCAAATATCCAAATATTGAATATTTTGACCATACGAGCAACGAAATATCATACATGTTACAAACTTACAATAATACACAATACACATGAACATAAAGTCAAAAGTATTAACGTACAAAGACTTTTGAAGCGTGTTAATAAGAAGCACTAAAACTCGTTTTGCGTTAATTAGACAGTTGGAGGACGCTTTGCAGCCTAGCAGTGTACCTAAAAAACTTATTTTGAGAATTTCCCATAAATATCTTAAAGTTCCGGTTTATACAGTCGATTAATTAATTGGAAAAATGTATACTTATAACCGGAAAAACGAATGATTAATCGGTTTAGATATCTAGTATATTAGTATATTGTAGTCTTTTTCACCGAGTTCTTTTGATTAGTGATCAATTCACATTAAATATGTAATCAAGTACAAAAATTCTCAAGGAAGAAATGTAGTTTTGACCCACAAAATTCGAGTACAAGAAACTGTATTAGACACATAGATTAGATAGAGACATGCGGATGTATAAAGTCAAAAGTGTTAAACTATAAAGACTTGACGCATGGACATGGAAGGACTAAGTGTCAAATCGGTGATTAATTTAAAAAGGATTATGCATGCAAAGTCCGCTAATCATAGTTTCTTAATACTTCTTTGACGCTTTCGAAACTCATTTTAATAAACTTAGCTAATATAATGGGTTTCCTCTGGGATGGACTAGTCAAATCAAACAATTCTCTTAATTAGCTGTAAGTGGAAGTATAATTTCACCTAGAATATAATATATAGCTATATAAGTCAAAGTATATACACAAATGTTTGTTATCGGTGCATGACATAACGGAAGATTTATACCCATAAAGTGCAAAATAAAGAGCTATATACGTACAGTTTGGACGGATTGGTTGACAAAAGGTTCAAAGTTTAGTTGTATAGGTTCTGTTAAGCTATATTTTAGCTTGGTGTTACGACGTACCTATAAACTGTAGTTAATTGATGGTTTTAGTTCTAGCCTACTAGATGCATCGTGATGCAAGAAATGTCTATATTTCCGTTGCATGCACTCTATCGATCAATAGCAACCATTCCATATGTAAATATTGAGTATAGACGAACACGTTCAAATTGTGATTTGTATATAAGTACTTCTAACAACAATTTGCACTATTTAGTTACAAAACAAAAAACAAAACAATTTGCACTATTTGTATTATTCAAATAGAGACCAATGTCTTGCTCTTAATGCATTTGTTTTTATTCATCAAGTGGTATACGACCCTCGACATGGCCAACAAAACGAAATAACTTGGAGATATGAACTAATTGTTTATAAAATTATACTAGGAAAAAAGTACACTTTTCAAAGTTTTCAAAATCGTGGGATGAGAAAATAATAAGTCAAATAGTTTTTTTTATCCGAAAATTTCAACAATAATAATAATAACACAACTCACTAACCTATATTATTGTCAAGTTAGTGTTATTTTTTATATCTAATTTAGTACTCCCTTTGTCCCAAAATATAAGCAGATCCCCTTGATAATTTTCAAAGAAGAACTACTTATATTTTGGGACAAATGGAATAATACATAAACAAAAAAGTTACGTAGTAGTCTGTCAAACTTTCACAAATTACATTTATTTTGACAATAGAAGTAGCTATAATTGTTATATTTATAATTTATATCTGATAGTTTTTTAAAAGAATCATCGAAAAATTGTTTTCTCGATTGTTTACATCAACATTTGGTTATCCATTCTTATGAATATTTAATTTAATATGATAGAAACAAATATTTGATGTAGTGAGGATTTCTACATGTTGATTAAGGTTCTAAATTGATATTTTAATACAAGTTTTCACTATTGGTTTCATTGGTTACTGTAAACATTTCAAATAGACAAAAATACGGTGTAATGTAAAATTTTAGTTTATCTTGGATTTGGACATGAATTTTTTCATGTAGTTATAAAAACTACTAGTAAAATTAGTTGCATTAAAGAGTTTTACATCATGAGATACTTCTTACTTGTTAGCCACATAAAAGTTAATGCGATCTCACCAAAACGTGTCTCCGGAGAAATAAGAGAGAAACAAATTAGAAAAAAAGGGACAGCTTACTTGTTAGAGTTGTAGAGTTAAAAAAGGAACAGCTTACTTGTTAGAGTTGTACGTACAGTGACAAAGTCAAAAAGACCCGACCACATAACAACACTAACCTCTTGCGAAATTACATCAACAATGACATAACCTCACTGGAACAGTTTAATATAGACCCATTTGCTGTATACGACAACAACTATTAACGTCGACAAAAAAAGTCGATAACTATAGTATTACATTCAATGGTCTTCAAACAAAACAAAAATTGTATCTACTGTCTATAATAGATTTTTGAGGTTCGTACATCATCAAACAACTTTTTTTTTTTTTTTTAACCAGTTGAAGAAAAAAGATACAATTGTGATAATAAATACAATAAACAATAGGATTTACTTAGTTTTTCGTATATAACAGCAAATATTACAAATTAACCTTAATATATAAACATGAAATTAACTTACTTCTTCCAAAGCAAGAAAACAAACAATAATATCTAGAAAAGAGAAACAAATCAAAACCCATTTTCCATCAATGGGTTTCAACTAATAATCTTCTCTTTCCCATAAAAATAATTACCCCTTTCCCCAATATATGTATTAACCACCAAAAAACTGGATTTACCTTACTTTTTTTTTAATTATTTAACAATTCAAAAGCTTCTTCGTTTGTCCATGAACTCATGTATCCTCTTCAACGCAAGCTCCAAAGTCTTCTCACTCATATTAGCAAAACAAACCCTAAACCATCCAAACTCCGTGCAATGGCATGAAGATCCCGGAGATATATTTAGCTTCAGCTCCTTCAAGATCACATCCCAAAGCTCGAGCTCACCTTCTTTTGTTTTCTTCTCGAGCAAGAAACCCAAATTCATCCAACAGAACAACCCTGCGTTTCCCTTCAAACACTCGATCCCTGCCTTCTTAAGCCCGTCCACAATTGTTTCGTACCTTCTTCTAAGTCTTTCCCGGTTTATCCTTATGTACTTCTCCGTGAACGCCTCATCGGACAACATAGAAGCCAACATGTGTTGTGTCTGAGACGAAACAAGCGTAAAACTCGACATCCTTCTCGCTGTCCGCACAACATTATCGTTGTAAGAGTATATAGTTCCGACTCGGAAACCGGGAAGGCCAAGATCCTTGGAGAGGCTGTAGACGATGTGGACACGTTCCTTGAATGACACGTCATCGATGTTCTCTACGATCTCAGCGACGCTGGTGAACTCGGAGGCGTGGAAGACCGAGCCGGAGTATATCTCGTCTGAGACCAAGTGAATGTTCTTGCGTACGCAGAAGTCAAGGAGATCTTCTAGAACTTTCTTTTGGACCGTCGCGCCTAATGGGTTCGATGGGTTGGTTATGAGCACTCCTCGGACTCTAATGTTGGCTTCACGAGCCGTTTGGTATGCTGACTCGAGCGCCTCTGGGGTTATCTGGAAATTGTTCGAGCTGTCGCAATGGATCGGTACTATTTTCACTCCGGTTCTCCATCTCAAATCTCTATCGAATCTGTAAATAAATAAATAAACGTCTCGGTAAGTACAAGATATACTGATTATAATTTTCTTTTAGTAGTGTTAGTTAGTTGCAGCTATTTTATCCATTTATTAAATCTTTCTACGAGTGACCATAATATTATTATATAATTCATTATATTCATAAAGTGTGACGTACCCTGGATAATACGGTGTGGGGACGAGAAGGGCGTCGTTGGGATCAGCGAGGATGAAAGTTAAGAGTTCGTTAGCAGCGGTGGCTCCGGCGGTGAGGACGATCCGGTCAGGATCAAATCTAGCTTTACCTCCTCGAATCTGCTCCATGAAGCTAGCCATGGCTTGTCTGAAAGATTTGAGACCATGGTAGTCTTGGAATAGTGCGTTTTCTCTGAACCCTGGTGCTCCTTTGGATCCCCACATCGAACCTTCTGGGTTCTTTTTCTCCAAGTAACTTTCTAGAAGATCGAACGAGACCTGTGGAAACGATGATCGAGAGAGAGATATTTAATACATTATCATAATATATAATTAATTTTTTAAGTTCATATATAAGAAATAATTTTTTGTACCTGATTCTCAGCGAGACCCATTTGAATGACACCGGAAGGGTTATAAGATTCGTCGTAAGGGTTTTCGTCGTAAGCTTTCCAGCCGGCGAAGTAAGGTGAGTCTTCACCATGTGTGTCTGAAACCGCCACTCGAGAAAGCTCGACGACGTTGTTCTTGTTGTCGTTGTTGTTTGATGATCTCTCCATCATTAGAGGAAGACCCATTTTTGTGCTTAGAGCTTCGAACCTGACACGTGACACGTGACAGCTCTGAAACACAATCGGAGAGAGAGAGAGAGAGGGAGAGAGAGAGAGAGAGAAGTGTGTTTGAGTTAAACATTTGTGTGAATGTGGGACAAGTATATATAGCAGACGTGAGAGAGAGGAAAGTCTAGCTTTGACAAAAATTTCGATTTTCTTCTTTTTGTTTTTTATAGTTTACTTACAGAAAATAAATATGTGTAAAGAATAAGGAAGATTCGATTGCGGAAATTTGTTTTGTCATTGACTTGCAATTGGATTGAACAGATAAGAGTGTTTGCTATTTTTATTTTGTTTTATCCTGAAATTTATCGGTGGTTCAACTGTAGGAGATGCAAGTTCTATAAACGTAAATTATCAGTTTTCATACGTAACGTTATTTAGAATTTAGTCCGGTAAAAATAGCATAGTTTCTATCAATGTAGATATGCATTAAGTATGTGTTTGTATGTGATTAGTTTTTGGAAACGTTTTAAGAATATCTGGATTGGTCATCTGCAACGATTTAAACCAAAAACGACCCTAAATAATTTTGATATATTAATTGTGTACTATAATAGTCCTTCAAAAATACAATAGTTTCACTTTTAAAATTAAATTATATGCGTTTAATTAAATATCATATGTAGAGCTGAACTTAATAATTAATCAAATTTAATAATTGTGAAGTCATTAATTAAATTTGTATCAATTTTTGTTTTGTCAGTTAGAATGTAACATTATCTGTTAACAAATTTAGTGAAATTTAAAACCAACAAAAAAAATATTAGTGAAAAAATCATTCAACAATTACATCATCCTAGGAAATTATATCTATTATAAGTAAAGATGATTAAATTCCAAAGATATATGAAAGAAATGGTAAACAATGAAATTAATGTTCTGATTCGATGTTGTAAGCAAAATCAAAGATCGCCTTTTGCCCAAATCGGTCTCGGACAACTGTTAGCTTGTTTCTTATTCATCCTCTTTGGCAATACTTTTTCTCCCTTCATATCTAATTTATTTATTTGTATATTTTACAAACTTTAGTTATGAGATCTTTTTCTTGATAACTTTAGTTATGAGATCTATAGCCCAAATACGGTGGTTGAAATTCCGATTATACGAGAGGAGTGGGTGGGTGGCTATCCATACACACTTCATTAATATCTACCACCATATTTTTAGACAATTGCTATATGGAGTATAATTTTGAAAGTATTAAGCCATTCACTCAAGATATTCAGATGAATTCCTCCATTCCACAAGTTTTGGAAATGATGCACGTTAGTTTTTGTTCTGCCAATATTCAGCCGAATAAATTCATCATTAGTTTTTTTTTTTTTTTTTTTTTTTGTCGACAGCCTAAATTCCTATCACGGTACGGGAAGCGTAACCGGTGGAATTGAGTTTACATAATACACATCATAAGGCTGATCTCGAGCACTTCGTGCTAGCTTGTCTGCCTTTGTGTTCTTCGTCCTTGGAATGTGGGTGAGGGAGAAAACATGGAACTTCCGTTTGCACTTCTCCACCTCCTCGAGCAAAGCCTCGAACGCCGGCCAGTCTTCAGGTTTCGCCACCATCTTCACCAGTTCAGCGCAATCTGTTTGAAAATTCATTTGCCGTTTGTTATGAACCAGCATGAGTTGCATGGCCCACACCAAAGCCTCCAATTCTGTTTGCAAGGGGGATAAACCCGCCGTAAATTACAGGAACCCACCAGAATTGATCCTGAACTTGGATCGAAATTATACCAACCAAGCCCTGCACGACATTCTGTCTCCTTCCACGCCCCATCAACTTGACACCATTCACCCGATATCGGGATCGCGGTGTTGTTTGCCGGAAAGAACCGGACTGGTTCAGAACCGTTTGTGCAGAAGCCCATGCACGGGCTTCTGTTATCGCAGACTCTAAAACCTCTCGCGGGTCATGATCATCATTTGAAAAAACTTTATAATTCCGCGCCTTCCAAATAAACCATAGTAACCATGGGTAGATCATCATGTCATCAGCCTCTGGGAGGCTCCAGAAGAGATGGGCCATGTTTGAGAACAAAGCCCCAGTAGGAAAACAGGGAGGCGTTGGAATAGGGGATAGCGCCCAAGCCTGGCGGGCTGGTGGGCATTCAAATAACATATGGTTAATCGTCTCATCTCCCATACCACATCTCACGCATAAAGGATCCACTCGGATTCCCCGACTACTTAAACGGGCGCCAACCGAAAGACATCCCGTGATAATCTGCCAAAGAAAGTGTTGAAGTTTGGTAGTACATTTTACTTTCCATGCATGTGCTTGCAGCCGCCTGACATCTGGTCCAAAGACCAGAGGCACCTCCTCATCTGGGAAATCCTGTAAAACGCTATACCCCGATTTAACCGTGTATCGTCCCGTTTTTGTAAACATCCATCCACAAGTGTCTGGTTTGTACCCGGTTGCAATTGTAATGCCCGTAATCCGAGTAACTTCTGCACTTTCGAACAATTGCTTTAATAGTGGAATATTCCACGTTGATGACTGGGAATTAATTAACTGGTTCACCATCAAGTGGGGATAGTAATTAATTCCTGCACAAATAGCTGACCTCGGCGAGCGTCGGTAATCCATGGATCATACCATACAGAGATGGAAGATCCGCAGCCAACCCTTTTAATGAGCCCTTTATTTACCAGAGATCGAGCTGAGATGATACTCTGCCATCCATAGGACGGGGAGTAAGATCGTATTGGATCTAGGGGAGTAGAATTCCGATAGTATCTCCCCTTAAAAACTTTCGCAAAAAGTGAGTCCGGCTTGTCTAGTAGACGCCATAACTGTTTCGCTAGTAAAGCTGTATTAAAATCCTCAATAATCCGAAAACCTAAACCCCCATCACTCTTGTGACGACACAATTTTCTCCATGCCAGCCAATGCATTCCCCGAGTTTCAGAATTTGTACTCCACCAGAAATTTGCTACCGCACTTGTAAGTTTATTAGTGACCCCTTTGGGCAACCGAAAACATGACATAACGTGTGTAGGCATCGCCGATAACACTGACTTGATCATCACCTCTTTGCCCCCTTTAGACAGAGTCTTTGAGGTCCATCCGTTTATTCTCTTTTGTTGCCTATCAATGAGAAAGCTAAAAATCTTTGTCTTTGCCCCCCCTAAACTCTCTGGTATGCCTAGATAATTTCCAATACCTCCCACCTTATGAATCCCCAATAATTGATGGATTTCTGAGCGCACCATGGTGTCCACTGTATGACCGAACTGGATAGAAGACTTATCAAAATTTATTTTTTGTCCTGATACCCGTTCATAATCTTTTAGAATCTTTAAAAGAGCCCCACTCTCTTCCACTGTCGCCTTACAGAAAAATAAACTATCATCCGCAAACAATAAGTGTGACACAGGTGGACACGCACGGGCCACCTTTAAGCCCGTTAGAGTTTTTTTCCTTTCCGCCGTCTGGAGATTGGATATTAAAACCTCTGTACAAAGAATAAATAAATACGGGGATAATGGATCCCCCTGTCTTAGACCTCTATTAGGAACAATTTTACCGCGTGGTTGTCCATTAATGAGGACCTTATATTCAACCGATTTAATACATCGCATAATCCAGCTAACCCATTGTTCTGCAAATCCCATTTTCCGCATTGTTGCCTCAATAAATTGCCACTCTACCCGATCATACGCTTTGCTCATATCCGTTTTAACTGCCATAAATTTTCCTTTGCAGGACTTATTGGTACGTAACCCATGAAACATTTCTTGTGCTATCAAAATGTTATCGGAAATAAGTCTTCCCGGGACGAAAGCCGATTGGGTTTCAGAAATCAATTGTGATAGCACCTTCTTCAACCTCTCACATAATACCTTTGAAATGATCTTATACCCCACATTACATAAACTGATTGGCCGAAGCTCTGTCATGCGAGTTGGTCGCTCTGTCTTTGGAATTAGGCATATATTTGTCATATTTAACCTATCATCAAAGATTCCCGAAACTAAAAAATCATTTATAAACCCCAAGACATCCGTCTTTACTAACGGCCATGACCGTTGGAAAAACAAAGCTGTCATCCCATCCGGCCCCGGTGCTTTTTCGGGATGCATCAAAAACAATGCGGCCCGTACTTCCTCTTCGGTTGCTGGCTTTGTTAACAGGGCGTTATCCGTATCCGAAATTAAACCTGGAATCCCCTCTAGTATCTCTGTGAAGTCATCCGGTGCTGTAGTTGTAAATAGCTCTGAAAAATAATCAACCGCCACCTTTTCCATCTCTTTGTCTCCCGTAACCCAGACATCTGTTTTGTTATGTAAGCCCACCAATCGATTTATGGCCCGACGTTGTTTCGTCGTTGCATGGTAAAATTTAGTATTTAAATCCCATCTTTGAGCCAGAGGTTTCGACTTTTTTGCTTCCAAAATTGTTCTTCATCCCTATACGCGTCCTTTAATTTTTGAGTAATTTCGATGAGATCCTCCTGCGTCCGACTATCATCATTCTGAATTTCCTCTAAGGCTCTCTGTAACTCTGCAATCTTCTCTTTTCCATATGGTTTCGTAACATGTCGCCACTTCGAGATTTCATGACGACATCCGCTAATTAAATCTACTAATTTGGACTCCCCCTCCTTCTTGTGATCCGTCCATCCTCGTTCAATGGCTGCAGAAAACCCATCTTGACCGATCCATCGTTTATCAAACCTAAATTGTCGACGACCTTTTGAGCGTTTATTATCTATAGTTGCCAAGATGGGTCGATGATCCGATCCCACCATTTTTAAATACTCTACATGTGACTTCGGAAAAAATCATGCCAATCTTCTGTAGCTAAAGCCCTATCCAATCGACACCGTACAATTTTTCCCCATCGCCTCCCTCGCCACGATAAAGTATTGCCATGATTCGGAAAATCTACCAAACCGCAATCATCTATCATAAGATTAAAAGACATAAAGGTCGAAGCATACCGAATTGCTCCTCCTTGTTTTTCATGATTTCCCGTAATTTCATTAAAGTCACCAATTAAAAACCAAGGCTCATCTCTTGTAATTCCTATTCTTGTAAGTTTTTCCCATAAATAATCCCTTAATTTTGGAACCGGATTTCCATAAACAAATGACATAAACATAGTTTTTCCTTCAATGGTTACTTGTGTGTCAATTAAATTCTTTGAAGAAGAAACAATTGAAACATTAAAATTATTATTATAAAATAAGGCTAGACCACCACTTGTGCCACATGGGTCAACCGTATACAAATTATCAAAACCAAAATGAAATTGAAATTGTTGCAAAAAAATAGAGTCTTGCTTTGTTTCAGAAAGAAATAGAAACTCTGGTCTGAATTTCCACCATATTTCCCGAAGGTAGCTTATTGTAAACCTGTTCCCGAGGCCTTGGCAGTTCCAACTGAGTACACGCATTAAACAAGTTTGTTTGGTCTCAGACCCCTCCGATGGATCTCCCTCCGTCTCCTTATCCTTCCCGATCACCTTGTCTCCTTTGTCCCCTTTGCAGTCGTCTTGCGTTTCGGTGTTTTAGCACCATGAACAACACGCCGGAGTGGACCTCCTCCAACACCGACTGCAGTCCGAAACACTTTCTTCTTTGCCCCTGTTTTCCTCTCCATCCCTTGTTTACCCTTCCCCACCTCCTTTGCTTCCAACTCCACAAATTGCTCCACACCGACTAGAGTCTCCAGTTTTTCACTCCCGTCAACTTGCATATCAGTGATTTCTCGCTGTTCCACCTGATCCGCCATCTCCTCTTCTAACTTCTCCGCTTCCTCCTCCTCAATCACTTCATTCCACCAGAGTTCTCCTTCCTCGCCCTCCTCTTGAACCGCCTCCTCTTGGTTCCCCAAAGTGGTCACGGGAACATCATTTTCCGCCACTTGCTCAACCCCCGTTTCCTCTTGCTGATTTCCATTCTCATCAAGACCCGCAACCGCTGTCGTGAAATCAATGGCTTTACGCACCTTTTTGGCGGAATGTTGGTTTGGACTTGGATCTCTGTTCCCCGGCGCTGTGGAAATCAACAATGGAGCCATCATGCTTCTAGCCGGAGCTGTGGGTCTGTTGATCCGCTTCCTCTGCTCTGGTGGTACATGTCCCACTGGTTTCCTCTGGCCTCCTGAACTTTCTCCGCCATGCTTCCCATTGCCCCGAAACACAGCCTGTCTTTTAGCTCTCTCGTCTCTGTTTTCCACCACTTTCCCCTTCCCCTTCAAATCACCACCACTACCAACATGGGTGTGTGACTGCCTCCCATTCCCATTCTCCTCCCTCGGTCCATTAATGACCACTCCCTTGTAACTCATAGGGCCTCCATCGGGCTTTTCTTCCCGCCTCTTCTGATTTTCCCTCTCTTCTCTGGCCCTGCGGAGAGCCGGACATTGCACCACATCGTGACACAGGCTGAAGCACTCCCGGCAATAGCCAAAGAGTCGTTCATAACGCAGAGTCACCACTGTCTCCTCTCCACTGTGGAACTCCACCGATGTCTCAAAGATGAGTGGCTTGTACCCATCTAAGCACACCCGAACCCTTCCTCCATCAATATCCACGTCCTCCACCTCACCAATGGCTTCCCCGATACACCGGAATGTAGGTTCCGCCCAGAAATGGAGTGGAATCCCCATCATACGCACCCAAAACTTTATCACCGACGGGTAAGCAGGATCCACAATCGGTTCCCACCTCACTAGTGACACCATCCAGTAATCAAAGTGGAACGGCTCTAGCTTAAAAACCTCTGCGATATCCTCTTCACTATCGAAATCGAACTGGAATCTTCCCATTCCCAGATCCGCACTCGCCACTCTATCCTCCATCTTCCAGAACCGTGGCATGTGATGTAACAAGGCTTGCACGTCTTGAGCCGCCGGATTCATGCACCGGCCTATCAGAGTCCGGGAGTAGCCCCTGATCAAGACCGTGTTGTCAAAGCGTGGCACAGTTATCTTCAACCGAGCGGCAGAGCTCTTGTTTCCCTTGCTTGAAGCACCGTCACCGATTAAACCACCTTGAGCCATTAGGATTCCTTGCACGAGAACGCAAAAACACAGAGTTGTGTTAAAGCTAAAACAAGAACCAAAGAGACAAGCTTGTAGAAGACACAAACTAGAGAAACAGAGCGAAAGAGATGAATGCGTATTTCCGCTATTTTCCGATGTCTTCTTATACTGAGGTGTGATATCAATCATTAATCCCGAAAATCCGTGTGAATCAATCCCGAAATCCCTCCAATCAATCAGAGAATCCCCAACTTTCCTTGAAAAAACCCATTGTATACTTCCGGAAAAGTGAATTACCTTTAACAAAATTTGAAATCGAATCGCATGGGTCTCCGGTGATCCCCCATTACTGTGATTTTTCCTAAATCGGATGAAAGAGTTAACCCCATTTTCCTTTGTTTCCGACCGACCACTTCTTCCTTCCAAGAGCAATTCTTCCGAGATCTTCGATGCACATCAAACAGATCCGGTTCCCGAGATACGATTCACCATCCAAATGATTCGAATCAAACGGATCCGTATCCTTCTTTCTCCTCTCTCCATTCCTCATCAATAATAAGTGGGACCTCACAGATTTCTCAATTTCAATCGACCCCACACCCGATCCGTCGGATCGATCGAAACCTCCTCCATAACCCCGAGTCTTGGCCGAAAGAGAATGCCTTAAACCGCCACACAAATCCAATCCGAAAAAGATTCCGAGATTTCCAATGACGCCATCGCCATCGCCCAGGGATCCGTCTTTGAAACCATAGTATATCACTCGAATCATCAGCAAGATCCGATCGATCTGCATGTCAGACTCCCAAATAATTTTTATTGTGAGATCTTTCTCCGATCTGAAAAAATACGTGTGAGGACTTTCATTAGAGGAGGAGATTTGATGAGATCCCCTCTCCAAATACCGATGAACCCGTAGAAAAACCGAAAATTCCACCGAAACTTGTCTGAAAAGCATATCTAAAGCCTAGATCTGGAGATCGCTTCGCCGTCGCCTATGTCGTCAAGGATCATACTTCCTAAGTTTGATTTAAAGATATATTCTTTCGTACTATTACCTAAGTTTAGGCCTTTCGTACTATTACCTAAATGGCCAAATTTTTGTGACTAATGTCTAATGTGATACAGTGGTTGAAGAATTTTATTTGAATATTTTTTCATCATTAGTTTTTGTCATGGGAATAAATTTATGTTGAATTCTGTTAACAAAGTTTATTAACAACGAACTTATGTAGTTGGCCAGAGTGAATTTATGTAGTTTAGTCCTGGGCCGCATATATACTCGGATAAACATATTTATAATTTCCACTAAGTGGTCAAAGTATGCTCCCTGATGGGTGATAATAATGCTCCAATTAATTGCGGTACTTAACGCACATTTTAATTCTCGTACTTAAGAGTTAAGACCCTAATCAATTACACATGCAACTAGTATGAATCCCCACATAAAAATAATTGATTGATACTAGTGTGCCTGTGGTAAGCATGATGATAAAATGGAGTACACAATTTTAAACGTTCATGCTCTTTCCATTCTACTTGTTTCGTTACAGATGTTTTACGTAGTAGTGTGAATCATTTCATATACTTTTTTTTTTTCATAACACAACTCTACTACTTGGCTTTTATATTTAACGTAATATTTAATAAGTTGATAAAAACAATAGAGGAAACACTAGTAAGGGCGTGAAATTGCGTTTTATATTTTGATGTTGCGAAAGAAATAATATATAATGATGTGTCATATATATGTGTGAAGCAAAATGATCGAGAAGGATATTTGGGAGATCTAAGAGTGGTTAAAAGTCGAACTACGTGACACTGATACACACAATCATAACATAAGATTATGATTCCAACTTTGTGAGCATTGTGTTTATCAAGTTCTTGGCGGATCTTAGGTGACCCCACATATCACAATTAACGAGCTATAAAATTAAAATGTATAAAACTCCAATAATAAAGTGAATAAAAGAACTTGTGCCTAAAAACAAAATACTCGATAGTATATTATATATTGGTCCAAAACCTAATCAAAGATTAAAATTAGCACGAGTTTTTCAAATCCATATAGGTGCTGGGAATTCTATCTAGTGTTTGTTAATTTGGTTACAGTTTATTTTTAAAGAGCTAGTTACAAATTAGAAGATTTTTATTTTAAACTAAAATCAGATTAATGGTCATGTTTGTTGAATTGAATCGTAAATAATCCAAATCTATGCATTATAAAAATTGCATTGTCGCAGTTTTGCCCGCACACCAAGATTAAGATTTTGGGTAGAGATTTGCTGTTTGTTTGTTTGGAGTTAGAGCAGATGACTAGAGGGTATTAACCGGCATAACAGTACGCAGGAAGAATTAAAATTAATTAAATTAGAAAAAAGATAACGAAAACAAAGTAAACTTACAAGTGTAGATGCACGTATATATACACAATTATACACACGTGTTCTTACATATGGGTGTATATTTGTATTTACGTAATACTAATTAATAACAAAAGTAATTTGCATGTGATCGAACCCACGTACCAGCTTAATATTCGGAAATCAAACATGTAGATTGAATTTCAATAGATGACCAACTCAAAAATAGATACGTAACGCTGATTTATATGTTCTTATATCATTATAAATAATACACTTTCAAAATAATAATAAATAAATAATAATACTGTAAATAATCTAGACTTTTCTTTTTTAAGAACTAAATAATCTAGACTTTGTTTAACAAAAAAGTAATAATCTAGACTTTGAAGAAAAAAACAGGAGTAATATTGATTCAGAACCGAGTTTTATTGATTCATTATATTTTCTTAAATTTTCGAGACAAATCTTTTACATGCAAAATTTTGGGAGATGAAGGACATGGTTGATCTCTTCTACTTAATGTCATAGATTCGCTTTAAATCATGCTGGATTATGTCTTCACATAAGTGACAAGCCAATGGATTGTTTACATATTGTGTGTAATTTCATAGGAACATAGAATCAAATTTAGTCACCAATTAATGGATTGATTGATTCCCATAAGTGCTTAATAAATTGTAATTAATTACTAATCCTAACATGAAATCTTCGAGCAGAAGTTCATGATATCTTACGGACCAATCATTATAGTATGTTCTAATAAATACTAATATCCCGATTAGTTTAATATAAATTTAAATTAAACAAATATGCAAGTTGTAATAGAGAACGTGAAAGAGAAGTGGAGTTTGGCGACTGTTTGTGCGGCTAATAAGGAGAGCATCTTCATGTAAATATACGAGACATGCATCAAACGATATTGCGATCTATAATCTTTGTTCAAGTACATATCATCTAGGTATATATATAGTTTGACATTCTGCTGTTAGTGTAAACTTGATTTCATTAGAGAGTTAACAAATATAACATGTTTAAAGTTTGCTAAACTTGACAAGTATGATTAAAAACTAGTTTCAGATTTAAGAAATTATAAACCAAAGTCCACATTTTCCTGGTTAACAAAAGATTCTTTTGATCAACATGTTTATATGCGAGCTTATGAGTTACAAAGTGGTCGTGGTCGAGGCGTCGAGCTATGAATAGTGTTTACACAATGAATTTTCTTTTGGTTTTTCTCTGTTTTATGAAGACTGGTGTTTTGTATTTTCTACACACTCGATATAATTTAAAGTCAATAAACTTATTGAGAAAACACATTTAGTTATTGGAAAAAACAGATAAGGATTATGTCAAGCGACATAGTTTTTTTTTTGGGGTAAAATATGAAGATTTTATACCAGTTTTCAATTTTTGACAAAATTACAAAGAGAGAACAGAGGAAGTAGAAAGACCAAAATCTAAAGACAAACAAATGTCAAGCGACACATTCAACATATCTAGATAATACAACCGGTTCGTTTCAACGAATCTCGGAGATGGAAATTGGACTCAGAACCGGGCATGAGTTCATAATATTCATACAAAACAAAAATATATCACAAATTACAAGCTATATATCATCACAGTACTCGAATCTAAAAGTCTGAATTAAGTGTATTCAGATTATGTATTGAATTGGGCGGGTTATCTTTTGAATAATATGTCAACTACTAAGTATATTTTGTTCCTCATTTATATGCATATATAACTACTTAACCAGTAAATATAAATACCAAGAGATAACGAAAAAAGACATGAGATTATTGTAGCAACTACACTGAGAAGGATGAAGATTCTACTACCTAATGATTTGCTGTCAGCAAATACAATTTTATAAATGATACTGCGAAAATCGTATCTTTCGCAGTATAATGTGACCAATGGGAAGAGGCCACGATAGCATGTTTCTTTCTTCTTGTCACTTGTCAGAAATGGATTAACTCAACATCTTGAGTTGGTATTTGGTAAGTCGTATCATCCCACAGCCCAAATCTTCTGATCCCACCGTAGCTTCTTTATTTATTTTTATATGTTTTCATACTTTCTAAGTTTCTATCATGTTCTTCATTTTTTCAAAAAAAAGTCATCAATTCAGTATTGTATCAAACTAACAACAAAAAAAGTCGCAACACACTAGCTAGGAAGGAAGATTCGGTCGAGTGATATCACGTCATAAGAAACTACATTAAAAGTAGACGAGTTATCTAAATTCAAACTAGTTTTGGCATTATATTTTGGCAATTCCAATTTCTTAATTGGTGATTTCAATGAGACAAAAACTATAGGGTATAATATTTAGAAACGCGTTATGGCATGCAAGAATATTCCAAACGTGTTTGTACGAACACGTTGTCGTACTCTGCAACACAAGTTCTCCACTGCCAGTATTACTTTATCTTCTCAAGTATTAATTTTTCCTTTTTTTCTTATTATATAAACTAAAAATAAGCTAAGAAACAAATGATTTATAACGTGAACTACTTTATCAAAAAAAAAAAAAAAAAGATGTATAACTTGACCTACAAATGCTGAATATATGCATGCTCGTGTCTAGTTAAAAGCTGAAAACTCTATATATAACAAATAATATATTTCCTAACTAATTTATATTTCTGAGCATACATTACGAGAATATATATGTCTTTTCTATTTTTATATTGGATACACTAAAGTTAGCCATGAGTGCTTAAGCTTATTAGGTGTTACTTATATTATTCTATATGCATGCCAAGCCAAAACTTGCCTTTTAGTTGAAAACTTTAGGCACATCATTGTACCTCCATAATATACTATTTGTTCCTTTCTCTAACCATGAACTGTGAAGGGAAAAACTCCATAACTTAAATAAATTTTCTGAATTTAAATATGTTTATCCGGCCAACTTTACGTGCATTCACACGCTGATCACGTTATAGTGATAAGGTCCAATTCATGATTATATGATCCATGACAATGCCGTCGAGATAAGATCCTTGGTATTAAATCTTACCTTTTCCCAAGCGTTTTCAAGCTATAAGTTTGCTTTTGAAATGACGAGATGCATAAATAGGTCGATCAATTAAAATTGATATCTATATGTAGTATTTCATATTCTTATACTTTTATTTTAAAATATCACGAACAAAAAATTAAGCATGATTTGTACAATACTTATTGGTAACCGGATTATAAAGTAGTTTTGAGAACTAGATCGTAGTGGCTAATGCATTTCAAGAATAGTTCTTCCACTTTAATCAAATATAGTGAAAGTAGTGGATTGCAAATAAATTCGAATGATTCATATGACGTTGAATTAATTTGGAAAGTCTGTAGTTTCGTATATATCTATAGCGATTAAATTAAATAATTACATAATTAACGATTATTACTTAATTACGCTTGTTCTTCACTTTGATGATCCACATTTAGAGAAATAAAATTTCTTAATTAGAAGAATAAAATGTCTTAGTTAGATGCTTATAATTATTGGGTTTCCAACATAATTTTGATGATTTACACTTGCATTATCGTTCCACAATCTGAAGCAATTGACTAGAATTGTTTATACTCATACGGTCTTGGGACTTGTGAAAAAATGGTTTTGTATATACTGATGGGGACTTCATTAACTTTTCCAACAGAAATGGCTGTACTTTCTTATCTATAAATGGCGCCTGTATAATAATTGTTAGATTAGTTGTAAATACGATCAAAAACACAAAAGTGCCTCGATAATTAAAAACACACATGGAGTATGTCAAGTTGTTAATTTTTGTAATAATATCTTATAATTAACTAGTACGTTTATTATGATCTCCAATCATTGTTGAATAATTCATGAATGGGTCGCAATATATGTACGTATATATTATGAAGCTTTACTTTCTGCACATATAAAAATGAATTATCAACCAACATAGCTAATAGCTTCCACTTGGACACTGATTCTCATGGCCCAAATATGAATAAAATACAAAACAAACACTTGAATAAACAAATGAAAAGGGATAGTACGACAGTCTGTCCGATTCATATGCGCACAAATAAACACACACGTAAATGTTAAATTTACTCATTTGAGTGACCAATTTCCTATTTTAAGAGTTAAGCCTATTGATATGATTAGATGTTAATCTTAGTAATTTTAATAGTCAAATTGTTCGTTTAAAATGTTTTACTTTGACAACCATAATCTACGTATGCATCTGGTTTTTGTCTTCACTATGAATTCCAGTAAATTCTATCGATAACAAAGGGAAGTTTAAGAACACATACATTTACAATCTAGCTATGTGTTCTTTCAATATAGTAACTCCAAATATCCAATTAGGTTCAAATGTGCATATATATACACACACTCGTATAAAGCATGTGATAGATTACAATTGTTGCTACGCGTGCAACTTAGTTTTTAATGTTCAAGTTGCTTTACAGATTTATTGACAGATAACTTCAGATACCAAATTATACAATATTAATAACCCATATTATGATACTTTTATAAACATGCGTATTGGAGTATTTCTTTACACACAAGGTTGCGGCCTTGCAGGTTATGGGTCTTATTCATATTTATTGAGGAATCGAAAACTGAAATTTATATGCAAGTGAATAAAAACACAACCGAATAGTAAAACCCATGCTAGTTTATCTAGTTAGAAAATTCTGATTTCGAGTTCAAGACTATTTTCAGGGATCTCCCTCTTATTCAAATACGCAGTATGGTTTCTCTAGGCCAAAGCGATGCAAGGAGCATAAATCAAAAACTTAATGGGTTCGACAAAACTACATTGCAGTTCTTGAATCTATTTTGCTGCTTTATTTAGTTAATAAATAATATACTACAGTATATATTTATGAATTAACCGTGTGTCATGAACTTTACTATGGCTTTGGATTTGCTGATCCATGTGCTGACCAAGGTTTGAAATTTCAGGATTTGATGAACACAATAAGCCTAAAAAGTCCATTGCTTTGCTCATTTTGATACATACTCTACTCTTGCATCAATTCCCCCTATCCAACAAAAATTGCATCTAAATACGTGAAGTCCATTTGCACCAAAAAAATAACAAAACAAAAACGTGAAGTTCTATTGTAAATGGGCCAACTATAGGGCCTATTTAGCCGTTCTCTTAAACTATAGTAATGTGATGAGTTTACTTAGAAACACTCAAAAGCTCTTGTTGATCGTATTGTTTCCTTTGCTAAAAAAAACTGTTTGTTGTCTTTCCAAATGCTGCAAAGAGTAGATTTAGAGCATGTCCATCCGTGAGACTACACCAGTCTCTCAGAATTAAAAATAAATGAAAAAGATAAAAAAGTAAGAAAAAGAATGTATAAACGTGTAGAACGTCTCTTGGTAGACATATTTTCCCAATAGTACAAGAGACCCAAAATATATGTATCATCATATGTGTGGGTTATATATTTATATATTTGAATTTAATTAAAAATTGAAATTAAATTAATATAATAATTTTGTGATACTCTATTTATGGGTATTACTGATGGACATGCTCTTACAACTTATTTTGATCGAAAACACAAAAAAGGATAAAACAATAACATGAATCTCTCAGCTGTTGGATTTATAGTAAAAGGAGAGCAATATTGTTTTTCCTAGAAAAACCTTTATTTTGTTTTCCTAAATGACATGAACATAATTAGAACATGTTTTGACGATAATAAATTAATAATTGGTTCGGCTCTTGGAGACGCTGAATAAAAAAAGGAAAAAAATTAGCAAAAGTAGAAACGAATAATATAAAAACCATAATAAATAATTTCCACTAATTTACGGAGAATAATAATATTTGGCATTAACTTGCCGGAGAAGGTGAGAAACCAAGTCTCAATTGATCAGAAAGAACAATTCGTTTCTGGTTTATCAATCTTCTCTTCGTTTTCTCTCTTCCTTCTTCTTCTTCCTTCCACTTCAACTGTACAGAGATTCTCTGGGGAAGAAGAAGAAGACGAAGATCCATTTAACCGTATCTATCTTTTCTCTCTCCACCTCTTTTCGATGGCGGAGGGCGAAGAGAAGAACGGTATTATTGATTCGATTCCCTTATTCGCCAAGGAGCTTATTGCCGGCGGCGTCACCGGCGGTATAGCTAAGTCCGCCGTTGCTCCACTCGAGCGAATTAAGATTCTGTTTCAGGTACGAATAATTCTGGGTTTTATTCTCTCGATTTAATTAAACTTTGTATCTGAAGTAAAATTGATTCGTCCCTTGACTCAGTTAGGCTTACCTGAGTCATGAACTCGGACTGAAACATCAAACATCTCCCGTTAATTCGAAATCTGAGTGCTTTGAGTGTTGTATTCACAATTGGAACATGTTTATAGTGATAGACACATTGAATTCTTCTTACTCAAATCTCTGGACTAAAGAAGCTCATCATAAAGCTTTGATCTTTTCTCAGACTAGAAGGGACGAGTTTAAACGCATAGGACTTATAGGATCCATGAACAAGATTGGCAAAACTGAAGGTTTGATGGGTTTTTACCGGTACGTTAATCTTGTGGTTTTGAAGCATTTGGGCTTCATTAGATACTTAACTTTGTATTCGGGTTTTGGTGCTCAGTGGGAATGGTGCAAGTGTTGCTCGGATAGTTCCTTATGCAGCTCTGCATTACATGGCTTATGAGGAATACCGGAGATGGATCATATTCGGTTTCCCAGACACTACACGAGGCCCATTGCTTGATCTTGTAGCTGGATCATTCGCTGGTGGCACTGCGGTTCTCTTCACTTATCCTCTTGATCTGGTCCGGACTAAGCTGGCTTATCAGGTAACCTGCTTCAGATGCTGTGTGCTGCTCATGTCTCAATTTCAAGTTTAGAACATAAGTAAGCTCATGGAGGATTCAGCAGTGCAGGTTGTAGGTTCAACAAAAGCACAAGCCAAGTCCATCATTCCCTTGGAACAAATTGTGTACAGAGGAATTACTGATTGTTTCTCAAAGACATATAGAGAATCTGGATTCCGAGGCCTATATCGTGGTGTAGGTACATGATAGCCAAGCAAAAGTATTTGGATTTTTGCTGTGTCTTCTCTTTTGTCTAAGACTCGAAAAAGGTTTGATCTTTCTTTGGTTGTGTGTGATACAGCTCCTTCTCTGTATGGGATCTTCCCTTATGCTGGTTTGAAGTTCTACTTTTATGAGGAGATGAAACGACATGTCCCTGCAGAACATAAGAATGACATTTCCCTGAAACTCGTATGTGGATCGGTCGCTGGATTGCTTGGTCAGACCTTAACGTATCCTCTCGATGTTGTCAGGAGACAAATGCAGGTGTGATCTGGTTCTGCTTCTTTGAAACCCATTCTTGAATCTTCGTGTATTCTAACTGAAACTCCCTGCAGGTTGAGAGACTATATGCAGCCGTTAAGGAAGAAGCAAGAGCTAAAGGAACGATGCACACCCTTTTCAAGATTGCTAGAGAAGAAGGTTGGAAGCAACTCTTCTCGGGGCTTAGCATCAATTACCTCAAGGTTTGAGACTAGTTTCATCGATCTCTCTCTTTGTTTTCAGACAAATGGACGATTTAAGTTATATACAAACTCTCTCTTCTCTTGGTTTCTCTAGGTTGTACCGTCTGTGGCAATCGGATTCACAGTGTATGATGTTATGAAGCTGTACTTAAGAGTCCCACCGCGAGAAGAAACAGAGGCAGTAGAAGCTGTGACTGTGACGACGCAGAAAAGGAACGTTTTAAGCTAATTCTCTAAGATCATCCATTGTCTCATTCTTTGTGGTGTTTAGAAAAAAACCACAGAATATTATCGAGTGTACATTCCATTTTTTTCATAGTGGAAATTGAAGCTAACTTCCTCCAAATAAACAGTGTCAGAATTCCAATCGAATAACAATAGGACATGTGTAAATACTGAATTGCTTGTAGCTTTGTTGAACACTTACGATATGAAGGATATCTTTGAGTACTTGTTTGCTTGCAGGAGATTCTACGTTTTGGCTAAAAGCAACAAAGTTTATGAGATTGAAGAAGAGCAAAGAAGCTGCTTCATACATAAAAGCATATCCAGTTCGATTAACTTGCACCTACTTAATCAAGTACCTACCTCATACTAAGCTATCAAACGTTTTGGTTAGGTACTTACAAAACGAGTTAACTCTAATGCATTGTTTGAATTCAAGATGTGACTCTCATCCCCTTGTGCTCCTCACATCTCTTCCTTCCTTTCACTGGAGGCTTCTCGCATACCGTTCCATTGTACAGCTTAACACCGCAAATTACTTGACCAACAGTTGCTGACTCAACCTTTTCGGATGATCTCTTGTCCAAAGTTTGATCTTTGTGCTGCCAACATCTTATGCTTCCCTTAGGAGCACTTCTCGTACAAGGCAAACCAGTCTTCGTTGTAGCTTCACAGAGAAGACTCGGACTTGAATCCTCTTGGTTCACTGAGCCTTTACATGTCTCCGGTTTGGATTTATCCTCTTTGACAGCTTTATCTCGTTCCATTGGGTTCAACAGAAAGAAGAAGGCATTGACTCTCATTCCCTTGTGTTCCTCACATCGTTTTCTCCTCGAAACAGGCTTCGTTCTGCAACGTACCATGTCAGGTAAAATCACTCCACATATGTTCTCTGTTTCTTCACATTCTCTTCCTCTAGGAGCTTCACTCGGAATGTGTTTTTCAGGGGGAACACTAGAGATTCTCTGCCCTTTATGCTCTGTACATCTCTTTCTTCCTTTGATTGGAGTTGTAGTGCAAGTAGTACCATCTTCTAGTAAGACTCCACAGACAGAAAGAGAATCAGACTCATCAATAATGTCATCACTTCTGAGTCCAAGTACCGAAGCAGGAGAAGTACTCTTATCCTCAGCTGCATCACAGCTGATCTCTCTCTCATGCTTCTTGTCTTCGGTTCTGTTGCCAGTTTTCTTCTGAGAGGAAGGAAGAATCGTGTGAGAGACTCCTGGATTTCTCTGGCTCATAAGCAAGTCATGATGGGGAATAGATCTACCATAAGACCTGAGCCGAGATCTAATGCTTTCGGTTTGACCATGAGAAGCCACAAGAACGTCCTTTGGGTCAACAGCTACACCGAGACCCGGGATGGATCCTTGGACTCTGTATCTGCCTGCATAGTCTTTTCCCTTTCTGACATCTTCCTTATTGTTTGCTCCTATTAGAATCTGTGTTCAGTATAAGTTTGACATTAAAAGATTGTGTTTAGTTACATAAGAGAAAGAGTTTAGCTTGATGATACACATAAGACTAAAGTTGCAATGTGATGAAGGAGATAAAAATGTGACCTTTGGGCCAAAATCCCGAGAAATGGAGGTGTAATCCACTAAAGTCCTTCGTAATTCTGCATTTTCTGAAAAGGGTTTACGAAGAAGCATGGATCCGGCAAAACCCTGGAAAAAGCCCAGAAACGCAAATGACAATTACACAGAATCTCAATGGAAAGGAAAAACGGCATCTTTAAATCAAATCCGACGAATTTCCAAGAGAAATCGCTCAAATCCGACATTCAGCGAAATGAAAAGGTCGAACAAAACAATAGACCCTGAATCACTAAGTTTCCTCAAATTCGAAGGACATTTCTTGAGAGATAGAAGAAAAAGAGAGAGAGGGTAGTACCTGCCACTGGGAAAAGACGGCGTCGGGTTTAGTGCGAATGTAATCGTCTCTTTTGAACATGTTGAACACCGACGGCGAAGGAAACGCCGTTCCGAGAAATCGGTTCCCTCGTTTCTGATCGGGCTATCGGAAGAGAATTTACAGAAAATTAGTATTCTTTTTCTATTTCTTTTTCAAATTTTGAATTTGTCACTGTGCTAATATTTGAAGAAAGATACTCAACCGTTGGAACTTGGATTGTCCAAAAAAATGGTCAAGCTTTCGCTGGAGTGATTCTTTAATTGACCACCGTCGGATCTTCAACATGATTGATTATTTGATTGCATAATTTTTAGAGAAATTTTTAAAAAATCGTTTTAAAAGTCTATGTATTTTGATAACTAATCCATGTTTTCAAAAAATTGACACTTAATTTTATTTTCTCTACAGACATAAAAAAAAATCAACGCTAAATAAAGTATTTTAGGAGGAAGAACATAATTTATGATATTTTTATAAGAACGTTATGATCTTATTACTTAATAAAAAAATGTGTTTCCAAAGTTTTAGAAACATGAGTTAATCTTCAAATGACGTAAAAATTATAGATCCTTTAAAATATTATATTCATTCTTCAGTGTATTATCATTCAGTAAAAGCCGGAAAATTAAAAATGTACGTTCAGTTAAATATTATAAAATCGGAACTAATTGGAACTTTTAAAACCTCGAGAAAATACCAATAACAAAAAAAAAAGAGAAAGCTAGGGTTTCCTTCAAGTCGTATTAGCGGCGGCAATGCCCCCGAAGTAAGTTTCTTTCCGAGTCTCTACGTCCGTTCTATTTTTCCTTACCCTCCAAACCCGACCAAAGTCTTATTACGATGTTATCTTCGACTTTGGATTTTCCTAATTGATGTTTTCTTAGCAGAACTCGTGGTGGAACCTCAAAGAAGAGACGAAAAGTTAATGTGAAAATAGATATGATCAGTGAGTTGCCTGATGCTTTACTACTTCAGATATTGTCCTTAATTCCGACAATAGATGTAGTAAGGACTTGTGTTTTATCGAAACGATGGAGATCTCTCTGGAAAGATGTGAATAAACTTGACTATAATCACAGGAACAATAGAAAATTGTCGCACAAATTTGTTCAGAGGTTCTTGATATCACACCAGTCGAACCAATTGGTTCACAGCTTTCTAAAGAGCATGCGACTTATAGTGGGGTCGGATTGCGAGGCTGTTGATATCAGAATTTGGATTGGGTATGCGGTTGAACATGGTTTACGTGAGCTAGAACTCGATTCTTTCTCGGATGAAATCATCCAGTTGCCAAGTAACATCTACACTTGTAAAACACTCGAGATCTTGAAACTCAAGAACTGTGTTCGTGTAGATGTTCCTAACTCCCAAGTTTGTTTCAAGTCCCTCAAGATCCTAAACCTTCAACTTGTGTACTTCAAGGACGATGATTCCGTGCGTAGGCTCTTCTCAAGTTGTAGCAATCTTGAAGAGTTGGTTGTTAAACGATACATGGACAATGTGACAAACTTCACTATTGAAGTACCATCTTTAAAGAGATTATCAATACATGATTGTAGCGATGGAGATGGTCGAAGAGGTTACGTGATAAACACTCCTTCTTTGAACTACTTGTCCATTAAAGGACTTAACGATTTTGAGCTTTCTCTTGAGAATACGCCGGAGCTAAAAGAGGCAAAGATTATTGATATTGCTGATATAAATACTGCCAAGATTCTCCTACCTCTTGCCTCATCAGTCAAGCGTCTCTCCTTGTCTTTATCGCCTTTACAGGTAAACATGTATCTTTTTTTTTTTTTTTTTTCACATTGCAATCCAAATCTTTCACTTTTCGAAAAACCAAGACGAAGTAAAATTTTATATTAGCTTGCATTGAGAAGAAGAAGAAAAATGAAAGATTCACGGTTGAACATATTTTTTTTCGTTTGCTTGTACCGCAGACTAGGTACGCGGATAAAATTGTCTTTCATCAGCTTGTATATTTGGAGCTAAGTACTAGTAAAACCGAGTGGTGTAATCTACTTATGATTTTGCTATGGAATGCTCCTAATCTACAAGTTCTCAAGCTCACGAGACATGTAAGAAACTTCTTAAAACTTTGCTTACTTTTTCTAGGTTAACTTTTGCAGTTTGATGAGAGTCTAAAACATTTTTGTTTCTAATCGGTTTTGGTCGAAGGAGTCGGTGAAATACAATGAGTGCGTGTCTACCTCACAATTTCAAAAACCTATTAATGTTCCTCCTTGTTTGTTACTCTACCTACAAAGATTCGAGTGGGAAAGATACAATGGACTACGTGAAGAAGAGAGACAAGTTGCGTTGTACATACTAGCAAATGCGAAACATTTGAAGGAAGCGAATTTCTGGACGAGAAATTCTAACTCGAATGAGAATTTTGAGATGTTAAAGGAGTTGGCTCGTGATCCTAAGGCTTCACCTTCGTGTCGGTTTCTCTTTGATGAGAAGAGAAAAAGTTCTCTTAGATGAGATGCAATTTCGTCCAAGTATATCAAGCTTTTGAATACTTTATATGAGCTATTTTAGACTTTTGAGATTCGCATTGGTTTTCTTATGAAACTGAATTTGTAAGATGAAGACGTAAACATGTTGACGTTTCTTGTTTACCAAGTAACAGAGAAACCAGTGTACGTTAGGGCATCTTCTTATGTCAGGAACAAAGTATTTCTTCCTTACTACAATTATTGCATACTTGTGACTTGTGAGGTTGACATGAATTCAAGAAAACCCAGTAAACAAAATGAGTTTAGCTGCAATTAGATTTTGACTTTATATGTACACAACTTATGATGCAGCATATGCAAATTCCAGTTAACGTATATACAAGGAAGCATTATTAAATACATAAAAACTTGTATATCAGATGCATACAATGAATAATTATACGCTTGAATCTTCAACTTTCTCAGAAGCCGAAGATGAGTGGTCACTGCTAATTCCTACATTATGTCTCTCTATAGCATCTCTCAGTTTCTGGAACTGCAGAATGTTCGCAAAAGCTAATTAGAGAACGACACCATTAAGACTATAGTACGCTCTGCTTTTCGTGATAGACACAAGTGGGGTTTGAAATTAAAGAGCAAAGGGGACAAGAAGATCTAACCTTGGCAAGAGAGCATGAGAAGGATTCGACTTGGCCATCAACGCCGCGGTACAAGTGGAAGTATGGTAACACCTTGACGTTCAAGCTTTTGCAGAGTGACTTGTTCTCGTCAAAGTTTACTTTAAGGAACAATATTTCAGGGTGTTGTTCCGCTGTTTTGCAGAGCTGGAAAATACAAAAAGGTCTCAGCTTTCACGTAAAGATCCGTTTTAGAAACAATACAGTTGATGATATGAGTAATCTTACAAACTCATTTAGTTTTTCCAAGAAACATTATGGCTGCAGACACACAAACGAAACGAAATGAGAGATGGTTGAGTAAAAGAAGATCACCTTTGGGAACATTGCTCGGCAAGAACCACACCAAGTTCCATAGAAATCAACGATGACTAATCTATATCCGGCATCTTTCAAAGCGTTTAGAAACTGTTCGGTTGAGGTAATGTCAATCATGTTTGGCCCTGCTTTCCTCTCCCACCATTTTGGCTGTTCGGTTTCAGCAGCTAACGCTTGGACCTATCCAACAATGCAGGAAGAAAGTTTCACCACACACTAATAAGAAAGATGTCGCATAGTAAAGTTCACCAAGAACCGAGATCATCACTAAACAACCGTCCAAAAGCTTAAAGCAGCTTAGCTTCAATTAAAATCAGACATTGTGAGCTTAGACACAGGACTCATGTAAATCGTATCTGAGCCCAAAAATACCACATAAAGAGTAACCTAAACCAATGGCACATATAGAAAACCCTAATTCCCAAATCGACAACTAGTGACATAAGATTTAGCTAATTCTTAATAAGTTGATCATGGGTTTTCGAATTTCGGACATAAAGTTGAATCTCAGCTCAAAAAGTTACGAAATTGAATACCTTTACGGAGAGAGATTGCTTCGTTGATGAGAAAACTAGATTTTCCGGTCCGATCGGAGAAGAAGAAGAAGTAAGAGAGGACGGGCTCGAGAATGATAGACCGTAGCATCTGTTGCAGGAATTCCGAAATGGTCGGGTCCAGATTGGTGGAGAGATCGGAGTACAATTAGAGGAAGCGTAAAGCGAGAAGCTTGGTGATCGGAAAGATGTCGTCGGAGACATGAATCGCAAGAGAAAGACTTGGCCTTTTTCTCTGTTTCGCTTTCTAATTTTCACCGGAAAAATTAAGAAAGTTCGCTGTCACCTCCCAAACATCATACTAATTACAAAATAAGCCCTTCACTTTTTGGTTATTTTCTCAATTGTTCTAATTTTCCTTTTTATTGATTTGTTATCCGATATAATTAAACAAAAAATCAAGAAAATACAATATTTACTCAACTTTCTATGTGTTCTTGATTTGCGCTCTAAGCTTCAGAAATTTGTTGTCGAGTTCAAAAGGGAATTGTGAAAGAACTTTTTAACCTCACAGTGTCTAGTTAATAATAGATTTTGCTCTAATATACACACATTCATATTCTGATTTCTGATATACATAAGCTATATTTGCCCTCTTCCATAAATACTACTTTTCTGTGCATATATAGCTTATGTATATCAGAAATCAGAATATAGTTATTTTTCACGTATAAGATTACAAATTAACCTAGCTAGCCACCGACAAAGTTTAACACATGCATAAAGTTAGCTTGACGGATTACATATATAGATATATTGATAAATTAATGTAATTCATATATTAATTCTCAAATCTTCAAATACATCAAACACGTAAATGTGAACAAGAACAACAGCATTACCGGAATTACAAGCTCCATAAAAAAAACATAGCAATACAACAACAAAAAATACTAGTTATATAAGAGTTTACTAAACCCCCAATCTTCATTGTAAAGTTTGACAGAGTGATACCTAAACATATCACCGCAAGAACAAAATTTAATCAAACAAATACTCTACCTATTAGTAGCTATGCGGGATTATGGTATAGTTTATAAGAATAGTTCCCTAGTTTCTTAATGAGGTGAGTTTTAATTAAAAATAGTCACCCGAGTATTATTCCGTAAGATAGAGCCATTAGTAAAATGGCAGCCTCTTTCTCGTCTTGAGGGAAAACTTGCTGATAAGCTGAGCTTTTGCTCAAGATTATCGCTAGATCATCGGAATAATAGTTGTCTGAAGAGGAAGATGTCGAAGAAAGTGACACCGTGGGTTTGGTTTGAGTCTCAACATCTCCGGTTGTTGCGACGACCTCCATCACCGGTACGGCCTCCTCCGCCGATGTGGTCATCCTCTTACATTTCTTTAGCTTTGGAGCCGAAGGAGAAGATAGATTATAGTCTCCATTTGATCTCTTGTTCTTGTTTTGCGTCTTCTTTTTCAGGAGCGGCGGTGACACGTCATAGGTTGCTGTCCCGGCTGCGGCTGCAGCGGCCCGCCTCGCCTTCCTTTGTCTTATTCCACACGCATTACAAAGAGACTGTAATAACAAAACAAAAACGAGAATTACTTATCTATCCTGTAAGGTGATTATTAGGATGATTATTAAATTTCAAAGATTAAGGGGTTTCTCTTAACCTAGTCAGAATTACTACCTAAATCTTATTTAACAGTCATTTTTTGTTGGTGATTTTATAGATTAAAAAAAATAAGAAAAAAAACTAGTATATACTGTATGACACTACACATGAATTCTCCGAGAGCTTCTAATAATGATATACGATATAAGATTAAACTTTAAGATATGTTTTAACTAATATATGTGTGGCTAGTTACCTTGGGACCTCTCGGGCCGCTTCTCCAAAGAGGAGTCTTGGTCGTGTTACAATCGGAGCAAATCCTGATCACGCAATTGTTGCTTCCGTTATAACCATTCTCGCTGACAATATTATTGTACTGATTTGTAGAGATTTTCTTGAGATGATCATGATGATTTTCTTCGAGATTGCGTAGGTTCAAGGATTGTTCGTTATTAACGTGTTGTTTGTTGTTGTCGGTGGTGGTGATCATAGTCTTCTTCTTCTTCATCAGTCTCACCTTTGAAGAAGTCCACTTGAGCGTTTTAGTTTCGGTCTCGCCTCTTGTGGGATATTGAGGAAGATCGAATTGTTCTTGATGATTATCTTTCTTCCTTATCGTCAATTTGAGTCGTGTCTCTTTCTTTGGCACCATTTGATCGCTTGATGATGATTCACCATTAGATACAAACATCTTGGTCTGAAATTTCCAAAAACCATAATAAAATAATTTGGTGTACAAAAATTTCATATGTAAATACTATACAATTTCTATAGGATCATTAAGAATATTGGTATTTATGAGATTCATTCACTTCATAAAAAATTATACCTCGAAGGGTTGGGAGAGATGGGGATCAAGAAAACCATGGAAAGTGTTGTTGTTGTACCCAACATGTACTTGATCTTGGTGAGAGTTGATCAAGAAAGGGAGGTAGGAAAGAGATGGTGGAGTCAAAGAAGATGAAAAAGAGGGATTAAAAGGAGGAAGATGTTGATGATCATGATTGTGATGCAGGGAAGATCCAAGAGAAGAGAAAAACGGTTGGTGGTTTTGATCTTCGTTGAGATCTATTGTGTAGTGAAAATTCGAACCCATGACCGATGAGATCTATGAAACACAAAAGAGAGGGAAGAGGAGAGATTGGGAGAGATCAGGAACAGGCAAAGAAGGATCCAAGCTATACTGTCTTTTGACCCTTTTTAAAGGCAAGACACTACGAGCCAAAAACAAGTGTGTGTGTGTGTGTAATTTAGACGAATTGAGAAGATGTGGATAAAACTGTTACTTGTAGTATATTTAATTTGTGAACCATGTTTGAGGTAAGATAATAGGAATTTGGTATGCATAAACAAGAAATAATTATCTAGCAAAGAAAACACAAATCCGGACATTTCTATCACTTTCGCCAGTGTTTGGCTAACATGTTTTGAATCTCAAAAACATGAAGAAGAAAAAAAATTAGTCTTTTTGGGGTCAAAATAGCAAAGAGATATGTTATAGATCAGCTAAAGTGGTATTTGATACGATGTTGCAAAATAATACAGAAACCGTATTAGGCAAAACTAATTATCATGCAATATATAATACAGACAAATATATTAAAATGTTAGATTCCTAAGGTTTTGCACTTATATAAAACCAACTGATCCTACCATCTCTGCTTAATATTGAATAATTGGAGCTACTTAAGATGGTTTGAGATCTAAAACTAATTTATGGTTATTTTGGAAATGAAATCAAACATGGACTACTTTGGGGAAAATCCAAAAAACAATGAATTATAAGAGGTTCACGTGAGTCCATGACAGCCATCTGAAAACAAATACATGAGACAAAATGTGGAGGAATGGTACTGGACGATCCCATGCACAAGTAATCCTACAAAATGTAGAAAGGCAACCCTAGTTCAGAATAGGAAATAATAATTATCCAATAATAGTAATTACTTGAAACACTAGCCACACATATCATCATAGTGATCAAATGATGCGCTGCAAACGGTTCAGCTGGATATGATCTATAATTACTCCTCTGTTTTTTTTAAATGAATTTTCTAGAGATTTTTTGTTGTTTCACAAAGATAAAAATTTTAGCTTTTTGAAGTACTTTTTCAGTTTTCAAAAAACAATAAGTGGATTTGTTAGATTTTTATTGGTTTAAATTCATCCAAAGTTGTTATTTTTGCAAAAATTTAAACACTAATGATTGAAAAATAACTTTTCCTTAATATGTGTGAAAAAACTAGAAATTTCATCTTAAAAAAATGGAGGGAGTACTTTTCTGAATAATGTTGGATCAGGTCCTAGGCTACAAATAGGTATCATTTCCCAAACGGCTCAATTGAGAATAGGTATGTACTTATCCCCCAATACATACAAATAGCCCGATCTTATACGTTGAGACAACACAAATTACAATAGTATGTAACACGTGATTTTTTCAAGGCATTTGACTCATCAATAATAATGATTTTTAGGGAGAGAGAGGGGAGTTATAATTGAGGGGAAGAGAAGGAGAGAGAGATGAATAGAGAGAGAGAAGACAAGAGATAGGTTTAGATTGGCAAAGGAAGAAAAGATCCCCACCTTAGTATTTGCCAAAACCATTTAATTCCTTCTGATCAATATTACAGGTCAGTCAGGACCCCAAAATAATTTAAAAAATAAAAAAATTAAGTCTTTTGTCTCATCGTTTTTATATTTTCAATTCCATGAGTCTAGCTATTACATGTTCAAGTTGTATAGTTACTAATTTGCTCATAAAAACTTGTTCTTTTTTAAAAAGAAAAGACTGATTATCGTTTAGGATTCACCACGAAGGATCCTTTGTGTTCTAATACATCCAAATCTCAAATTTTTGAAATTTACATAATGGGCTTCAAGATTCTAGTAAAATTTTGGTGAGGATGACGGAGATTTTATCCAAAGGAGAAAAACGTCTAAAGATTTGAAGGCTTAACAAACATTTTAATTTCGTTCATCAATTTATTTTTCTAGAATGTGAAATATGATCTTTTCAAATTTAGAGACAACAATCTAAATATCAAAATCGGGATCACAAACAAACAAACAAAAAATATAAAAGCGAGGATCTTTCGCCTTTCAAAGTTCCTTAGCTACAACTTGCTAAATTCACATACATCCAACCATAGCAGCTATTACGTAGCCCCATCACATGCATGTATATATTTTAATTTAAACAAAACTTTTGATTTTCACCTTCTTCACCTTTTGGGTAACTAAATGGTAAAAAGTAAATATTAAAGGTTGAAAGTGCTCTTTCTTTTTAGTGACTTTATTTCTTTTAGCAGTCTTGTATAGTATTACTTTCCAGGTTCAGAAATTGGTTGATCTCTTGTTCTGACAAACCAAGGGATCGATCATGCATGCGAATTAGTTTGGTTGTCTCTGTTATTTTATTTTTCTTTTTTTCATTTCCTTTTTATTTATTTTTGTTCTTCCCCGAAATTGGTCTTCTCTTATTTCTTTCAAAACTTTCATGGTTGAAAAGAATAATCTAAAATGACTAAAATATCAGCCTATCGTTGGACCAAAGATGTCCGATTTTGATCTGAGTACGTAAAACAACGACCAATCCTTAAGAAAAAAAAAAAAAAGAGAGAAAAAAGCCCTAATAATTAATTTAACTCCCGGTCCGTTTCAACGGGTTTCCATCAACTACTATAAGCTCTAGTTGCACCCACTAAAACACAGCTAAGGGGCAATAAGGAAACTTACACAAAGACCAGAATCTGAATCAAAATTAATGAAGTAAGAATCAGATAGATACGTATTTAGGAAAAAAACAGAAATGGCATGAGAAAAATAAACGATAGAGAGATGGGCTACGTATGCGGCATAGGGATCACAAATTCCATCAAGTGACACTCTGAGAGAAACAAGACACATATTTAGAGATACATATGGCACTGTATGTATATACATATATGTGAATGTCAGTACATTTGGGGTATGTCCAACATTTTGGTACTTTTCACGACTTGTCTCTTTTTTTGGTTTTTTCTATGTATAAAATTTCCCAAAAGGGACCATTATCTGTCTGATCTTCACCACCGTATCATCTGTCTTGTGACATATTGATCTGTGTGATGTGAGCTCTCCTCTTTCTTTTCGATATTATCATCTATAATCTTTACCTCTTTATTTATCACATACGTTTCATTCATTAAATCCGATTCTCTAAGATTTTCTTAGCTATAGTACGGCCAGACTAATTAATCTTTTAGAAAAATGAGAATTTTGTGGTGGACAAGTACCTGAGCTCAAATTCCGTTTCCAGAAGGAAGTTCGTCGTTGGATCATAAATTTTGGTAAGAGAGAATATGTACTTCAATGGATACCCAAATTTCTATTCATAACTAATATATAGATAGAGCATACATGAACCAAAACATAAACAAGGTAATGTTTATAATGAATATTCTTTTTAATTTAAAATTTTCATATGTTTTCATAAAAAAAAACAATTACTAATACATTGATGATTAAAATATACACTAAAATATGAAATCATCTTTTGTACTGGTTATCTTTCTATAACAACTTAAGAAAATATATAAAAAGACACTACGTACAAATTTCTTTGTTTTAACAAAATTATTAATGTTTCAGGAAATCTTATTGTCTCCAAAACAAAAGATTTCTGAAAACGATTTATTTGCTTTAAGTACATTAACTGAATATATTTTTGTGATATATAAGACATCTCTAATTGCCAAACACATGTGAACTTGTATATCCACCAAAGCCTAAGATCGAAAGAGATATATTTTCCTCTACACATTGCAGTAGAGTAGTTTAGTTTTTTCTTTATATGCTTAAAAGCAATGAGTTGATACATACGGGCCTTAGAAGAAAACGTGAAGCCCGTTTGGACAAAAAACCAGGATGGACAAAGTCCAATTTACGTAGAAGGAATCGAGTGAAGAAAAAAACGAAAGGCAAAAAAAAACAAATTAGAAACCGTGGGACGATATAATTTTCTTTGATCACCGTACCAACTTTAGTTTGTGGATCGATTTGATATGTCACATGTTCTTAACTTGTGTCGACTCCTAAGCAAGAGCCTCACTCTTTGCAAATTTTACTATCTTTCTTAAGTTTCTGTTCAAATTTTTGAAAATTTTATCGTCCTGAACTTTCCATACAAACCAAAAAAAACAAAAACTATATGTTATTTGAACTATGGTCTCGTGGTTAGTTATGAACTTATGATTCAGTGTTTCTTTGCTTTTTCTTTATCTTTGTTTCAAACAAATGTATATGTTTAAGGTCAAAAACAAATGTATATGTTTGTAGAAAGTAGAAACAAAGAGTAAACGGTATTATCTGTCACAATGGTTAGTTGGTGAAAGTTGGGGGTTGTTAGTAGGGTTTCGTTAATTAGAGCCACGTGGCAGTCTTTGGATGGCTAGTAGGCCGTGGAAGGTAAATCTTTGTAGTCAACGAAGCTACGTCATGTGTTGCGGCTACCCGACTCTCTCTCGACGAACCAAAATGTCAACTAAACCTCATTGCATAACCTAATTATTGAATTTAATTAATATATCCGAATACCAAAAGCCTTTAAATAAGAAAAATTGCTAACTGTTACAATATGGTTCGGGTAGGCTTCCCCTTCATTGTTCATCATATCTATGATCATTTCTAACTATCCATTAGTTAATGCTTTTTGATTATCAATTTATCATCACTATACCTACTTTTAATTTTTCTTAGAAGAATGAAAATTTTAAATTGTTAGAGTCAAACAAAGAGTATCACCATTCCTTATTTTTAAAACTTTGTTCAAAGTCTTTAAAGTACTAGGGACGGTCATCTACAACTAGCTGAAGTAAATTATTTAAGTGTAAACTTACAATTTACAAACATAATTTACATTCATATAGTTTGTCGTCATTAAATATGCACTGCAATCGACTTTTGTTATACTTTCTACATGTATCTACTTTGAGCCGCGGACCACACAACTTGCAATATATCCTATTTCAAAGGTTTCATTGCGGTCTACTAAATGCTCAAGAACAATAATATATGCGGTTTTAAGTCAACGTATATAAAATTGATCTAATAGTA